CCTAACCCTAACCCTAACCCTAACCCTAACCCTAACCCTAACCCTAACCCTAACCCTAACCCTAACCCTAACCCTAACCCTAACCCTAACCCTAAACCCTAGCGTAATTGAGAAACGGAAAGGTCCATTACAACTGTAACCTCGAGTCAAAGGGGTTCATGGCGTCCTGACTCGCCTTGCGAGCGTCCATGCGGGCAAGCTAGGCAGCGACATTCGTCCGCCCTGTCGAAGCCACTCAGCACCAACGCTCACATAGCGGAGAGGCGACACTGCATAAAATCTAGTTCGAAGCAGTATGACAAGTGATCCGAAGGCTGTGCAAGGTCAATGAAGAAGTCACTGCAATCATGACTTGGTGAAGTGCTCTTTTAGCCCTTCTCTACTTTTGATACTTTTGAGCCTTCATTTAGAATATCTTGCATCAGTATTCACGCTGTGCGTTTTTGCCAGGTGAGATCCTCAGCTTGAGGTCACTAGAGTCGACGCTGTGAATAAGGCAATTCCTCTTTGCCATGCCATGCAAACTCGTCGACGTTTGTACTGCGACGAGCGCCAAAGATTTCCTCTCGCTCTGCATTGCAGCAGCTGCACTTTTCTGCAAAATCATTGCAGGACCTGACCTATGAGCTCACAGTGACAAGCTGTGCGACCGAGTATGTAGTCTACCAATTTATCTAGGCTCCCCTTCTGTTTCAGTCCGCTATCGCGATAGGCTAAACAATGAACAGGCGGACCCATTTGCACGGTGCTTCATCTCACGGCACTCAGAACCTCAGGAACGACCGACACACGGAAAAATTGTGCATAGTCCGTGCGAGAGTTCTATCAGTGTGCAGTGGACAAATAAAAAATGGTTGATTACCAAGCAAAGATGTGGCTCCAGCGCTGTGTCCTGTCTGAAGCTGCCTTAAGTCCGGAAGTGGGGGAGGGCACGTTCCACGCTAAAGAAGCATGCCGGAAACCGAAATCAGCGACGGATTGACAGGACTGACTGAAGAGCGCGCGAAGGGTGGCAATGAATAGTATATAGGAGTGGGCGAAGCTCCTTCGCGGATGCATTCGAGGACATCACTTCACCAAGCTCAGGCTCCCTGCGAAAATGCTCCCGGTTCTTGCTCTTTTGCTGCCGCTCGTGGGCTTCGTGGCTGGCTTCGCGCCCCTGCAACGCAACATCGCCTACCGCTCACCCACACTGACGACCAGTAGCCTGGCGCATGACATTGATCATATAGGCGCAAAAATAGTGAAGAGATCGACGCTCGGACGGCGTTCTCTTGAGAGCGCACGAGGCGGGCATGCTGCCGATCAGCTTGTCATCGACTACGACTCGGCCAAGGGCATCGATGGACAGGACAGCTACCACGGCTCATTCACTTTTCCTTATGGCGTCGCTTCCGGTGATCCGCTGGACGACAGCGCTATTCTCTGGACTCATCCCGTGCCCAAGGATGCCGACACAGTGGAACCGATCTGTCTTCGCTATCAGACGAGCAAAGTCAAGGACAGCTGGCATGAGAAAGACCTCGTCGACAGCTCGTATGCGTGGACCACATCGGACGTTGACTACAGCTTCAAGGTAGAAACGCAGTTGCCCGAGCCAAAGACGCGCTACTACTACCGATTTTTTGGTTGTCACGACCACAGCCTCGTCTCGCCCACGGGTACCTTCACCACGATGCCTTCGCCCGACGACGAAACAGTCGGCTCGCTGAAGATGGCCGTCTTTTCCTGCTCCAACTACCCCTTTGGCTACTTCAACAGCTTTGGGCAGGCCGCAAAGTCAGATGTTGACCTCGTAGCGCACGTCGGCGACTACATCTACGAAAGCGCAGGTGACGGCAGCCCAGACGCCTACGGAGATGGACGCCCGCTCAACCGTGTCCCCCAGCCAAATCGAGAGATTGTGACGCTTGATGACTACCGCCTGCGCTATGCTACTTACCGAAGTGATCCGGATTTGCAGCGCTTGCACCAGAAGAAGCCCTGGCTGCTCATCTGGGACGACCACGAGGTGGCGGACAATTCGTGGAAGGCAGGCACAGCCGACTCCAACGACACGGCAGCAGGCACCGTCGAAGGGGTACGCTTTACCGAGCGCAAGAAGAATGCCGTAAAGGCATATTTCGAGTGGATGCCAATTCGTCAGGTCGACACAGCAGGTGATACGCTGCGCATCTGGCGCAAATTCCAGTATGGTAAATTGGCTGACATTGCCATGCTGGACACGCGCAACTATGACCGAGACATCACCGATCTTTACTACAACACGGCCGAGGTCGCCAGTCTGGCCAACGACACGGCTAGATCGCTGATGGGCGGCAAGCAAGAACGCTGGCTGTACCACAATCTCATCCACTCTCAGAAGCGTGGCGCCACATGGAAGCTGATAGGCCAGCAGATTATCGTCAACCATCTTAATTACGGCGAGGCGGATTTCCCCGTCGATTACGATGCCTGGGACGGCTACGAGGCCAACCGACGGCGGCTCTTTGACACTATCCGCGCCAACGACATTCAAAATGTCATTCTCCTCTCCGGTGACAGCCATGCTGCCTGGGTGTACGATGCCATCTATCAGGAGTGGGAGAACCGAACGGACCTGTACGACCCGAGCACCGGCAGAGGTGCCCTTGCTGTCGAATTTGCCGGCACGGCCGTCTCCTCGCCCAGTTCCTATGGTGCTAAACTGACGCCTGCCCAATACGTAGCTCAGGCTGAGAAGCTTGTTTCGATCAATCGGAACCTTGCCTTTGCCGAAGGCGGCCACCGGGGCTACTTTACTCTCGATGTCCGTCCAAACGAGCTCGATGCCTCCTTCTGGGGTATTGTTAACAACACGCAGCAGAGTTCTGATCAGATTCTTCTGGCCAAGTTCAACGTGCAAAAGGGCGCCAATCGGCTCACTCGCCCAATCAATAATGGCAAACCAGCGAAGGGCGGTGCTCTCCAGGCGCAGATCATTGATTACTCCAAGCAACAGTGGAATGGATCTGGGTTCTCTTAGAGCACCTATTTTCTGTAAAATAGTCTGGTCGACAAGTTTATTACATCTGAGATATGGTCATAGTTCGATTGCCATGACACATCAACTCATCAATGTCGGATAACGCTGTGCCCGGCCGGAACGGCGTGGTGGACAAAAGTACTGTACAGTACAGTACTTTGCGGAGGAACAATTCTGTTGAAAGTGTAGACCACGCGGTGTTCACATTTGTATGGCACGGTTTGTTCCCGCAATTGACGTACCTGACAAAGAACTTTGAAATGCGCTATGCGACGACCTCTCGCAGTTCGTCTTGCCTTTTCTCGAGAAATTTATCAAGGGTGTTGAATTCGATGCCAAGCGCTTGACACACACTAATGTCTGTGCGGTTTGCAAAGATGGCCAAAACCTCGCCGTTGCCAGCTTGCAGGTCTGTGGCCCGCTTGGCCTTCACACTTTCCGGATCGGGGTGCTCGGCACGCATTGGCTTGTTCGCATGCTTGGCAATGACGGCGGCAATTTGTGCCAGCGTCATTTTCTCGCCGACAGCGTTGAAGGCCAAGCCATTGAAAGTATGTGGATCCAAGAGCACGCGTGTCGCTATCTCTGCCAGATCGACAGGGTCGACTAGATCCAGGACGGTGTCTACTTGTACCGGGAAGCTGAGTGTGCCGACGGGATGATCGCGCACTCCAGGAAATGACATCGCAAGATATCGAGCACCGAAGTTTGAGAAGTGCATTGAACCTTGTATGGCTGCCCAACAGTCAAAACCAGCTGTCCTGACAGTTTCTTGTATACTCATTTTCCTATTCCAGTAGTCGGCCACGACGCCTGCGCTGCTAATCCACTCTTGCCATTCGGGCATGGTCGCGATGCTGTGCGTATTTTGCACCGATTGAAACACACAAAAGCGTATACCCGCCGCTCGCGATGCTTCAATGATGTTCTGCGCGTACGTGACTTCCAAGTGGTGATCGGCTAAGGATGCAGGGGTAGGATTCAGATACACGCCAGTGCAGGTGGCGGCGGCGGCGGCAATGGCAGCTTTGTCGTCCAGAGCGCCTCGAAAAATCTTCGCGCCTGCACGTGCGAGCTCAAGTGCGCGCTCCGAGTCTGGATGAGTGGTCAGCACATGTACGCAGTGGCCTATCGCCAGCAGCTTGTGCGTCAGAGGACGCCCGACGGTGCCGGTTGCGGCTATGACGAGGAAATTCTGCATCACCCTGGCTGGCTATCCTCAATTGTCACTCGCGACACGGCTTTCAGAATCGATCGTTGAGTGTGAAGATTGAAAAGCTAAGTGGAAAAGGCGTTGACCGCGTCTGTGTTGTCGACCAATTGATAGACGTGGAACGTCCTCTTCGACGTAGATGACTGAATGGTAGGATTTGCAGAGCCTGATTAGGGTTGACATGAAGGAGAGTCCGTTTAAAAATCACGCCACGTATCGAAAGCTTGACCTGCACCACGTGTGCACATACATTGTCTTCCGTAACAACCTCTGCGATGGAAGACTCAGCAAAGCGACTTCGTCGCGTTGGCAACCCGACCGTCAATTCACTGCTTGGTATTCGGAGCGCGACCCTGTCCTCATGCTATTTAGGAGCCACAGTTTTGCCTTCGAGTCAGGTATTCAGGAGCGGTGTCGAAGGCATGGAGGTATGGCTCTGTCAGAAGCCTCCGCATCCTCGTCGCCAGCCACTATCTCGCTTTACGTCTTTGCACCTCCCACGGGCATGCTGCGAACGAAGCCAGGTGGGGCGTGGCGAGCGGCAGACAGTTTCACTGCGTGTGGCCGTTCATCAAGCAGTGTAACAATGCAACAATGCTGGAAATGGGGTTGACGGTCATTACATTAGAAGGGCACGGCACAGGCTGTTGAAATCCCCGGTCTCAGCTTGCGCGATTGGACTTGCGCAATTATGGACCTTACTCGCTAAAGTTGAGAGTGGCTAATGGAAGAAGAGGATGAAATGGAACTGAAACCAACGCTACGACTGGCCCGAGAAGGGCGGAGCTGTCTCGTTGATGGAAAAGGGCTGGCTGAAGCGGTACAGGTACGTGACATCGGCGACGCCCTGCTTGGTGTACTCAATGGTACCCGCAATGATGAGGCCACTGCCATCACCATAGGGAAGCGGGCCGTTGGGGACGCTCGTCTCCAGCGTGATGGGCTTGCCAAGCTCCTGGGCAGGAATTGGCAGTGAGGCCACGGACTGGAGCGGGTCGCCGCCTCCACCCTCGATGGTCACGGTGAGCTGCTTGGGGTACACATTGGCCGCCTTGGCGCAGTCCTGCTCATAGTGGATCGTAATGGGCTGCCAGGCAAAGGGTCAGACTCATCATCGTACTCGTCTTGCACAGACACACACCTGGTTGCGGACAACGTTGCTGCTGGGCGACACACTGAACGTGCCAAAGCGGCCCGTGCCCGCCTGCTGGCACTTGCCCGGTGCGGTGACGCGCCTTTCGACGGGCGAGGCCACGCTCTGGGAGAAAGCACAAGCGGCGGCGGCGAGTGAGGCGGCAATGAGAGTGTTGCGCATCTTGAAGTTGTGCTTTGCCAATGAAGGCAAACAGCCTTGCTTATATAGGGCCAGCAGCTCACGGCAACGCGTCGGAAAGTCGCGGTCGGCGACGGATGTCCGCGTGTTCCTGCAGGTTCCGGCGGAGACTAGCCAATTACTGATGCTTGGATCTGTGCGCGCTGCAGATCTTGCCGATTTTCCACCGCTGCTTCTGCGGGACATCCGCCGACCTGCGGGACACCCGCCGACCTGCTCAGTATACTCGGCGGCCTTTGTAGATCTGTCCTAGGGGTCACGTCTAGCGGCATTGGAGCTCCACCAAAGACATCCGGCTCCCACGATCCATGCAAGGTCCGCGCTGGAAAGGCTGGGCCACCCCTACGATTCCATGTTTTACTTGTTTTGGTACCAAAATTGCTGCTGATTCATAGCACTGTTGTGACAGATCAAAGAGCACAAGTGCGCTACTCTTGCTGGTGAAGCGAAAAGCGCACTGCAGCAAGTTCGTAGGTGTCCGTGCCGCGAACCGGACAAAGTCAACGGCGCAGATCACAGAGATTGATTTCCAACGATGAAAGATAGTACAACGCCGCACGAGAAGAAGAGTATGCACCCTTTTGTGGACGGTGGAAGGCAACAAAGCTCGTGATGCCTTTAAATAATCCGGCCAAGTCGCACACAGCACCCACTGAGGCGTGAGAAGTGGCGACGTCGCTCGTCGCTCTTGGTCCGTGCGCGACTGCACGTGTGGAGTCGGCTTCGTCTCGCATGATTCTCAGTCCACCTCCTCTCCACCTCACCGAAATGGCAACTTTGCATCCTCGGGTGATTCTCGTCTACAATGCCGACGGAACGACGCTGGGCAAGCTCAGATGTGAGTCTCTCTTCCCTCTTAAGAATGGTGACCGCGCTGAACGCCGTGAGATGCAGATGGCTACAAGAAGCTGTTCGGTCAGCGAAGCGAAGGGGAGAGCGCATGCGGCAACTGCGAGGTGACGCACGGCGGGCTCCGCCTCACCGAGACAGACGCCTGGCGGGACGCGAAGAAGACAATGGAGTCGTCAATGGGCCTAGTCGTCCAGCAACTGCACCGCGATGAGCTCGACGAAAGGGTATGTCGTCATACCTGTCGCAATGACGGTGAGAAGCTGAAGAGATTGCGCGTTTCAGATGCGCAAGATCGTCGAAACGACGAGGCTGCCTACCGTGCTTTACGACGATGGTACAAAGATGGAAGAGATCGTAGGCAGAGACGTGATCAATGCATGCGCCTTGGTCAAGAGCGCAGACACACAAGAGCAGCGGGAGCAAACAAAGGCTCAAAACATGGTGGACGCCATTGAGAGGGCCTTGAGTGTAAAAGCGCCCAGCTCGAATTTATGACTCAGCAATGACAACGAGGATGCCCTTGTGAGGACGCTGCGTGGGCAGCTGCTTGACACTTCCCCTCCATGTGGCTCTCTTGCCCGCATTGCTAGGCTGGTCATACCAACCCAGCCAGTCCTGCACACCAGCGCCGAGGTCCTCCTCTGCGAAGTTGAGGCTGATGCGTGTGGAAATGAGACGCATGGCCACGCCCCTGAGCCATGATCTGATGATGGCAGAGCCACCGCAGGGCTTGACGCCGGCACCAAATGTAAGTGGCTGCTTGCATCCGTCGTGACTGCCTTTGCCATTCCGGTAGCGGTCCCACCTGAAGCAAGCTGCATCGGGCCCAAATGCCGCCTCGTCGCGGTTCGCCAGCGGTAGGTAGGGCCATGCATCCCAACCACGGGGGATGCAGACGCCGGCGCGATGCAAGGATAGGCCCTCGTCCTTCACAACGGTCCGCATGACGCCAATGATGGGCGGAGATACGCGCTCAGTCTCGGTGACGACGGCCGAGATGACACCTTCTGCCTCGTCTGTAGCTAGGCTCCTGATCCTCTCCGCCAGCGTCGCTTGCCCTGGCTGCTGGCGGTACAACTGCAGGACTAGAGCCGCAGCAAGCGAAGCAAAAGCCTTGACGACGAGATTGGAGGAGAACATGGCGTGATGCGAAGCGTTGCTGGCGTCAGCAATGCCCGTGTCCTTTGCGCGCTCTGAAAAGGGACATGATCCTGCCGCCATCCTTTGCTGGACCATGGCGTCGAATCTGCGCTTGGCATCCTGGCCGCGCGAAAAAGCATTTTGATACAGCGGCGTCTTGAAGCTGTTTTTCAGGCGGTCATATTAGCTGCTGCTCTCTGGTAGGATAGAAGACGGGACCGGCGCACCCTACCGGAAGGGAAAACTGCCCTCTGAGCATATCCTCGCTCCAAGCCTGGGCTTCGTCAAACTCGGTCGTGCCCCGCGCCAGACCCAGGAAGGTGCCCAGGGCGAGCGATTGGCCCAAGCTCTTACAAGCTTCGTAGATGTCCACCTCATTCTGCTTGGCGAGATTTGCAGTCCAGTCGGCCACAATCGACGATGCTGCACGTTGCGCCCCGTCTGGGCTTGGGTTCATGCACGCATCCCAGGCCTGCCTGTGCTCTTTTGCCTCCTCTTCGTCCTCGTCTTCGAGCAGCAGGTTCGGTGGTGAGAAGAATGCCGCCATGAGCTGCTCGTACGCTTTCGTTCGAGATGTTTCCTTTTCAGAGGGAGACCATGGCTGATCGAGGACCTGAAGCGCATCGTCGTACGATGTGATCAGGGCCACGTCGCGGGCCAGGACGCTGAGCCTGACGGTGGAGCAGTTGACGTCGTGCACCAGAGAGCAGACCTCATCGTGCGCCTGTCCATGGAAGGCGAGCGTCTGGCCGAGGAGTGGCAAGGATCTCCTGCCGCGTGGCAGACTTGGCTGCGCTTGTCTTTTGTTGAACCACGCCATGCTCGTGAACGCGATGGTGGTTCTTGAATTTGAAATGCAGCCAAATAGACTGGTTGTGTACTCGCGCAGAACCCTTTCCCCACCTCCACCAGTGTAGACAATGCGCGCCTCTCGCCGTCTATCGTCGTTGGTGGCCGACGCTGCTCGTCAGCGGCTTCGCCACCGTATCGACTCGGTCGACGGCAAACCCTTGACACTGGGCGAGAGCTTGGACGTTGTCAGGAGGCGAGAGGCTCAAAAGGAGCAGCGGCGCGCAGAAGTCAGTGTAAAGGCACGTTGTTTCGTCGCCTTGTTGCTAACCTCCTCCTCTCCCGAAGGCCATCCAAGAAGCGACCAGGAGTGTCTTGCCATTCAAAGAACGGCTGAGGCAGGAAGGAGTCTCTCCTCTGTTGACAGGTTGGTCTATGTGCATTGTCCGTTGTTTCCTCTGACTGACAAGCTCTCTGGCAGACCAACCGATCACACTGCAAATCAATATCGGCAAGCTGTGCAATCTGACGTGCCGCCACTGCCACGTAGAGTCGAGCCCATCCAAGCGCAGAGAGAACATGCATGGCGAGGTGCGTATGTCTGACTAGCCGTATGTGAGTGCAGTGAGGCTCACAAAAGGGCTAAAGACAGTCGACCGGTGCCTCGAGCTGCTCTCGCGATCATCCTCGACGACGACGCTCGACATCACGGGAGGCGCGCCCGAGCTCAACCCCCACTTTCGCCGGCTTGTTTCGGGAGCAACAGCGATGGGAAAGCAGGTGATTGACCGATGCAACCTCGTCGTGCTTTTTGAAGAGGGCATGGAGGATCTCGCGCAATTTTTGGCCGAGCATCGCGTCCATGTCGTAGCATCGCTCCCATGCTACACGGAAGACAACACAGACAAGCAGCGCGGAAAGCGAGTACACAAAGACAGGTGAGCATTGAGAGAAGGGAGCCGCAGGCATGCACGCTGACTGGTTCCCCAAGCGTCGAGGCCATTCGCATCCTCAACCGGCTGGGCTACGGACGCGACGAGGGGCTTCGGTTGGACCTCGTTTACAATCCGGGGGGCGCTTTCCTGCCGCCGCCGCAAGCTCAGCTCGAGGCCGACTATCGGTCTCGGTTGAGAGACGAGCATGGAATTGTCTTCGACTCGCTCCTGGCCTTGACCAACATGCCCATCAAACGCTTTGCCGACGACCTGGAGAGGAGTGGAGGACTATCCGCCTACATGAGCGACCTCGCCGCCAACTTCAACGCAGCGACATTGCCAGGACTCATGTGCAGAGACACGGTCAACGTGCAGTGGGATGGCACCATCTACGACTGCGACTTTAACGCGGCCCTCAACTTATCCTCGGTGCCGAGAGATGTCTGGTCCATCGGGTCCATCGACGAACTCGCCGGCAGAGCAATCACCACGGCAAAGCACTGCTACGGATGCACAGCAGGCAGCGGATCGAGCTGCGGTGGTACTTTGGTATAATTTAAACAATCTACCTTCCTTGAACTGCTTTCCCTATTCCTTGACCGTGACCGTGAGTGTCCAGCAGAGACCACCGTGCAAGCCATTGCCGCGTGCGAGGAAACGAGGTGGAGTCGCCTTCGACAACAGAGGCAAGATCGCCGGGTTCGTCGACGTCTTGGAGCGTGGGGCCTAGCTCGACGTCCAGTCCTAGTTCCGACAGCCGCCTACTTTGATCTTCCGCCGTCTGCGGGCATGACCATCTGATGTTTCCAAAGGCCTTGGCTGAGTCTAGACCGAGGGGCACTGTCAGGAGCACGTAGCCACCATCGCTGGCCGGTATCATATATGCCGTTTTGCCTAGTCCATCCTGTACCCGCTGTATCGCTCTGTGCACGTGTTCCCGCTTCAGCGCAAAGCAGTCGGTGCCCACGAGAGTGCAGGTGCCAGTAGCTGCTTTCATTGGACGCGAGCAAGAAGCCACCGCGGCGGCCAGTCGATCACCCAGATCGCCAGCATCGGGCTGTGGCTGCGCATCGCAGTCTTGTGACAGGTCGTTGTCCCTCAGCAGCCTCTCCACATCGGCTTGAGCTACCGCTGGGGCATACGACCAGACGAGGCGGGATAACGCAACACCGACGAAGCTTTGCAGTGTCTCGATCAGGGCGAGCTCCGCAAAGTCTCGTGCGCCGCCTTTGCCCAGCGCGGGCTCCAACCGTGTCTTGACGGTGCCCAGATACGGGTATTTTGCAACCACGCAGATGTGGTGCAGCGCCGTGGCCTCCATCGAGGTAGGAGGTGTGGCTGCGTTTAGAAATGAAGAACAATTTCCTCCATCGCATGGATCAGGGGTGCTCCAGGAACCTGTTGAATTTCAAAGACCGACGCGTGCTCTGCAGCGCACATCCCATCCGCGGATGAAGGGACAGAGTGGAGATGCACTACAATGATGCACCGATCAGCAGCTCCAGCATCACAGAAGGCCCAAGTACGCCACGGGAGTCATCCCATCACCGTCGTCATTCCCTGCCTCAACGAGGCTCTGGCCATCGAAGCGACAGTGGAGCGCCTCTTTTCGACTGCCTCCATCGCGAGCCCAGAGGTGATCGTGGTCGATGGGGGAAGCAAGGATGCCACACTGCGAGTCATTTCCAGTCTCAGAGTGCGATATCGCACGCTGAGGGTCCTCGCTTCGCCCGTTCCTTCGAGAGGCAAGCAGATGAGCATGGGAGCCAAGATTGCAGCATCAACCAGTCGTCTCGTTCTCTTTCTCCACGCAGACACGCTGCTTCCGGCCGCCTGGGACCAGGCCATCGTAGAGGCGGATGCGCGTCATCCCACGCTCATGCTCGGATGCTTTCGGCTGGCCCTGCCCGAGCCCATCGACTCCAAGCTCCGCATCATGCTCCTCGTGGCCAATCTCCGAGCAAGCTGGGCCAGATTGCCCTATGGTGACCAGGCCTACTTTGTCAGGAGCCAGGAGCTAGACCGAATCGGAGGCATCGACGAGACGCTGCCCATGATGGAGGACGTGGACCTGCTGGCGAGGTATCAGCGAGCGGCCAAGAGCAAGGCCAAGAGATGCTCTCTGCTGAGAGAAAGAGATTCGCTCTGCATCCTCAATCTCTCCGTCATCACAAGCCCCCGGCGATGGAAGAAAAAGGGTGTGTGGCGTAACACGCTCCTCAACCAAGTGTATATGCTCGCGTGGTGGGCAGGTGTATCGCCAAGGACAATCTATGCGTGGTATTATCGTTGAGGCTTATGCTACAAGATCAGACGCCCAGCTTGACTTTGACTGTCAGCGATTCAAAGTTGGCCGGGCCCAGCTGCGCTCGGATGTGACCATCGGCCACCTCGATGGATTTCCGATTCAGCACCTGCATCTCGCCGAAGCCGAGCTCGTGCATCATGGCGGACAGATCTTGCTGGTAGTGGGCCCCCGCCAGGCACTCGCCGAGCAGCACCGGATCTTCCTTGAGCGCCGTGTCCAGTCGTCGGTCGACAAACACGTCGGCAAAGTGGAGCTCGCCACTCGGCCTCAGTACCCTGGCGATCTCGGCAAAGACGCTCTTCTTGTCCTCTGCAAGATTGAGAACACAGTTGGACACGACGAAGTCGACGCTATCTGAGGAAACAAGGGAGTGAAGATCGGAAATGTCGCCCTCGTGGAACTCGATTGGCGACGAGGTAGGATGTCTGCCCTTGTGCCACGCCAGGGCGGCCCGGCCGACGTCAAGCTGCTCTCGCGTGGCGTCTATGCCAATGACACGTCCTCGCTCGCCAACGAGCTGCGACAGCACAAAGCAGTCACGGCCCGTGCCGCAGCCCAGATCCAGGACAGTTCTGCCCCTGAGACAATCGACAGGCGCGGGGAAAGGTGAGCCACAGCCGTAGTAGCGGTTGGAAACGTCCGCGTGGACTTGCTTCAGTGCGTCTCGGATGGCAGCCTCTTTGGGCGCCGGACTGCAGCACGCAGTCGTTTTCAGCTCACTGGTCGCCTTGATCGTTTGACCATAGTAGTCTTGCGCCGACTTCAACATCGTCCAGCGTCGAGAGGGGAATGTTACGACGGTCGTAGATAGGAGCGAGCGAACAAGAGCCCGATTGCCTCTGGCAAGCTGAGGGAATTTCAAATTGCAAAGTCGTACGCTCCGAGTCTCTAGTAGGATGGTTATGTAATATTCTCTCTTTCTTGGCTCCATTCGTGCGAATTCAAAGGCCGTAGAGAACAGCGTTTTCCACTTCTCTCTCGGCCGTCGACGTCTTTGCAGATCACGTCAGCGTACCAGGCCAGCTCGAGAGACATGTTGGTCCCCATCCTGGCGTCTCCAGTGCCATAGCGTGCCAGAGAAGCAGCGACCATGCTGGCGGTGCTCTTGACAATATCTTCTCGGCTACTGTCTCGTTGCGGCATGCGACCTTGGAAATAGGCTTCTAGCCAGCGGGCCTGTACCTCCGCCACGATGGCTGCGCTGAGGGTCTGCGGAAGGCCGAGAACAGCAAAGTCGCGCTTGGAATAATCCAGGGGGACCATGTGCCTGTAGAGACGAATGGTCTCTTGCAAGGGAGAGAAGTGGTGCAAGTGAGAGAGGATGGGGACGCAGCGCCTAGCCTCTTCCAGCGCTTCGTTGAGAGCCAGCGTCCATTCTCTATCGCCCTGTCCTCCCAAGCCCAGCTCGTCGGCCAAATGAGCGCCCAGCAACTCGCGCATCGCCACGTCTGCGCGCGAGTAGCCTGTACATGCCACAATCACATCTTTCTCCTGATCGACCTCGGTGATGATCTCTTCTTCCTGCTGACATGACCTGGTACCTAGCAGGGCGTACTTGCCCCTCCCGAGCTCGGCGAACGCGCCGCATCTGGCGTGTACCATGCGGCACGTAGTGTTCTCCAGCTCTCGAGGTGAGGGAAAGATCCTGGCCGAAGACCGCATGATCTGCTCCCACCCTCTCTCGCCGTCATCTCCCACGCCCTTGCTCTCTGTATCCTGCAGGACGAAGGAAGACTTTGCCATCTGACCCCAAAAGAAGCGCATCATTGTCTCGCTGTAGCTCTGTCGAGGGGATCCTGACCAGGGGCTGAGGCGGCTGATGAGGGGCAATCGAGATGTCCAGGCTGGCCAGGTCCCGCTCGGAAGCGGCCACACATCCATCGCGCCTCCGATCAGCAGCAACTCTTTGCTTTGTCCTGCTTTGGCTACCACATCGAGAGCACTCTTGCCGCTCCCCACGACGATAACTCGGTGTGCTTTCTCCAGGAGCTCGCAGGATGATGCCTGGGCAAGCTGGCTAGAATGCAGGACTCGGACTCCTGTGCTTTGCAGCTCGCTGAGCACGGGTGGCATCGATGGAGTGCTGAAGGCGCCCAAAGCTAAGACGACTCGGTGGTAGTGATGCACGGCACCGTGCTCGGTCTCCAGGCACCATCGGCAATCTTCAAGGATATTGCGACCTCCGCCACTGGCGTCGCTGCCACTCTGTCCTTCACTACATCTCCGCAGCTTGACTACGCGGGTGCTAAGCTCAAGTTTTGCCAGTCGGCCTCCACCTTCGCTGTCGTTGAGGCGCATCTCCTTTGCGAACCTGGCGTAGTACCGTTGAGCCGTCTGCGCTGTGATGTAGGCGCTCGGTCTGCTGCTCTTGTCACCTTCGGCGTCATCTTTCGTCAGGGGAAATCCGGGGTAGGCAAACAATTGCCGAGGCGTGTTGGTCTCGAGCCAGTCGTACGCCTGCCCCTGCTCCGGCTGCAGAGCCCACACTCCGCCCATGCATGCTCGGCAATCGTACAGAGACACATGGTGTGACTCAGCAAGGTGATGTGCTGCTGCAAGACCTGAAGGACCGGCACCGACGATAGCTACCGAGGGTTTGCTCATTAACGAATCGCCTCACGCTCGACTTAGCAAGGAAAGCGCTACGTGATCGAGGAGTGCTTCTATTTCAAATCAGAAATAATCCAGGGTTATCTGACGACGTACAAAAAGTGGACGGGCCTCTCTTGTCTCCCCCTCCACCACAGCGGTAGTCGCAGTACGTGCGAACATGGAGCGTCAGATACTCACGCTCAGGATTGTCGGAGCCCTTTTCATCGGGTCATGTCTGCTCGCGCCGACACTCTGGCAACCGGCTCTCGATGCAAGCTGGGCCTGGCTGCTGCGACGGTCCCTCTTCAATGTACGTGTTCTCTGTCTCCCTGCGCTTTAGGTCCCTGATTCACACGTGCCTCCCAACAGGCCTCTTACTTTGAGACGCTCTGGACAGTGTCTCTCTACATCCTGTTTGAGTCGTACTATGTGTCGTTGGCCACGACTAGCAAGCCCCGACCTCCGATGCCAAAGCGCGTAGACCAGAGGGCGGGAAGGGCTCACCTATGGAAGAATGGGACCGTGCGCGTCCGAAAGCTGAGGGGAAGGCTGAGCGAGCTTGTCGTCTACGTTGCGCCGCTCCTCCTTCTTGACCTCATCCTCATCAAGAAGTTCAAAGGGGTTGCGTGGCAAGACATCGTGTCCAGTGGAGGCTACGAGCCCCACTCGCTCCTCAACGCCACATACTCAAGCCCGGCCAACATCAAAAGCACCAACTTTCTAGCCCCCTCTATCCACAACTTTTCGTTCTCATCGCCGCTGCAGCTAACGCGTGCTCTTCCTCCCCGCCCGATCACCTCACGACGCCTCGTCGTCGAGCTTCTCTCGTCATTGGTTCTCTACGACGCCCTCTTCTTCGTGGTCCACCTTTCGCTGCACAAAATCCCCTTTCTCTACTCGAAGCTGCATGCTACGCACCACGACCACGCAGAGATACATGCCCAGATCACCAACAGGCTGGACCTGGGAGAGCGTCTCCTTCTCGTCCTTACGGCCAACTTTAGCCTCCAGATCATTGGGGCCCACGTCATGACGCGCACCGCCTTTGTCCCCGCCTTTGTTCTTTTCCTGGTGCAAAACCATTGTGGTCTCGATGTGCTCTCCTACGACAAGATCCTTCCAAAAGGATGGGGCGGTGAGTTCCCTTTCTCCTACATGCTGACGGAGTTCTGACGCGTTCCAGACAGCCGGACCCTCGGTGCATGCTCAGCACCACCGGCTCGGCACTACAGGCTATGCACCTTATCTCCGCTGGTGCGACGACCTGTATGAGCGATTGACGTCTTCTCGAAGCAACGTCGAGGCCCAGAGGCGCAAAGACAGCGAGAAGATGGCCAGGCTCCTTGACAAGACTGGAGTAAACAGTGACTAATTCATCTTGTTTCATTTGAGATGCCTTTTTAATGTCGAACGAGCCATGCTTAACCACCAGAGCGTGTTGAGGATCAGGAGCGACGCTGTGCCTGTCTTGCACTGGACAGGAATCTAAAGCCATTTTGCGATGAGGTTTCTGTGCGCTTGTCGCATGGGAATGTCAGAGCCACTCACACTTAGAAAGGACTGAACGACGCTGCGGTTCGTTCGGACGCCGTAGAGCCACAGCATGTAGTAGATCCTGTGGGGTAATGGCATGATGAGCATTCACGTCTGCAGTGGAGTAGTCGATGAAAACGCACAGCCCAATTCGGCAGGCGAAGAACGTTGCCACCAGGCCCGCATCGTTGATGGTCGATGCAAGCGCTTGCACCCTTCCATGGTGGTTGCGCCGACGAAGAAACCAGCGGAGATTCAAGAGGGGCGTGCTGGCGTTCATGAGGAGGAACATCTCGACGAAGAAAACGCCCCTCTCCCTTTTCCGCCTCGCAAATTCGAGAAAGAGAGTGAGCAAGGAGCCCAGGACGACATGGTGGAGCTTCATGAGCCGAGTGAAGCGGATCTTGTACCTCGAATCAGCGAGGTAGGAGATAGCAGTGTCCTGGAGCAGGTAGCCCGCCTCAATAGCCACGACTGCATTGCTTCTCGCCGAACGCGACGTGATGAGATTGAGGCTGGGCAAATTCATCAGTATGTCGATAGATGATTAGAACGGGCAGGGAGACACACCTCTTCCACTTTGCATCAAAAGCGTCGCGCGCGGCTAGCGAGGTGCTGAGGACGGCATGGATTGTGCTGACGAGCTTCAGGGCCCCCTCTGCCCGGTCACTTCGCCGTCGACAGAGAAGACCGAACAGCAAGGGATAGCCGCAAAGGGCTATCCAGAATGCCGAGGGGTATCCTCTTGTTTCCTTCTCATCTGCGTCTGACGCGACAGACATCGTGGTGGTACCAAGCGTCGTGATGCTGGCTTGTGCGCTTGGTTTATCCAAACCTATCGCGCCTGCAGCTGTAAACTTTACCGCGCATCCCACGTGCGTCGAAGACAAATCTTGCCGTAGAAGGGGGAATTTTCAATGCCGTCTGCATGATTAACTTCGAGGAGTCTATGACACGACGTAGATCGCACGGCCGCCCAGCCGTCGTCATTGCCGCTCGTCTTGCTCCTGCCGATCAGCTCCGCCAACTTTGCTCCCTGTGTTCTTTAGACATTCGACCCGTCTGCTTCTAATGTGACGGCTGGCTCTCGAGCACTGCGCTCGCATCGCACGAGGCCGCGCAGACGGACCACTTCGCACTTTTTCACTTCAACGCTCTAAACCGTACAAGAAACTTTTATACACTCGTCGTCAGAGGTGGACTTCATGGTGCCGTAAATCTGGTCCCGTTTGTTGCCCTCAAACTCCGATATACTCTCCCTGAACGGGTTTCCTCTGTAGATGCATATCACTGGGGCGCTGCCGACAAGACAAAATACTCTGTAGCACAAGCGTCCCAGCAAGCACCGGATTGACTCCCACTTCCTGTGTGTCCAATCAAGCCCGATATCGCCCTCAAAACAAGTTCGCAGCACCCACACCTGTCCGAGAGCAGGATTAGCGTGGCTTCCAGGCGAGTTTTAGGGAGACATTCACTATGATATTTATGTGTTACGGTATCCTTGGGCTCTCCTCAACAATGGTCTTGAGTACCTCTTCCGCGTCGAGCCAGGAGGCTTGATTTGCAGACGGCATCCGACGAAATTGAATGCTCTCCTCTCGATTTCCCCAGATCAGGGGTCCGCCGATGCAAAGGCCGCGATTGCATGAGTTGAGCCGATCATCTCCGGCTTCGTGATTTGCAGACCGCTTTACTGACATGTCCTGGCGCTGAGAGGTGGCAGCCCGATGGGAAGTGTTATGGGCCGATCGGAATATCCTGCCTGCCACGGCAATCTCGATCACTAGGACCACGGGCATTAGCAATCCGTCGTAAAAACTCGAGATGTTCGAAGTGCTGACTGCGACAATTGCCGTATTTGCAAATAGGGAAACGAACCAGTAGACGAGACCTTGTTCGATAAAAGCAAGATAGAAGCTTGGGATCTTGATAGCGGCAGATGAAGGGCGGAGGATGTGATGCAGCCTGTACGGACCCAGCCGAACAAATTGCGCAACCATCAGGCTCACTTGCAATAGGTTGCTGGTTGTGCATCTTTCTTTCTTCAGCGAAACCCAATGCGAGCAATTGCGGCCTGCTCAACTCACTTTAACATGATAAACACAAAAGAGCTGACCACCCAGCGTTCAAACTTGAAAAAGAGGCAGTAGCCTGTTGGAGTACTAGTTGCGGCGAGCGCAAAAGGGCAAGCGACTGCGAAGCCGGCCAGTATCACTGTCGAGAGCACCGCAATGGCCAAGATCTTTCTGCTGCGATTGTAGATGGCGTAATTGCGAAGGCAAAAGATGGCATTGATACCCATCTGAGCAATGACATAGATCGCCGGGGTTACTTTGGCGTATGCGTCACAATCACCAATGCCGGGTACGAAGCCAAAGAGGGCATACATCAGACAGTACGTAAATGTACTGTATACATGCCTTTGCCGTTGCATACGCCATGAACGGCACTCTGGGACCCGTCCGGCGGATGATACGGATGTCTTCCGGTACCGCATTGATTACTTCAACGAAGGCAGCGCCGAGTGCTTGTATTGGATAATGGCTTGTCAGCCGTCCATCACTGTCGTTTGAAACACTGACATCACTAACTCACTGACAAAGAACACGACCGCGACAACCTTGCAATGTCGTACGTCGGAAGGGGGAAGATTGATGAAAGGATCATCCAGGAGGGTGGGTATACCAACTTCGGCGGCACACTTTTGTCTATCGATGGCATGTTTCGAGCGCTGTGGTAGGACGAGTTAGTTGACGAAGGGCAGACTATGGTACGGGGGCCTTTTATCAAATCGATAAAGAGCTATAGCATTCTGAAGATTTACCGGAGATGTCGACTGGACCAGAAGCAAACCGACTGCTCGGTATCAAGATTAGTCCGATAATTTTGGAGTCAAGCGCATCGGCGGGCGCTTCGTCAGTGTTCTTCTTTCTGAAATTTGTTGGTGTCACAAGTAGTGAGAATCCAGATTTCGCTTCCATGTGCAGAAAAGTGAGTGCCGCATGAACGCTAAAATGCCGTACACTCTCCTTGATAAAGTGTACCTTCACGCGTGTCTCACATTTGAACAACTCCTCGATCTCAGCACTCCATTGTTCTCAACTTCATTCCATCACGACGCGGCCACGATGGACGACAGAATCTTACGGAGGCTCTTCAAACCTACAATAGATCTCTTTCGCTGGCCCTTGAAGCTGGTTCCGACGTACGCCATGTTCTTTGGACAAGACAACAGGCCAGCAGGCATCCTTCTGTGCACGCTGTTTGCCATACTTGTCGCTGCACTCGTTGAGGCGAAGGTCAGAAAGGTGAACTCGACAACAGCGTGTAGATACACAATGTGGTGTTTCTTTGCACTAAGCGCGCTATCCATCAGCATCTGTCTGCCTATGCCCGTCCTACAGCTGTCAACTTCTCGATGTTACGCTTTGCTGACCATGCTGGTCTTACAAGCGTACTGCCTAGTCGCCGATCTCGACCTGAATACAACCTGCACCTGCCTACATCTTCTCGCCTCTGTCCAGCTCCTTCTTCTCCCAGGCACCTGGTCAAGGCTCTCTGAGCTGGGAAGGAACCATGCTAATCTGGCCTTGTTCCTCATAATCGAAGCTTTCTTTGTGTGGACCATCCTTGGTTTCTTGTGGGCAAGCCTAATCGTGGAGAGCGGCGGCGACAAGAAGAGGGGCAGTATCAAGAAGGGCAGCGATCTTTCCACCTCCAATGCTAATGCCACTCTGCAACCAAACATTGTACCGGACAACGCGAGCAAGAAGAGCGGGTCCCTTGAGCAGGGAGAGGTCAACTTCGTGGTCACGACTAGCGCTGTGAACTTTGTCCTCTTAGCTGTGCTGCAGTTCTACTGATGTAATTGCAACATAAGAAATCAAGTCCATATGCTGGAAGAATGTATTCGAGAGCTTGAGGCTGTCGATCAGTGTCTACAGAGACGTGATCACTCCTTCGGCATTGCATCTTAGCCTAAGACGCCGCCGTTGTCTTGATTGCTCAGCGGCCATAAGTCTCGTTATTGGAAGGTTGATTGCCTACCTGCACTGTTTCTTGAAAGGCACTGCTCAATCGGCGAGAAGCAAGCTGTCCCATTACCTAGAATTCCACCCAGCTGAGATCGCTTCACTCGAAGATAGACAGAAGTCGCGTGCTGCTGACGATGTAATAAGGGCATCACTTCGCTCCCTAGCGCTGAAAGTAGGAAACTTTAAGAGTCTATTTGTGTAACATTATTAGAACACAGCAATTCAAGAATGCGGATGAAATGTGAGAAGTAAGCGCGTGAACCACGCGGTCGAGGCAGCGGATAGGGGTGATGCAAATAGAAAGGAATGATTAAAGACGAATTTAGATTAGCAGCTCAGCGGGATGTGACCATGCGGTCAGGCCAGACCAGAAGAGAACGAGGACGAAGAGCACTCAGGCCCATATTCAACCGTGCAAGCATGCGGTCGAGGCAGCCGGCAGTGCACGGGGATAAGTGAGTTTGCAAGAAGACGCTGTCACACGCAACCACCCAGCTACCAAAGACGAAAGCAAGAGACATGAATCTCGTTGCCCTTGTCGCTCTCGTCACAGCGGCTAGTGCCGTAGCCCGGCCCGCAACAGGATTGGGTCGTCGTCAGGACAGCATACCTTTGGTCAAGAGCAACTCCAGCGAGGTTCACGTGGGAGACGATCCTTACGAACCCTTTGGCGGAGGCTCGCCAAACTTCCCATATGCGAGTGGCCTCAACTCCTGCAATCGAAGCCAATACTCTTTTCAGATCTTGTTCAACGCTGCTGAGATCTACAGAAACAATACCTACCGCTTCGTGCTTGGGCAACCACGCTTTACTCCTGAGGGTGAGTTGTGTTTTCGAGTGGTGGAATGACTGCTTATCGGTATTCCACAGGTCCTGTCATAGAAGGGGACAAAGTTTTTGTCGACCACACATACAACACCTCACAGATCACCCAGAAGGATGATAGTGGGGTTTCATTCTCTGGATACAGCCTCTTGTTCTTCGACATGTATCCAGGGGCACTAGCAAACGAAATCCCCAGCCACCCCTGGACCCTTAACACCGGAAACACCACAGACGGCTTTGTTCTTCCGGGCTTATATTCAGTCACTGTACGTTGTTGTCTCGGACATGGTCGCAGTGACGCTAGATCAGTCTCTAACGCTTCGTCAATTTAGGGCTATGTGACGTATGGCAACGGCACGGTTGTCAACGCGGGCTACGACAACATCACCGTGAGCTCTGACAAGAATTGCACTTCGGAATTCACGAGTACCGACTTGAAGAAGGCGACGCAGACGGACGACGCGACGTCAGCAACTTTAGGTATTGGTCTCACTGCGTCTATTTTCGGTGCTGCTCTCGCCATGCTCCTGCTCGCGTAAATTTGTGAACAGAGGAAAGGAATGGTTCTTGGTGAACTTGCAGTACTATACAACTTGGCTAGACCGTATTCATTGTACTGTATCAATTCCTCATTATTTCGCAAGCAAGAACAACTTCTCATCTGTGAAGCACAACCGGCAGCGGAATGCCTCAAGCTACAAGCTCTCTGGGCGCTTGCAGACACGAAACAGCCACTCTTGAACCCAGAACAGCGACTTTGAACCGGCGACCATCTTCATCAAACGTAGCTGCAAAAAAGCCAATCGGAGCCATCATTACTCTGCAGAGGCTGCAACACAATGGAATGCCTAGCAATACAGACGTCCAGTCAGCGAGGCACAAGCGGTACATATGAACAGGCTTACGAGTCCTCTCCGATCGTCTCGACGTTTGTCCTTACATTGGTGGGCTTCAGAGTTGCGGCGCCTCGCGGCTCGCTCAAGACGATTCTTGGAGCCGACAAGTCACATCGGTCATACATTGTCGCTCGCGACATAGATCACATGCAAAGAACCATGTAAAAGATTCAATACTCTCAGATACCGAGGGCAGTTCGCAGATTCGGAAAGTAGGGTGTGCCAAGGCCTGAGCTGGGGTCCCACCTCTTGGCGGCAGGGCTGCAGAGAGAGGTCAACACCTGGAAAGGAGCGTTGCGCTCTGGGTCAGACTCACAACCCAAGCGTGGCGTCGGCACATCCGTAGCTTCCCCCACTTGTGACGTCTGTGAGGCCAGTGGGAGTCCTGTAGAGGAACGGGTGAGCCCAGCCGAGGTTTTTCTGCCCTTTTGCTCGGCGTGCATCGTTGAGAAGAGAAAAGATGCTGGCAACCGTGGGGCACGAAGCGGAGGTACCGCTGATTCTGTAATTGTTCCCGTTTTCCGTGATCAGGTATGCGTAGCCTTGCGCGCTGATGTCGGGATAGCCTCGTCCAGTGGTACTGTAGTCACCGGCGTCTTTGGTACCGAGCACGGTCTTGTATTGCGAGACGGCTGTATTCTGGAATGTGGGGCGGGCGAAGACGTTACTGAAGCCGCCTCCGCCGTAATAGCCGGCCGTCGCTGCGGTCACAGCAACCTCAGGAGCAAAATTCACGGTAGCACCGACGGAGAGAATGTATTGGCCTGTGGAGAGGAAGCGAGGAGGGTTGAGTCAGGGCTAGCAAGTGCCGTAGACCAACTTTGGACTCACAGCCAGAGGGGTACGTGGGAACAAATGGAGGGCAGCTGTCCCCGTTGTTAGTACCTTGGCCATTGACGCCATTGTCGCCCGAAGAGAACACGATGGTTGTGCCCATGGCGGTGAGCTTCATGGCACTGTTGCACAAGACTTGTGCCTCAGTTGCACCGAAGCCAGCCTCGTCCGATCCATACGAGACCGAATAGACACCTGGGCTGCCGTATGCTTGATAGTTGTTGATGATGTCAGTGAAGGCAGCTTCGAAGATGTCGCCACCGTTGTCCGTCGCAGTGCCGTAGTTGTAGTAGACAGACTTCAGCGGGTACGTCTGGGCGACGACGGTCTGAACGTCCAGAGTGGCCTCGTCGCCAGGATTTGCGGGGTCGTTGACCGCATTTTTTGCTTCAATGACGGGCATCACGTAGGTGGCAGCGTCGGGCCTGAATTGCTGCAAGTATAGGGTAAGATCGGCTTGCGAAAAGCCTGTATGTACGAAAAAGGAAAAGGTGGTCGGTCAATATCAAGTAGAAGAGGTCGTGATAGGCGGGCAGCGGTACGCACTTTGGCCGATGAAGCCAGCGACGAGGATGTCTGTGTTGGCGCCCCCCGTGGGAGTGTAGGTGTTGGTCCCGTAGAGCTCTCGCAAGCAGGTCGGGGTCACTCTGTTGGCGACACAATCGGGAGGAGCCGTAGCAGCACGCTCCTCGAGCTCAAATCGCTTGGTTGCTGCAGTGGTGAGGTTGCCTTTACCTGGACCGGTAGTAATCTGGAAGAAGGACGCCAAGGGCTGAACAAGGCTGCGCAGAGAGGATATTAGGGAGTGAGGACAGTAAGACCAGAACGTGAGTCGCTCACCTTACAGAGCTGGAGATCTGGGCTGGAATCGTATAGCTTGTAGTACGAGGGAGTACCGTGCCGTCAGGGTTGCTGTATGAAGCGAGGCTGGCTGAGAAGAGCTTGGAAGCCTGAGCAACCGTTGATTTGACAGTAATTTGATCTTTGAAATTATTGTAGCTGATTGCCGAGTCAGCGATGCCCTGGGCTTTTAGGTAGCTCTGTACTGTGGCCAAGGTAGCGTTGGTTGGCGAAGCGTAGGCGGCCACCTCTGCCTCGCTCAAGGCAATGGCACCATTCTGGTCCAAGCGAGATGCCAGTCCGGCTAGGTTTGCGCTATTGAGGTGAAGGGTGAAGGAGAAAGGCGTGCTGCCCCTCGCCGATCCAACGTGCCTCCAGGAAGACGGGATCTTTGGTGCCTTGATCACTTGGCCGCTGGTAGCTGAGCTGGGGGCGGCTAAGCTTGAGCCGGACAGCGACAAAAGCGCACAAAGTGCAAGAAAGTTGACACCAAGCTTCATTATCGGACGGTACGAGGGGGGGACAGGATGAGCGGAAGGCATCAAGCCTCATCGCATCCTTTTTAAGATCAAATTTATCACGATTTGTGTCCCGGAACGCATCGACCAGGACAAGAGGGTAGTCGTTGGGCCGAGACTCATGATTACACTGTGAAGAGTGGTACGGGTCATCTGGCCCTGCATACTCTCAGAGACTGGGACGGAACCGAATGGCCTGCCAGCAAAGTCTCGTATGATTGCATGCAAGCACGATACCCGATTGATTGACAGTAGCACAATGCGGTCTGAAAGCGCAGGCAAGAGCGGCACAGCGTGGGACATTGAATTTGGACGCGTTCCGCAGGCAGAGCGCGCGGTAACGGCTAAAAGCCGCAACGACCCCGCTTTCTAAGCCACGAAGCTGCACGACGAAAATGTTTTCGATCCCAGCAAGCCACCGGACGTGGCCGAGGCGTACCAAATTATTTCGTGATCGGCAAAACAACAGTCTTCCGAGCTCGTTCCTGGCTGACAAAGAAGGATTATCGGGAAGGACGACGCTCATCACCGACTCCTGCTCCTCGCCTAATTGAGAGTGCGCCTAGAACCTATCCCATTCCCGACTTAGCGCGGGTGTTTCTGGCTTGTTCTGTCTCTCTCTCAGTGACAGCGGGTCTCTGTGACTCGCTGTCTCCCCACAAGGGGTGCAGACGACAGTCACACACTGGAACATGTCGTTTCGTGAAGCGCATGAGGTGCTCCGAGTCGTTCTTGTTACAATGCAAGCCTAGCTGCCCATTTCTTATTATAAGCAGCACCCGCTTTCTGAAGGGGCCACCTCGAATCCCTTTTTGTTGCACCTTTCACCTGCACTCCTACTTCCGCGTCAAGATGATTCTTCAACGCCATGCTGTTGCCTTTGCACTGCTTGCTGTTTGGCTGGCGCTGAGCTTGCCCAACGTGGCTGCTGCTCGCGACCGAGATGTGAATCTTCAGCGGCGCAACCACCCCACCACCACAACGTATACACAGGAAAAGTGCTACACAAAGGTTGCGAGTACGAAGAAGAAGCATGTCCACACCACCACACTGTACTCGACGACTACCTCGACGGTCTCTGTCACGGTAAAGTCGACAGGCAGCACTACTACGGTGACACCTTCGCCGACGACTGTCACCTCCACTGCCACTGCAAGCACGACGACGACTAGCACCAACTTAGCAGTCACTGACACGTGAGTGCCTTCGATCTACTACCCGACGAGAGGAGAGGCGGAGATCATCTGCTCTAATGACTGCGAGAGCCACAAGATGGCTTACATGTAGATTCCTTCATCAGGTTCACCAACACCATCACACCAACGGCCACGACTACTTCAACCTCGACGGCCACGAGCACCAGCACTTCTACGGCGTCCACTACGACGGCAACTACAACCACAAGCACATCCACAGTTCCGGCGCCTGCTGGCTTCACTCCTGCCGCCAGCCAAGTCGCCTCGCTTGGATATCAGCCAAACCAACGCCGAGCACTTGACTCTGCGCTAGGCAAAGCGCAGGTCAAGCGCCAGGCAAAGGCTCCAAGCCTCTTGGCTCGTATGCCGGTCATCAAGAAGCTGTGCAAGTCCTACCCCCAGTCGGTGACGTGCAAGGAGCTCATCGAAAAGGTCGTCCACGTCACAACCACAGTGTCATCCCCCTCGACCACAACGGTCACTGCACACAGGCCCACATCAACTGCTACGACGACGACGACGAAGACGATTACCTCGACCGTGGCGCCTCCTGATGTCAGTACTACTGTCACTACTACGGCACCTACCTCGACTTCCACCGTTACCACTTCGACAACAACAACGACCACCACCACCACCACCACCACTCAGACACAGACGACAGTGGCCACAGCCACGTCTTATGCTGCTTGCCAGACCAACAATGTCATCAACAAGATCAGTGGCCAATACGTATTCAACATCTATCCAAGCGACGACAGCGCAGTCATCAACACTGGACCATCAAATGCAGCGTCAGACTGCTGCGTGGCTTGTCAGCAGGCCGGCTGCAACGCCTGGGAGTTCTTCAACGCAGACCAGGTTGACTATGGAAACCAGTGCTATATGATCAGCGATACGACTTGCCCTGCGCCGTACGAGGTGGACACTGATCCCAGCCTCGCCGCAGACGAAGTGGGGACATTTGGAAACGGCGCCTGTGGCCAGGTGCAGACGATTGTCCGGGATTGATTACACTGTACTTTCTTCTGTCGGTGCTCGACTCGTCGACCCGAAATAGATACGTTGCTTGCAAATGCACACGCTGGGCGTGGATGAAGGGGAGACTCTTATAATTCTTGCTCAGAAGAAATGAGCCGCTAGCCAAATTTGGATCGGGCGATTAGCAGCTCTCTCGCACGGGCCAGAGTTTAGAATCTCAGCGGAGGGTTCCCCGAGCGGGGCTCTTCGCGCAGTCGATCGTAATCACGCTACCAGATCTGCACCACCACCACCACCACGCGGCGCTCAGGATGGACACCATCGCAACTGCTTTCTTCGACCATTCCGAGGCCCGGCGCATCAACACGAATGCCGTCATCAGCCGTGCGCTCAGGGAGCAGCACCCGACTTCGGCGCTGGTAACCGTGTCTATACCGAACTGCAATCTGCTCGACTATGCTACCGGCACAGGAAAGGCCTCCTTCTGGCCGCTCGAGCAGGGGAAGAGCGACCTGTTACTGACTGAATACACCCCTCCTCCGCATCGCACGGAAGATGGAAGCATCCAAGACACGGCTCTGTTTGCCAAGTACGGATACAGGTGGGACGGTTGTGACTTCCTCCTCTACCTTTTGGAGGGCCGCGATGGTTCGGCCTCCTATCCTCAGCTCCGCTTTGCCTACCTATTGACGCCGCAGCGCGAGAAGGCCGAGGCACTGGTCTATGCAGCGGGCAGGTGGACCAGTGAGCTGCATGACGAGGTCTGGGTCTTTGACAGTGGCTACTGGCAAAAAAGTGCCCAGCTGTTCGCGAGCATACGTAGCGCGTCGTGGGACGACGTCATCCTCGACGCCAAGATGAAGCAGGATCTCATTGACGATCACATGTCCTTCTTCCACTCAAAGGAGCAGTACCGAAAGTTCAAGGTGCCGTGGAAGCGAGGGGTGATCTACTACGGTCCTCCGGGAAATGGAAAGACGATCAGCATCAAGGCGATGATGCACGCACTGTACAGCTTGAAGGACCCGATTCCTTCCCTGTACGTCAGGTCGCTCTCTTCGGTGAGCATTGACTTCTTTATGTTTGTGCCAGAAGGGTCAGACTCACATCTGCGAAAGGCTGCAGGCCCCGAATATGCAATCAAACAAATCTTCGAGAGGGCCCGCCAGACAGCACCATGCTACCTCATCTTCGAGGACTTGGACTCGCTCGTGTCGGACAGAGTAAGGAGCTACTTTCTAAACGAAGTCGATGGCTTGAAGGCAAACGACGGCATCTTCATGGTGGGCAGCACCAATCATCTCGATCAGCTTGATCCGGGAATTGCGGTACGTGCCACCCCTCCTTCTTTTGGGGGACATATGCTAACACCGGATCACCAGAAACGGCCCTCGCGCTTCGACAGAAAATACCTCTTCTCGGACCCCAACAAGGAGGAGCGCATCGCATACTGCCACTTCTGGCAGAGAAAGCTGCGCGACAACAAAGACGTTGCGTTTCCAGATATCCTGTGCGACGCCATCGCCGGTATCACCGACAAGTTCAGCTTCGCTTTTATACAAGAGGCTTTCGTCGCCGCGCTTCTGGCCATTGCCCGCCACCGTCGAGAAGACAGGGTGCCTTGTAACGACGAATCATACGTTTCTGTGGGAGATTCTGGCAGCCAAAGGGAGGCGTTTGTCGAAGATCTTGCCGACGATTGGGTCGACGTGTCCGCAGTCGTCGACCTCGACAAGTACATCCTCTGGAGGGAGATCAAGAAGCAAATCAAGTCGCTGCGCAAAGAATTCGATCCGGACGCCTCTCCCCCGTGATGATGGCACCCTTGACGTCGTCTCCTTTTTCTGCCTGCTTTCGAGCGTTGAATCTAGCTACTTCTCGAATTGCAGACTTCTCCTGACCCAGAATCGAATTATGAATCTACTACTACTACTCTAGGGCACTTATTACAAGTCATCGACTGAAGAGAGTAATGCGGCGTTGCTGCTTGACCTAGCATTGATGCTTCGAAATCAAATCATGGAAATTCGACTCGGCCTGTATTATAATTATTAGCGCGCAGGATTCGGGTACGCTGAGCGCTTATACTAAGTCGACGTGCATGGGACTCCGTATTCCAGGATCGAAGTTGTTGCTCACAGAATAACCTTAAATCGAGGGAGTAAGCTCGACCACGAGATCGTGACTAATCAGGTACCAGTGCGATGCAGGTAACACGAAGCGATGAGATCATCGAATGATTCTAGATGCTTGGCGCATGTTGCATGATGACCGCTGTTGCAGACCGCTGTTGCTTAAAAGACGGGGTGCTCCCAGAGCTCTACGGACCTCGACGTCGAGCTTCCCAATCGATACCAAGCGACTCAGTATGATCTGCTCGCTCTATTGGGCTGTGCTCCTCATCTCGTCTGCTCTTTGGTCGCAGTGCTACGTGTCCGGCTACATCAATGTGACATATCCGACTTCCGCAGCGGGCTGGTGAGTCAGAAGAACAGAGATTGCCCGACTCTTTCATTTATCTTACGCCGCCTTAATTCTTGCAGGATCGCTGGAGGAGAAAATCGCATCTTTTGGACAAATGCAACTGTTGACGTTGCACAGTACAGAGAGAGCGGCTACACGATACCTGATGTCATTGCTTTCAACATGTCTCTCCTCCCCACCCAAGGCTGTCAGGGGTCCTGTCCTTCTTTTGAGGCAGACTACGGGCCCTTCTATGGTGCAGAGAACCACTCCATGATTCAGCTGCCAGCTGAGGCGAGCGGAGGGGTGTACCACCTACAGTTCAGCACGTACATGCCTTCGTCTGCCAACAGGTCGGCCCCAGTCGTTGTCGTCCAAGGCTTCAGCGATAACTTCACCATCCAGCACGATCCGACTTCCCAGCCATTGAAACCCAACTTCCAAAGCAGTGGAAGTATGCCGTTGCTTTCACCCCGCATGACACTTGCTCTTCTTTCTGCCGGCGCATCTCTTTTAAGTCTCCTCTGAACGCCCGACAATATGATACTTCCCTGTGGTTGCCCGTCGCAATATCTCATGTTTGAAAAGTGACTAGTGCACAAGCTGACGTCTTCTCCGTCACGAGCGCACAGCTGCCACAATCCTCAAACTATGTGCTCCGACCGCGTGATCTCACACATTCTGCTCGATGTGGACAATGATTGCCTCTTCAGCGCGTCTATGGTTTCACCACGCTCACCCTCAGTCGGCTCTTGTGGTAGGCTGTACAAATCTGCCTAGTGTGCTGCAGATACGACCAGCGGATAAATGAGGCAGTGTGCGGCTACCGGTACTTCCTCCGCGCGTGTCTCTTAATTCTTCTGCTGAGGTAGAGACCTCGTGCTGATTCGGAATACGGTGTTCACCACGATTGCACAATACAAGTCTGCCACGGTACTCAGCGACTTCTCAGAATATCTTGAAGCTGAGGTTCTAGCCAGAAGCCCTCAAATCAATCAATCCCTTTCCTGGTCATGCTTTAGCTGTATTTATCGTTTCTCTCCTTCGCACCGTGCTCTGCACAGCCACGCCCCGCGGCTTTCCCGGCCGCGGAAAGAGTCTGCAGCCCTGCTGGCTATGGTGGGGAGGCTGTGCATACATGTACAATTGCCGAACTTGAAAAGTACCATGTTGCAAGGTAGTCCTAAATCACTCAAGATCTGAGGTGCAACACGCCGCTACCTTAACAAATCGCATCGAGGCGCGGGTAACGACGACCGCAAGGTCATCTCGATTTGGGCATTAATTCAAACCCTATCCAAGGCAGCCCTCATGGGCCTAATCTAATGCTGATTGAGTTCACAATCACAGAAAAGGCACTGCAGGAGCAGGCATTATCATGCTGGCAGAAAAGAAAAGTAATATAAAGGGGAAAAGCAGACCGAAGAAAAAAAGTGACGCCCAGCTAACATGACGCCCGATTCAAATGAAGGCGTTGTAAAGACGCGCCAGATTTCTATTTAACGCGCCTTAATCATTTGAAGAGGCCTTCCAGGGTTATTCAGGTATGGTATGAAACCATCGGACCACGCGGTCAACGCTTCAGAGATAGCAATCGTCTTGCACGGCTCTCCTGCCTGTCGAGGGACAATCCCTCTCTGCAACTTGGCGCAGCATATTGCTTTGATGAACTTTTGAGAGGGGAGCGTATGAGGAAAGTACAGAGATAAAAGGAGAGACAGAACGACACCATGACCTCGAATTCACAAATCCTCCCAACTCAGAGACGCTGCTGTGCGGCGTTCTCACGATGCGTTTTCTCGTTTCTCTTTCGTCTCTCGTTTTTCTGGCAACGTCTGTGACGTCTCTACCCTACCACGAGCCCCAAAGCTACAACTTGAACTCTCGCGCCAGCAGGTCTGGCATCTTGTGCGATGTCAACTTTCGTTCTGGTACTGAGTACGCCGAATGCGGAAGTAAAGAATTAGGATACGACGCGACAGGCAACAAACTAGTCCCGTATAACCCCAAACGTAGGTGACGACTGAGGTTGTTCCTCCTCCTTGAGGCTCAACCATTACTTTTTATTAGAAACCGGGGCCACCACGTTGCCGGGAATGGATTGCGACCACAAAATCGAGCTCGATCAAATTTTCTCTCTTATCAAAACTGCCGTAGCAGACGCAGGGCAGCCGCTCGATGGCTGGTGTAAGGCGCATAAAAAGCAGATGGAAGCGTTTCGAAAGATCGCAAACTCGTCTAAGAACCTGATTAAGGTACCCAGGAAAGTGAACCAAGCCAAAAAAGCATTCACGTACAAGGAAGGCACGGGTGATTCGATTGCTTTTGACGCCAATATCTACCGTGCCCTTGATGGTTATATGGAGGAGTACGTCAACAAGGACATATCGGACAAGCTCAAAGAGCTCGGAGAAGGGCTTCGGACCTTGGATCCAGCCGTCTTCACACAGGACGAGCTGGACAAGTGGGGTAAAACTGTGACGAGTACGGGTGTAAAAGTACAGGAGGCAGCTGCGAAGAAGGCGAAGAGCAAATGCGGTCAACCGTCGAGACGTAGTCTTTTGGGTGGTATAATCGGCAAATTCCTGGGCAAGAGGCAGGCGGGTTGCTCGAAAGACGGTGGCCGTGACTCTAGCAACGCTAACGGAGGCGACGGAGCAGGTCCTATCAAGACACCAGTGCCCGTCCCTCCAGCACAAGCAGCTGCGGAGGCGCTAGCTTTCTGTGCCTTGCAGCCTGAGGTCTGTGCTGCAGTTGGCGGTCTCGCAGCTGTGCGTGCGCAAATCCTTGCAGGCACTTTCATTCCACCTCTAAAAGATGGCGACTCGAGCAAGGGCGTTCTCACCTCGACTAAAGCGCAAAGTTCGCAGTCGAAGACGGGTTCAGGCCGCCAAACGGGCAGCAAGGCTTCCACTACCCACACTGCGTCAAGATCCCACCAAACGTCGAGCAAGGCCAGAGCCGGCACATCTACAAGCGCGATGTCAAAAGCTCGTACGTCTACCTCCCACACCGGCGTGCGAAGCACCGAAAAGACAAGCACGTTGAGGTCGAGCACTGTTAGCCATGCTTCAAAGACGCCTGGCACAAGATCGGGCGTGAAGCCGACCAGTGCGACAACAGTCAAGTCGGCCAGTCTAGCCAATATCCCACATTCGAGCAAGCATTCCACCACCACCCTGTCGTCCTCCGCCTCTGTCAACCCGTACTCTGCCGCCGTCAGCAATCTCCCTGAGCACACTGCATCGAGCAGCTACTTTGCTTCAATGTCCTCTGCGCATGCTTCGCAAGCGTCGGCTGGGTCGATAGCCTCCTTGCAGTCTATTTCGGCCGCGTCCGCCGCAGCACTAAGTTCTTCACAAGCGCAAGCGTCGCTATCCGCTGCTGCTATCGATTCTTCTGCACGTTCCTCTGCGAGTGCTTTGGAAGCGTCGCTATCCGCTGCTGCTATCGCTTCTTCTGCACAGACCAAGGATCAGCCGCCCAATACAACGCAGCCCGGCTACACCCCGAGTGGATACCACTGCCGGTGGATGTACACGAGTCTTTTTCACTCATATCAGGAATGGGTCTGCAAGAGCGATGACGACATGCCTCATGCGCCGGAGGGACACATAACTCCAATTAAGAAGAGGCTAATGCTGCCCAGGGCAACATCGACACCTTACGACGTTCAACCACTCACTTTCTCGAGCACCACCACTGAACTTTGATTCACTCAGTGCCCTAAGTTCCAAACGACCTGAGAATATTGTTTTCGAGCTCCATTATTTTTCTCGACGGTATCGTACTTTGCTTCTATCGAGCTCCCTCACCTTTCTCGCCAAAGTGTGGCACTGAGTTTCCTAAAGTATGTAGGTGTTATCCCTATCGTTACTTGTTCAGATGAATCAACCTCTCGTTTCGTTTTCTTTTTTGTACGGTAGCGATGAGTTTCATATACTGCGCAGCGGCCTTTGACACATTTAAGGCGCAAGAGAGCTTCGTTGTAGGCAGTGTCGCAAGTAGAGAGTAAACGCCATGATCCGTGTTCTTCACCGTACGTACCTCTCTTGATGCCAACCACAGTGATCTTACCACCAGAGCTCTCGTGGGCAAAATTGGGCTGAGCGTGACTCGAGCTGCATGTGGTTGCTCAGGAGAGTCTTGGAAAATGATTTAGGGTCCTCACCAGTCGGGAGGACAGGACTTTCCGGAAGTCAGAGCAATCGGCCCTTGCATGTTGATTCTCTTGAAGCTCCTTTTCCGTCATTGCCACGTCTTCAGCTGCGCTTCCCTCCGTTTTTGCAACCTTCTCGCTTTCTTCAATTTATGTGATCATCAGATAGAAGCCTCTCTGGCACCTCTATGAAGTCCAAACTGCTCCCGCAGTGGTATCACGAAGTTCCATCGATTATAGATTACGAACAGGGGACAACTAGGCCAAGACGACACACTTGCTCAGACCGTAAAGTGACACTCGATGAAATTTATGAGGGCCCACTTAGTGTCTAGATTAGACAATAACATTGTCATAATTATGCTCTGAAGATGAAGGGGTGCTTTTGCTTCTCCCTCTCGTGCAAGCTTCTGCTCTTTACGAGCGTGTCCACCGCAACCCTTGAAATACGGCGTGACAGAGATCCTCGTCATCGGCTAACCAGCTTGCAAGTATCTCTGCGGTGAAGATCTCACCACTTGCAGCCTCGTCATCTGCTGCCTTGCGCAGCTCCTGAGACCTTTCGTGCACCTCGTTTCCCGAGCAGCATCCTTGTAGTATGCTTTTGAGATCTGCGACGGCGTCAGTGTTGAAGACAGCATGTGGCTTCTCCTTGTCGTACGAAGCACAGTGCGCCAAGATCGACCTGACCTCTCTGCTCCAATGCCAATGAGACACGTCGACATCCTTATTTTCGCTTGGCAGATCCAGTGCAATCCAGCAAGGCAACATCTCTGCAACTCGGAGCAGTTCCGCGTCCAGCACCGTGACTGACCGTAGTGAGCCTTCCGTCAGACCTTTAATGATTGCAAGGCATGTTAGCCTCAATCTCCGCTCCGACTCGTTTGCCTTCTCGTCGGTGCCGATGTACGTCACTCCCAGTCCGTTTCGACGCAAAGACAGAAATGGCACTGGCTGCCGCCTCTTGTTTGGCCGCTTCTTACTTTCAAAGATTGATGTCTTCGCATCAAAGACGTAGAAGATGTTCAGATGTCGGACGCTGTCTGGGAGCTCGTGCAGCGCGCTGTCTCGCGCATCTGACCAAGCCAAGAATCCAATCACTCAGCATCGGTGAGCGACTATTAAACCACGGCCTGTCTAACACCCACCTTGGTGATCGTCGTCAGAATACAACGTGACCCGTTCAACCTTGGAAAGATTCGACAGGAGCAAGGGCGGGACAGGGATGAACATTTCGTTGTAGTCGAGAATCTTGACGTTGCTTGCGCGTGAGGATAATCGCACTAGTGCGTCTGCCACGTCATTTGGACTCGAAAAGCCTGGCACATCGCCCCATCCGTCAGGGCCTACGAGAATGCGATCGGGTGAGCAGGCTGGGAAGGTCTTGAGCCGGAAGCACTCACCTTCCGTGATCCGACTGAGGCCATCCCACGAAGGGTACATCATCTCAAGAAGGTCCTCATCAGTCCTATCCGGATAATCCTGTCGATACTCCGGTAATTCGACTCTCTTGATCAACTCCCATCTGTCCTGGAAGAGCCAATCCTGCATTCTACCGAATTTTCCGTGGGCTTCGTTGTGCTGCCGCAAGTATTCCTCACCGCCCAGATCATCTTCACGACAACTGTCCATCCACGAAAAGAAAATGTGCTCGATCAAGGGTCCGTACACATCGTCATGGGTGGCGAGGAACTTATCAACAAGGTATATATCCTTGACGTGGCACAAATCGATCTTGGCCCACAGCCGGGGCATGAAATGTCGCCTTAGTCTTCGGTTGACCTGCGTGAGATTAGCGACCCATCGCAGCTCGTCGTCAAGCTTCCGCGCATAATGTATGGGAGGCACTCGCGTCAAGGTGTGTATTTCCAAGTACTCGCCCAGCTCTCCGTAGACGATCAAGCTGGAACAACGAAGGGGACATGGGTTAGCTGGTATGTTGTCATGTCTGGGTTCGACTCACTCGAGAAGCTCGCTGGGCAGCTCCGCAAAATTGACCATTGCGTGTGTCTAGTTGTGGAAAGAAGAGAAGTTGCAAGACGTGCGCCGTGCCTTTACTTTCACTTAGCCACGCGCCGCGGCACCTCACGAGTCTCAAATTGGCGGCGGGAAAGGGGTTCTAATTTTGTGTTTTCGTGCATGTGGGCGTCGTCCTCCTTGGCTCCCTCAATTGTATCACAAAGACTCAACATTTACCGATTTTGAAAGTCGTGACCTAGACCTGGACGACGCATTGAACGCCTCACGGTCCTGCTCAGCTCACAAAGCGACAATGAGGAAGCTCGATGCGAAAGTGATTTCTGTCTCGAGTTGACCATGTTCATGTCACTACTCTGCTTCAGAGAGGAAGGTAATCGGGTATTGTACTGTACAGTGCAATGCGCCTTCTCCCTTTCGTGTAAGTATCTGCCCTCTACGCGCGTGACCACTGCATCCCTTGATATACGGCGTAAGAGAGGTCCTCGTCATCGGCTAACCAATTTGCAAGTATCTCCGCAGTGAAAATCTCATCACTTGCAGCCTCGTCATTTGCTGCCTTGCGCTGCTCCTGACACCTTTGTTGGACCTCTTTCGCCGAGCCGCATCCTTGAAGTATGATTCTGAGATCGACCACGGCAGCGCAATTGAACAGGATAGGTGGCTTCCGCCCGTAGTCGGTAAAGGCACGCGTCGTTTCATATCCCCAACCTAATTCGAGGTCCTCCTTTCCCTTGTTCGGTAGGTCCAGCGCGATCCAACAAGGCAGCATCTCTGCTATTCGCAGCATTTCAGCGTCCCACACCTTGACTGATTGCAGCGAGCCTTCCGTCAATCCCTTTATGATTGCACCGCACGTTAGCCTCAGTCTCCGCTCCTGTTCGTCAGCCTTCTCGTCGGTGTCGACATACGCCACTCCTAACCCTTCCCGACGTAAAGACAGGAATGACGCTCGTCTCCGTCTCGTATTTGATGTCTCTTGTGGCTTTGCGCAAAAGATATACATGATGTCCAGATGTCGGACATTGTTCGGAAGCTCGAGCAGCGCACTGTCTCGCACATCTGACCAAACATCCACAACAGTGAATATCGACAAGCAATTTTGTGTTCTTCCTCCTGTCACCACTCACCCTGATGATTTATATCAGAGAATAGTGTGACCTCCTCCAACTTATCCATATTCGAAAGGAACGAAGGAGGGACTGGAATGTAGTGTTCGTTGTAGTCGAGAATCTTGACGTTGCCTGCGTACGAGGATACTCGCACTAGCGCGTCTGCCACGTCGTTTGGACCCGAGAAGCCGGGCACATCGCCCCATCCGTCAGGACCTGTGAGAATGAGCGGGTTAGCAGGATGGGGGTCGTCCAGACGGCGAGCACTCACCCTCTGTGATGCGACTGAGGTCATCCCAAGAAGGGTACATCATTTCAAGGAGATCCTCGTCAGTCCTGTCCGGGTAGTCTCGTCGATAATCCGGTAATTCGACCTTCTTGATTAATTCCCATCTGTCTTGAAAGAGCCAATCTTGCATTCTACCGAACGTTCCATGCTCGTTCATATACACCTCCCCACCAAGCTCACTGCCTCTCACCGGATCCTGCCAGGAGAAGAGGATGTGCTCGATCAAGGGCCCGTAGACGTTTTCGTGAGTGGCCAGGAACTTATCGACGAGATACAGATCTTTGACGTGATACAGACTGATCCTGCCCCACAGACGAGCCAGAAAATGTCCCCGTAGCCTCTGATTGACCTGCGCGAGATTGGCGATCCAACGCAATTCGTCGTCGGGCTTTCGAGCGTAGTGTATGGGCGGCACCCGCGTCAAGATGCTCTCAAAAGAGTATTCATTTTCATCTCCGAAGACAATCAGACTGAGTCCACCAATGTTAACATTAGTAAGCTCAGCACCGTTCACACCTGAACTCTACTCACTCGAGAATCTCGCTCGGTAGCTCTGCGAAGTTTGCCATTGTGTTTGTCGGGATGTGGACAGAAGGAGGAGTTGCGAGAGGTGAGCCGTGCAATTCTTTTAGACTTCCATTTAGTCACGCGCCGAAAGAAGCAGGCACCTCGCCAGTCAGATTTACGGCGGGACAGGGAGCTTTGAATTCTCATGCATGTGGGCGTCGTGTTCGGTCGTTTCAAGGCAGTGCAATTCAAACAGGAACATAATGCGAGAGCCGTATCTTCTTTAGACTAATATTGCCCAATAGCGAGCACTTCGCTCTCTTCCACCCGCGTATGATAGAGAATCAGCAGAATACGTCCATTGTTGTGAACAAAAGTTGCGAGAATCATTCTCGGCCACGCTGCTCGCCTTTCGTGGGTCGCATTGCTTAATTGCATTTTGAGAACCTCATCACTAAGTACAGTACATGTACTGTACAGTACGGTATTCGTTGCTGGAATTCATTTCGAACGGCTCGGCAAAGAGCAGTACTCAACCACGGATAGATAAATCACGAAGCGACCGCGAGGTCGGAGTCGAGGTAGTAAATGAAATGCAGAGCCTCTTGCATTCTAAAAATTATTAATGAAATTAGGCTTAGTAATGATAGCTTCAGACTTGGCGATAAAAACTGGACCTCGCGTTTTTTGGACCTCGCGGTCGCGAGCCCAGCTTCTCGAGCCGATGCTCTGCGGCAGTGGTGGGCAAATTTTCCCCGAAAGCAGAGCGTCACAGGCGTCTAAGACCTGGGAATGCAGCAGCGCACCGGGCAGAAGATACGTGTGTCAGAACTGGCCTTGCCGAGGGGCCTGAACTCTTGCATGCTCTGACATTCTTAATGCCCTTGTTGCTCCTCGTGAACCTATATCCGACGGAGATTATCCAAAAGAGCATTGTTACTTTAGACAGGACTGCCATTGCAGCTCGGCCGCTCCTTGACAAGGCTGCTCGTGGATAGATTGAGGTGCATGGCCCTGACTCCTTCTTCAGCTCCTTCTGCTCAAAAGCGTCGGCAGCGCAAAGCCCATCGATTGACCCTGATCCTTTAAGGGTGGAAGAGAAAGTGAGGAAAGGCGTTGATTGGAAGGACTACAGGCGTTGCAGGATGCAAGCTTCTATATAGCTGCAACGCTCTACTATCATTTCTGCTGCTACTTGCGCGTGAAACTTATGCTAGCATCACTTCTAATAGCGCTTGCGGTGACCGAGGTCGATATACGTTGGTAATCTTGAGGCCGGCCTTGGTAAATAGCGTGTCGAACTCAGTCAGAGTACGTTCTGTTGCCTGCAGACTGGCAGACATCTCGAAGTCCAGCCGTAAGACCAAATTAGACGCCTGCGACCTCGATTGAAGGAGGCTACAGACTATCTGTCAGAGCTGTAAAGTAGGCAGCAGCAGCGAGAACCACTCACGGGTAAGATGGATCTTGGGCAGCAGCACGAGTGGCCGGAGGAATGAGGGCATCGCTGTGGGACGCTTGTCAGGAGGATTGAGGTGATGACTGCTGCTCACTGGCACATACATGATGATGATCTTGGAGTTAGGACCCATGACAGCGGCCTGCTGCTTCAGCAAGGCCACAGCACGCTCGTCAGACCAGTCGTGCAGGATCCAGCGAAGCATGTATATGTCCGCCTGCTTTCGCGGCTGCACCTCAAAGAAGTCGACGGCGTCAAATTCAACATCCGCCCCAGGCAGGTTCTTGTCGAAGTTTTCTTTTGCCGCCGGCACGATCTCTTCGCGGTCTTGAAGCACGCCTTTGAGCGTTGGATTATTCTTGATGATCGGCAAGAGCATGTGTCCAGGGCCCCCACCGACGTCGACGACGACGCCTCCGGGCCGTATCGACTCCCAGGGATAGTCGGCTAGGATACCCAGAACACCGATACTGCCGATGCCCTTGAGCGCATCTGCAAAGGCATTGGCATACGGCAGGTGCTCGTGGCCGACCCAATCCCAAAAGTCGCCGTAGCCCTTGTCGGAATACCGCCAAGCGGCATTGGCGGCCGAGTCGATTTGCTCAAAGGACTTGGACTTGGCCGGATCTTTCCAGGTCTCGGCCACCTTGCTGGAGTAGCCGAGGGAGTACCACGTCTGAAATCGAATCCACTGCTTGATGGGACTGGCGCCGAGGATCAGCTTCGATGAGCGGTTGTTGGCAAATGTCCCCTCGCGGACCTCTGCAAAGATGCCGTCATGGGCCAGTAGTCGAAGTGCATGAGAGACACGGGCTGGGTGACTGTCGATCGACTTGGCAATCTCGTCGACGTGAAGCTGGCGTTCGGGCGACGACTCGATGACATCTGCTATGCCAGTCTCGGCAATGAAGCTCAAGGCGGCTGAAGTGTGGTGGGCCAACGACTCCGATAGCAGATGCTCGGCTGGGTTCTGGACCAGACTGGACATCTGTCCCAGCGCAGCCACGAGCTGCGATCTGGCGTCGAACAAGTCCTTCGAGACCAGCAGCGAGGGGTCGTCGAGCGGATGGAGGTCCGAAGAAGTGACCTCGGGCATCCCCATGCCATCGAGCGCGCTTTCAAACTTGGAAAACTGCGACAGAATCACCTGCTTCAGCGCAGCATACTCAGACTTGATGTCGGCCATGGTCAGGGAGCAGCAAGAGAGGGGTGGTAGTGGTGAAGCAGAGGCCAGCACGTATACACAACCGAGCCCCACGGGCCTCGGTGGGGCCAAAAAGGAGCACGCGGTCAAAGTGGAGCAAGGATAAACTAGTTCGTTTTTCTTATCTTGTCGACACGCGTTTATTTCTTTTTCGGTGCGTCACCTCGGAGCCAGGAACAATCCAGTTGTACGGACGGTTTCATGAGGAGCTTGCTGTGAAGCTTCCACGAGGTCAGACGACATGTCCGACATATAAGAGCCTCCTCTGGGTCGGACATGCCTGGGAATATTCCTTACTGTCTCTCTCGCAATGTCGGATGCCCAGGAGGTCGCCCACGCGTCGGTCACTTATGCCACCTGTCTGACGGCCATCCTTGCGTGGGACTGGCTCAATTACTTGCCCAGCGAGTACAAGTACCTTTGGGGGCCCCTGTTTCGTGGCGACGCGCACAAGCGCAGGAGAAGTCTTGGAGAAAAGGCGCTGGCGTACGTCTCTTGCGGCCTCTTCCTTGTCGTGCGATACTTTGCCCTGCTGGAATTCGCTCTTTTCACTTGGTCCATCAATGCTACCGTCAGTCACGAGCAGTGTCAGAAGTTTCAAGGTGAGCTCGAGAGCTCTTGTACTCGTTCGTCAAGAGGCTTCAAACTGACACAGACGACACAGCGATCTTCCCCTACCTGTCAAACCTAGTCGCCCTCGCCGCCAACGCCATCATGGCGCTCCGTGTGGTCGCCTTGTACGAGCGAGACAGAAATCTCAGCATCTTCCTGTCGGTTAGTCTTGCCACTGTGGCTGGTGTCACCCTGTGGGGCTCGAGCTTCACAGAAGCGCAAGAGGGCATTCCAAGCTGTGTGAGTGATATGAACCCAACCGTCGTGTCGCATCATGCTAAGTCTTTTGGAAAAGATTCCAAACGCAACGAGTCGAAACTTCAATGCGCTCTACATCTCCGTGGCTTGCTACGACGCCGTCCTCGTCGCCTTCACGATTGGCCGCTACTTTTTCTTGCGACGGAAGACTGGAGGCACTTTGGGCCACCTCACGACCGTGATCATCCGCGATGGCCTTCTCTACTTTGTCTTCGTATTCTCGGCAAACCTTCTCGCAGCAGCATTCGAGCTTCAGAACGCGAAACCGCTGCTCAAACCCGTCAATGCCAGCTTGGCCACCGTCATGACCAGCATCTTTTGTTCGCGCATCTTTTTCAACCTATGCAAAGCAGGAAGCTCTACTCTTTCGCGCGGGATGCCGGCCCAGGGCGACTCTTCCCATGAGCTTGGCGTCACCTTCACTCAGCGACGCGACGTCCATGTTTCTTCTTCAGACGAGGATGTAGAGTCAGGCATGAAAGTGTAAAGGCATGAAAGTGAGGATCAAACCATGTCAATGCAACAACATCTCTCTCGAGACGACGCTTTCTAAGCGACGCGTTCTTACTAGTCACACCCTCTAAATCTTTGTCCTCGCGAAGACGTCTGTAGGACACGACACAGAGCTGCTGCATTTATTAGAACGTGTGTCTGTGGTCCAAGCTCGTTGTCTCGAATGTAAGGGGGACCGAGACCTATTGTGCACGTCCAAATCAAAGCTGTCATTTGGAAGCCGGTCAATTCATAATCTGGGGGTCGAACCGAGCACAAGCTTGGGGTAGTCTTCGACAAAACGCTTCACGCCCGGGTACACCATTGCGAAGCTGATTTATGCGAGTTCAGCTGTGACAGGCGCGAGCTGACCCACTGTCACACTACTCACCGGGCTACGGTAGGGCTGCACAGATCGATGGAATGGCTCTTCATGGCCTCTTCGACGCGTTCGGCCGCCTCCCTGTACGAAGGATGGTTGCGGGCTTCGTCGGGCACTGGCGGTGCCTTTTCTTGCGACTGCTTTTGACTCTGTTGGAGGAGATCTTGAGGAAAGGGTGTGCGATCTGAGATGGCCTGCACAATGGAAGCGCGGAGAAAGCGAAGCTTGTAAAAATCATCGAGCGCCTTTGACAGAGGCTCTCCGTCCTTGCGGCTTGCGACGAGGGCGTGGACAAACGCTTCGACGTCCTCGATTGCCTGCGACGACCCGCTGGCCTGGAAGGGAGCCATGGGGTGTGCCGCGTCTCCAAGGAGCACAGCATTGCCGTGCGACCAGGTGGGCAGAGGGACGTACTTTCTCAGCTGCCACAGACCAACTTGCTGGGGTGCAGCGAGCAGCTGAGCGAGGGGCTCGGCGGGGTTGCTCTCGTCGATTAGCTTCTTGAGGAGCGCTGTCGACCCCGCCTGCCGCCATGACGTGGCTGACGGTCGGTCTTGCGTCGCCAAGCTGGGAGGCACAAAGGAATCGTAAAAGTAGAGAATGCTGTTGAGCAAGCCGTCGTCGCGCATCCGATAGGTAACGAGCCTCTGGCTGTCGCAGTGAAACGTCGTATTGCCATAGCCCTGGCTCTTGTCACTAGGCAGACGGAGACACTCGCGTGTCTTCTCGGGCACTTCATCGTCCCTCAGGCTCCAGCGCGCACACGAGACGCCCAGGGGCACCGACGACGCGACGGGAAGCCCGCTTGCCTCGAGAATGGCAGTCCTCACGCAAGAGCGCACGCCGTCCGCTCCGACGATGAGATCGGCCTCCAAAACCTCGCCGTCGGTTGTCTCGACGATGCCTTTGGTCGTGTCGATGCGTGCCGCGGTCTTGCCCCACTTGAATGTCACGGGAGCCTTGCTGGCTATGGCTATCTCGTAGAGGGCCTTCGTGAGCGTCTTGCGGTGTACTGTCCGTGTCTCGCCTGGGCTCGGTATCGACATGCCGACCTGGCCTGTAGTCCAGGAGAGGATTCTCATGACATTCCCCTCGCCTTCGTGACGAGCGCTGCGCACGTCTGAGCCCTTGATGCCCTGGGGAAGCAAGAGGTCTGAGCGCAGAATGGCATTGGAGCTCTGGAGGAGCGCTAATCCGGCACCGCCCTGCTCCAGGTCCATTGCCTTCGCAGAGGGGTTGCGCTCGAGGACGACGATCTCGCTTGCCACATCTTGCAGGGCAGCCGCGAGCGTGCAGCCCGTGATGGCGCCGCCGACGATGATCACTCGAAGCTTTCCTGCAGTCATGCCGAGATGGGACGGGGGGGAATGGTGTGCGTTTGGGAGACGCGCTCTTATAGTGCCACTTTCGAAGCACATACGACCGCATGGGCGCGCAGGGCTGTGAAACTCATTAACTCAATCCGAGTCCACACGACAACCACTCCATACCATGGCTCGCCCATTCGATGGTGCGAAACAAGAAACAGCAACTCAAGGCTTCACAGGCGACGAGAGTTCCGGCGGAGCTCTGCTCGATGCGATGCGATGCTATTATACAAAGAAGCTGAGGCGCAGCTCTGTGTGCGAGCGCGCCGAACAGGAGAAATGATGAGGTGGCCCGAGCGCAAAGGATAACATTCGCGCTCGGACCACACCGGTGCGCCCGTCGATGAATGGATGGGTGCTGCTGTCGAAAAAGCCTGCTCACCCTGCCACGAACCTTTTCATAGACCCATTTTGCCTTCGTTTGTGTCTGGCACAGCCTTGATTCGAGATTTGTCACCAGCAGCGGGTCGACAGATGTGAGGTATATCTGCGAGGGAAGGCAGCAGCAGTCCAGGTGCAGTCGACACTATCATAGATTTTGAGAAGCAAGTCCACGATGCGCGAGAGGCAACAAACAGCTGGACATACTGCCGATTCAGCCATGCTTCTGGCTCCACATTGCCGACGCAGGCACATCGCTAGCGCCCTGTCTCGGAGAGGATCGCTGTATTGAGGCACATCCTTTCCAGGTGATGTGTGGCTCTACGGTGCATCTTCCAGGAGCACCTGCCCGCCGCAGATGGCCTGCCACACCTTCCACAGCTCGCCAGCATGCCCACTGTCGAGCGATGAGGCGTCCGAGGGGCTTGGGTTCGGGAACATTTCAGCAAAAGGCGAAGCGTCGCTGGCCCCGCTGAAGAGGCCCCAGTTGGACGTGTCCATTGCCGAGCCAGGCGAGGTGGCTGAGCCAGTCGGTGCCCACATCTCGGTGGCAGCAGCAGCAGCAGTAGCAGTAGCAGTAGCAGTAGCAGTAGCCGTAGTAGCGGCAGCAGCAGCCACTGTTGTCGGCGTGGATGGTGACAGAGGCACGTGTGTCCTCCGCTTCCCTGGCCGCGCGTCTCCCGGTCTCTCGTGCGCTGCGCGCGGCCGACGACGGCCAGCAGGAAAGGCTCCGCCGGGCGTGAGCTGGGTCATGCCAGAGAGGAAGCGGTGCACCTTGCCGGCGTACTCGGTCACAGAGCGCGGCACCGTGGTCATTGGCTCCGCCTCTTTGCTGGCGAGGGCACGGAGCAGGCGGCGAAGGAGCGGCCGCAACAGCACAGCCGTCGTCTCGCTCGTGTCGGCGGCACCCAGGCCCAGCGCGACGGCGAGTACCATGCCAGCAAGCAGCGCCCCGTGCAGCAGCGGCTCCAGCAGCACGGGTGGCGGTCGTGCGGGCAGGAGGCCGGCCACGAGACCAACAAGGGCCTGTGCCGCACCCAGGCACCGCTGCAGACTGCTCTCGTGGTCCTCGCCGTCGCCGTCCTCGCACTCGTCGCCGCCTTCAAAATCGTCGTCGCCGTCGCCGCCAGCATCCTCGTGGCGATGGACAGCATCGGCACCGACACTACCAAGACCAGGACCGGCCCTTCTTGGCCGCGCGTCGCGGCCGACGATGCTGGGCATGTGCAGCTCGAGGCGCGCGAGGCTGTGCTCGAGATGCAGGACAGCGCGCTCGACAAAGTGCCGCTGGTCGAGCGAGGCGTCGGTGGGGTCAAAGGCAACCAAGCGCAGTAGCCGGTCCTCGTCGTCGTCGCTCCAGCGCAGCGCAGCCGGCGTCAGGCGCATCGCCACGTCGTCCTGGCGCTGCTCGAGGTCGGCCACGCGGTCGGCCGAGAGCCGCCGGCCCTCGTTGCCCCGCCAGGTGGTGCGCTGGAGCCGGAGCTCGACCCAGCGTGCGCGCGTCGTGTGGAAGCCAAACTCGACGGCATCGCAGCGCAGCGGCTCGCGGCGCCGCAGCAGCAGCGACTCCGGGTAGGTGTCGCGCGCATACACGAGCTGCGTCTCGATGGCCTGCATCCACGTGGGCAGCGCGGCATCGACGACGGCCGGCGCAGGCAGGAGCACCGTCGAGGTGTCGAGCCGGTGCGCAGCCAGGTACTCGGACACGATGCACCACCACAGCTGGCGGCGCGACTCGGCCTCCTCGGGCCGCATCGTGGGCCAGTGATGGCCGTCGCGGTGCAGACCAGCCGCGCAGGCGAGGTGCACAGCGGCGGCGCAGCAGGAGCGCGCCATCTGCAGCTGGAGCTGCGAGAGGAACCAGCGGCCACGGAGCACGGCGGCCTTGATCAGGTCCATCGGCACGACAAACACCGTCGCCCAGCTGGGCGGGCAGGCGGCCTGGAGCGCGTCGATGCAGTCTCCCGCGACGCGGATGAGCTTGCGTTGTGGTGAGCAGTGGGCTGCCGGTGCATCTGCATCGTACCCCGCGCTAGCCTCGCCGATCTGCATGCCCAGCGCGAGGACGACGAGCATGAGGGTGAACGACGTGGGGTCGGGCGGCGCGACGCCCTCGTCCTCGGCCGGCGGCGACGACGACGACTGGAGGCCATGGCGCCACCAGCGCAGGCAGCGCTCGTACCGCGGCGCATTGAGGTTGACCATGGCGCACTGCAGAAACGGCTCGAGACCGGAGCGATAGAGGGCGAGGAGCGTATCCAGCTCGTCGATCGACGGCAGCACCAGGTCGTTGTGGTCGGCAAGCACATGGACGAGGGCCTCGTAGCGCAAGCGCGCCAGAGATGAGTGCAATGGGGGCGCCACGCCGCTGCTCCTTCTGTCTCCATCCCAGCTCATGGGATGGTACTCGGGCGAGCCGCGAGCGACGGGCAGCGAGGGGGGCGTAAAGGACGAATTTCGGGGCAGCGGCGACGAAGACGAAGCGGCAGCGACGGTGGCAGGCTGCTGCCTGGTGCGCGTGCTCGATGGCGACGACGGCGACGACGAAGCCACAGCCGACGCCGACTCGCCCCTGCGCGTTTGTACCGCACCGCCATCGAGAAAGCGGCACCGGTCGCGGCGGCCCGTGTCGATGCAGTGCTTGCACACGGGGCGGGCACGGTCGCACTTGCGCTTGTGCAGCCGGCACTCGGTGCAGCTCCGGATGGGCCGGTGGCGCGTGATCGTGCGCGCCTTTTCGCGCGGTGCCGGTGTCTCGACCCAGCGCGCCGACGTCGGCCGTGCACCACCACTGCTGCTGATATTGCTGCTGTTGCTGCTGCTGGGATTGCCCGTCGTCGCGGTTGGCGTCAGCCGGCTTGACATTCGCTGTGAGGCCCGTGCGGCTGCCTGGCCCGCCAGCAGCTCCATCGGCGACAGCTCGGTCGGCACGGCCTCCTCGCGCCCCCGCGCTGGCCGCCGGACATGCTCGGCCATCGGACGAGAGCTGCGCGGCGCGGCCGCTCCGTGAGAGAAAGACGACGGCGGGTGGAAAGCAGTGCTCGGCCCAGAGAGATGCTTCAGCGGGCGAGACGCATGAGATGCGCCATTAGTGGTCGATCGAATTCAGCGAGATCAGAAGAGTGGGGTGAGAGCAGACCATGGACGACATCCTCTGGCACCTAGGCGACGTGTGCGGGCGATAAGCGGGGGTGTGGGACAGATAGATAGCAGCGCTCGCTCTGGGCCGACGAAATAAAGTTGGGCGCGCTAATTCTGACTACTCGCGTGCGGTGGATGAGACGGCACCTTCTCGCGCAGTCAAGTCAAGATCTCCAGCCATGCTCAATCAAAGGTGGGAATATGACGCATTCAGATCATCATCCTATGAAGATGGCCACACTGAATACAGAGAAGAGACTGATGTGAGCGGTATGACTGCCTCTTCACTTCTTTTCCTGCTGCTGGTCCTTCTTCCAGTGCTCCGCGACGACGCCGGCAAAGTGGGCGTCGGCGGCGAAAAGCGCAGCGGCCACAGCGATGCCGGCGGCGCTCTTCATCGTTTCTGCATGTGCCTCCGGCGTACCAGCCGCTGTGTGGAAGGCTACCGTGTGGTTGGCGTCTCTCTGGCTGTCTTTCACTGGCTGGAGTGTCCAGCGCGTGCGTTAATGCATAGGACGCCTGTGCAAGAGCGATTCGTACCCACAATGGCATAGATGGGGTGCAAGCCAGGCAGCCGCTGTGTCACGTTGCCAAAGTCCGTTGAGCCAGAGCTGCGGAGAGGGATAAGTGTGAGTGGGAAGTGGCTGGGACAAGCTGGTATCCACTCCCTCCAGACTCACAAGGGCACATCGCGAAGGACGGTGACGCCCTCAGTGGCCGTCATGTACTCTTCGTAGATGTTGCCGAGGGGCGCATTGTAGAGAATCTCCTCGTAGCCGACGGCATCGACGTGGAACTCGACGGTGCATCCTGTCGCACGGGCCGCGCCCTCGAAGCAGTCGCACACCCGCTGCAAGTAGCGGTCCACCTGCGTATACGTCGGCGCACGGACGCCGTACGACAGGCGCGCCACGTCGGGGATCACGTTCTGCACCCACGACGGCTCGGGCAGGACGATGCCCTGGATGCGGACCTTGTCCTCGGTCTGCTGCCGCAGCACGCTGACGCCGTTGTACGCCAGCACGGCCGCGTCGAGCGCATTGATGCCCGCCCAGGGCGTCGCTGTGGTACAAAGGAAGAGATAAGTGGACAATTCAGCGAGCTGCGAGGGGCTAGGCGGGTAAAGAAGAGGAACACGCACCGGCAGCATGGGCCGTCTTGCCACGAAAGGTGACCGAGACACGCTTGATGGCGAGCGACGAGCCGAGGACGTGGAAGGGCGAAGGGTGGACCATGAAGCAGGCGTCCATGTCGCCGTACGCGCCGCCGTCGAGCAGGTAGCACTTGCCGCCGCCGCCTTCCTCGGCAGGCGTGCCCAACAGCACAACACGCCCAGGCAGCTGGCATGCCTCGAGGGCACGCGCCGTGCCCAGCGCCGCCGCGACACCAGCGACGGCGATGAGGTTGTGGCCGCAGCCATGGCCGATCTCGGGCAGCGCGTCCATCTCCGAGTTAAAGCCCACCGTGCGCTCGCCTGCGCCGTGCGGGCTCGTCCAGCTGGCCGACCAGGCCGTCGGCAGGCTGCAGATGCCGCGCTCCACGTGCCAGCCTGGCAGACGTTCCAGGTAGGTGCAGAGCGTGTCGGCGGCGAAGCTGTGCGAGGAGAATGGGTCCGGTTGTGAGCAGAGTACCTTCTCACCGACACCCGTTGTCTCACCTCTCTTCAAAGCCCAGCTCGGGGCGGCCATGGAGAGCGAGGCTGAGGGGCCGCATGTCGCCGTCGAGGGCCTTTGTGAACTTGGCCGCGAGCTGCGCCAGCTTGCCCCAGGCTCCAGCAGCGACTGTGGGCAGGTCCGACGGCAGCGAACGCGTGGTGCCGGCCGCCTCGCGACTGCTGGCGACAGCGGCCGACCAGCCCTCGTGGCCACAGGCGGCGCACGCATGGAAGGGACCCAGGTTGGTGCTGGCGGACGGCAGTGCGCCATCGACGGTCGTTGCGGTGGGGGCCATGTTTCGTTTGGTGAAAGAGAGGTCGTGTAAGCAGGTAGGCTTGCTGCCGTCTGTGCTCCCTGTACTCACCTCTCTTAAGTCTTGGGCCCGCTCCTATCGCATCATGGGGACACTACTGTACCCCGCCGTACCCGATCCGACGCCTAATGCGCGGCGCGCGAGAACGCGGCGGACGAGAGAGCGGACGAGAGAGTGGGCGCGGAGGAAAGCCACGTGACGCCCTTGCAGCGAGATATCCAGTCCTGATATCAAGGCGGCGCTCGCGCATGCAGGAACGGACTCTCGGCCGCGACAGGGTCGTGTGGGTGCTGCTGTGCTGTGCTCGCTCTATCGAACCTCCGCACGATTGTCACTTGTCTGCTGCCCCGGCGAATGTGCGGCGATGACCCCATGCCTGTCTGCCACGAAAAAGAGTGCACTTGAAGACACAAGCTCAGCTCATGGGCAGGACGGTGTGGATCTTCACATGGTGGTCAGAAATATAGTTAATTCCACTGAGCAAGTATACACAAAGCCTCGCCGGTGGGCTCGGACCTGGGAACAGCGGATACAAAGAGCAGTCATCTAGTAGACGTAGCGGAAGGTGGTGTCCCTGCAGCAAGGGAGTTGGTGTCAGCAGCGTCTCGGCAGTGAATCTAGCATACCACTCTTTCACTCAACTGTTTGTCGGTGAGGCCCTCGACGAGTAGACGCTCGTCGGGGTGCAGATCCCCTCGCGAATCCCGCTGCCGATTCCAGAGCCAGTGGAAAAAAGTAATGGCGACCAACAGGGCCAGCGCGCTCGATAGGGTGACAAGGATGGCAATCTGGGCGGGGACATACTTGGGTGCATCTTTGGGCCGGTACGTCTGCGGGCCGACGATGTTGCCAGCGGCATAGGCGACCTGGAATGAGGTGGCAAAAACGACGCGCTTCGTGTGGCCCCCGACGTTGGTAGCAATGTAGGCAACACAGCAGGCCAGCGACTGGACGTAAAAGACAACCATGAGAATGCCCGTCATGCTTGCCGCTTGATTACCCACGCCACCCACGACGAGTCCGCCGCCAATGACACTGAGCACGAGGCACGTAATGGCGCCCGCTGCTCGTGTGCCCGTCAAACGGAAGAGGCCGACGTAGATGAAGACGCTGATGACCTGGATCGCACCCGAGGGCATCGTCAGCAGGATCGACTGCGCCGAGCTAAAGCCAAACGACTGGATCAAGGCCGTGTTGAAGACGGTGATGCCGCCGTTGGTGATGGATACGGCAAACGGCAGGAGCCACATGAGGTAGAGGCGGACATCGGTCAGGGCCTCGACTACCTGCTGGCGCGCGTCGCCCTTGCCTTGGGTCGCATCGACGCTAGTTTGCTTCAGCATGTCGTCGAGGGCAGTGCGCTCGTCGGCAAGCAGGAAGCGTGCCTCTTTCGGCGACGGGGCGAGGACGAGTGCGATGAGCAGGCTCAAGACCACGGTGACGGCCCCGAGGATGAGAAACATGACGCGCCACGACTCGATGACGAGGCCGCCGTTCTTGAGCAGACCATAGGCCATCGGAGCACCAAACAGGATCGAGACGCCGTTCATGCACTGGAGGATGGCGGAGCGTGCCACGATCTGGTGCTTTGCGTAGAAGTTGGCCGTGAGCAGTGTCGTGCAGGGGATGAGACCGCCCTCGAAGAAGCCGAGGAGGAAGCGGAGTGTCAGCATGGACTGAGGACCCTGTACGGCCGCATGACAGCACATAATGACGCCCCAGACGAAGCAGTTGATGTAGAGATAGCGAATGACGGAAAATCGCTGCAGCAGCAGGGCGGCCACGGGCTGGCAAGAAAGGTAGCCAAAGTAGACTGGCGGGATCCGCCCGGCGTCAGAAACTGTTTTCTGTCCCACTCGCATACACGAGACACCCACAGATGGAGCCAGCCCACGAATACTGGGCGCGAGACATGCCAATGTCCTTGGTCATGCCCATGACTAGGGTGTAGCCAAGGGAGAACTTGTCCTGGACTGTGTTGAATGCCAGTCAGCGAGGAAAGAAACATCAGCCAGCACTAGCACGACTACCCACACTGCAGCATCACGGTGAGAGCGAGGATGGGCATCAGGACCCGGTCGATACGCCGTGTCGCTCGTGTGGCAAGCACTGCTGTGGCCTCTTCCATAGGCCTGACTCCCTGGTAGGTCGTGCAGCGCGCCAGGGCATAGTCACGCTGTGGCAGCTGCTTCTCGTCGGCCTTGTCAACGTCCATCTGCTTTTCGTCTTCGCTGGCTGTCCTAGTGCTGTGAGGGGACCTTGTTGCCATCTTGCCAGACCTGTTATTTTTGTCGGTCGGACGTAAGTGCCTTCATCCCCATTCACCCTTTTTAAACGTCTCATCCGGCGCACCGCATGTCGCTGTCCGCACAGACACCAAGCCACCGTAGCCTGCAGCGCGCGCCAAGCCTATCGTGCGCGCGTAGCCTCTCGTGCGCACCTCAATTTTTTTTCGTCCGCACTGCTCTTGCATTTCTCGTCCGCACCGTGAGATAACAGTATGCAAATCCACGCGCTCGAAGGAGCAGAACCGTCTTGCTTATCTTTCTCCCGCTTCCTTTCCGGCTCTGGCATCCCAAAGCCACCTGTCACCCAATCACTGATCTGACTGAAGTGAAAAGAACCAGATAAGCTACCCCACCTAAGGTTCGTTTTCGGCCTGGGCGAATGCATAAAATCGATTTTGCTCATGAAGGAGTCAGTCAGCAGGCAAGCTCAAAGAGCGCCAATGCTGCGTGTCGAACAGGTACCTCAGGTGTATACCACCTCATCGACCGCTCTGAAGAGCATGTACGAGCAGAAGACTATAGGCTTCTGCTGCACATTGGAGCTTTGGAGCGGCCATGACCTCGGAACATTGGCGGAAGCAGGTAAGATCCTTGAGATGCTGTATATGAAATGAGACGACGGTGGACATCAACACAGGGGAACGACATTTTGAGAAAAGCAGATGATATTTTGTTCATTGATCTGTTTTGACTTGGCGTGCTTCCCGCTCAGAAAGACGACGATTTTGCATCGATATCCTTGTGCTTTCCCTCTGCTCTTTAATTCTGTTCTCAATATCTGCCGACATCCCAAGGAGAGCATTTCTTTTCATCTCTTCACCCTGCCTAGGCGGCGAGTTCAGATACTGGCGTGCCTCTCCCCAAAGTATGTTGACTTCTTTCCAAGCTTTCTTCAAGGCTCCAATCGTCTTTGGCCGCACTACTGCTTTTTTGGCACTTATTCCTCTCAGAAGCATACGCAAATATGCCTGTTCCGTTCTTGTCGGCAAATATGTGTTCATACGACGGCGCAAGTCCTTTTGAAAAATCTTGTGAGTGGTCCTGTCTCTGTCGCTCAATTGACGACCGTTGACTTGCACTTGCCACTCATCGTCATTCGTAATTGAGCCACCTTCTTCGTTGATCGAACGGCCTTCTTCGTTGATCGAACAACCTTCTTCGTTGAGGTTTGGTAAAGCACCATTTTTGCTTTCCCATCGCTGTCGAATCTTGTTCCAGTAATCTGTCTCCTTCTGGCTGACCAAATGAGGAGCATATTGCACGCTGAATCTAGCGACAAGCTCGCCCAGGGTCTCTCTTTCCCGCACCACTTGATTCCGATCTAGGAAATCGATACAGACCTTTGCTTCTGGATCAAACTTCTGCAGCATCCATTCCTGTTCGCGAATTGACGGGAGACCTTTCTTTGATCGAGATATAACTTCGTTCCTTTTCGCTTTTTCCGCAGGAGAAAGAATTTTTTTCTTGGTTCGCTTACTTTGTTCGGAACACTCGTCCTCGTCTGACCAACCTTCGTCAGGGTTGTCTTGTACATGCTTGACACTTTTGCCGCGCCGCGTTCTGTTCGCTCTCGCAGAGGATTCCAGCCCTTGTTCTGCAGCTTCATTGGATTCAACTGTCGGCTTGGGTTGTGCCAAAGCGTTTTCCACGGATCCATAATGTGACTCTCGGTGACGACGAGAAGGTGCAAGACGCTGTGCACAAGCCTGAAGCATGTAGCCAAGAGGCGTAGGACTCTGTGGAGAAGCAGAAGACGCGCCCTTCTTTTCGTCAATGACTTTTGAGGCATGGTAAAGCATGTCCAGGCTGTCGTGCCAGCTTTCTGATTGAACTGAAGGAGCTGGTGCTGCAGATTGAAGGCCTCGCCGCCTTCGCATTGCCCAAGCGCTGGATGCAGCAAAAAGTGCTACAGTTCCACATAGAAGTGCGCTGCCGCCGAGGACACGGACGAGACGCATCTTGCAGGTGTTGGAGGAGAGATAGAAAGAAGTGTGCACAGTAGCGTCACTGCTTTTGAGTGCCACCACATACCAAAGGAAAGAGTAGTTAGTGCCCACTTGAGCCCCGAGACACAGAGGTAGGACGGCCTTCGGCGCATTTTCGCTCTTTTCGTGGCGCGGTATTTATTCGAGTGCTTAGGGCGTTTGTGATGACTCTTCAGTCGTGTCCAACGAGCCCCGACAAATTTACTCTCCTATTAGGCAGTGTCAGAGCACGTCTGCTGCCCCTTGCCAGATATTTTTCTACCGTACATGTAGGCCCCTTGCCCTCGTAGCAAGCTAGCATGTCATCGTGTCTCTCTTGTCTGGTGGGCTCTTGTTGACTGCGATGTCTGTGTACGATCTTGCGTGTCTCGTCCGCACCGCGAGAAACAGTCGGCAAATCCGCGTGCTCGAAGGAGCACATCCGTCTTGCTTATCTTTCCCCCGCTTTTTTTCCCGCTCTAGCATCCACCATCCACCAACCACACGTTCACTGATCTGATTGAGGTGGAAAATGCCAGAGACTACCCCACCTTACATTCGTTTCAATCCAGGATTCTTTTGGTTCAGGAGTCAGTCAGCAAGCAAGCTCAAAGTGCGCCAATGCTTTATTGTCGGACAGGTCACTTATTTAAGTACCACCACATCGACCACTCCGAATAGCTTGTACGAGCAGAGGATTGTAGGCTTCTGCTACATGTTGGAGCTTTGGAGCCGCCATGACCTCGGAACATCGGCGGAAGCAGAGAACAATGTTGAGATTTTGTATGTTAAACGAGATGACGGAGGTCATCAACACGGGGAAAGGGCATTTTGGGAAAAACAGATGATATTTTATTGATCTGGTTTGACTTGGCGTGCTTTCCGCTCAGCAAGACGACGATTTTGCATCGACCTCCTTGTCCTTTCCCTTCGCCGCATAACTCTGTTCTCAATACCTGCCGCCATCCCGAGGAGAGTATTTCTTTTCACCTCTTCACCCTGCACAGGTGGCGAGTTCAGATACTGGCGTGCCTCTCTCCAAAGTATCTTGACCTCTTTCCAAGCTTCCCTCAAGGCTCCCATCGTCTCTGGCTGCACTGCTGCATCTTCTGCGCTCATTCCTCTCAGAAGCATGCGCAAATATGCCTGTTCCGTTCTTGTCGGCAAAAGGGCTGATATGCGACAGCACAAGTCTTTTTGTATAATGTCCGGTGTAGTCCTATCTCCGACGCTCAAATGTTGACCGCCGCGTTGTTTCTTCCACTCATCGTCATCCGTGATCGAGCCACCTTCTTCGTTGATTGAATGACCTTCTTCGTTGAGATCTGGTAAAGCACCCATTTTGCGTCTCCATCGGTTTCGAATTTTGTTCCAATACCTTTTCTCCGTTGTGCCGACTAGATGAGGAGCTTGATACACGCTAAATTTGGCGACAAGCTGGCCCAGCGTATCTCTCTCCTGCACCACTTGTTTCTCGTCCAGGAAATCAATACAGACCTTTGCTTCTGGGTCAAATTTCTGCAGCATCCATTCTTGTTCGCAAATCGACGGGAGACCTCGACTAATTCGTAATGGACCTTCGTTTCTTTCCGCTTTCTTCGCACCGGTAAATTCCTTTCTCTTGACTGACTGACTTTGTTCGTCCTCGCCTGACCAGCTTTTGTCAGAGTCGTCTTCTACATGTTTGAGACCTTTGCCGCATTGCGTTCTCCTTGCTCTCGCAGAGCACCCGGGCTCCTGTTCTGCAGCTTCATTGATTTCGGTTTTTGGCTCGTATTGAGTCGAAAGTTGATTGACAGACCCGAAATTTAACTTTTGGTGAGGACAATCAACGACTTTCGCAGCATAACAAAGCATGTCCAGACTGTCGTGCCAGCTTTCTGGTGGAGCTGACGGGGCTGGTGCTGCAGAGTTTGGGCCTCGCTGCCTTCGCATTGCACATGCGGTGGGTGCAGCAACAATGGCTGCAGTACCACAAAGAAGTGCGCTGTAATTGAGTAGGAGGACGAGACGCATCTTGTAGGTGATGGTGAATGGAGAAGAGAGAGAGCCAATTGTGCAAAATACTGCTTTTGAGCGCCACCACATGCCTGCCAAAGGAAGAGTAGCTGTACCCACTCAAGCCCCGAGACACTGAGGAAGGACTTGAAACAGAGCATATGACCTTCGGCGCACTCTCGGTCCCTCCACGCCGCGGTGTTAGTATGGCATTTGTCAGTCTTATCCAACGTGCCTCCATGCATTAAATCTCCTCCGTGGCAGTGTCAGAGTACGCCTGTTGCCCCCTTGTCAGATGTTTTTTTTTTCCTCTGTAGTGTACAGTACAGTGCATTTAAGCCCCTTGCCCTCGTAGCAAGCTAGCATGCTATCGCGTCTCCTTCTTCTGCTGAGCTCTCCATCCAATGCCACGTCTGTGGTAGGGAACATCAAAGCCATTGTTCTGAAAAGCATGCGTGAGCAGAAGATTGTAGGCTTCTGCTGCACGTTGGACCTTTGGCGACAGCCTTCACCTCGGGACATTGGCCGGAGCAGATAAGACCCTTGAGATGCTGTATGTCAAATAAGACGATGAAGGACATCTATACAGGTGAACAAGGATTTGAGAAGAGCAGATGATATCTTGTTTAGTGATCTGGTTGGACTTGGCGTGCTTTCCGCTTAGAAAGACGACAATTTTGCATCGACCGCCTGTTGCTTTCCCTTCGATTTTTAGTTCTGTTCCCAACAGCTGCCGCCATCTCGAGGAGAGCATTTCTTTTCATCTCTTCACCCTGCACAGGCGGCGAGTTCAGATACTGGTGTGCCTCTCTCCAAAGTATCTTAGCTTCTTTCCAAGCTTCCCTCAACGCTCCAATTGTTTCTGGCTGCACTACTGCATCATCTGCACTTATTCCTTTCAGGAGCACGCGCAAAAGAGCCTGTTCCGTTCTTGTCGGTAAATGGGCGTCAATGCGACGGCGCAGGTCTTTGTGTATAATTTTCCGAGTAGTCCTATCTCCTTCGTTCAACTGTTGACCGCCAAATTGCCCTTCCCACTCATCGTCATCCGTGTTCGAACGATCTTCTTCGTAGAGCTTTGGTAAAGCACCATTTTTGCTTTCCCATCGCTGTCGAAATTTGTCCCAATAATCTATCTCCTTCTGGCTGACCAGATTAGGAGCGTGTTGCACGCTAAATCTGGCGACAAGGTGGCGCAGCTTCTCTCTCTCCCGCAACACTTCATCCCGGTCTAGGTAATCGATACAGACCTTTGCTTCTGGGTCAAACTTCCGCAGCATCCATTCTTGTTCGCAAATTGACGGGAGACCTTTACCGTTTCGAACCGAGAGTTCGTTCATTTTCGCCTTTTTCGCTTTTCCCGCAGCGGATTTTTTTCCTGGTTTCATTCGCCTACTTCGTTCGGGATATTCGTCCTCGCCTGACCAGCTTTCGTTAGAGTCATCTTGTACATAGTTGACACTTTTGCCGCGCTGCGTTCTCCTCGCGCTCGCAGAGCACCCGGGCTCCTCTTCTGCCCCTTCATTGGCTCCAATTGCTGGCTTGTTTCGAGCCGAAAGTTTTTTCATGGATCCATAATGTGGCTCTCGGTGACAAAGAAAAGGTTCAAGACGCTGTGCAAAAGCATTTGCAGGAGGCGTGGGATGAGGAGGTGTAGGACTCTGTGGAGAAGTAGAAGATGTTCCCGTCTCGTCTTCAACGACTTGTGAAGCATGACAAAGCATGTCCAGACTGTCGCGCCAGCTGTCAGGTTGAGGTGAAGGGGCTGGTGCTGCAGAGTTTGGGCCTCGCTGCCTTCTCATTGCACATGCGGTGGGTGCAGCAACAATGACTGCAGTACCACAAAGAAGTGCGCTGTAGGCGAGTAGGAGGACGAGACGCATCTTGCAGGTGATGGTGAATGGAGAAGAGATACACAATTGTGCAGAGTTGTGCTTTTGAGCGCCACCACATACCTGCCAAAGGAAGAGTAGCTGTACCCGCTCAAGCCCCGAGACACAGAGGTAGAACTTGAAACAGAGCATACGACCTTCGGCGCACGCTCGGTCCCTCCACACCGCGGTATTCCTAGGGCATTTGTGATGACTCTTCCATCGCGTCCAACGAGCCCCGACGAGTTCACTCTCCTCTAAGGCAATGTCAGAGCGCGCCTGCAGCCCCTTGCCAAATGTTTTCCTCTGTACATGTAGGCCATTTGCCCTCGTAGCAAGCTAGTATGTCATTGTGTCTCCTTTGTCTGATGAGCATCGCATCGACCGCCACGTCTGTGTACAGGTATGATCTTGCGTGGCAGCGTTGCCTCTTTTGAGGAATGGGCAAAAACGGGGCAGCAACCAAAAAAATAAAACGGCTACGTTAGTCAACACCCATGACGCCGCGAGACGGACGCACGCCACGACGAGTGTACACCGCCAAAGATACCCCGTGCAAGATGACGAGAAGGAACAAGAAACAGGAAGGCAGAATGTAGCCTTGCAATGACGTCGCCAGCAATGTTGTCCGTGCTGGAAAGTCCACAATGTCAAGAAAAGAAATTAAAACTATTAATACTGTATACTGTATGTTCAACGTCGCCTGCTAAATGACTGGAAGGTAGCAGCAACTGAAGTCCAGGATTCCTCACCGGTACGGACGACCATTTAATATAAGAAGAGCAAATTGCGAAGCAGTCTCATCGTTCACCACGATTTCGTCTACCTAGCCCGCCCCTGCAATTGAGGATCTTCAAAAAAATTCGGGTCCAGCAAGTGTGACAGGTTCATCTCGTGCGATTGTTCATTTTCTCAAGCGAGTGAGCCACAGCGATTTTCTATTCCCCCTTTCTGGCTACTGTATGTGGATGCAACAACGATGGGATCATATCTGAGTATGTTCGGTGCAGAGTCGGTCTGGCAAGGGATGTCGTGCAGCAGGAGCGATACTGAAGTGTCTTTTCTCTTCACGTTCGGGCCAGGTAGAGCATTCCATAGAGTGCAAGTGTAGTAGCAAGTGTATGACAAAGCACACGCCCGGTCAGAAGCGTCTCAGCTAAACGTTGTAACGGTAAGTGTACAGACCAGCTGGTGGGAGAGGTTTCTGTGCGGAAGTCAGGGCGGATTTGAGGCCTCCACGAACGAGGCCTGCAATGTTAAGCATCGGAAGGAGCACCACGATGCACCTCACTCCCGGCTGCTCGCTGCCAGCTTCACAATAACAGCCACACATGCATCACTCCTCTTCCCAGTCCTCTCCTCTTCACTTTCCTAGCTACTATCGTCGTGCTTCATGACTTGGTCTCTTTTAATCCCGCCGACACAGGCGTTGCTGCTAGCTCCTTCTTCGTACTTTCCATTCGTACTTTGAGGTTGGTGTGGGGAATACCTTTGCAGACGCGAACATTCGTTGTGTTGGAGCTGGATTGTTGACTGGATCGCACCTCCATAGGTGCGATAAGCGCACGCTGGGTTGCTTCCTGGCAGATAATGCCGGTGGACTTGGAGAAAAGGATCGTTCTAAGAGATGTGACCAATGAGAAGTCGTCACGACCACACCAGATTCTGTTGACGCTCGCCGCATAGAAATCCACGCCAGCTTTCTAGTCATACGGTACAGTACTTTGAAGGCTGTGGTGGGGTCCGAATCTGTGTTTAGGCACCATACTGACTCCCCTAAGCCAACATCACAATCAACACCTATCTTATACTACCATCAAGTCCTCAAAACTGCCCTCGTATTTAGCTAAACAAAGATTATGAGAAAGGTGGTGATTCGCCTACAAATTTCGCCTGTGATAGCCTGCAAAATCGTGTTTACTCCGATCTAGTCTCCATCACATTCCTTGAAATCGAGCGCCCTTCGAGGATGCCAGCGTGAACGAGCACACTACGGAAAGAGAAGTCGAAGCATTTCTGAAAACGCAAGTGTTATTCGACCAATGCCGACGAAAGCATTGATGAGGTAGATCCTGTACTGCGAACGACAAATGCTGTGGACTTCCAGGCTGCAAAGATCCCGTTTCCTCCTTGGCTCTCGAGCGAGCCCGTCACCTCCTTACTTATTTTCAAGCCAGTCCTAGGTTCGTCGCAGCTCGGCCCAAAGCTTGGAGAGTATAGTCGAGAAATTTGTCAGGTTGCTCTTGCTCGTGATATCGTTTCGTGGCTAATTTCAATTCCTCTGTGAAGATTCGTGCCTTTCGATCCGGCAGCGAGAAAATGCAGCCTGTCGGAGTGGCAAAGTAATGAACCCCTTGAAAGACTTCGTGCACCACTTTGTTATCGGTTGCAGCTTTCTTTCTTATCTGCTTCCTCATTTTGTAGCGATTTGTCTCCTTCTCGCTTGCTTCAGAGTATCCACGTTCGCTGGTCTGTTGTCCAGCCAGTCGCTGCTCCTTGACCTCGCGATTTGGGGCTTCCCGAAGTTTGTGTAATTCTCTTAGAAACCATCCCTTACGTTTTCTTTCCGGGACAGTCTCGTACTTCGTTTTTAAACCAACCACTTCACTCCTCTTCTTTTCGGCCACCTCGATCGGTATTGAACCATGTGTCGGGATCGGGGTAAAGAAAAACCGCTCCTCGCCGATGTCCACTGTAAGGATCTTACCCTGTTTCACGGCCTTCTCCCTGAAGTCGTTCACCACGTCAGATATATTTCTGGGCCGTGGGCCATTGGTGACCTGCTGATTCCGATGCCCTTTCCGGGCTAGTTTTACTTTTGCTACAACGGCTGCTATGGAGCTGCGCATCTCCTCATCGAGACTGTCGCTGTGATCAATGAGATACAACTCATCTGGCGTAAGCGAGACGCGCTCTTGATCAGTGAGGTAGATAGGCCTCTGCTTCCGAAACAGCTTGCGCTCGTGATCTGTGAGGAAGATAGCCTTCGGCTTCCGACTCAGCTTACGCCTACTAGAGGGTTGCGAAGCAGCGTCTGAAGTCTCGCGAAGGCCATGTCCGGGCATGTAGGAAGGTATAATCTGCCTGCTTTGCTCCTCATGATGCGGAGAAGCGATTGGCGCGTTGGAAGCATAAGCTGGTTGAGGATGGGACGAAAAGACAGCATCACTGCGAGGTACAGTGCCTTGTACTTCGTCATGATGTTGAGCAGCACCCTGCTGACGTACATCGAAGACTTTGTCTAGTTCAGGGAAAAGGCTGTAAGGCTCAGGCTCGGGAGAGTGGTTCCAGTGTGAGTGTTGCCACTGGTCATTGTGGGGCTCGAATTCGGGCAGGTCGTTCCAGAGTGACATTTGCCACTGGTTATTGAGAGTATCCACCTCGAGAGGGTCGTTCCACTGTAGAAATGAGCCCTGATCTGGGGCGTGCTGAAGTGGGGCCATTGCCTGTCAAAGAAGACCAGAAGTCACAGAACTGTGCAGGAACATTTCAACTCACGTGCTCATCGTGGTACAGAACAAAATGGCTCTCGCCATGTTCACCAGCCGGTGTTGGTCGGGCCTGTGAATGTGTTGCATGGAGGAGCAGTACCAGACTAAATACCAGGATCAATGCAAGCTTTTGAGTCATGAGGGTCACGCGCGTTGAGAGAGTGAAAAAGATGGGGTCCTTCTGAATGCCCTTGGGTATTTAAATCCTTGCACGACCTGATGTTTGACGCGAGATCTTTATGCCCACTCGAGTCTTGCTATCGCACGGTCTGAGGACGACGCTGTGGACCAAATCAGCGCCCCGCTTTACTGTATCACACATCCTGATCTTACGCCCAGTTTTCATCCGTGCGAGAAAACAAAAATAGATCCTTGTGCTGCATTTTTCACCCACAAGATCTGCTTGGTCCTGTGAGCCTGCAACCAACCCCTCCGCAGAGGTGGACGGATGCTGTCAAAAAGATCCTGTGACGGGAAAAGGGGAGAGTGCGGGACAGTGCTTGCAAAGCTCCACAAGGGTCACCTGTTCCACATGTACGACGTCCGGCTGAGGCACTTGCTGAAACAGAGGGGCTAAATCTGAAAGCCGAAGCTGCGCGGTCAGAATAGGGAGATAAAGACGTGCTTCCTGGGGCGTCGTTACTCTGTGCTCCGGGGGCAGGGCAACAAGTCCAAAACGGACGCCCGTGCGCGCCGCCACTCACGCACCGCCGTCCGCCCGATGTCATTGTGAACAGTGAGAAAAGACATCAGGGAGTCGGAAAACATGGCCACTGCGGGGTCACAACGCGTTTACAATCACTTGCCTGCTTGTCACTCCTTCCTTGTTTCCACATGGTGCACGTGGTCCTTGTGTCCTATGAAAACGGCCAGCCAAGATATGTGCAGTATCATCCCCGCTATACGAGTAGAGTACAGTGTAGAGCTACGCCGAAGTAGACCCTTCCAAAAAAAGTCTACGATGAAGGAATGGGAGCCTTATGCTGCATTCCAGGTGGCCGTTGCGTGCTTCTGACCGGCAGCGCAGTAGAGTTCGGACAATAGACGCGTAGTGAGTCGGGAGAGCTGGGGCAAGGGCGGACAAGAGAAGTGGATCGGAACAACAGAAAGAGGATATCTAGGGGCGAATAGAGAGAGTGGAGAGGAGGGTATCAATAGCAGACACGAGCTTTTCACAAGCTCTTACGGATCACCTGCAGGTGTTCATAGACATGATTTAATACGTAGCAACAAAGTGATAGTACGCGAGACAGTAAGACTAGATGAAACACTGGCTTGGGCAGCGCCGTCGAAAGAAGGCCATGAACTTGCAAAGATGAACTCGAGAAGGGATATCAGCGCTCACACAGACTACATACGAACTCCTCACTCCCCGTCGGGCGGTCTCCTCTCCTTTCGTGTCTTAGCTTCTCGCCCCGTCTCCAACTTTTCGAAGGCTGATGCAGCTCGATTGATTCCGTGAATAGCACTTTGGAAGCACTTCTCGGTACCTTCTTTTCCTTCGAATTTTTTGACAGCTTTCCCTATTTCAATCGAGAACCGATTGTACCTCTCAGCGGGCATCTTAAAGCTTTGTCTAGGCGTGGCAATGACGCAAAACTCGTTGACGCATCTGATTACCACTTTGTCAGATGTCCTGGCTTTTTTTTTGATTGCCCTTTTTGATTTCCTAAAGGACGACCCACTCGCACATACTCCAGACGACGATCCAACCTCGCCGGATTGCTGTCCACCCAACCGTTGATGCTTGGCAACGGAATTTGTCACCTTTTTGAGTTCGGCTATTCTGTCCTTAAGCCAATCTGAACCTTTTTCTTCAAGTCGAGAGTCGCACTGCGCAATGATACGTTCTACTTGAGCCTTTTTTTCCTCGGCCATTTCAATAGGCAATGTCGCGACGTCCTGCATCGGTGCAAAAAAGTAACGTTGACCATCGAGATCATTGATGATAATCTTTTTCTCTCTCTGGGCTCGTTGCTTGAGCTCCTTCTGCATTGCCTTCTCTGACCGCAGCCGGATGGATGCCAGGTGAATTCCTGATCTTTTTCGTTCTTCTCTTATCTTCTTTATCAGCTTTGCTCGCCTTGAGAGAAGTTCAGGGTTATGAAGCTCGCTAACTTTCATATCAAGGAGGTCTGAGTCGGCCTTGGAAAGCTGAAGCCACTCGTCATTAGTGAGGAAGTACGGCCTTCTTCTCGATGTTTCCTGCGATTGAAGTTCAGGCGCATCATGAACAGTGCTCTGACTTTCATCTTCGCAATATCCGGGCATGTCAAATGACGAATCTTGTCTGCTATGCTTCTCGGAATGTTGAGCGGCGTGCTGTTGACTAGCATCGAGGACGTGGGCTTGCTGAGGGAAGCTACTGTGAGGCCCGTATCCAGGAGGGTCGTTCCAGTGTGGTAGCAACCATTGGTTCTCGAGGATCTCGGCTTGGGGAGGGTCGTTTGGGTGTGGTAACGACCACTGGTTGTCGTGAGGCTCGGATTCGGGAGGGTCATTCGGGCGCGGTAGCCACCTCTGATTCTCGTTAGGCTCAGCTTCGGAAGGGTCGTTCCAGTGTGGTAACGACCACTGATTTCCGCAAGGCTCAGGTGCGGGAGGGTCATTCCAGTGCGGAAACGAGGCCTGGTTTAAACAGTCCTGCTTTGCGCCACCGCCTCTTAGATCATGCCAAAAGTCCGAGACAGGAACGTCTACAACTTACGTGTTCATCGCCATAGGGAAGAGGGCTCTTTCCGTAATGACGAAGAGGTCCTGGTTGGGCACGGGAATGGGTTGCGTAGAGGAACAGTAACATGTGGAAGATCCGTACTATTTTGTGTTCTTGAATCATGGTGGTCCGCTTGAGGGTTCTGATAAATGACGAGCGGGTCACTCATAGTGCCACAAGACCCTTACGTACTGTCATTCGATTGCCCCACATGCCCCACAAGAAAGGCATCATGTTTCGGACAATTTGACGCCCAATTGGGTTTCAACTTGCACAGGCGGGCCAGGACTCCCATGTATTTGACGCCGCGCTTCAGCGCACAGTATACGTGCTGGCTTTGCGCCACTTTGCTCGTTGGACAATTCAAGAATTAAAATGAGGAACCCTGCTGCGCCCGCTCTTGAAGAGAAAGAGTCACGAAACTGACTTTTCGCCCACACGACGCGCTTGCTTCTGTGGGCCCGCAATGTCCCGCATCGCAGAGGCTATCAGACGCGAACTCTGCTGTCACGACTTTGCTGTCTGCACGTAGGACAGTGTACCCACGACACACAAATGCGACGCTTTGCTTGTACCTGCTTGCCCCTGCGTTTGATCTCCATTAGACATTTATGATAAGACTCGAGCAAAATGGGTCGAAAGAGAAAAAAAAAATAAAAAAATAGAGATACCTTGTGACGAGTCCAATGCATGGAGGCTACGAGATAGACTTGGACGGCGCCATCGAGATTGGCGGAAAAGGAGATGTCTGCTATGGAACATCAAAGTTGACGCTGGGGGTTTTCGCCGCTCACCTTCTCTGTCTGAGCAGGACCCTTTCTGTTCCTACTTCTTTTTCTTTGTCCTTAAATGGCCTGAAGCTGTGGCGATGCTCCAAAGATGGGTCTTGGAATTCTTTTCTTGGCTCTCTCTAGACGAAGTGCAGCTGCAGCGATGCTCTTAAAGCGCTTCTTAAAATGCTTCTCGGGGTCGCTCACCGCATCATATTCTTTCTTAAGCTTTTCCAGTTCCGTGAAATAGTTTTCCCATGTCGGAATGGGCATCGAAAAGGAAGGCCCCGCTGGAGTAAAAAAGTAACAAAAGAGACCGTAGGATTCGTCCACTACTTTGCGGTGCTCAGACGCTTGCATTTTGTGGTTCTTCCTGAATTTCAAGAATGTCGCATCGTCGCTTGCTCCAGACGACGATGCAGTCCTGCGGGAGTGCTGCCCCACAGATTGCTGCTGCTTGACCACGCGATTTGGCACCATTTTAAGATTGTGCAATCTTTTCTTCAGCCAACTCTCACGAATATCTTCGTCTTTCGTTTGGTATTCCGCGAAAATTTTCCGAATTTCTTCCTCCTTTTTGTTGGCCAATTCCACTGGCAATATCTTGTACGCCGGCGTCGGTGTAAAGAAGTAACGATCATCTCCGATGTCCCTTTCGAAAATCTTTTTCTCCCTTTGAGCCTGGATTTTAAGCCTTCTTATCAGGTCACTTTTTTCTTTCTCTGCTGAGCTATGATCTCTCGGTTGAGAGGGACCATCTTGTTCTTTCCGAAGTCTTTTAACTTGTCTAATAGAACGTGCAAGGCGTTTGCTCTTTTCTTTGTCGAGAGGTTCATCATGACTCCTATCAAGGAGCGGTAAAAGATCCTCGGGGATCATACTACGTTCTGTCTCGCTGAGAAGAACAGGCCTCCTCCTCTTGCGGGCTCGCTTCTGACCGTGCCGCTGAGCCTGGTCGGAAACAGTGCTTCGAGCTCCGCCTTCGTCATCTCCAGACTCATTATTATGTCTTCTGTGTTCCTCGTGGCGTTGAACGACACTCTGCTGAGAAGCATCGAAGGCATGCGCTGGATGAGGGAAGTCACTGTGAGGCGAGGCTCTGGTGGGAGAGTCGAACAAGCGTGGGAAGGGCCACGGGTCTTGGTGAGGCTCGGCTCCTGTAGGAGAAACGAGCCAGTCTGAGAATGGTCCTTGGTCATTGTGAGGCTCGGCGACGGGAAGTTCATTCCATTGTGTAAATAGGCCATGGTCTAGAGAGAACTACAATGGGCCACCACCTGTCAGACGAGACCGGGATTCAAAGAGTAGTAGTGAAACCCCTTCAACTCACATGCTCATCGCTAGGAGAATACGAATCTCCTCCGTATTCGCCGACCGGTACTGGTCGAGCGTGGCTTGCGTAAAGGAGCAGCAAAAGGATGAAGACCAGGATTGATGCGACTGTTAGAGACATGAGGGTCAAATCGAGCCGAGCGTTGCGTGATGAAGAGGGGTCACCCAAGTATGCCTTGGGCTATTAAAGCCTTTGCTTTTGACTGCCATGTTAGGGCCTAGGGGCGTCCTGGACGCCGCAACGCCCTGCGCCCGTGTTCATTTTGCTCGCCCTTCTTACTAGGCTCTGCTTCTCGGACCTTATTGGACGTGCTGGATGTCCGAAGCATGCCCTCAAGCGCGAATTTCAGAGATAAGCCAGGCGTCGCAGCACGACGCCTGCCCTCTATATACGAGGCCTTTTTTCCGCATTCTCCCCCTTCGCTTCGTCGCAGAATACAATTAAGTAGCCCCTGTTCGCTCAGGTGTCCAGCTTCCAGCTTCCTCACAGGCATCAAGGCAGGACTCATGTTTGGCACGGAATATCGACACCAATTCGGGCCTTGCCTAGTGCAGACGGGCGACAATTCTCAAGGACATACCCGTTGTCCCGCTTTGTCGTGCTGTACAGCACACATCCTGATTTAACGCCAGCTTACTCCCGTGTAAGTAAACCAAAAATGGAGCCTCCGGCTTCACTCTTTCACCCACACGACGTGCTTGCTCCTGTGGGTCTGCAGCTGTGATCGAGGAAGGAATTTATTGAATTTCAAAAGGGGGCGACGCGTGTATACTTCAAGGACCCCCCACACAGCCACCTGCATCACAGGGGCTACCAGATGCGAACGCTGCTGTCATGGTCTGCTGCGATGCAATTGCGACATTGTGCCTGTATCTATCTGCTGCTCCATACTAGTCTCCGTCAGTCATATCGAACTCTTGCGACTCTGGAAGGCGCCAAAGAACAGATAGGTCGCATCGCACAAGATTCGCGCACAATTGAGACTAGGTAGAAAAGCGTAGAGGTACTTTGTGAAGGTTCTAAGGCATGGCAAGACAAGCTTGCACGGCACCATCAACAGAGGTGAAAGAAGTCAATGTGATTAAGATAAGCAGAAGAAATAAAGGCTATTTCCCCCCTTCCTCCTCGAGCAGAGGCTTTAATTTTGTTCTTCCCTCGTCCTCCGCTCACGCTCTGCAGCTCTTTTGACGTTCCTCATTTCGGCAATGAGCTCAGCTTCAGATATTAATTTCCTGTTATACCGTCTCACGATCCTGTTCACTTCGCCTGAGTAGTCGTCCGCTTGCCATGCGAGCAGCGAAACGTAGTGTCTCTCCCGTGTGAAAAAGTAACGAGAGCCATCATAGTCTTCCTGCACCGCTTTGCCGTGTGTTTGAGCTTCTCGTATATTGCGAGAGGTGAATTTGTCAAGTTCCACATCGTTTTTGTGTGTTTTGGACGATGATCCAGTCTCGTTGCTTTGCTGTACCGCTATCTGCTGCTGCGTGGCCACAAGAATTGAGTTCTTCTTGAGCCTCAAGAATTCGTCCCTTAACCATCGGTCACGGGTTTCGGTGGGTCGATTCCAAAAGGTGCCGAGAATATTTACTATTTCAAGTAGATTCTCGTCGGCCACCTGGAGAGGCAACGTCGTGTATTTTGGGGTTGGTGTAATGAAATAACGCTCATCATCGATGTCTCTTATGAGGATCTTATTTCCTTCGTGAGCCAGCTTCTTGAGCTCAGGTAGGTTTTTCTTTTCCCACCGCGATGAATGGGGGTTTCTCTTTCGAGCGCGGCTTTTTTGCGGCTTTCTCCGGGCTTGCATGATAGCTCCAAGGCTTTCCGCAATGCAAGCGTGCTGATACTTGCTGAGTAGCTCATCAGAATCCATATCAAGGAGCTCCAAGATATTTTTGGGAAGCATAGCACGTTCTTTATCACTAAGAAGTGGCCTCCTCCTCTTCTTATTTGCTTTCTGAACGGGCCCTTGAGCCTGGTCGTGGACAGAGCCTTGAGGTTCGCTTTCACCATGTCTGGGCATGTCAACTGGCAAGCTCTTCTCACTGTGTTCCTCGTGGTGTTGAGGGGTGCCTTGTTGATCTGTGTTGATGACATGGGCCGGAGGGTTATCGCTGTATGGCCAGGTCTGGTAAAGATGGAGACATTCTTGCCACACCGACGAGTCTCCGTGAAGATCGGTTCCGGTAGGTATGAAGCTCTGATCTGTGTTGGGGACATGGACCGGAGGGTTATCGCTGTATGGCCAGGTCTGGTAAAGATGGAGACATTCTTGCCACACCGACGAGTCTCCGTGAAGATCGGTTCCGGTAGGTATGAAGCTCTGATCTGTGTTGGGGACATGGACCGGAGGGTTATCGCTGTATGGCCAGGTCTGGTAAAGATGGAGACATTCTTGCCACACCGACGAGTCTCCGTGAAGATCGGTTCCGGTAGGTATGAAGCTCTGATCTGTGTTGGGGACATGGACCGGAGGGTTATCGCTGTATGGCCAGGTCTGGTAAAGATGGAGACATTCTTGCCACACCGACGAGTCTCCGTGAAGATCGGTTCCAGTAGGGTTGAAGCCGTCGTGTGGAAACGACGCCTGGCTATCGTGAGGCTCGGCAAGGGGAGACTTGTTCCACTGTGAAAACACGTCCAGGTCTGGAGAGAATTGCTGTGGGCCAAAACTGGTCAGACTGAACGAAATGTCACAGAGTCGGTAGGAACGCCTTCAACTCACATGCTCATCGCTGTAGGTAAAAGGACTTGCGCCAAGTTCACCAGCCGGTACCGGTCGAGCCTGGCTCGCGTATAGGAGCAATAGTAGCTTGAAGACCAGGATCGATGCGACTGTTTGAGACATGAGGGTCAGTTGGAGCATTGTGTGATGAAAAAGGGGTCCTCCAGAATGCTTTGGGGTATTTGAGCCTTTGCAGTTGACTGCCATGCCCAGGTTCTCATGAAATTATGGACGCCCCGGCGCCCTGTGTACTGTACAGTACAGTACTTCCTTTGTTTCTCTCGCCCGTCTTTTTTTTCTCGCGCCCATATTTATTTCGCTCGCCCTGTTTACTCGGCCCTGGTTCTCCAGTCTCACTCGCCGTGACGGACGTCTGAAGCACGCCATCGCATGCTGGGCAGCGTAGAAATCCTGGAGCGCCCTCAACCAGACCCTCAGGCACAAATTTCAGAGATAAGCCGGGCGTTGCAGCGCCACGCCTGCCTTTGTATACGAGGCTTTTCCCTGTATTTTCCCTCTTCTCCTCGTCTCCGGATACATTCTGATAGCTTGAGTTCCCCCAAGTATCGCTCACGTCATGGAAAGGAGAAGCAAAATTGCAGAAGGTAAAGCATTGTGACGAGCGCAAGGCATGAAGGCTGCGCGACACGCTCGGACGGCGCCATTGTCTTAGGTGGTAAAACTTATTTCACTATTTATCAAGGCTATAAGCATTATTCTCTCCGAGCAGGGCCTTATATCCCTTCTCTTTCTTGGTCCCCTACTCTATACGCTTTGCATGTTGTCGGATGTTATTCAAATCTTTTAGGAACTCATCATCAGTGATACTTTTCTTATTGTACCATCTCACGACCCTATTTAGTTCGCCTGAAAAATTATTCGCTTGCCAGTCGGGCAGCGAAGCATGACGTCCATTGCGAGTGAAAAGGTAACGGAAGCCCTTATGGACTCCTTGCGCCACTTTTTCGGACGTGCGAGCTTCTTTTTGTTTGAATTTTCTGAATGTCGCCAAGCCCGCATCTTTTTCGCTTGCTCCAGACGACGATCCAGTCTCGCTGTCTTGCTGTGCCACTAGTAGTTGCTGCTGCTTGACCACGCGACTTGGTGTTTCTTTTAACCTGTAGAGCGCGCTCCTCAAGCAATTGTCACGCCTTTTTCCGGCGCGTTTGCTGTAGTATTTATGGAGAAGTTCTTTTATTTTTTCTCGCTTCGCTTCGGCCACTTTGAGAGGCAATGACGAGTATGTCGTCGGTGTAATGATGCAAAGTTCACCGTCGATGACTATTGTGAGAATCTTCTCTCCATCGCGAGCGTCTGCCATGAGCTTCTCTGAGCGTTTGCCCTTTCCCGACTGCGATGGAACACGGCCTTGCTCTTGAGCAACCATTTGTCGTTGCTTTCTCCGGGCATTTATGATACGAGTGAGATAACGCCGTAGGGTGATGAAGTGATCCTTGCTGTCTTGTTCATCGGGAGCTTGATCAAGGAGAGACAAGACCTCTGGGGGAAGTGTAGCGCGTTCTTTATCACTAAGAATAGGCCTCCTCCTTCCGTCAAACTTTTTCTGAACGGGCTGCTGAATCTGGCCGTGGACAGAACCCTGGGTTTCATTTTCGCCGTATTCGGGCATGCCAACTGGTAAGTACTGCCTGCTGTGCTCCTCGTGGTGCTCGTCAGCACTCTGCTGATCTTCGTCGAAGACACTGGCATGATGAAGTAGTTCATTGTAGGACCCGGCTTCAGGAAGGTCGGAACAGTGTTGCGACCACCACACGTCTTTGATAGAATCAGCTCCGGCAGTGTTGAGCCGGCCGTGTGGATACGATGCTTGCCAATTGTAAGGCTCGGCGAGGGGAGGATGGTTCCATTGTGAAACCGAACCGTGCCCTAGAGAGTACTGGGTAGAGAGTATGGGATTGGGCCCTGTCAGACTGGACTACATGTCCTAAAGTCAATAGAGACACCTTCAACTCACGAGCTCATCGTCGTAGGGAAAAGGACGCTTGCCACTAGCACCTGTCGGTACTGGTTGAGCTTGAGACCGGGTTGCGTTAAGGAGCAATAACAGGCTAGAGACCAGGATTGATGCGACTTTTCGAGTCATGAGCGTCGATTTGAGCGTTGAGTGATGAGGATGGGATCACTCAGAATGCCCTGGGGCACTTAAGCCTTTGCATGTGGCTGACAAGTCAGGGTCTCAGGGATCATCGACGCCCCGGCGCCCTGTGTCCCTCCTTTGTTCTGCTCGCCCTTTGTTTTTTTTTTTTCTTGCGCTCGTGCTTATCTCTCGCGCCCGTCTTTATTTCGGTCGCCATGTTCACTCGACCGCGTTTCTCGGGTCTCATTAACCGTGACGGGCGTCCAAAGCACGCCATCGCATGCTGCGCACCGTAGCAATCCTAGAGCGCCCTCAAGCAGGTTCTCGGGCACGACTTAGAGAGAAGCCAGGCGTCGCAGCGCGACATCTGCCTACGTATATGAGGCTTTTCCCTGTTTCAGAACACATTCTGATAGCTCCGGTTCGCTCTGGTGTCGCACAAATCATATTTTCGAGCACAATGGAAAGACAAAGAAAAATGAGGAAGGCCAAGCCTTCAAGGCTTGATGGAAGCCTCAAGAAAGGCTCGGACGGCGCCATTGATCGAGGCGATAAAAGTAGTCGCACCATCAATCAAGAGTGCTTCTCCTCTTCCCCTGCGAGCTCCGTCCCCTCCTCTACCCGCCCTGCAACTCTTTTGGTGTTTTTAACTTCCTGCAGAAAGTCCTTTTTAGAGCTGATCCCGTTATCGTACCATTTCACGATCCTGTCCAATTCTTGTGAAAATCTCCCCGCTTGCCTGTCGGGCAGCGAAACACTACTTCCCGTCGGAGTGAAAAAGTAGCGGAAGCTCCTATGAACTCCTTGCGCCGTTTTACCGTACGTCTTAGCTTTTTTGATATTGTGTGACTTGAAATCATAGATTTTCAATTCTTCTCCGCCTGCTCCAGACGGGGACGCAGTCTCGCTGTTTTGCTGTGCTGCTGCTAGTATATTCTGCTGCTTGGCGACGCGATTTGGATGAGATTTGAGACGATACAGCCTGTCTTTGAACCGTTTGTCCCTTTTCTGGGGGGGGTCTACGTGGAAATAGCCCTTGATAAGTGCGGCAATTTTGTTTTGCTTCTCGTTGGCCAGTTCGACCGGCAATGACATTTGTGCCGGCGTCGGTGTGATGAAGTAACGAAAACCGTTGATGTCCTCTTGAAGAATCTCCTTTCCTCCGCGAGCCCGTGAATTGAGCTCCTTTAGGCGTTCTCCTACTCTTGGCTGCGATGGACCGAGGTCTTGCTTTTGGGCGACCTTTCTTCGTTGGCTTTGCCGGGCGTTCAAGGTTTCATTAATATACTGCTGCATCTCTTCTCGCTCACCCTGCGAAATTTCTTCATTGGGAGGCTTATCAAGGAGCTCCAAGATCCTTTTGGGAAGCCGAGCACGTTCTTTGTCACTGAAAAGAGGCCTCTTCCTTTTGACAGTCTTTGGCTGAGCGGGGCCCTCAGGTTGGCCGTGGACAGAATCCTGAGTCTCACTTTCGCCGTAATTGGGCATGTCACTTCGTAATTTCTGTCTGCTGTGCTCCTCGTGGTTCTGGGCGGCGCTTCGCTGATAAGTATCGAAGACGTGGGCAGGATGAGGTAGTTCATTGTAGGGTCCGGCTCCTCTGGGAAGGTCGAAGCATCGGTGCATCAAGCACAAGTCATCGTATGGATCGGCACCACTAGGGTCGAACCACTTTGAGGACGACGACCGGTCCTCGTGAGACTCAGTGAGGGTAGGTTGGGTCCACTGTGCCACTGAGCCCTGGCCTTGAGAGGACTGGGTAAAGCGTACGGGGTTGGGCCACCACCTGTCAGACTGAATTGAAAGTCAAAAAGTCAATAGAGACGCTTTCAACTCACATGCTCGTTGCTGGGGAGCAAAGGTCTTTTGCCACGTTCATCAACCGGCACTGGTCGCGCTTCGGGGTGGCTGGTGTAAGAGAGCAGCAACAGACTGGAGACCAGGACTGACGCGAACTTTCGAATCATATTTGTCGATTTGAGCGGTGAGTGATGAAGACGGGACCACTCAGAATGCCCTGGGGTATTTAAGGCTTTGCCTTCGACTGCCATCAAGTAGGGCGCAAGTCTGGCACGGAAGACTTGCGCCCATTCGGATCTTGTCTTCCACCAACGGGCGATGACGATACAGGACATACTCGACGCCCCGCTTTGTTGTGCTGTACTGCACACAATACGGCTTTACGCCACTTTGCTCCGTGCATGAAACAGACTCCTCTACTTCAGTTTTTTCATCCTCACGACATGTTTGCTCCTGTGAGCCTGCGACCACTCGGGTCACAGGGGGTGTCAGATAAACAAGCATCTCGCTAAGGTAATGTACAGTGCTTGGGGACTCGCGAAAATGGACGAAGGTGACTGTACGATGTTCGGCTGAGTAGGAAACTGACGCGGAAGGGCTCGGTCAAAGGGTGGGTCTCGGTTCAGTCGTGGCAAAGGGTCTCTTTGCCCTCTGTCACAAGTACGAAACCGACGCCATACCGACGACTCGCCTTCACTCACTCAAAGAGAAAACAATGCTTGTCCTGTGTTTTCGGGCCCTCGCCCTCTTTCGCTTGCCTCTGCCACTCTTCACTGCCTCAGACTGGCCCTTCGCCCTTGCGAGTGTGACGCGAACCCCACTTTTCACCCGCTGTAAATAAGCAGATCAGGGCGGTGCAGTCAACACAATCAGACGGTCAACCCAGAAGGGCAAACGCGCGTCTGCAAATTGGAGGGCCTATGAAGTGGGCGACCCCGCCCATCGAGGGTGCCCCTCATCGGTATGAATTTGAACCTTCGACGCTGGACCAAGTGCGCCAGCGAGGCCACAGTGCGTCGCTTGGAGACGCAAAGAAGGGCATTGCAAATACAATCGTGGTCTGTAGGTCTAGTACAGCAAAGAGAGAGGGAGCACATGTATCAGTGCGAGGAAGGCCCTGCGCGAGAGCAATCACCCGAGCCAGCGCGCACCTCAGTCGGAGAGAGGAAGCAGAGCGAGTGAGAGCAAAAAGCCGGGCGGCGGGCGCTCGCGTCTGTTCAGGCACCGCATAATGACGGCCCGCTCATGAACAGACTGTCCAGGGCACGAGCAGCGTGTGTACATGCCCGCCTTTTGCCCGCTGGTGGCAGGGAATAAAGTCGGGTCCGCCACGAGGTTTGCGCGCCCCGCCGCCCTCCCGTGCGAAGAAAGAGAGACGCCACCTTCTGAGCGTGTGTGTGGCGACTGTCTCGTTCCTCGTCCCTCCGAGTCTATCTCAACGATCTTTCGCTCCTCCTCTTTGACCTTCGATGCCATCCCATCACCACCTTGGCTCTCATCCCGCTGCTGGGCCATCATCTCCTCCGCCGCCTACCGTGCCCGCGACTGTGAGCGCTCAGCACGCCATCTCTCCCTCGCAGTCCGCCAGTCCAAGTGTTTCCCACACGGCTCAGCCCGGCGAGATGTGCGCTTGTCCTAGCTCAGACGCAAACTGCTCTAGGTCCGGCACCAGTGGTCCCTGTGGTGTGTCCGCCGGCGACGGATGTGGCGGCAGCTGCAACGGCAACGCCATTGCTGGGGAGTCGTCGTCTTCGTCATCCTCGTCGTCTTCGTCGTCGGCCTCGCCGTCGTCCTCGCGTCAGTCGGTGTCAGCAGACCCAGATTGTGCTGGAACTGCTCCAAATGGCAATGAAGCCGAGTCTTGCAGCACGGGTGAGTCAATCTTTGGCAGAAGGCGATGCCTCGGCTGATCGGAGCTCTTGAGAAACAGCAGAGGCATCCAACAACGATGATGGCGAGGGCGGCGACAGCGACTTCAACGACAACGTCAACACAGACAGGGGCATTGCTGTTGCCACGAATGACAGTGGAAAGGACATGACCAGCAATGGCAGCAATGTGAACAACAACGGTGCTACTAGCTCTTCTCTGGTGAGCTGCACTAGGAGGCACTAGCGCGAGTCGTGACTGACACCGTTTGCTTGTCTGTAAAGCCGGTCGCCCCTCACAGCGAGGCCGTAGATCCGTTTGAAACAGTCAGTTCCTGCAAGGAAGACCTCCACGGTGCACACATGAGGCTTGCAGACCTCAAGGTGCAGCATGGCTCCATCGAGGTTGAGATCATACGTACCACCGACGAGCGCCGCCTAGCTGACCGTGAGCGTGAGCGCGTCTGGGAGGAGAAGCTTCGCGCGGTGGCAGCGCATGGTCAAGCAGAGAACGAGCAACAGCTTCGGGACGACGAATATCGCCGTGCTCCGAGAGACCGTCTTCGCCTCTGTGCAGAGCGTGCTCGTCAGGCCGCCGAAGAGTGTCTTCGCCACAGCCACTTGTGCATCAGTCTCGACGAAAGGCACCGTAGCTCCGAGGCCGAGTGCAACCGCATCAACAGGGAGATCCAGCGTCTCCATCGGGAGCGTGATCACCTCGCCGGCGCTGTCCAGTCCGCCGAGGCCGGCGTCAGTGCTCTGGCCGCGGCCTATGAGGACGCTCTCGTCGAACTAGACAAGTTCTTCTCTCGCGACTAGTCGCGACGTCGGCTTCGAATGACTTTGGCCGTGCAAGTCGCCAGCATGGCCGAGAAGCAAGTTGAAATAGAATGTAGTTATTGTCGACGAGGGAATGGGAGGGTGAGTCAACTGAATGTACTGGCTTGGTCCAGTCTCACTGATTCTCGAGCAGCACGACAGCGGGGGAATCAGATTTCCTGATGTCATCTTGGTAGCCTGTGCTTTACTTATCTTCTGTCCCTACCGTCTCCCCTTCACACCGATCAAACTGTACTCTTTTCCTGTTCCCCTTCGCTCAGCTGTCTTTTGCGTCTATATTCTCAATCAAAAGTATCATCACTGTTCATAATTGCCCGTTCTTGGTGGCCTATCTATGGCCACAGGAGGGAACGACAGACAATGGTTAAATACAAACCTCAGGGTTGAAACGCATCGACAAGGGGCAGCGATAAAGAATAGGTTGCTGATTTCGTTCGGGGCCTTCTTTGTGGACACTATCCACAAACACTCCCCTAAAGGGGCTCGGGAGGCCGGGTCAAACAGGGGCTCACTACGTTTCACACAATGGAAACTTCTCTCGTGGTCTTCAATCTAGGCAGCGGGAGGAGGAACAGTCCAAACAATGACGTGGCAGCACCTTGCTACACCATGTGAGTCGACATGAGTCGCTTTACGCAAGCCAGCAGCAAAGACTAAGATGGTCTTGCCTTGAGCTGGTTCAATCAGCCAGCCTTCTCTGGTTCCAAGCAACCACGGCCTGTCAATGCCAATTGGACGGTGCTACCTCCCTTCAATTAGTCAGGCACTAGCGTAAACGTCAACACCACACTAGTAGTGCAGATCGAGCTCCTGCCATTTTTTATTCCGGTGAAGGACGCGCATTGCCGTCTAAATGCGCAACGGGTCGGTGGAGATAAACGGGGGAAATTGCTGCGCCGTGGAGAAGCACAACAGATCGGGGGGAGTCTGATTGGGAAAGGCGAGGACTTAAATATTCGCTCTCGAATCGGTGCTGAAGACTCCTCAACCTCCCCTCCCTCCTCAACCATCGTCACCGGCAATGCCTGAGCTTCGGGTCCTCATCGTAGGGGCTTCTATCGCCGGCCCATGCGCAGCCTACTGGCTCGCCCGGTCTGGCTGCAGTGAGGTGACCGTCATCGAGCGCTACCCCTCTTTCCGCAGGGGAGGACAGAACATCGACATCCGCTCGTACGGTGTCGCTGTGATGCGTAAGATGGGCGACATGGAGGAACGGGTACGAAGCAGACTAGCGCCGTTCAAGGGTCTCGAGCTCGTCAACAAGACCGGACGGGTGCTCGCCACTATGCGTGCGTCGGGAGATGCAGATCGGCAGGCGTTGGTGTCCGAGTTTGAGATCTTCCGAGACGACCTAAGCGAGATCATGTACGACCTTTCGCTCGAGGCCGGAAAGGGAAATGCGGGCGAGCCAAACAGGGTCAGGTACGTGTTTGGCGAACAGATCTCTTCCCTCGCCCAGCCTGCTGGAGAGAATGGGCCCATCAAGGTCGAATTTGCAAACGGCGTTCTCCAGCCGTCGGAGTTCGACCTGGTGATAGCCTGTGATGGCGCGACGTCGCGCACTCGAGCGCTGGGCTTTCACTGCAACGTCAGGGATCACATCGAGTCAATCGATGCGTGGGGTGCATACTTTAGCATTCCTAAATCCATTCTGCGAGATGGCCAGTACGGCCAAGGCTACAGTGCAGTGCCTGGACGCTTTATGGGCGTTGGTCCCGATCACGACGGCAAGACAAATCGCGTCGCACTTGTCGGTATCCATCCCCGCACAAGCGAGACCGCCCCACGTATGGAAGAGTTTCGACAGGCCTCACGGATGGGCACCGAGGCTACCAAGACCTTTGTCGCCGACGTCTTCCGCGGCGCAGGATGGCAGACTGAGCAGCTGCTCGAACTTATGGAGAAAGCCGACAACTTTTATGCCTCGGAGATGGTGCAAGTCAAGATGCCGTCTCTGTCCCAAGGCCGCTTTGTCCTCTGCGGCGACGCCGGATACGCCGCTGGTCCGACTGGAACCGGTACGAGCCTGGCGATGCTTGGTGCCTATATCCTAGCAGGCGAGGTAGCCTCCCATAGGAACGATCTTCCGAGTGCCATCAAGGCGTATGAGGAACGTATGCGACCGGTGATCACCGAGTCGCAGAAGATCCCAAGCGGAATGCCAGGCATCATGGCTCCACAGACGACATGGGGCTTGATGCTACGGAACATCATCTTTGTAGTCCTCTGTAACCTTATGGCGCTCGGAAGCTCGTTGCCTCTCTGGCTGGGCGGCCTCTTCTCCATTGCGTTTGGCAACGCACATGGCACTATCATACCCGAGTACGATTGGGGCTCCTAGTGTCCGGCTGCTGTTGCTGCTTTTGCTCCCCCTGCCCCTTTCGCAGGTCCATACCCACATTTCTACCAACTTGATCATACCAAGTAGACCCTGCCGCGTCAAGTTTCTAGTCATCGCGTAAATGTGCGATCTTGCACCTCGATGACTTCTCTGCCCTTTTCCTTCGTCTGAAGAACCCTTTCGACCGTTGTAGCCTCACCAAGGCGCAGGAAAAAGCTGTGTTTGACACCGTTGTAGCTTCACCAAGGCGCAGGAAAAAGCTGTGTTTGACACAATTGTATGTCACGGAGTGGATGCAGTATGTTCAGGAATGCAGGAACAAAGTTTTCTCTCTACTAAGCAGAGATGCAGGCAGGTCCTCGCCTCCTCCACCCCCACGTCGAGCGGCAATCTTCCTGTTTACCGTGCGAGAGCGATCTCAGGAACTTCGACAAGTAAAAACAGCGAGGCAGTCTCTTTTCTTATAAACAAACAGGCAATAGACTGCCAAAATGCAGAGCAAGAAATCTACTCAGAAGAGGCCTGCTGTGAAGGTGCCGATAAGGGTGCCAAAGACCGAGACTGAGGAATGTCGGAATAGTACTCGTATTTTGTCCATCTTCAACCAAAAAGAATCGAAATGGGACAAAGAGAAGAGAGCTGAACAGTGCGAATTCGTACGAACGAAGAGAAAAAAGAGCAGAATAGAGGATCGCGTGCGCATCGCCGCTCAGCACGAAGCAGGCGAAGGGACATTTGCACACTTTGTCGACTTCTTCCCGCCCGAAATGCTGTTGCCGCTCCACTTCCAGCCGGAGCAGCTTCCCTTTCCACAGAGGATGTAGACTTCCGTGGCGCTCGACGAGACTGAGCCCGTCACGCCCGACACTTCGAGATTGGTAATGGGGACGCCGGTCGTCGGTGTGCCCGTTGGCCCGCCGTTTTCGTAGTCCTGTTCAATGACGATGCCATACTTGGAAATGTTGGACAGCTTGACATTGGTGTAGTGCACGTTGTTGACCGAGCCCGTCGCGCCAGAGACAGTCTTGATCCTGACGCCGTTTTCCGAGTTCGACACGCTCGAGCCGCTCACGTAGACACCGTCGACCTTGTTGTCAGAACGCCCGCCAACGGAACCAATCGAGATGCCGTGGCCACCCGAGCAGGTGTTGCCAGTGAAGTGAATGTCAGAGCCCGAGTTGACGGCCAAGCAGTCGTCCTGGTTCTGCACGTTGGAGTTGGAAATGGTGACGGTGGTGCTGGAACCAACGTCAAAGGCGTCGGTGTTGTGCCCACCATTCGAGTCGCCATCTTTGTTGTTGATGGTAATGTGGTCGAGGGTGAGCGACTTTGCGCCATTGATGGAGAAACCTGCCAGGCTCTCGGGGTCAATGTCTGCGAGGGGACTGTGGAGCCTGGAAGAGCAAAAGGGACTCACCCTGAACGGGAGTGTTCTTCACATTGAGGTTGGTGATCTTTGCGTTGGACATGTTGTGGGCGAAGAAAGTCTTGGGTTTCGTCTTGCCACCGTTGCTGCCTGATTGTTCAATTGGGTGAGCGCTTATTCTACAAGCACGAGATAAAGCTGTCAACACATACCCTTGGAGTCCCACCAGCGGGCTCCGTCGCAGTCGATGAGGTGGCCGCTGGCGCCAGTGATGGTGATGGAGCCATCAGCAGAGATGAGGGGTCCTTCCCATTCCTTGTAGCCGAACGTCGTCGTACCGGCAAAGGTGACCGAGGTTCCCGACTTGAGGCCGGTCAGGTCGAGCGTCTGGCCGGCAGGCACAGCAATACCCTGCAAGGTGATCGAAGAGCAGGAACCCTTGCCCGAGGCAAGCGCCGAGGTCGAGGTGAAGGTGCAACTAGCCCGAGGCTCGATCGAGAGACCGTAGCTCGAAGCGGCGAGAGCGATTGCCAGCTGGATGTAAGTGGTGAGCTGCATGGTGCTTGCTGTGGCTGGAGTTGGCCCAAGATCGTCGTCGAGGCATCCTTTTAACCCTTTTCGCCATGGTGTGTGGTTGTCGAGGTGGGGGCATCACTCAGGCCCATTCGAGAAGAACTATGCTCCCCCCCACTCCCATCCATCCACCTCAAGCTCGATGCTGTACTCGAATGCATAGAAAGCACTTAGGCGGACATTTAGCTAGCGTCTCAACGTCAAAAGGAAGCTAATTTTCCCGCTACGTCGCAGTGAGTCCAGGCTATCACGGGTTGTTTCGTTCCTGATTATTCAACTTGTTCTGCGAACCCGGACCCGTGTTCCGCGGGCCCGGCGGTCTCGAGGCTTCGAACCGCTGTCGGTTAGAGTTCCCTAAGGAAGTTTCGCCGAGACGTCGAATCCCCAGGCGTTTGAAAACGAAGCTTTACGCCTTCCTTCGGAAGCGCCATCTATCGACTTCTTCAGCAGCTGCGTCTTTAGGAGTCGCTGCATTGCTCTAGACTCTTCACAGGGGCGCTATCGTCTGGCAAGAAGAAGGGGTCCAAGTGGGACAACATGCTATGGTGCGGTGTTGATCGACGTGGGGGGGATGGAAGCAACGTCTCCCTAGCCTACTTCTGTTTTCCTTGTTTTCCGGCAAGTTTGTTCTGGCCTCGAATGCTCATTGCTTCCATCGTCAAAGTGTCGAAGCCACTCCGGGCTGGGTGCGCTTGGTCTTCAAGGTGGGTGCGCCCCGGCCCCGTCAGCCCTGACATGACAGAATAGGGAAACCAAACCGGTCTGACCAATGAAGCGGAAAAAAGTAGCTCATACGCGCCCTAAATCTAGGCAGCGTGCACGCCTTTTTCCCAAGCTAACTACGCTAACCGTTCGGGGATAGGCGCAGACGTTGCCTGATCTCGAGGCGAACAAGGTCACGTCAAAGTGGGGAAAGTGCAACGAGGCATGGTCGTGTCACATGTGCGCTAAGACTTGCGCGAGCCCCTACTGGCCCCTTATTGGCGTGGGGTGTATACGTCTGGAGGAAGTCGTTGGTCGCAGGTAGAGGCCATTAACACCATACAGGCAATGCATCAAGGTGGGGGACACGAAGAGTCCAACGATGCGAGAGGGAAGAGAGTCAAACGATGCGAGGGGGAATGAGAAGTCTGTTCAAGATACCCAGGAGTGTGTGAAGCACTTAAATACGAGACGCTCGGTCCTTTTTCGAAGAAGACGCTGCAAATAGCTTCCGCTCAGTCCCCCTCCTCCTCAAGCTCCTCGTTAGACTAAGGGGTTCTTTTGTCTTCTCCCTTGTCAGTATGCACTTCCTACAGTCTGCACTTCTCCTCGTCACTGCCTGGGTGTCGCTCGCTCATGCCTTGTCGTCACCGCCATCGGGCGCCCTGGTGGTGAGCAAGTCACCTTCCTCGGGCCAATACAAGTCGGTCCAAGCCGCCGTCAACGCCCTGTCCAAGTCGAGCAGCAGCAAGCAGACGATCTTCATCGAGGCCGGCACGTACTCAGAACAGGTCCTCGTCCCCTCCCTCTCGGGACCACTTGCCATCTATGGATCGACAAGCGACTCGGGCTCGTACAAGTCCAACACGGTCACCATCACCCATGCTGCTGGTCAGTCCGATGGCCTGAACAACGACCAGACGGGCACGCTTCGCGTCATGACTTCGAAGTTCTCCTTGTACAACGTCAATGTGGTCAACTCGAAGGGCCAGGGCACCCAAGCGATTGCACTGAGCGCCCAGGCCGGCCAGCAGGGGTACTACGGCGTCTCACTCAAGGGCTACCAGGACACGCTGCTGGCCCAGACGGGCGCGCAGGTCTATGCCAAGTCCTACATTGAAGGCGCCGTCGATTTCGTCTTTGGCCAGCACGGTCAGGTTTGGATTCATGACTGCGACATCGGCGTCTCGGCCGGCGGCGGATATGTCATCGCGAGTGGACGGAACTCGTCGAGCGAGAACTCGTGGTATGTCATTGACAGCAGCCGCATCCAGGCCGCTTCGGGCAAGTCGGTCAGCAGTGGCAGCACCTACCTTGGCCGGCCATGGGGTCTCTACGCCCGGGCCGTTGTCCAAAAGTCGACGCTCAGCTCCATCATCAATTCGGCCGGCTGGAGTATGTGGAACAAGGGCGACGAGCGCACGGCCAATGCCTACCTGGCCGAATACAGCAACACGGGAGCCGGTGCCTCGGGCCAGAGGGCTTCCTTCTCCAGGAAGCTCAGCTCTGCAGTCGACATCACCACAGTCCTTGGCTCGTCGTACGAGAGCTGGGCAGACAAGTCCTACCTTTGAGCCGATGCAAGCCGCAGTAACCCTCCTCCTCCGTTCTTTCTTAGCCTTCTCTTCCTTCTGAAAGCAGCTTGTCAGACGCAGCGAATGCATCTTGTTTCTTTGCCAAGCATCAACGTACATCCTGCCACCTCGCTTGCGACTGGTGACACGTCTATCTCCAGTCTCGAAAGCATGCCATTTGAGCACCCGTCTTCCGTCGTCCGTATTATCTGCTCTGAATCAGACTAGTGAAGTAAACTACTACTATACAATGAAGATGGGAATTAAGAATGAAGAGGGGCAAAATGACCAATGCAGGCATCTATGAGCGGCTTGGAAGCATCGGACGTTTCGGCCTCGGAATTTCCAAAGGCGCCGTAGTGGGACCCGTCGAGGCACAGAGCCGTGACATTGTCAGAGACGAGCGACATGGCCATGTCGCTTTTGAGTTCCATGTCGAGATCGCGATAGCCGCGCGTGGTGAGGAGGCCGTTTGTCATCGAGATGGACAGAATCGGAATTGACTGGCCAGAAGGAAGCGTGAGCGCGCGTCGTAGCCATTGAGCGAGCACGTCGGCTGAAAACGGAGACCGGTCTGTGATGCCGTGGGAGTAGAGGAGGCGCAGGGCAAATCGCAGCTGCCGATCCATTGCGTGGTAGAAGGACGCCACCCAGGGCACGGCCTCTTCACTGCGGAGCTGAGCGAGCAGCGCAGGCTCAAAGGCCGGCTCGGCGTCTTCCTCGACCTGTCGCAGGACATCGTCGAAGATGTAGTCGAACGGATTGTCGGACCGGAGGAAGCTGCGCTCGAGCGCGCGCGTGAATGGCGGGACAAGGAGCAAGGCGGGGCTGTTGTCGATGATGATGAGCGACTCGACAGTCTGCTCCTGCTCCTTGAGCAGCTCCACGAGCCGTGGCGCCCAGAGCGCGCCCAGGCAAAAGGCAGCTAGGCGATAGGGTCCCTGCGGCTGCACCCTACGGATCTGGTCGGCATAGTATTGGAGAATCTCGTCTGCGCTGCAAAACGTGGCAGAGAGTCGGGTCTCGCGCACGCCAAAGACAGGAAAGGGCAGCCCGAGGGCCCAGTGGCGAAAGTGCCGAATGCCAATGCCGCCGCCGTGGAGGATGAAGAGAGCGTGGCCGTCGGTGACATTGTTGAGGCTGACGACGCACTCGTCGGCATCCAGCTCGCGGCTTTCGCGATTCTGCAACGGAAGGTGATTTCCGGCAGTGGCAGCGAGTGCCTCGAGACGGCCGAGGTTGGCATCGCTGAGGAGCTGGAGCTGGCTCACGTCGACGGCAAAGTGCTTGCGAATGGCGGCCGACAGCCGCGAAGCAGAGAGCGAGTCGAGGCCGTAGACTTTGAGAGCGACGTCGTCGCGCACCTCGCCCGGCTCCATGTCCAGGTGCATGGCGACGAGCGACCGCATCGAGACGCCGTTCTCCTGACGGCCATGCAGGTGCGGGTTGAGGATGCGCTGGTTCATGAGGTGGGTGCAGAGGTGCCGCGTGGCGCCCTTGAAGCGGAGGAGCAGCGAGAGATCGAGCCGCCCGACAAAGAGGGTACTGGGCGCGCCATCCTGGAGCAGCATGAGCGTGTCGGCCATGGCCAGCAGCACCTCGTCCATGGAGCAGGCCGCGTCGACCCAGACCCTCGAGCGCGAAAAGCTCTTTTCCTCGGCCGTGGCGCGCGCAAATGTGCCAGCGTCGGTGATGCTGGGCACGAGCATGGCCACGCTGCGAGGCCGTTTGGCGACCATGTCCTCCATCCACGTGTTGGCCGCGCTGTAGTTTGCAGAGCCCTGGCTGCCGGGCAGCGACGAGAGGCTCGAAGTGGCAATGAGCCAGGCCTCCTTGGCGAGGTGGCGCATGAGGACCTCGAGCCCACGCACCTTGGGCCGGTAGACGTGCTCAAAGTCGGCCGTGGTGAGATCCTTGAGGCGTTTGTCGAGAAGGGCGAGCGGGAGGAAGAAGGCGCCTTGGAAGTCATTGTCGGCGCAGAGCTGACGGGTAGCGGCATCATCGGCTGCATCCATGGCAGATGTCTCGAAGCAAAGATCGCTGCGCTGCTCGAGCCAGCCAAAGTAGAATTTGTCCCTCTTCGACGTGGACGCCCTCTGGAGAAAGGCGTGGCCGCCGCCGCGAGACGTGCAGACGATGTGCCGTGCGCCCCGCGTGTACATGAAGTGGGCCAGGCGGAGGCCCATGCTGCAGCATCCACCCACGATCAGGTAGCTGGCATCGCCATCAAAGAGCGGCGTGCGCTCCTGCCACCCGTGCCGATAGACCTTGTCCGAGGGACTGTCTGGCGCCTGGCTCATCGGAGGCGTGGCCGGACACCTCTGCAGCGAAGACTGCTGCACAGCGTCTCGGAGCGAGATGCTCCGGAACGGGTTCTCTTCTTTGGTGATGAAATCGACGACGCGGCCACAGAGCTGGCGACAATCCTGCAGACCGAGACGCCCCGTGTCCTCGAAGAAGAGCACGAGATCCGGCTCAAAGTCCATGACCTCGCCAAAGGCATCGGCGCTCTTGATGACGCTGAGCACTTGGAGATCCGGATCCGATGGCTGAAAGTCCGACGGCAAGCCTTTCCCGACAGCAGCCACCTTTGCTCGACTGCCTGACCACGCTGCAACGATGCAGCGCAGGGTCGCGGATGCGATGCTGTGCACATCGACACCGAGGGGCACCTCGACAAGCTCCGTTTCGGGCACCGTGATGGCAGACGGGGCACCGTCGGTGCACCAAGCGATGCCAAAGACGTGCTTGCCCCCGTGGTGGCCTGTAGCCAGCGTCCAAGCGCCGAGGCGCACCGATTGCACGACGTGAACCAGGGCGTTGCCCTGGCTGGCTTGGTGGCGAGCGCAGCTGAACGTCGCCTGGTGCTCGCCCTTGTCGCCCACACTGACGACATCGACGGCGGAGCTGCCCAGCAACCAGGGCTGGGGGCCGTCGATGGAGACCAAGCGACGGACTTGGACGCTGCCGCCACTCGCCACGAGCAGCTCTGGCTCGAGGGGAGCGAGACGGAGGGCGTCGTCGATGGCAGATGGCACGTCCTCCACACCTGCCTCGACCATGACGGCGGTGATGTGCAGGTGCGGGTGCTCGACGCGGCCCGAGCGCGTTAGTCCCCACACGGCAGGGCAGTCGTCCGCGGCAGCAACGACGACGAGGTGGGGCTGCTGCTGCTGCTCGTCGTGGTGCTCTGCGATCCACTGCGCCAGCTGCGCCTCGTCGCCCTGCCTGAAGTGGAAGCGCGCCTCGTCGCCCTGCGTGGGCTGCCAAGCCTGTTGGATGGCCGCGGGCTGTACCGGCCCAGCCTGGGCAGTGATGACAATGTGCGACATGTAGCTCGAGCGCGTCTTGGCAAACGAGACATCGTGGAAGTTGCCGCCGGCCTGCAGTCTCGCCCGCCACTCGTGGTCCTGCATGGTGCAGTGGGAGCGGCCGTCGTCGTAGGCGTACCAGTCCTTGAAGACGCCCATGACCGTGTCCATCGTGATTGCGCCTGGGTTCTGCAGCGCCATCTGCTCGTTGTCGAGATCGATGACGATGAGATAGCCGCCGGGGACGAGGAGCGAGCGCACATTCTCAATCGCCCTTGTCAAGTCGGCGACGACGTGGAGCACGCCCCACATGAGGACGACGTCGAAGCTGCCCAGTTCGGCAGGGCAGGGGTTGGACAGGTCCAGCACAGCAGCCTTGGCAGCCAGCGACGCCGGCATCTCGGCCAGCGCCTGCTTCGACAGGGTGGGCGAGATGTCGGTGACGACGAACTCGGCCTCGACGCTTCTTAGCGCGTCTGGCCGCTGCAGCCAGGCCTCGCCGTATACGCGCGAGAACTGGCCAGTGCCGGCACCCGCCTCGACGACGCGGATCGTGCGCTTGCCCGAGGCGAGTGCCGCGCGGGCTGCGCGAAAGAGGGACTGGACGGCGTCGTCAAAGGAGCGGTCCATGCGTCCCAGCAGCTCGTACGCAGGCGTCATGATGTCGTCCTTGAACAGCTCCTGCACGCCCACGAGCTCGTCGACTGCGGCAGCGGCGAGGTGCGGGCCGACGCGCTCCACGACGTCGCCCAGTGCAGCGTGCGAGGCGGGGATGGCGACCTTGTCCACCACCGCCCGTGCGCGCCTGCTCTTGGCCAGCAGGTGCTCCTGGTAGCGCTGACGATGCCGCGGCACGCTCGCATGCCGCTGCTGCAGCTCCTTGGCGGCACGGTCGATGTAGAAGAGGCAGTTGGTGTCCAGTGCACGAAACACGTCTGCGTGTCCAGCAACAGGCTCCAGGATGCGATCTCCCTGCTCCCACAGAGGCCGGTCGGCAGTGAGGCCCACGGGCTGCCAGTGCAAAGCCAGCCTGACGTCCGGCGGACTCGGGTGCGCAAAGCTGTTGCGCTCGTACAGCAGCCGGTCCAGCGCAATGACGACGTGGCCCGACTCGTCGAGGAGCTTGCAGTCGGCCACGACGCTCTCTGGGCTCCAGGAGCGGATGCGAACGTGGGCGTAGGCCGTGTCGCCAGGGGTCAGCCGTGCGCCGACATCGAACCTGGCGCGGACCAAGCGCTTGGGAAGGTAGATCTCGTTGGGAGGTGCCGTCATCGGGTACCAGCACGGCGCAATGGAGAAGTGCAGGATGGCGTCGATGAGCGCCGGGTCGACGAGGTAGCCTCTGCCATGTGCCATCAGCAACCTTGCAAGGGTTGTAATAACGACGAGGAGACCGCTTGCATCGCATCACTCACCGGTCCTCGGGCAGCCGCACCTTGGCAATCGCCTCGTCGTCGCCCACATGCACGCCGTCGATGCGCCTGAAGTTGGAGCCGAGCTGGGGGACGAGGCTGTCGAGAATCTGGAGCCACTCGTGCTCTGGTACTGCCTTTGGGCAGCGACTGTACATGGCCTTGATGTCCTCGGCCTCACCGCGCGACGCGCCTTGCACCGAGTAGCGGCCGTCGACATGGCGCGTCTGTGTGGGGGAGACTGTAAGCGGGGTGCCAGGTAGGAAAAGCAGCAGATGTATGGACACCCACCTCGACAAAGTTGTCCATCCCCGACACGCTCTGTGAGACGAGGGAAAAGTGGCTGTTGCTGCCAGGCGGCCTGTCGAGCGTCAGCCTCGAGGGCGCCTCGCCTGGGGCCGGGATGGGCATTGCTACGTGGATGCGCATGTCGCGCAGCTCGCAGCACCCGGGAATCGTCTCCAGCGCAGCGGCCATGAAGCCAGCCGCAGGCATGCAGGACACGCTGTTGACGGTGTGCTCGGCCAGGTCAGGGAAGAGGTCGGCCGAGACAGCGAGGCCGGGCGAGTCGGCGCAGAGACGCCGTCGTCGTCGTCGCAAATGGGCCAGTGCATCCTTGGAGACCTGCACCGGCAGCTGCGTCTTCTCAAACGTGTGAATCGGCAGGCCGTCCTCCATCGGCAGTTCGTGACCAAAGAGGCTACCCAGGTCGACACGCTGCCCGCGGCAGAGCAGTTCGCCAACCATGGAGAGAAAGGCGACCATGTCGGTCTCGAGGCACGCCTCTTCGTCGTTTGTGCTCTTCGCCCGACGAAGCGCAGGCAGGCAGGCGGACGTGCTTGCCTGCTGCTCCAGCAGTGCGCCCAGAACAGGGTGGGGCGACAGCTCGAGCACGGCGGCGCCAGGCGTGCAGCGGTTGAGCGCGCGACAGCAGTCGTCAAACTGGACCACGTTGCGTGTGTTTCGCCACCAAAAGTCGCAGTCAAAGGGCCCGTGAAAGGCGCCTTCCCCCACGGTGGACGAGAAGACGTCGATGCCGGCTTGCGGCCGGATCTCGTCCTCGTCGAGGCCGTACGCTGTAAAGAGGTCTTTGATCTGCGCGACGAGGCGCACCCGCAGCGGCTCCATGAAGCTGCTGTGGGCCGCCACGTTGGTCCTCAGCATGGTGCACTGCACGTCTTGCGCGACTGCCTGCGCACGGAACGAGTCGAGGGTGTGGCGCTTGCCCGCGAGCGTGACAGCCTCTGGCCCGTTGATGGCGGCAATGTCCAGCGACAGGGACAGCGCATGCATGAGCTTGGAGGCCCGTCGCGGGGAGCAGGCGACGGCCATCATGCCCGCGCCCTCAGCTTCCGTCTGGGCCATGAGGCCGGCACGGATGACGCTGAGCCGGACGGCGACCTCGGCTGCCGTGGCCCAGGCCGCGTCGTCGCCAGCGCCAAAAGCGCCACAGGCGTAGGCCATGGCTGTCTCACCGGCACTGTGCGCCAGCATGGCCTGTGGACGCAGCCCCAGGGAGCGCAGCAGATCGACGAGGCCGACCTGGACGACTGTCAGGGCGGGGAGGATGTGCAGTGTGGACCACCGACTGTCATTCTCCCACAGCGCTCCCCTTTGCGCGCCAAACAGACCGTCGTCCTCGATCAGACTCCTGCCCACGGCGTCCCGATAGACTCTGTCGCTGCGGAGCACCGACTCGCGAAAGGCGCTGAACCGCCTGTACAGCGCTCGGCCCATGTGAAGGTGCTGTGGGCCCTGGCCAGGAAAGAGAAAGGCGAGCGGTGCATCAGCGCGGGGCATCGGTCGCCCGACCCTCTTCGCGGCCCTGGCGATGCTGTGGCCCACTGCGTACGTCGCCCAGGGGTTCTGTCTCGCACGCCTGGCGAGGGTCGACGCCATTGCGCGGAAGCCGTGTCTCGGCTGGAAGGACTCGAGCTGGTGGCAGAGCTGCGAGGTCGCCGCCTCGGTGAGGCTGCTGACGACGAACAGATGCAGCTGCAGCTCTCTGTCGTCTGGGTCTCTTCTCGCTGCCATTTGGCGAGTGCGACCCGCAATGCCATGTGTCCTTCGCTCCATCGCCGCCCCCTCTGGCCCACCCACGACGACATGCGCGTTGGAGCCGCCAAAGCCCGAGGCAGTGATGCCGATCAAGGGAGACGCACCCAGCGGCTCGCCAGACGCAATCTTTGCCTGCACACGGTCCCAGCTGCTCTTTGGATCAGCGACGGCGAAATTCTGAATGGGAATGAGAGATGCTTTACTCACGCTATCGACTTGCTCGGCCTCTGTGCACAGATCTGTGGAAACGTCTTGCCGCGGCGGAGAATGTGAAGCGCCTTGACGAGCGAGACGAGAAAGGCGCAGAACTCGGTGTGGCCCACGTTGGACTTGACGGAGCCCACGACGAGGGGCGTGGCGCGCGACTGCGAGGCGCCGCCAAAGACGTCGAGCGAGGCGCCCTCGATGCGGTCGCCGACTGTGGTGCCCGTGGCATGCATCTCGACGTAGCTGGCCTGGCACGGCTCCAGCCCCGCTGATCGCCACGCCTTGGCCACGCATGCGCGCAGCGAGGCCTCCGAGGGCGAGGTGAGGCCGGCCGCAGTCGCGCCATTGGAGTTGAGTGCGGTGCCCAGGATCGTGCCGTAGATGCGGTCGCCGTCCCTGCGTGCAGCATCAAGCGGCTTGAGCACGATGCTGACGACGGCCTCGCCGCGGACATAGCCGTTTGCGTCTTCGGACAGGGCGCTGCAGCGCCCATCGGGCGAGAGCACGGTGAGCTGGCTGAACCCAATGTGGTCCTCGACCGTGGCCAGGTGGTTGGCAGACGCAACGACGGCCGACTCGCACTCGCCGCGGGCCAGCGCTTCGCAGGCGAGGTGCATGGCCGTCGCACTGGCCGAGCAGGCCGTGTCGGTGTTGAAGCTGGGCCCGCGTGCGTCAAAGACAAAGCTCAGCCGGTTGGCGAGCATGCAGTCGCACTGGCCCGTCTGGTGGTGGGCATCGGCCGAGAACTCGGGCTCGTGGAGCGGCTTCTGGCGCACCTGGGACCCGCCGACAAAGACGCCCATCGTCGTCGTCTCGACGCTGCTGTCCTGGAGTGCGCGGTAGGTGACTTCGATGAGCTTGCGCGTCTGCGGCGTCATGCGCCGCGCCTCGGCCGTCGAGATGCCAAAGGCGCGGTGGTCAAACGTGTCAAAGCCTGCGAGGATCGAGCCGCGGTCCGTCCACGCCTGGCCCGGACCGCGCCCAACCTTGTTCCCGTCGAGCGGGAAGCGCGCATCGGGGATCTTGTCGATGGAGCAGCCGCCGCGCTCCAGGAAGTCTCCAAAGGCACCAAAGTCGAGATTGCCGTCCTGGCTCCCGCTCGGAATCTCGCAGGCCACGCCGACGATTGCGACAGCTTGCGACATGCTTCAGCGGCCAGACTCAGACTCGAGCGAGGTGTTGGCTTCTCTCTCTCTCTCTCTCTCTCTCTTTCTATTTTCTGTGTAGTCGCTGGTGGTAGGTTGTTGCGGAGATCGCACTCAGGGCAGGCGACTATCATCCAGGAACCCGGCCGGGCTCACGTAACATTCATGCGGCGGCAATTAGGTTCGTTCTCCACTCGACAGTCTTCTGACGTCTCGTCGAATCCGGCAAAGAATCATGCCAATGTACTGTATGTATATTATATTGATGAAAACCTTCGCACGTTTTGCACGGTTCGTTGCATCTCCGATAACACTAGCTTCGCGTCATTTGCTGCACCGACCCTGCCTTCATTCACCGCACCTGGCCAGAAGCTTGTGCATGTACTAGTACTGTACTACTACTGTATGCGACGCCCTATTCTCCGACTCCACATCCGCCTGAACCATCGAAGGCGCGCTAAAGAAGAAAATGGGAAAATAAATGGAAGAGGCCAGAGGGTAAAGGTACGCGGCGTCGATGATATCATGCTGAAATCAATTTACTCGTTCACAGGCACCTTTCGAAATTGATTTTAGCTCGGGAGTTGATGAGGGCACGATCGGCAGAGGGATGTGTGCGAGCTGGTCGGCGTTACCCCCCTCGGGTACTCGATAGGAGAGTCTTACCCTTATAGAAGACGACGACGACGACCATCCATCTTGCAACCCACCACCACCACCAACAAGGCCCGACCCTCGCAATGGACCAGCCACTGACGCCGTACCAGGCAGCGCTGGCTGCCGAGCTGCACGACTCGGACATTGTCTTCTACGTCGCCCTCTTCTTCTACGGCATGGCCATGTGGGAGTTTGTCTCTCGAGTGCCCGCCGAGACGGTGCGCATCTACGTGCCCGAGTTTCGCAAGTGGAAGTCGGGCAAGTTCGACCACGCCTCGCTGCCCATCGTCTTTGTCCTCGCCAACCGCATCGCGCTGCCGATCATCGTCTCCTTTTCCATCTCGCAGCTCCGGCAGCCGCCAACGGGCAGCTGCAGCGCATACTACAACGGCTCCCTCACCCTGCTTGCCATCACCACCTTCACCTGCAAGGCCATCGAGGTGGTGAGTCGAGCTGCTCTTTGCCATGAATGAGCTTCAGGCTGACATCCAGTACTCAGCTGCGCGTGAGTGGCATCCGCAAGAGCTCACCCCCGATCAAGGCCCTGCTCTGGACGGCGGCGGTCCTCCTCTTTGCGCTCTGGCTCGTCTACGCCAACACGCAAAAGATCCTCGAGCATCCACCCTTCCCGGCGTTTCCCTACGCGTCGACGTGCGGGCCCGTCGTCAAGAATGGCCGGTGGCACATTGCCGTCTGGGGCAGCGACCTGCTCCTGGAGCTCGTCCTCTTGGTGCTCGTCATCGACCACGCCGTCGGCGGCTTCTTCTCCGAGTCGGGCCCATTTGGTGCTCACTCGCTGAGCATGAAGCAGCGCTTCAGCCTCTTTTCGCGCGTCACGCGGCAGTACTACGTCGGCGCGCTTCTCTGGTTCGTCTTTAGCTTCTCTGTCAACCTGCTCCAGCTCGTCTGGTTTGTCGTCCACGTCATCGACTTTTACGCCGGTCTCATGATCCCCATTCAGATCTGGCTCACGACGACGATGGGGCCTCGGCTCGTCGTCGACATGCGCCTGTCCCAGGGCCACTTTTCTAGCTTCTCCATCTTTGGCGGCAGCAGCAAGTCGTCCTTCAACGGCTCCGAGCGCATCAACCTGCCCGCGACGCCGAGGACGGCGCAGGGCTTCCCGTCGCAGCAGCCTACGCCATCCATCAGCCAGGTCGAGAGCATCGAGATGCTCGACAACAACAAGCTGTCGGGTGTCGGCTCCCGCACTGGCTCCATGGCCTGATGATGCCCTGCACATTCTCTTGCCTACCCCTGGCCCCATTTATTTACCTTTACCTTCAATATCTCGCTTGGCCTCTGGTTTTACAATGGGAATGCTTGCTTCATGAATTTGGCTTGTTGTCGGATCTTCTTCTTTGGGCAATGACCACTAGTACTCGCTTCCACGGAGAAGTCAGGGCCGGGCGGGGCTAGGCGCCTTCCTTCCGTGGAAGCGTGCATGCACGCCCCCTTTCTTCACGTTGCATCTACCCTTTTCCAATTTAGTCACCGCTCCACATGCCCTAATTGGAATCAGGTCTTGACACGGGAGCCCGGCAGGCAAGCAAGCACATGCCATTGTCCTCCTCATCCACCACGACAGACAGCAACAGAGTCAAGAACAGCAGGCGCCATGAGCTACATCAACGGCTACTCGGCCGAGGAGACGGCGAGGCTGGACCACCAGCACGGTGCATACAAGGCCATGCTCCACGGCAAGCTCTTTTCGTCGCGCGTGAGGGACGCAGCGGCGCGCGGCGAGGTGAAGCGCGTGCTCGACGTGGGCACCGGCACGGGCATCTGGTGCTACGACGCCCTGGCGGAGCTCCACGCGCTCAGCGGCAGCCAGGGCCAGGTCATTGTGGGCACCGACGTCGTGGAGAACGAGCAGTGGAAGGCGCACAGCGGGCCGGGCCGCGTCTTTGTGCAGGCCGACCTCAACGACGAGGCGGGCATGCTGAAAATCGCAAAGGAGCACGGGCCATTCGATGTCGTCAGTGCGCGCCTCCTCAGCGTGGCCATCAAGGAGGGCAAGTGGGAGACATTCATGCAGACCCTCTCCAAGCTCCTCCGGCCTGGCGGCTTCGTTCAGCTGCTGGAGATCGATGCCATCAACAGCCACAGCTGCCCCACGCATGCGGGCCAGACGTACCGGGAAGGCGCAGAGGCCCTCATCGTGCCCCACGCGCTGTACCGCGTGTCGGGCTGCGACCCTCAGTGAGCTATCTGTTCTATGCCTTGCCTCCCTTGCCTCTTGAGAAGAGAGAAGCTCATCACGATCTGCCCACAGCTGCTCGCCGCGCCTCGCTGAGCGCCTGAGACGATCTGGCTTCGTCGGCGTCACAAACGAGCTCATCTACGGCGACTCGCACGACGTTAATGCAGACGGGAGTCGAACCCTGAACAAGGCCGTCGACGAGTGGATGCAACGGACAAACGAGCACCTGAAGCCCATCTTTCTCAAGGTCCGGCAGCTGCCACACTACAAGGCGCTCCTCGACCGCCTCCCTCCCTGGATCCTGGAGCTGACCGACGGCAGGCCCGAGGCGCTGCTCAAGGACGAGGCCGAGTACGACGACTTTGCGCGGCGCCACGAGAAGCGGTGGCGCGAGGATCCGGCCTGGCACTGTGCAATCAACGTTGCCGTGGGCCAGAAGGCAGTCATTTGAGGCAGCAGGGACCGCCACATATAGCAATGATCGCTGGACGGGGCACCCTCGTCTCTTTCTTATTGCTGGTCATTGTCAGGGCTGTAGGTTGCTCCAGAATGAAATAGAGGATATCTCTGCGGCCTTTGTAATGCCCCACAAGCAGGCATAAGGAGTGATTTTACAGCACTCATGCAGGTGTGACTACAGCAGCAGTGCACTCGCTGGAATGCTCTGCTGTGTGCAAGCCCATGTGCAACCCTGAATCCAGCATGTTCCCCCATCTGAGAGGCCTCTCGAGGCCAGGGAGTGAACGCAGCCGCCACGTGCGAAAAAGTCGCATAGGTTTGCAGGCATGCGTCCGATAGTTACTTCCGAATTTTTGTTCGAGTCAGCACCTCTATCCCCGAGCGAGCTTCCGCCGGGACACCCACCACCAGGACGCTCATGTCATGAAGCTCGGCAACAGCCTGTACCCGGTCCTCTACGGGCTTGCGACGTTCTCTGCGGGAGACTTGCTGGCCCAAGGACTGGAGCATGCCAGGCGCGACGGCGTCGACGGAGGCCAGCCGTTCCAGCACGATCGCGCTCGCACCGGGCGGGCGCTCGTGATTGGCGGGACGGCTGCGCTCCCGACTCACTACTACTTCTTGTTTCTCTCAACGCTGTGGAAGACGTACCCCAGGGCCCAGAGCATCCTCTACAAGGTCGGACTGAACCTGGTCACGCTTGCGCCAATGCTCAACTCCTACTTCTTCGGCATGCAGTCCCTCCTCGGCGACTACGGCACCGCCAAGCCGTGGTCGCTGCGATGGTCCTCTGCGGCGCAGCGCATCAAGGACAAGGTTCCCAGGGCGTGCGTCGAGGGCATCTTCTTCTGGCCCACCGCCACGGCCATCAACCTGGCCCTGGTCCCGCCACGGTTCCAGTATATCCCGCAGGGCATGGCAGGCATCGTCTGGCAGTCTGTGCTCAGCATGAAGAATTCGACCGCGCGGAAAGGGCCGGCTCAACTCCAGTAGAATTTCTTACTTGCCGCGGGGACTATACAGGCCAAGAGGCTGCCGTGCGGCTGCCGATTGTCGACGGCCAGAGTCGCTGACTTTAGAATCCAAGGCAAAGGTTGCCACGCATGAGTGCGCAGATAGAGCAATGTACTATACAAACCCAGCACTATAGACGATGCTCAACTCAATAGACGATGTTGTTCCTCATGCCGACGAGCGAGCGAGCCTGTGCACGGCCATAGATGATAGAGCATTGGTCGAGTTGTGCATTGTCCGCGTGTGTCCCGGGAGAGGCCCGTGCACCTTTTGGCCTGCACCTCTTGAGAGAGAGGCGATGGGGCAAGGGCTGCTTACGATGGCAAGGGCTGGGCTGCCTGATACGGTGGCGGAGGCACCCGTTGCGCATCTGTGTGGGATGGCGTCGGCTGATACGAGGGCGGCGCGGGAAGATTGCGGAGTTCCTGCTCCCGTCGCGCCACTTCACTGCTGGATGCAAGCTGTGGAGCGCGTCAGCGCTGCTTGGCGCCAGTGGAGATATCGGACAAAAAGAAGCAGCTCACCGATTCGCCCGCGCTGGAGCGGGCAGCCTGCGCGTCGTCGGTGCGCCGGCCGGGCCTGAGCGCCCGACCGAGCCTTGTCAACGTGGGCGTGCTTTCGGCCTGCGTCACCACAGCTTGGGGCGTCGTACTAGCAGCCTGTGGCTCGTGCGTCGCCTGTCTGTGTCTTTGATTGTCGCGTTTTCGGATCTGGCGCTGCTCGTACTTGATCATCACGGCCCCGACTGCCGCTGCTGCAAACATTGTCGCAGTACTGTAGTGTCTAGATTTCACCAGCGACACAGAGGCGAGAGGACGAGATGGTGTTGCGAGACAGGTCACCCGGGCCTCGCCGTTTGCCCGCCACTGTGGGCACACGCCACATGGATTGGGCTGTCCGCACTAGTCTCCGGACTCGCGTCAACAGGCCGCTCAGACTGCATCAAGTAGCTTGGCGTGACTAGCCGCCCTTGCAGGAATCTCTCAGTCGGGCTTGAGGAAGGCGTCTTCACCAGTCATGCAGAGATCAGGACACATAAACTATTGAGAGGGCTCAGGCCTCAAACTACACACAAAAGCAGCAGTCAGGACAAGCCGTCCCAACACGACTTGAACTGGTAGGGTCACTGCTTCATGCCCATGAATGACGTGTCTCTTGCCATGCCGAGCAAGTGCTCGACGTCGACGTTGGCGAGGTGTGCCGTCTTGCTCAGCACCTCAATCTCTGCCAGCTGCACGCCCGTGCTCTCCGCTTCATGCTCGCCACAAATCAGCTGCGCGTAGGCGTTTCGCAACATCTTTACATCGAGTGAGGGGCATTCAGGGCTAAGGCTACATAGGGTGAAGGGTCTATTCGGCTGCCTTCGTCTGTTCGTGCAGCACATCGACGTGATGGAGGAGCTCGGCCACCGATGCTCTCGCCTCTGAGCCGTCATGGGAAGCAATACCGAGCAAAAAGGAGAGAAAGAGCTCTTTGAGAAAAGCGAAGGACCAGCCTTCGGTCTTTTCTACTAGGGCTGCGCTCAAGGTATCAGTGTTGCGGTGCTTCTCATCAAAGATCAGCGTCGAGTGCTTGACTTTTTCCTCTAGCCACTTGTTGATGAAGCGTTTGCGCAACGCGGCATCGGGCAGGTTAAAGGAGTACTTGGTGTCAAACCTGGAGGGACGATGAAGGATGGCCTCGTCGAGCTTGCTTGCATCGTTTGCCGTCGCAATGACGAGGATACCGTCGTTCGGCTCAATCCCATCAAGCTGATTGAGCATAAAGCTTCGCGTGTCACCTTCGACGAGCGTATCGATGTCTTCAAGCACGAGGATACATGGCGCCTCCTTCCGTGCCTTGGCGAAAATCGTTTGCATGCCCCATTCGGCTCCGCGCTGCGTCTTTGCGCTCTGCACATAGAGTGCCGGGAATCTCTCACACATCTTGAGGAGCGCTTTGATGACACCTGTCTTGCCGTTACCGGGAGGTCCAAGGAGGAGGACGCCACGCTTCCAAGTAACGCCGAGCGATTTGTATAGACTTGCGCTCTGAAAGAACTTGTTGGTGTCCCGAACTAAATTCTGCATCGTTGCTTCCGGGAGAACAATGTCATCGGGATTCGCATTCTTGACCGCTTTGTAAAATGACTTGTCCTTTCGCCATCCTCCGCCAGCTCCGTGGTAGACCCACATTTCGTCCTTGAGGGTTCCCTGCCAGGCGTACGCGTCTGCAAGGAGCTTTCGTCCGGCGAGGTCGTCGGCGCCCGCAAACGAGAGAAGCCACATCTGCTTCCACTCCATTCCAGACTGGAACTCGAAGGTGTAGACGAGGAAGCTCTGGCCATCGTACTGGACGGTAAAAGCTCCATTTTGCAGCTCACTCCGGTAGTCCTTGGCGGTCAACTTGGCGGTCTCACCCCGAAGGAGAGCTGTATTCCCACCAAGATAATAGTCGACAATGTTGCCCTGGCCGGTCTGTAAGCTCGATAGCTTCAAGTGTGCGTGCTGGTGTTCCGAGCAATGCGTCATCTTGACATCTTTGGCTTCAAAGAACAGGTCGAGGTCCAAGCAGTCTTGAACGGCCACGAGCTGATTTCGCGGATGTTGCTTTTTGACGGTATTCCACAGATGTAGTGCTCCGTTGCGACCGGGCAGAAAGGCAGAAGTCATGGCGGCATCATCAATGATCTCGACCATTTTGTTGTCTTCGTCGAGGGTTGGATAATTTCCGTCCCTCAGAGGAGAGGCCTTTCTCTTATATAGGGAGGCAGGTCTGGCGCTGAGCGAAGTACGCGCTACTGAGCTCCGCGTTAGCGGCTTCCCTTGGCATAGCAACCTGGCTTTGTTGTGAGAGCTGAGCGAGCATGTGGTCGGTTGGACCCTGCTCAGGTTCGCATGGAGGCACCGCCGAGTCATAGCGAGTCAGTAGTAGGCTTGCTCAGCCTCTGAAAATTTTGTCACATTACATCTTGGCCGTCAAAGACACGCATTCAACGAGCGACAACTAGTCTATGGCCTTGGCTGAGCCCGATTTCGCTGCTCTCTGCCGTCTCCGCCTCCCCGTGGGTGTCAATGAAGTTGTCGGCCACACGAGAAATGGGAGAAAATGTGGCTCGCTCGTTGATAAGAAGGGCCCTTTGAAGCTCAGTCCCTGTGTACCACACTATGCCTCGGGCAAAAAGGTCTGCGTCCGCACTTCGGCGATTCGTCCTTGACCTTCTTGGTTGCAGCCCAGTATCAAGGACGAATTAAACTGAGCATGATTCCATACACAGGGAGAACGGTGTTCTGATGGCCGCAACAGATGCAACGTCAGACGCGCTGAGTGCCGAGAAGGGATACCAATGACATTGCAGTAACGACAGTGCTGCTGCCCCAAAAGAGAAGAAGAGGGGCCCATTACTTGAGCTTGGAAATGGCAAAGTTGGCGCCCAGCGTCTGCGTGGGCGAGTCGTTGGGGTACTGGAGGTGCTGCGAGGTGATGCCAGACCCGTCGGTGGTGTCGCAAACGCCGTCGCCCTGGTTGCAAAGATCCAACACGGTCAGCAGATGCGTCTTCCCACTCCGTGCACGTCCACGTTCAGACACTCACCTTGATGCAGATGTCGAGGGTCTTGCTGACCCAGTTGGAGGGAATGCCGGCGCTGCCAGCGGCTGAGATTCCGTTGACGTTCTTGGTCGTGTCGCCGCCGTTGTTGTCCACGTTGCAAGCCAGCCCGGCCTTGTGCAGAGGGTCGCCGATCAGAATGACACCGCGGACAGCATTGAATGCAGCGCCCGTCAGCTTCGACATGGCGTTGACCGTGGCCGCTGCGCCCTGGCTGTAGCCCTCGAGGATGTAGCAGGTGTTGGTGTTGGCGTTGACGTGGTTGACAATCTAGTTGGGCGACGTTTTGTCAGCAACTAAAGGCACAAACAAGAGAGAGGAGCAGAGCAGGACAGACTCACGTCGGTTGTGGCCTGGGAGCTGTCCTGGTTGTAGCCAGCAGGGTAGACGGTGTCGTAGCGGGAGCCGCCGGTGACCTGCTGCATGATGCGCTGGTTCATCGTCGTGAAGCCGCGAGATTCACCCTGGGCTTCACCCGTCCCGCGGGTGTCGATGATGGTGTAGCTGGTGCAGGCGGCGCCCGTCGACGTCGGTGCGGCCGACGAGGACGTGCTGGTCGTAGTCGGGAAGCCCGGTGGGGTGTAGCCAGGCGGCCTGTAGCCGGGCGGGCTGTAGGTAGGCCGGCTGTAGCTATACTGCGGAGAAGCATTGGCGAGGCCAATGGCTGCGAGGACGAGCAGGGGGGTGAAGGCAAACATGAGGACGTGACGTGCTTAGGAATGGGTTGGGCGAAGCGGGGCGGGTCTACGGAAGCACACCGTCGCCCTTTTTGAGGGCGATTGAAGGCCGTGGCATCTCGGGTTCTGCTTCGGTGCATGGTGGGGTCCAACGTGCAGTACAGTACACAATCAGCGATTCTAGGTCCAACAGGTACAAAATAGAAGCTTGATTTGCAAGTTTCATCTGCAGATTCGCTTTGCCGTCTTCGCCACGTCCTCTGCCAGTCTTCTTTTTGGGACTCGGCGGATTTTTCTGAGACTATCACTGTTAGCGTGCGAATGTCAGCAAATCTGCTTCTGTCTGTCTTCCCGGGTGGGGTTCGTGGACACATTAAGCGGATATTCGATAGTTCGACCTCGCCGTTGGTCCTGATTATCTCGACTGCTTCGTGCTGGTGCTAGAATAGAAATAGTAGTGTTGTCGGCATTGCCGAGTGGTCCAGACCGATGCTAATAGCTCCACGGACGCATGAAAGAGAAGGAGGGAAAATGGTGCCTCTATCTCGGCCGTATGTTCACGCAATCGGCACGGTGGGCGCATTGGGAGAAGAAGGCTACGTCTCTCCAATGGGACGATCTCGCTACGCTCTACATCTAGCTTAGACCCCCGTTATTATCTGACGGACGTGCTGATCAAGCGAACAAAGAAGTTTGACCTGCTTAAAAGCAAGGCGCACCTATTAAATGCGATAGAATTACTGTACCGTACCACCGCTAAGGAGTAAAGTGTCCCCCCGATTGGGGTTCAGCAGGCCCCAGAACCGGAGCAAGGCACGGACACTGTGCGTCTGCATCTAGACGAGCAGCGGCTTCCAGCAGTGCACGGATGTGCAACCGGCGCAGGGACCTCACTTTTTTTTCAATTAAAAGCAGAGCAATATACGGGAATGGATCATCTATGAGCCGTTAGGCATCGACCATTGTCATCGGCGAGCCGGCTGGCGTTTGTGAAGGGCATCTAGCCTCCTGGCGATCCTGCGCAAGGATCTGCTTGGTGGCAAAGGGCGAGCGGTCGCGCAGCGCAGCGCCGTAGCGGACGAGGAGGAAGGGAAACAGGGCCAGAGCGGCGGCGAGGAAGCCCAGGAGCGTGGACGCCCACCTGTACGTCAGCTTCTGGTACACTGTGGGCTTTCCTACATCAGTGAAAGAGTCATTTGAGGGCGAATAGGAGCTGGAAGACTCACTGTCGGTTGCAAACAACGGGAAGGCTGCGAGCGCGAGGAATTCAGAGAGGAAGAATGCGACAAGAGGCAAAGAGGCTCACCAGTGGCAAAGATGTTTCGAAGGAAGCTCTGGGCGGCAAGTGCCGACGACGTGTACAGGCCGTAGCACTCGGACAAGTACATGAAGATGCATGCCTGCGTGGCCGGCCAGTCAGCCGGGTGAGGGACTCAAGCAGAGGAGTGCAACGGCAGCTCACGTAGACCAAGAAGAGCCCAGCCATGATGCAAGCCGTGGCAATCTGGGGCACGATCCACGGAACGTGCGGCAGGCCAGTCCACGCATAGAAGAAGAGGCCTGCTCTCCCCGGGCACAGTCAGCGTTGACATGTGAGACAAAAGAGACAAGAGGGAGGAGGGAACTCACTAGCCGCAAAGGCTACTGCACCCACGCACGCCTCGCCTAGCCTCGTCTCGGGCGTGCTGCCGGCCAGGCGCTTGGAACGGTGGACATAGACGAGGTGAATGGCGAAGCCAATCAGGGCGCCAATGGCCAGGCCCACGAAGCTGGGCCCCTGTGCGATGCCGTACTGCGCAAAGACGAGGGGCACCGACTCGAGAAAGAGATAAAGTGTGCCCCAGGCAAACGAGATCCAGAGCGAGAGGCAGAATACGATGGGCTCCGTTGCCAGGAGCACTGCGTCGCCGTCAGCGACTGATCTCTCGAGAAGAGAGGAAAGTCCATTCTCGCTCACACTCACATAAGGGTCTGACGAGCGACGTCGAGAGCGACGCCTTGACCTTCCTGGCCATGCCAGCCAGCGTGGACCGTTCGCTCGGCTGCCCCTTTCTCTGCCTGGCCGAGAGCAGCGTCTCGCGGTTAAAGGTCAGGAAGACCAGCGCAGCCGAAGGGACCGATGAGATGAGCTGCCGCCAGCATAGACCCCAATCAGCACATTGCAGCGATGCAAAAGAAGTAAGCAAGACTGACCAAAGTCCAGTGGATCCACCGCCAGCTGACGCCGCCGCCGATCCAGCTGAAAAAGATGGGGCCGATGGGCGTGCCAAAGAGGGCAGAGAGGGAAAAGAAGGCCATGGGCACCTCGCGCTGCCCGCGCGTCCAGATGTCCGACAGGGTGCCTCCCACCATCGTGGCACCCACAGAGCCGGCAGCACCACAGAGGAAGCGCGCGACGAGCACCGTCTCGATGTTTCGCGCAAGGGCGACGGGGAGGAAGAAGAGAAAGAAGAAGCCATAGGCGATGATGTAGACGGGCCTGCGACCGACCGACTCCGCGAGGGGCGCCAGAAAGAGGGGAAAGATGGCCACGGCCAGTGTGTAGCTGCTGCACAGTCAGCTGGGCTCTGGCTTGCTCTCATCATACAGTGCACTCACAAGGAAAGACCAGACACGACAAGGAGGCGTGACGTGTGCAGATCGATGACCATGGCGTCGATGCCGAGCGACTAGAGTCGCTTGTCAGTGTCTCTCCCTGGCTCTAAATAGGAATTTTCTATCAACAGCGAACGGTCCTCACATAGGCAGCGACAGCGACGGAGCTGCTCCGCGTCAGCTTCAGGCCCTGGCATTTGACATTGGTATGGTAAGGGCTGGTGACTCACCTCAGACTTGACATGTAGCTCGAAGTGAGGGTGATGGCCCACTTTCTGGCCTGCGACCAGTCCTGCGGATTGTCGCCTTCCATGTTGTTTGACGACAGGTATTCGACATGTCAAGCCACGAAGAAAGGAGGCGGCAGTCGTCGTTTATTATAAGGAAGCGGCTCTCTGCTCGGCCTTCGGACAACTCTCCACCTCTCGCGATCACGGTCGGAACCCCGAGTGGCAAAGGGCGCTAAAATGGAACTCCACTGGACCGATTGCAAATCGGGGTGGTGGATGGCGGTGAGTCACACAATGGTGCTTCCTCTACCCGGAGCGCTGCTGCATCAGGGCAGATACGCGCAGACACACCGCTTGCTTGACACCTGCTGTGACGAGGTGGCGATATGGGAAGAGAGCAGCTCTGCATGGCCCTTGCACACCAGGCTGGCTCGGCTCGGCGTGGCATGGTTGCAGTGCACTTTATGCCTGCAGCCATTGTGCTAGCATCTTGCTCTTTGGGCCATCACACTGCCACGCTATAGCCAAGGACCTTTTGGCAAGCGTAATGATCCCTGACCTGCCTTTCTCTGCGCAGGAGTCACAGTCACTATTCTCGAGACCGATCAACGTGGTTGACCAGTCGCAGACACACGGCTTTATTCGGGCAGGAAAGAGAGCAATAAGAAAACTACGAGCCCAATTCACAGTCAGAGTGGCACCACGCGCAGGGGCAGCTGGAAGCCTGGCTGGCCCTCGACGACGGGCCGCTGGATGGGCGTGTTTCTGGCGCCGATGTCGGCGTCGTCCACAGCTGGCGCGAGGCGAAAGTGCGCGACGACGTGTGCGACGATGGCGCGCAGCTCGATGCAGGCCAGCCTGGCGCCCAGGCAGTTGCGCGGCTGCCGTTGGCCGGGAGTCAGAAACACTGCATAGAGTCTCTATCGAGGAAGGGAAAGAGGAGGCCTGACTCACCCCGGCAGAAAAGGTCAGCGCGGCGGGCGCTTCGGGCCCGCGATCGAGCCAGCGCTCGGGGCGAAACTGGCGCGCATCGGCGCCCCAGACGTGCTCGGCGATGTGGTACTCGTGGATGGGCACGAGGACAATGTCGCCCTGCTGGACGGCGATGCGGTCGAGCCAGGTGCCGTCGCGGGCCTGCACGGGCGACGAGAGGGGCACAACGGTGTCCTCGCGCGCCACACGCTGCATGAGCGCAGCAACGGCATGCATGCGCAGCGCCTCGCTGACGACGGCCTCGAGATAGGGCAGCGCAGCGAGGGCAGCGACGTCGTGCTCCCAGCCGCCAGCCTTCCTGTCGTCGAAGAGCTCGCGCCGCAGCTTGTCCTGGACGCGCGTGTGGCGGGCCAACGAGAGCAGGGCCCAGGCGGCCGACATCGCCACCGTGTCGTGGCCGCCAATGACGAGGGAGGTGACCATGCCGACGACGTCTGTGCCCTGGGGCAAATTTCCGCCAAGGATGAGCGACAGCACGTGGGTGCCGCCCTCGCACTCGCCCTCACCCTCGGAGCGGCCCTTGCAGACGAGCTCGCGGGCCACCTCGGTCACTTCGCAGTACGCAGCGTCAAAGTCGAGCTGCTCCTGCACCCGGAACAGGCGGCCCAGCGCGACGACGAGCCCGCCGAGTGGGGATATGCGCAGCAGCGCATAGGGCGAGCCGCTGAAGAGGAGGCGCCAGCAGCGGCAGAGGGCCGTGCCCAGCTTCGTCGAGCCGCGCTGCAGGCCGTCGAAGCGGTGGGCAAAGGCGACGCGGCCGAGGATGTCGAGCGTCAGCAGCTCGAGCTCCGCCTGCACGTCGATCGTCGTCGCAGTCGTCGAGACTCCGGCAGCCTTGTCCTTCCAGCGCTGCACGAGTACGCCGCAGAGATCCGCGCTTCCGGCCAGTCGGCAGAGGGAATCACGTCAGCGGGACACCGATGCATTGCAGAAAGGAACTGTCTCACATGACGGGGTAGTGGCCCGCCGTCTCGCCCTCGCCGAACGCGGGCCGCAGGACCCGGCGCTGGCGGCGGTGCTCGTCGCCGACGGAGATGGCCAAGCCGCCCCCAAAGGCGAGCCTGCGCAGCCACAGCTCCGATGCCGGCACCTCAAAGGCGGGCGAGGTGAGGACGTGGCGCAGGCCAGCCGTGTCGACGAGGCAGAGGGCCTGCGCAAAGAAGGGCAGCTGTGCCGTCCAGACGCGGCCGTACTCTTGCGCTTCGAGAGAGCAACACGTGCCGTCAGCATCGCACCTTGCGACTGAGAGGAAGGGGACTACCTACTTAAGTCAGAAATGACGTCGGTGTGCTTGTTCTCGGCCATCCGGGCCATGTCGAGGGCACCGTAGAGCCAGTGCCGGCTGGGCGGGCCCGGCAGCCTGCGCAGTGGGCTCGAGCTGGCGCCGACCAGGTGCCAGGCCCAGTGCCGGGGCCAGTGCCATCGCAGAAAGAGGAGGAGTGCGACGACGAGGCCGCCTACTGCGCCGATGAGAAGACTGCTCTGCATGGCCATGGGCACAGCTGTGGTGTGCTGTCAGAGGAGGAGGAGCACGCTTCGATGAGGGCACGCTTCGATGAGGGCACGCTTCGATGAGCAGAGAGGCGGCCGCTCCCCTAAGCCAGCGCGCGGCGGGGGCTCACGCGTTGCCTGCCGGCACGCACCGCCGCTCCATCGCGAGGCGCGGGCCCTGAATCATCTGCGCTTGCGGCATCACCACGGCCGGCATTCTCTCATCAACAAAAGCGCGCGCGAGTGTCCTTACTGGGGGGGGCCTCTTTTTTTGAACGGCAGTAAACTCAGCACTCCACTCGCTGGTGTTGCTTGCAGTGAGCACACTCGTAGCTGTCGGTCGGCTAAACGCACTCGTTGGTGTGTTGCTTGCAGTAGTACTAGTGGCGTCTGCCATTCTGTGAATCTGTCAAATAAGCATGCATACATGCACGCTGGGGTCACCAGACTAGATTCAAGTGCGCGGTTTTGCCGAGGTGCGCAACTAGTAGTAAGATGCAGCAGCATGGTGGGCCCGGACAGCCAGGTTCTGCCGTCTTCGCGTTCCCTTTTGCGGGGAAGGTGCATAGAGCGAGCGTGAGCAATTAAACTCTTGGAGTAAGGATCAGCGCCAGCCTTGCCGTGGGCAAGCCGTAGCGAAGCTGATGTGGGACACGGGTGAGGATTGAGGAGGAGTTGACGAGACTGTATAAAGCAGCCAGGTCATCACTGTGTGCGACGCTCCCACCAAGACCCCATACCACACCGGAAGAAAGAGATCAACCATGGCCGAGACATTCGACTACATCGTCGTGGGAGGCGGCACAGCAGGGCCCGTGGCTGCGCGCCGGCTGGCAGAGTACTTTCCCACGAGCAGCGTCCTCCTCGTCGAGGCCGGCACGTCGTGAGTAGGCTACCAGAAAGGGAGGCAGAGAGGGAGTGCAGACGACTGACATGGCCGCACAGGCACGAGAACGTGCTCCACTCGACAATGGCCATGGGCTGGGAGGGCCTGCACCACAGCGACTGGGACTGGCGCTACACGTCGCAGCCCATGAAGCACGCCAACGAGCGCCAGATCCACCTGCCCCGCGGCAAGATCCTCGGCGGCAGCTCGGCGCTCAACGGCACCCTCATGATCCGCGGTGTCCAGGAGGACTGTGCGTGGCTGGCTGGCTGTCCTGTGTGATGGAGAAGCTTGAGCTGACTTGCAAAAAGACGACCGTTTGGCGCGCATGGGAATCGAGGGGTGGTCGTGGGACGAGGTGCTGCCCTTCTTCAAGCAGGTGGGTGTCGTCCTCAACCCGCAAAGGAAGAGGTGAAGCTAAAGTAATACCACGCAGTCCGAGACCTTCCACCCGTCTGACGGCATGAAGGGCGACCCAGCCGTCCATGGGACGACGGGCGAGCTCCACACGTGAGTGTTCTCTGCTCCCTCCCTTGTTGTGCTCTGCTGACTCACCGCGATCGCGCCCAGCTCGCACCACCCGCTGGCACCCATCAGCGAGCGCGTCGTCGACAGCTTCCTCGGCTCTGGTTTGTCGTGGAAGGAGGACATGTTCTCCCAGGGCGAGAGCGAGGGCGTGGGACACGTGCCCCGCACCGTCCACAACGGCGTCCGCACGTCCGGGTGAGTGTGTGTTGATGTAAGGGCAGTTTCAACAAGTGGGCTAATGGCAATGGCGATGGCGATGGCGATGGCGACGAAAGGGCCGACTTTGTCACGGGCGACGGCGTGCCGCGCAACCTGACAGTCCGACTGGGCCACCAGTGCACGCGCATCGTCTCGCGCGAGGGCGGCAGCGATGGCCTGCGCGTCGCCACGGGCGTCGAGCTGCGCTCCAACACGACGGGCGCGCCCTCGGTCGTGAATGCATCCAAGGAGGTCGTCGTCTCGTGCGGCTCCTACAACTCGCCGCAGCTGCTCATGCTCAGCGGCATCGGCGACCGCGCCCAGCTGGCGCGCTTCAACATCGCCTGCGTGCGCGACCTCGGCGGCGTGGGCCAGCACCTGGGCGACCACATCATCGTCTTCAACTTCTTCCATGTCAACACGCCCCAGCTGACCAACGACCACCTCCTCTACGACGAGGGCGCCTTTGACCGGGCCGTGTCGCAGTACATGGGCGACAGGTCGGGTGTGCTGGGCAGCCTTCCCTTTGGTGCCTTTGTCTTTAAGCGCCTCGACGACGAGCTCAAGGACGACCCCGAGTGGCGCGCGGCCCTGGCGCAGAGCGGAGGCGCGGACCCCATGGGTGCGACCAACGGCACGCCCCATGTCGAGTGGGTCGCTCCCTTCTCTATGCTAGCTTTCCCGACTGCAAAACTAAACACTCTTCTCTCTCTCTCGCAGATACTTTTGGACCGAGTGCTACGGTGGCGGGCCGCAGCACGTGGACCAGCCGGGCCACGGCGAGTCTGCGTTTGCGCTCATCACGCTCCTCTTCAACCCGCGCTCGCGCGGCTCCGTGACGCTGCAGGGCCGCAACCCGCTCTTCCCGCCGCGCATCGACCACAACTACCTGGCCGAGCCGCTGGACGTGGTGATGCTCGCCGAGGCGTGCCGCTTTGGTGCCGACGTCGTCGCAAACGGCCGCGGCACGCGCGACGTCGTGGCAGGGCCCTGGCCCGCCTCGCGCACCTTGCCCACCGACCGCGAGGGCTGGAAGGCGTACGTGCGCGAGCAGGCCGGCACCTGCTACCACCCCGCCGGCACGTGCGCCATGGGCCCCACGCCCGAGCCGAGCGAGACGCTGCCGAAGGGTTCCGTCGACGATGCACGACTCAAGGTGCATGGCTTTGCCAACCTGCGCGTCGCCGACGTCTCGGTGCTCCCCCTCGTCCACAGCGGCCACACGCAGGCGCCAGCCTACATGATTGGCGAAAAGGCAGCCTTTATGATCGCCGAGGACGCCAAGGCCGCTGGGGCCGCAGACCACCCTGCGCACAGCGCGTTTGAGCACCCCGCGCAGCTGTAGCAGGGGCGCTTGCAAAGCAGAGAATGTCCAGACTGATGTAGAAAGAGAATGGCAGCAAATGAGATCCTTGTCCAGGCTGATGTAGAGGGAGAGGCAGCAAATGAATTGAGATTTCATCTCAAGGGTTGTATCCTAAGGAGCAGGGCCAGGAGCGACAAAGTGCTTCTCGAGGCCCTGCCACGCCTTCCAGTAGTCCTGCTGCAGCTTGCCGCTCTCGCTGTGGTAGTCACTTAGTCAGCAGAAGGAAGAGCGATGTAACGGAGACAGCTGGAGGACACCCACCGGATGGCCCACTTGGTCGTCGCAAGCTGGTAGGCCGACTCAAACATGAAGCTCATGCTGCCCTCGCCCACTTTCACCGGCTTGAGTTCTGCCGTGCTCGCCTTTGCAAACGTGTCGGCGTCGGGCCCGTGGGCCGAGTTCATGTTGTGCAGCGAGGCACCCCCAGGCAGGAAGCCAGTCGCCTTGGCGTCGTAGGTGCCCACGATGTTGCCCATGAACTCGGACATGCAGTTGCGGTGGAAGTACGGCGGCCGGAACGTGTCCTCGGCGACGAGCCAGCGCGGCGGGAAGATGACAAAGTCGGCAATCGCCGTCCCCGCCGAGTCCGAGGGGCAGGTCAGCACGGTAAAGATGGACGGGTCCGGGTGGTCAAAGGAGATGGAGCCGATGGTGTTGAACTTGCGCAGGTCGTAGCGGTACGGCACATAGTTGCCCGAGTAGGCAACAACATCGTACGGCGAGTGCGCCTGGCGGTACTGAAATAAACCGCCGAGGAACTTGTTGACGACGAGGTGCTCCTCCTCGACGTCGTCGTCGTACGCCGCCACAGGGCTCTCAAAGTCCTTGGCGTTCGCCAGGCCGTTGGCGCCAATCGGCCCCAGCTCCGGCAGCTCAAAGTGGCCCTTGAACACCTCGCAGACGAAGCCGCGGCAGGCGCTGGCGGCAGCACCGGCAGCACCGGCAGCCGACTGGGCAGCGACGCCGTCGACGCTGAACTTGAGCCCACGCTGGACGACGCAGATGTGGAGCGGCGGCACGTGCAGCCTGCCAAACTCGGTCCTGACGAGCAGCTCGCCCGTGACGGGGACTGCAACAGCAGCGTGAGCCATCCCAGTCTGCACTTGAAGAGAAGAGGAGGAGGAGGGCGCACACACCAATGAGCATGTCGCCGTCGGAGTTGTAGAAGCTCTTGCGGTCCATGTTGCGGGTGAAGCTGTAGAAGTGGATGGCGAGGCCGTCCTTGACCTGGCTGTCGCCTGCGCCGCCGAGGGTCGAGAGGCCGTCGACAAAGTCGTGCTGCGCTTCGTCTGCGACGGCGAGGGGGTCCCAGCGCAGCTGCTGGGGAGTCGCCTCGATGCTTGGTGAGAAGGAGTGGAAGGAGGCGACGAGGCGCGGGTGCGCGTACGGTGCCATGGGCATGTGCTGCACCGAGGGGCGAATGCGGTACAGCCAGCTGCGCTGGTTCTTGTGTCTCGGCGCCGTGAAGGCCGTGCCGCTGACCTGCTCGGCGTAGAGGCCATGGGCAGGCCGCTGGGGAGCGTTGCCGCGCTTCGGAAGGCTTCCGGGCTCGGCCTCGGACTCAAAGTGGTTGCCAAACCCGTCTAGGCCGCGCTGTCAGCTTGCACTTTCTCTCTTTCTCCACTCTACAGCCACAGCAGCAGCAGCAGCAGCAGCAGCAGCAGCACTCACTCTGGTACTTGAGGTCCATCGTCGGTCGTAGCTGCGATGGGTGGCGAGGCGGACGAGTGCCGGGCGAACCTCCTATCGTCCCTTTTATCAAGAAGAGCGTGCGCACCGGACCAGCTGACGGTTTACCCGTCCGTCGTCCCCACTTTTGCCCTGCCCCGCTTTTTCTATTTTCTCGCGTCGGCCTTTTCCAAAGGATGGGTGGTTATAGATAAAGAATGCCCGGGACGGGGGTGAATTAGCCGACCAAGTTACCCCAGGTCCCCCTCGAGATATAAGGCCAGCTCGTCCTGTTTTCCCCCTCTTAGAAGGGTCAGACTCGACGACAAACAAGCCATGACTGCCGACTCCTACATTGCCTCCTTCAGCCCCAGCACGCTCACCGTGGCGCTGAGCGTGGGACTGGTGTGCCTGCTCCACTATGTGCGCTATGCTCGCGGCAAGATCCACCTGCCGGGGCCTGTTCCCCTGCCCATTGTGGGCAACCTGCTGAGTGTGGGCGAGGTGAGCTGTTTCTGCATGCTGCTGCTGTTATTGTGACAAGACTGATGAGAGAGAGACACGCTGCAGGACGCCGCCCAGACATACTACCACTGGTCCAAGACGTACGGACCCGTGTTCAGGGTCCTGCTGGGCGAGCGCGAGGTCGTCGTCGTCAACACGGCCGCCGCCGCCAAGGAGCTGTTCAACGACCAGGGCAGCGTCTACATCTCCCGTCCCCGCTTCCACAACTTCCACAACGTCGTCTCGTCGACGGCCGGCTTCACCATCGGCACGTCGCCGTGGGACGAGTCGTGCAAGCGCAAGCGCAAGGCCGCCGCCACGGCCCTCAACCGGCCTGCCGTGCAGTCGTATGTGCCCATCATGGACCGCGAGACGCTGTCGCTCGTCGACGACATCTACCACGACGGCGCAAAGGGCGACGGCGAGATCAACCCGTACGGCTACCTGCAGCGCTTTGCCCTCAACACATCCCTGGTCGTCAACTACGGCTCCCGGCTTGAAAAGGTCGGGGATGCGCTGCTGCGCGAGATCATCGAGGTCGAGACCGAGGTCGCCAATTTCCGCTCCGTCTCGGGCTCGGCGTCTGACTATGTGCCCCTGCTCCGGCTGCTCCCTTCGTTCCTGGGCGGCAGCAGCAACAGCGGCAAGGCGGCTGAGACGCGCCGGCGCAGAGACCGGTACATGAATGCGCTCCTCGACGACCTCAAGGAGCGCGTGGCAAGGGGCACCGACATTCCCTGCATCACGGGCAACATCATCAAGGACCCCGAGGCCAAGCTGACCGACCTCGAACTGAGCTCCATCTGCCTCTCGATGGTGTCTGCAGGGCTCGACACGCTCGCCAACACGTTCATCTGGAGCGTCGGCTACCTGGCCCAGCACCCCGAGTTCCAGGAGCGGGCGTATGCGGCCATCCGCGACGTCTACCACGGCGACATCCCCGACTCGACGCGCGAAGATGTCGAGTACATCACGGCGCTCCACAAGGAGTGCTCGCGCTTCTTTAGTGTGCTCAAGCTCTCGCTGCCGCGTGCCACGCTGGGCGAGTCCGAGTACCGGGGCGTGCGCATCCCCGACGGCACCACCGTCTTTCTCAATGCGTGGGCGATCCACCACGACGCAGAGCGGTACGGCGACTTTGACGTCTTCCGGCCCGAGCGCTTCCTCGAGGCGTCCGAGGCCAGCCAGCAGGCCCACTACTCGTTTGGCGCAGGCCGGCGCATGTGCGCAGGCGTGCACCTGGCCAACCGGGAGCTGTACGTGGCCTTTTGCAAGCTCATTCACTTTTTCAAGATTGAGCCGGGCACCGAGGCCTACGACATTGACCCGGCGACGGCGTGTGCCAACCCGCGCGGGCTGAGCTCGACGCCAAAGAGCTTCAAGGTCCGCTTCGTGCCCAGAAACAAGGCCACCATCGAGCAGTGGATCGACGAGGAAAAGAACCGGGCCGAGCTCAAGATGGCCGCCAGCATCTCGTCGAAGAAGACGTCCTGATCTGCGCCAGACCAGAGCTGCTGACAGCGGCGAATCCTCCATCTCATGCTTTCTTGTGGATATGTACAGTACATTCAGTAGTACTACAGCTAGGCACAGGAATCAATAATCTCTCTCCATCCCTTGCTTGTAGCAGCACAGCAGCTGTCCTTCATTGTTCTTGGGCCTGGCCAGAATAAATTCCGACGCCGCGGCTAAACCGCTCTCACCCCCTTTGCGCTGCTGCTTCTTCCGTCTTGATCTTGACAACAACAACGACGACGACGACGACGATGCACTGCTCGGTGCCGTACCCGGCCGACCACCCGTTCCCCATCGAGAACCTGCCCTACGGCGTGTTCTCGACGGCGCAGGATCCCGAGCCGAGGCCGGGCGTCGCGATTGGCGACTGCATCCTCGACCTGGCTGCCCTCACACGGACGCCCCTCTTTGCCGAGTCGCCCGTGCCCGCCCCCGTCTTTGCAGAGGTGCGTCGTGCTGGCTCTCGAGAAAGTGTATCGTCTTAGCTGAGAGGAGCGTCGGATAGGCAAGGAATCTGGACGCGTTCGTCGCACTCGAACGCAGCAGCTGGCGCGCCTTTCGCCGCTTCCTCCACGGCATCCTCAGCAGGGAGGAGCCGCTTGGCGATGATGTCCTTGTCCCACGCACCTCGCCGGAGACACAGATGCACATGCCCATCACCATCGGCGACTACACTGACTTTTATGCATCGTACGAGCACGCGTTCAACTGCGGCTCCCTCATCAGGGGCGCCGACAAGGCGATGCAGCCCAATTGGAGGCACCTCCCCGTCGCCTACCATGGCCGGGCGTCGTGAGTGGAGAGCTAAGTCGGCCTTTTGTTCCCTGCTGAGACTGTTCTGCAGATCCGTCGTGGTGAGCGGCACCGACTTCCATCGGCCCAGCGGCCAGATCCTCGCGAGCCCAGGCGACTCGCAGCCCATCTTTTCGCCCTGCAAACGCCTCGACTACGAGCTCGAGATGGGCTTTGTGAGTGGCTGTTTCTGCCTGTCTATTGGAGCGCAGGCACGGCTGACCTGGCACCACATGCAGATCTATGGGGGAAAGGCGACGCAACTGGGGCAGCGGCTCTCACCGCAGCAGGCGCAGGAGCACATCTTTGGCGTCGTGCTGCTGAATGACTGGTCCGCGCGCGACATTCAGACGTGGGAGTACGTCCCGTTGGGTGAGTATCCTCCTCTCTACCTCGTTCTCCCATGCGACTAGCCAGTTGAGTGTTGCGTTCCAGGCCCCTTTCTGAGCAAGAACTTCTGCACCACCATCTCGCCCTGGATCGTCTCGATGGACGCTCTCGAGCCATTCGGTGTCGGGCAGTACGCCCACGAGCCCGCGCTGCTGCCGTACCTCGAGCATGATGGAGGCGTCAACTATGACGTCGACCTCACCGTCGAGATCAAGGGTGCGTGCGCGCATATTGCCAGCACCGTAGCTCCCTTCGCTAACACTCTCTCAAACAACAGCCGACGACGACGAGTACCACGTCGTGTCCAGATCCTCGATGAAGCACATGTACTATACTCTCGGCCAGATGCTCGCGCACCACTCGACAACCGGCTGTTCCATGAGGCCCGGCGACCTGCTGGGCACGGGCACGCTGTCTGCGCCGCGGCCAGATGGCCTGGGAAGCCTGCTGGAGAAGAGCAAGCTGGGGAGGGAGCCGTTCGGCCTGGGCAGCCGCAAGGACATGACATTCCTGAGGGACGGCGACAGCGTGCGCCTGACCGGGTCCGCGCGCGGCAAGGGCTACACAATCGGCTTTGGCCACTGCGAGGGCACCTTGCTGCCTGCACTGCCGCTACTCGACTAGGTGTGCCGTCTAAGACCACGTGGCAGAATGAAATGTCATCTTTATTTTCTTCAGTTTTTTTTTTCTTCTTCTTCGTCGCCGGCCACGGGCCCCGCGCGCTACGTTGATTAAATTGTGGCAGCTGAGTTGACACGTCCTGCCCTCCCCGTTTTACCCTCCCCCTTTGTGTTCTCTCCGATTTAACCGAGCCGGCTGTCCGACATGGAGAGGCCGACGACGGCGACGACGGTGGAGCCTCGGCAGCGGATTCTCAAGGCGTGCGCATCGTGCTCGGCACGCAAGACCAAGTGCGATGGCCGCGAGGGCGGCTGCTCGTCGTGCGCCAAGCTCGGCCTCGAGTGCGTGTACGTGTCGTCGGGCAAGAAGCGGGGCCCGCCAAAGGGCTCGCCCGCGCGGGGAGGTCCGCCGCGCAAGAACAAGGCTCCGACACTGGCCCCGTCGTCGTCTTCGGCCTCGGTCTCGTCGCTGTTTGACCAGCTCGATGCCAAGCCGTGGGCGTCCGTCGGCGGAGGTGCGACCACATCCACGTCGCCGCCGTCGTCCAGCTCGACGTCGTACAGCTTGCAGCAGCAGCAGCAGCAGCAGCAGCAGCAGCCACATCCGCAGTCGCAACCGCATCTACAGTCGCATTCGCAATCGCAGCCGCTTCTTCAGCCACAGCAACAACAACTACAGTCACAGCTGTCTTTACCCGCCGGCGCCATCGAGGCCCTGCTGCTCGTCTATGAGACATTCATCCACCCGCACTGGCCCGTCGTCTACCTGCCTGCGCTCGGCTCGCTGCGGATCCTCGAGCAGCGGAGCCCGCTGCTGTTCGACGCCATCCTCACCATCTCGGCCGCCAACTCGTCGGACCCGAGCATGATGCGGCTCAGCGACGGCATGGTCGAGGCCGTGCGCCGGCGCATCCTCGACTGCCTCACCGACGCCGCCACGCTGAATCGCATCGAGGTGATCCAGTCGATGATCCTCATCTCCCTCGTCGACCTCGGCAGCGGCCGCTCGTCGATGGCCTACCAGTTTGGCGGCATGGCCTGCCGCATGGCCCTGGACATGAACCTGCACGTGCAGACGGCCCCGCCCAAGGACAAGTCCCGGCGCCGGCGTGGCCTCGATGAGCGTAGTGCGCCTGGCCGCGGCAGCAGCAGCAGCAGCAGCAGTCTTCGTGACGGTGGCAGCAGCAGCAGCAGCAGCAATCATCAGACGACGAGCAGCAGCCAGGAGGCGCGGCGGACCATGTGGGCCTGCTACGTCCTCGACAAGGTCCTCGCCGCCGTGCTGCAGCGGCCGCCGGCGATGCGCCAGCAGGACATCGACGTCGACAAGCCGTCGACGATGGAGCGCGACGAGGTGGACCTGCCCTGGCGCGCCGAGGGACTCGCACGGGTCCGCTTCCTGCACCCGCAGGCGTATGGCGCCATGGAGCACCTGCGCTCCCACGCCCTCTCGAGCTTCTCGGCCTGGTGCGACGTCATGGCCATCCTCGAGCGCATCCTCGACGACGTCTACCGGCCCCGCAGCCGGCGGCGTCGCCATGATCATCATCATCATCATCATCATCGTCATCAGCATCAGAGCTTCCATGGTCATGACCAGCACCAGCATCCCCTCGGCCACGACGAGCCGCCGCGCGACGACGAGGCAGCCGTCGCAAGGCTCGACGACGAGCTCCGCCGCTGGCGCCGTGGCCTGCCCGACCACCTGCAGTGGGGCGACGACGGCGCGGCCGAGGAGCACGTCGACGTCGGCCTCCAGGTGCTGACGCTGCGTGGATGGTACTATACATGCGTGCTGCTCCTCCACCGCCCGCGCCTGCCGCTCAGCCTCGACGAGTCCTGCTCCGACCTCGAGGCCATCGATGCGCTCCAGCAGCTCCGCGGCGCCACGCGCAGCAGCGGCAGTAGCGGGGGCAGCAACCACCTTCAGCGAGATCCCGCGTCGTCGCACCGCATGGCGAGCCCCGTCACGGGCGCCACCGAGGCTGCCACGTCCATCTGCGTCATCATGGAGGCCTACGAGGCCACGTTCAAGGTGCTCAAGTTCCCCGCCTCGTGGGTCTATCTCATCTTCCAGGCCGCCACCGTGCACGCGGGCCTGGCTGCTGCGGGCAACGCCGCGTCGCAGGAGGCCCGCCGCCGGCTGCAGCAGTGCATCGCCTGGCTCGAGCAGATCTCCCAGACGTGGCGCAGCGCCAGCCACCACGTCGAGACGCTCAACCGGCTCCTCGCCGTCGGCGCCCGCACGCGCACACGGCCGCCCTCGCCCGACGTCGCTGCGCCCACCTACGTCGGCGTCATTGACCCGCTGTTGGCCACTGCGGCCACCGCCAACGCTGCCAACACCCCCACCCCGCCCACGGGGGCCGCGGGGGCCGCCGGCGCCGCCGACGATGGCGCCGCCTCGTGGAACCTCTTTTGGAGCTCGATGCCGACGACGAGCGAGGATGCCAGTCTCTGGCAGGGCTTTTCCGATCTCTTTCCCCAGCAACAGCAGCAGCCGCAGCAGCAACCGCCGCCGCCGCCTCAACCACAGAGGCAGCAGCCGCCGTTGCAAATTGTATCCTAGTTTCCCTCTATCCATCCAGTCACCCATCTTTGCCATTTAGTGCCATTGAGAGAGTGTCGTGTCCCAGACAGACAGTTGTCGTGACAAAGAGGGAATGACACGCAGCAGCCTTTGTCAGAATGGATGCTTGTTGAGTTCGAATTTGCTGCAGCGAGATGCGCATCTCAGACTCTGCAGTTGCAGTGCCGCCGCCGCCAATGCCGCACACAGCCGCAGGCACGTCCCGCGCGCGCAGATCCACGCACCACCACGCACCCATCTCACGCTTGCGGCAAAAAGATTGCCTGCCAAGGGGGATTAAAGTCGGCTGGCAACCGGTGGCTTGCAGCATGCAGCAGCAGCAGCAGCAGCAGCAGCGACACGGCGATTCGATTCAACTCGGGGATTTTTTTGTTTTCTTATTTTTTGAGCTGTTTCATCTCTCTTTTTTTTTTTATCAGATGGAGGGAAGTAAAGAAAAAAGACCGTGGCTCGCACAATTCGGCGGATGAAGTTTCTTCTCCATGGCGAGCGAGGGGAAGAGCGCCCTTTATAAGGGCATGGCTTCGTCTATGCTTCTCGAGCCATCATCAGGGCAGCATGTCGCAGTCGTCGCACCAGGAGGACAAGTCGATCCAGGAGGAGAAGCTGCCCCAGGAGGGAAAGGCGCACCAGGAGGAGGAGGAGGAGGAAGTGGGGGAGCGTGAGCACCGTCCGATCGGCCACTTCCACTTTCGCTCCGTCGCCTTTCAGATCCTCGTCGTCTCGGCCACGGCCTTTTGCACCATTGGCTCCTTCAATGCGCTCCAGGGCCTAGGTGGTGCGGGCCAGGAGTCGCCGTACGTGGCCAATGCCGCCACGTCGCTCAACTTTGGCCTGCTCGGCGTCGTCTGCCTCTTTGGCGGGCCCATCGTCGCCATCCTCGGCCCACGGTGGTCGCTGGCCATCGGCACCATGGGCGACCCCCTCTTTGGTGCCGCCGTGTACTGCAACACGCGCTACGGCACCCAGTGGTTCCTCGTCTTTGCCGCCGTCCTTCGCGGCATCGCCTCGGGCCACTTTTGGTGCGCAGAGGGATCACTCATCATTGGCTACCCGCGCGCCCAGCACCGCGGCAGGTCCATCACCACCTGGGTCTTTTTCAAGGAGCTCGGCGGCATCGTCTCGTCGTCCATCTACCTGGGTCTGTCGGCCAAGGACAACAAGGCCGGGCACTTTGGCTACAGCGTCTACTACGTCACCATTGCCATCATGTGCGCTGGCCTGCCCATTGCCCTGCTCCTCTCGCCCACCAACAAAGTCCGCCACGCCGACGGCACGCCCCTCGACACGAGCTCGCCCGCCATCAAGCGCGGCACCTGGCGCGAAGAGTACGCGCGCCTGCTCCGGCTCCTCTCGCGGCGCGACGTGGCCCTGATCCTCCCCTTTGCGCTGTACGCCTACTTCTACTACTCGTTTGCCCACACCTACAACACCCGCCACTTTTCCGTCCGCGGCCGCTCGCTCGTCTCGCTCCTGACCGAGATCTCGTCGGTGCTCGGCTCGCTGCTGGTGGCCTGCTTTGTGGACCGCCGCCGCCAGATGCGGGGCATCGGCCTCGTCACGGCCTTTGTCCTCGTCATCTGCGCCGCCTTCTGGGCCTACTTCGCCTGGGCTGCGCTCGCGCCCCCTGCCAAGCGCCTTGACTGGAGCGACCCGGACTTTGCCAGGTACGCCATGTCCATCGTCCTCGTCTTTCTCTCGCAGCAGAGCGCCCAGACGTACCTCTACTGGGTCGCAGCCCACCTCTCGGACTCGCTCGACGACGTCTTCCACCTCGCCGGCGCCGTGCGCGGCATCGAGTCGCTGGGCCAGTGCATCGCCTACGGCATCAACGCCAGCAAGACGTCGCCGATTGTGTCGGTGGCCATGAACCTGGCCCTGTATGCCGTCGGCGCCGTGTGCCTCGTCGTGCTCCTCGTGGACAAGTCGCGGGCAAAACAGGCTGGCGCTTCTTCAGCTGCATCAATGTAATTTCAGTAGAAGCAAAAGACGCAAAAACATGACAGTAGTGCTTTACGGGCTGCCCGAGCTGTAGAAAATAAGGCTAGACGGTGTGATGTGATGGAGTGCATCGTGCTGCACTCGCCAAGCGGTGTTATCTTTTTCCAGAGCCGTGCGTCGAGTGGACATTGACCACCGGCGACTAAATGCGGCTAAAGTGCGCTTTCTCTCAGCTTGCCAAGCGGCTGCTTGGGTTGATCAATCACTTTCCAGCTCTAAAAAGCCTGCACAAGTAATAATGGGTTCTCATCCACGCGTCTTCCGACTTCCAGGTAATAATGATAGGGGCGAACCCACAAGGCTAATTTATCATTTGTTTGTGTTCGGTTCGGCATTTTTCGAAGTCGATGGACTCCCATTTCTGTATGCAAGGTCGGCTTCCTGCGCCAGAGTTTTCTACGAGCTAAAGTGTGTTGCTTTTCATAGAAGCCTGTGCCCATTCGCCCTGGACTTATTTATTTTGATCGACGCGGAAAGAGTGGCTGGCTGGCGGTGGGCCCTTGGCGGAACAGCGCGGCGCCCCCGTCAAGGGCGGTTGTGTGGCATGGCTCAGCCCAGGAGTACTAGTAGTAGTAGTAGTGGAAAGTAAAAAAGTGCCCGAAGCACACCCAGGCTAGGCTAGGGTCCCATATCTCCAGTACGTCCCTCTCCCGCTTCTCGACCTGCTTCCACCTCCTCCCCTCCCCCCTCCTCCACTGAAACGTTGCGTTGCGATGAGGTGCTCGCTCCTCCTCATTGCCGTGGCCCTCTGCCTGCTCGCCTCGCTGGTCCAGGCCGAAGGCTGCTTCTACGAGTGAGTGCACTGCAAGACAGAGAGAGAGAGGGAGAGCAGGAGCAGAGCGCGGCTGATGTGCGCGACCATGTGACACAGCGACCAAGTCTGCTGCAAGTGCGCCCCCAAGAGCGGCAGCACCAAGTCCGTCTACTCGTGCGCCGACAACAGCACCTGCCCGCTTGGCTGCACCGAGGCTGACGACGACAAGTGTCATGGTGAGTAGGGGAATGGCGACCGGACAGCCCCCCTCCGATGACGCGGTTCAAAGCAGCTCGTCGTCGCGACTGATTGCTAACATCGATCAAACCCACAGGCTCGCCGCAGAGCGATTCGCTGAGCCGCAAGACGGACACGACAGCGTCGCACAAGAAGCACACGAAGCACAAGCACGGCGAGGAGAAGCCAGATGCGCACAAGCACAAGGGCCAGTCGCAGCAGAAAAAGCCCGGCCAGGGCGAGCCGCCCGTGACGTCGCACCTCAACGGCGGCAAGGCCAAGAAACCTCTCGACGGCAAGGCCAAGGGACCCCTCGATGGTCTCTTTCCTTGAATTTGACCCATCCTCACGCTTGCGTGCGCAAGAATAGTAGCCATCAGCTCACAATCAAGGACATTCATCCACTTAATACCATGCATTCTCCCTCCTGAACCGCCTCGCGACCCGTCACCCATGACAAAAAATGACAGAAACAGCAAGTCCACTCGGAAAAACAGACCTAGGCTAAGGCTCTCCACGGCCAGGGTCCAATTTCCGACGTCTGCCCTTTTCCGAGAGCATTTTAGTGCGGGGGATCCGACACTGTATAATAGCCCCCGGCTCCCTTGCCTGTTGCCACTACGCAAGCAAGCAAGCAGACAGAATGACTCCCTCTGCCGTGTCCGCTTCGTCGGTGCAGGCCGACCGGCCGCTGACGGCACCGCCAAAGTCGGTGCCCTTGACGGCGCCGCTGTCCAATGCGGCCGAGGTGCTGTCGGCGGTGCGGTGCCTGGCGGCTGACCTGGTGCAGCAGTTCAACGGCGGCCACCCAGGCACGGCCATGGGTGCGGCCGCCATCGGCCTGGCCCTCTGGGGCGGCGAGGGCACGATGCGCTTCGACCCGGCCGATGCTGCCTGGATCGACCGGGACCGCTTTGTCCTGTAAGCCTCTTCTGCTTGCCGCCATTAATCCTCGCTCTTTTGCTTTCTCTTTTTGAGAGCCTGACACGGCGTGCTCTCTCTCGCAACAGATCCGCGGGCCACGCCTGCCTGCTCCAGTACATCTATCTCCACCTGGCCGGCTACAAGAGCTGGACGCTGGACATGCTCAAGCGCTATCACTCGCCCGACTTTGTCCACTCGCAGGCGGCGGGCCATCCCGAGATTGAGTTTGAGGGCGTCGAGGTGACGACGGGCCCGCTCGGCCAGGGCATCGCCAACGCCGTCGGCCTGGCGATGGCGTCGAAGCACTTTGCCGCGCATTTTAACCGGCCGGGCGGCCACGACATTGTCGGCGCCAAGGTGTGGTGCATGACCGGCGACGGCTGCCTGCAGGAGGGCGTGGGCCAGGAGGCCGTCTCGCTGGCGGGCCACCTGCGCCTCGACAATCTGATCCTCATCTACGACGACAATGGCGTCACCGTCGACGGCAACATCGACACGTGCTTCACCGACGACACATCGGCCAAGCTCACCAGCTGCGGCTGGCACGTCATCGACGTCGAGGGCGATGCGACAAACGACGTCGAGGCGATCCTCAAGGCGCTCCAGTCGGCGCGCAACAGCACGGCTGGCAAACCCGTCTTTGTGCACATCCGCACCGTCATTGGCTTTGGCTCGCACAACCAGGGCCTGGCGCCCACGCACGGCGCGGCGCTGGGCGACGTCGATGTCGCTGCCATCAAGCAGCTGCACGGCCAGGACAGCGGCGTGCACTTCCACGTGCCCGGCCGCGTCTACGGCGCCTTTGACGAGATCCGCGCGCGCGGGGCACGGGAGCACCAGCAGTGGCGGTTGCGCTTCGAGGCATACCAGCGCGCGCACCCGGACCTGGCGCGCGAGTTCCAGGCCCGCTTCTCGGGCAGGCTCGACGGCGGTGTGGACACGGCGGCGCTGCTGCCCAGGCGCGAGGCGCTGCCCACGGCAGCCACACCCACCCGCAAGGCATCCGGCCTCGCCGTCGCCGCCCTGGGCCCCGCCGTGCCCCAGCTCATGACCGGCTCGGCGGACCTGATGGAGTCGACGTTTGTCACATGGACCAAGGACCTCTTTTTTGGCTCGCCCGACGCTGGCGAAGAAAAGCAGAGCTTCGCTGGCCGGCAGGTGCGCTACGGGATCCGGGAGCACGCCATGGCGGCCATCGCAAACGGCCTGGCGGCGTACGCGCCCGACGCCATTGTGCCCGTCATTTCGACGTTCTTCATGTTCTTTCTCTATGCGGCACCCGCCGTGCGCATGGCGGCGCTCCAGCGGCTCCGCATCGTCGGCATTGCCACGCACGACAGCATCGGCATCGGCGAGGACGGGCCGACGCACCAGCCGATTGCGCTCGCGAGCCTGTTCCGCGCCATGCCCAACCTCCGCTTCGTGCGGCCGGCCGACGCAGAGGAGGTCATGGGCGCGTGGAAGCTGGCTCTGCAGGACAGCGACGGCGATGGCGGCGGGGGAATGCCCACCATACTGTCGCTGAGCCGGCAGGGTGTGCCGCTGCTCGCCGGGTCCGATCGCGAGGCCGTGGCAAAGGGCGCATACACCGTCGTCGAGAGCGCGTCGTCGTTGTCGTCGTTGTCGCCGTCGTCGTCGCCGTCGTCGCCACCACGCCTCGTCCTCATCGCTACGGGGTCCGAGGTGCAGCTGGCAGTGCGCGTGGCCGAGCGGCTGGGCCAAACGACGCCGACAAGCGTCGTCTCGATGCCGTGCCAGGCCCTCTTTGACGCCCAGCCGGCGTCGTACCGCCGCGCAGTGCTGCCCGCGACCAGCCTCATCGTCGCCATCGAGGCCTGGTCGTCGTACGGCTGGGCCAGGTACGCGCATGCATCGGTGAGCATGCACACGTTTGGCCTCTCAGGGCCCCAGGCGGGCCTCTACGACCACTTTGGCTTCAGCGAGGACAACATCGCGAAGAAAGTCGACGCCTTTGTGAAGAAGCACTCGACGGGACCGGACGGCGCCGTGAGGGTGCCTGCCGTGGGTGACTTTGAGGAGCTGCTGCTCGGCCATGCACCCTGAAATGGTGGTATATAAATGCAATGCGATTCTATGTCTCCTCCTGTCTTGATGAGAAGTGACTGCGCAAACGACACAGCGTGAATGAAATCATGCCGCCGGTGGTGGAAAGAGCTGAGGAAACAGCGACTCGAGCTCTGCCAGCGACTCGACCTCGGAGATGCTGACCTGGGGCGGCAGTGGTGGCGACGAGGAGGAGGGAGCAGGCGGCAGCAGTGGCAGCGCAGTGAGTGGCGACGGCGGCAGTGGCATCTGTGGTGCCGATGCTCGGTGGTGCCGTGGTGTCACGGCCGCCGCCGTCGTCGTCGACGAGGAGGCGTGGAGGCGCTGGAGGAGGCGCATCTCGCGCCGCGTGACGAGTGCATCGGTGCCCACGGCCAGCTCGACGAGGTCGTCGTCGTCGATGCCCATCTGGCGCTGGGTGAGCACGCCGTGGATCCAGCGGATGCCGTCCCAGTAGACGCTCATGCGCTCGAGGGCGGCGGCAAAGGTGCGAAAGCCGCGCAGGGCGGTGCGGGTGAGGTGCTGCTTACCCACCGGCGCCCGCTGCTGCTGCTGCTGGCCGGATGCCCCCGCCCCCGCCGCCGCCGCCGCTGTCGCTGAGGAGGAAGGAGCCTGCTGCCGCTTCAGCTCGTCGAGCTCGGCACAGCCGGCGAGAAAGAGCGTCTGGTTGGCCATGGGTGCGCACGTGAGAAACTGGCCGTCGTGGGCCTCGTCGAGGGCGACAATGTCCTTGCAGCGCTCGACGGCCATGCGCACCATGTCGAACGAGGCGTCGGGGACACCACCAGCAGCACGGCGGTGGCGACGACGGTCGACGATCGGCGGCCGGTTGAGGAGAAAGACGAGGCAGTGGAACCAGAGGTGGAGCTCGAGAAAGACGTGCTTGTCGTCGGCCAGCTTGAAGTTGGTCGGCGTCAGCTCGAGGTGTGCGGGCATCGACTCGTACGACTGGATGAGCTCCTCCTCGAGGCGGTCGAGCAGCAGCGCGCGGTCCTGCTCCAGGACGGCATTCAGCGCCTCGGCGACCTTGCCTCCGATGCGCACATGGACGATGTGGTGGTCGAATGCGCGCGTCGAGCGGGTCCTGTCGGGCAGCGGGCAGGTAATCTCGTCGTCCTTGATGCTCATCGGCCGGCCCGTGCCCATGGCCAGCACGCGGTCCATCTGGTACACGGTCCAGAAGAGGAGTCCGTCGTCGATCATGCCTCTTTCTGCTGCTGCGCCGTCACTGCCGCCGCCGCTGCCGCCGCCGCTGCTGCTGCTAGAGCCAGGCCGGCGGCGGTGCAGGCCGAGGTCGATGGCCATGCGGAGCGACATGCCGGCGTAGTTCCAGAAGGCGCTGTCGAGGTTGCACGAGAACTCGTGCCAGGCCATCATGGCAAACGCCAGGCACGTCGTCCGGCTGGGGACAGAGAGCGACGTGGCGAGAAAGGTCTTTGCCTTGTCGGCAAACACACGCCCGTACGTGTGGGCCGCCCCACCGACGAGCAGGGGGCTGGTCGAGTAGCGCGCGGCGAGGGCGCAGACGACATTCACCAGCATCGCCAGGCCAGCGCCGCCCGCGGCCAGGCAGGCATCGAAGCCGGCGCGGTCGAGGCAGGGATAGTGGTCGCCGAGCCGGTCAAAGAAGATGGGCACGAGCTCGTCGAGGAGTGCCTGGGCGGGCAGGTCGCCGTCAAAGAGGAGGCTTGGATCGCGCCGCTCGCCCTCTTCCTCGCCCGCTTCTTCAGCAGCCGTCTCGCTGGGTTGCGGTGTCGACGACTCGAGCAGGCGCTCCCAGTCGACCCGCCGCTGCGGCTGGCTCGCCCCGTCAAAGAGGACCTTGCGGACCGTCGGCGTCAGGCGCAGCTCCACCGTCACCTTTTTGATGCCCGGCGAGATGCCCGTGGGTCCGAGGAGGCGAAAGTACTGCACCCGCACGACCCGCCGCTCCTTTTCCTGTTCTTGCTCTCGTTGTCGCGAATGCTGCTGCTGTTCATGCTCATGCTGCCGTTGCTGCTCTTGCAGCCTCTGGTGCTGCTCTACTTGTCTAGCATCGGCGTCGGCATCGGCGTCGGCGTCGGCATCGGCGTCGGCGTCGGCACCGGCACTGTCGTGGCTGCCGTCGATCCAGGCCACGCGGCCAGCGAGGGTGTCGAGCATCTCCTGGCTCACCTGGCCCGCCTCGATGCCGTAGGTCGAGAGATCGAGCAGCTGCTCCCACCACATTGTCCTGCGCGGCGACTGCTCCTGGCCCTGTCGCTGGCCTGGCGCCGATGCCGATGCCGACGCTCGCATCGGTACGCTGCTCGGGGCTGCTGTCGCGGGATGCACGTCCTCGCCCACCATGGGCGACGCCGACGCCGACGGCGAGGAGCGCCCGCTGGCTGCTGCATCGGCCAGGACATCGAGCGACGAGGACGCAGGGTCGCTACGAGCTCCTCTCCTTGCCCGCTTCCTCTTCTTCTCGCCCACAGTACCCTCGTCGCCGTGTCCCGCTCGCCGCCGCCGATCGACGTCGTTCCAGACGCAGGCCGACTGCGACTTGCGGCAGCGATCGCACGTCGGCCGCCGGCCGTCGCACCGCAGCTTCGATGCGCGGCAGGCGACGCACGCCGTGCCCACCCGCGAGGCGTGGCGGCCCCGTTTGGCCTCCATCTTTCTATTCCCCCCGCCCTTGTTGCTGCAGTATACTCGCCCTCGTTATCCGAGGTGAGTTTTTGCCTTTTTCCGAATAAAGAATTCTCACCCCAAACTAAACGCGCCGTCTGTGCGATGAAAGAACACGCTTCTATTCCGGGACCCGATGAGACGAGAGAGAGAGAAAAGAACGATAAATACAAGGATGCTCGAGTCGGTATTAGTAAGAACGATGGTTGTGGGGAAATTGCGGGTGAGTCGAGGGAGGGAAGCCACTACCAGGGGATCGCCACCCGCTGGGACCAGTCGACGTTGTCCTCGGTGCACTCCTCGCGGGCAATCTTGGAGCCAAAGAGGGTGTCCCAGACGCGCGTCTGCTTGCCGTAGTTGCCCGACTTCTTCCAGCCGCGGCGGTGGTGCAGGTCGTGGTCCTCGATGCACAGCTCGATGCCTGCCGAGCGGAGGATGCCAAACGAGCCCGGCGGCTGCGCAAAGACGCGCAGGCCCGAGTGGCCGGCCAGCTCGATAAAGGCGACGTACATGCCGCAGAACCACCACTCGTAGAAGCCAAAGTTGCTGCCGCCGAGGACGGGGACGAGGTAGCGGATGGTCCAGTAGGCAAACAGGGGGATGCCTGCGATGTCAAAGATCTCCTGCACCTCGTCGGCAAAGAGGGTGAGGGTGGCGTTGGGGTGACGCGTGAGGTGGTGGGTGCTGTGCAGCTTCCACAGCCACGGCACCTCGTGCATCAGGCGGTGGTACCAGTAGAACCAGAAGTCGAGCACGACGGTGTACAGCGTCAGCTGCGCAGGCACCATCCAGCTGAGTGCCGGCGGCGCATTACGGTCGTACGCCAGCATCACGGCCAGGATGGGCCGGTAGGTCGAGGTGCTGATGAGCGACATGGCCACCTTGCCGACCGAGTCGTCGGGAATGCCGTCGCGCGGCACCTGGCCATCGAGGAAGCCATGCTGGGCGCCCACGCGGCGGAGCATGTGCATCGTGGATACACCAAAGAGCTTGAAAGCGACCGAGTAGAGGAAAAAGGCGGCGACGGGGTGCAGGGTGATGCCGTAGTGGGCGACGAGGACGTGGTGGAGGAGGAGGGGCACGGCGAGGCGCGGCGCGATCCAGCGGTGGAGCGACCACTCGCTCACGTACGGCACCTTGTCCGCCTTGTCTGCCACGGGGAACGACGCCTTGGGCGGCAGCGGGTCGATGTCGAGCAGGTGGAAGAACCAGTGGGCGATGGACCACGAGGACTGCTTGGCCTCGTCGTGCCACGACGAGCGGAAGCGCGCGCTGCCCTTTGCCATGGGCTTTGCGGCGACCTGCGGTACCGCAGGGTTTGTAGCCGTGGTCGTGGTCGTGGTGGCCATTGCGGGGGGTGGAGCACACAGGACGATGGTGGTGGAAGGAAGAAGAGAGGGGAAGAGACGGGCGCACGTTGGATGAGACCATTGATATTCACACCTTTTTCACGATGTCCGTTTTTTAGGCTCATTTGGCCTAATTCCTCTTCTCACTCTTTGTTGTTGCCAATTTCTCTTCTCACCCTTTGTTATTGCTGCTATTGAAAATTCCACTTTCACGCTGCCCAGGATGCGGCGGGCTGAGCGCTCGCTTGTCTCGCGTGGCAATTTGCCACGCCCCCCGCCACGCCGTGCTTTCACGTCTCTCCACATCGCGGTGAGACAGAGGACAGATGCGCCCTATATATGACAAGCGCTCTCTCCGCCTGCAAAGCTGGAGAGCCTTGCCTTTAGATGGGGGGGAAGCCAGAGGTGCTTTCCAGGTTCCACAACCGCCGATTGGCTCGCACTTCTGGACGCGATAATGCACAATTGTGGCAACGGTTAAAAGCGATCTTAGCGGCGAGATGTAATCTAAGTTTTTAATTAGCATCTCGATTCGGAGCCAGCCCAACGCCAATATGTTTCCTCTCTGGGTCGACGTATTGCCGGGATAGACGTAAGGCAAGACTTTCTCCAGAGTGCCAACAAGAGGGGCTCGTGCTGGAGACACTCTACCAGCTGGTGCTGCAGCTGTGGCTCCAGTCTGTGTGCCCTTTGGGAGAGTCCACGCTTCGGGCCTTGAAAGACATCAACGCCTCGCTAGGGGACTCTCTGCGTGCTGAAAGAGGAGCAACTCTCCCGCCATGTGAACCTTCAGACACGCAAGCAAGCGGCCGGAGCATGAGACTGGGTCCAAACAGCGAGAGAGAGAGATAGAAAGAGTCACGAAGAGTCACACGAGAGAGCAGCCATCAACCTTCGATACTATGTGCCATTTCTTTCCCCCGCCAAATACCCAGAGCGACCCACTTGGTTGAGAGAGATAGAACCTGAGCGGGGGCAAAGACCCCCTAAGTAGTGCCAGCGCTGCGTGTGTTGAGCGCTTCCGTCGTTTCTTCGCTGCGACGGCCAATGTCGGCACGAACACGGCTGGTGGCTTCGTGAGATACGCCTCGCTGCTCGAGGTGGACAGCTGCTTCGCTGCGCTTTGAGGCCACGTCTGCTTCGTCGCGCCGACGAGGTAGTGCAGGGCGACGATAGGAGGGGACTGCAGTGCCTTCTTTATGATCGGATTCCCTACAGCCTGGGCTGCTCGGATCGACTTTACAAAGGTTGCGCCTAGGCAGATCGAGTCAGCAGAAGCAAAAGCAGCAGTGCGCGCCCCAGCATGCTCACTCCTGGCGCACATCGAGATGGACACTTGCTCGGCTGCGCTTTGAGGTCACTCCCATCTCATCACGCCGACCAATTACACTACCACTGCCACCGTTAGGGCTTTCGGCAGAACCTGCGGCACCATCTGGCCTCCGACAGCCCGGGAGGTTCGGCTCGACCTTGCAAGGGTCGGGGCTGTCCAAATTTTCGAGTCAGCAGAAGCAAAACCTGCAGAGCATGCAAGCATTTTGCTCACACTTTGCGCACGTCGATCGGGACAGCTGCTTCGCCGCGCTTTGAGATCTTCCCTGCCTCATCGCGCCGACCAGCTTGACCGCCTGCGCCACCGCCACCGCCTTCACCTGGAATATGGTCACCACCTGTACCAACGCCACCACCGGAGGCATTGTTGACAGTGCTATGGGTGGATTCGACTCCTTCACGGTACAGGTCACAGCTGTTGCTGTTCGGGTTGAGCTTGCAGGGATCGTGACTATCCATTTCGTTGAGTGAGAAAAAGGACTTGCGAGGGGTGCGACAGGTTGCTCACTCTGCTCGCAGTTCCAGCGGAACAGCTGCTTCGCCGCGCTTTGAGATCTCCCCTGCCTCATCGCGCCGACGAGTTTGGCCACTTGGACCGCCGAGACTACCGTCACCACCGTCGTAGCTGCGACGACTGCTGTGGGAGTCTGAACGGGACGACGGACAAATGCCGCCGCTCGGGGTGTGCACGCAAATCTCGCCCCTATGCAGTTCATCGTGTCAGCTAAAGCACACCTTGCAGGGCGTGCTGGCAACTTTCTCACTCTGCGCGCGAATCGAGTCGGACAGCTGCTTGGCCGCGCTTTGCATCCATTCCTGCTTCCTTGCGCCGGCCAAATCCACCGCCAGCACCTGCTCCTGCTCCTGATCCCTCATAACCGGGGATTTTCTCCTTCTGAAGCAGCTTACAAGAGTTGCTTTGCGGGGACAACCTGCAGACTTCGGACATACTGTTCAAATTGTCGGGTTAGCAAGTGCGAACCTATCAGGACTTGCAGCCATGTGCTCACTCGGCTCGCAGCTCGAGGTGAGCAGCAGCTTCGCGTTTGATCAAGGCCCCGGCGTTCTCGCGCCGATGATGACCAATTTTAGGATCTCGGCCATCTCCAGGCGTTCCGTTCGCCTTTGAAGAACAGCCTTCGCTGTTAGGATCTAAAGTGCAAGCACTGTGGAAGATGAGTTTGAGTCATCAGAAAAAGCCCGCTCAAAATCTCGTGGTCCTCCTCACCCTTTGCCTTCTTTCGAGTCTCGGGACGCGAGGAGTTCGGGTGTCTCGCGCTTGGCTGGTTCTGTTGCTTGCTCGCGCCGACCAACGTCGCGACCGACGCCCAAGCCACCGCCTAAGGAACGTAGACAACTTTTGTCCTTCGGATTCCGGTCACAGAAGGTTGTGGGCGGGGCAACGCTTCAAAACATGTACGGACCCAGGTCAGTCGGGCGACGCGATGGACACGAGCAAGAAGGGAGCGCTTCTACTGACCTGCTGCGCGGCTCAGGGTGTACGTCAGTGTCCCGACGATGAACGGGTGAACCGCTGTGATTCTGTAAAAAGCACAGCAAAACGATTAGTCAGAGGTCAGGCCCGCTCCTGTAAGAAGGTTTCCTCACGTTGCTGCGATGACCAGGGCAAGCTTTATCGCCTCTGGGACAGGTTCTGCACAAAGGGCGTGGTCAGCCAAAGAACAAAGATCACAACGCTGAAGACGACAGCTTACGGCTCGCGACGGACCATGTCACTGTTGCCGTCGGACACAGTCTCGCGCTCAACGAGTGCTGTCCCCTCGCGCTTCTCCACCGACGGCGTCTCCCTTTCGCCTGGCTCCATGCCGCGGGCGGTGACTTCTTCGGCGGCCCGGCGTCGATTCTGCAAGTGGTGGGAGCAGGAAGCGGAGTAAGCATATGGCAACGTATCTGGAGCTTAGGCACCTACGGCTATGCAGGTAGGATCCTCTCCTGGGCAGGATGGGCTGGTGTTCGAGACTCATGAGCACACGGAAAATCACAAAATGTGACAACTCACTCGTATGAAATAACAGGAGGACGAAGAGGTTCACAGTAGCCCTTGGGATCAAGACAGATGCTGACAACGGCAGGAGAGCCAGTGAGCGTGCGAGTTGGACGGACGACACGGGGAGGGGAAGCACGACTTACAGCTTTTCGCGCTTCTCATGCATCTTGCTCGCGCCATGCTCAAGGATGCCGTGTGCCACCACGTGAGGGCCGTCGGGGCTGCCGTGGACGTCGCGCAAGGCGTTCCCAGGAAGTTCGCTGCCAAATCTGTTATACAAGCTGTCCCTTTCACAGGCCGTGAGCATGCGAAGGGACAGCAGAGCTAACGAGACGTCTCAAGACTAACCCGAAGAATAATGGCGCAGCAGCGGTCAACGAGGCGAGCGTGGCCAGGACCGCGGCCATGACGAGTAGTAGAGTCTGGAATCGCATTGTGGAGTGCTCGACCAGGCCTGTGCCTGTCTTTTCTCCTCTGTATGTGGTTTGAAGAAAGCGATTTGATGAGCTATAGTGCCTTTCGTGCCAAGTTGGCTTTCGACGTGCTTTGGTTGGCGTACAGCGAAGGCAGAGGCGATGGCGATGAGCTGAGACCTCTATGTCCCTTTTAAATCGTCAAGTAGTCCAACGCCGGCCTCGTTCGCCTCTCCTCCCCTTCGCCGCCCCCTTATTTTTACATTCTCATGACTACGCCGCCACCGCGCTCCTGCGACCAACCAGACAGGCACAATGCGCGCTGTAGGACCTCCGCCGTCTGTGAGAAACTGGCATTGAACAGATCGGAGCCACGGTCACAAGGCGGCGCTTCTCTTTCTGATGTGACCCTTCTTTCTAGCCTCTTTGCCGTACAGTCATCTGAAGTTGATCCTGTTTGCTCAGATGATGTAGCCCTCGGAAGCATAGCCGCGACGAACACACAGTGGTCCGACCAGCTAGATGCCCGTGCAACACGTTCACACCGCTGCTGCTCGCCCGCTTGATCCGTCGCCTGACGATTCGGACCCAGACAGGCCCATCGGCTTTTCTTTTCGGGGCCGACACAACACGTCCGCTCTGGCCTCAACGGGGATATCGGCACAGGCGGCGATACAGCCACGCCACGGTCCACCATTGCCTTTGATCGGCCGCTTCATTCACATTCACACACACTCTCGGCCCGACTCTCAACAGACGACGCAGGCAGTAAGGCGGCGCAGGTTGGACTCGGGGCAACTGGCGATGTATCATTGGCTTGGTAGTCGTTGACACACCTCATCGTAGACGCTGACCCAAGTGAAAGAGGACTGACTGACTGGCTACTCTTTGAAAGTAGAAGCGGGGGAAATAATGAGAGGAGGGGGAAAGTGAGATGGGGGACATGGGGAAATCTCGGATGAGTGATGCTTGTTTCTACAATGGTTCGGAAGGATGGTCTCATCAGCTTCCTGGTCATTGTGCCCTGGCGTCCTGTGCTTCTCACCTTGGAGCGCGTTCTTAAGGCAGTGTGCACCAAAACAGCCGACTCTTGGTGATGGGCCTCGACGTTTCCTGTGCCTGTCTGGGCAGCAACGTGCTTCAATTGCGAAAGGCACGACGTCACGTCGCCTTTACTTTCTTAAGGCACCCGCCAGGTTCGAAGCAAGGATTAGCTCTAATCAGGCGAAAGGGGAGAAATCAGCGAGAGGCCAAGCTTTGGATGAAAGAGGACTCGAAGGCTAGTAAACCTACCCAAGCTGGCGCTTAGCCTGCAAAAGGGACGGTGTCAGTTCTTTTCTAGAGGAACGACATCGAAGCTGCTCACTGTATCGGGCTTGGTGGGCTTAGCAGCGTCCGATTGTGAGCGGATGCTTGTTTAATGGGGATAGAAGGGAGGGGCTCAGCAGGATGCTCTAATTTCGCTGAAGAGTACCCTCGACGGCTTTGAAACCTACACAAGCTCTTCGCGCTTCCTCTGTAGGGAGGACTTCATCAGTGTTTTTCCCGCCGGACAACGGCCTCGACAAAAGGACTTACTGGGTTGCAGACTTTGGGGTTTTCTTGGCACCTGTAGTTGACGAAGAGGCCAAACAGGACTCAGCAGGAGACACAGTCCTGGTTTGAAAAACGGCTCGAAGGCTGCCTGACGTACTCTCGGTCTTCGTTAGTGTGGTCCGACTTAGGGGAGACGTTGTCAGCACTTTTACCGAGTACTTTGTCATATTTGCTCACTTCACTGGGCTTGTAAGCCGGCGGTGAGCGTTCGCTTTGGGAGGGTAGCAGAGAAGTCGATGTTAGCTGAAGATGGCGCTGTCGAATGTTTCCGAACCTACACAAGCTCTTCGCGCTTCCGCTGAAGGGAGGACTTCATCAGTGTTTTTCCTGCCAGACTGCGACCTCGACAACAAGACTGACTCGTTGGCAGAATTCAGGGTGTTTTTGACAGCTGGTGTTGAGGGAGTGGCCAGAAAGGACTCAGCAGGAGACACAGCTTTGGTTAGAAAAACGCTCGAAGGCTGGCTAACGTACTCTAAACCTGGTTCTGGGAAATGAGGAAGGTAGGGCTTTGGAAGGTCGGGCTCTATCTTTGGCTTTGCACACAGGGGAGACATTGTCAGCGCTTTCCCCGAGGACTACGTCGAATTACTCACTGTGCTGGGCTTATTGCCCGGCGGGGAGCGTTCGCTTTTGGGGGTGTAGCAGAAAGCTCAAAGTTAGCTCAAGATGGCGTTCGAGTGTTTCCAAACCTACACAAGCTCTTTGCGCGGAGGCTGCGTTACACAGTCAGTGCTCTCTCGCCAGACAAAAACGTCGACAAATTGGCTCACTAGAGGGCACCCAAAAGGGCTTCTATTACATGGATCCTCTCTGCTGACGAGGGCAAGGCAGGACTGAGCAAGAGGCGCCGCTTCGGTTAATACCGCCCGAAGAGGGCCCGACGTACCCTGCTGTGGGACCATCGCGCTTTGCCATTTCGGACTTTGGCTGCAGGGGAGACACAATCAGCGCTTTCTCCTGAAAAGTGACGTCGAAATTGCTCACTGTCACGGAGTTAGCGCTCGGTGGGGAGCGTTTGCTAATGCATGAGCAGGAGAGGACAAGGAAAGGGTTTTGGAAGGACGCTCAGTTCTGGTTGAAGATGGCGCTCGAGGCGTAGCGACTTACAACCATGACTCGAGGCGTTTTAACTGCGAGAGACACGAAATCAGTGGCCATAAGAGAAGTGATTTCGACTAGTCTGCTCACTGGAGAGCAATTTCCGAGGTCCCTAAGACAAGATTTCACTGGGGAAGGGTGGCTATTTGAAGAGGTGGAGGGCAAGGAGTCAGCAGAGTCACCACCTCGACAGATTGTGCTCGAAGGCTGCTGACTTACGACAGCATGAGGCGCTTTCCGAGGCCCTTGAGCTGCGGGAGACGATATTAGCGAGTATTCAGGGCGTGGACACCGAGAAAGGCGCTCACTCTACCGCAAGAGAGGGTGGATTCGCAAAACTTTCTGACAAGTGCGTTGAAAGAAAAATGATTCAGTGGGAGGCCAAGTGCACTCGATAGCTGCTAGGCGACCTACTCAATGCCATCCTTGCTCCACGGCGACCTCTTCACGAGATCGTAATCGTTGTTAGACCGCTTCTTGCCAGCCTGGACGGGTGATGAGACGAGGTGAGCGAAACCAAGACCTTTCGGAGGTTGGAAAGACTCACGAGCTCAGCGGCAGCGCTGCCATCGGCAAGGAGGCTGCTGGGTCTGTGAAACGAACGGAGTGAGTAAATAGTCCAGTGCCATTGATGAGAGGAGGGGATACTCACAGAGTATGGATCAGAGGGTTTGTTGCGGTCACATCAAGATTCACAGCGGCGTGAATAAAGAAAAGAGCGACACCATCGACTCACTCGGGGCTGCGACGGTGCACGTCTCTGTTTGATCCCGCGCGGAATTCGCTGTGAGAATTGGTAATGGGATAGAAGGGTGGGCCAGACTGGCTCGGGGTCTGAAGGAGATAGTGGTCAGGGTTCGATCCATGCTTTGGGGAAGAGAAAGGAAGGGACGACGCACAGCGGGAGTCGTGTCTCTGGTACTGTTGCAAATTGGGACAGCGTTACTGAAAGATCCGTCAGGAAGAGCGAGCATGGCCACCGACTCACTCGAGACCACGACGCCGATGCACTTTTGAGGATCCGGCTGCAACCGGGCTCTTGGTCTTGATGACGGGGTTGGAGGGGTCTGTGGATATGGAGATCTGAAGAAGGAGAGAGGACATTCTTGAGAACAACGAAAGAGTTGTAGGGACAATGAGCCGAGGACTAACGGGGGTGCCCGTATTGCTGTTGACGGCAAGGCGCTTGCTGCAAGCGAACGGAGGAAGCTTCGTCAGGCGGCACTGATTACTGAGAGAAGCAGATCTGGCGGGGACCGCTCACCGGTGCTGGGTCTCAGGAACAGGCAAGGCAGAGGCCGAGAGGAAGAGGACGCTGGAAAGAGTCACCAGTAAAAGAAAGAGAATGAGCAGGTGGGATGAGCAGTGGCTGCGCATCTTGGGCAGCAGGTCGAGAGCGAGCTGGTGTTGGTGTTGGGTTTGGCTGTTCTGGTCTCTATTCTTGGGTCGTGGTCGAAGGCAAGAGACTCGTTCTGATGACAAGCGCTGGTGCAAGGAAGAAAGGCAAGAGGGCTGATTCAATCAGGTTTTATCGCTGGCACCGTCCTTTTTCTGAGGCCGCGACGATGCCAAGGAGATGCGCCGACGGTACCTGGCGCCCATTGAAACCTGAGACCACCTATGACCTCCGCTGAAGGCTCTTTCTCCTCATGATGCTATTCCGAAGCAATCCAATTGTCGCACTTTCGGCGCAACTATTCGCACTCCGTCCAAAAAAAGACCTAAAGGGGGAAAAGGCCTCAAAAAGGGACGGGCAGAGCAGGCCCTGGCCGCGCAAGACGGAGAGAGAGAGAGAGAGGACTGCAACGTGAAATATAACATTGTATTTGGCGATTGAGTGTAACGGACGACATGGGCTTAGAAGCCCTTGCCCGTGGCACCGCGCCCTTCATCTCTGCTCGCATAGAATTTGTCCAGGAATGTCTCTGGGCGTGCTGTGTGCAGAGAGAGGAGTGCGCGTCGGAGTCAGCAAGACGGCCGGCCGCACTGGCCAGGATCCGGAGAAACTCACGCGGTGACTGCATGGCGTACGCAGAGGAGCAAGGAAGAAAAGGTAAGGCAGGGATGGAAGACGAGTCAGCGAAGGGGCTAAGAGTCAGCGAAGAAAGCTCAATGGCGATGGCGAAGGGAGGCGAAAGCAGACACGCACCTCCTCCTCTGCGAACCACTTCATGATGTGGGGAATCTGCTTCCACGCGTTCATCGTCTCCTGGTACTCGACCCTGCCCTTGTGGAGCATGACATCGATGACGGCGAGGTCCTCGATGCCCCGTGCAGCCTCAAACTTTTCCCGGAACTTGGCCCGCAGCGTCGACGGGGGCACATCGAGGGCATACAGGGCGCAGATCTCGGGCGCCGAGCGGTAGAAGTCGCGGTAGAGGGCCAGGGACCGGCTGCGGGCGTCTTGCCGTGACGACGAGACGCGCGCGGCCTGTGCGAGACGGGCCGGGATGGTGACGAGGCGCTGTGGTGTGGGCCTCATCTTTGTCTTTGCAGCGACGACGGTGCGAGCGAGCGAGCCCAGAAGATGGAGATGGATCCCGAGCCAATGGCGGGCGCTCTATTCTATTCCTCTCGCGCTCACGTGGATAATATTGACGTCAGACACGTGTCTGCGCCTGGCCCTTTCCTCCCCTCCATTCCGGAAAGACGAGGAAGAAACGGGTCGCTCGCCGCACGCACACAGCTACGCCAACTCGACCACACACACACGCACTCTCTTCCTCCTCTTCTTCTTCTTCTTCTCTTTCTGTGAATCAGGAACTATGGCCTCTCGATTCGCCGCACTTGGCCGCACCGCCGCCCGCGCCACGGCGCCCCGACCACCGCGCATGGCGGCGCCGCGGCTGGCGCTGGGCCCTGTTTCAGCGCGCGGCTATGCCTCGGCGACAGAGGCGGCCACGCAGCAGGCCAAGAGCGATGCGCCCTGGGCCATCACCTCGCTCCTCGTCTTTGGCGGCATGTTCATCTACCTCACTGCGCCCCCCAAGGGCGGCAAGAAGCACGGCCACGGCCACGACAGCCACGACAGCCACGGCAAGGCTGGCGAGGACGCAGAGGAAGGCGAGGGCGGCGACGGCGATGAGGAGGAGGGCAAGTCGGGCGCCATGAGCGACGAGGACTACGAGCTCGTCGACAAGGTCGAGGGCAAGCCCGCCGACGATGCGCCGGCAGGCAACCAGGTGAGAGAAGGAGCACTCCCTGGCCGACTGACTTGCAAGGACTGACAGGCTAACATTCATTCTCCTTCCCAGCACCTCGCGTCGCAGAGCATGAGCGCCGAGGAGGGCGCGCACCTGCAGAAAAAGACAAAGGACGCGCCGTCGGGCTCGCGCGACAACATCACCTTCCAGAAGGGCGTCGCCAGCGCCAAGTCGGGCCACCAGGCGGGCGGGACCGACGAGGAGAAGCGCGAGCGGATGCAGAGCAACCCCAAGAAGGTTGTCGCCGAGGCCCACACGGAGCGCGAGAACCAGCGCGCAGGCAAGGAGGAGGCTGCTGCCGACGACGAGTGAGGCAGACAAACAGTGCCGCGATAGAAGTCAAATCAAATCAGTCAATCAACAATTCAATCAATCAATGCAGTCATACGAGCGCATGGAAAAAGACTCCTGTCAATGAGGTGATGCTACTAGTACACTTGTGTTTGTGCTTGAATCTGGCTTGGTGTGCTTGATGTATTAGTCATCGGTCGCTGTTCATGTCGCGCGCTTTAGGTGGTCTCAGGCCGGGGCCGCTTGCTCGCGCGCGACTGCTCGGGCCCGCCAAAGCCCATCTGATCGAGGGTGCGCACCTGGAGCTTGCCCGCGTAGCTGCCGCCCGTGTAGGTGCGCACCGCATACTCAAGCTCGTGTGCGAGGCGTAGGATGGCGTCTTTGGCCCTGGCGCGGACGAGAAAGGCGCCGCGGCCGTCGTGGATGCGTGCCTGGAGCTGGCGCAGCGCCTCGGCCACGTCGCGCACGGCTGTCACCTTGGCCGCGACGCGCCGGAGTGTGTGTGTGCTGCTGCTGCTGCTGCTGCTGCTCGACGACGGTGACGGTGACAGTGACGATGACAACTCCATCTCGGCGATGATCTGGCCACCGTGCCTGCCTGTCCAGAAGCGCTCGACGGCGGCGCGGTAGGCAGCACCGCCCTGCTCTTCATGCAGGTCCCCGCGGGCGACGACGCGGCTGATCTGCAGGGCAACGTCGCCGAGCGCGATGCCGAGCAGCTCGACGCTGGCGGCCACGCCCTCGTAGTCGGCGTCTGCATTGGCATCGGACCCAGCGCCGTTTTGCCGAGGCCCTGCAACGGAGAGGGCATTGATGGCACGGTCGCGCGTGCCGAGGATGCGCACGAGCAGGTGCAGGTGCGCGAGCGAGAGGACAGGGCCATAGCCGTCCGTCGACGTGGGCTCGCCGGCATTGTCGGTGAGGATGCGCCAGGCCACCCAGCGGCGCACCGTGGCCGCACGCAGCGACGCGGCGCGGGGCAGGAGCCGGGCGAGCAGGACGGCCTGGCAGGGCGCGGGCGCGTCCGTCAGCAGCGTCCGCACCCGGTCGGCCAGCAGCTCGTCGGCATCGGATGACGCGCGGGCATCGAGCGCGGCAGGCCAGAGGGTTTCGAGGAGCGCCTCGACGCGCGGCCACAGCGGCTCGTGGCCCGGGTGCGCGCCCGCAAAGGCGACGGCGAGGCCAAGGTCGATGGCAAGCGCCTGCGCCTGCGCGTGGGCCATGTGGTGTGCGACGAGGTGGCCACCGACGGTCTCGGCGATGGCGACGAGCCTCTCTGCGATGCGCAGCCGCTCACCCGAGCGCATGTATGCGCCCTTGTTGTTGTTATCATCTTCGCTGTTGTTGTTGCTTTCCTTGCCAGTGCTGCCTTTGCTATTACTTGTCTTCCTGCTGCTGCCCCTCGTGACGTACCCCTTGTCCTGCCGGTCGTGCTGCACGTCTCGAGTGGCAGCGGGGGGGAGCAGCAGCGACGAGTCGGCGTCGAGGCTGAAGCAGTCTGCGACGACGTCTGGCCGGGCGCCGAGCCGCGTCAGGGCGGCAGGCAGCGCCTCGCCGACGAGGGCCGCGCTTACGGCGAGGTGGTCCACGGCGCAGGGCGCAGCGAGGAGATGTGCGAGGCCGCGGAGGGCAACGGTGGCCGTGGTGCCCGTGGGCGTAAAGAGGGCCGTTTGCATGAGCCACCTGCCCAGCGTCTCGGCCGAGCGTGGGCCCAGTGCGCTCGTCGTCGTCGCAAGCACGCGCGAGTCGACAAGGGCCCTGAACCGGCGCTCGTCGTTGCTCGCCGCGCACAGCTTCAACAGCAGGCGCCCCGTGCTGCTTCTGCTGCTGCTGCTGCTGCTGCTGCTCTCGTCCACGTCCACGTCGGGCCACGCAATGCTGCCCGTCCAGAAGCGCCGCCACCGGTCGTGGCCCGCGTGTGCGGACCCATCCTGCGACACCTGGCGGTCGCGCCGCACGATGGCCAAGGCCTTGTGAGCTGCTTCTGCGTCGCCGTCGTCTTCCATGCCGCCGCCGCTGGCGTCGTCATGGCCTCGGCTCTTGCTTCGTCGGCCGCCGCTGTCATCGCTCGGCGAGGCGGCGACGGCGAGGGCGCGCTCGAGCACCTGCTCCTCGCTCGACCGTGCGCGTGTCCGTGGCTGCGGCGTGTCCCCCTCGTCATCGCTGTCTCGCGCACTATCGCACGAGGCTGCCTCACTTGCGTCCGATGTATAGTCTGTGTCTTCTTCACCGTGGTCACCGTCGCCATCGCCATCATTGGAGCCGGCGTCGGAGCCCTGCGCCTTGGTGCCGCTGTCTGCGAGAAAGTTTGCCTCCCAGATCGCCTTGCTCCTGCGCATCATGTCCAGCAGGTCGCTCATGCCGTCGACATCGGCGCCCTCCTTTCTGCGCCGCTGCTCCTCGGCCACAATCGACCGGATGCTCTGTATGCCCTCGTCGTTGTACTTGTTCCTCCTCCTGCTCTGGCTCGTCTGGGCCGCCGTCGTGGCCAGGCCCGACTGCACCGCCGCCGACAGCTTCGCCTCGGCCAGCAGCCGCTTGCCGTTCGACGGTCTCTCCAGCGAGGGGCGGAAACGGTAGGCCTCGGTGCGCTGCGCGGCTGCTCTCTTTGTGCGGGCCCGTGCAGCGACGGCGGCCGGCTGCGCAATTGTCTCGATCTGCTCCTCTTCGTCCTCGTCCTCGTCCTCGTCCTCTTCTTCCTCTTCCTTCTCTGCAGACACGGACTTTCTCGCGCCTCGCTTTCGCTTCGCCGTCTGAGCGAGCGATGCGAAGTCGACGTCGCTCAAGTCGTTCTCATCGTCGTCGTCGTCGTCGTCGTCGCCGACGCCGTCGCCATCGTCCAGGGCGAGCGACTGCGATCGCCGGCTCTGCCTCTGCCGCTCCTCCTCGGCTGCCTTCTCCCTGGCCCGCGCAATGATGGCCTCGATGCGCGACGGTGCACCATCCTTGGTGCGGGCGCCACTCCCCTCGCCAAGCGATGCATCCGTCATGGGGCCAAACCGCTACACGCTCTATTTCCAAGCCTGTGCGCAAGGACGGACGTGCAACGCAACGCGTGCGACACGAACTTTTGAAATTGCAACGAAAGAACAACACGGAGATTGAAAGGGCTCACGTGGCAGCTGACCTTCCCCCGTCCACCACTTAGTGACAGGCTCTCGATGGCCGCACTGCCACGGCCGGGGGGAAGCCGACATCTAGCTCGATCTGAAAGCCCTACGGACACGTCAATCACGTAAGGACGGACAGGCCAGAGACGGGAGCGTCTATCTAGGCAGATAAAGGACGAGGCAAGGCTAGGGGGGGTTGGATCCGCCGGCAAGTCGACTGAGGCTTTCTAGCACAAATTCCAAGCTTGGGGGTCTTTGAAGTCTGTCTGTCTTTGAATTATTTTCTTTATTTTCCTTCCAATGGGAACTTTCGCTGCGCTAGGATCGAGGAAACGGCAGCTGTGTTTGACATTGCTCGGCATCCTAGTGTAAAAACAGCAGCAGCGATAGCAAATCTGTCCTTCAACTCACGCTCACGCTTCACTCACGTCACTCTCCCCCCTTCAACTCCTCCCCACTCCCCTCCCCCCTTCCCCCTCCCCGTCCCTTTCTCACCACTGACTCGTCTCGTCTCGTCTCATCTCATCTCCCATCTCGTCCCGTCTCTCCACGCTCGTTTCACTCTCACACTCGTTTTCACAAACACGCTCCTTTGCAACTGCGTCTCCATTCTCGCACGACTTGCCTTGTTTTGACGTTCGCACAGTAAAAGCCTCGACAGAAGCCAAACCCAGACACCATGCAAGTTTTGCGTCTCTCCCTCCTCCTCGTCGCCGCCGCCGCGCTGAGCTGCAGCTATGCCCTGTCCGAGGGCCAGAGCGAGCCGCTGCTCCGGCGGCTCAAGGTGCTCCACCACCGCGAGGCGCTTGTGTCGCGCGGCAAGAACGGCTGGAGCTCGGTGCAGTACCCCAAGGGCGCCGTCGAGGCCGACATTCCCGTGCGCGGCGGCAGCCTGCGCCTGTTTGCCATGAGCAAAAAGGGCCTCGACCACAGCAAAATCAAGCGCGCCGTCTTTGTCATCCACGGCCAGGGCCGCGACCCGTGGAACTACTACAGCCACATGACGGCTGCCCTCAACGACGCCGTGGCCGACGGTCTCGTCAAGAAGGAAGAGGTTGGCATCTGGGCCCCCAGCTTCTGGGACACGGCCGACACGGGTGCCTTCCCGTACGACGAGAACACCAAGACGGCCACGTCCAACATCATGGCTTGGCACGGCAGCGACTGGGTCGACGGTGCGGCCAACAAGATTCCCAAGACGGACCAGGGCGTGTCCTCGTTTGAGGTCCTCGACGATGTCGTCTCCTACTTTAGCAACAAGGCCCTCTTTCCCAAGGTGGAGACCGTCGTCCTCGCCGCCCACTCGGCTGGCTCCCAGATGCTGCACCGCTACGCACAGCTGGGCAAGGTCCCCATCGCGTCGGGCGGCACCGAGGTGCACTTCTACATTGCCAACCCGGCCTCGTGGCTTTACCTCGACGAGCGCCGGCCCGAGAAGGGCATCGGCGGCGCCACGTCGCGCAGCAAGTGCCCCACGTACAACGAATACAAGTACGGTCTCAACGACATTAACGAGAACCTGCCCTACGGCCCCGTCTCCGACGCTGCGTCCATCTACAAGCGCTACAAGTCGCGCTACGTCCACTACCAGCTCGGCACCGGCGACCACGCCCAGGGCAGCGCCGCCTGCGAGGCTGGCGTCCAGGGCGAGAGCCACCTGACGCGCGGCGAGATCTACCAGGCCTACCTCCAGCTCCTCGGCTCCTACCCGAAACGCCACACCATCGACTACGTTCCGGGCATCGGCCACGACGACAAGGCCATGTTCTCTGTGAGTTTCTGTCTTCTTTTCCTCCCCAGCTGTGGTGCCGTGGCCGTCGTTGTCGTCGTAAGCTGTTGCTGATCTGATTGTCTTGCCCGTCGACAGTCCACCGAAGGCAAGTACCGGCTGTTTGTGCAGAACCAGTCGCAGGGCAAGACGCGCGCCTCGACGATCCCCAAGGGCTACTCCAACGGCCGCACCGTCACCTTCACCGGCTTCTCCAAGAAGGCCGCCGACAACATGCCCTGAGCTGCACCCATCGCCGCCGCCTTGCATTGACCGACCCCTTTTCTCATCTCACTCTTTTTTGTTCCTTTCTTTCTCTCACCTCTTGTGTGTGTCTGTATAGATTTCTCTATCTCGAAATGGGATTCTCTCTCTTGGCATTGTCCATCTTCTTCTACGATACGTGTGGCCATGACGCAGAATGCATCCAACCATTTCCTCGGAGATGGGTTCGAGCCAGCGACCAGGTGACTCGGACGGTGGACGGTGACTTTTTTTGGACGCGTCATGCAGGCACCAAGTCCGCGGGGAACCAGATATTGCCTACAACTAGTAGTCCATATATGCACCGAGGCAGCGCCGATCTCGCTTTGACCCTCTCTGGCTTTGGCTTCGATGCTGCATTCGTCCCTTTCTCTGGTTCTTGTCTTGACGCTTTGCTCCGGCCTTGTCGTGACTTGTGCTCTGACTCTGAGTTGACTCCTGCCCGTGGAATGAATGCATGAACAATGGGCATGATTGAGGAGCACATGGTTTGCGAGAAGGTAGAGGAGGAGGGTGGTGGCATATAAAGGCCTGAAGCTGGTTCGGTGGTGGTGCCTCTCATCAGCGAGCTGCAAGGCCTTGATGAGGTAAGTGCGAGATCTGGAGAGAGTCCAAGGGAGGAGCCATGATGCCACTTTATGATAGGAACATGCCGACATCGTCAGACCATACCATGATCTCAGACACATTCCAAAGAAACTTCCTGAAGCTCCCCTTCTAGACTCTTGCGTTGACACTATTCTGGAAAAGAGGTGCTAACAGCTATGATCTTCCAAGCAAATCGGAGAAAATTCTGCACAGAAAGCACGACGCAGGGCACATCTCATAGCAGATGGGGTCGCAATCACAAGAACACGCTTCTAGATCTACTGCTTGTCTGACGCGGCGCGGCGGTCGGCCAGGATGGTGTCGACGATGCTTTCCTTTGGCTCAAAGTGGACGAGCGCATTGTCGTTGTTCTCGCCGCCACCATTGCCAGTCTCGGCGACGAGCTTCAGCCACGGTAGCATGCTCTCAAACATGTTGCTGAAATCGACATTGCTGGCCTTCTCCTTTGCCTCCTCGATGGACATGTTGTCTTGCTTGAACTCGCCGCTGCCGAGCTTACCTGCCAACTCCTTGAGGATCTCGTTGGGGCTCTTGAGCTGGCTCACGACGCGCAACGTGCGGTTCTCGAGCTGCGACGGCGCGAGATTGGTAAAGGCGGCCGCGACGAAGCGGCCAATGTCGCCATAGCCCGTCGAGATGAAGGGCGTGTCGCCCTTTCCGACAAAGCTCGCCGTGTGCGTGTCAAAGTCAATGCTAAGCAGCATGGGCACATAGGCGGTAAAGATGCCCGTCCAGATGCCGAGGAAGGGCAACTTGAGCTATCATGAAAATAAAGGGTGAGAGGAGGACCAAGGAAGATGGTGTTTTACGTCAGCGCAACTGCGTGGAGAGGAGCGGAGAAGCCATTCGTCAGTACGAACCTCGTTCTGCAGGTACTTGTGGTAGTCGAGCTCGGCATTTGCGATCGGGTGTACGGCGATGTCGTTTCGCTCTGCAACGCGCTCCATGTCAAATGACCAGTCGTTGGGCACGAACAACTTCACGCCGGCCTTCTTAGTCGCTCGTGCCAGACGCTTCGGCAGGTCCTGGTCTGCGAGGATGGCAGTGAAGGCCAGGGCATCAATGACGACATCATGGCCCTTGAGCACCTCGACGAGCGCCGATTCGTCCGAGTAGTCGGCCGCCGTGTAGACGATGTTCTTGTCCGACGACGGCTTTGCAGTGCGCGAGAGAACGGTGACTTGGAAACCTGCGGCGGCGAGGGACTGGGAGATGGGCAGGCCGATCTGGCCGGTACCACCTGCGACCGCGAAGCGCTGGTGCCTTTGGGCGTTGGTCATCGTTCACTAGGAGGCTAAGAGGTTGGGGATTGTTGTTGTCTTTGCAAAAGCTGTTGGCCTTAGAAAGCCCTCTTTATATACCTTCTCGTCACCGTACCATTCGTGCTCGTTGCGATCAAGAGTTACGGCCGCAAGACAGAAGTACCCTTCCTGGGCCACATTCTGCCTATGGCCGACACGACGAGAAGCGCCAAGATGAGAAGTTCCAAGGAATCATGGTTTCTAGACATGTAAGCTGACTGCTGACACTTTAATTTTTCTGCAGATGCAGGCAAGTTGCCCGGGAAAACCCTAGAGTATAAATAAAGTGTTGGATTCTTCGTATGCATGTCAGCAGGGTTTCCCGCGATGCAATGTCTACCCAATCTCGGAACCCCGTCAGCAAGGAAAAGGCAGGGAGTCCGCACGATGTCAGAAACCGAAATAAAGTATTGAATGATGACCAGCGGAAAATGATGGAGGATGGATACAAGGGGAAATGGACTACCGTGCCCGCCTGCTCAGGACCATCCTGATCGGCGCGGTCCTCGTCATGGTGAATGTGTCCTTGATGCACTCTCGCACGTATTTTTCAGGGTCGAAGCCCGGGGCGAAGTTTGCATCGAAGCGGCCAATGAAGTTGGCGAGCATCAGCCGCATCTCCATCCAGGCCAGCTTCTTGCCCACGCAGCCCGTCGGTCCGTAGCCAAAGGGCATGAAGGCTGCCGCCTCGAAGCGCTCCTCCTTGGACGGGTCCACGAAGCGCTCGGGCCGGAAGGCGTCGGGGCTCGGGGAAAAGTTGCGCGGGTCGTGGTGCAGCGCCGTCGTGGGCACCGACAAGATCGTCGCGGGTGGGACGACGACCGTCGAGGCCGAGTGCTTGAGGTTGAGAACCAGGCTTGAGGAGGCGCCCGAGGGTGACTCGCGCTGCAAGCCCGACGCCACGGGCGGGTAGAGGCGCATCGTCTCGTTGAGAACGGCATTGAGCCAGACGCATTCCTTGGCCAGCTTGTCAAAATCCAGATCGTGTTCTTCCTCTTCATAGTCGTGTCCAAAGACGTCGTGAAGCTCCTTGCGAACCCTTTCCAGGACGTCGGGGTGCTTGACTAGGTGGAAGATGACCATGGCCAGAACCGACGACGTGGTGTCGCTGCCGGCGACGACGACGAGGCCGGCGTCGGCATTGAGCTCATTCCAAGTGTGCTTCCATCCCGTCGCCTTGTCCTCGCCCAGCAGGTGCGTAAAGATGTCGGCACGGTCGTCGTCGCCGCGCTTCTTCTCGGCAGAGCGGCCGACACGCTCGCGCAGAGCTTCCTCGGTGAAGTCCTCAAAGTCCTTGATCGGATTGGGCGCCACGCGGGCCACGGCCGAGAGATAGGGCACGGCGCCGAGGACCATGATGGCCTGCATGGCGCCCTCGAGGAGCTCAATGGGCTTGCTGAACGACCCCTTTCCTATGAGATCAAACGAGCGACTGAAGCCGAGCTCGGACATGACATCAAAGGCGTAGAATTGGCACCACTGGTCCATCGCCACCTCGCCCCCCGTCCGGGCGTCGAGCTGGGTGAGGAGCTTGCGCGTCGTCTGTCGCAGCTGTGCCTCGTACGAGCGCAGTGCCGCAACGCTGAAGCCGGCGTCCCAGATGCGCCGCCTGCTCCGGTGGTCGCCGGTGTCGATGGTGACGTGGAGACTGAGGCTGCGGGGGCCCTTGCCGCCGTGGGCAGCCGTGTACCAGGGGCCCTTGCGGCAGGCGCTCTGCCCACCGAGGATCTGGTTGATGGCGCCTACATCGTTGATTGACAGCTCGCGGGGTCCGACGCGCACAACGTCGCCGTAGGTCGCATGGAGCGAAGTAACCTTGGCCGGTCGCTGGCCCGCCAAGTCGGTGGGCACCCAGGCCCACTTGGACAGCGCCAGCGACGAAGGGCCCTTGAAGGAGCGCAAGCGGTGGAAGAAGAGGCGATAGGCGGCAATGCTTGACAGCAGCGACGCTGTGTAGGCCGTCTGGAGCACGGCAAGTGAGACGATCCAGTCGAAGGGCGAAGAGGATGGATGGGAGGTCGCTGCGAGGAAGAGATAGGAGAGAGAGCCGACAAGGTAGACGGCGAGGACTGTGGGCGCGCTCGGCTCGTAGTTTGCGTAGAAGAGATGCGAAACGAGGGCCAAGCCTACGCTGGCCTGCACATCGAGCAGCGTTGGAAGCATCGTTGTCACCAACCTTCCTGGCAGAAGAAGATAGAGGTTGCGACGGACAAGCTATAAATGTTGGCCTTTGCGGGGTAACTGCAGACGAGCCGGTTAGCTAGCCGGTCGGGCCCATCGGGGTGGCTGCAATTACTAACAAATGGTCGAGCTAGCGTTTAGTGTGGGCCCAGAGCTTGGCGCGGGGACGGATGTGCGCTAGCTTGCCGTGTCAAAATTAGAGCTCGTTGACGGCTCGGCTTGCTTAACCGGCTCGTTCGTGTCTGGCATGGCTTGCGGTGCATCGACCGGCTCGTTGCAGTGAGGGCCGCTGCTGCGAGGGACGTCACAGCAGACTTTTTCCTGCCCGTTCCGGAGCTCAGCAAAGAGAAGTGACAAATGGACAGGGGCCAAAGCAACAGCCGCAGAGCCCCACATCCGTGATGGGGTCCTGCGCTGGGCACAGACGGGACGCAAAGAATGCGGGGATGCCACCAAGCAGCAGCTGTTTGAATTGCAAGACCAAATTTCGCAATAGTAGACAATGTCTGGACTCGACAACAAGGTGTGAAGCGATCTTAGTCCTTGACGGAGAGATCGCCGACGGGGAGCGTGAAGTAGCTGGTGATTGTAACTGTGTGTCAGAAAGGCAGTCTGTGACAAGAGGGCAACAACAAGAGAGACCCACCTGGTGTTCTTTGTGAGGAATGAGGCGGTACCGACATAGTAGGCGACAAAGGCCGTCGCGACGCCCAGTCCTCCTCCTGCCTTTTCGAACGAGGCATTGCCCGTGTATGCGTGCGCGGCCAGCATGGCAAAGGTGCTGCAGAAGAATTCGTCAGCGGTCAGAAGAGAGAATGGTGAGGAAAGATGAGGGGATCAAACGTACAGGTCGAGGAGTACAAGTAGGAGAATGATTGCAATGCTGCTCCTGAGCGCCGAGAAAAGGACTGAACGGGGAGCGATGGCAAGTCAGGCACAAAGTAGAAAGGAAAGCTCCCCAAAATTGACAATAACTCACACACAGTCGTGATGCCGAACCAAATCCAGAGGAAGAGGCCAACGGCGTTGTCAAGCTCAGCTGCAGCTAGTCCCTGCGCCGAATAGATGTTGGGCTGGCCATCGTACGTGCCCGTGAGGCCAAAGAAGGGGATCTGGATGATGCTGTAACCCCACCAGAAGCAGCCGTAGGAAACAAAGAGCGTCGCTCCAAACGTGTTTCCGCTGGCAAACTCCCACAGGCCGGCCAGGAGCTGGGCGAGGCCACCAAACATGATCGAGATGGTGAGGACGCCATTGGGCGTCTCGATGCCCGCGACATGCAGGTTGTAGAAGGAGAGGAGCAGCGTCGTCGTCGCGAAGCCGTAGGCGCCCGACGGCAGCGGGTTGGCAATCTTGCGGTGCGACGATGCCACAGCAATAAGGTCGTCGTTGATGGGATGGCCACCGGGCGTCAGGCCTGTTGTCATGCACTTCAACATCAGCCTCAAAGCAACTTTAGTCTCGCACACACATCAATGCAGATCCCACTCACTCTTGCTCATGGGCGCGCCCTGGTAGTCTGGCGCGACGTGCGGCTCGCCCGTGGGCGAGTACTCGGCCTTGTTGTGCTCAGCTGCAACAGACATCGCAAACGCTTACTCTGGTCTGGGGGAGGATGAAGTGTTGGAAAGAGGGGACGAATTCACTCGAGCAAGATTTGCGGGGAAGGGGGGAAAGATCTCTTCTCAGAAGGGTGGCCTGCTTATGATGCGCTTTGAGCCTTCGATACTGGACCCTCGCCCCCTGTGGCTCTCTCTCTCTCTCTCTCTCTCTCTCGCTGGGAGACTGTTGTGCTCCAGGCCAACTCCACATCCAGAGGAAGCCATGAACAAATTCAAATCCCGCTCGTGTAGCCGGGTGTAAAGCGGGGTAGCATGCACCTTGGCCGGCCACCGCGCGACGCGTATTTGCAATGCATTCATTCATTCCAACACGGAAGACACCCGGGATTTTAGATCTGTGGCTAGGAACCGGCAAGCATCACGGCCGGTCCTCTCACTTTTCCAGTCCTCCTTCCCCAGATCGGTGGGAACCGCCACAAAGCGCTGCTGTTCTCGACCCACATTGGCCCCCTTCCACTTTACATTCCAAACACCGACGGCCACAGAGGGACACCCCTGGTGTGAAGATGAACGGATATCGCGCGCAGATGTGGGGGCCATCCTCCCTGCTCCCAAGGCCAAGGCCTGCTCTGAACGACCGGTTGGTATGGAATAAAGCAACCACCTCTTCTTCTCCCCCGCAACCCTCTTTTCTTGTCTTTTCCCAGCCATCTGGATATCCCTGCGCAATTGGCATCTCCCCCTCACACCTCCTCCTCCGCCAGCACCGTAAAGTAAGATCATGTCCAAGCCATACGCCAAGCCGAGCCTGCTGGAGCAGTTTGGCCTCAAGCCGGACCCAAACAAGCTCGAGCACTCACAGTCGGGGGGCAATCGCCTGACCAAGGTCTACACGACCGGCGGCCACCCGATGGACTCGTCACAAAAGGGCTTTCCCGTCTACCACCGCAGGATTGGCAATCCATTCCCGCTCGTCGCGCTGGCGATTGGAACGTCGCTCATGATCATCGCGCCGATCCTCCTTGGGGTGCGAGGCCTCACGCAGCTCAACATCTTCATGGCCATTGGTTTGCCCCTCGGATGCGTGGGTAACTTCATCGCCTCGATGTTTGCCTATGCCGAGGGCAACACCTTTACCGCCACGCTAGGCTCTGTCTTTGGCGGGCTCCTCGGTGGCCTCTCAATCGCCTTTCTCCCGTGGACGGGCATCCAGGCAGCATACATCGGCAAGGCCGCTTCGCTCGAGGAAGGCATTTTGGACCTCTACAAGGCTCTCTCGCTCCTCTTCTTCTGCGCCATGATTCCCGTCTTTCTCGTCTTCCTTGCCTCGTTCAAGACGGCCATGCCCATTGCCGGCGGTGCACTCATGATCGTCATTGCCGTCATCCTTCAAGGAACCAACTACCTGCATTACCCCATGTTGGAGCTGCAAAAGGGCTGCGGCGCCCTCTTCTTCATTGTCGGCATCGTCCTCTGGTACCTTGCCGTGGCAATCATGAACCAGGAGGAGGGCGTTCCGGTTGTGAGTCTGAACAGCTGCTCTCTCTCGATGTTCCTCCTTCCCAAGCTAATGTCTTCACCAGCCCGTCTTTGCGCTGCCTCGGCACGACGACTGATTGCGCTCAACGTACCCCACCTTGCTTTCTTCATCATATCCTCTCCTCTCTCTTTTCTTTTTCCTCTCCCTCCTCTTCTCTCCTCCTTGTGCGCAATATAAAGTCAGAATGTGCCTCACCCGTCCTCCCTTTTCTAATGCGCGTGCTGCAGAGAAGTGTAACAATCAGGTGGCTTTCCGATTTATTTGCCTATCGGTCGCTCAAAGTAAGCTAATGTGGCGGAAAACGAGGTGTGACCATCCTCTATTCTTCGTCTCGTTAGTTTCTGCCTGAGTTTAGCGGTAGATGACTTCATTTACCCCGCTTACATCTTGCACCCAAAAAAAATCAAGAAGATAAAATAGAGGAGGAAAAGAGTGAGAAAAAAGCGAAGAAAAGAGCGAAGAAAAAGCAAAGGCGATTTAAGATGAAACAAATCGGGGAACTCGACCCGACGTCCATCTCAACTCGCATGTCGGAAGCAGGGCGCTAAGAACGACATGGGGACGCAAAAGGGAAAGAAGAGGGAACAGGACGATGCGCGGGGCTCGTCGCTTTCCAATGACTCAAGCCGGTCAGCCGACGAGGCTGATGGGCCGCCGGCAGCGGCCGGTGGGCCAAACGACGAGCGGAGGCATGACGACAAGAAGCATAAGCAGAAGAAGAGAAGGGGTGCAAACGCCTGCGTGATTTGCCGTCGGCTCAAGATGCGCTGCGTGCCGCTCGAGCCCGAGCTCGCTGATCGCGATAACCCCGGTCCTCCATGCCAGCGCTGCGCCCGGCTGGGCCACGAGTGCCGCTTCGACTCGCTGCCGCGCGGCATGAGGGCCCAGCAGGCGAGGCTGCTGCTGCTCCAGCAGCACCTCCAGCGCGAGGCTTCTGCGCCCCCGCCGGGTTCGTCCGTAAATGTGGCAGAAGGCAAAGACAAGGAAGGAATGATGCTCTTGGCGAAGCTCGAGGAGGCACGGAGGCAGCTCGAGGCCCACAATGCACGGCAGCAGGCGTCCCGCGCTCCTGCAGGGTCAGAGGCGGAGGTAGCCTTGCAACAGCAGCAGCAGCAGCAGCAGCAACAACAACAACAACAGCAAAAGCCGTGGCTGGCGACGACAGGAGCGACACAGGGCAATCAGACATCGCCGGTCAGTTCCAACTCCGGCGGCTCAGCCTGGACGGCAACGGACACGCCCTGGATTGAGCATGACGGCGTTCACTGGCCTTTCGCCTCCTCTTCCTTGACGACATCGGTGACGGGCGCATCCCAAGAGCTTCCCTTCCAGACTGTTATTCCCGGTGCAGGCGCAGGCTCAGGCTCGAGCACCAGCTCGGGTCCCCAGTCCCGACGCGAGAGCCGGCAGAGAGAGAAAAAGAGGCGCAAGCTAGGCCCGCTGCTGCCGTCTGACAGCCTCATGGACCCTCTCGGCATGCTGGCCGAGGCTTCGCTGGGCAACGATGGCGACGAAGCCAAGATTGGTGGCGACGAAGACGAGGAGAAGGGCGGAAAGGGATTGGTGAATGCGACGACGCCTGTCGCTGCCGCTGCGGCGGCGGCCAATGCGGGGCAAGAGGTGACGAGCGAGCGATACTTTCGACGGAAGAATAAGGCAGCTCCATTTGTGAGTGGCCAAGAGGCAGAGGAAGAGAGAGAGAGACAGAGAGTGAGACTGAAAGATGGACCCACAGCGGCGGGGCAACGAAGAGTGTCACGGTCACCGCCTGCTCGAGTCGGGCCTGCTGTTGTGGGCAGACGTGTGCACCTTCTTTGACGTCTTTTTCGACCGCTGTGCCCAGCACTTTCTCCTCCTCGACGCCAATTTCCACACGCCGGACCTCGTCGCCAGTCGGTCGGCCTTTCTCCTCGCCGCCATCTGCACAGTGGCGAGCCGGTACGTGGGCGACGAGAGGCGCGCGGGGCTGAATGGCGAGTGCTTCGACGAGGCCACGCGCCTAGCTGCCCAGTGCCTAACCAAAGGCACGAAGAGCGTCGAAATTGTGCAGGGCCTGCTGCTCCTATCGATGTGGATGCCTGCCTCCAAGCACTGGGAGGACGATCGCGCATGGGTATACAGCGGCCTGGCGATGCGCATCGCCACCGACCTCGGCCTGTCGTACCACCAGGGCGCCTTTGACGACATGCCCTACGACGTGCGGCTCGAGGTGGTGAATCGGCAGCGGACGTGGCTGTGCTGCTACGCCGTCGACAAGAGCTTCTCGGCCCTGATGGGCAAGCCAGACATGCTCCACGACGACGACCTGATCGTGCACTGCCGCTGGTGGTGCCTCAGCGCTAGCGATGGGCGCGAAGACGAACGGCTTGCTCGGCCATGGCACGCCGCCATCGCAGCCTTTGTCGACCTGCTCCGCACGCTGTGCAGGCAGCTCAAGCACCTCCGCTCATGGAACCTTTCCCGGCCGACGACGACGACGACGATGACGATGATGGCCAAGACGACCACCACCACCAAAGCGGGGTCCACTCACGAGGACGATGGACACGATGCCAAAATGGTCTCCATCAACATCTTCAACGAGGAGCTCGACGAGTGGAACAGCTTCTGGAATTCGCGCAAGCTCTTTACGCTGCCTGAACGATGCAAGACTGCCGAGCTGGACCGCGATTCGAAGCTGCTCCTCTCGCTGCACCAGCAGTGGCCTCTCCGGCTGAGCTATGCAAGGCTCATTGTCAACTCCTTTGGCCTGCAGCATTGCCTCAATCGCCAAAAGAGGCGAGGCAAGGAGGGTGTCGATGTAGGGCTTTTCTTTGCCGTCTGCTGGCGATCGGCACGCGGTGTCATTCTCGCCGCCAAGGACGGCATGCGTGGCTCGCTGCGCTGGGGCGCAGACACGCAGCTCGTCATGGTTACATACGCCAGCGTCTTTCTCCTCAAGCTCGTGCGCAGCCAGGCCAAGCTGGCAGAGTATCACAACAAGGCCGAGGCTATCGCCCTCGTCCGCGATGCCGCCGACCTGTTGGGCAGCCTTGCAGCGGGCAAGACGCACACGGCTACACTCTATGCCAGTTTTCTGCGCTCGCTTCTCGACGCACAGCCCCAGGCAGACACTGACGCCACGCAAGAGCAGCAGCAGCAGCAGCAGCAGCAGCCCACGCCGACGCAGCCACATACTGCACCGACCATCCCCACCACCGCGGATAGCTTCGACATGCCGTTGAACGGGCCCGACACGTTCAATTTCCTTGCGGCGCAGTCCCAAGACGACCCGGCAATCTCGGCAGAGTGGATCTCTAGTCTCGAAGACCTGCCCGCGTTCCACAATACGCTAATGAACCTGCCAGAGGACGGCATCCTCAACGACAGCTTCTGGTCCGAGCTGCTGCCCTCCTACGGCTATAGCCAGCCGCATCCCTACGACGCTGCCCCTTCTGCATTGCAGCCCGTGAATCTGCCTTTTCAGCATTCCAGTACTTAAGCGCAGACGTCCTTCATAGCCAGCCCACTTCGGAGCCAGCCCCCTTCATAGCCAGCCCCATTCGTAGCCAGCCCCCTTCATAGCCAGGCCCTACTGTATCATAGCATAAGCCTCATCGCACCGCAACATTCATGTCGTGACCTGAGCCAAGTGCAGAGACGCGCTTACATAAGCCACGCGAATTAGACTCGATCCAACGCAGCGCGCTCTCACTCTCTCTCTTGGAACTAGGACCTTCTCTCCTTCCTTTTTCTTCCTCCCAAACGACGTGCGCCCCTCAAAGAGCAACGCGGCCATGTCGAGCAGCCCACCACCTTCTGCCCTCGCGCGGCTCGTGCTCGGCCTCGGCGCCCTCGTGTTCCTGCATGGCGCCTACTCGACGTACGAGCATCTTGCGCTGCGCAAGTCGCTCGGCCTCGCTGCCGACACCTCCGAGGCTGTCCCCTTTGACGTGCGTGACTTGTGTCACTTGCTTGTCAGAGAAGCTAGGCCGCTGACAGTGTCTTTCCCCGTGTGCGAGCAGATCAAGGCCGAGACGCTCGTGGGCCTGCTCGTCGTGCTGCTGGGCACCTGCCTGACAGCGAGCCCGCTCAAGGAAGTGACATGGGCGAGCGAGTGGAGCAAGCGGTGCGTCTCGCTCTTTCTCCTCCTCTTTCTAAATCAGAAGCTGACTGAGCTCATCAACCAGGACCATCGACGAGGTCGACGCACGGCCGAGCTTCATCACGTTCCAGCACCGTGGCCCGCTCCTCTTCGCAGCCTCGTCGGCCGAGGCAGCAAAGTAGACGACTCTCTCCTCCTGTACTTTTACTACAACTACATCATCACAATGGTCATGCACCATCTCAGAGCAGGGGGTGTGTGACGGCATCTCATTGCATCCGGTAGATCCGCCGCAGCTCCTCGCCCAGCTCGAAGCGGCGCCTGCCCTCGATCCAGGCCATGCTGTCGCTGTACGACTGGGGCACCACGCGCTTGTGCGCGGGGCCAATGTCGAAGCTGAAGTGGAACTGGTGTATGGATGTGCTTTTGGTTCAGCGAGAGAGAGGAGAGAAAGGCCAAAGAAGAGAAGGTAGACCCACGGTGTTGCTCTTGTTTCGCTCGCCCGTCTCCACGTCGACGACCTCGGCAAGGACGACGACGCTTGCGATGCTGCTCCCCTCTTCTCCTTTGCCTTTCCCTGCGCTCTGCTGGCCATCCGCTGCTGCTTCTGCCGCCGCCGTGCTGGTGTAGGTCACGTGCGAGGTGAGGCTCAGGACGGCGCCGATGGGCACGGGCAGGTGGAAGGAGAGGGCGTCGAGGGAGAGAAAGCCGACGGGCCGCTGGGCGAACATGGCTGCGCCCATCCACGCCGTCTCGTAGGCGGCGCGCATGAGGAAGCCGCCAAAGACTCTGAAGTAAGCAGCTGTCAGCTCGCCCGCTTCCATCTTGATAGTGTCACTGCAACCCACTTCATGTGCACGTTGCGCTGCTGCGGGTGCATGTGCATGACCGTGTCGAGCATCGTGTCCTGCATCTCGACCGTCTGCATCTGCTGTTCCTGGCGGCCGGGGAGCCAGATGTCGTGGAGGAGGGCGGCCTCGTCGGACGTGGGCGGGACGCGGTCGAGCGAGGCCTTTGCCTCGAGCTTCTTGCGCGACTTGTGCGCAGCGCCCATCTCAAACAGCCGCGCCTCGGCCTCGCCCCGCACGTCGAGGGGCGCAATCGGCTGCGATTTACCCGTAGCAGCGTTGCGCGTCGCCATGGTGAAGCGGCCCGTGAGGCAGGTCCGGCCCGAGTCCTGCTCCTGGACGGTCACGAGGACCTCCATGCTGGAGGAGCCGACGTAGATGACCATGCCGCTCAGCCGGTAGTCGCACTCGGTCTGCAGCCGCTCGAGCAGGTCGAGCCGGTCGACGGAGGCCGTGACGATGAATATCGGGTTCGCGTGGTGGTCTGCGGCCGTCGGCCTGCCGCCCAGGACGTGGGTGTAGCTGTTGTGTATGTCTCTATCAGCGTCCACGGCAAGCAAGCAAAGATGAGCAAGCCAAGCCAGCTTATATGCACCTGATGTCGCCCGCAAGGTTGTCCAGGTCTTCGAAAAGCTTGCCCAGCCGGATCGAGCCAGACGTGGCAATGTACTTTTCCAGCACCTCGGGCCGCGACCGGAAGGGCAGCGAGAGCTCGACGAAGCTGTCATACATGCGCTTGGGCTGCACGAGGCGCCGGTGCGCCTCCTCATCGAGATCATGCGCGCCCTGTGCACCGGCACGCTTGTCTGCCGCTGCTGCTGCGCGTGCCTTGGCCTCGTCGGCCCAGGAGCGTGTGTTGAGCCGCGTGGGTAGCCGTGCAGGACGAGGGGAAGATGCGGCCTGGTCGAGGTGCTCCTGCCGGACGACGTCGGCGAGGTTGATCAGCGTCCGCACGTTTTCTGTCTCCTGCAGCGGCGTCGACGGCGGCCGCGCGGCTGCAGTCGAGTAACGGTAGGCCAGCCACCCTCGTGAGAGGCGAGGCAGGGCCCGCCGCGCGACTGTCTGCATCGTCGCTGTTGTTGTCGTTCTCGTCGCCTGGTCGTTATTCTCGGTGCCTGGATCCTCCTAGTCATCGCACGGACATTTCCGCCAATTTCCTCCACGCGACCTGTCTGCCTGCCCATTTTGACTTTTTCGTGTGTTTTTTCGTCGCCAAATCTCTAATCTTCTCGTTGATTGCTGCAAGAAAGAGGCGCGCATAAACCCCTCCCACCCGATCGTCGCTGTTGCTGCCCATGACAAACGGCCTGGTGGCGCCCTCGGCGCACCTGCACGAGGCCCTCGCCTCGCTGCACCGCGCCTCGGCGCAGTTTGCCAGCGCCGACCCGGGCGCGCGGGCCGAGGGCGAGGCCATCTTTCTCTCGCTGCGCCAGAGCCGGGCTGCCGTCGAGTACGCCTGCTTTGCGCTCGAGCACTCGACCGACGCCTACGTCCTCTTCCAGGCACTCACGTCCATCGTCGCTGCGCTGCCTAACCTGGAACTCGTGCGGCCATCGCCGAGCCTGCCGGACCTGGCCACGCTCTTTGACTTTCTCGCCGCCTTCCACCTCGCCCCGCGCAATCTCCCGTCGTCGTCTTCCTCGTCTTCCTCTTCTTCGCAGGGCCTGCCACGGTATGTGGGCGCACGGTGCTGCCAGGCGCTGGCTGCCGTCGAGCGGCGCACCCTCCAGCTCGAGCTCGAGGCTGCGGTCAGGAAAGCAAGAGGAAGAAGAGACGGCAGCACGAGTAGCAGCAGCAACGGCGACGCTGACGCCGTCGAGGCCGTCCTCGCACGGCACCGGGCCAAGCTCGCATCGCTTCTTACCTTTGATCAGGGGCACGGGCACGAGCAGGGACATGGGCAAGAGCAGCGAGCAGCAACGACGGCGCGGATCGGCATCGCAAAGGCGCTCGTCGACGAGCTGCGGCAGGGCCAGGCGAGGCCGACGATGGAGGCGCGCTGGGTGCGTGCCTTTTGGCAGCTCGAGGTGCAGCCCGGCCTCCTGCAGCAGGTCCTCGCCTCGCTCGTCGCGGCGCTGCACCACGCACCCGCCCTCGACTGGCTCCTCGTCGAGCTGGCCCCGCTGCTGGAGCGCCTGCTCGCGTGGCCTTTCATTGTCGAGGCACCCTACGCGGGCCTGCAGCCCGGCGACGACCTCTCGCTCGACGATGTCCGCCGGCTCCTCGCGGCAGAAGAGGACACTGGCGAGGGCGAGGGCGAGCATGAAAATGAAGACGAGGGGCACGGCTCGTCGGGCGCACTCTCGGCCGCTGCGCTGACGGCAGCCCCGCGGCAGGTCGACGATGCGACGCTGCTCTCGACGGACCTCGTCTCGCTCCTGGGCGCCGTCTATGCGCATGCGCGGGCGATGCATGCGCCTGCGACGCTGCATCAGCTCCGTGCCTGCCTCGTCCAGGCCGCGCGCTTCCGGTCATGCACCCATGCAGCAGGGCACCACGACGAGCAGGTGGCTGCCAGGATGGCCGCCCTCGTCGACGTCTTTGACGGCCTCGTCGCTGCGGCGCTTCCGGCCATCGACGGGCGACGGGGCCTGCGCAGCGACCGGCTTGTCGACGCCTCCTTCTGCGCCCAGTTTGTCGCCGCGCTCGCGCCCCAGCTCGACGCCGTGCCCCTCGGCCGCCTCGAGGCGATGCTGTCGACGCTTGCCCGCGTCACGGCCGCCGCATACAGACTCGTCTTTGGCCTCGCAGATGGCAGTGGCGCCAATGATGCAGACGACGACGACGACGACGAGAGGCAGGCCAGCGACACCCTCGAGGCCGTCCTGGCCGCGTGGTTTGCCATCGTCGACGTCCTCTCCCACGGCGGCACCGCCGACCTGCCCCCGGCGATTCGCTCGGCGCTGTGGACCGGCGTCGTGCAGCCGTACATCGACGGACGCCTGGCCCAGCAGGAGCCCGATACGACAACGGGAGGGCCAGATGGCGACGACGACGAGGAGCAGGGCGAGGAGCAGCAGCCCGACTGGCTCCTCCACGGCCAGGAGCTGCTGCTTGTGGCCAGCCTCGCGCGCCTGGGCGACATCGACGCCTGCCTCGCCCACCTCGCCGCGCTCCTCGACGGCGTCCGCCACCCGCTCGAGCACTTTTATCAGCAACAACAGCAGCAGCAGCAGCAGCACGCCGTCGCCAGCCGCGAACAGCTCGAGGCCGCGTGGGACAAGCTCCACTGGCTCGCCCTCATCGCCGGCCACGTCGTCGCCGACGAGAGCCGCGGCGAGGTGGCGTCGACGCCGCGTGCGATCGCATCGCTTGCAGCCACGCACAGCCTGTGGCACATCGTCGACACGCTCGGCCTCGCGCTCCTCGATGTCGTCTTGCCGCCGCCGCACCAGCAGCAGGCCGACGCATACAGCCCGCAGGTGGCCGCAACGCTCCTCTGGTTCGGCGCCCGCATCGTGCCATCGTACCTACTCGTCTCGCACACGCCCCTCGATGCGCACCTCGATGGTCCCGGGGGTGTGGCTGCGCTCTCGCGCCTCGTCGGTCGCGTCGAGGCCAGCCTCGTGGCCTGGCGTGCCGACGCCGACGTGCTGAGCCAAGCAGCCGCCGTGCTGGCCAGCCTGACGCGCTCGACGGGCGCCATGCAGAACCTCCTCTCGCGGCCCGAGTTTGACCGCCTCGTCGCCACCGTCGTCGCCGGCCTGTCGACGGCCTCCTTTGTCGCCGCCAGCAACGGCGCGCTGCTCGCCGCCGTCGTCGGCTGCATCTATGCTGCGCGCGACTCCAACGTCTCCCACCCGCCCCAGGCCGCCTTTGACCGCATCGCCGCCGCCGTCGATGCCCGTCTGAGTGCCGTCATGCACGACCCGGCATTCACCAGCCATGCGCAGCGGCCCGACGTCGTTGCTGCCCTCGTCGACGGCCTCGACATGCTCGAGGGCCTAGCCATGAGTGCCGCCCACCCGCGCTCGGCCCGCGTCGTCTTTGACTTTGTCGCCCGCTTCCTCGGCTCCTTTGCTGGCCTCGCGCGCCTCTACCGGCGCCGCACCGACGTCGTCGCGCCCCTGCTCCGTGTCACGGCCACCCTGGCCACCCACGTCATCGACCAGCTGGGCGACGACGACGAGGCCGCCGTCGGCGCACGCTTCCACACCACCCTCCTCGGCATCCTCGACGCCATCGACGCCGAGACGCTGGGCCTGGCGCACGCCAAGAAGAGCATTGAGCGCGGCGAGGACGACGCCGCAGAGCCCTACGAGGTCCTCTGCCTCATCCTCGACGTCGTCCAGGCCCTCCTCGTGCCCCCGCTGCAGCCTATCCCCTCGTTTGTCGACAGCGACACGGACCCGGCGCCGGCCGATGCGGTGCAGCGTGCGCCCGACGCTGCCCTGGCCACGCTCGCCGTCCTTGTGCCCCTCGTCGAGCCGGGGTTCAACAAGTCGTCGTCGTCGTCGTCGTCGTCGACACCAACTCCATCACCATCGCCATTCTCGGCCGAGACTGCCGACGCCCTGGCGGTGCCCCGCGTCGTCAACGGCTTCGTCGCCTGCCTCGTCGGCCTGGCCACGCACTTTTCGCCCCGCATCGTCGAGCTGGCCTCGTCGTCGTCGGCAGACGCGACGTCGCACGCCTATGTTGACGCCTGGCTCCGTGGGCTTGCCCTCGTCGTCGCCAACACGCACGACACGCCGCGGCTGACGGACCTCGTCGGCGCCATCGCCGCCCTTGCTGCGCACATTGCCGCCGTACAAGAGCGCATGCAGCAGCCCCACCGCCTCGTCCTCCACCACGGCATCCGCCAGACGTTCCGCGGCAAGGGCCAGCTCGCCGACGTCGTCGAGGCGCTCCTCGCCGTCGTGCTCCGCCTCGCCTTTGTTGAGCCGGCACTCGCGCCCAGCCTCGTGGAGCCGCTCCTCGACGGCCTCGCCCACCTCGCGCGCGCCGTGAGCATGCTCGCACAGGGCCATGCGGGCCAGCGCAGCGCCCGCCTCGAGGGTGCGTGCGCGCGTGCTTTGGCGCAGCAGTCTCCACCTCGTCCACCAAGCCTCGTTGAAGCCGGAGGACAAGGAGACGGGGAGGACCGCGCCGCGAGGGCAAAGCTCGTCGCCACTGTTGGGCCCGTCCTCGACGTCCTCGTCCAGGGCGCAGAGGGCGATGCCCAGGCCCGCATCAGCGTGGCCAAGGCCCTCGTCTGGGACGCACGCGCCCAGCTGCCGTTTGCGCCTTGAATGGCCCATGTACCACCACCGTCACCGTCACCATCTTCATCTCATATTGACTTCTCTCAACTTCAATATTTCACGCTAGCTACTCATGTCCATTATCCATCATCATCATCATCCATCAGCGCGCAGAAATGCCAGACAGCATCACTGCCCAATCCAATTCATCACTGCTGCATCTCATTGCTCCTTTTTCGTCTCTGCTGCTGCTGCTGCTTTTGTCTCGAGCCTTCTTGGCTGGCCTCCTGCTGCCGCCGACGCTGTAGCTGCAGCAGGCGCGTCGCCCTGGTCCTCGAGAAAGGCGGCGACGATGTAGGCGACGAGAACGACGTTTGCGACGAGGGCTGCGAGGCCGCCGGCGTATGTCACGTTTCCTGTGGGGGAGAGACGTCTCAGCGTGGGATCGAGGAGTGGGAAGGAGAGAGAGGGGAAGAAAGGGATGGAAAGGGAGCAAGGTATTGAAGAGAGAGACGCACCTTCGAAGAGGCGCTCGCGCGAGAGGTAAAAGGCCGAGAGGGGCGCTGCGAAGAGGGCGACGCTGAAGAAGGCCAGCTTGTAGTAGACGCCGCTGGGGTGTCAAAGGGGGGGGGCGATTTGGTCAGTATGGAGATGGAGACGGGGCAGGTGAGGAGACGCACACGGCAGGGTCCGGCCCGCGGGGGGCTGCCTTGGACGGCGTGAGCTGGTCCGACGCCATGCCCTTTTGTGTCGCTGGGCTGGCTGCTTCTCTGACGCCGGGCAAGAAGACGTCGGCGGGAAAAACAAAAGAAAGTGGCAGGTGGAGAAGGGCGCGCGCGAACAACAGCCACGTGTGTCCTGCCACTTTTTAGCGACGAAATATTGCGTGGATGGCTGGATTGTGGATGGAGGAGAGGATCTGCGGGATCCGGTCGGGTGAGAAGAAAGATCGATCCATCCATCCGTCAATACAAGGACGAGACAAGATGGCACCGCCAAAGTCGCGCTTTGCGTCCAAGGGCGCCTTCGATGTGCTCGCCACCGAGGGCGACGACGAGGATGCGCGCGAGCAGGAGCACGACGGCGCCGAGGAGGACCGCGTCGCTGCCATCGAGGCCGAGGCACAGCGCCTGGCCAAGGCCGAGCCCGACAGCACGCCGAGCAAGATGACCCGGGGCGCCCGCAGGAGGGCGAGGGAGTCGGCCTCGCAGACGCCCGGTCCCACGTCGCCGACGCCGACGCCCGCACCCGCGCCCGTCTCCACCCCGGCTCCGGCTACCACATCTGCACCAGCAGCAGCACCCGCTTCTGCACCTGCTCCTGCACCTGCTCCCGCTGCCGCCCCGACTTCAGCGCCTGTGCCTGCCATCCAAGGAGCGACTGCGACAAGAAAAGCCGCAAAGAGCGAGCGGGAGTCCAAGAGCGACGCCAAGGTCGCCAACGGGAGCCAGGCACCGGCAAAGACAAAGGCCAGCGACGACAAGGAGGCCAGCAAGGAGGCCAGCAAGGCATACTGGAAAAAGGTGTATGAGCGCACGCTCTTTACCTTCCTCATGATTGGCGGCTTCATCGGCCTGCTGCTCCTCGGCCACCCATACATGATCATCCTCGTCCTCGTCATCCAGGTCCTCGTCTACCGCGAGGTCACCGCCCTCTTCAACATCCCCGGCCGGCCCAGCGTGACGGGAGGGAGCAGCAGCAGCCGGCGTGGCGGCGGCGGCTTTGCGTCGAGCGCCCTCAGCACGGCCAACAGCAGCCGCGCGGGTAGCGCAGCGCAGAGCGAGGATGAGGACGACGAGATGGGCGGCCGCGAGGGCCGGCGCCAGGAGGAGCTGTGGAGCAAGACGCTCAGCTGGTACTTCTTCGCCGTCAGCAACTACTTTCTCTATGGCGAGTCGCTCATCTACTACTTCAAGCACATCGTCTTTGTCGACGCCTACTTCATCCCCTTTGCGCGCCACCACCGCTTCCTGTCCTTCATGCTCTACATCTTTGGCTTCATGGCCTTTGTCTCGGGCCTCAAGCGCACCAATCTCAAGCACCAGTTCGGCCTCTTCTGCTGGGTCCACATGTCGCTCCTCCTCACCGTCTACTCGTCGCACTTCATCGTCAACAACATCCTCGAGGGCCTCATCTGGTTCTGGGTCCCCGCCAGCCTCGTCATCTGCAACGACGTCTTTGCCTACGTCTGCGGCATGCTCTTTGGCCGCACGCCCCTCATCAGCCTCAGCCCCAAAAAGACCGTCGAGGGCTTCGTGGGTGCCCTCATCATTACAGAGATCTTTGCCTATGGCTGGGCCACGCTCTTCCAGCGGTACAACTACATGGTGCGTTCCCTCTCTCTCTTTCTGCCTGCCATCCTCCATACTGACGATGACGATGCCCGCACAGATCTGCCCCGCCGTGTCGCTGGGCATGAATGCATTCAGCAGGGTCCAGTGCGACCCCAACCCCGTCTTTCTCTGGCACTACTTCGCCCTGCCCGCATACATCTCCGCGCCGCTCTCGAAGCTGCTCGAGCCCGTCGCTGCCGCCGTCTTCGGCCGAGAGCACTTCTTCCTTGATGCCATCCCCTACACGCCCTTCCAGTTCCACGCCCTCGTCATGGCCGCCTTTGCCTCGCTTGTCGCGCCCTTTGGCGGCTTCTTTGCCTCGGGTTTCAAGCGTGCCTTTAACATCAAGGACTTTGGCGACTCGATCCCCGGCCACGGCGGGCTCACCGACCGTTTCGACTGTCAGTTTCTCATGGGCCTCTTCTCCTACGTCTACTACAGCTCCCTCATCCGCGAGCACCACGTGTCTGTCGGCAGCGTCCTCCAGACCGTCGTCACCCACCTCACCGTCGAGGAACAGGTGGAGCTGTACCGCGAGCTCACGCGCTTCCTCGACGGCCAGGGCATCAAGGTCTGATCTCTCCATTCTCGCTGCTTCTTCTCTTTCCTCTGTCTTTCTCTTTCACTCTTCCTTCTTTCCCTCTCTCTGTTGATAACTTGTTTCTGTGTCTGGGGCTATCGCTTGGACTGGAATGACTAAGAAATACAAAAGTGCTAGTGATAGTGGTTGGTGGTGGTGGGAGAGAGACGAGACGACGACGGCCGTCAGGAAGCCTAGTGCTTCTTCTCCTTTGGCCAGTTGATCTTTTCATGTCCGTCGTCATCAAGCGAGGGATACTTGATGTGGGGGCATTCGAGCACCTCGTCTTTCGTCAGCGCCTTTGCTTCTAGGTAGTTGTTCGTGGCACCATATACGGCAGTGACATCGCCCTTTTTGGCCACCTTGTTGGGCTTGGGAGGCGAGGGGCAGGCCTGGCAGGGGCATCCGCATTGCAGCTGGGAGCGGTCAAATTCGTAGGTGCCACAGTGAGAGTCCAGCAGGCAGACTATGCGACAGACGGGCGGAGGAATGGCGATCCTCTTTTCCTGCTTAGTCTCGTCCGTCGTCGAATAGGCCGAGGGCGGCGACGAGGGCGGCGACGAGGGTTGCAGCGGCGTCGAATATTTGGAGGGGCATTCGATTGGTTTGGCCTTGCGGTGGTCGATGACATTGGGACCGTAGCATACCCCGCTGCAGTTCTGTGACGTCGTGTTGGGAAAAGAGATCAGTGAGGAGCGGAGCTTTGATCTGTAAGTGATGCGACTCACCTGGGCGATGAGACTGCACTCATCAGGAGACATGACTGCTGTGCAGTCACGGTCGGGCGGCGAAATGACGGTGAGGCAGTGGACGTATGAATGCTGTGGCAGGGCCAGGCTGGTGCCAAACAGGCACAGGACGACGACGGAGAGCTTCTTCAGCATGATCGACTTCATCCTGAGGGGGAAAGCGGTGATTGTTGAGCTGTGTGAAGGGCGGGGGTCCGGTCCAAAACAAAGCTCAACCTTAAATAAGGAACCGTGGCTCTGTCCCTTCTGGGTTTCGCGCACAGCTCCGCCATCGGAAAACACGCCGGGGGCGCGGGCCGTCATCCGTCACCCTGCCCCATTTGGCACCGTGGAGAGAAAGAAGCCCAGCTGCAATTGCGCACGCGATTACCGGTCCCTGGTAGACTCGGCCTATCTGGTTCGAGGGGCAACCTCAAGAGAGCGGGGCTAGGTGCACGGAAGGTCAGAGCCCCGCGGAGGAGCTGGGTAGCATTAGTGTGGGTTCCAGAGTGGTTCGATGGTTCCTGCGAGTCGCAGCGACGGAAAAGGATCAATCTGTGTTGGTTCTGAGGAATGTGAGTGACAGCACTTCTGTCATGACTCGTGACGGATTTACTCCCCCTAGTGACAGGATTGGATTAATTATTTTTCGGGTCATTGATCGCTCGGTCCTTTTCTCGGGAGTGAAGAAGAATTCGGGAGAAGGCGGCGTGGGAGCACCCGGACAGATCGAGAGAAGTAAAAGGACAGGAGAACAATTCGGAACCGAGTCGAGCTACTGCTACCCACAGTCTCGATTTGGCATAGACAACGTGCAATATATGTACTGTACCTGGCAAGGACTGTCAGCTTGCTGCTTCCCACCTCCCGAGTCTGCGCATCCTTGCGTCTGCAGCGCTCCCGTCTAATGCCCCGCTGAAGACCTGTCAGCTCGCGGTCAGCAGTAGTATATGAGCGTCGGCCCAGAGCGTGTCGCAGCTGCACCTACATCTGCACCTCCCCGCTTGTCTCCTGGGAGGATGGAAGGAGCTGGGAGTCAAAAATCGTTCCACCCACTGCTTGATGCGGAAAGCCCGAAAGACGTACAGACAGGCCTCGACTGCGAAGAGGCAAGTACTGCACATTAATTGAGCGATCCCAAATACATCTTGGGTAGGCTTAGTAGTAGTAAGTTTACTTGTAGGTGTCGTGACAGTGCTATTTGTAGCTAGTAATGGGCAGGGGGTAGTTAGTAGTAAGGTAAAGATCGGAGGAAAAGCCACTGGAAGAGAAAGCCAAGGACCGACCTGCATGACGTGAGGCCCAGCCGCCTGCACGAAGTTTCAGCGAAGGCTGAGCAGTCAAAATGGTAGAATATGTCACAATTATTAGACCGATTAATGATATATCCGCCTGGTTTCCATGTAATTTCCTCCCGAGACGTGCAGATCCGATTTACCAACAAGACGCCCTGCAGCTTAGAGGTTCAGAGAATTGTAAAATGTAGAGCCTGGGCCGGGTTCCACCCTGCATGCATTTGCATCGGTGCTCGACGGTGCCATCCACCTGCGACAGTCGCTGAAGCTGACAGGATGCAACAACGACCTCTGACTTGCGTGAGAAGTGGCTTGACTATTCATCGCCCGCTTTCGTCTTCTATGCCCAGGCGTGTTCTCCTGTCGGGTGGTCGCTGTGTGGGACATGTTGAGGCATATAAAGAGGCCCATGAAAAGGGGGACTCCTCTGATCAGCATCATCGTTCCAGCTCCCTGACCTTCCTCCGACAACAATGTTCTCCCACACAGCCTCGCTCCTCGTCCTCGCCCTCTCCGCCATCGCGCGTGGACAGCTGACGATCACGCAGGCTACGGCCGAGGATGCCGCCAACAGCCTCTTTGGCGAAAGCTACGATCTGGGCACCATCACCTCGGCCGGCAACGCCGCCCAGATCGGTACCTTCAGCGGTGGTAATGCAGCCGGCTTCGGCATCGACTCGGGCATCATTCTCTCGAGCGGCAGTCTGACGGGCGTCAGCGACGACTACGGCGGTGCCGGTGACTCGTCGATTGCATACTCGGTCGACGCCGCCTCGATCGTGACGACGATCCAGGCAAAGGCAACGTCGAACCGTGACTTGGCGACCTTCGGCTCCGTCTTCTGTACGTGCGAGAATGCTGCCGGTACTGATTCGTTCAACGAGCGTGCCCAAGTGCTGCTCAACAACGAGATCGTCTACGACCGCCAGCGCGGCGTCGAGGACACGCGCCCGACGGGTCCCTTTGGCTTTGCCGCTGGAGACGACGTCGCCTACCAGGGTGGACCGTGCAAGTGCTCGCCCGTCGCCAACTTCAATCTGCCCCGACCCTCGACACCCACCGACCTCAAGGTCGTCATTGCCGACACTGGTGATGGAAGCTTTAACTCGTGGATCTTCCTTGGCTTCGTCGGCTTCCAGGACCTGGACGTCGTCTCGACGACGCTCACCACCACGGCCGCTACGCAGACGGCGACGACGACCGAGACAACAACGGCCACTGAGTCTACCACCACGGCCACGACGACGACGCTCACGGCCCTGACGACGCTGCCTGCTGTCACAAACACCGTCACTGCGGCCACGTCGACGGTGACGGCCGTGAACGCCGCCTGCACAAACTACGTCCTCCAGTGTGAGTTTTTCTTTTTTTTTTTTTCTCTCCCCAGAATCTTGTCCAAGATCTCGAGCTCATCTCTCTTTCCCTATCCACAGTCGAGGCCAACTGCTGCCCGCGGTCGCTGTGCAAGAAGAAATCGACGCTGCCGCACCGACGCCAGGTCGACCTCGCCTCGACGATCACATCCACAACGACGTTTACCGAGACGGACACGCTGACGACGACAGAGACGAGCGTGGTGCCCACGACGCTGACAATCACCGACACGCTGACCAACACCGAGTCAACGACGGCGACAGTGACACCCACGCCGTCGACGTCAACCTTTGTGCCCGTGGCCACAACGACGGTGTGCAAGACGGTCAAGATTCCCAAGTTCATCTGCCCGCGCTCCCTCAAGGCCGCGTCGCTGCTCTCGGCCGCCGAAAAGGCCTTCCTGGACTTCTACGCAAAGAGCCGGCCAAAGAACGCGCCCCAGCTCGAGGTCCACTGCGACAACGACAAGCAGGTCTACCTGTACCCGTGATCCCTCGCTCTTCTCTGGCCCCACCTTCTCTGCCCTCCCTCCCTGTGCTTGTATTGGCCCCCGTCTGCCTCTCCATCTTTGGCTCGCATCTGTTTGTAGCCTCGTTGATACCAATCTGCATTTCACATTTTCGCGCACACACACACATAGTCTGCATGCTTGAGACGGACAATCAATGACCAATGACGTGAGAGAGTGTGTAATTGTTAGTTAGTGAAAGAGAATATGTGCTGAATGAGTGAACGAATGAGCGTATGTGCACCCCCGGGGATATGCTATGTACAACCAGTGGAGGATTGAGTATGGAGGATGGAGGATGGAGGATGGACAAGGGAAAGAGAGTGTGATGATGAATCACGGCTCGAGGCGGTGCGAGATGCGCGTCATCTGCTCGCCCTGGAGGCAGCGGATCTTGAGAGCCTTTACGAATACGCCGGCGTCGGCCTCGAAGCGGAAGCCGGCGGCCTTTTCCTGGAAGGCAAGCACCGTCTTGACGGTGACGGCCTTGCTCCGGTACTTGTACAGGTTCACAAGTGGGCGCAGCGGCCGCGCGCTCGGCGGGAGCGGGGCGAGGTCGTCAAAGGCGTCGGGCAGCGCCAGCTGGGCCAGCGGCTCGTTTGCCGACGCGGGCGGCGACGTGGGCGCCGGGGGCGCGACCGACGACGGGTCGAGGAGCGTGGGCAGCGCATCAGCCGCCTGGAGATCCGAGATGAAAAGACCGAAAAAGGGCACACAGGCGCCCTCGTGGATGCGCGGCTTGCCTCTCTTCCCATCGCCGCTGCCGGCGTCGTCCGTCGCCACTCCCGCAGAGCTTGATGAGGAGGCTGCTGCTGCTGCTGCTACTGCGCTTGACCCTGGCTGCGAATGGGAGCGCGCGTGGGAATGCTGCAGAGGCGAGGGAGACGAGGCCGAGACCGTCGCCGTCGGCGCAGCGCCCCGCATGCGCGGTGGCCCCGCCGAGGTGACGAGGTCCTCCATCTTGCCGTCAATGACCATGGCACGCATGGCCTGGCGCAGGTGGCGGAAGTTGCGGGCAGGGTTGATAAATGCCTTGAGGTCGCGGAGCATGCGCATGTCCTGCATCCCCACGCGGCTCCACGACTTGCGCAGCCGCTCGACCCACGGCGACTGGAGGCCGACGATGATCTGGGTGAGTGTGGCAAAGTTGCAGTGCTGGTAGCACTTCCACGCGATCCGGATCAGCTTCGACAGCACCGCCGCGCGCTCGCCCACGCCCTGGGTGAGGACGACCTCGCTGGCGACCCAGTTGCACGTGAGGTTGAAGCGCGCCGTGATGGCCTCGACGGCCGACTGCTCTGCTGCCTGGTTGCTGTTGTTGTTCAGAACCTTGGCACGGACGCGCGACTGGTGGAAGGCCTCCCAGTCGAGGACCTCCTGGTGGTAGGTCTTGCTGCGCCACATGTCCGACGCGAGCTCCTGCCACGTGACGTTGCGGAACAGCTCGGCCTCGATGATGGTAAACTGCTGGGCAATGACCTCGGAGCGGTGGCCGAGCAGGAAGGAGCGGTGGACGGGCGCGCCGAGCTGAGCAAAGGGGCCCTGCTGCAGAAGCGCCTTCTGCTGCTGCTGGTCCATCGCTCCGTCGCGGCGCTGTCCCCAGGGCGTGGGTGGGCCATCGAGGACGTTGCCCTGGCTGGCTGGCCGCTTTGTCCGGATCGGCCTCTTCTTCGACTTTGTTGTTGCTGCTGCCGCCGCTGCTGGTCTGAGCAGCTTCTCGCGAGGCAGCTCCTGCTGCTGCTTGACCGTCTCGGCCACGTGCTCCTCCTCCTTGGGGCGCTCCTTGGCCTCCTCCTCCTGCGCCTGCTCGTGGATCACACTGGCGCGCGACACGGACGGCAGCTGCCCCTCCTCGGCCATGGGCTCCATGGACCCACGCGTCGTCGTCGAGGGCGCGAGCGTGTGCCGCTGGAGCTGGTGGCGCGGCAACTGCTGCTCGCGCTCGCGCTGCCGCTGGCGCTCCTGCGACTGCTGCCAGATGCGCTCGACGCGGCGCTGGCGCTCCAGCTGCTTGTCCTTGTCGATGAAGCCCTCGAGCCGGCGCAGGGCCGCCTCGACGTCGCCCGGCTCGTCGTCGTCGCTGTCCGGCAGGGCATCGAGACGGAAGCCCTTGACGAGCTCGTAGTGCTGCAGGTGCTCGTCGGGGTCCAGCATCTCCGTCTCGACGAAGCCAATCTTGGGCGGCTGCTGCTGGGCCTCCTGCTGCTGGGCCTGCAAGAGCTGCAGGTACGACTGGCCATCGTGCTGCTCGGAAAACGTCGACGCATACGAGGCTCGCTGCTGCAGCTGTGGATGCTGGTGGTGGTGGTGGACGACGCTGCCAAAGTTGGACACGCTGCTGCCGCCGTCGAGGCTCGGCTGGCGCTGGCCGAGGTCGTGGACGTGGTTGGCCATGCGGAGGTCGCGTGCACCCGGCAACCTGCGCAGTGCACGCCGCACCATGCCGTCGTCCTCGTCGCTCGACAGGTCCACGTCGTCGATCTGGACAATGTTGGGGCCCATGCCGCTGCTCCCGCTCCGTCTTCGCAGGCTTGCCCTGTATGCGGCGACGCCACCCTGCCTCGGCTGGCCGCTTCTGCTGCTGCTGCTGCTGCTGCTGCTGCTGCCGAAACCACCACCGCCGCCGCCGCCGTTGGCAGTGGAGACGGAGCGGAGCGTCTGGTCCGACGTCGTGTGGTGCAGGCCCTCGTGGCTGTCGAGCTGCGGCTGGTAGTGAGCCTTGCCGGCAATGAGGCTCGGCAGCTCCTCGGGCGCTTCGAAAGTCGACGAAAACGCGCGTGGCTGACCACTGTGTCTGTGAAAGAATTCATCGTCGTCGTCAAGGTCGCCTCGTGCAGCGGGCTCGTTTTCGCCGCCACCCAGGAGCGACTTGCGCAGCTCCTGGCTCGCCTCGGGGCCCAGGTCGAGCGAGCTGGCAGGGGTGCTGCCCGACTGCTTGTCGCTCGTCGCACTCAGGCTCGGCGTCGTCTCGCCCTGGTCGGCAATCGACGGGCTGCCCCCCTCGTCGGCCTCGTCCATCTGCTCGCCTGCGCCTGCAGTCTGCATCGGCTTGCTTGTTGTCGCAGCCGCAGCAGCAGCAGCACTCGGCGAGAGACCGAGGTCAAAGTGGCTGATAAAGTGCTCGAGGCCGCCGCGAATAAAGAGGAGGTCGCCGCTGTCGGTGGCTTCAAACTCGAGGCCATCGAAGCCGCTGTTGTTGTTGCTGCTGCTGCTGCCGTTGCTGCCGCCTGCGCCACCACCTGCACCCGAGCCATCGTAGCCACCGCCGCCGCCTCCGCCTGGGCGCATGGTGACCCCCGGCGTGCCCAGGGAGCGCTTGAAGCGCGACAGGCGGCCGACGGTGTTGACAAAGACGCGCGAGAGGGCGCTGTGCGACGACGGCAGCGGCGGCGGCACGTGGAGCTGGTGCTGCGCTGCGCCGGACCGGTGGGGCCTCGAGGAGGCGCGCTCGTTGACAATAATGTCGTCGAGCGACGAGGCATCGCTGCCGCTCCTGCGCTGCTGCTGCTGCTGCTGCCCATCTCTTGCCGCTGGCGCGCTGTGCTCGTTGTTGCCACCGCCATCGCCGAGCAGCTCGAGATCAACGCTCTGGCCGGCTAACCTGACGGGGCCGCTGCCATCATCGAAAAAGGCGCCTTCCTTGGCCGAGCTGACGATGGGCGACTGGTCCGGAAAGCCGGAGAGGCCGGAGAGGCCGGAGAGGCCAGACAGGCCAAGGAGCGTGTCGGTCGACGACTGCTGGTAGTGGGCCTTGAGGCCGCGGACGACCTTCTTGAGGCTGCGCACCGTGTCGATGTGGACGCGGCCGGCCTGCGATGCATCGCGGCTCTGGCGCTCGAGGCCGTTGAGCCAGTCGACGAGCTGGCGGCGCAGGGCGCGGTCGGGGACAAAGTCGACGTAGAAAAAGTGGTTGAGCCACCACTTGAGGACGGCATAGGTGCGCACACGCACGACCTGGCGCCGCGTCGCATCGACGGCCGTGCGTGCGGGCGCCATCGCCCACTGCAGCCGGGCACCCAGGAGGGCGAGGACGTGGCTGGGGGACGTGTATGCGCGGTAGGTGTAGAAGAAGTCGGTCTCGAAGCGGTGGTCGATGCGCGAGGTGAGCTCGGCAATGATGTAGGCCGTCGAGGCTGCGACGAGAAAGGGCCCGTCGTTGGGAAAGAGAAGCATTGAATGCGCCAGCTCAGCCTCGCTCGCCGCCTTCTTCGACTGGCCTCGCTCGGCAGCAGCGGCAGAGGACGATGACGACGAGGATGATGACGCTGCAGGCGAGCTGCGGTTGTCGTCGCTGCCGAGGGAGCCGCGCACGCTCCAGCGCTTCCCTCCTCCTCCCTCGCGCGGGCTCTGGCTCGCTGCTGATGAGGGCGTTGTTGGCGTCTGCGTCTGCGTCTGCGTCTGCTGCTGCGCCTGCTGCTGCTGCGCCTGCTGCTGAGACAGCGCGCGGGCCTCAAAGCCGCTGCGAGCACTGAAGGCGAGCGCCTCGTCATCGTGCGGGCTGCGCATCGCCCAGAGCGAGAAACGCGGGTCGTCGCCGGGGAGGGTGAGCCGCGACGTGTCCTTGAGCTCGCCGTCGGCGTCGTCGTCGTCCTGCTCCGAGTCGCGCCGCTGGGCAGGCCGGCTGGCGTGGGACCAGTAGTGCTGGACAACATCAAAGATGACCGTCTCTCCTTCCTCTCCCTCCTCCTCTTCCTCTTCCTCTTCTTTCTCCGCTGCCTCTTCTGCCTCTTCTCCTTCCTCGCCCTCGCCATCAGCGTCCGACGAGGGTGCGCCGTACCTCGCGCGCGCCGTCGCAGCCGAGTCGGCCGACTCAAACGACTGCACCTGTCGAAGATGGTGGACGCCGCCATCGTCGGCCTTGGTCTTGGTGGAAGCAGCAGCACCAGCACCAGTACCAGCACCAGCGTCGACGTCGACGTCAAAGATGCTCATGTCGGCAAACAGCGGCTGGCCAACGCCGGACATGCGCGGGATCGGCGACGTCTTCCACGGCTCCGGTGCCTTTGCGCCCACCACGGGCTGGCCAAACGGCGAGACGGAGCGGCCACTCGTGTGCTGGTGCTGCTGCTGCTGCTGGTGCAATGGCTGTGGATGCAGCAACTGCTGCTGCTGCTGCTGCTGCTGGCGCTGGCCTGGCGCTGCTGCCGATGACGAAGCCTCCGACGACGACGACGACGACTGCGAGGCCGAGGCAGTGATGCCCTGGCGGATGCCCAGGATGGCGCCGAGCACGTCGCCGCTCTCGAGGTTGGCACTGCCGCTGCTGGTGCCCGTGCGCTTCTGCTCGGGCGAGCTGCCAGACCGTGCCATCGACGGCGATGTGACGGGGCCCAGCAGGCGCGACGCCGCGCTGTCTGGCTGCTCCTTCTGACTGGCCTGGCTGGGCGACTGGTGCTGCGACGGCGACTGCTGCTGCTGCTGCGGGCCACCCACGGACCGGAGGAGGGCTGGGATGGAGCGTGACCCCTTGAGTGTCTTGAATGCCGTCGCGCCCTGCTTGCGATTGGGTCCACGAGACGGTGACGCTGCTGCTCCATCGTCGGTCTCCTGATGCTGCCGCTGCTGCTGCTGCTGCTCTTGCGTCTCGCCGCGCCACTTGAACCGGTAGCTGACTCGGCCACCCGGCATGCGTCTGGCCGTGATCTCAAATGGCGTGCCCACGCCCAGGTCCTGCTCCTCGTCGCTGCCCAGGCCGATGCCAAGACCGAGACCAAGGCCTGCTCCTGCTCCTGCTCCTGCGCCTGCGCTTGCGCCTCCTTCTCCCGCGCGAGAAGTGCTGCTCGCCTCGGTCTCATCGAGGCTCCGCAGCTGGATGCCGTAGCTGGCCGCAAGCGACGAAATCGCCCTCCAGTTCGTCGTCTCGACGTCGGGCATCCGCGACTGGTCCATTTTCGATTTCTTTTGTCTTCTTTTATCTCTTTCTCTCTCTCTTTTCTTCCAGTGCCACGATCAGTGGTGGTATCGTCGTGCCTCGTCGCAGCCGCACAATGCCGGCATCGTTGCTCGTCTCGCGGGCGTTCCTTGGTTGCTCTGCTCTGCTCTGCTCTGCTCTCGCTACTCGTCGCTCCTTCCTTTGCCGATTTGCCCCTTTGCCGTTTCCCCGTGTGTGGTGTTGTGCAGAGATGTGGATGGATGGATGCCGGCCGTCGCTGCTGCTCAAGAAGCCCCTTTGCCCGGTGGAGACAGACAGACAGACAGACAGACAGACAGACAGACAGAGGGAAGATCCACGGCAAAGCGCGTGTGCGTTTGTGTGCGGCGAGCGGGCGGCCTGCCGTGCGGGCGTTCTCGACTCTGGGCCAGAAAAAGAGAGAAAGGGAAAGTGAGCCCAATTTGCAACACGTGGGTTTGCGACGGGGGGCGGACGCGACCGCGCGGGACGCAGCTTTCATTCATCCTTTCGTCCGCTCTCTCGCACGGCTGGCTGTGTGTGTGTCTCACTCAGTCTCTGCGCTGTTTGTGTCTCGCGATGTGGCGTGATGTCGAGCTTGTCCGAGTGCCACTCTTCATCTCTCGACTGCTTCAACTCTCTCTTCTCAGAATTGTATAAGGATCACAGCGTAGTGCACGCTGTCCTCAATGGGATGCCCACGGTGGCTGAAAAGGACCCCGAATGAATCACGTGAAATGGCGCGCCTTTTTTTCTTTCGCGCGCGCGCTCGCCCGCTCGCACAGCCAAGACCTGACTGACATGCACGGACAGGGGCTAGTTCAAAGACGCGGTTAATTATTAAGGATGGCGTCGCTCCGTGGCCGGAGCAAAGAGGGCGCCACATGGCGGGCGGAAGGGACAAGAGATAGCGAGCCACGATGGTCGGGGACACCCCTGTGTGCGCAGCGCAGCGCAGCACAGCACAGCCAAGCCAAGGCCAGGGTTCCGGTCAGTCGTCTTCGATATAGCCTCCTCGCACCGCATGAACCATATCATCGGGCCATAATGTTTCTTTGCAAATTCGATGAGACTGTAGACTAATGCCAATGGGTCTAGGACTACTATTTATTCTATTTTATCTATTTATTTTATTTCGTTTCCCTTCTGCTCAGGGGTCCGCCGACGTCAAACAACGCAAGCACTAGCCCGACGTCGCGGTCCGGTTTGCCCTTTATTGATTTCGCAGCTTCGACCCTCATTTCCGACCGACAGAAGCAGGGTCAGGACAGGAGACGGAAAGAGAGAGAGAGAGAGGGGTCCAGCGGGCGACAACGACTACGACGACGGCTCCGACAACCAATACCCTTCTGTCTTCTTGGCCGTGACTCCTTTCAACCTCAGCTCCCAGTCTCGATCTCGAGGGACCATTGGCGGACGGAATTAGGCCGCTCATCCATCCATTTGCTGCGACTGGCTTGCTCATCGGGGCGCGCTGAGATGCGAGCGTGAGGCCCACGATCCAGACCTGATCGATGGAGGAATCATCCAAGGTGACCACGACGACAACCACAGCAGCAGCAGCGATGGACGCCTCTGCCTCGTCGTCGGGCTCGTCGGGTCCCCCGTCGACGGCGCCCTCGTCCTCGGCAGGAGCGAGGAGCACCTGGGCCCGGAGCAACAGCAGCAACAGCAACAGCAACAGCAACACCACCAACACTACCACCAGCAGCCGGCCCTCGTCGGTCGCGTCGAGCTCCTCGTCGTCGTCGATGGGCGGCGGCGGTGCGCACCTGGCCGCGTCGCCTGGCCTGCTCTCGCCCTCGCTCGCCTCGGCCCTGGGCATCGGGCCCAGCTCGCGCCGCCGCGGCTGCTCGCCCCACGGCCGCTCCTCGCTCCAGCCGCGCGCCCACGCCCTCGCCCAGGGCCGGACGCGCGGCGAGCAGCGCATGGATGCCGAGTCATCGTCCTCATCGTCCTCGTCCTCGTCGTCGCGCCGGCCGAGCCTGCCTACGATGCCGTCGATGGTCAACCGGGTGAGCATGATGAGCGTCGCCTCGTTCGAGTCGCTGCCCGAGGGCGAGAGCGTGCCGAGCTTCGCGACGCCTGCCTCGCCGTCTTCGTCGTCGTCGTCGTTTGCCTCGTCAGCAGCAGCAGCAGCGGGGCCCGACGACCCGCTCGCCCACCGGCGGGGCGCCAAGCTCAAGCGCTCCTCGACGGAGCCCACGCCCGTCGTCGCCCGCTCGGCCGAGGAGCGCGCAGCCAAGCTCGAGAAGCGCCGGCGCGTCGCCATCGAGCTCCTCGACACGGAGCGCGTCTTTGTGCAGAGCCTCCGGCTCATCAATGAGGTGTGTTTCTTTTCCGTCCTTGCATCTTGTTTTCGCCTGGCTGATCTTCTGTCTTCCTCAGAACTACTACCAGCCGCTGCTCGCGCGGAGCAGGGCAAGCGCGACGGCAAAGGCCTCGACGCCGCTGCTCTCGCGAAAGGCCCTCGGCGAGATCTTTGCCAACTTTGCCGACATCCTCCATCTCTCCCAGGAGCTCCTTGCCCGCCTCGAGGAGCGCATGGGCCGCGGTTGTCGCAGTGACGAGGAGGAAAGGGAGATTGACAATGCCGCCGAGACCGACAAGGACGACGAACCGAGCCAAGGGAAGAGCGCGAGAACACGACCACCACCACCGTGGGACCCCGAGCGCGACCGGCTCGGCGACGTCCTCGTGCCCGTCGTGCCGTTCCTCAAGATGTACTCGCTGTACGTCAAGAACTTCAGCAGCGCGCTCCAGCGCATCGAGGCCGAGCGCCGCACCAACGACGCGTTTGCGCGCTGGCTCAGAGACACGGAGCGCGCCGCCTGGGCGAGCCGGGACGCGTTTGGGTTCGGCCTCGGATTCCAGGCCCACCTGCTCACCGTCGTCCAGCGTATTCCGCGCTACCGCATGCTCGTCAGCGACCTCGTCAAGGCCACCCCCGCCGACCACGCAGACCGGGCCGACCTGGCCAAGGCCCTCGATGTCGTCGAGCACGTGGCCGCATACATCGACGACAACATTCGCCAGCATGAGGTTGTCGTCGCCATGCTCGGCATCCAGCGCTCCCTCGCTGGACTGCCCGAGCCCCTCGTCGTGCCTGGCCGCTCGCTGCTGCGCCGTGCGACGCTGCTCAAGGCCTGCCGCAAGAATGTCCAGCCGCGCGAGTTCTTTCTCTTCAGCGACTGCCTCGTCTACGCCTCGCCAGCCGGCCAGGGCAGCATCGACGCTGCGTGGCACGTGCTCCTCTCCCCGACGCAGCCGCTGCCACCGACGCAGTCGTCGCAGTCAAAGGCTACTGCTGCTGCTATTCAACCACCGTCGCCCTCCACGAACCACCTCGAGCGCATGGCCAGGCCACGCACCACGTCGTCGCCAAGCCCCTTCACCGAGGCCCGGCGCCTCTCGGCCGTGCCCTTTGACGGCCAGCAGTGGAACTTTCGCGGCAAGTTTGCCCTCCAGGACCTCACTGTCGTCGGCGTCGACGACTCGGCGAGCCCTGATGCATGGCTGCGCCACTCGCTCGAGATGCGCACGCCCAACAAGAGCTTTGCCGTCTATGCCGAGTCGCGCGAGGAAAAGGAGCAGTGGCTCGATGCCATCCGCGACGCTCGCGACGAGTGGCTCGCCCGCCGCCGCACGCTCCAGGCCGACGAGGACTCCATCGAGGCCAAGCGCGAGCGCCGGCGCAGCCTGTACAATGCCCGCCACCAGCAGCAGCAGCAACAGCAGCATCTTCATGCCGTCGTTGCGTCGCCCTCGGCGTATGCGGCCATCCCCGAGGCATCGGTGGCAGAGTGGACCAGGCCGGCCTCGCTGCCGCCCCAGTCGCCCTCGATGGACTTCCAGGAGCAGCAGCAGCAGCAGGCCCTCCTCAGGGCCTCGTCGCCACCGCCGCAGTCGCCGTTGCATGCGCCCCTCCTCTTCTTTGGCGGTGGTGGTGGCGGCGGTAGCAGCAGCGGCAGCGGCAGCGGTGGTGGCAGCGGTGTCGGCGTCGGTGACGGTGTTGGCCGTGACGGTTCCGGTTCCGGTTCTCGCAGCGTCGTCGGCCGAGGACCAGGCAACCTGCGCATCCTCGAGGACTACCAGGCGCCCGTCTGGGTGCCCGACAGCCGCGCCGACCGGTGCATGAACTGCAGCGAGGCGTTTGGCCTCTGGCGCAGAAAGCACCATTGCCGCCTCTGTGGCCACGTCGTCTGCTATGCATGCAGCGCCCACACCTTCCTCATTGCCAGCTACGAGGAGGGCCAGGAGGACCGGCCGGCGCGGGCGTGCGACAGCTGCTACCACTCTGTCTTTCCCGATGCCGCCAACGACGACGAGGGGCAGCCTGCGCTGGCTGCTGAAGGAGAGGAGGAGGACGAAGAAGAAGAAGAAGGAGAAGAAGAAGAAGAACACGAGGACGAGGGCGTGCTCAGCAGCAGCAGCAATATTCACAAGGTCGACTCCGACGCCAGCTTCTCGTCGCCCGCCACGCCCATCGAGGCCTCGCCCCTCCTGGGCCAGCCGGACCACGACGCCGAGCTGCCGCCGTCGGACTCGGAGTCGTCGGCGATGCTCAAGCTCTCGGCCGAGACCCTGCGCCCGGTCGCGCCCACTGCCAATGCTGCCAACGCTGCCAACAACACCACCACCACCGCCGACGGTGCTGCGGTCACTGGGTCGCCAAAGCGGCGCAGCATCGCCAGCAGCCGCCCACCGCCGGCACAGCTGCCACGGCCAAAGACGGCGGCCGCCAAGGCCCAGCTGTTTGCCCCCGAGTACTACCACGCCTTTCCTGGCGCACGCTCCAGTACCACCACTGCTGAAGGAGGCGCACTCCACCGCGGCCTGCTGAGCCCGCAGGTGCAGGCGGCCACCAGCGGCAGCGGCACCTTCCGCCTCGTCACGCCGCGCCTCACCACGCCCACCGACGAGGCCAGTCCCCGCGGCACCGCTGCCTCCGGCCCGCAGCCGGGCAAGGATGGCTCCTACTTTGCAGGCGTCGAGCCAGGCTCGGACCAGGTCGTTTCGTCGCATCAGCAGCTGCCCCTGCATCGCTCCAGCGCGGACAACACCAGCGGCAGCCCGAATGCGGCGGGTGCCGCCCAGGCGCACCTGCGCAAAAAGAGGCCTCTCCTCTCGGCAAAGGCCCGTCTCTCGACGGTGTACAACCTCAGCTCGCCCAACCTCGCTGCGCTGGGTGGAGCTACCCCCTCTTCAAGGACGCCCGGCTCGTCTACGCCAATGTAATCATCCTCCTCCTCGATACCCCTGTCTCCCTCTCTCTCTCTCTCTTTCCTCCCATTTACTGCAGTACATAACTCTCTATTAATCCTCTGTCTCGTCCTTTTTTCCTTTTTCTTCCTGTGCATGTTGCCAACACCACCACCACCATCTTTTTCCTGTCCATCTTCTCGGCCACACATCAGCAATCCAAAACACGCACATGCCGCTTGCAAATCACGCTTGAAAGTGGGACAATTTGAGTCAGACGAAGCTTTTGATTGGAGTGTGACACTTGATGGAGAGATAGTGAATGACATGAGAGACAGATGGGGAGAGGAACGGGGCGAGGGGGAGAGAGAGAGGAGGGGGAGGAATTAGAGCGCCGTCTCCATGCCCGTCTCGGCGGGGTTGCCCTTGGGCAGACCCTCGGGCTTGCCTTCGGGCTTGGTCGTGGGCTTGGTCACGGGCTTGGCCTCGGCTTCAACCTTGGGCTTGCGCTTTGGCTTACGCTTGGGATTGGGCTTGGTCGTCTCGGTCTTGAAGCCACCCTTCTTCGTCATCGACATCGTCGCCAGGTTGCTGCCGCCCGCCTGCTTCTCAGCACCCAGCTTCTTCGCCTTGAATCTACTCGCCTAGCTTGTCTGCATCCTCGTTGGAGACCGTTTCTGCAATGGCAGCTCGCCCTGCAGCCCGCGCTTGTGGACCATTGGCATTGCGTTGACTTCAAATTGGCTGCGCTGGCGACGGGAACAACCAAGGCCACACTTGCCCGAGGAAAAAGGAGGAGTACCTGCCACCATTCGCTTCTGCAGCCGAGCACCGCCAAGGGGGCGCTTAGTGACGAGATAGTCGGGAGCAGCCATCGCACGCTTCTCCATCTGGATGCCAGAAGCTTCCGCAGCCTCGCGCTTGCCGTTCGTCTGGCTGGCACCGTCACTGGCGAAGCAGCGTCCACCTCCCTGGGCATTGCACGTCACCGAGCGCTTCTCGACCCGTTCGCCTTCCTCCTCTTCCTCTTCTCCTTCTGGCTTGGTGGCCGCTTCTTCGTTGGGAGCATGGTGCGCTTTGCTCTTTCCGCGTCCGGGGTAGACCTCCGGCTCGACGTTGCGACGCTTGAGGGGTCCGTCGAGATTGTCAGGGTCCGACTCGTCGCGCCGACTGTAGTAGTCGGATTCGGCCTTCTTGTGGCAATTGCGATCGTGCGTCGAGCAGCCGTCGCTGTGTCTGCTGCCGAACCGCCACCTCTTTTCGAGCTGCTGTGCAGGCTCGGACTCGGACTCGGCGGTGCGACGGAGCAGATCGAGATTGGCCTCGGTCAGCGGCGCCACGCCGGCGACGTCGCGAAGCTGCATCTCGCGCACGCTATTCATGTCGGTGATGCGGTCCATGTTGCGACGTTTGCCCATGTCCAATCCCACCGAGCGCTTCTCTACGGGCATAGGGCCGGGACCGCCCCATTCTGCGGGACCGTACTCACCCACGGCCCTTGGCTCGATGCTCCGCTTTCCGTGGTGGCGCGGGCGGCCCCATCTACGGCCCGCTTCGCTCCCGGACTTGTGGCTGCGTCTCTCCAGCTCGTCTTCTCCCTCGTCTTCGGCAAAGGCGTCGTGCTCGCGGGGCTCATGAGGGTCAAGTCCGCGCTTATACATGCCACGACTGCGGCCCATCCCGCCGTGGCTGTCGATGGAGTTGGGGCTGTAACTGCCGCTATTGTGGTAGTGTGGACCGTGGGAATGGTAGTCTCGCTTGGCAGGTGGGGCCTGCACCTCGTCCGTCAGGCCGCGCCTGCCGAGGAAGGGCCGGACGTGCGTCTCAAAGAGATCCCGTGCCTGCTGATGATGATGATGATGCTGACGAGGCTGGCGGTGCTGGTGCTGGTGCTGGTGGTGCACCTCCGTGGGCACGTCAAAGATGACACCGTGCGCCGTCAGCGGGCTGCGGATGCTCACGGCGTCGTCGTCGAAGTCGTCTTCATCGAAAAAGGCATCTTCATAGTCATAGTCGTCGTTGTCGTTGTCGTGATCCTTGCCTACGGCGACAAAGTCATAACGGCGCGGCGACTCCTGACCAAGAGAGAGGCGGTAGAGGCTGCGGCGGGCGACGGCGAGGTCCTCGTCTGCCTTGTCGGCCACCAGACTGCGACGGGCGAGACTGGCGGCAGCAGCAGCGACGGGACTGGCAGGGGCCGATGCGCGGCGCCTGAACAGGTCACCCCTCATGTCATTGTCGTTGGGACCCTCGTCGCCGTCGACGTGCTCGTGCTCGCCCTTTGACTGAGGCTGACCGAAGTAGTGCAGCGCCTTCTTGTCGTGCGGCTCGGGCTCGGGCTCGAGTCCGGTGAGATGAGCTCGCTTCGTGAGCTCAATCTCGTCATTCTCGCAGTCGTCCTCCGCTTCGGTGGTCTGGTGCTCGGGCATGACGACGGCGACGACCGTCGACGACGTGGACGTTTGCGGCTGAAGACGAGGAGGCGAAGACGGTGGACTGCCGCCGGCCTGGCCAAAATTGGCCAAGTGGCCCTTGCTCGTCGTGCCAAACGAGCCGTCAGTCTTGCGCCAGACGATCCACTTGCTGTCGGGCGATCGCGAGGTGGGGCTGCCGCTGCGGTAGTGTACGCGGCTGCGGTGACCAATCTTGCGTATGGGAACGCCAACGAGCGCTTCGTTCATCTCGACGCCGGGAAGGCCATTGAGGGGCACCAGGATTGTTTCGCCATGGGCATGGCTGTGGAGAGGGCCTTGCTCACGGTGGTGAGCCGGCAGCGCGAGGTGAATCACCTCCTCTTCGCCACCCAACATCGTGGGGATCGCAGCGCCCACTCCCAGAGGAACAACAAGGGGAGCATGAGGGTGATTGGGAGGAAGAGGAGGAGGAATAGGGAGCGGCTTGGCTTCGGCAATAAGCGAAGAAATGACAGATGCAGCATCGCCGTTCTGACCGCTAGAGGAAGTTGGCACCGCGGGGGCTGCCTGCACCGCAGCTGCCATGGCTAGAGCGGCCGTAGAGGCGACGGCAGTGGCCTTCTTGTTCTTCATGTCAGAAGGCCTCGTGCTTTGCTTGCGAAGTGGGGAAGATTGAAAACGAAAGGAGAAAATGTGCTCGCCAGGAGCTTTTTTCGACGAGTGTGGAAGGAGCAGGCAGGCGACCAGCGCTGGTGATTGCTCTTCTGAGGAAAGGAGGAAAGAGAGTGGCGAGTCTGCTTTCCCCAGTGGTACTTATACCATGGCCCTTTGCCACTCTTACGTGGGCTGAAAAAATAGGAATGGGCGTACCTTGTTTATTTCTCCCGTAACAGACTGCGCCCGAGCTTCAGCCGAGGAAGTGACGACATTGTCAAAGGGAGTGGGGCGTGAGGCACTGCTCGGGTCTGGGCGGGCGAGTAATGGGGCTGCATCGTCTAGGATATTTCTCACCGTGAAGAATTCGACAGGAGCGTGTCAGCCTCGTGGATCATTGTGAGCGCCTCTGCCGCTTGGCAAACAGGATCATCGTTGTGTGCCCCATTCAAGCAAGCCATGGGGCGGCCACATTGCGCTCCTTGGCATGGGTTGACCGTGGGCGACGAGGATAGAGGAGGGATACAGGGGCACCTAGATCAAGGCTTTTGCCAATATTTATGAACCGTACGGAAATCCGTACCTAGGAGAGATACGCCCCCGGAGCGTAATGCACCGCCCGCCCGTCGCCAAGCCAGGCCCCCTCAACAACCAACCAGATCGATTCGCCAGTCAGGAAGCAAGACAATGTCCAGTGACGCAACAGCGGGACCCGCATACGCAGCGCACGATCGCTTCTGCCATTCTTTTTTTCGAAAGGAACAGGCGAGCGCACATCGTTCACCATGGGCCCAGGGCAAAGGGCTTGACGGTGCGCGCGCACAGCGCGTGCTCTCGCTTTAAAATTCAAAGCTCCGTCCCGAGAAGTCGTTGGCTTTTTTGAATCGTTGTGTCGCGTGGCTTTGATTCACTCAAATGCGAGACATGTCTGGACTGGCTAGCATTTTCATTTGACCTGCCTTTTTTTTGAACGACGAGAGCCTCTGCCTCGGTCAAGCCCTTTGCATTCATTCAATCGCTCGGCTTCTGTCCGTCGCCTGCCCCGTGACATGCACACAACTGCCAGCCAGACTGGAAACCGGTCCCCCGAATGACGGACTCCTGGCCGCAGGCAGGCAAAGTCTGCCGGGTTGAATCATCTTTCCCTTTTTCCCTCAGATCATCTTGGGACTTTTGATTTATTTTGGTCCGTGACCGTTTTCCTTTTGTTTTTGTTTCTCCCAGCTGCAGGCAAGGGAGGAAAAAAGAAAGAAAGCAAAAAAAAGACAGATTTAGTCTGGCTCGCACGGCCAAGCGTGTTGCAGCCCCCCCAGTTCACCCCCTTCGTCCCCTTGTCCTTTCTTCCCTTCCCAATCGTCACTACTCTCCGTCAGACCACACGCGCTCGCCATACCCGTTGGGCTGAATCGCTGCGATTGAGGCGTGGACGAAGTAGTGCAAGTTCTCTCATGGTGGATCGACTCGCCTCGTCGGGGCGGCTCTGAGACGGGGGCACGTTGCCCCAGTCAAGTCGCGTCAGCCATCCTTCTCTCTCCCCTCGTTGCCCCTTGATCCCCCGGCCCTCTCCCTGCTTTTTGCCCCTCCTTCTATCCCTCTCTCCTCGTCGGAGGACTCAGCACCATCACGCGCTTCTAGCCTCGCACGCCAAACGGCACAGGCAGCGAGGGCCTTGGCCCTCCTGTCGCCCCCACCTCTCCACAACTTCCTCTGTCGTCGTCGATCTCTCAGCATGTCGGAACCGCTGCTGGAGTCAAACAACCACCAGGCCCCATCGGGCCCCGCCTCGTCGACTTCTTCCTCATCGTCGCCGGCGCCGCCATCATCGGGAGTAGAGCCAAAGAGGAGCCCAGGCTCCGGCATTGCCCTGTCGTTTGACGAGATGCCCACGTCCAAGAACGGCGCTGGCGGGGACTGGACCACGGTCTCGTCGTTTTCCATGTCGTCGCTCCAGGACACGGCCACGGCCATTCTGGCGGCGCAGCAGCCCAACCAGCAGCTGCAGCAGCAGCAGCAATGGCCTTCAGGAGGAGCAGGAGGAGGAGCTGGCGACGGCGAGAAGGAGGGCCTGTCGAGGAGGCAGTCGAGCACAGGCCACCATGGCGAGCGGCACATGTGGACGCCCGAGGAGACGCAGGCACTCGTCGATGGCTGCAACAAGGTGAGTGACTAGCTCTAGCAGACAAGACTGCAGAGGGAAGCTGATTGTATGCGCTCTCTCTCTCGACAGCACGGCATTGGCAACTGGAAGACGATTCTCAACGACGACGACTTCAAGCCCGTCTTTGTCGACCGCACGCCCGGCGACCTCAAGGACCGCTTCCGGACCTACTTTCCCGATGCCTACCACGAGCTGTACCCCAACGCAAAGACGCACATGAGCCGGGCTGTTCGGAGCAAGAACCCCGACGGCAAGAGCATCTTTGAAAAGGGCAAGACCAAGGAGCGCAGGCCCTTTTCGGCCGCCGAGGACGAGGTGCTGCGGCGCGGGTACGAGCAGCACGGGTCGCACTGGGCCATCATTGCGCGCGACGCCGTCTTTGAGGGCAAGCGCAAGTCGACGGACCTGCGCGACCGCTTTCGCAATGCGTTCCCTAGCCTGTACGAGCAGGCGGGGTACAAGCCCCGGAGCAAGGCGCCCAAGAAGGAGCGCCGGCAGAGCAGCAGCACGTCGTCGAGCGTCGCGCAGCTGCCGCCCGAGTGGGGCGCCAACCTGGCGGCGACGCTCGCTGCCTCGTCTGCCCAGTCCGTCCTTGGCTCGTCGTCCCTGTCGCCACAGCAGCAGCAGCAGCAGCAGCATCAACAGCAAGTGCATCAGCAGGTGCAGCACCAGCTGCAGCTGCAGCTGCAGGCCCAGTCGTCTGCCCCCACGGCGATGCAGGCCCACCACCATCGGCCAGCCTACTCGTCGACAGCCTCGACGGCCTCGACGATCTCGCAGTCTGCCTCGGCCGAGGTGAGCATGAGCGAGCAGAGCGACAGCGAGTTCAGCGACTATGCCGTCGACCACCACCACCACCAGCGCCATGCCAAGGACCGCTCGGGAGGAAGCTTTGCGAGCAGCAGCAGCAACCTCAGCGCGCCCTCGCTCCAGCGCTCCCTCTCGAGCACCTCCAACGGCGCCGGGGCTGCCGCTGCCGATGCGCCGCGCCACGACCACCAGCAGGAGCTCCAGAGGCAGCAGCTGCAGCAGCACATTGGCTTCACCTCGCTCATGATGCCCGCTGGCGCTGGGCCATCGAGCAAGCCGGCAGCTTCGCCGTCGTCTGCTTCGGCAGCGGCGGCAGCAGCAGGAGCAGGAGCGGCAGGAGCAGCAGGAGCAGCAGGAGCAGCAGGAGCAGCAGGAGCAGCGGGGACAGCGATGCCAGCGACGGGGCTGAGACGGACGCAGAGCTCAAAGAAGACGTCGACAAAGGTGGCATCGCACGACATTGGCTGCGAGGCTGCTGCTTCTGTCTCTCGCTCCGCGTCGAAGCGCGCACACAAGGAGCACCTCGAGCAGCACGCAGCCGCACGTCGGTTGCAGCAGCAGCAGCGCCTCGCCCAGCAGCAGCAGCAACTACAACAACAACAGCAACAGCAGCAGCAGCCGTCGATGCAGCAGACGATGCAGCAGTCGATGCAGCAGTCGATGCAGCTTGCGGCGATGCAGGGCGCTACTCAGCAACAGCAGCAGCAGCAGAGACCGCCGCTGGAGCACAGCCTGAGTGCTGGATGGACGCCCCGCTTCACCTCGTGGCTCCAGGCGTCGAGCAGCGACGGCCAGAACGACCTGTCGGCGATGGACCTGGACCAGATGGACTCGATGATGCAGAACCACTCGGCCACCGAGCTGCTCCAGGGCACCTTTCCCTCGTCGGCCGCTGCGATGCACGCTGCCCAGACCGGGCAGACGGGCGGAGCGAGGGGCACGAAGTCGCCGACGGACGGGGAGGAGGAGGAGGAGGAGGAGGAGGCCATGAATGTCGATGGTGGTGGTGGTGTTGGTGGTGGCGCTGCTAGTGGTGCGCCGACGCGACCGCTCAGCTGGCAGGGCGATGGCGGCGGCAGCGGCGGCGGCTCCTTTGGCCCGTCGGACTTTGGCCTCGGCGCCATCCCGGCAAAGGCCCTCTCTGTCGCTTCGTTCCAGGACCTGCTCGACCCCGTCGGCAATCCTTCGTGGGCTGCAGCGGCCGCCATGGCGAGTGCGAGCCAGGGCCAGGGCCAGGGTCAGCAGCAGCAGCAGCAGCAGCAGGCTGCGCTTGCCTCGCCGCCCGAGCTCAGCCAGGGCCTCAGGCGAGACCACGAGCACAACCAGTGGGCCGGCGACCTCCTTCACCGTGGTCCGGCGGCATTCGAGGGCCTCGACTTCAACGAGGCGCCCCCGGCCGACTTTGTCAGCATGGCCTCGATGCAGCAGCAGCGGCAGCTCAACCAGCAGAATGCCAACGAGCAGCGACAACAGCCGCCGTCGCAGCCGCCTAGGCAGCAGCAGCAGCAGGGGCAGCAGCAGCGGTCGCACTCGAGCCAGCGACAGGCGCAGAACCAGCAGCAGCAGAGCCAACAGCAGCAGCAGCAGAACCAGCAGCAGCAGCGAGACGAGCGCCAGCCGCGGCCTGGGTCAGGGAGCGCCGAGCCAGGCACGCCGTCGGTGCACGAGCTCCTCAGTCGCAGCGGCGCCACGCGGCGGATGAGCAACCCACCGCGGGGCTTGCTGCCCCAGTCTGCGGCCGCCACGCTGGGCGCCAGCGCCGAGCTGAGCGAGATGATGCTCCAGTCGGCCTACCGAAACAACCCATACCCATACCCTTACTCGGCCGACGACCTCTCGCTCACCCTCTTTCCCAGCCTGGTCCAAGGATACCCGTCCACGCCTTCGGATCTGTTCGCTACGTCTGTCGGCGCCACAGCACAGGCTGCAGGCCAGACGCCGAGCCAGACTCAGGCGCCGTTCCAGGCCACCACACCCTCGTCGCCAGCGATCCGCAGGAGGCGGTCTACGGATGCGCTGGGCGAGGCCATGCTGCTCAGGAGCCAGCAGCAGAGCGACGACGAGCAGTGGAACTTTATCAGGCGCGCCCAGCAGCAGCAGCAGCTCTGGCAGCAGCAATTCCAGCTCCAAAACCAGTCGCAGCTCCCGTCTCAACCCCGGTCTCAATCGTCGCAGCTTCAGCAGGGGCGGCAGCAGGGGCAGCTGCTGCAGCCGGGACTGGACGAGATCAGGGAGCGAGGCGGCGGAGGCGGCGGCGGCAGCCACAGCGCCCGCTCGGCCTCGGTGGCTTCGCACGACCCCGAGGACGGCTCGGCTGCCGGCGGCGGCGGCACGAGCAGCACGGCTGGCAGCAGCGTGGGCGCGCTGCAGGACGACGAGGCGAACGGCGTCCTCGCCTCCTATGCCGAGTCTCTCCCCGACCTCTCGTCGACGGCCTTTGACTTTGGCCTCTCGTCGGCCAGCCAGACGGGCCCCGGCTCCACCTCGTCGTGGCCCCAGGGCAACCTGGCGCTCATGTCGTACGACGACATGGATTTGCCCTCGTTTCTGGGCCGGTCGCCAGTCCCACACCATGCGCCCCTCAGCCCGCGCGCGCTCGCCAACTCGCTCGACATCGGCGCCTGGAGCACGGCGCTCAATGCTGCCGCCGACGACCGAGGCCAGCAGCAGCAGCAGCAGAATCCAACTCAATCGTCACCCTCGACGACGTTCCACAACGGCGGCGGCAAAGCGTGGAGCGTCGAGCCCGAGTCGGGTCGCCAGGCAATGTCCACCGTCGACGCGCGTACGCCTGCTTCGGTTGCGCAGGCACCGCCCGTGTCCGACTCGTCGCACCGTGCCCAGGCGCCCTCATTGGCGTCGTCATCGTCTGCTTCGGCCTCGGCCTCGTCTGCCTCGTCGTCCTCGATCTCCTCGCGCGACCCTTCCCCTGCGCCGCCGCCGCTCCGCCAGCGCTCGTCGCTCGACCTCTCGCGCTTTGCGACGCTGACGCCGAACGACCCCAACGGCCTCTCTCACGCCGGCCTGGATGGTGAGCTGGACGACGGCGAGATGGAGGACGACGAGGCTTCAGACGACGACGACGACGAAGACGACGAGGATGGCGACGGCTACGACGAGGACGAAGAAGACGGCGAGGAGGAGGGCATGAGCGACACGGGCCATGCCCTCAATGGGCTGGAGCGCCTCTACCTCGAGCGTCTCACCAACTCCCTCGGCCGACAGGGCCAAAGCCAGGGCCAGGGGGGCCAGGGAGCGTCCGACGAGCTCGTCGCCGCCATGCTGCGCGACCGCCGCGATCGCGCCTCGGCCAGCGAGAGCGACTCCTCGCAGCAGCTCCCCGCCTGGTGGACCAGGATAGCCGAGCGCGGAGGCGCCGCGCACGACGCCGCCCGCGGCGGCTACGAGAGCGTCTGAGATCCATTCATTTGTCTATACACATACAGTAGCAGTAGCAGTAGTACCCCTTTCTTGCCACATTGAAATCGACCTTCTATCTCTACCTTGTAGAGCAAACATCTGTTCCCTCGCCATTCTGAAAGGACTGACAGAGATCAAGAATGCAAAGCAGTGCAGTACGTCAAAGCAAAGAGAGGTATACAAGTACAGGCAGGTGTGGCAGGGCGAGAGATCAGGTGTAGCGCTCAGGGAGGCAGGCGAGCATGGCGCGGCGAAACTGTGGCAGGACAGCCAGGCGCGTCCGCAGCACACTCGGCGGTCTGACCTGGCCCTCCTGTCGCGGCTCGTACCGCAGCAGTCCTCCTCCGTCGTCCTGTGTGGATGCTCGCTGCGATGCCGGAGCAGAGGCAGCAGCGGCAGGCTGGCCCAGGTGCTGGCCGAGAGGGTCGGGGACGTCAAAGTAGGCCCAGGGCACCTCGGCCATCTCTGTGCCGCGGCCGGGCACCGTCGTCCCGTCGTCGCGCGAATAGTGGCCCACGCAGCGCCCAAAGAGGCCGCCCACGTCCCGCGTCGAGGCCCGCAGCGCCTCAGAGGGCTCTGCGCCAAACAGCCCATCGTCGTCGTCGGCTGTGGCGCGCTTCCGCAGCGGGTTCGTCGGGCTCACGCTGTCGGGCCGCACGCACCGGACGGCCTGGCCGGCCCAGTCGATCTTTGTGCGCACCTTTTGCAGGCGCACGTACTCGGTCGTCTGGCGTATCTCGCCGCGCAGCTGCTGCAGTGTGTCATCTTCACCGCCGGCTGCAGCGCCTGCTGCTCGCGCCATAAGCTCGTCGAGGTCGACCTCGATGCGCTTCGCCTGCTTGTCCTGGGGCTTGGCCGGCGTCGTCGTGGCCAGGGCCATAAAGTCGAGGCAGGTCTGGCACCAGTCAAAGATGGGCTGCACCGCATCGCGCACCTCGTGCACAAACACGTACAAGCTCTGCTCGTGGCGCGCACACAGTGCGACCCAGTCCTCCATGGCGTCCTTGCCCGCAGCCTTTGTACGGATGAGGTCGTCGAGAAAGTTTTGCACGTCGAGCAGCCGGCTCGAGAGATCCGAGACGAGGGCAATGTCGTAGATGAGCTTGTAGAAGACCTGCTCGAGCGTCGTCTTGAGCACCGTGGGGATGCGTGGCCCGCGCAGCAGGTCAAGGACCTTTTGGCGGTCGCGCTTGCGCAGCGCATCGCGCAGGAGCAGCTTGAGCCGCGCAAACCGCAGCGCCTCGGGCGACACGTCTCGCAGTGAGGCCGAGGCCGACGACGTTGACGATGGCTTCGACTTGGACTTGGCGGCGCTGCGCTTCTCTGTTGCCTGCGCGCAGGTGGCGGGATAGGCCTGGTCAATGTTGGCTCGGAGCTGCGGGCTGGCGGCGTACGCCTCGTGCATCTCCTGCACGCGCTTGGCGTCGATAGACTGACTTCCGTTGCCCTTGCCGCTCTGGCTGGGGCGGTAGTGGAGCAAGACAGAGGCGAGGACATCAATGTGCTTGTCGCCGGCGAGGCGCTCGATGCGCGTGCGGTCTTCGGCGGTGCGCTCGGCCGCATACATTTCCACCGCGCGGCAGAGGCCCTCGTCTGCGATGGCGGCCCGGAGCGGCTTGAGGAGGCCGCGCTCGATGCTGGCAATCTGGGCGTCGAGGACGACAAAGCAGATGCGCTGGCCCAGCGAGTCGACATAGCCGAGCGGACGGGCGAGGACGAGGTCGATGATGGCCTTGATCATCTTTTGCGCATTGGCGATCTTGAGCAGCTGCCGCGCGCCCCTGATCGCCCAGCCCGTCGTCAGCATATACTAAGAGTCAAGAGTAGCAGAAGACGCACCAGTAGGGAAATAGACCGTGGACAGTCTTGAGGATGGAAAAGATCTCGTCGCGGCCGGCATACGTGGTGAAGACGGTCCAGAGGACAAAGGCGACATGCTGGCGGACCCACTCGGCAGCGTTGCGGAAGCGCGGCGGGAGATTGTCGAGGTGCTTGGTCTCGAGGAGCTTGAGCGTCTCGTCGAGGCCCTCCTCGGACTCGATGATGCTCTCCTTCCATGCGCACCAGTCGCGCTGGATCGCCTCGACGTGGTCCAGGCCCAGTGCCCAGAGCTCCGTTTCCTCCTTCTCGCTTTGCTTTCCGCTGCTGTCGAGGAAAAGGCCACGCACCGCTGCATTCTCCTGCTTCGTCGGCCGCACGGGATGGTCGAGGCCGCGCTTGACGGTGCCCTTGCCCCACTGCTTGCCGGCCCCGCGCCAGGGATGGGCCTCGTCGCCCTTGACTTTGCCCGGCCCGCGCGTCTCGCCCGCGCCGCGCACGCCCACGCCGCGTGCAAAGTACGTGGCCAGGTAGCGCGTGACGACGAGCGCGATCAGGCGCCGGTTCGTGTACTGGCCCCGCTCGACGCTGGAGCTGAAGCCGGCGTCGGTGGCGAGAAAGTCAAACAGGGGCGCAATCACGCTCCGCCAGTAGCTCTGCGGCGCCGTGTCCAGGCCGGGAAAGCGGCGGAGATGGACCTGGAACATGTGGCGCAGGATCACCGGTCTCGCCTCGTCGTCTCCTTCGCCTTCTTCTCCGTCGCTACCCTTGTCCGAGTTGGCCGTGTCCCGGTCGACAAAGGGCGGGCCGAAGCGGGCGAGGATGCCGGGCTGCTCGAGGAGGCCCCATTCGTGGGCCATCTGCATGCACACGAGCGTCTTGAGCAGGTAGTGGCGCTCCTCGGACGTCATTCGCTGCCCCGCTGACCCCTCCGCCTTGCCGTTGCTCTGCGCGTCCATGTTCGGTGCAGGTGCTGCGTCTGGCATTGTCGTCGTCGTCGTTGTCATCCATCCATCCGTCCGTCCGTGCGAGCTAAGAGAGCCGCGAAGAAGGGCGGGGGCCGTGGGGTTACCAAGCCAGGAAATTATCTAAAATTTCCGTCATGTCAAGCAAAGTCAGACAGATGTGTTTGTCATCTCTGATTCATCCATCGACCTGCTCGACACGCACAGAGCAAGGTGGGTTGTAGAGAGGATTTCGCAAACCTATGAACACAGGCAGGAGATAAGAGAGGGAGATGCTGGCAACAGAGCAGTGCGACTTGGGACGGCAAGTGGCAAGCAGCCAATGACGGAACCTGGCCCACGGTAAGCTGCGAAAGCAGGACAGGGTCGTGCTCAAGAGCACAAGCCAGCCCGACCACGCCACTTGTTGTTCGCTTCAGCCGGTGCGCGGACAAGGGATCAAAAACGGCTCACTTTACCGGAGCTGGACCCTTTTTTTCCCTTCCTCGCCTTTTCTATTCGCACATCGTCATCCCCCCCCTGTGCTAGCTCATGATTAATCAATCAAAAGAAGGCGCGACGTCTTCGAGGGCAAAAGTCGTTAGTGGTGGCGCTCGCTGACTTGAATGTATCCTTAGCCGGTCTCGGTCAGATCTCTGTGTCAGACTCCACTCCACATGCTACTACTACGCCGATCGGTCATATTACTCCTTTATTTTTTTTCTGCTTCTTTTGAGTGTGTGCGTTTTTCGCGGTCGTGACCCTTCTGGGTTTCAATAAAAGAGGGTCGGACCCCCTCAGGCCCGCCGTCTCGATAGTGAGAGAGAGGGCGCGCGCAAACCCCCACTCCTCGATAGATTGACGCCTGCTCTCTGTTAGCCGGGCGAACGCAAAGGAACGAACAAACGCGATGAGGCAGCCCGCGTCGATTGGATCGCTGCCCGCCGAGGCGCTGCTCGACGTCTTCAGCCACCTCGACGGCCTGTCGCTGCAGCGGGCGGCTTCAACATGCAGAGGTTTGCGGCGCTGGGCGACGCACGATGCGTGAGTGTTTCTGCTGCTGCTGCGCTTCGTCTCGCGTTGCCGTGATCACAGCTGACAAAGACATGGCATCGCGGCATCACACAGCCTCTGGCGCAGACTGACGGAGCACCACCTCGCAGCGAGCCCGCCAGCAAAGTCGCACAACGTGAGCGCCATCGTCGACGCGCCGCTGCCCTGGGACGCCGCGTTTGGCCTCGTCAGCTCAGACCTGAGCCCGGCGACGCGGGACCACTGGCCCGTCACGATGGCCGATGTCGATGCCGAGGCCGAGTACGGGCCCGAGTTTGAGCCAGGGCCTAGCGCTGGCACAGCTGCCCGCTTCGAGGGCGCACGGGGCTACCACGAGGTGTGGCTCCGCTTCGTGCGGCCCATGGACCGGCTCCTGGGCTGGTGGGCCTCGGATGCGCCCTCGTGGGGCATGGTCATTCGCATCGTCTTTGACCCCTGCCTGCCCCTGTCCGACGAAGAGGGTGGTGATGGCGACGGTGATGACAAAAGCAGAAGAACGACGCCAGCGTTTGTGTGCGAAAGAGTGCAGGCAGTGAACCGGCTGCATGGCATGGGCAAGCGTGGGCGTGGGCGGGACCGGGGGCGGGGGCGAGGAGGACACCCATCGACGACGACGACGAGCTCCAGTGTCAATGGCAATAGCACCGACACCAGCACCGAGGACGCGCGCGACGCAGGCTGGGCCGCCGTCAACTCGTTTCCCTTTGTCGAGCGCACCCGGCCCGCCGAGGACATCCACGAGTGGTTCCACTCGGTCGAGATCAGCTCCCAGGGCACCACCCTCGAGGGCCAGATCAGCGTCGACGTCGCCTTTGTCGGCGTCAAGACGGAGCGCCTGTGGGCGGCGCGGTGGTGCGACGTGCAGGCTGCGGGTGCACAGACACGGTCCAGCGATGTCGTCCGGCGCGACTGGAAGGGTGGTGGCGGTGGTGGGAAAAAGACTGGTTACAAGGCGCAGGGCGACGGCGGTGCGACGACGGTCGCCCAACGCGCCTCGCGCCTCGCCAGAGAGATGGTCTTTGGCTCCTCGGTCCGCAACGACGACGACTACGACGACGACGTCGTCCCCATCGACGAGGGCGAGGAGCAGCACGACGACGGGTTTGAGAACGAGGCCGAGGAGGAAGAAGAACTCGAACAACACGGCGAAGAGGTCGTCAACGTCGGCGTGCTGCGCCCACGCACACGCGGCGGAGACGCACCCATGTCGCAGCAGCACGGCCAGGTCCGACACGTCGTCTACCCCTCGTCGGGCGCTATCCTCACGTGCCCTTCCTCCTCGCCGTCGTCATCATTCTCCAAGAACAAGCGAGTGGAGCTGCGCATACACCGCCGTCGGCCCTACCGCGAGGCCAATCACCACCGACCTGGCGGGCCGCGCGCACTCGTCATGCCTCAGCACCCCTCCGACTTTCCCCCGCCAGCGCTGCTGCCCGCCTTGCGGGATCTGGAGCGAGGAAACGAGACTGCTGCTGCCGCGGCGCGCAGGCCGCCGCACGAGCGCTTCCTCGTCGACGGACCCGATGTCGAGGTCGATGCGCTAGTCATGTCGCCTGCGCCGCCCTACCGACCGTGGCCCCACCTGGCCCACCCGCTGCTCCATGGGCCCCTCTTCTACCCGATTGCCAATCCGCCGCGCCGGCCCATCCGCCCGCTCTCGAGGAGGATCGCACCTTCGGCCGGGACTGCCACGTCGATGGACGGTGGCAGAGGCCAGCATCGAGGCCAAGGCCAAGGCCAAGGCGAGCGCGAGCGGTACATGCACGTCGCACCACCTCGCCGGTTGGATCCGGCCTGCGACGAGTTTGACTGGGACAGCCTCGAGGGCCTCTTTGCCATGTCGTACGGGCCGTGGGGTCTCGAGACCATCTACCTCCGCTCGCGCCTCCTCACACCCGACGACTTTGAAGAGCCGGCAGCGGACGACGAACTCGACAATTCATTCCTGCAGACGAAGAAGCAGAACACCAACAACAGCAGCTATAGCAAGAACCCGACGCGCGACGACGACAATCGCAACGGAGGTAGCTTCTGGGACTTTGAGCCGCGCCTGCGGCCACCCGAGCTGCGGCGGCTGCTGGGCCAGAATGCGGCGCGGGCCATTGCGCGGCGCGACCCGCCGACTCGGGTCATTGAGGGCATCAAGGTCACGGGCGACGCCAATGTGCCCAGGGGCACCGTCAGCTTCCGCGCCTTTGTCCTGGGCCCGCACGGCGACTTTGGCTTTGGCGATGGACGCGGCGATGTCCACTCCGAGTGGCGCGCACCCCTGGGCGACGGCTTTCGCACCTGGACGCCCTGGCCGCTCGCCGGGCCCAGCGAACGGCAAGGCTCGTACCAGCACAGTCAGCACCAGCAGCACCTGGGCGGCGTTCGCGGCGCCATTGCACCTGGCAGGCTCCTCCGTGCCGTCGGCCGCCTCGCCCGCGAGGGCTTCGCAGACGCCAGCTGGACCACAGCCATGGTCAAGATCAACAGCCCCGACGAGGTGCAAATCTGCTGGAACAGCCTGGCCAAGGTCTCGATTGCCAAGCGCCTTACGGCCTGTTAGGCTCCGCCTCTTTTGTTTGGTAGTATTCTCTTCTCTCTGCTGCTGTACTGCTTGCTGCCTCGTCGCTCTGCTTAAGATCACAATCTGTATAACTTGCGCATATACACAATTTACATGTTCAACTTTGATACAATCCACAGTCGGGATTTTTGAACGGTGACCGGCATCAGGATGCAAATGAGACCGCTGTCTCGAGTGAAACGGAGCCAAGACACAACAAGAGATGGATCATAAATCGCATTGATTGTATGCTGCCGTATCGGTGAGTTTTGGTTGGTGGGAGAAAAGAAAGTACATGTAAGGAGGAAGGAGGAGGAGGACGAGGGAGCGAACGAATCAGATGTAGGTGTCGTAGGCCTGGGGAGCAAGCGTCTCGGGCTTGTTCTTGTTCGTCTGGATCGTCCTGGCCTCACGCGGCTGCGCGGGCTGGCGCTTGAGGTTGACCTTCTCGCCCTTTGCCTTTGCCTCGCTCTTCTTTGCCGCGTTCTGCTTGACACGGTTCAAGAAGTCGTCGCGGCACTTGGAGTGCTTGACGTGCTCGATGCGCAGGTTGACACGCTTCTCAATCTTGCGGTTGCCCACCGTCTTGTAGATGAGGACCTGGACCGCCCGGGGCTGGACGCCAAAGACGACACCGGTGCGGCCGTGGTAGTACTTGTGGGGCATGCCCTTCTGCTCGGCGGCGTTGGCCTTGATGTCGACAATGTCACCGACGTGGTAGGGGCGCAGGTACGTCGAGAGCTTGATGGGGCCATGCTTGCGGAAGTCGCGCTTGAACAGGTCGCGCGTGCGCGCGCGGTAACCAAACGAGTGAGGCATCTGTCCGCGACTGGTCAGCCTATGTTCTCTCTTTCTCGACCTTCTTTGAGCCATCCCCCCCAGCTTTCGTTGTTAATTCTCATCGTCGAGCAATTCAGACCGCTCGCTTCCTGCGCCCGACCTTGCCCACCATTCCACCTCGTCTTCCTTTCCTATTCGCTGTGGGAAGGCTCCCTTCCAATCCCAACAGCACTCCTCGTCACCCCTCACAGCAGCCTGCCATGACCACATTCCGCACGCCTTTCCTCCGTGTCCACCGTCTGTCGCACATCCGTCGACATCAAAACTCACCTTGTCGGTCTGGTCTTGGTCGTCGTTGAAGGAATCCGCGAAAAACGAACAGAGGCCGTCTGCCTTCCTCTCTCTCTGACCTGAGAAAGGCTTAAATCACGTGTCTCCCCAAATTCAAATGCGCAGAGGGAAAAAGGAAAAAAAAGGGTCGAATCCGCAGCACCACGCGAGCACGCGCGCGCCGCTCTTCGCCCGCTTGGAAATTGAGACGGAGAGGGAGACTGCCCTTTCCTCTGTCAACTTCCTCAAGATCACGACTACGGTTCCGTCGACAGGTGAGCATCGGCGGTGTGACTTGGGCTTGTGTGTCTCGGCGGGCGAGAGAGACGACGTACGAGGCAAGGTGCGAAGGCCACAGGCGCAGGCGAGAAGGCTGCTGGGAATGGGGATCGAACCAGGAGGGGAATGAGATAAGACGAAGATGGCGAGAGAAGGACGGACCGAGGATGAGGAGGAGGAGGAGGCACACAACCGGATGAAGAGCTGTCTTTCCTTTCCACTAACACAGTCAGTGACACCCAACAGGTCAAGATGCCTCGCGCTCCCAGGAACCACTCCAAGACCTACAAGGTGCCCCGTCGCCCCTTTGAGGCCGCTCGTCTCGACTCGGAGCTCAAGCTGGCCGGAGAGTACGGTCTGCGCAACAAGCGAGAGATCTGGCGAATTGCCCTGACGCTCTCCAAGATCCGTCGTGCTGCCCGTGAGCTGCTCAAGCTCGACGAGAAGGACCCCAAGCGTCTCTTCGAGGGCAATGCCATCATCCGCCGTCTGGTGCGGATCGGTGTGCTCGACGAGACGAGGATGAGGTGTGTTTGTTCCCACTATACGGCAGGCAAAAGTGCTCTCTTGACTGACGATTGAGTGAACCACTGCAGGCTCGACTACGTCTTGGCGCTCAAGATCGAGGACTTCCTCGAGCGTCGCCTCCAGACGCAGGTCTACAAGTCCGGCCTCGCCAAGTCGGTCCACCACGCCCGTGTGCTCATCCGCCAGCGCCACATCCGCGTCGGCAAGCAGATCGTCAACGTCCCCTCGTTTGTCGTCCGTCTCGACAGCCAGAAGCACATTGACTTTGCGCTCACATCGCCCTTCGGTGGTGGCCGTGTCGGCCGTGGCAAGAGGAAGCGCGAGAGACTCGCTGCCAGCAAGGAGGGTGGCGACGAGGCTGGCGACGAGGAGGAGGAGTAGATGCATACCTATCTGTTCCCTCGTTGCTCGGACCCCGAGACTCTCTACGCCTGGTTCACTTTCTCTCACACACTCTTCTCTGTACTTTCATCTCACTCACACACACACACTACTACAAAGACCAAAACCGCAAAGGGTGGCTGTGAAGTCGTCATACTCCCTCGTCATGAACCCCATGATCAAAAAAGCAGCTATTCACATATGGCTTCGGTAGCATGTTTCTTTGCTTGTGTGCTCGACGACGGCGTCTACTTGGCTTGTTCAGTGAGCAGCAGCAGCAGCAGCAGCAGCAGCAGTCAAGAGAAGCTATTGTGTAGAGAATTGAAAAAGAGAAAATCAGACGACGCGCGCAACTTCTCTGGCCAAGGTGCCCAGGGTGGAGCCACAGCGGCCCATTTTTGTATTCGGTCTCACACTGTATTGTCGGGGTCCTCGATGAGGAAGTTGGCCACCAATCAACTACACCCTTCGCCTAGGATGTGCTGCTACACAATGGATCGCCCTTGTTTAGCCCACTAGAAGCACTAGCTTGCGGCGCGAGGGTCGACCGGCGATCTGGCGATTCTGGACTATGCCGTGAAGCCTCGACTTTCTAAGAGAGAGAGAGCGCAAGGCAAGGCAAGGCAAGCCAGGCCAGGCCAGAGCGAGGGTACAGAGGCAGTACAAGCCTCGGCTCGGCTCCCCCCTGGGCTGGGCGCGCCTCTGTCTCTGCAAGACGCCTTTTATTTTTTTCATCTTTTTCTCTCTTTTTTCTAATTGCCCTTTTTATTATCCTTGTCTCTGGGGGCCCTTTTTGTTAATTGAAATGGCCTGCTTTGCCCGCTGCTGCTGCTGCTGGTGCGGCTGCTGCTACTACAGCTGCTGGGTGCGGCTGCTGGTACCGGTGCTACTGCTTGCTTAGCTGCACGTCCCCTCCCTCGCTATCCTGCTCCCTCTTTTTTTCCCCGTCGGCCACATCTGATCCGCTTCCCACCACCGACCTAGACCACACGCATCGTCGCGTCTCTCCTCGCTTTCTTGTCTGCTTGGATGGGTAGGATAGCCGTCGATTAGCCAATTTGCAAAAGGGGGCCCCTCAGACGGACGTTTTTACTCGCGCGCGCGCATTGGCCGCTTGTGGAGAGAGAGAGAGAGAGAGAGAAGTAGACGAGACGAGACGAGCAAGAGAGAAAGAGAAAGGGCGCGTCAATCCAGGCGAGCGGACAGACGGACGTCACAGACTTGGCGGAACGGGCGGAGGCCGCATAACATACGCAACAACGACAGCAGCATATAGCTCAGGCTGAAGCGAAGCGAGTCTTCTCCATCCACGCATCCGCGTGCATCCATCTCAGCCCATCGCTTCGCATTTCATCCCATCCCATCCCATCCCACTCCGCCACATCCACATCCATCCGGTCTCATCCACACGCGACGCCTCGCTCGCAGCACACACCGCACACGGCGGGCGGGCCCATCATGAACTTCAGCGCCGAACAGTTCTCCGCCGCCATGTCGCCGTACCTCTCGGGGACGAGCAGCCCGATCCCCGGCTTCCAGCCGGGGATGCAGGGCCAGGGGCAGGGGCAGCAACAACAGCAGCAGCAACAGCAGCCGTTTCAACAACAGCCCCAGCCGCCACAGGGCATCCAGACTGGACAGCCACAGGCAGCCTACCAGGCGTCTGCGCTGGCCTATGCCAATGCGCAGCTGTCGCAGTATGCCGCCCAAGCTGCCGCCGCGGCGCAGCCGTCGCAGCAGCAGCAGCACCAGCAACAACAGCAGCACCAACAGCAACAGCAGCAGCAACCGTCGGCCTTTAACAGCTTCTTTGGCCAGCCAGGCACGGCCCTCCCCGCGCATCTGAACCCACACGCGCTGAGCCAGGCCCTGGCCGACTACAACGGCCCCATCGGCGGGTCGATGCCCAACAGCGCAGCGTCGAGCCCCGGCCAGAGCCACAAGCGGCTGCCAGCATCAGGCTTTGCCAGCGGCACAGCCACGGGCGCATCCACGCCCGGCGGCAACATCGGCGGCAACTCGCGCGTGGCCGCCAGCGCCATCACGGGCAAGCGCCTCAACTGGTCCGAGATGATCTGCCAGACGATTGCCGAGTCCGACACGGGCCGGCTGGTCATCCAGGATCTGTTTGAGGGCATGTGCAGCAAGTTTCCCGAGATCCGCGAGTGGGCCTTTGGCAAGGACTGGGAGGCACGGGTCAAGAACCGGATCAAGTCGACGCTCTCGATCAAGGGCAACCTCTTTATCAAGGTGCCCCGGCCCTCGTCGGCCGCCGGCAAGGGCAGCTGGTGGACGCTGTCGCAGGAGGCCCAGGACGCGTGGAAGGAGGGCCGCGTCGCGAGCGTCGTCAAGGCCGCCAACGGCGAGCGCGCATCCTCGGCCGGCGGCGGCGGCGGCGGCGGTGGTGGTGGTGGCCATGTCCGCAGCAGCTCTGCTGCCTCTGGACGCACCGCCCACGACGGCCTGGGCCCGCTCAGCACGGCGACGAGCAGGGCCAACAGCCGTGCACCCAGCCGCCGGGGCAGCCCCGTCTCCAGCCGGGGTCCCTCGAGCCAGCACGCCAACCATGCCTCGACACCGTCACAGCCCTACATCAACTTTGGCCAGCAGCAGCAGCCGCAACAGAATCAACAGCAGTCTGGCTATTCCCAGGACCAGGGTGCGAGTCCGAGCGGCGGTGCCGGCAGCAGCAGCAGCAGCAGGCAGAGCCCCAGTGGCCAGCTGCCAATCGGCCTGGGCATGAGCCCCATCAACTTCCACTCGGCCCCTCCCTCGTCGCACAATTCCTTTGACGGCATGGGCATGAGCCTGCCGGGCCTCGACGGCACTGGCGCCCTCGACGACTTTGTGTCTGTCGGCGGTGGTGGTGGCAGTGGCGGCGGCGCAGGAGGCAGCGGCGTTGGCGGCAGCAATATCAACGGCCACTCGCGCGTCGGGACCGGTGGGCGAGGCGGCAGTGGCAGTGGCGGCGGCGCATCCTCGTCCGACTCGACGGCGCGGCGGATGCGCATGATGGAGAACAGCGTCAACGACGGCTTCGATCCCTCGATGGGCGCCTCGTCGTCGTCGTCGTCGTCGTCGTCGGCCTCGCTCTCGATGGCGCCCGGTGCCTCGGGCATCCAGAGCATCTACGACCTCAGCTACACCTCCCTCGGCGGGCCCACGTCGCAGCCGCTTGGTGCCGCCCAGTCGGCCGCCCACCTCGGCGGGCCACAGAGCATGCCCTTTCCCGCCGCCAACAACCTCACCTCGATCGCCGGGCCCTCGTCCAATGCCTCGTCGTCGTCGTCCGATGCTGCAGGCCAGCAGCAGCCAAACTACCAGCACTCCTACCAGCACTTCCAGCAGCTCCCCACGAGCGCCGCAGGGGGTGGCGCAGCGGGCAACTATGCGTTTGGTGAACCGTTTGCTGGCTTCCAGGATCCGTTTGGCGGGCATCATGGCGGCGGTGTCGGTGGTGGTGGCGCAGGATCGGGGCAGGCAGGCGCAGGCCAGTACGGCGACGGCGGCCTCGACCTCTCGTCGATGCCCAACCCGTTTGGCAGCGGGCTCGCGGGCGGCTACACGATGCTGGACCAGGCCCAGCCCACCAACATTCCCGGTCGGTCGCAGGGCCAGCAGGGCCAGTCGGGGCATCCGGGCCAGCAAGGTAATGGCAGTGGCGGAGGGACAGGCGGCGGTGGTGGTGGTGGCGGAAGCGGGTCCGGTGGGAGAGGGACACCGAGCGCAGGTTTGTCGTCTTCCTTGACGGGTGCCTCGCCTGCCGACAGCACCAGCGCCTTTTTCGCCTACACGCCAGCCATGATGGCCGCCGATACCGCGGCCAATGGCGGTGCGTCGGCCAGCGGGAGCGCGCTGGGGCCCGTCGGCGGAGAAGGCAGCCGCAAGAAGAGGGAGCAGCAACAGCAGCAGCAGGGGCAGGGACAGGGGCAGGGGCAGGGGCAGGGCGCCACCAACGACTTCCAGCTCCCGCCGCCGGCTTCTTCGTACGCCGACGACGACGCCGACGACGACGAGAAGCGGTAGCCCTCCACCACCACCACCTCCTCCTACTCGCACACACACTTGCAAGATGGACACTCTTTACCCCAACTACTTTACCCCCCACACTCCATTGCACACAACGTCGGATCCCTCGTCCGAGACGCAGATCTTTCTCTCCCTCTCAAGTCTTGTTTTTCTAGCACAAAGGGCTCTCTCAGCCACGCACTGACCTCCCTTCTCCTTTCCTCTTTTTCTTTTTCTTCCTCTTCTTCTCTTTTTTTTTCTCCTTTGTTGTGCTTCTTTCTTCTTTGTTGGAACAGCTTCCTTCATCTCGCATTTCTTTTTTCTTCCTCTTTGTTGTTTCTCTCCAACCTCGTCTCTGCGGTAGTGCCAAACGTAATAGCTGAAATCTCATAGCGGCAATGTCATTTATTGTCTTCAGGAAAAGACAGCAGTCACTCTGAGCAAACGAGGCTCCCTCATTTTGAGGGGTTCAGACGAGAATGAACGGCTGAGACGAGCCATTTCTGCTTAAGATGAAAAGGATGGATTACTGTAGTGTACAAATGTGTCGTTGCTGCTACTACTGTGGGTGCGCTTCTAAGACTGTCATCACTCGTCATCAACGTCGTCGTCGTCTTCGGCGTCTTCGCGCGCCTTGCGCTCCCGCTTGGCCGCCTCCTTGATGTCCTCAGCGCCGAGCCGGAGCTTCGTCTTGGCCGCCCTCGCCGAGCCCGAGCCGCCCTGCTCGCGCCTCGCCTTCTCCCGCAGACCCTCGACGCCGCCAGCCGCCTCGTCGTCCCAGCCCACGACGAGCCTGCGTCCGAGGAGGTGCGTGTAGCGGAGCGCCTCCATGGCGTCCTTTGCCTCGCGGCGGGTGCCAAACTCGACAAAGCCAAACCCGCGCGCGCCGCCCACGCCACCGCCGGCTGCAGCCGCTTTGCGGGGCACACGCACAGACTTGAGCGTGCCGTGGGGTGCAAAGAGGGCACGCAGGTCCTTTTTGCTCGTCTCAAACGGCAGGTTCTTGATGATGAGCTTCGTTCCACCACCGCTGCTGCCACTGCTGCTGTTGCCTGCACCGGGAGCAACAGCCTGACTAGGACGGCGGTCGTCGACATCGTGCCCACGCCTGGCAAAGGCCACGGCGAGCTGGTGGCCGTCGAGCGTCTTGCCATTCGTCGATTTCTGCGCAACCTTGGCCTGCTCCTGCGTTCGGAAGCCGACGAAGCCGTAGCCCATCGAGATGCGCGCGCCATTCGAAGCAGCCTGCTTGGTCTGGATGCGGGCAAAGGCAAAGCCATCGAGGTGACTGAACATCGAGGCCAGACGAGTGTCGGTCGTCGAGAAGGAGAGGTTCTTGATAAAGAGCGTCGCGGCAGCCTCCTCTTCTTCCCCTGCTCCTGCGCCTCCTTGTCCCTCAGACGCAGAAGAGGCGAGGAGCGACGAGGCTCCGGATGCCTTGGGCGGAGGCGCCGCAATGCCCTCCTTCTCCTGCTTTTCAGTCGCGCGGCTCTGCTCGGGCCGGTCCTTGACCAGACCGACGGGAGCCTTTTCGAGATAGAGAAGCGAGTTGCCCATGCGCTTGTATGCCAGCGCCCTAAAGGCGACCCTGGCCTCGTTTGGCACGTCCATCTCGACGATGGCCATTGTGCCTGCAGGCGGCATAACAACCCTCGACACGGAGCCATGGGGCTCAAAAAGGCCCTGCAGCTGCTCGACCGAGGTGCCAAAGGGCATGTTCTTCACGAGAATCGTCGTGTCGCTCCGCTTGGCCTTTTCGTTGGCCGAGAAGCTGGTGACATCGATGCCCTGCTCCTCGAGGTACTCTCTCGTCTCCTGGATCACGCGCGTCTCGGCCAGGGCCAGCCGTACGGCGGGGCTGACGCTCGAGGAGGTAGTGGCCTCATCAGGATTGACAATGTCCGACTTGTCGATGCCCAGGCGATCGGCGACGCTCGAGGCCACGGCATCGGCGCTCATGAACAGCGTGGACCAGTTGAAGTCGCGCTGGGCGCCCGCCTTGACCTGCTCCTGCTTCTTCTGCTTCAGCGTCTTCTTGCTGTCGTCCTCTGGTCTCGGACGGGCATCGACGGCAGGGAGCACGTGGAGCAGGCGGCCCTGGAAGGTGGAGCCATCCGAGGCGCGAAAGGCAGCCAGGGCATGCGAGGGCTCGGAAAAGGTGACGAAGGCGATGCCCTTGGACTGCTTTGTCGCCTTGTCGAGGGTGATGTGTGTCTGTTGAGAAGCGTTCAGTTGTCAGCTTCGTCCTCGTCCAATAAAAGGAGATGAAGAGGGGGAGATCAGGAGATTTGTTATTGTTACTAGCAATAATTCCAGCATGTTCTCGACAACGAAGGAGCTTGTCCCTCGATCCGCTGTCCCTATACTGATATTCATCACGTCGGATGCAGCATCGACATCGCACACTCACCTGAGAGACGTCGCCGTAGCGGGAAAAGTAGGCCTCGAGCTCTTCCTCCTTTGCAGAGAACGGGAGGTTGCGCACAAAGAGGCGGCCTGTCGTCATGATCGAGTCGACGGCCGCCTCGTCTTTTCTTGCCTTCTCCTCGAGCGCTGCCCGCTCACGCTCCCTAGCTCGCTTTGTCTTCTCGTCTTCCTCTTCCTCTCCTTCCTCTTCGTCATCCTCGCCCGCGTCGTCACCGGCGTTGCTCCCTGCTTCCGAGCCCGACTGCTCAAACTTCTTCTCTTGCACCTTGTCCTCGTCGTCGTCTGCTATCCGCCTCCTCATCCTCTTGTACATGTACTCGAGGTCCGTCACACCCTCGTCATCGAGCACTTCGTCCTGCTTCGTCTCCATCTCCTCCTCCTCGTCTTGCCCCTTCTCCTGCGCTTGGTCGACATCCTTCTGCTGCTGCTGCTTCTTCTGCTTCTTTTTCTTGGGCTTGTCGTCCTTCTCCTGCTGCGCCATGTCCTCTGCCTTGAGGTTTGCATCGTCGCCCTCGTTGCCCTCCTCGTTCTGCCACGCCTTGCGCTTGGCCCGGGGCGCCTTGACAGCCATAAACTCGTCAAACGAGACGCCGCCGCTCCTCTTTTTCCGCTCCTTCTTCTCCCTCGCCGTTTCTGTAGCAGCAGGTTGTACTTTGTCCTCCCGCCGTACGCCGTCCATCTGCCTGGGCGCGCCCTTGCCCATCGCACCCCGCTCGTCCTGCCCCGCAGCAGCCTCGCCAACGCCGCGCGCAAGCCCAACCTGCACACGGGCCGTGTCGACAAACGTGCGGTCAAAGTACCGCACCGCCGCCTCGGCCTCGGACGCGGAGCGGTAGCCGACAAAGCCAAAGCGCCGCGAGGTGCCGTCGGGCTTGCGCACCACGCGCGCATCCGTCACCGTCAGCGCCACGGAGGAGCTGGCGCCGGTGCCGGTGCCGGTGACGGCAAAGTGCGTGCGCAGGCGGCCATCGTCGAGGTACGACGGCAGATTCTTGATGATGATGCGCGACGAAGATGACGTCCTGTTGGTAGTCTCACTTCAGCAAGACGTTCACAGACAGGACTGGTAGCCCTACTCACATCGTGCCTTGGCCGTTCGTCGAGGAGGTCTCATGAGGACAATAGAGGGAAGCAACGAAGGCCAGGCGAAAAAGAAACCAGAAAAAAACTCCCGCTTGCCAAAAAATTCATGGGCGCGTCACGTGCACCACCGTCTCTATCTCGCTCGCACAGGGCAATCTTCGATCAAAGGAACATTGTATTTTATAGATGAGAGAGCGAGGAGTGGAAAGAGGACTGAGAAAGGACATGGAAGAGATCAAGAGAGACTCCAGCCGTGCTGCTTTTCGGTTGTTTTCTTTTAGCTGAAGGCCTCTAGAGGTCTTCGTGCTTGAAGCCGCCGCCCTCGTGCTCGTCCTTCTTGGGCGCCTCTGCATCGCTGGCGTTGGCAGCATCGATGTTGACGTCTGCCTTGTTCTTGGCATTGGCCTTGATAAAGTCGACAAAGGACTCGAGGGTGCGGTCGCCCTCAAAGTCGACGAGCGTCTTGCTGCCCGCGGGCTTGAACTTGATCGTGGGGAAGCTCTGCACCTGGAAGCCAGCCGAGGGGGGCACGTCGTTGGCCGTCGCGTCCATCTTGGCAATGACAATCTTGTCCGTCGCCTTGCGGTAGGCCTCGCCGAGGGTGTCGTAGGTGGGCGCGAGCTTCTTGCAGTGTCCGCACCAGGGAGCGTAGAATTCGACGAGGACATCCTTGCTGTCGTCAAAGACGACCTTGTCAAACTCGTCGGCGACGAGGTAGTAGACGCCCTCCTCCTGAGCCGCAGGCACGGCCTCGGACTTGATCGAGGGCTCCAGCTTGCCGGCCGCGTACTCGCCGACAAACTTCTCAATGGCCGCCGCCGCGTCGTCTCCGAGGTCCTCGAGGGGGAACTTGGTCGAGGCCTGGATGTCCTGGATGGCAAATGCGGGCCACTTCTCGCCCTGGATGTTGAGGCCCTTGGCGTGGTTGACAAACTTGACGGCGTCGATCCAGACGAAGCTGAGCTTGCCCTTGTGGGCCTTGGCCAGCGGCTTGAGCTTCTCCAGGTCAGCCTCCTTGCTGGCTCCGTCGGGCTCGGTGAAGTAGTAGGCAAGGGGCACGCCAGCCTCGGCGTAAGCCATAAAGTTCTCGGGGCCAACCTCGTCGATGAGGGGGATGCTCTCGGCCTTGAGGAACTTCTCGAGTGCCTCGTCGTCGCTGGCCTTGCCCGAGTACGTCACCTCGGGCTCGTCGAATGCGCGGTAGAGGACGACGTCGCCGTTCTTTGCGCCAGCGGCCGAGGCCACGTCGGCATCGAGGGCACGGCCAAAGACAAACGAGTCGCGGTTCTTGTTGGCCACCTTTTCAAACGCAGCCACGGCCTTGGCGTCGGCGTCGGCACCCAGGTAGGCGACAAGGACGACCTTGTCCTTTGTCTTGAAGTCAGTGATGTTGTCGGCCGAGATCGTCGAGATGGCAGGCAGGGCCTGCTTCTGCATGTAGCTGATGATTCCGTCTGTCTTTCGGGGCCCATTGTACTCGGTCGACTCGCCGTTGCGGAAGACCTTGAGGGTGGGGTAGCCGCGGACATTGTGCTGCGCGCAGAGATCCTCCTCCTCTGTGCAGTCGACCTTGGCCAGCTTGATGCTCTCGTTCTTGAGCTTCGTGGCCGCCTCCTCGTACTGTATCATTTCAACGTTAGCTTGGTGTAAGGCCAGGTGCAGTCTGACTTGAACACTCACGTGAGGAGCCAGGGCCTGGCAGTGGCCACACCACGGCGCAAAGAACTCGACAAGCATGAGTGACTGTTTGGTAGATCATATTAGTGGGGCAAGACTGGCTAGTGCATGCTAAGGTCAACGGCGCACCTCTGGGTCGACTGTCGAGGCAAACGAGTCCTTTGTGAGCTGGAGGACGTCCGTGGCGGCGTCGGCAGCCAGGACGGCGGGCGACGACGCGGCCAGCGCAGCGGCGACGGCGACGACCGAGGCGGGCCTCATGAATCGCATCGTGGTGGACTTTGAGGGGGGGAGGTGAGAATAGAAAAGGGCGCGTGCAAGGATTCGTCGAGCAAGATGGAGCGCTTCAAGTAGTCCTCCGTCCCAGGCTTGGCAGAGTGAGTGGGAACAAGTGGGAGCACACAAACAAGGGAGGAAGAGGGGGGTGAGAGAGAGAGAAGCGAGATGAAACGGAGAGCGAGAGCCTTAAAAAAGTGTTGTGCAATTCGAGAAGCTTGCGCCGCCACGTATCTCCAGGCTCGCGCTTGCCTCTGCTCTCCGTCCTGCATGCCAGGGCCGGGAGTGCGGCAATATAAACAGATACAACAAACGCTCGCCTATTTCCGAGGCGATACAATAATAGCGCTTCGTTATTCTGAGCTGGTGGAGCGACCACTTTATTCGACAATTTCTCATTCAAAAACCTTCCACGTCGACAAGCAGGTGCGCGTGCGCGCGGGCTGCCTCAGGGCACGGCAACAACCGCCGCGAATAATTTGCCAAGTAGTCATGCGTGGGCGTTGGAAGCCAGAACGGCCCCATCGCCCGGCTCTCGTTGCGTCATCACCGAGGCACCGAAGCATCGAAATTCCATCAAACTGGCTAGGAACAGACGCCCACCTGCACAAATGAGACTGATGAGGTAGTAGCAGAAGCAGAAGCGTACAGTACATAGAGTGTGCGTGTGTGACGAAGAGGGTGTGTCACTCGGCGTGAGAAGGGGCCTTTCTCGAACCCTGGCTGCTGGTGCTGGATGGCAGGCCGACGCCAAGCACAAAGGCGACCCTGGCCAGGACGAGGGGCCAGGTGGTCACACAGACGAGCCAGTCGGCGGACGTGTAGTGTGCGACGCTGAGCAGCTCCCCGTAGCCACCGACGGCCAGGGCAGTCGAGTGGCAGAAAAGGACATCGGAGAGGAGCATGGGCACGATGAGGCGCTTCCAGAGCTGCACGTCGTTTGGATACAGGCGCAGCACCACGGCCTCGAGGTAGGCAAAGAGGAGCCAGGCGCCGGTGAGGGAGGTGTAGAGAAAGTGGGTGCGCACATCGTACACTGGTGTGTCGCCCGTCTGGGGCCGGTGCGCCATGATGGCGAGAAAGTCGGCGGGCCAGAAGAGCGTCTGCACCGCGCCGCCAAAGGCCAGCAGCGGCTCGATGGTGTTGATGCACAGGCGATAGACAATAGGGATGGGAGCCTGGGTCTGCGTCATGGTGGTTTGCCTTGATCTGATCTGTCCTTCAATACATCACCACCCCGATTCATCTGCATCATCTGTGTTTGCATTTGCGTTCATGCCTGCGCGGGCCCGTGCGGGCGGGCGGACAAGCCTTCTAATCTCAGCATACGGCCCGGAGGAAGTACTGTACAAAAAGACCAGCCTGCTCGCCTCTCTGCCTTGCCTCTAGAGCCTGTCTGATGTGCCCGCTTCATCCTCCCTCTTTCCTCTTGCTAGCCGTCCTGCACCAATGGCGCCCGGAAACCGAGGCGTTGACGGACGACGCTGAGGGCGAGCCCGATTTCCGGCCGCGGCAAAATCGGATCTCTCCACATCGGCTGGGCGCACGGCATTGTCGTATTTAGAGAGCGCGCCAAAGGCCTGGATGTCGATCCGACCTCGGTGACGCCTTCTCTCTCAGATCAAAGATGATGCTTGTGCGCTCTCGGGCTGCACTCTCGTCGCTGCAACGAACAGCACCGGCACTACCCGCGTGGAATCGCAGAGGCGTCAAGATGGCGACGTTTTCCGACCCCAACTTTGACTTCAAAGGTGGGTGTGTAACCTGTGACCCCGCGTCTCTGCCTCTGCGCTGACAGTGGATTGGTGTCGACACTGAAGGCTACCTCGACAATCGGCCGCGGTACCCCGATATTCTCTATAACAAGATCCTCGCCTTCCACCGGGGCGGGCATGGCGCCGTGCTCGACCTCGGCTGTGGGCCGGGCCTCTCGGTGTTCCCCCTGAGCGCGCACTTCGATCGCATCATTGGCACGGACCCGTCCGAGGGCATGATCCGCGAGGCCCAGGGCGCCTGGTCGGCCTGGAAGCAGACGCAGCGCGACTCGCCCCACCTGGCACAGATCGAGCGGACAAAGGCGGAATTTAGCGTGGACAGCGCAGAGGAGCTCCGCACCGTGCAGGACGCCTCCGTCGACCTCGTCGTCGCCGCCACGGTGAGTGCGAGCGGGCTTGTTGAGAGACACTCTGGCATAATGACTCAGCATACGGTTTGAGCACAGGCCGCACACTGGTTCGACATGGACAAGGTCTGGCCGCAGCTGTCGCGTGTGCTGCGCCCAAAGGGCACCGTGGCCTTCTGGGTGCGTCTACTAACCTTCAAACCCCTCTTTATTTCCAGCACCCTCGAGCTGATCTGTTTCCCATGGTAGTGCTACGGCGCAAACTACCTCCCAGCGCACCCGTCGCTGCTGGCGCCCATGTGCGAGTTCATGTGCTCCCAGTCGGCAAAGATGGGCCCCTACTGGCCCCAGCCGGGCCGCGCCATCAACGAGAACCTCTTGCTCGACATTGCCTTTCCGACCCGCGGAGACGGCGCGGCGGAAGCGGTGTGGGACACGTCGAGCGCGACGCGCGTCACGCACAAGCTCGTCAAGCCGGGCCTCGCCGACATTGCCTGGACGCGCGGCGAGGCGCCCGAAGAGACGTTCCGGATGGAGGTGTGTAGTCTTCTTTCTCCTTCCTTTCTTTCTTCTCGAGCAAACAGGCTGACTGGGTGGTGGGTTGCAGCACGTGAAGAGCTTTGATTCGCTCAACGGCTACTTCCACTCGAGCAGCGCGGCTATGCGCTACCTCAACAAGCATCCCGAGCTCAAGGTCGAGAAGCCGGACATGATCGATCGCCACGTCGACACTCTCCGGGCGGACATCCTCGCCCAGCGGCGCGACGATCCGCGCACCAACAAGGAGGGCCTCGACGACGACCACGTCAGGATGGCCTGGCCGCTGGGTCTGATGATGGTCAGGAAGCGGTGAGGGGAGGTTCACATCGGTCTCTCTTTCCTTTTTTTCTGTCAAAATTGCATAGATGGTGGTAGAATGGGGAATAGAATGGCGAGATATTCACACAAAGAAAGGCCCGACATGAACGGAGGGTGGTCTAACATTGAGGAAGATCAGCCGACAAGGGGAGCCCTCTCCTCGTCGGTGGCGCCACCGACATTGGTGCGGCCGGTGAAGGCGGCAATCGTGGCGCGCAGGACGGCAATGAGGGAGATGATGAAGAAGGCGAGGGCAGAGTAGTGGATGAACTCGCCGGCGCGCGCAATCGTCTGGTGATTGTAAATGGCCAGGATCGAGAGGCTGATGACGGCAGCGCCCACCACATCGCCGTGGCCGGCAAAGACGTAGGCAGCGGCGGTGCCCTCGAGGAGAAGGAGGGCGATAAAGACAAAGATCTTGGTAAAGATGCCGGCGGGGTGCAGGGCCGCATTGACGCCAAAGGCAGAGAAGCCAGCGACAAAGAGAAGGACGACGCTGAAGCCGTGGAAGAGGCTGAAGGGCACGTGGACAAAGGCCGTGTCGAGCAGGTTCTTGGGCGGGTGGTGCAGCTTGATGGAGCGGTAGATGTGGCTCACTGTGGCGCCGACAAAGGCGATAGTGACAAAGGCAAGGATGGAAATGACGAAGTCGGTTGTCTTGGAGTTTGCGTACGAGCTTGACAGCGTCGAGTACACGGCAGTGAGCAGGCACAGCAGAGGGAAGCGCCAGCCAATGCCCTGCACCACAGTGTGGTAGCCCTGGAGGAGGAAGACGTGCTTTAGCATTTGGCACCACGAGTGGGATGATGCTCAAGGCAACTCACCGTCTCAGTGAACTGGTAGACGAGCATGCCGATGAGGAGTAGGTGAATGATGCCCCATGTGCCAAAGATCCAGCTCTCGGGCGTCAGGTAGGTCGGGTGCGCGGCGCCAAAGAAGGGAGGCAGCGAGGCATACGACGATCCTCCAGTGAAGAGGAGGAAGGTGATGATGTTGGTCACCTTGAGCGCAAGGTGGTCTTTCCAGTGCGCCATCCTGTGTGGCTCAGCAAGGGCAATGATGGGGTGGTCCTGAGATCAAAGCGCTGTAGCAAGGCAGACGAGACGAGCAGTTACGAGAAGGCGCTGCTGGGACAGGTCGTGTGATGTGGGTCGGGCAAGATCAATCAGAGGAATGCAGAAATTGGCGACGAGGCAGGCCGGTTTTGGAGATGCGCAGCGCAGTCCAAATTGAAATGTGGAGCCACAAAGGAACAAGCCACACGCGTCACGTGTTTCTACGTCGTCATCGTTGCGCGCCACGCTTCAGCGGCCACCGCTAATGATGTACATTCGGCTGGGCAGGTGGCAGGTGGCAGGTGAACGTGGCTAGGGACCCAGGGCTGTGAAGCGGCATGACAGCAAGTCGGAGGTTCCCGTGATGGCAAGCGGGACGACCAGTGACATTTGCCAGGTCGGGACCTGTGTGGCCTGAAGACGACGGCCCGGCCCGTCCGTCACGACTAAGATAAGATCAAGATAAAAGAGACGCTTACCAGGGTCTTGGTCCTGAGGGCCCGGTCAAGCCGCTCCCGGTGTTTGTGCAGTAGGGAAAAGAATGGTCCAAACGCTTCCTTACCCGCGGAACCCTTTTCTCACTTTTCTCATTCAACCATCCAACCCAAGGCTTTAGCGTCCAGGGGCGGGGAGGAAAGGAAAAGCGCCGTAGCGTGGGAGGTGCCAGACCCTGAGATCTCGTCTCCGACTGCGTGCTACTGACTGCTAAGCCTGCTCATTCCCACCCCGGCTCTGCATCAGACCCGGCCCGCGATCGCTCCTCACTACGTGATTACTTGGGTAAACACTTTGCACGGTCATGACGAGACGCAGACAGCTTCCAGTTGCGCGTCAGCGTTTGTTTGCTTGTAGAGTAGTACGTGACGGGGTGTGAAACACGAACTTCTAAGCGTCCTCTGAGACATTATTACCTCGGACTTCTGCAGCAGCGATCACGGACAGGAGACGCAGTCCGGTACACTAGCTGCAGTGCCTTCAGAGACTCGGACAGACTCGCGAGGGAAGGGGTGCAGTCGTGAATTCGGGTCGAACAACTGAATCGCTATCGATCTGGATGGCTTGATCGGAGGCGGGAGGTGAGTAGTAGTGTTATGTATGCCCTAGCGCATGGTTCACTAGCCTTGCGTGGACCCCGGCCTCTGCACTGATGCCCGAGAAAGACGTCCCTATATCACGCTTCTCGATGCAGGCAAAAGGCAGCGAGGGAGAATTCGTTTTTTTTTTTCCTCTTCGGTTTTCTTTTTTTCCCCCTCTAACAAAGGAGCCCTATTTTATTTTCAATTTTCGTTCGTTTGTTGCGCGAGGGGGGAGCGAGGAAACGAAATTGGAGAGACGTACGGTACTACACTGCTGCTGCGTGGGTCACATGCTTTTTTTTATCCAAATTACCCTCTATATTAGCCTTGTTGATTGAAGCTTTGTTTTGCGCAAGCAAGGTTGTTGTTATTGCTCATCTTCTCGGGGGATGCACGCAAGAGAGGGGGGACGTACCGAAGGGAGGAAAATCAAACCTGACTTCCTCCTAGGCAGCATAGTCTAATAATAATATTGTTGCCCGCCTAAGCTTCCTGTCCGCCATCCTCGATCCACCCCTCTCCCCCTCGTGTCCATTGCTCGACGTGTTCCGGCCTAATCTTTGGAGCTTCGACGCAAGTGCAGGGAGGCGTCGTGGTTCGCAAGATTGGACTCAACTCAGCTCTCCCCCCGGTCGCGCTTCCCGGGATTAGAGGAGACGAGCGAGCAACAGCCTTGCACAGTAGTTCTTCTCTTGTCGATCCCGGGCTTTGTTTCTGGACGTCAGGCTTGAAGACCAGCACCCCAGCACCCTAACAGCACTCATCAGCGCCCGGCACCGTTCCAATCACAGCATCGTCTCGCCCCGGCCCCCTTTGCAAGCCACTCAAACACCATCAACAGTCTCTTGAAGTCACCCCGTCTCGCAAGTCGAGAGGGAAAGCAACAAACACGCCTCCGCCGTGCCAAGGAGCCCCCAACAGCTACCGGTAGCTGCCGCGATTGCAAAGGTTAATCCGAGAAGAGGAAGGTTCGGCAGCAAGGAGCGATAAGTAGGCCAGACGGATCGCAATTGCAGGACGTCATTGGTCCCCTTTAATCTCGAAACCCGCCAGCGCCCTCGTTTGCACTGGTGACGGAATCGAAATAAAGGGCGGCCCCAGCCACGTCCGCCCTCGAGCCAGCACGCCAGCCAGGCGAGGAAGCGCAAGCCGCAAGCCAGCGCGTGGGAGTGTGCGCCCGCACTGACGCCCTCTCCATCACCCCTGCTCGCTCGCTCGCTCGCTCGCTCCCCCCTTCGTGTGGGCGATAGAGAAATTTCACAAAAGTCGGAGAATAGGAAAAGAGGGAGAACCTTGACCGATTTATACATTACGACGACTAAGACGACGACGACAACGACGAGAGGACCAGCCGCAGGCCAACGCTTTCGCTAGACGGATCGCCGCTTCGCACACGAGCAAGAGACGACGGCATAGGGGGAGATAGAGACTCGTGGGAAAAATCGAAAAAGGAGCCAAGCTGTTTCCGTACACTGTGCAACCGCCGCCATCCAATATGGCCGTATCGACTGCGTCGGCCTTTCGGCCAGGACGCAAACAGTCGGTGTCATCGGCCAATGCTCCCTACTTGGATTCACCGTCTATGCCACCGCCGCCGCCGCTCTCTTCGTCGTCGCACCACACACCAAACGGCATCCTGCCACCCCATGCCCATGCGCATTCACACTCACAGACACCCTCGCCCGCACCGACACCGCTGTCGGCCGCCTCGATTGCCAGCTCGGTGACGCTGCGAAGCCCCTCGGATGGCGGCATCGGCAGCAGCCTCATCTCGCCCGGTGGTGCGCCCGTGGCAGCCAACACGATCGGCAACAAGCCCGCCGTGGCAGGCTCGAGTCTGTACCAGGCCTGCCTCTCACTTCGCGAGCGCCTCTGGTGCGTGCCAGGCTTTGGCGACGCCTTTCTGCTGCCCCAGGCCGACGAGGCTTCGCCCGTGCTCGCCCAGCCAGAGGCCTCGTCGCCTCCATCGCCCAAGACTACCACGACGACGCGCATGCAGCCTTCGGACCCCGTCTCGCAGCTGTGGAAATGCTTCCGGACAGGCGCACCCCTCTGCTGGCTCATGAACCAGCTCGGCCCAGCGACGGTGCTGCAGATCAGCTCGGACCCGTCGCGGAGCAATGCAAATGAGTGCAAGAAGCAGGTCGCCAAGTTCATCATTGCCCTCAAGGCCGAGCTCGGCTGGGACCCCGATGACATCTTCACCGTCTCGCAGCTCTACCTCAACGACACCAATGGCTTTGTCAAGGTCGTCAAGACGATCAGCAAACTCCTCGATGTCTTTGAGCAGCGCGGCCTGCTCACCGAGGCGCCCAAGACGGCCGACGCCGACGAGTTTGAGAAGCCGTCGGACGAGCGGACGTGGATTGTGCGCGAGCTGCTGAGCACTGAGCGAAAGTATGTTCAGGACCTCGAGGTGCTGCAGAGCTACGCGAGGGCGCTGGCGCAGAACGACATTATCCCCACCGACACGATCCACCACCTGTTTGGCAACCTGAACACCCTCGTCGACGTCCAGCGCCGCTTTCTCATCTGCGTCGAGGAGAACGCCAGGCGGCCGGCCGATGAGCAGCACTTTGGACACGTCTTTCAGACCATGGTGAGCGCAGCACAGCATTCATTGCCTTGCTAAGAAGGAAAAGAAGTAGCGAGATGAACTGACCTTTGCCCGTCTTTCGTGCGTGTGCAGGAATCCGACTTTGCCGTCTACGAGCCGTTTTGCGCAAACTACGCCCAGGCCCTGGACATTATCAACACCGAGGCACCCAACCTGACGCAGCTGCGAGGCCTGCCGGGCTCTGACGGCTGCTACCTCGACCCGTCATACGAGCTGCCGACATTTCTGATCAAGCCGGTGCAGCGCATCTGCAAGTACCCGCTGCTGCTCGAGCAGCTGCTCAAAAAGAGCGGCGAGGACGCGCCAAACTATGCCGAGCTCAGCGACGGCATCACCGTCATCCGCAGAATCACCGACAAGGTCAACGAGACCCGGCGGCTCCAGGAGAACATCCAGCTCGTGCGCGACCTCGAGACGCGCGTCGACGACTGGAAGGGCCACACAATCAACACCTTTGGCAACCTGCTTCTCTCCGACGTCTTTATGGTCTCCAAGAGCGATACGGAGCGCGAGTACCACGTCTACCTGTTTGAAAAGATTCTGCTGTGCTGCAAAGAGGTGCTGCCAAACCAGCCGAAAAAGGGGAGCAAGAGCAACTCGCTCCTCAAGCAGAAGCAGACGGTCACGCCGACACCGCCGGGCAAGAAGCCAAAGACGCAGCTCCAGCTTAAAGGACGCATCTTTATCAACAATGTCACGGGCGCCTTTTCCGCCTCGAACAGCAAGGTTGGCTCTATGCTCGGCACCACACCCGCTTCGGGCCAGTATGCGTTGCAGGTCTGGTGGCGTGGCGATGTGGACCAGGAGTCGTTCAGCCTGCGCTGCAAGAACGAGGAGCAGCTCAAGCAGTGGCAGGCGGCCATCACGAGGCTCATCGAGGACATCAACCAGCGCCGGCAGCACATGGCTGCACACTACAGCCAGACGGGCGGCATCTCGCCTGGCTCGATCAACATGGCCGGTGCAGGCGCCAACGGAAGGAGGAACACGGGCAGCTCCCTCGGACATGGCCCCTCCATCTTCCCCCAGACGCCGCTGACAGAGGTCGCGCCTGCGTTCCCATTTACGAGAACCGACTCCCAGTCGAGCCATCGAGGACTGAGCAACGCTGGCACAGCATCCGCCGCCGTCGCGGCAGCCGTCGCAGCAAGCGGCGACGACGAGTCTGGCTTCGAGCCTGCTTCGGGCCGCGGCACGCCCCTGGGCGGCCGATACTCGCAGCCGGCGGAACAGAGAGAACGGCAAATGTCGCTCACGGCTGAATCCAGGCCGAGGGCAAGGACAGAGGACCAGGAAGGCTCGCTGATGTCGCAGTGGCGATCCCACTCGCCCGCCATGCAGCCCTCGATGCCGGCCAGCAGTGCAAACTACCCCTACGGCCAGGGTCAGGGCCACCCTCCCCTGCCGAGGGGCTCTTCTTCGAGCTCCAACATGGACCTCCCCGGCACAGCCTCGCAGCAGTCCCACCCCACATTGTCGACACAGCAGATCCGCAAGGCGTCGAGCAGCCGGCAGCTCCGCCAGCCGGGCTATGCCACCATCCAGGGTGGCTACCCAAGACCGCCGCGCCAGGCTGCCTTCAATGGCGGTGTCGGCGGCGGCAGCAGCAGCAGCAACGGCATCGACATGTCGTCTTCAGACGTCGACAGCCCCTCGGAGCAGCTCGAGAGCCTGTCTTTTGGGCCGAGGAGCAACCTTCACCGAGGGAGCGAGACGTCTGCGCAAGCGGCGGCAGCAGCAGCAGCGGCAGCGCAGGCTGCCATGCATACAAGGAGCCGATCGGCGAGCAACCCGGCGCAGTATGCGAGCCCGTTACCGATGGCACCGCCTCCACCGATGCCGAGAGGGCCCTACGTCCACACCAGCATCAACGAGCAACAACAGCAACAGCATCAGCAGCAGCAGCACCAACAGCAACCGCCCGCCTCGCATCCTATCCAACATCAGCTCAACGACAAGCGCTTCAGCTCGTCGAGCATCTCGACGCTCGATTCGGCCCGCTCTGGTCATTCAAGACCTGGCTCTACGGCCGCGAGCTCGCCCATCACGCTCAGTGGCGGCAGCTCCGGCGGCTCTGTCTCGAGCAGTGCCATCAAGCTCAACGTCACTTACGAGGGCGAGCGCGTCGTCGTCGTCACCCTGGCTCAGATTTCGTATGCGGACCTCGTCGAAAAGATTTCAAAGAAGCTGCGCCAGGTCTTTTTCTCATCGTCGCCCTCGAGCAGCAGCGGCTCGGCGAGCCACCAGCACCTTGCGGCGCAGAACCTCAAGATCCGCTATGTCGACGAGGACGGCGACAAGGTCTGGATGGGCAACGACGACGATGTGCAGATGGCCTTTGAGGCGGCCCGAAACGGCGGCCAGGAGGGTGTCGAGCTCATCGTCGTCAACTCCGCCTCATAGCCCTGCTCTCGCTTTCTTTCTCTTTCACTTTTCTGCAACGAACTTTTCCTCCTCCTCCTCCTCCTCCTCCTCCTCCTCCTCCCCCTCCTCCTCCTCCTCCTCTCCTCCTACTCTTTGTATTTGTTAACGATCCTTCTTCCCCCCACTTTCGCTTTTCGTCATTCTTTCTTCTCATCAGTCTCACTTCCAGCAGCGCACCCCGCAGCTCTCTGGCGCGCTCTCTCTCTCTGGGCCATTCATTTTTCTCGATTTCTTTGCTCTTCCTGTTTCTCTCCCTCTCTCTCATCAATCGGATCTTCATGACGAACCAATCGCACTGTGCCTCCCGTCCGTCTGGTGCAGTAACTCGTCCCGCTCACTGGCCCTTATCCAAGGCAGCAATCAAGCCAACTCATCATGCTCTCTCCAAAAGCATTGATCGCAGCATGGAAGAATGAAGAGGTGCGTCGATTTCGATCCAGATTAATTACAGCAGCTTTCCTCTCAACCTCCCTCCCTCCCTCTCCTTCCTTCTTTCTCCTTACGATTACGAACTGTGTCCTGCACACCTACATTCCTTCCCCTCCCCTCGGGCCTACTGAGAATTAGCTTTCTATACATTTGTGTCCACGGTCCGGTCCTTGTTGTGTAATTAGCATCGAAGCTGTTGTTCCCGTGAGAATCCCTAGCTGTCAAAGTGATTAGAGGAGCGAAGTGAGAAGACGAGAAGAGAGAGAGGCAAGAAGAGCGAGAAATTATGATGGGAGCCCGGCAGAAGAGGAAGAATCAGTCACTGGAGGCGTCCTGGATGGAGATGCGAGTAAAGTGGTTTGAAGTGTCCTGAAGAGAAGGCGTAGAGGCTGTCCGAGCCGTAGGCGTAGCAGTCGAGGGAGACGGAGGCAGCCGAGTGGGGTTGCGCGGGACAAAGACGGATGTCCATGGAGATTGGAGCGCAGTCTTGAACACCTGCGAAGAAGAGGAAGCCGCTGACGACGATGTGGAAGCCGTGGCTGACGAGGAGCAAGCTTGCGCCTTTATACTTCGAGGTGGCGATGATTTTCGCTTGGGTACGGTCCCGATCGGTGCATTCCGCCAGAGGGCTGCGCTGGAGCTTTCGGTGTCCTCCTCCGTCTCGCTACAATGAATGTGAGCAAACGCGTCGTCTTCGTCTTCGCCTTGGCCGCGCAGCGCCTGCTTCGTCGCGCCGATGGTGAGTGACGACGGTGGCCGTTCCTCGGGTCGCGACGAGACGCGAGGCGAGGGCATCGGCGACGAGGATGAGGAAAGCGTTGGCCACGGTGACGTCGAGAGATTGTTTGGGATGCTGATGGGCATCGACGTTGGCACGAAGCTGCTGTTCCAGATCTCCCTGTCATTGCTCGTGGGTGCCAGCACTCCACCATCGCCAAGGTGAATCGAAGGAATTTTGACAGGAGGTGCGAATGGGTCTGGCGAGGACCGTGCCAGCGTGCTACCGTCGTAGGACCGCGTTTTTGCAGTGCCATGCTGCAGCTGCTGTTGGTGTACCGTCGCGGACGAGAGAGAGGTGGGCAGCTGCGGCCTGGAGCGGACCCTGTTGATAGCGAGACCAGTCGGTGCACTGTGATAGTCTTGGTGCTGACGATGAGCCAGAGACTGAGGCTGGTGCTGGTCAAAGGCCGGGAAAGAGTAGAAGGGGAAGCCGTCTACCTCACCCGTCCCGGACGGCATCGACACGGGTACCGACGAGGGAGTGGAGAGGCTGCTCGACGACGAAGACAGCTGGCTGTGACTGTGCGTCATCGGTGGGGCAGCAGAAGCAGCAGCAAAAGCCGCAGCACCGTTGGCGGCGGGACTTGGGACCGGAGCTGGGGCCGGTGCCTGGAGCATTGGCGCTGGCATGGACGTGTACGTCGGCGTGCTGGCGCCGCTGCCGTTGCTGGCGCATCCCAGCGCGGCTTGCTGCTGGAGGTGGAGCAGCATGGGCGAGTTGGGCGGTGCTGCTGCGAGGTAATTGGCCAGGCAGATGCTCGCCTTGATGGCCGTCGAGTGCGGGTCCTGGTCCGCGCAGGGAAAGCACTTCATGCAGTACCGTCGCCTCCTCCAATTGGTGAAGCCGCAGAGGCAGCACCACCAGTCGCCCGGCTGGGGTTGCATCGGCCCCACGTTTCCCGTGTTCTTGATCGGCGGACCTTGACCGTTGGCCAGCGGTGGCTTTGGGTTGGCCCCCGCGCCAATGTCGATGCCTCGCTGGTAGAGGTGCATGAACGTCGAGTGCGTTGGAGCCATGTAGCCGGGCGTGGTGCTGGACCACGGCGTCGCTGTCCTCGTCGACGAAGACGAAGACGCGGAAAGGGTGCCGGAAGCTGACTGTGCCGCTGCCGCTGCCGCTGCTGCTGCTGCTGCCGCGATGGCCGCCGCTGCTGCAGTGACGTGGGATGGAGCATGCGACGGCGTGACGGGCGCCGAGGTGAAACCGGCCTTGGATTCGTCAATCAGCGTCGACGGGAGCGACAGAGACGATGACGATGAGGAAGACGACGACGACGGTCGAAAAACGGCGGCCGACGGAGAGACAGACAAGTGTGTAGACCTCGTCGGCGCCCTCAACGGCTGTTGAAAGTAGCCGTCCTCAACAGTAACCGACGGTGGTGTCGAGACCAGCAGAGGTTGTTGTTGCTGCTGTTGCTGCTGCTGTTGCTGCTGCTGCTCGACGGCTGCAAGCGCGGCACTTTTGGCCGAATCCATCTCGACGAGCTTCCTCAGGCGCGGAGGCAAATTGCTAGGGGGCAAGCACCGCTTGACGGAGCCGTCGACAAGGAGCTGCCCGTCGCTGTTTCTCGTCTTGAGCAATGCTTGAGTTCCTCCTGCTCCTCCTACAGACGACGACGACGACGACGACGATGCAGCAAGGCCCAGGGGCTTGTGCGTGCCACACTGGTTACAAGTCGAGTTTCTCTGCAGCAGCCAGATCGTCAACTCGCAGTTTCTACGATGGCTGGAGTGTATCACTCACGGCAAAATTGTGGTAGGCTGTCATCAGTAGATGCACATATGAAACACCAGTCAGCCTTGTCGATTCACTTTTCAGCGATGTGCATGGGTTTGCGACTCACAACAATTGTACGACGGACAGACCCAATCTGCAGCCAACATGGGAGGGCAAGGTCAGCCTAACCCTTTCAAGCAGCAAAAGAAAATTGGGGAAATGGTAGAAATGAGCACCCACCCCCATGCCTGAATTGCACATCGGGCACCACGTCGTCGATGGCAGGCACCACACTCGCTTGCTGGGAGGTGTCATCCACGAAGGCTGACGTGGTTGCTATGCTGCTGGTGGTGCTGCTGCCCGCGAGACTGTTGCTCCTCCGTCGGGCGTCGACGCCAGCGAGCGAGAGGACCTCTGCGCTGGCACCGGGTCCCCTGGTGGCGGTCAGGGCAATTTTAGGGCTCGAAGCCAGCTTGCTTGGACGAGATTCAGCAGCACTGGATGCCGTTGCATGCGTGCTTGCGCTGGTCATCGACTGCTTATGGACGCCAGGCGGTTCCGGCTGGGGCTGTTTGGCAGACGGTGGCTAACATGGGATGAGATAAGTTGGGACAGGGAGTCAGGCTCAGCGTGTTGTTCTGCTTGTCTTGACGGGCAAACCCAGGTAGAGAGGGAGGAAAAGGGGAGGGAGAAAGAGGCTCGTATCGGCCTTGGCTATGGAGTCACTCTCACCTTCCGAGGTAAGGACTTCATCGCCGTTGTCGTACCTGCTCCAACGGAAGTAGCGGCCGCTGCTGCTACTGAGGCCGGTGACATTGAACCGAGAAGCGAGTAGGGAGAGCGAATCGGTGCTGTCAGTATCGATCCAGGGCGGGCGGGGTGCAAATATGCTCGCACTCACCAAAGGCTGTCACAGAGGTGAAGAGTAAAGAGGGACAGTACGAGCAAGGACGGACAATGAGGGTTTGAGGGACAAATGAATGTAAGGAAGAGAAGAGGAAGTAATGAGACGAGAAAGAGCCGCGATGGGCTATGGAGGGAGGGAAAAGGAGGAAGGGGCAGACGAGGGGGCGATCCAGTTTGCCGCCCGTCCGCGGCGAGGGAGGCTGAAGGGCTTTTTTCCCTTTGTGTTGTATGTATACGAGAGAGGGATAGAGAGAGAGATTGAAGATTTGAATGCTTGCCAGGGACGAAAAGAGCGATGGACGAAACAGAATCCGGGAGGAGACGAGGGGGACGGGAGGTGCTAGTGTGATGAGGAGCACAGTAGAGTCCGCCGACGCCCCTCCCTTCTGGGATGAGTGGACTGCAGTGAGCTCCGACGAGAAAAACAAAAACAAGGGCGATAAACCTAGGGACCAGTAAACACCCACTCTGTCCGGGGAGGAAGAGAGAGGGAGAGGGGGGGTGGGGTGGGGTGGGGGTGGGAGATAGAGCGAGGAGCACAGCACTGCAGGGCGGCCAAGGGCGGCCGATTGCTGTGGCTGTTGTGAAGAAGGGAGAATGAAGAGAGGGACGAGGAGAGGGTTGCTGGGGATGCGCCCCTCCTTCTCGTTGATGAACAGGTGCCGGCGATGTCAATTGGGAGACAGAGACTGAGGCTACGATCGTAAAGTGCTTTTGTTCTTGGGCAACCCATCGGGGCTCCGCGCGGTACAGCGACCCCTGGTGTCAAGTGGCGAGATTAGATCCTCTCCCATCCCCTTTCCCCCCTGTGCCCCTCGCCGCGGCCAGACCGGGCCGTGTTGATGTCAAATGACGAGCGCGCCCTGTCTGTCTTTCTCGCTGGGCGCCGCTTCTCGTCCCTTTTTTCCCTTTCTTTCCTGTCCTTCCTCTTTGCTCGGCGCTTCAAAAGTCCTGCTTTTCGCACAGTCCAGGGCAGCAGGCGACAGACAGAGAGCGTCAGCGCGGACGCGTCTCGCAATGGAGACCGGAGACGGAGGAAGGAGGTGATGACACAAGACCAAGAAAGGGCGGACGAAATGAAAAAATTCCACAGAGGAGGACCGAGCACACAAAGGAGGGGACCGGGCAGGGGCCGGGCACAACATACAAGAAGACAAAGGGTGACGGGCCAGCTCTGCGCGCACGCGTGGCTGACAACAAGGGAGGACGTGCAGGTAGGCAGGCGATCAGAGCGCCGCCTTTGACTCGCCGATGCGCTCTCCGACGCGGACAAAAGTTTCGATGCCTTTTAGCGAATTGGCCTGGATGTCGCCGTCCCACTTGACCTTTGCGGCCGGCGGGAAGACGGCTATGCACGTTGAGCCCTGGAGCGAGGGGTATTAGGTCAGCAGTGATGATAGTCTTGCCAACCGAGAAGAAGCGTCCTCACCCCGTAAGCAAAGTAGCCCAGTTCCTCGCCCCGCTTCCCGTTGGAGCCGACGTCAGAGTTTGTCCAGTTGATCGACCCCACGAGCATAGCACCGACGGCGACAAAGGCCACCTTGGCCTTGACGGGCTCCCAGTCGAGAAGCACCACTTGACGAGTGTTGGCTGTGAAAACATCGAAGTTTTCACCGACAGCCTCAGGGTTGACGGTATAGTACTCCTTGCCGAGGTGAGTCTTTTCTCCCATTTTTACGGGCCCGATGGCATGGTGGAATCGATGGTAGTCGGCAGGCGCCAGTCGAAACAGGGCAAGAGAGGAGCCGGGCGGGAACAGGTCGCCGTTCTTGTCAGCGCCGCCCAGCAGGTTGGGCAGGGAGAATTGCTGTCCCTTGATCCAGATCTTTGTCGCAGACTCGACATTGTCAAACACCATCAGCCGGCAGTCTGCCGCCGATGAAATGACCTTGTCGTTGTTTGGCTCAGCAATGGGGCGCGCACCGGGCTTGAGCTTGCGGTAGAAGAACGAGTTGCGGGTCGGGTATTTGGTGAGGTCCTGTTCGGCCAGATCGTCTAGCTTGAGCTCGTACGTCTCGATGAAGCTCTTGATGAACTTCTGTACATCTTCTGGGTTCGAAGCGTCGTCGTATGTCACTCCCTGCTTCTTGCTCATCGTCTCGAGCAGGTGCTCGACGCTGGCATAGCGGAGCAGCGACGCCTTCCTGCTCCCGTAGAAGAGAAGGTGCATGCCCACGCGCACGTACAGCGGCATTTCCTCGAAGAAGCGCTCGTTGCCGCCGCGCACGGCGACATAGTTGCCCATCTTCATCCGCACAAAGTCATCGTCGATGTTCTTCGTCGACAGGCACGGCACCCAGCCGGCGAGGAAGGACTTTTCCTCGTCCTTCTGCGGCTGCTGCGTCGCCGGCTGCTTGCTTCCTTTCTGGTCGACCGAAGTTCCAATGTGTGCTGAGGCGAGAGTCTTTTAGCAACACAATCCGCCACTTTGCAAGGCCTCGCTGCCATCGGCGCTTGCTCAACAGCTTATCTCCACTCACCCCCCGGCACCGTTTTAGACTTCTCCACGAGGTCCTCCAAGCGCTGGGCCGCCTCATTGTGCTTGCCCTCTTCCGGCGCATGCTTCCCCTTAAAGGGGCTAAGCACATGGGATGGCTTGTTCTCTGACGTGCTCATCCTCTCTTCTGTGCGCTTCTACTAATCTTGTGGGAGCGTCGACAGAAGAAGGAAGTCTCTGCCTGTGAATCGCAATTCCGAATCGCCGGCATCTTCCCCTCGGCATATGGCCCAAAAATAAGAAAGGAGCAATAGTGGGCCGTGTGCGCGCGCGTGCGCATGGGCCACCTCTTCTATCTGCGACCCGCACGTGGTTAATGGCGTGAGGTTTTCCACAGCGCGCACAGCGAGGCCAGAGCCAGCGTAATTTCGCAGGGGACGGTTTTCCCTCAGTCAGTGTGCCCGCACACAGAGAAAGGCCCGCCTATCTGACTGCTACTGAAGGGCACGCACACGCACACAGGCGCGCGCCCGCTTCTACAGCCTTTGGAAAATCAAAGCCTGCCCCTACAGTGGAGCCTCCCTTTATCCCCTTCCATAGGACAACTCCCTCTTCTTCCCTTCTCCAACCTCATACGACCGTCGCAGAACGTCGTCCAAAGCCATCCAAGACCACAGGTGAGCACCTCTTGATCATTGGATGCTGTGAGAATTTTTTTCTTTTTTCCTCTGCCAGCGGGCAGGGCCTGGCGGGGAGAGAGGCGCGTCTCTGCCCTGCCTGCCAGCCTAGGGAGCGCGTTCGCGCCTCGCCGCCTGGCTGGGCCTGCCTATACGCTCATAGAGCCTGGCGGGGGGGACACTACCCAGCCAGGCTGGACAGGCATATGCTAGCATATAGACAGCACTTCAGCATCGTCATATTGTCTATGCTTCGAGTGAATTGAGTCGCTTCAAGGGGCATGTTAGCTGACGAAATCCATCCATCCATCCACTCCCTGCCCCCCTTCCCGTCGCCATCACCCGCTCTCCAACCATACGCTGCTGGTGCTGACGCCCTGCCTGCCAACGCGTCTCGCGTACGCGTCACGGGAAACCAACACACCAACACAACAGCGTCAGCACACCTACCCGTCGTCACCACAACCACCACAATGGCCAAGGAATCCAAGGCCAAGCCCTCGGCGCAGGCAGCCGCCGCCGCGCCCAAGAAGGCTTCGCGATCCAAGAAGGATGCCGGTGCGCCCAAGAGGGCCCTTAGGTGGGTTGCCTGTCGCTCTTATGAGCGGGAGAGAAGCCTAAATTTCTAAGCTCATGCTCATCGAACGACGTCTTCTTTCCACAGTGCATACATGTTCTTCTCCCAGGACTGGAGGGAGAGGATCAAGCAGGAGAACCCCCAGGCCAGCTTCGGTATGTTCACCTCCCTCTGTCCCTGATTTGTTGGTCTCTTCATCATCGCTGACATCGTCTATTTCAGGCGAGGTCGGCCGTCTGCTCGGTGCCAAGTGGTCCTCGCTGTCGGACTCTGAGAAGAAGGTGAGTCCTGCTCCATCTCCCCTTCTTCTGAGCAGGAGACTGACCACCTTGTCCTGCAGCCCTACCAAGACATGGCTGAGCGCGACAAGCAGCGCGCCGAGACCGACAAGGCCGCCTACGTAAGTCTGCGCTTCACAATTTGATCACTTGCCGGAAGCTAACCTCGACCTGATGCAATCTCTCTCAACAGAAGGAGGCCGGCGGCGGAAAGAAGAAGACCAGCAAGAAGGCCGCCAAAGCCCCTGAGCCTGAAGACGATGACGAGGAGAGCGACTAAGCGAGACAACATGGACTTCCCTTTGTCCCCGCTTGGATAGATCTCTACCTCTTCTCGTTCTCTGGTCTACGTGTCTCTATTCCCGTGTAACAATTTTCACCCCTTCTCGCTCGCTCCCTCCTCGACCGTAACAACGTCGGCGGAAGGAGAGACGAGGACGTCCAATCCTCCTCCCACCCAAACCCTCTTCCCTCCCTCTCTCTTGCGCCCGCTGTACTCCTTCTCTTCTTCTCTTGTGTTCATGATATGACTCTCTAGGAAATCACAAAACCCACCGGCTCGCCTTATTGCTAGCAGTAACAGGGAGTGGGATGCCAGTAGAGCTTAGCTGTATATGCGTTCGTATTCCAACACCGACCATCGATGCAAAGTGGCTTAAGAAGAGGTCCTACAAAGGGTAATACCGGTCCGCTTCACAAGCCCATCTTTGCCACGGCGCCCGCGATGCTGATCGCGCCCCAGTCTGGTCCCCTCTCGCGCTGCCCGTCGGTCTCGTCGTAGGAGGCAGCCTCGAGGACTGCGGCCTCTTTGCGCTGCTTGATGTGCACGAGCTGCGCCTTAAAGTGCCTCGCGCATGCCTCGGGGCTGCCCGCCAGGAGGCCCTCCATCATGCCGGCACCGCCAGCGCCAGCCCCTGCGCCGCCACGCTGGTGCGAATGGTGGTGGTGCTGCTGCTGGTCGGCGCTGCCGTCGGCGCCCTGCATCTGCTGGATGCTCTCGAGGCCATTGGCAATGAGCTCGACGAGGCTGTTGATGTACTTTGGCGCGACCTCGTCGACCTTGCGCTCAAAGTAGTACAGGTAGCTGTCCAGCGCCGAGCAAAAGATTTCGACCGTCGACCGCTCGTCGATGCAGCCGTTTGCGATGCGGAGCGCCTTTTGCAGGCACTCGAGCACCCGCTTGCCGTCGCGCAGCAGCACCACGTCCGACGCTGCGGTTGGCGATGCCAATGACGAAGAAGAAGAAGAAGAGCTCGCAGTCGCGGTGTCTGCCTCCTTCTTTTCCTTTTTCTTTGACGCCGTTGCTGCTGCTGCTGCTGCTGCTGCTGCTGCCTTCTTCTTCGACGCTACGGCAGCCGGCCGCGTCGCCAGGTCCTCTTGCCACCAGAGATGCGATGCGAGGAGCACAGCCGACGCCTGATGGGGCTTCTTGAGCAGCTTGGCGCCGTGCAAGGCCGCCTTGGTGATCAGCCGGTCGTAGTTGTCGGGCCCGAATACCCTGGCCGTCTGGAGCGTGGCAATGATGAGGCCAATCGCCTGCAGCTGGGCCTTACTCTCGCTGATGGACTCCTCGTAGATTGTGAAAGCCTGGACATAGAACTCGTACGAGAGCTCCTCGAAGCCGGCTTCGTCTGCGCTCTGGGCAGCGAGCAAAAAGAGGCGCAGGCACAGCTCCGACGACGTCTCGACGCGGTTGTAGAGAATGGTGATGACCTGGTGGACGAACTTGTAGAGCGTCATCATCTTCGACTCCCAGCCGTCGCCCTCGAGCTTCTCGCGGACCTTGTAGCGCCGTGCGAGCTTGATTGCAGACACAATGAGCGGCGGCAGCGTGAAGCGGATGCGCTCGCCTCCCTCGACAAAGTGACGGCGGGCCGTCTGAAGCAGGCTGAACTGGGTCTCGAGGTCGTCGGACCGGAAGAGGTGGATGGCCCTTGCGACCCAGCCCTGCTCCTCGGCCATCTCCTCGAGATCCATCTGCGCCTGCTGGTGCTGGCGGTGGCCCATCATCTGCCGGTTCATATTGTTGTTGTATGCCATCTGCTGTTGCTGCTGAAGGTGATGTTGTTGTTGCTGCTGCTGCTGTTGGGCCTGCTGCTGCATGTGAGCATATCGGGCGTCCTGGGCGTGCGGGTGGATTGGCTGTTGGCCGTGACCGTACATGGCGCCCTGATAAGCGCCACCAGCGTTCATCTGGTGTTGCGGAAGATGTTGGGGATGGTGTTGGTGGGGCAGCGTCGCGTCGCGCTGGTCCTTGACGAGGGTGCTGCACAGCTCCAGCACCCCGTCGACATCCTCGGGCGTCGACATGACCGTCTCGTTTCGCAGCACCGACATAAGGACGGCGTGGGCGATGTTTTTCCGTGTCGCATATGGCTGCACCGACAGGAGCGCATTGTAGTTGGGCAGGGCCAGGAGCGTGAGGATGGAGAGGTATGCATTGATGGGCGAGAGGAGCAGCGCATTGAGGTTCGACGCCGTCACGGGTGTATGCAGGTCCGGGCTCTGCTGGAACTCGCCGACCTTTTCGCGGGCAAAGGCCAGCACCTGGTCCACGTACTCGAGCTGATCCGGGTAGCAGCTCAGCGACAAGTTGGCAAGCGAGACAAACAGAGCAGTGATGTCCTGGATCGACAGGTCGGGCCGTGCTCGGATCAGCTGCACCACCTGGGCCCAAAAGACCTCAAACAGCTTGACGTCCTCGGGGATACCCCTGAACTTCTTGCCTGGCTTGCTCTTCTCGATTGGCGGCGGTGGTGGGGCCTGAGCCGCTTGCGTTTGTTGCTCTTGCGCTTGTGCCTGATTCGCAGGAGGCGCACTGCTGCTGTCGCCATTTGGCGCCGAGGCTGCAGGCTCCTTTGGTGCCTTTGTAGGCGGCGCTCCAGACGTCATCTCTTGCTCGGGCTGCTCGCCCGTCGACTCAACTGCCCCGTTGGCAGCACCATCGACATCCGTTGCCGAGTCAGACGAGGAGGAGGCCCATGCATTGGAAGAAGAGGCGGCCTCGTCGGGAGTTGTCGTCGATTGGGATGAGGACGAGGCAGCGGTAGAGGCCCATGCATTCTCGTCGTCCATGCCCTCTGGGACAGTATTGAAACGCGACTCGGTCTGCGAGTTGTGCGTGGCGACGTTGGGCGCGGCTGCGTCATCAGGATCTGTCGCAAAGCCAGACGGCTCCACAGCGGGTGCCGAGACGCCAGCAAAGCCTGTCGGAGACTTGGGCTCGGCGACGTCGTGTCTGGCTCCCTCGCCCTCGGCAGCGGCCACCTCGTCCCAGACGGAGCTGGGGCCCTTGCTCTGGCCGGTGACGCGCATGTTGGCCGTCTTCTCCGCCAGCTTGCGGCTCGCCTCCTGCTCCTGCCGCCGGATCTCCTCTGGGCTGTCATTCTCGGCCTCTCTGGCCGCATAGGCTGCGAGACGATCGATGAGGGCAATGACGATGTTCTTGATGTTGACCTTGGGGTGCAGCTGGGCGCATGCAGAGAGAAAAGGGCCCAGGGTGCGGAGGTGGAAGTCGTCGGGAAAGACCTGGATAACAACCTCCATGAGGTACTCTTGCGCAATGACGTCCTTGCAATTGACGACCTGCTCGAGGATGCTGGGCAGGATGATGCGCCGATACATCTCCAGGTCCATGCCCTCGAGCTGGCTCAGGCGCACGAGATTGGTGCCGACGAGGATGCGGAGCTCCTTGCGCTCCATCTCGCGCTTCTCGCGGTCCCGCGAGTGGCCCTGGTGCTGCAGCCTGACCCAGAGCTTGTTCATCTCGATGAAGTTGGTGAGCACGAAGCCGATCGAGTCCTGCAGATTGCCCCCAGGGCCCATGTCCTGCCCCACGGGGAGGTGGTCGCGGGTGGCGCCGCTGAGATAGTGTCGCAGAAAGAGACCGCGGGTGGGATGCTGGACGCCCCGGCTCATCTCCATGACGTCCTTCATGATCTCCTTGATGGGCGCCTCGGGGATCGACATGTAGACGGAGCCAACGGTGATCATGAGGTAGAGGCGCGGCACGATGTTGCCGCAGTACTGCACCAGCTCGTACAGGTCCGCCAGGTGGTGCTTGCCTGTCGTGTGCGCATCGTAGAGGTAGATGGACAGGTGTCGCAGCGCATCGAACACGGCCATGTCTGTGGTAGGAAGGGTGAGCTTTGAATCATGTCACTCTCGCTCCCCACGCTCAGCTCACAAAGATTGTAGTAGCTCTTGGGTGTCAGCGACGAGGTGCGGAGCTCCGAGAGCATCGTCGAGGCCGACTTGAGAGCGTCCATGAGCATCTCCGAGTCCTGTGCTCCCTGTCAGCATCCTCCGCTGCATGCTCAATATCATCTTCACCATCAAGACTCACCAGGCATCGCTTCATCTGCACCGACTGCACCTTGACGACGTTGAGCGCCTCATTGAGGATTTTGGAAGACTCGTCCATCTTGCACAGCTATCGCTTCTCCCTTCGCTGTGCAGCGACCTGTTCTTCTCTTTGCGTGCGCGAGAAAAGTAGAGATAGAAGGGACCAGGAGCCGCAGATGATCCCGCCCGCTCACTCCAGCCTTGCGCGCGCGCTCACGTCCGAGAGAGAGCCGGCAAAGAGGAGACAAAAGCGTCGAGTCGGGAAGGCGACGTGAGCGTCTTTCTTCTTCTTCTTCTCAGGGCCAATTGGTTCTCAGGGGAGCGACGTTCGCAACCTGCCTGCGCACGCGCGCCTGTGTAATTGTGTGTGCGACCCCCAGAGGGCGCTGTGCTCTATTTTCTGCCACGCGCGTGCGATTCAAGGTCTGGCAGCCAGCCCACTCCACTTGGATTTGGGATTGGATTTGGATTCAAACTTCGCGCGCACGCACGCACAAATAGGGTGCTGACAGGAGAGAGAGAGAGAGGAGGCCAGCCACAGACAGCCCCTTCCGTCCCTTCTCCTCGTTTGCAGTATAGGAGACGCAAGATGGCAGCAGCCTCGCGCGGGAGTGTGGACGACGAAGAAGCCACGCCGCTCCTTGGGTCTCGCACATCGACGGAGACGGCGGCGGCAGCGACCACGACGACTGCAGAGGACCTGGACGCACGCTTCAAGCGATGGCTCGACTACGTCGCCCGTCTGGCCAAACGGGGCAAGGGTGACCGGGTCGAGTCGACAGCGAGCTTGCTCGTAAGCGTATTTGAAAAGGAACCCGAAGATGCGCAGTGGTCCGTCGCGCCTCCCCTCGTCGGCACCGGCAAGGTCGACTGGGACGGCTTCATCTCCCAGGCTGCTTTCCAAGAGTGAGTCTCTCTCAAGCTCATCGACTGCGCTCACCCAAGCTGACTCCAATTCCGCTTCAGGCAGCTCTTCCAGGTCAAAAGGGCCATCACGAGGGGTGTGCATCCCAAGATGATCCAGACGGGCAGCTCAGGGTCCTACTTTGCCCGCGTCCTGGTCGATGAGGAGGACGAAGGTGACGGCGCGCATCTCACAACACAGGAACCTGGCTCAGAGCTTACGGATGGGAATCAGAAAGGGCAAGGAAGGATCAACGGCGCACAGACAAGAGCCACTGGCGACCACAAGCACCACCGCACACGAACTGTGGCCGTTTTCAAGCCAAACGACGAGGAGCCGTACGGGAACCTGAATCCCAAGCGGGTGCTGTTGCGACGCTACCTGTGGTGGGCAATGGGTCGGCCCTGCCTCATTCCCTCGTTTTCCTACCTCTCTGAGGTTGGCGCCTCGCTGCTCGACGATCGCCTCTCCCTCGGCATCGTGCCCAGCACCCGTCTCGTCGCGCTGTCCAGCGAGGCCTTTTCCTACCCGCGCGCAGACCGCGAGCGACGGCTGTTTCGCGAAAAGATGGGCTCCTACCAGCACTTTCTCTCTGGCTACGTCAACGCCAGCACCTTTCTCCGTGCCCATCCGTGGCCCAGTCGGCCCAGGAGCCTGCTCGAACAGGACCTCGAGGCCGAAAACACGGCACATGGGCGAGCGAGGACGAGAAAGGGAAGGGCAAAGCGGCGGAGACAGGCCATCAAGAGGAAGAAGGAGCGGCGAGGCTGCCTCGGCCCGCTCTTCAGCTGCTATTTCCCGAGTCGTGACGGCGTTGACGATGGTCAAGAACTCGGAAGGGACAGGCTTGGCGACGGAAACGGGGAAGAAGAGGAAGAGGAAGAAGACGACGATGATGATGAAGAGGAGGAAGAGCAGGGCTTCGTCTGGACTAGAGAGCTGATGCAGGACTTCCGGCTTGAGCTCGAGAAGCTCGTCTGCTTCGACTACCTCCTCCGCAATACCGACCGTGGCCTAGACAACTTCATGGTCAAGATCACCAAACCTGCCGAAGGAGGCCAGGCCAGCAGTCGCTTGAGGCTGGCTGCCATCGACAACAGCCTCGCCTTTCCCTGGAAGCACCCCGCGGGCATTCGGTCCTACCCATGGGGCTGGCTCTACCTGCCGACCGACCTCATCGGCGGCTCGTTCAGCGACGAGACCCGCTCGGCCTTTATATCTCGCCTCTCTGACGCCGCCTGGTGGCATACGACGACGGAGCAGCTGCACGATCTCTTTCAGCAGGACCCACACTTTGACGAGGCCAAGTTCAAGGGCCAGATGGACGTCCTCCGCGGCCAGGGCTACAACCTGCTGCAGAGCCTGCGCAACGACGACGAGGGCCCGCTGGAGCTGTGCGCTCGGACAAAGCAGCTGGTCAGGCAGGATCACAAGGAGCTCAAGCGCGTCCAGGCAGAGGCGCTCCAAGGTGCCCACCTCCGGCTCCACCCCAAGCCCATCGTCGTCCTCAAGCAGACCGGGGACATGGCTCCTCCTCCGCCTATTTCTCGCACGACTTCAGCCGAGAAGAAGAAGCCTGTCCAGATCGCCTCCCCTGCAAAGAAGAAGGCGACGACGACGACAACGAGCGCCGCCCTCGACGACCTCCAGCCGCGATCGCTCCCGGAGACGACGTCTGCCATGCCCGGCCCACAGCGGAGGCCGTCGGCCATCGACAATGTCTCGTCGCCCACGCGGCGATACAGGAGTGAGACGGGAGAAGCCGGCGACGGGTCGGGCGACGCTGGCGAGGGTGACGGAGGAGAAGAAGAAGAAGTAGGGGGAGGCGACGAGGAGGAAGAGCGCCGCATCGGCTCGGCGTACCGAGAAGCAGGCTCAGGCCTCGGCATTGACGTGCTGGCTGAATTTGACAAGCGGAGCAGCCACTCGCGTGCGTCTCGGCGGAGCCGGAGCAAGTCAAAGGCCCCCGTCAGGCCCCGGCTGAAGACGGCCCTCACGGCTGCGCCATTCTTCAAGGGCGACGAGAGCCAGCACCAGCAGCTGCCTGCAGTGGCACGGCGGACGTATGGCTCGAGCGGCGAAGCGGCCATGCGGAGCGGCGGACTCATGTATGACCCCACCACGTCCTCTTCCTCCTCCTCGTCGAGGGCGCACAACTTCCAGAGCATCCAAGCCGTCGTCGAGCGGGCCAACCGGCCGGGACCATCTGCTACCGAGGACGACGACGAAGCAGGAGCAGCAGCAGACGGCGACGCAGAGAGCAGGATGAATATGTCTATCGCGAGCCTGCCCGGTGATAGCGCGACGAGGGATTCAGCCTCCGGCGACGGTGCCTTTGGAGCAGCGAGGACGAGGACGCGGGGCTCGAGCGTGGGTGCCTGGGCTGATGACTCGTCGGACACGACATGGGACGAAGGAGCAGGAGGGCCCGCGAGAGGAGCAAGGGCGCCCCAGGAGAAGCTCAAGCTTGTCGTCGTGGAACGACTCGAGGCAGACGAGGGCGTCGCTTGGCAGACCTACCTGGGACTTCAGTAGATCCGGCCTGCGCCTGTCCATTGCTGCTGAACTGTGTTCACTGTTTGCAGATACCCCCTTACACGCTCTATGCTTCTCTTCATTCCTACCAATACTAGCTTGCTCCGAGTACTTTAAGCCGAAGATCGTGGCGTGCCCGAAGATGCGTACTGCACCCCTTTGCCTTCCTTGTCCTCAACCTGCGTGCCTAGCTGTCTTCAAAGTAGCCTGAAAACTTTCGATACGGGCGATCTTTCATGCTCCTCTTGAAGGTCATCTGTTTTGCCGGTCATCTCTTCCGCCACGACATCTATGAAGCCAACGACCGCGGCTTGCCACCTTCAGCAGAATGGCCCCAATCGTCGAGTAAAAAGCAGTGACGGATCAAATGACTAGATATGGCAGTTGTTGATCTATGAGTACAATGCTGAGCGTCTGAGGTGTATGACTGACAGGGGGGCAAGACGAGGTAAATAATCGGGAGAGCAGCTGGAATGCCGAGCAGATTGGTGCAAGTTGAATATCAAGGGCCTCGATCGGAGAGACTGGCAACAGCTGCTGTTGAAGGAGCTTTGGCCGCTTCGGCGCCACTGCCCGTCTTGAGGCTTCCTGGTGGAAGGCCGTCCTTTCTCGGCCGACCGGGTCCACGCTTGCGCAGCAAGGTGGGGGCCGGTGTAAGGGTATGCTGGTAATGCTGGGGAGATGAGGACTGAGACGACTCGAGGGCGACGAGCTTCGGTAATTCGCGCCTCTCCAATGGAAGAGTGGATGCGAGGGCTGCTTTGGACCGCAGTCCGTAACCCGCCGAAGAGGAGGATGAGGTCGGCGAAGAAGAGAGCTCGAGATCGGAGCGTGTGTGCACGGGCGTCGAGTTGCCCGTTGCGACTCGGATATTGGCAATTGCTCTTGCCGCGCTCGTTGTCTCGCCATCGTCGTGCGGCATCTCGGCAGGTGAACGGCTCCTGGACCGTCGCTTAGGGCTTCGCAGGGAGATAGGGTCCTTTGACGCAGGCCTCTTGCTCCTCCTCGCCGCGTCCAACTTGCTGCTGACGCCGTCACCGGCCTCGGTGGGTGGCGACTTTGCAGTCGAGGCTGTGCTGCCTTGGCCGTCGTCGTGAGCTTCGTCGGTCGTGGCGCGGGTAGAGGTGCTCGCCCCGTCTGCGCTGCTGTGTGTGCCCGCAGTGTCAACCGAAGCGGGGCTGGCGGCGCGCCAATCTCGAAGATGGTCGGGCAAGCCTCCGTGTCGGGGGTCGTGGGACAAGCCAAAGTACAGATGCGAGTTGTCCAGGACCATGTTGTCGTGATCATCATCTTCGAGTTGTTCCCCAGATCGCCTTCGCTCAGCGTCGAGTGCGTCGGCAACGGCTTCTGCTTCGCGTGAAGAGACCGAAGCCGACCGCTCTTCCGCTCTCTGGTGAAGAGAGAGCCGGCTCTGGCGTTGCCGAACGGCATCGCGAGCCTCGAACGCTTCGTCGTCCAAAGACGGCACCGGGCGAGATCGTATCGCCTCGTCCGGCTCGTAGTCGGTCTCATCATCGTCATGCTCTTCATCCGCGCTCTCGCTCCCACTGCGATCCAAAGACTGAGCGTCTCCGTCGTCGGATTGGTCAACATTGGAGCTCCCCTCGGGCGAAGAGGCCAAGTGCAGCGCTTCGAGCGCTTCGAGAGCCTTCTTCCAATCGCCTTCGTTCTGGCGGATATAGAAGCGTGCCGTCCGCAGAGGGATGGGTTCTTGCAAGTGCTCGATGAGAAGCCTCTCGCCGTCTGTCGCTTCTCCCTCTTCCTCTTCCACTTCCTCTTCCTCTTCTTCGTCGTCCCGCCGTCGGCCGTTTGCACCGCTGAGAATGTCGTTGTTCTGACGAGGGCAGGTGAGATCGAGGAGCGATGCGCGCTTGATTCGCGTAGCGGCACTCACCCCTTCGGTCAAGCGAGGCAAGCCGGTATGAGGCCCTCCGATCTTCCGCACGGAACTGTAGTGCTCCCATTTATGGTATCTGCCGAGGCGCCAGCAATGAGGTCAGGAACACGAGCTGAGTAGAAGAGGCTGTGGCATACTCACGCGAGGTAGACAGGACCGTATGCCTCCACAATGGAGCCATCGGGAAGCTTCGAAGGCCCTGCCTGGACAGCCTTACCCTCGTCGCAGTCCTTTCCCTTGCCTCTCTTGATCCGCCGCTGCTCCCGAGCCGTCAAGGGTGCGCCCGTAGCGCCGATAGGCACCTTGCTCTGGTCCTTGCGGCGCTGCCTCTCCTTTCGCTCCCTCTCCCGGTTCGTCCGTCCGCCGTCCTGGATATCGTCCTGAATGTTGAAGTCGTCACCACCGACAATGATTTTGACGACTTTTTGCTTGGCAAAGGCAAATGCGCTGATTTCCTTGTCGCCGCCATAGACGTGGTCCTGACGCATGTTGTGCACGTAGCTCTCCACCTCGGACCCTTCAATGTAATTCCGGAATCTCTCCGGATTTGCCTCGATGTAGTCGCACAGCTCCTGCCGCAGCCTGTAGTGATGTGCTGCGTCGCCATACAATTGGTCCGAGAGGGCTCTGGTTACAAGGTACGACGTTAAGCCTATCTGCGCTAAGATCTAGGAGCCCGAGCGCACATGCATACCTGAAGAGACAGTTGCCATCGCCCTTTGTATCGGCTGCGTAAAGATTCATCTCTTTGAGCCGTCTTTTGAGTCGCAGCTCTGCTTCCGGGTGATCATCTAGATTGGCGAACTGCATGCTCGTACATCAGCATTCATGCCTCTTGACACTTTGCTCTCATTCTCTCCTCCTCACCCTTCCTTTGCGAGACCGCGTTGCTCTCTCCGCTGCGCATGGGCAAAGGACTGTCAGCTGCTGTTGCATCTCGCGGTGGGCCTTTGATGAACCCAGCCATTCTCTTCATTGATAATCTGATCACTTCCGGGCTTGGACTTGGGCGCCCAGCCGGCCTGGCAGGGTCGCGCCCCACAATGGGATAACCGAATGCCCCTCATGGCTCATCGCCTCATTACAGTTGTATACGCTCGGCCATGGAGAAGCAGACGAGAAGCTCATCAAGTTACCTCATCTTCCTTCACCGCAAAATCTGTCTCCATGGGACTTGCCTGGTCACCATCACGCGCCCCCGTCCACCACCGCCCTCCCCCTCTCTCTATCCCTCTGTCTCCATATCGATTTTTTTCTTTTTTTCTTTCTCCTCCATCGAATTTTTTTTTCCTCGTTGTCCCCTTCAATTTGTTTTTCGCCCATATGCCCGCGTCTACCCAAAAATAAAGAGAGAAAAAAAAACTCACCTCCATTGTTGTTGCCTTTCCTGCCGCCGCCGCCGGCCGCCGCAGGCCCCCTACCGGACTTCTTTGCCCGGCGTTGGCCCGCCATGGCTCTCTCTCTCGAAGGGGGAGTCTAATGCCGAGAGGGAGAGAGAGGGGTGAAGGGGGAAAGAGGGTGGGGGAAAAAGGGAGGGGGACCGCCGTCCCTGAGTAGGCGTCGTGAAATAAAGGGAGACGGAGAGAGAGAGATGGGAAATTTGAGGGAGGGTTGTGAGTTGAGTCGATGAAAAAGAGGACGGGGGGAGATTTTGATGATCTCCTCTGCTTCACTACTGCTGCTACTACACTATTGTCCAGCGGGCGACGCCGCTAATGATTTAAAATGCTGAGCTCCCGACAGCAAGTCAAAAGGAGGCCTTTTCAAGCACTCAACTTTCAACTTTTCAAAGGGCGACTATTGAAGAAATGTTTGTATTCGAGAAAAGGAGAAACAGAATGAAAGCCAAGAGAGAGGGTCTGTACGCACGAGCCATCGGCCCGGGTCTCCACCTGGGATTATGCGTTCGCTCGTCCGGAGAACTGAGGCGGTGTCGTGCGTAAGAGAGAGGAAGTCGTGTGAGTCTGCGATCAGCAGCGAACAACCATGGCATCGACAGAGCGAGAGGAAGTATTTCCTGCGCCGCCGCCGTACGAGCCTGTGGGCGGAGGCGGAGCGTCAACGTCGCAGAGGTATGCGCCTCCTCCAGGGCCCCCACCGCCAGACTCTTCCCGCTTGACAACAACAGCAACAGCATATGTCCCTCCTCCAGGTCCACCTCCGCCAGAGGCTGACGCAGCTCCCGGACCACCTCCCTTAGCTGCTGCGCCGCCAATCTACGAGCCCTTCTCTTTCTCGTCGGCGTATGCGCAGACGCATGGCTCGCCACCACGGTGGCATGCGCCGCCAGCCTACCACGTCTACTTTGACAGCACCTCGTCCAAGCTCACCTTCCACCTCATCATCCCTTCCACCGAGCCGCCGTGTGCGTGCGGCACCTCTTTCGAGTGCCAGTGTGGCCGCAGGAGGCCCACGCTATGGACTGCCACGCGCATCGGTGGTGCCACCGTGAGATTCGAGAGGTTCTCGCCAAACAGCGCGACTACCTCACTGGCCTTTGAGGCGGGCAGGTCGCGCAACGTGCTCGAAAGAAATACGACGGTCATCAAGGACCAAAGCGAGAGGCAGGTCTCAAGCGTCAAGAAAAAGGCAGGCGCCTGGATCACACGGGAGTGAGTCGCTCGGTCTTCTGCTCAGTAAGAGGCAATGCTGACAAGGGTTGTGCGCCCCTCTTCCTTTCCCACTGGACAGTCTAGAGGATAAGCAGCAGACATGGCAGAGCCACGGCGAGCGTTCATCGCACCATCGGCTCGAGCTGACGTCCAGCCAGGGTCTCCCATTGGCCATCTTCCGGCCCTCTTCTTCTTCCGCGACAGCATCTCCCGAGCCAGGCCGCGTCGAGCTGACATCGCTGGCCTGGGGTCGCATGCCGTCAGACGAGCTCGAGTGCGACTACGCAGGCGGGTGCGACTTTCGCCCACTGTACGGCTTCGTCTTCCGCTGCTCAGAGTGCTCCCAGGACGATACTTTCGACATCTGCGAAGCCCATCTAGCCGACGAGCTCGTTGCCCACAACCCAAAGCACCACTTCCACAGGCAGCCCAGACCCTACACCGAATACGACGACGCGGTGCGCGAGACTCCACTGCTCAGAGCGCCGGACCTGGCGATGGAACGGGAGAGGCACGAGCTCATCCTCTGCTCCCTTGCCGTCGTCTTGCTCCTGCCGTGAACACTGTGACGATGCCCTGCCGCGAAAATGTTGCACATTCTGCTAGCTTTCTCGTTGACGATGTCCACCTGGACCCCAGCATTGACCTTCTCACTTCTTCCTTGACTCCACTTCCACATCACTTGACAAGATTAATGCCCATAGATTGAGCCCAGCTGGGATCTCGCTCCCAATCTACACTCTCCTCCGGTCTGTCATGACCCTCACGATGCACCCAGTTCCCGCCACCTCGGTGAGCTGAATTGAGCAATTAGCACAAGACACAAGCGACTAAAGCAGTGTGAATCAGGATCTCACCTTCTCGTGCCAGCCAAGCAGGACGGGACTCGCACCGAGCTCGGGCACCGAGAGGCCCTTGTAGATGTACTTCATGAGCGTGTCCTGCTCGTCGAGGCTGAGCTGCTTGACAATCGTGGCAATGTCCGACGAGCGCGTCGCATTGAGAATGTCGAGGAGCGACGACAGCGTCGTTTGCTGGAGGCGGAGAACGAATTGGATCAGAGGTCCGCGCGAGAGGTCAGCTGTATGCAGCTAGACCAAGATACTGAAGACGCACCTTTGCATCGACGTTAAGTTCCCCATACGGCGCCTCAGCAAGCAGAAGCGTCAGTGCACCCTTCGCGTCCCCTCTACCAGAAAGTGCGCCCTCGTTCGTCAGCAAGGAGGAGATGTCTTGACAAAGAGGAGAAATGGGACACACCTTCCCACAAGACTTCGGACCTCTCCGGCCTTTTTTTGCGCGAGACCAGCCAACTCCGTCGGGCTCCGGGGATCCTGCTCGATGAGTTCCTCGTCCAGCAGCACGTCCTCGTCGTACTTGTCAATATCGATCCGTCGGAAGCTGTCCATGGTCGTCTGTGGTGAGCAGTCGTTGGACGAGGCGACTGTTAGGTGGCTCGAGCCATCGTCGGCTTACACGTGGATGAAGGCGGGCATCACGCACGTGGCAAAAATGAGAGAACCCGGCCAGAAGACAGGACACGGCTGCAAACGGAATTTCTAATCGACAGTCGGTCTTGCTTATAGCTCGTCCCTTTCTTCTTCTTCACCCGTTCACCTGGTCCCCTCTCCTTTCAGACCGACCGGCTTTCTCGCTGCTTTTGCGCACGCACCTTCTTCCTTTTCGCAACACTCGCCATGTCCTTTCTCACCGGCGCCATCCGCCAGGCCGCGGCCGGGACGAGCCAGCGCGCCATGATGCTCGGCCGCACCACTGCCCCGCTGGCCCTCCGCCAGAGTGAGTCTTGCCCGGACCCCTTTCTGCTCTTGCTTTCTTTGCCTGTGCTCACTCATGTCTCACGTCCCATCCCCTCGCCATAGCCGCGGCCCGGTGCTACGCGACGCACCAAGCCGAGGAGACCTTTGACGCCTTCAACGAGCGCTACGTCTCCTTCTTTGACGGCGTCGAGGACCTATTTGAGCTGCAGCGCGGCCTCAACAACTGCTTCTCCTACGACCTCGTCCCCAGCACCTCGGTCATCGAGTCGGCCCTCCGGGCCAGCCGCCGGGTCAACGACTACTCGACGGCCGTCCGCGTCTTTGAGGGCATCCGGGAAAAGGTCGAGAACAAGAGCCAGTACGAAAAGTACGTCGAGGCCCTCAAGCCCGTCAGGGAGGAGCTGGGTGAGTGGTCCTCTCGATCGATCGCCCCTCTCCATCTTTTCCGAAGGTCCGGGCAAGACGGATAGGGGAGAGAAAGGAATGAAGCAAGCAGCAGTAGCAGCCCCGCTGACAAGCTTTCACGACAGGCATCTTGCTCAAGGAGGAGCTCTACACCCAATAGACGGCTCGGCCAGCTTTGCCCTTTCCCTACCTCCCTGTAGACAGCCACTCGCGCGAGAGAGAGGAGAGAGAGAAGAAAAAGAAAACGTTTACCACATCTGGACGAGCCAAGGATCACTTTTGACACTTTTTTTCCTTCATTGCGCTTTCTTATTTGAAGAACCGATCTATGAACACTGACTGTCCTGCGACACCCCTTGTTGAGCCTTTTCCCTGTGAGATCACCACCTGGCCTTGAGGAACTTGGCGGCGACCATGGGCTTGGTCACGGCGAGTCCGACAGAGAGGACGGCGATAGTGAGGATGAGCTGGGGCTTGTTGAAGCTAGCCGAGAGAATGTCGAATGTGCCGCTGGGCGTGACGCTGGCGACGAGCCAGTCGAGGCCGCTGACAAAGACGACGCTCGTGCTCTCGAGGAGCGCGGGCGCGGCCGTGATGCAGTCGGCCTCCTGCATGCTGCCCGTGGCAAAGCGAAGCCGGCTGGCGGTGCCGGGCGCCACGGCGTCGTGGACGTAGGCCTCGTACGGGCTCAGGCCCTCTTCCAGCTCGGCCGTCGTGGGCTTGCGGCCACCGGTGACGCGGCGCGGGTCGAGCAGCCTGCGCGGCAGCTGGATGAGGAGGCCGCCGCCCGTCGAGGGCGACGCGTCGCCGGCACTCGAGGCCAGGAGCGCCTTTTGCGTGATGCCGTGCCGCGTCCGCGTGGCCGCCATGGCGCGCAGGCCATCGGCGTAGGGCAGCACATACACCTGGCTGAACACTTGGATCGGCGACGCGGCCAGCGCCTGTCCCTCACCAGCAGCACCAGCACCAGCAGCGCCACCATCGCCGTGCTCCGAGAGACGCGAGGCAAAGGAGCTGAACACGCCCTTCCACTTCCACGTCTCGTCCCTGCTGCCCAAGCCCGTGTCGACGTCGTACAGCTCGATGCTGACGACGCGCGTCTGCGTGTGCTTGCCCTTGTACTCGGCCAGCGCCTCGCCCTCGTCAACATCGACGCTGGCCGAGACGGTGATCCAGTTCTCCGTGAAGGCGACCGTGGGCTTGGCAGCCGAGAGCGAGAACTTGCCCTCGGGCGCCACGACGGCCTCGTGCAAAATGGTGCCGCGGATGCCATCGACGACGTAGACCTTGGCGGTGCGCCGGACGACGTCGCGCGTTACGACGACGAGGGCGTGCGGGTTGAGGTACTTGTACAGCGTCTGGCGGTTGCCCAGCACCTTGCCCTGCGACGCCACGGCATCCCTGAGCGACGTGGACCGCGCCACCTGCACCACCTCCTCGCCCCTGTCAAAGAGGACCTGCCAGACCTTTTCGCTCGCAAACGTGCTCCGGCCCGAGGGTGCCTGCTTGGCTGTCGGGTCAACGACGGCGTACCCCGCCAACCTGCCGCTGCCCTCGCCCTCGACGAAGCTAAAGACAAAGTTTGGCGAGAGCGACTCAAAGGCCTTGAGCACGCTGGGCGAGTCTGGGTAGACGTGCAGGTGGTTCGTCTTGCCGTCGACGACGCCGACGACCGACTGGCTGCCGCCGCCGCCGGTCTCGTCGGCCTGGAGGGGCAGGAGGAAGCTGTCCTTGGCGTCGCCCACAAAGAGGGCTGTGCCCGTCTGGCCCTTGTCGACGCCCGTGGGAAACTCGCCAGTCAAGGGGTCAATTTCCCACATGCGCGTCACCGTGATGCCTCCCGGCGGCTTGACATGGGCAATGACGGTCAGGAGCCCCGGCTGGGCCAGCTGGGCACTCGCCTGCTTCTCTTCCTCCTCAGCTGCTGCCGCCGCCGTCGTCGTCGTCGTGGCAGCCACTCCTCCCGCATCCACGGCGACGGCCGCAGGGGCACCGCCGATGGGCCGCGTGAGCGCCAGCAGCTTGATCTCGACCTTGGGCACCGGCGCACCCTCGCCGTCCCCAAACCCGACGAGGCTCTTTTCCCAAATAAACCGACCCGTCTGGCTGTCCATGGCGTAGATCTTGCCCTTTTCGCTCGTGGCAACGAGCAGCTTGCGGAGCCCAAAGGCATCGCGCACCAGCGTCGCCGTCACATTGGCACGGTCGGCGACGCGGGGCGCGAGCGATGTCGGTGGGGGGACGTCGTCTGGATTCGCTGGCTTTGTCACCCTGCGCGTGTTGACCTCTGGCACACCGGCGGGAGGCGGCCTCCGCTTGGGTGTGTCGGCGGCTGCGACGCCTCCCAGCGGCCTCTTCTGTTGTTGAAGTGGCTTCTGCTGCTGCTGCGGCGGCGGCGGTTGTTGCTGAGCCATGGTGTTCTGGGGCAGCTTCCACATCTCCGTCGTGTCCTCATCGCCCGCTGCGCCCTTCTTGCTGCCGGGCAGCGGGAATGCCTTGAAGTTGTCCATGCTGCCGGGGATGTCCTGGACGATGCGCGTGACCGTCCCCATCGTCCACGCAGGCAGGTCCTGGAGCGCAAAGGCGTGGCGCTGGAGCCGCGCGAGGAAGCCCTCGCCCTGGAGAATGACACGGGCCGCATCGCCCTCGCCTGCTGCGCCCTCGCCCAGCTTGGCCTCGGGCAGGTCAATGAGGATCGAGGCCGTCGTGTGCGAGAGGCCGTCCTCGCGCATCCACATGTGGCGGTCCTCCTGGATCATGCGCACCGAGGCCGAGGCCGTGACAAAGGTGGCCCGCGTCACGAGCTGGAACGGCGACACCTGCGAGACCTCAAACGGCGCCGCAAACACGTCGCCGTGCAGGTCGTGGTCGTACTGGAACGACTGGCCGGTCACCTGGCCCTCGCCGTCGTTGGCATCGGCCCAAAAGACGTGGAAGTTGAGCAGCTTCTGGCCGCTGCCAAAGAAGACACGGTTGATGAAGCCCTGGCCCTTGCGGTCGATTGACCCTGCATAGACGCTGTCGAGGGCCTCTTCCTCAAACTCCCAGCCCGAGGCAATGCCGCGCTTGACGCCGTCGACGCGCAGCACCTCGCCGCGGCCGTCGTTGCATGCGGCGACGATGAGGCCGCGCGTCGTCAGAGGAGGGACCTCGCTGAGCGAGACGAAGCGCGAGGCCTGCCTCGGCTTGACGGTGGTGATCGCACTCGGGCTGATGGTGACGACGACCTGCCCTGCGCCTCCATCCTCCTCGTCGTCGTCGCCAGCAGGCAGGACGACGTCGAGCGACTTGACGGAGCCGTCGCGCTGGAGCCAGACGAGCTGCGGCTTGACGATGCTCTTGTCGTCAGTGGCATCCTTGCCCAGAATAGCGATGTTGCTAATCGTCTTTGCGTCGCTGTTGGAGAGGGGAAACGGCAGGCTAGCCATGTCGACACTGGAGCCGGGGACGTCGAAAGTCGACAGCCGCTTGCCCGTCCGGCCCGAGAGGACATCAACGCTGAGCGAGTACGTCTGTCCCGACGAAAAGGCGCTGAGGAGCCTGGAGGCCTGGGCCGGCACGAGGTAGACGACGACGACGTGCTGCTGCGTTGCATGCACCTTGACGGGCAGCGCACCGTCCTGCTGGCGCTGCGCCTCCTCCTCGGCCTTTGTCACCCAGAGCGACCGGCCATTGACGCCGGCGAAGCGCTGCACGGTGCCGTCGCGGTCGACGACGATGACGTCGGGCGCAGCGGCAGCAAAGCCAGAGCCGGCCGGTGGGGTGTACGACAGCGGCACGAGGGCAGCGTCGGAGACACCCTGGTGCGACGACACCCGGGCGTCCATCGTGCGCGACCAGAGCTCCTGGCCAGACAAGGCATGGAACAGGGCGACACGCGTCTGGTGGAGCCCGCTGAGGGTTACGAGGACGTCGGACGAGGTGTGCATCGACGTCACGGGGTCCGTCTTGTTGTGGATCCGCCGCCAGACGGGCTCGCCGTTGCGCGGGTTGAGGGCTGCGACGACCCTCGCGCCCGTTGCTTCGCCCACATCATCGTGCCCTGGCCGGCCCGCAACGAGGATAGCCGTCTGCGTCTTGTCGTTGGGGTCCTGGCCATGCCGGAGCAGGCGCTGGAAGCGAGGCTGGAGATGGGTGAAGCGGCCGAGGTGGGTGGAGTTGTGCGACGAAAAGGCTGGGTAGGGGATGCCCATGTGGTGGACCTGCGTCGTGCCCTTGCCGCTCGACACCGTCGCCTGTGCACCCGCAGAGGCGCCAAAGGCGAGCAGCGAGAAGAGCAGCGACAGCAGCAGTGTCCACGCCATCGTCAGCCTCGCCATGGTTGTGCTTGTCTGGGCGCTTTTCCTTCCTTCCTTCCTTCCTTTGCGAGACCGACGTGGACGCCCTCCAGTCTAAAGTTAGACTATTTCTTCTTTTGCGCGCGTGGCCTGGCTGCCCAGGAAGATAGGATCAAAGTGGAGAAGACGCCGTGGCGCGCGAGAAGATCCATTCACTGAGACGCATGATCTTAGCCTGACTAGACGAGCATGCAATGACCCAGCAGCTCTCGTCGGCCGCGTCGCTCATCGGGCTGCAAGTGGGCTCGCGCCTGGCCACCTTCGTCCTCACCCAAGTCCTCGTCCGCCTGACGTCGCCCGAGATCTTTGGCGCTGCCCACATCCACCTCGAGCTCCTCCTGGCCACCGTCCTGACGCTCTCCCGTGAGGGATTCCGCGGCGCACTCGCACGGCGCTCCCTCTCGCCATCGTCGTCGTCGTCGCCGTCTTCTTCCTCGCCCTCCTCGCTCCACGTGCGGCCGCCCAGCTTGCAGAATGTCGCCTTCCTGCCCGTCCCGCTCGGCCTGGTCCTCGCTGTATGCGCGACGCTCAGCTACCGCACCTGGCTCGCACCCGATGAACTGCGCGACCATGCGCACTTTGACGCGGCCCTTGCGACGTTTGCGCTCGGTGCTGCGCTCGAGGTCGTCAGCGAGCCGCTGTACACGCTCGCAATCGCCTCGGGTCGGCTGGGCACGCGCGCATGGGCCGAGGGCCTCGCCGTGGCCGCAAAGGGCATCGGCACCCTCGCCGCCGTATTTCTGCTTCGGCACGCCGACACAGACGGACGGAGCCTGCTGCCCGTCGGAGTCGGCCAGGCCTGCTACGGTGCCATGACGCTCGCTGTTCTGGTCACTGCTACGGCGCAGTCGAGTGCATCGAGGGGACACACCCTGGCCATGCTGCTGCCGAGCTTGTCTCGCTCGCAAAAGCCGGCGGCAGAGGGCGAGGGCAAGGGCAAGGGCACGCAGCAGCGCTTCGACGCACAGACGATGCAGCTGGCCACGACGATGATGAGGCAGACGGTCGTCAAGCACGTCCTCGGCGAGGCCGATAAGTTTGCAGTCGCCCGCCTGGCCACGCTCAGCGACCAGGGCGCCTATGCCCTTTCCACAAACTACGGTTGGTTCCATCGGACCGCGCAACTCAGGCTTCAGACCGCTGACTACTTTTGCATGATGCCAGGCTCGCTCGTTGTCAGGATGCTTTACCAGCCCATCGAGGAGTCGGCCCGCATCAACCTCTCTCGCACCCTGGGCTCGCTCTCTGGCAGTGGTGACAAAAAGGCAGAGGGCGAGGCGCTGTCCTCGGCCACCTTTCTCCTCCGCTCGCTCCTCTCTCTCCACGTCCTTCTCGGCCTCTTTCTCGTCACATTCTGTCCTCCCCTCACGCGGGCGCTCCTCCTCGTCGTGGCTGGCCCACGGTGGGCCTATGCGACGCCAGCCCCGGCCATCCTGGCGCTCTACGGCTCCTTGGCCCTGCCTTGTATGGCCTTCAACGGCCTCCTCGAGGGCTTTCTCCAAGCTTGCGCCAGTCCAGACCAGCTCAGACGGTACGACCGCCTCCTGATTCTCGCCAGCGCCACTTTTCTCGCCCTCGTTGCGACCCTCTCCTACGCATCGGCGGCGACGGCGGGGACTGCAACGGCGAGAGATAAGGCAGGCCAAGGCCGGAGCCAGGGTCTCGGCGAGCAGATTGTCATTGTCGCCAGCTCGGTCAGCATCGCCATGCGCGCCGCCTACAGCTGGCACTTTTCTCTCGCTTATGTCAAGCACGCGAGGCAGCGGCTCGCTCTAGATGAAAAGCCAACAAAGAAAGAGGACAGCAACGACGACGGCGGCTTCTCGCCGAGAGCCGTCCTGCCGCACGGCGTCACCGTGCTGACTTTCCTCGCCAGCGCCGCGGTACTGAGGTGGAGCGAGGCGACGACGCGGACGTATGCGCCTCCGCGCGGCTGGAGAGAGGCACTCCTGCAGCTCGACTCGCCCCTGGCAAAGCATGTCGCCCTGGGCGTCAGCTGCGCGGCCCTCTGTGCCGCTTGCTGGTGAGTAGTATTTCCGGACCACTCCGCTCTCTTTGTGCCTCGATTATTCGCCCAGTATGTCCTACTGACTTGGATCCCTTGTGCGTCACGCCTTCTAGCATCTCTTTGGAGGGAAAAACACTGAGGAATGCCCTCAATGCAATCAGAGGACGCCGTTCCTCTTGAGAGGCCCTCAGATGGGCGATGTAATCATATGAAATAGAAGCGCATCACCTCTAGACTGAGAGCTTGAGCGAAAGAATAGAGCTGTGCGTGAGGAGTCGGTTTTCTTCGGTCCTTGAGAACTTACCCCGCTGAACCGCAGGGACAGAGAATTTGGTCCGCTGAGAATGAGGCGTTGTCAAGACGCTGGGAAGCCGCCTTTTCCAGCCAATGACGGGAGAACAAGCGGTGAGGAAGTGGGACACAAGCCGAAAAGCACGGCTATTCTATCCAGGTATTCGAATTCCGCAGCGGCTCCATTGTCCATTGTACAACAAGTCCAAGGCTCCGCCTCAAGGTCATAGCGTAGCGTGCTTGAAACGTGCCTTAGCCGAGACAGCGGCGCCCTCGGCTGCTTCAGAGCTTTGGAGCAAGGACGCTATATAAGAAGGCCTCGCGAGCTGTTTCCTCCTCGTTTTCCTCATCCCTCCTCATATACGACTTCTTGCAGCTCCGCCGTCTCTCACCTAACCCCATTCGCGAACCTCCTTGTTTCCACCCCATCTCCTCACGGTAGCAGTGCACGATGCGGTTCTCTTTCGCTCTCGCATTCTTCGTCACCTTCGCGCTGGCCATTGACGTTGTGGCAGCATGGCTATAGTGAGCCGAAGACAGCCATAAGCGCACCTCAAAGCTGACCAGCTATCAAAAGCATGACGGAACTTGTGGACGGCGACAAAATTCTGTCCTGCTGCCGCTCAAATAAAGTGTTCAAGGGCGTGTCGTAAGTTCTTTCCATCATGCCCACTTCGCATCCTTCCGAACTTCTACTCATTCCTGCTGATTTGCTGCAAAAGGCCGTTGACTTGCGCCACCGACACCAGTGTTTCCGGCTTGGTGAAGTGCCAAGGTGGAGGAAACTCCGCCACGAGCTTCACTGCAGTGAGTGCTTCTCCTTCCTGGCTGGAGGGAGTCTTTTACGAGATGATGAATAGCGAATTGACTCTCTTCCTTCGTCCGTCTCATCCCACAACGTACACAGAGCTGCAAGGGTTCCAGCGGGACTGCACAGCCTCCAAGAAGAGGGCAATGCTGAAACGTTTCTCGTCACTCCATGTTCTCCCCGCTTTCCAAGAGGAAGAATCCTCAGAGTCCTTTTCTCTTTTCCAGGTCTTCCATTTCCCTTTTCCCCTTTCTCGAGTTTCCTTACCATCCCCTTCCTATTGCGTGCTGTACCTAGTTTCACCGTCTAGCTAGACTTCAACTTCTAGCATGCCACTGGCCACTTCTGTGCGGCTCACCTTGACGAGCATGTGTGCCGCTTGCTCTTCCACCATTCAGATGCTGAAATATGACATGACCGCGTTGCGAAGCGTGCATCTCTAGGGGATAAGCAAACTTCTCGATCAGAGCACGAGAAGATCAGACAGAGAGAAGAATCTGTCCATATTGCTTCACATGTATGGGGGTATAAGTGTGCCGATTTCAATCGCCATCGCTCGCATACAGATCCTCGTCCTCTGTTTCAGAAGAACCGAGCTCTTCCGAGGAGACGCTCTCTCTTCTCTGTCTCCTCGGCCCTGCCCATCCCCAAGGATCCACCTCGTCGTCCTCGTAGTCCTCTGCCTCTTCCTCGTCGTCGCCAACCTCCCGATCGGGGTAGTCGTTGCGATAGAAGCCCTCGTCGTTGCTATCTTCGTCTTCGCCCTCGTCAAAGTCATCATCCGAGTCACCTGGCTTGTTGACGGCGCTCCCATCTCCCGCGTCGGGAACCAGGATAGAAGCAAGCCCGGCCGGGTCGTCTCCGGCCTCCCCATTGCCTTGATCTGCTTCTTCCAGTAGCCGGATGTCGGCCGACGTCAACCCAAAGAGCGTAGCCATGGGCAGATTGTGGTTGGGCCCCCACTGCGCCGAGGTGGAGCGGCTCAGCGAATCTGAAGAGCCAACCACCTCGGGAGGAGCGCGTGGCCCGACTGACGCGGCATCGAGGGTACTGTGGCCCTGGACCTGGGCAGGTCGTAGGCCCACGTCAGACGCCCCCGCAGCGCCGCCGGAGCCCCAGCTCGCTGGCGGCTCGCGCTCGCGGTAGTAGATGTCATAGACATATTCGCTGTCCGAGTCTTCTTCAGACGACGACGACGACCCATCTTCCTCTTTCTGTGTGTCCCCAGGGTGTGCCGCAGATGCATCGTAAAGGTCTCTTGGCGGCTCGAGGTCGTTCGCTGTTCGTTCTCGTTCAGCCTCTAGGTCGTCCTACTCCATCACCTGGTCTGTATGCTCACCTTTGAGATAGTCCCCGAGCAAGTCAGCAAAGCGGCGATCCAGAGCAGCCATTTCAGCATCTGCATCTGCGCTTGGTGGCACCTCCTGCTGCTGCTCCTTTTCCTTCCTCTTGTCTCTGTTCAAGGCTGACGCTGCTTGCTTGTCCACCTTCTTCTTTCGCCTGCTTTTGCTGGGCCCCTCGCCGTCATCTGCAACGGCATCAATGACTCGTATCCTCGGATAGGGCGCTGCACGTCTGTGAGAAGGGGGTGCGCTTAGCTTCGTTCGTCCCTCGGGTTCGTGGGGAAGACGCAGTTGCACTCACATGACCTCTGGAGGCGCTTTGAGCTTCCTGCTGGATCTGCTGGCCGCATTCAGATTGCTCGAGGATCCAACCGAAGACCTCTTGAGTGCTCTCAGGCTGGACGACGAGGACGATGTGGACAGCGTCCCGCTCGTTCGTTTGCCCTTCTTGAGCGCATCTACCAGCAGTCGCTTGCTTCGAGCCTTGGCACCGGCCTGGGCCTGGGCCTCTTTCTTCTGCTCCTCGCGCTGCTGTTGCTGTCGAACCACTCGGAAATGAAGATCCTCCTCGTTTCTCCCGGGTGCCACCACGCTCGGCTGCTGCTTTCCTCCTCGGATCTCCCGGTGGATCGAAGCGGCCGCGTCTCGATCCTTGAAGCGGTCCAGGCTCACGCGCTGGGCGAACCGAAAGATGCTCATGCCGCCCGCCTCGCGGTTCAGCATCCTTCGCTTCGTCCTGCTTGGATCTTCGAGCGTGGGAGATGATGGACTGAGGGCCTCTGAGGGCTCTCCGGCCTCTGTGTTCCCAGCCTCGTCTCCATTCTCGAGCTGGCCTGCGTCCTCCTGCTGAAAGATGCGGAGCGCTGTCACGGGATCCGTGCCTCTCTTTCGCTTGATGCGGAGAATGACGGACCCTTGTTGCTCATCCGGACGCTTCTCTCTCTCATGTTCTCTAGCTCGGTCATGAGTTGACGCGGTCGCTGTCGCCATTAAAGGAGCGCGTCAGTGTTGGAAGCGATGATCGAGAAGAGAGCAGTCCAACACACGCAACCTTTTGAAATAAAGTGGCGACGGCACTTCTCTTTTTCGCTCCTTCTCCACATGGTGGGCGTGCGAAATTGACGTTTCCAACTTGCTCGCCATTGCTCATGCTGACGGTGACATCTACAGGCTTCTCGACTCTGAGCTCGCTGTGAGGGTAGCCATGGAAGTTGCGTAGGTGTCACGTCAAGCCATCCATTTCTTTGCAACAGCTGCAGACGGGGTGCACATTTTCGGCCTTTTCGCCTGTTTCAGGTCCCGAAAGAAACAAGGGTTACAGATGAAAGAGAGCCCAACTCAGATGATACGTTTCTTTGCAGCAGCCCAGCCTGTTCATATTGCTTTTTGTACTCCCAGGTAAGGTAGGTTTGTTTTCACTGGCTTTCAATGAAGCGACTCCGCAGAAAGTAAAGGGACGCCGCCTTCCGTGAGCCCAGACTGCAGAGCGAGCGAGAAAAGTCATGTCCCCAGAGCATCTTTCCTGAATCAACGACCAATACGTCTCCTCATACCCTCGCTTCCCTCCTCTCAACCGCCCAAAGACCACTTTTACCGCCATCGAAAGCCACAGAAGCTCGAAAGTATAGAACGATGAAGGACATCTTCCGCAAGCTTGCTCCAACTGTGTGCCTCTTTACGGTAAGCATTTCGAACCCTGTCGTTGGGTGGGCGGCCAGTTGACAAATGCACACCCTATAGATCCTTGTCTTGCTTTCTGACAGCATCAATGGCCGTATGGCCGTCAAGCGTAGCCAAAAGGTTCTGCAGATGCATGAGGCTCTTTCCCCCGAAAACACCGATCCAGTCGATGTCTCCATGTATGTCTGAGCTCGCTTGTTGGACGGTGACATCTGGGGCTGACGTCTCGGTCACACAGCACGTATAAAGTCATGGTCAACAACGTCGAAGGTAACGGACACACACTTGATGTATCTTCGTCTTCCAGCTTCACTGACGGAAGCGCGAATCACCTTGCAGAGGGTCGCTGTACCGATGTCAGCTCCCAGACCCACGACAATCAGGTCGTCCATGGCAGGAAGCAAAGGGCAGTGACGAACACTGAGGTTCACTTGGAGTTTCATGTGTATCTCTGCGACAGAGTCGAACCTTCCAAGCTCAAAAGGGGTAGGCAATGCGTTTTCGACTGCAGCATGGAGAAAGCCGCAACGACATCAGAAAAAGCAGTGGAAGTAATCAAGAAGGTCGGTGCCTCTCGCGCTTATTTTCTTGCTCGCTGTTCATCCACTGACACAAATTTTCCCACAGCTTTGTGAGACGGGACACAAGGGCATTTGGAAACCAACTGCTGTCTAGACACCAGCAAGCCCCGTTATGATTCGTGTGATACCATGCCAGCTTTCTGCGAGCGATGCGACAGGTCGCTCACACTCACTCTCCCCCGCTGTATTCTTCTGTCCCTGAAGAAACACTTGGCCTAAACACATCTCTTTCACACTCATGTGTGTGCTTTCCAGTCATCTAAAATTTTGTCATCGACCAACGCTCTCTTCCAATCGCGATTCTTCCTTCCCTTGATCTATTGCTCCCGCTTTGAAAGGAGTTGAAAGGAGGAGTACTTCCTCAGATTCATAGTAGAAACTTGAAACCCCTGCTGTGTTGTGACGGTAACAGAGAGGGTGAGAGAACAGAGATTCATTCTTGAGGGCTCGGGTCCCTTTCGATATTATCAAAAGGATGTCAGACTAGGATGTACGGACAATGAGATGTTTGGTATCACGGTTCAGACAACGCGGGCGTTCACAAAGCGTTCACGCGCGCACACACACATCCACTGGCACTTGAGCCCTACTCAGACTCCTCCTCTTCCGAAGAGGATTCGAACGATCTTTCTCCCGGGGTCTCGCTCCCAGTTCCGTCTTCTTCCTCGAGCTCGTCTGCGCTCTCAGGCTCGTGCTTGACCCTTGTCGACATTCCCACGCCTCTGTCCACGCGACGAGTACCACTGCCAGCTCCTGGTCGACCGCGGCCACCACCGCCACCGCTTTCTTCATTCAACAGCGTCGGAAAGAGCAGATCTGCCCAACTAGGCAGCTGTACGAGATGGTCCTCCTGTATTCAGCATCAACAAAATCCAAAAGAGGCGGTCAGAAGGAAGCAACTCACCACCTGGCCGACCTTGTCCATTCTCAACAGCTCGTTACGAGCCTTGTCCTTGATCTGCACGTTGTTTCTCAGACGCAATATTGTGTTCGTCGACCCGCGTGATCCATGCCTATTGAGCACCTCTGCATAGATCTGGTAGCTAGGATCGTTGGCCCTCTTTTTGATAAGCTTCTCGAGAGCCCGATGGAGGCACTGTGTCTCTTCCTCAGTCCACTTCTGCCGTCCAAGCCTGTTGCCACCTGTCGAATAGTTGTAGTGCCTCTTCAGCCGCTGCGCTTGTGGCGCCTTAACCCGTCGACGCCCGTGCGCTTTCTCTTCCTCTTCGTCATCCTGAGGGTCATAATCTGGATCTTCGTCTTCAGACCGCCGCCTTTTGCCGCTCCCGCTCGGGCCCTCTTTCACAGCCGCTGATCCTTCATCTTCAGCTCCATTGGGGCGAGAGGAGTGACGATCAATAGGCACTTCAATCCATGGGAAAGCATCCAGGCCTGCCCTTTCCTTTCTTCGCCGCCTCCTCTCCTTGGACTTCTGCTTTGCTACTGCGACTCTAGCAGCGGCCTCTTCGTCCGTTTCGAAACCATCGTCCTCTTCCTCGCCACCACCATTGCTCCTTCGACCATCATTGTTTTGGTCGTCCACTTGCTGGGCCTCAGTGCGATGTCGCTGGGACGCATGTGGCTGGGAAGAGGGAGGGACAGGGCTGTGAGCACGCTGCTTGCCCTTGGCCGTCTCAGACTGGCCGTTCTGGCGCGGTCGGTCCTCTCCCTCTTCCTCGTCGTCGTCTTCTGCTTCTTCCTCTTCACTTTCTGAAGGCCTTTCGCCACCTCCGTCTGGCCCCCCGGGCGGTAATTCAGCCTCGTTCCTTCCGGCTTCTTGATCCTTTCCGGACGCCTTCGTGCTTTTGCCGTTGCTGGCTTCGGCACCGTCTTTCTCGTTGGTTTTGCTCGGCGTCGATGTGACCGCGGGGGCCTCGTTCTCGTTGCCTTCATCAGCTTCCTGCTGCTCTTCGACCTGACGACCACTCCGCAAGGTCTTTGGCGGGAGCGTCTCCTCCTCATTCTCTTCATCACTACCAGCCCCTTCCTTGCTCGTCTCTTGGTCCCTCTGCGCCCTCGCTCTCTTCTTCTTCGGCTCTCCCTTCCGTCTGGCCGCCGACTCCTTCCTCCTCCTCTGTGCTGCAAGGTCAGCCACCTCTTTGTCCATAAAGATGTCCTCTTCGCCCTCGTCGAATGCCACATCGCGAACCCTCTCTGTCTCCACATCTTCGACCTCGCCCTCTTCTGCGGCGTCACCGTTGTTGCCTTGACCATCTTGCGCTCGCTTGCGCTTGCGCCGAGCATCGCCGTCGGCCACGACGACCTTTCTGGTCTGTTTGTCCGAGGAGCGCTCTGGTGGTGCTCTCCGGATTCTGTTCTCTTTGTCAAAGTACACTCGCGACTCCGGGGGCGGCAGATCCTCGACGGCGACGGGGGGTGCTCCTTGGTCTCCTACAGCCGATGCAGCCGCGATGGCCTCACCTGGGTTGGGCGTAGCGACCTGCGATCTCGACACCCGGGGCACGGGGCTGCTGGCTTTGAAGACCGTTTGAGGTGAGCGTGGGACCTCGACTTCTTCGATGACGGAGCTCGAAAGCTGCACCTGGGCCGCTGTGGGGTCTAGAATCTTCTGCACCGCTGCTGACCCGCTCTTGGTCTGACCAAATCTGCTCCGTGCGCGGCTGCTGATGCTGGTCATGACGGTATCGCTCTCCAGCTGCCTGTTGGCGCTCTTGAGTCGCTCGGCGATCTGGTCGCTCAGCCTGCTTTTTCCCGTCCCCTGCTTGGCAATCGCCTCGATCGACGGAGGAGCGACCTCTTGCGCCACTTCAGCAACGACTGTAATAGCCTCGGCCTGCTCTCTTTCCGTCTCGGCCACGGCAGCAGCTCCACCGTTGATGGCCTCTTCGACGGCATCTTCTTCGTCGGCCTCTTCGTCCTGGCGTTGATCGGCCTCTCGGAGCAGCGTTCGACTCTGTTTCGATGGTGGCGCTTCGTCTTGCGGAGTAGCGACCATTGGATTACGGGACGGTGACCGCGAAGATCCTGCCGTCACCCTCCGTGGTCGTCCCCTGCCACGGCCCCCCCTTCCCCGAGTCATTGCCTGGCCTCGTCCTCGTCCTCGAGGTCTCGCACCGTCACCGACATCCTGCTCCCGGCCTCTTGAAGGCCTACCACGCTTGCGCTTCGGAGTCGTCTCGGTCGCTCTCGACGACCCGCCCGTATCCTCTCGCTCTCCAAGGTCAAAGATCCTGTCGACGCTGTCCTCCTGCACGAGCATCTCCAGCGTCTTCTCTCCACTTGGCGAAGGCCGCACCGCACTGTCAAGCACCACCAAATCCGCATCAGCATAGCTCCTCCTTCCTCCTTTGCACAAATTCCAGTCTGCGTAAACAAAACAAATTACAGTAACTCACTCCTCCTCTTCGGACGCGGCACCATTCGCGGTGCCCTTTTTGTTCAGCGCGGCATAATCGACACGCTTGGCCCGTCGGCCTCCCTCATGCGCCCTCAAGGTCCTTTCAGACATGCTGCCGTGCCCATCCGTCGATAGCAAGCAAGAACAAGTGGGAAAAGAGAGAGAGCTCGAGCTCGAGAGGGGAAGGGGGCCAGGGGTGTGGGCGGCCGTTACAAAAATGTCTGGTGCGTGGCTTGTGCGACGATACGCGCTCTAGGCAGCTTCACCTTCTCTTTCGACGCGTCAGATCGGCCGAAGACAGACGGATTTTATGTTATGTTATGTTATGTTAGGGTTAGGGCTAGGGCTAGGGCTAGGGTTCGTGCTCAGAATGGTGGGAATAAATGTCGAGGCCACCATGTTCATGATCAAAGGTGTGCAGGGCGCAAAGACAATATAGGGACTGGCAAATTTCTTCGTTTCATCGTGTTTGGATCGTAAAAGGAGAACTAGCAGAGTACAGACGAAGCCCGACCTGCTCCTACTTGCTGTCAAACCTGACCGGGACGCCCTTGCGGCCCTCGGACAGAAGAACGACGGCGTACTTGCCGCTGATGCGCCAGCCGGGCTCCTGCTCGTCGAGGCGGTCGGCCACCTGCTTGTCCACGCCGACGACGACGTCCGACTTGATCGTCCGGAGACTGGCCACGGGTGGCGCACCGTCCTCGTTGGCAAGTGGTCCAATGGCCATGTCGAACGGCAGATCCGCAGGAGTCTGACAGTCGTACGTCTGTAGAAAGAGAGGAGGGGATTAGCATCGCGGTAGAAAAGCCCTCTTGGGGGGCACTGAGAGACTCACGAGCTTGCGGTGGTTCAAGTCGCCCTTGAAAATAACGAGGTCGCTGTTGCTCAGGTCTAGGAAAAGATCGGGCGCCTCGCTGGACAGACTCCAGAAGGTGTAGCCCGTGGCCCAGAAGGGGTGCTGGGCGTAGATCCACTTTCCTTCGCGCTCGTACTGCTTCCAGCGCTCGCCCATCTGTCGCAGCGACGCAATCTGATCATCGTTGGCATCAGGGAACAGGGAGCCGTAGGTCATGGAGTTGAGGAGCCAGTTCCAGTCCTTGCGCGTCACGTCCGAGACGAACCAGGCAAAGCGCTTGCCGTGGAAGTGGATCTCGTTTGCGATGCCGCTCTGGATCAGCCAGTCGGCTGTCGTGATGGAACGACATGTCAGCATTGGACAGAAATTCGAGCGAGGAAGCAGACACATACCGTACACGCAGTCGCAGTACAGCTCGAAGCCGGCATTGTCGAGGACGAAGTCGATGCGGCCACCCCTGCAAATTAGGAATTTGTCAAAAGTGAATCGAGAGGCAATTTCGTCCTTCTGCAAGCCTGTTACTCACTTCAGCTTCTTGCACAGCTCCCAAATGTTTTCGAGATGGTTCCCGAGGATGTTCTTCTCTGTGGCAGCAAGGTGCTCTCCTCCGGTGCTCTGCAGGCTCTTGATGTCCTCCTCAGTCATGTTGATCAGCAGCGACAGGTCGGTGGCGTTGCCCCAAAGGCAGACCTGTGTGAGCTCGTGGAAGACTAGCTTACGCGCTTTGAGCTTTTCGTCCTCGCTGGCGCCGGCCTCGTAGTGGAATGGGTCTGCGAAGCGCTGCGACAGCTCAAAGACGGCCGTGCCCGAGCGCGAGAAGGTGTCGCACTTCTGACGGAAGAAGACGTCGTAGTCGCGCCAGTACTTGGAAATGCTGAAGCATTCATGAAGGCGGCGGTACTTGTACGCCTCGGCAAAGAGCCAGGGGCTGTTGAGGAACGTCGATTCGCGGAAGAACTTGGCCAGCTCCCGGTTCCACAGGGGAATGTCGCCCTCGCCATCGTCGACAATGGAGCTGTTAGATGGGGCCTCGTCAGTCCGTTTCGTCGATAGCAAAGGCTGTGAGAAGGTCTCTCTGCATCACGTACCGGAGCTTGGCGTTGCTCTGCAGGTCCTGCATGAGGACATGCATGCGATCGATGCACTTGTTGAGATCAATCATCAGGTCTTCGTCCGACTGCTCGTTGAGCGTCTTGATCGTATCGTCAATGGCCTTTCCGAGGATAGTGGGCAGCCGCTTTCCCATCGTTTCCTATATTCCAGCTTGTCAGCGTCGACTTCTTGACCGAAGAAGAGCGTCGCAACTCACATGGGCAAAGCTGAACTCGTGGTAGCCTCGGTACGCGGGCCACGGAGGGTTGTTCGGGTCAACACGCGAAGCCGTCCGGGGGACATTCTGTTGGTGGTTTCGATAAGAATGAGTTGATGGAAGCTTAAGCCGAAGGCCCAATCGCACTCACGTTGGCTGCTCCGAAGCCCTGGCGCTTGGGAGGGAGGTTGCCCAGGTTGAGCACAGTACGAGCCGCGGGCTTGGCCGAGGGGTGATTGCGGTCTGCCATTCTGCTGCTCGAGAGACGTTAGCACCATCTTTACGGAGCTCTGCCATAACAGCCTCCGTGTGTACGCTCACCCTTGATTGCCTTGTTCTTGACAATGTGCTGTGTGGTGGCAGGACAAAGTGAGGCGGTGATAGCCAAAGGGTTCTTGGATGAGGCTGGAAGTTGGAAGTCTGTGCGAGGCACACGTGGGCGACGGTGGGCGCGCCTAGGCCCGGCCCAATTTCATCATCCCTCCACTGGCTCGATGCAGCAGCCTACGGCGTCTTTTTGAAAAGAAAGCCCAACGAACGAGAGCGGGAGCGATCGTGGCAATCGCTGCAATGTCGGGCAGCAGTAGCAGCAGTAATGGCGAAGCAGAGCGAGCGGCATCGACGTCTTGGCAGCTGGACGAGTATCGGCAGAGGCAAAGGCAGAGGAGCGAGCTGACGGCGACGACGACAGCACGAGAAGGTGGGACAGCAGAGAGAGAAGAGGAGGAAGAAGAAGAGGCGAGCGTCGAGGCGACGACCGATCCAGTCAGCCAAGCGCATGCCCAGACGCACAACATCGCCGACGACTTGCTTCCATCCCCTACGCAGCGGTCGCCGCCCCGTGCGATCCCGGATGTCTCGCACCAGGTCCAAGCCGTCATGCCACCCAGGCAGGAGAGGAGAAATCGAGGCATCGTATTCGTCAATGAAGTCAAGAATCGGACCTGCTGGATCTGTTCTGACGGTGATCAGGACGAGGAAGACCCCACCAAGCAGCAGCCTGCACAGCGACGGCGATGGTTGCATCCGTGCAAGTGCAGCCTCGTTGCGCACGAGTCGTGTCTCCTGACCTGGATCAGGACACGGCGATCGAGCGCCAACGGCACGCCCAACCAGGTCATCACATGCCCCCAGTGCTCGCACCCTTACTCGATCTTTGAGCACAAGCCGCTGGCGTTGATTCTCTTCGAGATGGGTGACAGCCTGCTGCGCATGGTGGTGCCCGTTGCCAGCGCCGGCGTGGCCGGCGGCGCCGTCCTCGTGGCCGCAACGGCATATGGCTGCGCTGCGATGCGCCTCTTCATGGGCAAGGAAGCGACTCGCCGCACACTCGGCGGCAAGTGGCCCTGGCATGTGAGTCTCTCCGCCTCCCTCTCTCTCGAGCCCTATACCTATCGTTGTTTCCCATGCTCACTGCCTTTTCTGCCCTCGACCGCTAGTTCTACTTTGACATTCCCCTGATCCCGTTTGCGCTAATCCTATCGCGACTGCGCATCCTCGACAGGGCCCTGACTTGGCTGCCCACCATCGTCGCCTTTCCCCTCGTCCACATTCCCTACGTCGGTGCAGGTACCACGTTTGGCGGCATCGTGGGAGCAGGCTCCATCGGCCTCTACATGCCACCAGCCCGCCCGCTCTACTACAGCGGCAGCAGCAACAGCAGTCGTCAAACGCAGGCTCGACAGACCACCTCGATGAGGAGAAAGCCATGGCCACCGGGACCAGCGCTGACGGTCCTGCTGGTGCCCTGGGTGAGGCTGCTCTACATCAACCTCAAGCGCCGCATCACGCGCCTCGTCCTCTCGCCCCTCGTGCGCAAGCCACGAAGGCGGCCCGACGCCCGGCCTGCACCTCAACAGCAGCAGCAGCAGCAGCAGCAGCAGCAGCAGCAGCAACCAGTAGCACAGGATCGCCAAGCCGTGCGACGGCGGCGCGTCATTATCGTCGGCCAAGAGAACCACCTCGTCGATGCCAACAACGGCATCGGCGACGTGGGCATCGACCGGGACGGTCTCCCGCGCGAGGTGCCGCCCGGTGCCGATGCCGTCGACGAGCACAACCCCCCACCGCAGGGCTTTGACGAGGGCGAAGAGGAGGGAAATGAGGAAGAGGAGGAGATGGTACGGCGCGGCATCATGCAGCAGAACCAGCAGACGATCTACGTCAGTGGACAGAGCCTCGGACGGCTCTGTTTGGGCGCCCTGGCGATCCCGCTCGTGGCCAATGGCATGGGCAGGGTGCTCAAGAGGGCCACTAGCTGGCCGGGCGTCGGCAAGTGGCTCGCCATCGCCCTCGGCGTCTCCACAACAACATATTCCGCAGCGTCCTCGTCCTCATCGACGACTAGAAATCAGGCGGACGGCGCTGCTGGCGGAGGTGCACTCTCCAATCTCTTCTTTGGAGGAGGCGGTCAGGACAACGTCCACGGAGCCGCAGATGCAGACGAGGACGACGTCTGGGATCCCTACGGCTACCCTTTGCCCGTCGACAGGTACGCCGACCTGGACCCCGTCTGGTGGCGAAATGCACTGGGCGCGGGCCTCTTCATCGTCTGCAAGGACGCGGCCCAGCTCACGTACCGCTACATGCGGCTCAACCACGCGCGGCAAGGAAGCAAGCGGACGAGGATCCTCGATCGGCCGTTTGAGGGAAGCATGGTCGACGAACTAGAGCTCCGCTGAACATAGTCTTCTGCAAACAGTTCCACTACTCAAGGTCAGGTCTTATGTAGCTTTACATAATAGTATCACCCTCGACTCTTTATGACTTTTGATTGATTTGATTGGAGATAAGTGATGGTAAGCGGGTGTAACATTAGTTGAGAGAGGTGGAAAGAGGCGCAGGAAGAAGGATCAAAGAGCACCTCAACGCTTCTGGAGCATGTTGAGCAGGTTCTGCATCGACGCTGCGCCGCCTTGTCCGGCCGACTGCCCCTGCTGCGCAGCGCCCTGCTGGCTTTGACTCTGGCCAGCGCCGCCCGTGGGGCTCTTGGCGGCCAGAAGTGCGGCAATGTTCGAAGGCAGCGCGGGGACAGGCGCTTGTTGCTGCTGCTGCTGCTGCTGTGGCGGAGGCGAGGCAGCCGCAGGTGCTGCTGCTCCGCCGCCACCGCCGGGCTTGAGCGAGGCGAGGAGCTGCTGCACCTTTTGCGCCTGCTCGAGGCGCTGCTGATCTTCGGCAGAGGTGCCCGCGGGAGGCGCCGCCGGTGGGCCAGCGCCGCCCGGTGGCGGAGGTCGTGCGTTCGGACCGTAGCCTTGTGGTGGGGGTAGACCGGAGGCAGCCGCAGGATAGGGCGACTGGCCAGGTCCGGGGGGATAGCCGCGGCCTGCTTGCATGTCATTGCCGTAGCCGTACTCGGCAGAAGGCGGAGGGGGACGGTAGCCAGGGCCGGCCGATGGAGGCGGTGTGGGGTAGAATCCTCGATTGTCTGGGCCGGAAGGACCACCATAGCGATCGGGCGGAGGCGGCCGTCCGTAGCCATCGCCGCCTCGATCACCGCCAGACGGAGCGCCCCACTGCCGCATCGGCGGCTCCTCGTACTCAGCTTCAAACGGCCGCTTGCGTCCGGCACCGTATCCTGATGATGAGCCATCGTTGGGCGACGAAGGGAGCGGTGGCCGTCTTGGTCCAGCAGACGGTCCGTATCCACCAAAGTCGGACGGTGGGCCTGGAGGGTGAGGCTCGGCCCATTGAGGCATAGCATCGCCATTCTGATCTCCTCCCCTGCCCAGGCCAGCGCCTGGGCCAGTGGGGTAAGCTGAGCCGCCACCACCAACGTCCTTTGGTTTACGATCACGGTCGGGAGCCGCCGCATCCCACGCGAATTTGAGATCCCACTCTCCTCCGTGCCAGTGCTGTCCGAGCAAGGCATCGTGCGCAGCCTTGCAGGCCCTGCAGTCGTAGTACTCGAGGAACCGGCAATTGTTCTGGTCCTTGTATCTCCTCAAGCTCCTGATGGCGCCAAACTCGCCAAACAAGTCCCTTAGCTCCTGGTCTTCGAGCCGGCCCTGGGCGTGCTTGAGAAGGACAAAGAGGGTGCCCTGGTCCTTGTCGCGATCACACCGCTTGGACGTGTCCTCATCACGAGGCAGGCTGTAGTGCACATCGAGGGCGCGGCCATTGATGAGATGGCCCTGCATCTGCGCCTTTGCGTACTCGGCCGCGCGAAGGTCAAAGTAGGAGACAAAGAGGAGGCCGCGCTTCTGTGTCAGGTCAAAGTAGCTCTTGACGTCGCCGAAGGAGAGGAAGCGCTTCTTGAGGTCCTCTGGGTCTAGCCCGAACTGGAAGTAGATCTCTTATTGTTAGATGGTGCACAGAAGAAGAACGACGAGACCACACTCACGTCAATGTTGCGCACAAATAGAGTCCGGCAGGGTCTCTCGCGCTTGATCCTGTCCTTGATGAGCTGGTCGTCGTCGCGCCCTCTTGGTCTCTTGCGCGATGGCCCGTCATCTTCGTAGTACTCCCCGTAGTCTCCCCCTCCCCCTCCAGCGGCCGGTGGGTAGCCACCACTGTATGAGTCGTTTCGTGGGGGCGGCGCGTTGGCTTCGGATGGGTTCCAGGACGAAGGAGGCGGTTGCTCGCCATACCCTCCCATCGCAGAGGGGGGAGGAGGGCGAGGCCGCATGTCTGCTCCTGGACCGGGTCCTAGCCCTGGCCCTCCTCGGTAGGCTTGTGGCGGTGGTGGTCCTCCGTAGCCCTGTCCTGGTGGTGGAAGTGGACCTGAAGGGCCCGGAGGACCGGGAGGGGGAGGCCCGCCTCGACCGTCGTAAGGATTCGGAGGACGCCCATAGCTAGGTGAGGAGCCAGCGCCCATTGCCATCGGCGGTGGTCCTCTTGGCCCACCAATGCCACCTGCTGCTTGTGGTGGCGGGGGAATGGGGGGAGGACGTCTCGGTCCATCAGGAGCGTAACCACCATCGCCAGGTCCGCCTCGATAGGGACCGTAGTCGTCGCGGCCCGGCGGGGGAGGGTGGCCTGCTACGCCGCCACCTCCCGACGCCGCTCCATAGCCGCCGTCGTAACCCCCCTGCTGATAGCCATAGTCGTACCCACCATAGCCTCCTTGGTCAGCAGGACGATTGGGCAGCGGCGCTCTCTGCTGCTGCGGTGGTCCTCGAGGCGGTGGTCCCCCACCGCCGTCGCGGCGACCCGGAGGTCCTGCATCGTAGCCGCCGTAGGGATGTTGGTGGTGGCTCATCTTCCCTCACTTTAAGTCTTCTCTCTTCCTCAGATCGTCCCAGTCTCGTGTCTGTCTTTCTCGTGCTCCGACTCGAGGATGGATGGATGGATGCTTGGGTGGGTAGGGTGGAAAGGCTGGCAGAACGATCTTGTTCAAGTCCTCATCCAGAAAGGCAAAGCGAGCGTGGAGGCGAAGCGAGCGGCAGCGGCAAACGAGCTCAGAGAGACACAGAGACGAGGTCAACCAAGCCTTCTCAGCTCAGCTCAGCTCAGCTCAGCTCAACTTGCCTCAAGGAGGGGGAAGGTTACGGCGACGAGACGATGAGTGGCAGAAAGAACGCTCAAAAGGGACGGACCTCAGAGATGATCTTCTCGGTCTCTCTCAAGAAAGCACCTGCTCCAGTCGACCCTTCAAGCTTGCAAGTGACGCTGGAAACGAGACGGTGAGAAACGGCCTCGAAAACGGGTACCTCGGGCTCGCTCGCTTGATGTATCGATCCGTGCTTGCGAAAAGGAGGTCGACCAAGCCTAGCTGCTGCTGCTTGTCTTGATGAATAAAAGGAAAAGAGAAAGCCGTCGCCGCCCGTCGTCGTCGACGAAGACGCAGCCCGAAAAGCAAGAAAAATCGAGCTCGTGGCTCGTGTTTCAATTATTTGCTTCTGTTTTGAATCTTTTGGCTGAAAGGGGGACTGGCTGCGCGTGTCTGGTAAGGGCGCCCGCACGCAACAGATATCCGGACTCTCGAGCATTGCGTTTCGACTCCTCCTCCCTCAACACCACCACACGATTCTGTGAATCGAATCAACGCCACTTTACAGCGACAGCAGCTTTCCCTTGCCCCAGGCAAGATAGACGTAGGCGTAGGTCAAAGCTCGCTTACAGAGGACCAGAGAGGACCGCCAGCGCAGTACTTTATCAGCAAATTTCACTCTACAGCACGCATACACCTCGCCAGCACACTGACAACAGCGAGGCACAGCGACCATCATGGCGAGCAAGCGAGGAGGACCCACCCTGGGCTTCAAGCTTGTTTTACTCGGAGAATCAGCCGTTGGCAAGTCGAGGTGATTGATGTCCACGACGATCTGTGTATGCATTGTCACTGACATAAGGATCTCCTAGTCTCGTGTTGCGTTTTGTGAAGGATCAGTTCGACGACTACAGGGAGAGCACGATCGGAGGTGAGTGGAGGTGCTTTCCTTTTCCGCACTCTGAAGTAACATGCTGAGATTCCAATGTCATCGCAGCGGCCTTCCTTACGCAGACTGTCAGCTTGGACGACAGCACGACAGTCAAGTTTGAGATCTGGTGAGTGGGGCCCTGAATTCCCCTCCAAGACCTTGCAGCCCGATTGACGTTGTGCTTGTATCTAGGGACACGGCTGGGCAGGAGCGATACAAGTCGCTGGCTCCGATGTACTACCGCAATGCGAACTGCGCTGTTGTTGTTTATGACATCACCCAGCCTGTGAGTTGCGACCCGCCCCTCTTTTTGACCTCTTTCGATTGACTGACTGTGCCACCAAAAGTCGTCGCTGGAAAAGGCCAAGTCATGGATCCGGGAGCTGCAGCGCCAAGCAGACCCCAACATCATCATTGCCCTCGCCGGCAACAAGGCCGATCTGGCGAGCACACGCCGGGCCATCCCCACTGAGGAGGCGCAGGCCTATGCCGATGAGGAGGGCCTGCTTTTCCTCGAGACATCGGCAAAGGACGCCAGCAACGTCTCGGAGCTCTTTACCATGATTGCGCGCAAGCTGCCGCTGGAGCAGGCAGCAGGCGCCCAGCGCGCGGGAGGCGCAAGGGGCGGCAGCAACCTGCTCGCTTCCAGTGGACAAAGACCCGGTGGCGGCGTGGACCTTGGAAAGGGCCAGTCGGGCCAGGATGCGTGCAACTGTTGAATGAGGGTGTGTCCTTCTTGACACCATAGAACGCCACCCATCTCGCAAGACTCTTCTTCTTTGTCATTGGCGACGCCCTCTCTGCTCTTTATTCCTGCTGCCCAGTAGCCTCTCGTTCCTGTTCTAGTGTACTTATACCTCTCTCCTCTCTTTTCTACATCTTCAGTCTCTGTTCTCGCCCGTTGGACTCCTCCCGCTTTCCTGCCGTATCAGACACACAAACAACACCGCCTATTTCTTCATCTCCTCATCCAATTCAGATGATCATCCCTCTCTCTCTCTCTCTCTCTCTCTTTCTCTGTGCAAGCGTGTGAAATTTCTTTTGTTTTTTTTATGTATTCATCGCTCACTTGAACGCTAGTTCTGCATGTCCGATCTTGACGAGCTTGCCGTCATAGGCGTGCTCCCTGTACTGTTCGACGATGCGCGCCAGGAGCTCGCTCGTCGACACGCCGGGCGTGCGATTGGTGGGGAGGAAGCGACCCTGGTCCTTTACAAACTTGTAGATGTCCTCGGCACCGTCTGTGCCGCCGTACGGCACCTCGTCGTGGGCGACATAGTCGATGCGGTAGAGGTCGAGGAGCTCCTGGTTAATGACCCAGGGCGCATCCTCGACGACCTCGTCGACCCAGCGGCAGTTGCGCACGGCCGCGTACCGCTCGGCGGAGCTCATCACGGGCTTGTTCTTGTGCTGTGCGCAGAGGCGCGACGAGACGACGCCAACGATGAGGTGGACCGAGGGGAAGCTGAGCTTGGCCTGGCGGAGCTGCAGCGCATGGGCGTAGTGGAAGAGGTCGTAGACGCCATCGGCATAGATGCGCACCGGTCGCGCCGGGTTCTTGCCCCCGTCGGGCGGCTGGTTGATCTTGTAGTCGCGCTTCGCCTGGCCCGACGTCGGGTCCAGCGGCTCGTAGATGGCCTTGTGCACAAAGGAGCGGATCATCGACGCCGGCGGCATCGTCACCTGCTGTTCGTCTTCCAGCGGCTCGGCCGTGTTGGTCGAGGCGCCCGTAAAGGCCTTGCTGGGTGCGTCGGCAGGCGTAGACGTAGTAGCGGCGCCGCCCGTGGCTGGCGACGCATAGTAGCCAGAAGAGGACGTGAGCGACGACGAGGGGTGGTTGACAGAGGCCAGAATGCCCTGCTGTTGTTGCTGCTGTTGTTGTTGCTGTTGTGTCTGAGACCCCCGCGCTGCAAACTCGACGTCGCCATCGTACGGTGCACCGTCGGTCGCATCGGCATCCTCTCCCTCGGTCTCTTCAAACGTGCTTGTGCTATTGAGCGAGTGCTGCAGCTGCCTTCGCTTGTTGAGGCTCGAGTCCTTGCCGGGTGGGCCAGTCTGCACTCCCGATGACTCTTGCGCTCGGGGCGTTGGCATCGCCGTGGCAATCGACGTCTGGGCCGGAAGCGAGCCAAGATCGAGCTTGCCGCTGCCCTCCTTGCCCGCTGCCGCAGCGCCCACGCCGGCGCCGCCGCTCAAGACAGCGGCGTGGGGCAGGGGCGGTGACTGGTGGTGATGGCGGTGGTGGTGATGGTGGTGATGCTGCTTTCTCGCTGCAGTGCCTGTCGGTCCATTTGGCACATCGCTGTCTGCGCTCGACATGCTCTCGGTCCTCGACAGCACGGGCCTCGCCGAGGGCGCCGCCGGCTCATGGAAGTCGCCCGGCGCGAGCTCGGCAGACGAGGAGCTCGAGAGGGCAGCGCTGGCCTTGACGAGCGTGTCCCTCACTGCGTCGCCCTTGGCCATGCCCGCTGCCGAGGGCCTCCTCGCCGACGACTCAAACGGAGCGCCGGCCAGCGAGCCAACCTGTCTGGGCGGAGAGGAACTCGACGGCGTCTTGTCCGCCAGTGGTCCTGCGCTGGCCGTCGACGGCCCCGCAAGCGCAATGGGAGCGCCGCCCGTGGGCGAGAGGCGCCTTGTATGCGCCTGTTTCGAGTCCACCACGGCACGGTCCCTCGCCGACGTCGGCAGGACCTCCTCGAGCGACGAGAGCCGCGTGCCCTCGCGTGCATCACTGCGCGACTGCAGCGGCTGGGGCATGCGCAGCGACGAGGCGCTGTCCGAGTAGCCCGAGGCATCGTCGTTGTCCTCCTCGCTCGCGTCCCGGCTCGAGCTGATGAAAGGCTCCTCGCCCTCGCCCTCGCCGTCCCCCTTGCGGCGCGCCGCAGCAGCCGAGGCATCCTTGGTCCCCATGGGCGGCAGCGCGGGCCCACCAAGCCGCCGAGCCGCAATGGCCGCAGCCCCCGACGAGCCGGCGCCACCGAGCCCGCCGCCGCCTCCGAGGCCGTGGTGCCGCTTCTTGCGCTCCTTGGAGCTGGCGGCGGAGTGGTGCGTGGCCGACGCGGCCGTTGCCGAGTCCGTCTCGCCGCGCGTGGTCGTCGACGGATCCATCACGTCTCCCGTCCCAGGGTCTCTCTCTCTTGGAATACTACTTTGTTTGTTATGTCTGTCGACTTTGCCCGTTTGTCGCTATTTCTCCTTTTCTCTTCTTCGCCTATGAGAATGTGAATGTATGTGTGAGTGTACGTGTGGAGTGGAGGAAGAAAAGGCGAAATGTCGCGAGCGAGCCCAAGCGAGTCGACGGTCAATCGTGCTGAGAGAAACGTTCACCACGGGGGCGGCGGCTTGACTGCTCTACTACAGTCACCGTGCGCTTGGAGCTTAGGGTTGTAAAAGAGAGCAAGCGGGTGCTTCTCGTCGTCGTCGCTGGCCTCTCTCTACCTTTCAACCCTCGTTTCTCGACTTGTCTCGGGGCGGAGAGATTGCCGCACGTTTTTTTCGGTAGCGCGCTTGCCTGTGCCCTTGGCAGGCCCCCCTCCGCTAGAGAGCAGCGCACGTGGAAAATTCCCAGGCTTTCTTTTATTTTTATTTTTCGCCCTGCCCTGTTCCTGCTCCACCTCGACTTCAAGAACAAGAAGAAGAGGTGGGAAATCTGAAGACGGCGATGGTCCGTCCATTAAGAAAAAGGTGGGTGCAACTGGGTCCGGTCCGACGATTGAGAGGGATGCAAAACCCAGTTACACGGGAAGGTACATGCACCGTACAGACACGTTGCCTGGTCATCACCAACAGCGGGTCAATGACGGGGCAAGACCGCGAAGCCAACGTCTCGTTTCGAGACTGCGCGCTCGCGGTGACAGAACGGAGAGCTGACTTTCGTATGCGCCATCTTCTTGATGATGCAAGGACAACATACACTGACTCGCGCTCTCTCTCTCTCTCTCCCCACGATACAGAACAGGTAGACGCTCTGATTCATGTATGCTAAGGTTTGTGCAATTGAAGTCGAAGCCCTTTGATGATGATGATGGTGAAAGTGTGGGCATATAGGCTCTAGCTAGTGAAGGCCGAGTAAGAGGGAGAGAAGAGGGAAAGAGAGAGAAGACACGGCACAGATTGTGGTGCTTATTGAGACGGCGGCTGCTGATATTGCGGAAAGTGATGCTTGTAAGCTGGATCGTAGAATGGATTGTTGGTCGTACCCGGAACTCCCGCATGTCCTTGTCCTTGCTGCCGTGGAGGGTCTGCTCCATTCATCGGTGGTGCCAGCGGCACGGTGCCTGTTGCAGAGGCGGCAAGAGGAGGTGGAGCGCCAGGGATAGCAGGCGGCGGACGAGCCCTGAGGGCCTCCTCGTGACTGTGGCTGTGGCTCTGACTGTGGTTGTGGCTATGGCCATGGCTGCTGGCGCGCTCGTCCGTCTGCGTCTGGCTGGACATGTTGCTCGAGGAGAGCTGCATCGCTTGTGCCTGGGCGGCCAGCGTCGCTCCCTGCTGCCCCAGCCCATTGGGAACGGCGAGTGTATCTGAGCGGTACCTGTCAGGGTCATTTCACATGCTGTGTCAACGCGCACACTCACCCTCATCCACGGACACGGCTCTTCGCTTCCCAAGAGCCTTTTCGCTCGGCTCGATGGGCGTCAAGATGACGCTCTCGTTGTCGTCCTTGTTTGGACTGGCATTCGCGCCGGCGACGTTGGCGTGGCCGTGGGCAGACGAAGCATGTGGCGCGGAGAAGCTCGATGGGGGCGCAGAGGCGCCGTTGCTTGAGCTCGTCTGGAGATGTAGGGGCACACCTGAGGCGAACGAGCTCGTGAGATTGTCAACACTTGGGAGCGGGCGCGGTCCTCGCGTCAACCGGGACTGCTGCAGCGCCTGATCTTCGATATTGCCCTCGCGCGCTGTGGTGTGGCTCAGATGCGAGGTCGACGAGGGCGCGCGTACATGCGTCGAAGCTCTGGACACATCGAGTGGTGCCGCTTGCTGCTGCTGCTGCTGCTGCTGCTGCTGCGAGCGGCGAGCGGGAGGAGTCGGGCCCTGGACAGAAGCAGCACCCGCATTCGTCGACGACGAGTAGTGAGCGCCCTCGCCTTGGCTCAGCGAGTAGTACTGTCCCGTGGCGGGGTCCTGCACAAGGTTGCTCCGGTCCATCCTCTGCTCGCGCATGCTCTGGTCGAGCACCCTTCGCTCCTCGTCGTCTTCCCTCGCCTTGTTGCGCGCATCCTCAACCATGCCGCTTGCCGTCGACAGCTTCTCGTGAGCATCGAGGACGTCGTCGAGGAGCAGCTCGTCGCGCGTCTTGTCCACCGCGACGTGCTGCCTCCCCTCGGCTGCCTCAGATCGATGCTGCTCTACAAGAGCGTCCCTCGACCGCTCCGCGGCAGCAGACACCCACGGAAGCAGGCCGAGAATGGCATTTTGAGCCTCCTGAGCCCGCGCAGAAAGCACAGCCAGCTCCTCGCTGTGCAGGCCATGGTTGACGAGGGACTCAGCCAGGAGCTGTGCGCTCCGCCGAGCGTCGTCGCACTGCTCGCGCGCGTTTCTCGCTGCTTCTTCCCTCTCCCGCTCCCGTTCCCGCTCCCACTCTCTCTCCCTCTCCCTCTCCTGCTCCATCTCCCACTCGTAATCCCTTGCGTCGTTGTTACCCGCGAAGCCATCGTCGCCGCCACCGCCAACGCCACGAACAGGCGCATTCACCATGGTGCCATCCGGTGCCCGGATCAGGCGATCGTGCCCATGAGATGACGGAATCGGCGACGCATGCACTCCTGGGGCCAGCTCACCCCGCTGGAAGTCGGACGGTCTTGCTTGGTTTGGCTGATACAAAGAAGTTGACGCAGGGTTAAAGACGGGATGATCGGGGTCTAGCGGGCGACCATCGAGGGGCCATCCATCAGGCCGTACCTTGTTGTACGACCTCGTGATGGACTGCAGCTCGACATCGCTCTTGAAGAGGTAGGCAAGCATGCTCCAGACGTCGAACATCATGTCCTTGACGGCCGGCGGCGTCTTGCTGCTCGTCGCCATCTCTTCGCACACCTCGAGGAAGCGCTTCTGGGCCACCTGCAGCTTGAAGCGGTCGCTGGCATTGAGGCACAGGACAGCCCACACCTTGATGGCCCGCATGCGCGGCTTCTCCTCGCCGTACTTGAACTCCTTTCGCAGGGCACGGGCAGCCTCCTTGGACGACGCCTCCGAGTGCGAGAGGGAGTCGCACAGGTGCAGAAGATAGCCCCAGTCCCATGCCTGGGCCTGCGTAGCGCACAGCCAGCCTGCACATGGCAATGTTAGCAACCATTCTATCCTAGCTTCCATGGAAGACCAATCAGTAACTCACCGATCCTCGCCGTGACATTAGCCTCGGACGTAGGGACGACTCCGGGTGCAGGTGACGCCTTCGCGGCCTTGTCTTTGTCCCTCTTGCCAAACCAGCCCTCCTTCTTTGTCTCTCCCTGCGCACCCTGCGGCGCCGAATTCGCTGAAGCCGGTGTCGCACCAAAGTCCTGGCTTCTCGGACGGAGGGAAAACGACGCACCATTGCCCTGTGCGTCTCGCTGGCTGTGAGAATGGCCCTGGTGGTGGTCCATCTGCAGCTCCTTTCTCCGGCTGTTGAGACCTCCAAATAGCTTGTTTTTGATCTTGTCCATCCCTGCTCCACTGTCTTTCTGCTGCACGCTGGGAGGCTGGAGCACATCGACGTACCGATTCATTGGCCTTTCCACATCGTCCGGAGGAGCATATCCCTGACCCTGTCCCTGCTGCAATGCATGCTGCTGCTGCTGCTGCTGCTGCTGGAGCTGACTCTGGTGCAAATACTCCTGCTGGACCAGCTCAGCGTCGGTCGAGCCGTGCAAAGGCAGTGTCTGGCTCTTCGAGCTGCGTCGGCGTGGCAGTCTCGCAGCGCTTTCCTCGCCCGGGTAGTACGGCTGCTGCTGCTGGTATTGGCGCTGGTGCTGGAGCGACTCGAGGGAGCCGTCGTTTCCGGCGACGGGGGCGTCATGATGCTGATGATTCGACCTCGATCCTGCCCTCCTCAGACTCCGGAACCTCTGCACGCCACCATCGGCGTGGCCCTTGGAAGCCCTCCTCGAGAGCATGTAGTGCGCGTCTGCTGCTGTTGCTGCTTCGCCGGTTGGCGCGGACGTCGCTGCAGTAGGCAATGGCGACGCTTGTGTGGCCTGAGCACTGCCGAAGGGATTGGGAAACGAGCTGTCACGCTTCATGCCCTTCGTCCCTTCCTCGTTCCACGCCGGCTGTCCGTCTCCTGCGCCTGGCCTGGCCCGATTCGACAAGGTGCGAGGCCCGTCGGTGGTGGCGACGTCGTCGTAGTACATCTGCTCAGCCTGCGCTGGCCTCTGCTGTGGTGGTGGCACGTGTGAGAGCGGCGGTGGTGGCGGCGGCGGCGACGGCTGGTGTTGAAAATGTCCTCCTCGCGTGCTTCCACTGCCCAGCACAGCGGCGACGAACGGGTTGCTGTGCTCCGGTGGCTCCTGGTGCACCTCTCCGTAGCTCGGGTATGGCGTGGCCGCTGCAGTGACGCCAGCGGGGCGGTTCCTCTCGGAGGGCGAAGATCGCGAGGGCCTCTGCTTGACATGGCCATACGCTGAGTTTGCTGGCGAGACACCCGCGCCCTCGTACCGGTCAGCAGCGGGGTAAGGTGGCTGTCCCTGGCCCTGCCCCGGCCCTCTTCGTCCTCGGCTGCCCCCACTGCTTCCGCTGCCGTAGTCGGAGGGCGCTGCTGGTGCTTGCTGCCCCAGCGAGCCGTCGTGGCTCTCCTGGCGGACGAACATCGAGTCGTCTCGCCAGGGCGTGACGCCCGGCTGCGACGAGCCGGCCCCGCCCATGTTGAGAATCCTCCGCATGGCCCTGCTTCACGCCTCACCGAGACTTCTGCGCTGCGTTCTGCGGAAGCGGTGCCTCGGTGCGATCCACTTAGTGCGCGCGCACAAAGGGAGTGAGAGCTGAAGAAAGGTGGGATTGTGTCGTTCAGGCTCGTCGACTCAAATCAATCGGTCCGTCGGCTCGCGCGAAGCATCGCCTCATCAATCGCCAAGGAGACTTTTCGTTTGGCTTTGTTGGCTCGTGCTTATATTTTTCTTTTTTTAAATTCTTGACCAGCCAACCAACCAACCAACCTCGTCTGCCTGTCTGTCGTCTTGTCTTGTCTTGGAATCTTGTGGTCGAGCTCGCTGTTGAATCCGTGATGAGCTCGGTCGAGAATCTCCCTTCTTCGTCGGGAATTGGAGGCCGCGGGCGACCACTTTCAACCTCGGAATCCCTAGATCTAGCTTCTCGGACCTAGCCCCCAATTAAGACGTCTATTGACGCCAATGGTGTCTTTCTACCTCTACACGCGACCTAGAGTGGGCTCTCTCGCTGCTTCACCGCCTCGTCCAAAGATGGCAGGCACCAAGTCCAAATAGTTAGATCGGCAACATTCTTGCAACGGCAGCCACGTGGAGACACAGAACACGCGCGCGCAACTCTAAATATCCCTCCATCTACGCCATCCACATCGATTTTAGCAGACGAGGCACGATCGATGGCGAGCAACGAGGAGGGCTCGACATCGATGGCGCAGCATCCCCCGCTGCGCCACCAGGCGCACGGCGGCGACGACTTTGTGACACTCATGGGGCTCGGCCCGCTCTGGGAGCGCAGCGTCAAGCCGTACAGCGCCGCGGCACGAGGCAGGAAGCGCGAGCAGGGCGCGAGCGACGCGCCAGTAACCACTGGCAGCGGCGGCGGCGAAGGGAGCACTGGAGCAGCGGCAGAGGGCAGCGAAGCAGCGGGTGCAGCGTCAGCCTCATCCTCGAAACCCTTGACGCTCGAGAAGACGTACGCCTCGTACGTCGCCGACCTACCCGGAAAGGTTCGACCGCCAAAGCGAGCGCTGGGAAAGTACAGCAGCGCGCTCAATAGCTCTGGCGGTGCGCCCGACGGCGGCGGCTCCTCAACCCTGCCCGTTCCTCCCGAGCTGACGGGGCAGACGACCATGTCCGAGATCGTCTTTCGGCCCGAGACGACAGTGCACCGCATCGGTCCCTTTGACGACGAGTCGCTTCGCGCCGCCTTTACCGTCGAGGCGGGGCCCTTGACCGGCGTCGATCTCTCGCTGCTCGAGTCAGATGAGGTGCGGGCCGAGACGCCGCCGAGGAAGAAGAAAAAGAAGAAGAACAGGCCGGCCAATGAATCAGGCCAGCAGCCAGCGCCGGCAAAGGCAAGATGAAGCACCACAATCTGTTGTATTATTATCTCTTCTTGAACACATCGACACGATCATAAAAGGAACCAGCCCACGGAAGACAGGAGGAAGAGAAAAGAGTAGAGAAGAGATCTGTGGAAAGTGGAGAAGTGAGGAGAATAGGGCACAATCATGGATAAATGGCCTCTTCATTACCGTGAGCTAGAGGGTTGCCCAAGGTCGTACGGCGGGGGGCCGAGCTGGGCAGGCGATGATGCTCGACGAGCGATGGGTTGACGTTATGTCCGGTGGGCAAGTGTCTTGCGTCTTCGAGCTCCTGAAGGCTTGTAAGTGAGGACTCGTGCTCTGCGGTCCCGTGTCCATGCGTCACACCGTCCGTCGTCGAGCCAATGTCGCCGATGCGGATGTTGGAGATCTTGAACGTAGCATCCGGATATTTCTTTTCGAGTTCGGCTGGCACACCCGAGGATGCACGACAGGGCCCCCTCACTGCGCCTGGAGCGTTCGGGCGACGGAAGACGCGTTGTCCCTGCTCGTGCGGCGAATATATGCTGTCGAGCCAACGTCCTTGGGCATAGTGATCATCCCAAAAGCTGAAGACGAGCGTCATGCCATTCTTCATCGCTTCTGTCATGCCCTCAAATCCTTTAAAGGTATTGAAATAGTTTGACTCTTCAAAGACCTTCTTTGTCTGATCGCAGTACTCTTGCGTCAGCGAGTTGCCTACTATGCGAGGAATTTTCGAAGTGGGGTTGCGAATAACTTTGCCGTTCTGCCTGTAGATGCGGCGCACCTCGGTCAGCGTCCCGCCTTGAACTGGAGGATTGTGGCTGTAGACGGCGCGCTTCTCCAACTTCTCTTTTTCTGAAGTGCGGTGATCCCTAATGTGCAAGCCACTGATGTCATGGTGACTCCCCAAAGGCTTGGTCGTGGTGTGTCGACGGTGCGTGACATCGGTCTAGAATTGGGTGGTGACGGTGAACTTCTGACTAGTGTCGACCTCGAACCCCTTGCCATATCCGAAGAACCTTTGATTGCCGAGCCTGTACGTATTGAGGTCGCACCCGTTGGCGTCGCAGTACTTTCCGAACCGCTTCTTGGAGTAGGTGCCGCCGCATTCTTCCCCTTCGCATCTTTCCTGCTTAGGAGACCTGCATGGATGAAGCGTAAAGGCATTTGCCGCCGAGTTGCCCTCCCACACATCGACTTCGCTGCCACAAGAGCCATAATGGCCCACACCAGCATTGCGGTCTGTTGTCGATGGCACCCACTGGTAGTTGTTCGCCTGAAAGGGAAAGAAGAAATGTTTTAGCGGGAAGTAAGCTGCCAAAGGTCGGAGGAAAGACCTCCAAGATGGAAATCGAGGAAATAGTCACCTTTCCGTTGATGAACTTGAGATCCCGGGCGCATTGGCCGTCTGCGTAGCCCAAACCCGCACTCGCGCCCGCCGACTTGTACGCTTTGGCGCCTCCATCGGCGTCCATGCTGGTAAAGTAAAGTGCGGGGACGAGCCCGCATGGTACTGTGCTGACGTCGATGTGCTGACGTCGATGTCGAATGTGACCTCTTGATCGAGCAACATATGCTGTAGGTACCTCGATCCTGTCCCATCCAGCATCATCAGCCTCGCGCCGACGTTGGTATTTCCACCATTTTGGGTGACTAAGCGGATCGTGAGCTCATCGCCATCCGTTCGGACACCGTATTCGGTGTCGTACACGCCGCCCTCGCCCACGCACGCATCGGTGCACCTATTGGTGTTATCGTTCACGCCACAGACGTCTTGAATCCATTTGTTACCAAGGTAACAGTTTTGGAATGTTCCAGATTTTTTGTGAAGCCAGCGCCAGTTGAAGTCAATGACGAGGGGCGACGACATCGTCTTACAGATCGGTTTGCCGCCAGCACCTCTCCTGCACTTCGTCCATTGCAAATCGACTTTTTTGTCCTCCTTTTGCCCGCCCATATGCTGTGCCTTCACCAACGTCACGAGCCAGAACAGGAGCAGAAGAGGGAGCACCATCATCGTGAGCTTGTCTCGCATAGTCGCCTCGAGAGTTGAAATAAAGAAGAGTGGGAGCAGAGGATGTTTTGAGGAACAGAAAAGTTAGTTGCTGCCTCCCCTTTAAGCCTTTTTGAAGCCAAGCGCTCACTTTCGAGCGACTCGCTGGCAGCTAGCAAGTTAGCTAGATTTCCGAAGAAGGGAACCGGCTTCCTTTCCCTTTTTTCCCAGCACCTTCGCTCGGAGAGACTGTGAGGAGGATGCGTGGGGGCCGAGTAGGGGCCACCCCGTGGGACTCTGGCGGAGATACAGACTTCTTCTACGAGGCCTCATATTCCACCGTAGAATTATTCGAGGCCCCTTTCCCACAACCAGCAGTATTGTACTGCACAGTGCAAAGCTCTAATCGCCTACACCGACGTAATAGACAGAGAGAAGTCGGCTTTTTCAAAAAGCCATGAGTTCTCTCACACACCCCTAGGAGAAAGGGGAAACACCGACGGCGGGCTTGTCCAGGATGCATTCGCACAATGGCGCCCCTCTCCGGCGGACAGCAGCTACGGAGTGCATGGCAAATAGAGATGAGAGTTACTTTCCCTTGGCGCAAAGGCCGCAACAGGTAAGCAGCCTCCTCCAACCACTTTCCCTTTCTTTCGGTAAAGGTAGTGCGCGGTCCCTCCCCCTTTTCCTGCTTTTTCTGAGACCGTCTGGGGACAACAAAAGTCGGAGAAGAGTTCTCGGGAAACATGGCCTCTGTGTCTGAATGTAGCGCCGCGCGCTCACTCTGTCTTCTGCTTGTAGTTGAGAGCAGCGCTGGTTACACATCGCCATTGAGCAGTCAACTCCAGTGCTGGACATTTGGTCTTGGTATTGGTATATTGACATTGAGTTGTAAGGAACTAAGTGCTTCTTCGGCAGCGTGGAAGCGATGTGTACCGGGCATCAAATTTGTGCCCGCGTGTGAGAATATCGGTGCCTGGGCCGTCTTCCTGTCGTGGTGATGTAATCTTTCGGGTGTGCCTGAGTGCGGATGAAGAAGTTCCGCCGGCTTGTACTCCGCCCTCCTCTTTTGTTAGCCCTGTCTCCGTCGTCCCTGCTCCATTTCACACGTTTTCTCCGATTCCGAGGCGGCGCTCTCGAATTGGAAACGCGCAATTCTCTTGCTAAAGTCTTTCCTGTCTATGCGCATACCTTTTCCCAGGAGAGTCTGAGAGTGCCGTCAGGCTCCAATGTAGGCCTCGGCATGAATCTGAACGCAATGTAGTCCCTTGTCGATGCGCCAGACAGAAAGGACCAGTACAAGTCGTCGTACTCGCCATCCGACCAGTCCTTGGGATCGTACGATGTGAACTCGACGAGGGACCTCACGAGCTCTCCGACCTGAACTGGCCGGATGGATGCCGTCGGAACGAGGTCCCTGTCCTCCGGATCGATGAAGTCTACCTCGCTAGACGACGGAGGAGCCAGCTTACACTTGGCCGTCGTCAGGTCTAGGCTGTCCAGCGGCGTGTCCCGGCCTACGCGGCCCATGACGACTCGGTGCACGGGTGGGTACGATATGTTTTGAGTGTTAGCCGCCTCGAAATCCTTAGCATCACGCTCCCTGGCACTGTCTATGATTCGCAGATCAGTACGACGACCGACATTGCCCTTTCTGTACACCTCGACGCGGCTTGTCTCCTGGTGCACGCGAAAGGTCAGCCCAAGCAGAGTCGGGTGGAGATGGATATCGCGGAAGGTGCCTGTCGTCATGTTGCGCACGGGATCTTCGATGGCAGGATCGAGCCGGCCCTGAAGGTCCCAGTGGAAGCGGTTCTCGGGCGCCGGTCTGCTGTGATCGACGGGTCCTGATGGAGGCAAGTGTCATTACCGTACCGCTCATGGTGTGCTCTGTATGCGGTCATTGTCGCGAGACCTACGGCGGCGTCCGTCGGTGTTCACGGGGTCACACGGGACATGCAGCGACCTCGCGCTCACGAATGTGGTAGCGATCGGCTCGGCGGCCATGTCAAGTCTCCTCTTCATCAGACTGCGAGCGCAGAGAGCGCAATGTGATTCAGAGAACGAAGGACTTGACGACCACCGTATGCGAAGAGCGTAGAAACGAGAGGACCGTGCTCCGCTTTTCAGAACTCCCCTCCGCCCTCCACCCTTGCGCCGCCTGTTTTGGCGCGGCGGCGCATCTTAGTCTAATGGGCGCGAGAATATCACTGCTCTTCCTCTGTGCGGCTGGCAATTGTCTCCAATATCTGGCAGCCGATTCTTGGTGCTAATGGCTCCAGCACACGGCGCTCGCTGTCCTCTTTAATTAATCTCTCCGTGCCCGATCGATCCATCTCAGGCACGGCACAGTCGCGAGTGTGGCTGCTCTCGCACGACCAGCTGCGCCGTGCGGGGCCTCTGCGCTCTAAAACCCTCTCTACCCGTGCATGATGACCATTTGGCTCTGACGAAATGCACCTCCGCGGAAACGAGCACTAATAGTCAAGAGACGAACACCGACCAACGGCCAAGATTCCCCACATTCTGCGGACATGAAGACTCACTGTACAGATATTTCTTAATTTTCTCCCTTCTTAGCGTCCTTTTCGGCCAAAACCGTTTTCCTCTGCTGGTTTTCCCGCAGAAAGCGAAGATTTACCCCCCGTGGGGGAACTGGGATCGGTTGCGGCACTTTAAAGCCGAGAGCGGAAGCACCGCAGCGTCTTCTCTCCTACACACCATCACTGAGCCACAATGAGCGGTGTTTCCGACAACGAAAAGCGCATGGTCGATGCATCCGAGAGCGGAACGGCGCCGAACACCGCCAATGGCGCACCCCTGTCGAGTTCGAGCTCGGGTGACAGGGAGCACAAGGACGTCGCGCTCTCGTCTGACTCGAAGCGGGCGGCAGACGAGAAGTTGCACGCAGGCGATGCTAGGGAGGAGGAAGGCATCAACGACTCGTCGCTGCTCATGACCAAGGAAGAGGAGAAGCGCCTCCTGCGCAAGATTGACTGGGCCATCGTGCCCTACTGCTCCCTCCTCTATCTCCTGTCCTTCCTCGACAGAGTAAACATTGGACAAGCGGCAGTGGCCGGCCTCAAGGCGGATCTTGGCATCACTGGCGGAAACAGTTACGCCGTCGCCCTGAGTCTCTTCTTTGTCGGTGAGTGCGCTAGCGAAAGGGTTTTCGAAGCCCTCGTCCGTAGTGTCGTGTACCGTCCTGATTCTGAATTCGCCGTCCTGACAGGCTACGTCGTCTTTGAGGTGCCGTCGAACCTCGCACTCAAGGCGCTCAAGCCTCATCGGTGAGCTGCTTCGCCTCGCCAAGTCTTCTTTTGCACGTAACTCACACCTCTACACCACAAGCTGGATCCCCTTCATCATGATCTCGTGGAGCATAGTCATGGTCTGCATGGGCCTCGTGCGGTCTGGCGCCGGCCTCATCGCCGCTCGTTTCTTCCTCGGAGTTGTCAGTATCTTTTCTCATTTACACCGAAAAAGCTCGCTGACAAGAGCGTTTATCCGTCTAGGCCGAAGGCGGACTGTTCCCGGGCATCAACTTCATGCTGTGAGTGGGCTTCTTACCGAGCCTTTTCTCGTTCGAGTATCTAAAATTTCAATTGCTTTAGGACATGCTGGTACTCGAGGCGGGAGCAGACGCTGCGCATCTCCATCTTCTTTGCTGGCGCCACACTGGCGGGTGGTGAGTCGCCGTCGCATCTCCAACGCTGTGCTGGCTCCTCTTAATCTGACCTCGTCTTCAACCAGCCTTTGGAGGCATCCTTGCCTACGGTCTCAAGTATATCCCCTTCCCTTCGTGGCAGCACTTTGGAGACAATCCCGTCACTCCGACGAACAGCAAGATGGTTGCTACACCGGGCGGATGGCGCTGGATCTTCATCATCGAAGGTGAGTCCTCTGCTCTCCTCCACTGTTTCTGTCTCTATGCTCGGTAGCTGATTGTGTGAGGGTCGCCTAGGCCTCATCACCTTCGTCTGCGCGCTGCCGGCCTGGTGGGCCATAGTCGACTTTCCCGCCGAAGACAACAAGCTGCTCAACAAGGAGGAGGCGCGCAAGTGGAACCACAAGCTGGCCATCTCGCAGGGCGTCACAAACGCCAATACGCCCTTTAGCTGGGCCCAGGTTCGCGAGGCCTTTCTCGACTGGAAGACGTGGATGTACAGCCTTATGTACATCTCCATTGCCAACCCGCTGTGAGTTATGCCCCCCCTTGTCTAATCTTTCCTTTGCCATGAGGCCTATTCTCATCGCATCTGAATGGCGAAAACAGCTACTCGCTCGCGCTCTTTACGCCGACAATCATCCAGAGCCTCGACTTCAGCGGGGCGTCTGCCAACCTCCTCTCTGTGCCGCCCTACGTCGTCGGCTTCATCACCACGCTCACCGTGGCCTACCTCTCGGACCGCACGATGATGCGCGGGCCCTTTATCATTGGCTCGATGTTCGTCGTCGTCATTGGCTACATCATTCTCATCTGCGACGTCGCGCCGGGCGTCAAATACTTTGCCATTTTCCTCACCGTCGCCGGCGTCTCGCCGTCGATTGGCACGAGCATCGCCTTTGTCGGCTCCAACTTTGGCCCCGTGTACCGGCGCGCAACGACAATGGGCATCTACTTTACCATTGGCAACTCGGCTGGCCTGGTCAGCTCCAATGTGTACCCAATGGCGGATGCGCCGCGCTACATCAAGGGCCACGCCATCAATCTCGGCTTCGCCGCCGTGGCCATTCTCTCATGCGCCGTGCTGATGTTCCACAACATCCGCGAGAACCGGCGAAGGGACGCGATCTCGTATGCGCACCCTGACGGACGGGACGTCGACCCCAGCCGGCTCGACGACGAGGCGGAAAAGAAGCGGTGGGGCTACGAGGGAAAGACGCGAGAAGAGCTGCTCAGCCTCGGTCACCGCCATCTGGCTTTCCGTTATGTATGGTAAAAAGTTCATCCTCTCTCTGTGCCTCATCGGCGGGGAAAGGAAAGAATCAAAGTGGAGATTGAGAGGGGTGGTTGTACCTGACATTGAACGAGGTTGAGAGGGGACTTCGTATCTGACATTTAATGAGAAAGTGTGAAAGAGTTAGGTGACTAAGGAATAAGAAAAAGACCCAGAAGGGAGAGGGAGAGGTCTGCTTGGCGACGATGGCTGCCGGGCCTCAGTCCTTGAGCTCGGGGCAGCGCATTATGCGACATCGCATGGCCTTGGATCGTATCGTCAGCCTGGCCTTGCTGTCGATGTCCTTGAGGGAATAGAAAGACCTCCAATGAAGCGCATTGCCGTGCTCCACTTCGTCCCACAGCTCGTAGAGCTTGATCAGTGCAAAATCGAGCACCGCCTTGTCTTCTCCGCCTTCGGCAGGCTCCTTTGCTGCGCTCTCGCCATCACCTTTTTCGCTGGTATCACCATCGTCGGGGTCGGTCTTATCATCTTCAAGCTCATCGACTCTATCTTCAAGCTTTTCGAGACGGTCCTCGATGTCGGCACTGGACCAGCTTTCAGTCGTAGCGAAGAGCGCTTCCACATCCTCCTTCACGCGGCGCAACGTGTTCGAGCGCTTGCCATCAGACTCCGTCGAGAGATCCTGTTCTTCACGAAGGAGCTCGACAGCTGTGTTGAGTGCATTGACCTGCTCCTCTACATCTCCGACTGCATCGGCGGCGACTTCTGCCATCTGCTCCTTGATTTCGTTTCGCAGGTCTTGCTCTGCTTCGGCCATTTCCTCTCGCAGGCTCCGTTTCAGCTCGGACATGCTTTTGAAAATTGCCTCGCTGCGCTCGTAGTCCTTGAGGCGTGCTTCGAGCCTTGCTTCGGTGGTCTGCTTCGTCTGTTCCACCGTCTGTTCCATCTCGGTTCTGAGATGCGAAATGCGCTGCTCGCCGGCGGTGATCTCTTCCTTGAGCTGCGACATGCGCTGCTTGCTCGCCTCGATCTCCAAATCCACCTGTCTGCCCACTTCTTCTTTCACCAGGCTCTCAACCGTCCCGGTCGTGGCGACACGGAGGCTCCACTCGACCGAGTCGATGCGTTCCTCGATGCGCTCACCCAGCAATCGGAGGTTCTCCTCGGCCGCGTCCTGCACGGCGCGCACCTTTTCGTCGATTTCCTTGCGGAGGCGCTGATGCATTTTATCGAGCTTCCGCTCCATTGCAGATGTGGCGAGATGCATCGAGTCCTGCTGCAGCTTCGTCTTGACCAAGACGGTTTCGAGGTGCGCCTGCATGACCTCGAAGCGCGCCTGCAGCGTCTCGAGCTGCGTCTTTTGCCGCCTCACGTCGTCCGACAGGCCCGCCGTCTCGTCATGTTGCTTCTCTCCCCACTTGCTGTTCTTGCGCGAATCATCGCAGCGTGCTGCAATGGCAGCATCGAATTTACGGAAGAGGGCTTGTACCGCCATAATGTCCTCCTCAGAGCCGAACTTCTCGGCCGTGCTAGCGGTGCCACTTGCGCGCGAGTCTTCAGAAGAAGAGATGGACAAAGCCTTCCACGACGGCGAGGACGACGACGACGACGAAGAAGAAGAAGAAGAGGAAGGAGCAGACAGCGTTGGAGACGACGTCTGCGGGAAAGAGAAGAAGGGAGTCGACGAAGAGCCAGAGCCAGTCAGAGACCTCGGGGAGCGGCGCACGGCAGCGGCAGCGACGTCTGTGTTCCTCCTCTTGTCCCTGCCCTTGCCCCTGCTCTTGTTCTTGCGCTTCTTGCTGCTGCTGCTGTCCTTCTTGGCGGCGTCCATCCTCGCCATTTACGTGGTGGCAAAGACAAAAGACGAGACTGAGCGCTGCGCTGCGAGCGCGGTCCACTGGAATGTCCTTTGCCCCCTGCAACACCGCTCCGTCCTTCCCAAAAATGACGAGGCCCGTGCTTGCATTTTATTTTCTACACTCTAAAGACGGAGCACCCTCGTCAGCCCCTGCGACAACCTTTGCTTTCCCGTCCAGGACAGTGCAGACGAAGCCCAAGCATCTCCCGGGGTAGTCTCGCTTTGATCATTTCGCCATTTTAGTTTAAAAGAGTATGTGAGAGGATTCTCTAGATGCGTACAGTAAATATGGAAAAAGAAAAAAGGGAAAAAGGAGAGAAAGACGGGGCAGAGGGCTGCAGATGGGAGGAGAAGAGATGCTCATCAAAAGTAGCCGTCGAAGATCACTTAGACCTTGTTGGGGCCGGCCTTGAGCACCTCTGGGCTGACATCGCTGGCGTACTTCTCAAAGGCCTCGTTGAACATGCCGGCGAGCTTGTTGATCTCGGCGTCAAAGGCCTTCTTGTCCGGCCAGGCGTTCCTCGAGTGGAGAATCTCCGAGGGGACGTTGCTGACCTTCTTGGGCACCTTGAGGTTGAAGACGTCAAAGTCCTCGTACTCGGCGTTGGCCAGCTCGCCAGAGTGGATGGCGTCGAGGATGGCACGGGTGTACTTGAGCGGGCACCGCTTGCCAGTGCCGAACTTGCCGCCGGACCAGCCAGTGTTGATGAGGTAGGCGTTGGCCTTGACCTTCGACATGCGCTCAGCCAGCATGGCGGCGTAGCGACGCGGGTGGAGAACAATGAAGGGCTGGCCGTAGCACGTCGAGAAGGTGGGGCTGGGCTCGACAACACCGTCTTCGGTACCGGGCGTCTTGGACGTGTAGCCGGCAATGAAGTGGTACTGGGCCTGCTCGGGGCTGAGCTTGGAGACGGGGGGAAGGACACCAAAGGCGTCGCAGGTGAGGAGAATGATGTTCTTGGGCAGGCCGGCAATGCAGGGGATCTTTGCGTTGTTGATGTACTCGATCGGGTATGCGCACCGCGTGTTCTCCGTCAGGTGCGAGTCGTCATAGTCGGGGACGCGCGTGTTCTTGTCGTACGACACGTTCTCGAGAATCGAGCCAAAGCGGATGGCGTTGTAGATTTCCGGCTCCTTCTCAGCCGAGAGGCCGATGCACTTGGCGTAGCAGCCGCCCTCGATGTTGAAGACACCATCGTCGGACCACACGTGCTCGTCGTCGCCAATCAGCCGTCGGTGCGGGTCGGCCGAGAGCGTCGTCTTGCCAGTGCCCGAGAGACCAAAGAAGAGCGAGACGTCGCCGTCGGGGCCCTCGTTGGCCGACGAGTGCAGCGAGAGCTGGCCGAACTTGACGGGCTGGAGGTAGTGCATGACCGAGAAGATACCCTTCTTCATCTCGCCAGCGTACTCGGTACCGAGAATGACCATCTCGCGACGCTTGAAGTTGATCTCGACCGACGTCGTCGACGTCATGCCCGCCGTGAAGCGGTTGGCAGGGAACTGGCCGGCATTGTAGATGATGAAGTCGGGCTCGCCGAAGTTCTCGAGCTCCTCGCGGGTGGGCCGGATCAGCATGTTGTGCATGAACAGCGCGTGGTAGGCCCTGGCGCAGATGACGCGGACCTTGATGCGGTACTTGGGGTCCCAGCCGGCAAAGCCGTCAAAGACGTAGATGTCGTCGCGGGTGTTGAGGTAGTCGATGGCACGCTCGCGGTTGATCTCGAACGTGTGCTCGTCCATCTTGATGTTAACAGGTCCCCACTGTTCATGAAATTTAAGTCAGCATCATGTCCAGATTGATTAGAGCACGATTTAAGAAACGCACCCAGACATCATCCTTGCTCGTCTCCTCGTAGACAATGCGCTTGTCCTTGGGGCTGCGGCCCGTCTTCTTTCCCGAAAAGTTGATGAGCGCGCCGTTGCTCGAGATGATGGCACCCTCCTTTGAGATGGCGTCCTCGTAGAGCGAGGCGACGGGAGCGTTTCGCTTCAGGTGGATCTTGTCCATGTCGAAACCGGCTGTTGGACGACGATTCCGATAGTGCCCGGGTCAGCTTCATCATTGGCATACCTCCTTGAAGAGTGCTGCTCACCATCCGAGAACAGTGCGATACTGTCCCTGCCGAGAAGCGCATACTGAGGGTCCTGCGTTGGCAGCTCATCTGTGCAAGAAGAGCAAAAAAAGAAGTGACGACGAAGTGAGCTTCTCATTTCTTTCTCCTTTGTCTTTCACGCGCCGTTGTTCCTGAGTCGTGACACTCACCGTGGTGGTTACCGGGGGAAGTCATGATGGGTGCTATTCTATCGCTGAGGAAGGCGAAAGCAAAATGGGTGGGTTCGTTGGTTCGTGGGGAGGGAGCAAGGGAAGAAGGGTGTGGGTGAATTTGGTCAGTGGAGGCCTGGGAGAGCGTGGAAAGCGAGAAGTAGGAGAGCGCCCGAGACGTAGTGCGGGGATGCCCGGTACCGGTCCAGGTTCAGTCCAATCAGGGAGACTAAAAATCCGACCGCGTCTTCCAGCTTGATCGAGCCGGCTCCACTCCAAAGTCTCCGACTCACCTTGAAGATTCTCGGAACGATTGCTGTGGCTGCTTTTGTCTCTACAAGATATCTCTTTGTCTATCTATGGGTCGTGAAAAGGAAACGGGTGGAGATGCGCGAGAGCGGAAGGGGGAGGAGGAGAGGGGAGAGGAGGAAGGAAGTCTGAGAAATGCAAGCTCTTATATGGCTTCTTGCTCTCCGATCGATGCAACAGCGATGCGTGATTGCAAAGGGGGACGTCGGGAGACCTCGCGCCCTATCTGTATAGGCTCCACTAGTATTACACTGCACTACTCCTCCGCTTTACAGATTTGGGTTCAGGGAGGGCCAGGTCGAGGATGGAGGTGCATGCAGAGGCGGCCTTCGCTTTGCAATACAACCCGCCCTCTGCCGGCCTCCCGCCTGCTCCCCCGCCCATCATCGGGCAAAGCAGGGTTGCTACGTATTGCCGCCCGCTCCGGCAGGGTCCGACACCGGGCGAGGCTTTGATTTCATTTTCGACACGTGGATTCGACCTGGAAATTGACACGTGCCAAGAAAGCATGGTCAGTGCCACGAAGATGACCTGGCTTCCAACAAGCTCGGCGTCTCCAAGTCAAGCCAACACAGGAGCTAGAGCGACTTCGACAAGCACAGAATGGTGAGCATCGGGAGTGTGCCTCTTCAGTACCATAACACATTGACTAACGATGAGTGGTAGGTCCTCCTCGCAGCGTCGGTCTGCACGCGGGGCGGCAAGCGTGAGTTTGCTTCACAGAGGAGGTGCACAGGAGGGATGAATGCTGACTTGCAGTACGAGCAGCCGTCATCTCGCGCCAATTCCGCGAGATGCCCAGGTCGAGGGTCGAGGCGCTACTCGCCTCGTTTCCCAAGCTCATCTCGACTGGATCGCAGCACACGACAATCGAGACGGACACGGTCCGCTACGTCTACCAGCCGTTGGAGGACCTGTACATGATCCTGATCACCAACAAGTCCTCCAACATCCTCCAGGACATCGACACCCTCCACCTGTTTGCCAGGACGGTGTCAGACATGTGCCGGAGTTTGGACGAGCGTGACGTGCTGCGCAACAGCTTTGAGCTCCTGGGCGCGTTTGACGAGATTGTCTCGCTCGGCTACCGCGAAAACGTCGGCCTGGCGCAGATCAAGACGTTCCTGGAGATGGAGAGCCAGGAAGAAAAGATACAGGAAATCATCGAGAGGGTGCGTTGGCAGGTTCTTCTCTGCAGTCAATTGGAAAGCTGACACGGGCGTGCTTGACGGCCTTCGTCTGTTTAGAACAAGGAGCTCGAGGCGCAAGAGGAGCTCAAACGCCGGGCCAAGCAGCTCGAGATGCAGCGAAGAGAGGCTGCTCGGCGAGGACAGATGGCCTACTCGGGCAACTCGGGCGGTTTTGGTGCTTCAGGTGGATACCAGGGTGTGCGCCAGTTCGAAGGGGCTACCAACACCGCCCCCGTCGTCCGCGACACGGGCGCGACGCCCTCTTCGGCGCCGGTCAAGCCCGCATTCAAGTCCAAGGGCATGCAGCTGGGCAAGAAGAGCAAGACGGCCAACTTGTTTGGTGCCGAGGCCGAGGACGAGGAGCCACTGCCAGCCCAGGCAGCTGCTCCAGTATCAAGAGCGGCGCCAGCAGCAGCAGCGACATCAGCAGCGACAGCGTCGGCGACGACGAGACCGTCCTCCAAGACGGTGGACCCCATCGACCTGTTGCCGCCCGTGACCCAGGAGGGTGTGCACCTCGTCGTCAAGGAGCGCATCTCGCTGCAGGCCACACGAGACGGCAGTCTCGAGTCGCTCGAGGTCAAGGGCGACCTGGAGCTGCGCATCACCGACCCCACGCTGTCCAAGGTTGCCGTCCAAGTGACGCCTGCCTCGACGTCTTCGCTCCTGCCTGCCTCTGCACTTCAGTTCAAGACGCACCCACACGTTGACAAGGCCGCCTGGGCCGATGGCCGCCTCATCAAGCTTCGCGACGCCAACAAGCCCTTTCCTGTGCGGCAAAACCTGGGCGTGCTGCGGTGGCGTGCTACGACAAAGGACGAGACGGTGGTGCCGCTCAGCGTCCAGTGCTGGCCCTCGCCCGCCGAAGATGGATCGGGTGCGTGCGACGTCATGATCGAATTCGAGCTCGAGAACAAGGCACTGCAGCTGCAAAACGTCGTCATTGCCGTGCCCCTGCCCCCGGACGTCGAGGCACAGATCGGCGAGGACCCAGAGCACGGGACGGTCGACGTCGGCGACGGCACCATCGAGTGGCACATCGAAGCCATCTCCGAGGAGGCCGGCGTCACGAGCGGTCAGCTCGAGATCAAGGTCAACGAGGGCGCCGCCGACCCCGACGTCTTCTTCCCCGTCTCGGTCGACTTTGTCAGCCCAGACAAGACGCTGGGCGACATTGTCGTCGACAAGGTCTCGCTCGCTGGCTCGGCGGCCCCCGTCACCTTTTCGACACAGTCGGTCCTCAGCGCCGATGGCTACTACATCAACTAGCCAACCATCCTTCTCCCTCCTGCCCACTTTCTCTCAATCACATTCCCCCACACACACACTCTCTCTGTCTCTCTCGGTCTTGTAGTAGTAATACAAAAGAGCAGCGCTTCAATTGACTGGCTTGACAAGACCTCGAGCGATGCTGTAGTACACGACGGTTGCGTCTGGCGACAGGACGGCCAGGAGAAAGTGATCCTTGAGAAGCTTCTGTCCCGCCCGCTCTGCCGGGAGTCTGTCGACGGCCTGGAAGATGTCGAGAAATCTGATGCAAGAGGGAAGCAGCCCTGGGTCAGCGCTACATTTGCGAACATGGACCCGTCTCTGCCGGCGAAAAGGGGCAACAGGTACGCACGTCTGGTTGTTGAGGCGATCGGCAATGCCGCATGACCACACGACTTCGAGGCCTCTTTGCTCGGGCCTCAGCCCGCAGATGGCCGCTCCTCCTCCTACCGCAGCTGTGTCTGACGCACCCGGACCGAGATCGAGGACGTGCAGGTGGTCCCAGCGCGCGGCGTGCGTCAGGTCCGCCAGCGTCTGGTGCAGGCTCGGCGCCTGCGACGGGTACTGCGCAATCGCATCTTGCACGTCCACCTCTTTGGGCGGCGACGGCGGCCCCGGCGCTGCGTTGGGCATGTCCCCTTGTACTCCTTCCCTTCCCTTTCCTTTCCCGTTCCTTTGGGGGTCTATTTCGGGATGGCTGCTCGTTGTTCCGTCGTCGAGATGCGCAGAAAATATTGGATTTCTCAGATGGAGGGGTGGGCAGGCAATTGCCATGTGGAACGCGCGCTCGGCGGCTTCGCACAGACGCTCAGGCGTCCACCTGCACAGTAACGACGACTTGGAAGAACACAAAGAAGGACAAGGACCGGGGGGACGACGACGAAGAGGGCGCGAAAGATGGACGTAAACAAGGCCGTGTCGGCCTACGTCGAGCGCATCGTCTCGAGCGTGGGCGGCATGAAGGTCCTTCTCCTCGACGACGAGACGACGCCGATTGTGTCCACGTCGCTCACCCAGTCGTCGCTGCTCCAGCACGAGGTCTACCTCACCGACCGCATCGACAATGCGCAGCGGGACCGGATGCGCCACCTCAAGTGCCTCGTCCTCGTCCGGCCCTCTGCCTCGTCGCTCGAGGCCATCGAGCGCGAGCTCAACCTCCCGCGCTACGGCTCCTACTCTCTCTACTTTACAAACACGCTCAAAAAGGCAGACATTGAGCGTCTCGCCACGGCAGACGAGCACGACGTCGTGCAGGAGGTGCAGGAGTACTTTTGCGACTACGTGCCCATCAATAGGCCCCTGTTCAGCATCAACTATGCCACACCGCCCAACAGGCTCTGGGCGACGAATGCGGCGACGTCGTCGGCCAGTGGCACGAGCAGAGGCGCTGGTCTGGGCGAGTGGGATCCAGAGGCGCTCGAGAGACACACACAGGGGCTGCTGTCGGTGCTGCTCAGCCTCAAGAAGAAGCCGGTGATCAGATACGAGAGAATGAGCGCGTTGGCAAAGAAGCTCGGCGAGGACGTCCTGTACAACATCAACGAACCCTTGGCGTCGCTCTTTGACTTTCGACGCACAGACGCTGCGCCGCTGCTCCTCATTCTCGATCGTCGAAACGATCCGGTGACCCCGCTGCTCTCCCAGTGGACCTACCAGGCCATGGTACATGAGCTCATGGGCGGCATCAACAACGGCCGCGTGTCGCTCGCCCATGCCGAAGGCGTGCGGCCGGAGCTGCGGGAGATTGTCCTGAGCGAGGACCAGGACCCGTTCTTTGCCACAAATCTGTATGACAACTTTGGTGATCTCGGCGCCAGCATCAAGCGCTACGTAGAGGAGTACCAGAAGCGGACGGCCAACAGCGCATCGATCGAGACAGTGGCCGACATGAAGCGCTTCGTCGAGGCCTACCCGGAGTTCAGGAAGCTGGGCGGAAACGTGAGCAAGCACGTCGCCCTCCTCGGCGAGCTCAGTCGGCGCGTCGAGTCGGACCGGCTGCTCGAGGTGAGCGAGCTGGAGCAGAGCCTGGCGTCCAACGAGTCGCACGCCTCGGACCTCCGCAACGTGTACCGGCTACTCGACCTGCCCGACGTCAAGCCAGACGCAAAGCTGCGCCTGGCATGCCTATATGCGCTGCGCTACCAAAAGTACTCGGGCAACCAGATCAACCAGATTGTCGCCAAGCTCCTCGATGCCGGCATGCCCGAGTCGCGCGCAGCGCTGGTCTTTGTCCTGCTCAACATTGCAGGCGCCGATCAGCGGCAGGACGACCTGTTTGCCAACGAAAACTTCTTCTCGAGGGGCAAGAGCGCACTGAAGGGCTTGAAGGGCGTCGAGAATGTCTATACACAGCACAGCCCGCACCTCGTGGAGACAATCGAGGACCTCCTGAGAGGGCGCCTGAAGGAGACGAGCTATCCCTTTATTGGACCGGGAGGAACAGGTGCCGCGGGCGGCCTACACCAGAGGCCGCAGGACGTCATCATCTTTGTCGTCGGAGGAGCCACCTATGAGGGTTCGTGTGCTGGAACCGTATCTCCTTCCTTTCACGAGCATTTCACTGATGACGATTCCCATTGCCCTGCACAGAGGCACGCACAATCGCCCTCCTCAACGCACAGCACGACCACAGCGCCGCCTCGGGCACCGACACACCACCGGTGAATGCGTCGGGCGCCGCATCTGGCCTGGCCGGAGGGGGGATCGGCGGCGCCTCGGGCCCATCGACGAGATTCCTGCTTGGCGGGACCTGCATCCACTCCAGCTCCTCGTTCCTCGACATGATCCAGGACGTGGCCTCACGCCTGCCCTCGTCCTTTGCGCGCCCACCACCGACGTCCAACGCCGCATCGGCCGCGTCGCAGCCGTCGCTCAACCTCTCCATCGGACCCGTCCAGCTCAACGTCGGCGGCAGGCAGGCAGGCCAGCCCGGCGAGCAGGGCAGCTTCTTGGATCCGGGAAGGATGGGCGAAGCCGCAGAGGGAGCCAGAGATCTTGCCAGAGGCCTCTTTGGGAGAGTCAGAGGCGCCGTGGACAGTCTATCATGAGATGCAATTCATTTCTTTGCTCTAAATTACCTCGTCTGAGCGAGAGAGAGGATTGAAGCTCACGACTGTGTGTAAGGAGCGGGTGACAAAAGATGCTATGTGTTTGTCACTCGCGCGTCGCGGACCGTGAGGCGTCAAAAAAGATCGTCATCATCATCGAGATTTCATCATTCATCAACAGAAGCCAAGTCAGTCAATGAAGAGAGAAAAATAACGACACGAAGAGATAAGGGGGAAAGGGGGACGAAGTCGTGAAGCGACACTTGGTCGATCCATCAATGATGGAGAAGGGGCTATAAAAGGGGGAGACGAGACTTGGGTAGAGCCAAAGAATAGGAGAGGGAGAGAAAGACAGGGGAGGATTGGGGAAAAAAGGGAGAGTAGGTGGATCCGAGGAAGCGATTGACGTGGGGTATAACGGAGATTAAGACAAGCGATTCGGTCGGATGCACCGTACGTCGAGAGGAGGAGTGACCTGTGACCTGATCAGCGGAGAGCGTCTATGCGATAGTTGTGTGGGAGGGGAGGGTTTCCGAGACTGAGAGGGGTAACTCTGGATCTCCGCATCTCGAAAAAGGTATGGTAGTCGTTGCGGGTGTCTCGTTGAAAGGGCTGCGCACTCTTGGGGTGAGGTGCTTAGGCAGCGGCCGTAACGGGCGTAGCAGCCTCGGGGGCCTTGGGGGCGGCAGTCTCGACCTTCTCCGAGATGGTCTCCTCGGCGGGCTTGGCCTCGGTAGCAGCGGGGGCGGCAGCCTCCTTCTTGGGCTTGTTGAAGAGGCCACCGACGCGAGCCGAGAGGCGACGGCTGAGCTTCTCCTTCTGCGAGGGAGAAGGAGCCGTGGCGTCCTCCTTCTTGGCAGCCTCGTCGAGCTAGTAATGGTATTCCACATCAGCCTCGCGTCGCTACGTGTAACGGTGAAAGACAATGTAAACTCACCTTGACGGCGGGCTCCTCAGTCTTGGCAGCCTCCTCGGCCTTGGGGGCCTCCTCGGTGGCGGCGGGAGCAGCAGCGACAGCGGCAGGCTCCTCAGCCTTGGGGGCCTCCTCAGCGACAGGGGCAGCAGCAGGGGCAGCCTCGGTCGTCTCGGCGGGCTTGTCAGCCTCGGCGGCAGGGGCAGCAGCGGCCTCCTCCTTCTTGGCCTCCTCAGCCTTGGGGGCCTCCTCGGTCGTCTCCTTTCGCGTCTCGTCAACTCAGGGGCTCAAAACACTCAGAAAACAGGGCCGCTGTTGCTCACCTTCTTGGCCTCCTCCTTCTTGAGCTCCTTCTTGGGCGACTTCTCCTTCTTGTTGAAGAGGCCGAAGAACTTGTTCACGGCAGACTGGCGCTTCTCCTTCTTGGGCGTCTGATCAGAGGGAAGGGTAACGTGAGCCGACTGTAATGTCTTTTGATACCACATCAGCTATGACTCGACTCACCTCAGCGGCGGGCTTCTCGGCCTCCTTGGCAGCCTCCTCGGCAGGCTTGTCAGCCTCAGCCTTGGTGGCGTCGGTGGCAGCCTCCTCGGCGGGCTTGTCGGCGGCGGCCTCCGTCTTGGCGGCCTCGGCCGGGGCAGCACCCTCAGCGGCAGGAGCGGCCTCGGTGGCAGCAGGGGCAGCCTCGGGGGCGGCGACGGTCTCCTCGACCTTGTTCTCGACGGGGGCAGCGGCTTCGACGGCAGACATGGTGCTTGTTATCTGCGCAGCACATCTGATCAGCCCCTCGATCTTGACTCTATGCACCTCTCCTACTATACTCTGCTCACCTTGGTAGGTGTTGAAAAAGGGGGGAAATGCTCAGTTTGTGCGGTGGGAGTTAGGTAGTGGGGTTGTGTGGTAGAACACTGATTGGAGAGAAGAGAGAGGAGTGAGGGAGAAAGGGACGGGGAGGTTTTATGCCCCCAGCAATCGCCTTTCTACTCACATGTCCCTCTTTTTTTTCTTTTTCTCTCAGGTGCGCAATCCAGCACGGCAGCACAGTCATGACAGGGATTTCGTTTTCGTTTTTTCCCATTTTTTTTATTTCTAGGGTCCGCCAATCTGTAATGAGGTGCGGCGACATCCACAGCGCTGTGGTTTATTGAAGAAGGCCAACGCCCAGACCGCACCTGCCCATTTTGGGACGAGCTCCTTTTGGCGTGGCGGAGCCCAGGCGCCGGCAACTACGTCACGCGTCATGCTTCAGCCATTGATCAACAGCGAGGACAAGGAGATGTTTTCAGAGGAGCATTCCGCAGCAGCCGACGAGAATTGCCTAGCCATCCATCCTCAGGAGGCCAAGCGCAGCCAAGGTCAAACTTTTCCATGCTTTTGGCTGCATCTACCTGCACGCTTGCCTGCTCGCTCTTAAAGCAAGGACCGCCGTTGTGTTGGTTTTGGATTTTTTTCTGGTTGAAAAGTTTGCCTCCCTTGGAGCGATCCTTAGCGCTGTTTTTTAAACTTTTCCCTTAAATTGCCCTAGGCTTGGTTTAAAGTAGTGTGGTAGTCACACTAGTAGTGCAGCAAAGAAGGGGGTGGCTACTCTGACTAGCGGCTCCCTGGCCTTATCACGAATGACCAGATCGCACTGTCGCAATGATAACGGAGGAACGCGGATTGGGGTTTGGCACGACGTCAACCTCGGTTCCCGTCGAGACGCGACGGACCCTCAGTCACGCGATCAAGAACCGCTGCACTGCGCTTCCGAACACCTCCCCTCCATGCCTGTCTGTGTGACAATTGTTTGACAGAGAACCACGTACGGATCGTGCGTTTTCTGAGCAGATGCAAGGCCGATCCATGTCCTACTTATGCAGAGAAAATCTCTTGGTTTTTTATTTCATTTGAAAAACGAACCAAACAAAATAGCCACTACTAGAGCGGAAGGGGGGTCCAGCCGCGGCGCACGACCAGATTGTCAAGAAATCTGTCACGAGCTTTTGGTCATTAGGCGCTTCCTGTACCCGTGGGGCGTCCTCAACCTTGGTGCGGTGGTTGACTTGAGGGAGCCTCTGCAACTGTGCTTCTTGCCACTGCTCAGTCTTCACTCATTTAATCGGATGAAATAGGCCATCTGTTGGTGACGAGAAGAGAAAAAGGTACAAAAGACGGATACAGAGAGAGCAATCAAGAGGACGGGGAGGAAGCGGAGGGCCTTCACGCATGCTGCTGCTGCTTGATGCTGAACCGCTCACGAAGACTCTTTCCAAAGAGGAAGAGCGTAGGCACAGAGAGCAGCCAGAGACCCGCAACGATGCCGCCCTCGGCGCCAAAGACGACGAGGCTGCCGTCCCTCTCGGCCCAGATGGTCTCAAAGTAAGGCACGGCAAAGCCACCGAGCACCCTGGCCTGGTTGACGAGAGCCGAGATCTCGCCCTCTCGGCCCGGAAAGTCGAGCGAAGACTTGGCGAGGACGGCGACGACCATGATGAGCGTGCCAACCTCGACGAGGCCCCAGCCAAAGATGACACCGGCGAGGCTCTCCTTGTGCAGGTTGGCCCATCCAAAGAGGCACATGCCGATGACGTACAGCACGATGCCGGGAATGGTGGGCAGAAGCAGATCCTCGGACTCGAGAACGCCGTGGTTGCGCCGCAGCGAGATGCGTGTGGAAATCTGAGCGAGGAAGCGAGCGAGGACCTCGCCGATGAGAGCTCCAACGATGGGCGTCAGGTACATTGTCGAGACGAGATCCTCCTTGAGTCCGAAGCCGATGGGTTTTGGCGTGGCTAGGAACACCGGGTTCGTAACATTAATACCAATCGTGAAGCCGAAAGCTGTAAGAGGTAAATGAAGCACCACGTCCTCCAACGGTCAGCTACGGAGATGGAGGGAGCTTCCGAGGAAAACACTGACCAAACATGATGAGGATGAGGGGCAGGAAAAAGTGCGGTCGCCAGAGAACGTCGAGGAAGTCCTTGATCGACTGCAGGAACGGGGTCCGGTGCTTGCGAAGTCTCCATCCAACCACACCAACGAGCTTCTCGATGCGGTGGCGCAGGCCCTTGGACTGTCCTTCCTTGAGCTGCTGCAGCCTCTGGTGACCGAGGTGGCGATCGTACATGGTCTCGTCCAAGAGGAATGCGATGAGGAGCACGACGACGAGGCCGTACAGTGCGCCTGCTCCGTATGCCCACCGCCAGCTCTGCCGCGCGCAGAGGTAGCCGAACAGCCAGGGGCTCATGAAGGGCGAGACGATGTAGAAGAGCGTCCAGAGGGCGATTGCGCGGTTCTGACGGTGGACGGGGTAGATGTCGGTGGCGACGTAGAGGCCCGTGACCTGTGGCGCCGTCGAGAAAAAGGCCTGGAGGCAGCGCATCCCTGCGAACGTCGCCAGATTCTGCGAAAAGGTGCACCCGACCATAAATGCCACGCCAAAGACCTGCGACCAGAACATGACGGGTAGACGGCCAAAGCGCCTGGCGAGAATGACGGCCAAGATGCCGCCGGGCCCTAGCAGGAAGATGGACCAGTTGGATGTGAGATTGTTGATGTTGTTTGGCGTCGTCTCAAACTGCTTTGCGAGGTTGAAGAGGGAAGCGATACCAACGCCCGAGGAAAAGTCGGGCACGAAGGCGGCGAGCGCGGCCACGATGAGCGTGAGTCGCTTCTTGCCCTCGCTCCACGACTGCGGGTCGTCTTCGCCCATCGGCTGAGGCCAGAGGACATACTTGCCGTCGTCGGACAGCTTGAGTGACTTGGCGATCTCATCGCCAAACTCCTGGCGGGCCTCCTCGGGGTCAAGGATGAAGCGACCATCGCGCTTCTCAAAGTGTTGATGCTCCCGCGCGGCACGTTCCAATCTTTCTGACGTGAGGACGGGCAGACCGTCAGTCGTAGCCGACAGAGACGGCGAGTCGTGCTTCTCAAGGTCCATCTTTTTGTTCGTCTGGGAGAGGAATAGGGAGAGAAGAGGGGAGCGGGGGGGCGGGAGAATGGGAGTCCCTAGCTATGTCATCCCTCTCACACTCTCACAACCCCGTACAACGCGTTTATATGGCCGCCGGGTCAAAGCGTCTATTAGCTCAGACCAGTAAAAAGGCGCCTGATTCGGTAGATACAAGTTGACAGTCCGCAGGAACATGGAGAGCGAGCGCACGACAGGCACAGGAGGTGCTTTTTTTTTTTCCTTGAAGCCACGATTTGTGGCCACTGTGATCAATTTCATAGTGCGGGGAACCCCACACCATCAGTCCACCTGCCTGGCGGCTCTCTGGTGGGGTGCCGGCGACGACGCGATTGCATACCCCCCCCCCCCCCCTTCCCCCACCTTTTATTTCTTAATTTCCTCCTCTCCTGCGTCCTTTCGCCGACGGGAAGCTTCACTCGTCCGAGTGAAAAAGAAATTGTCGCCCAGCTCGATCCAGGCTCAGGCAAATAGACCCTTTTGCTCCCTTTTGCTCGCCTCTTGCTCCTCTAGTTGGCTCCGCGACCTCCGATGGGCTCCACCTGAGCTCCGATCGGGCGGCTCTTCGTTGTTGTTTGGGAGGCTGTGGGGAGGAATCGACTGCGTTTCCCCCTCCAGGGCCTTGCTACGGCCGAGTCAGAGGCCCATCAGCATGCAGCTGCCTTTTCGTCCTCAGGGCCAGTGCATACTGGTACTCGTCGTTGGGTACATCCGCCATTTCCAGCCTGGGTGCCCTGAATCTGCTCAGCTCTCGGCGTCTCCGCAAAAAAAAAAAAAAGGCCAGGCTCGCGCACATCTCTCTCACTCTACTCACCGCTCGAGGAGCTCCTTGATGCTCTCGACCTCGTCCATACCCGGGCGCACCTTGGCCTCCCTGTCCTGTTTCTTATCCGGCCGAGCGGTGTGGCCTGTGGCAAGCCGGCAGCAGAGAAGCGCAGCCACGTTTGCATTGTCATCGGCTGACCCTGGCGGTGGCGTGAAGCCATATCGCTCATCCGTCTTGACGGTAATTGCATGCCACTGCAGCGCCTTGATGCGCCGCACCATCTCCCCAACATCGTCTTCTTGGCCCTCAAAGCAGAGGAAGCCTGGGTAGCCCGACTTGACGAGGCCCCACACGTCGAGCTCCGCGCACCAGCTGGCCATGTCCCGCTTCTTGGAGGGTGCCTTGAGGTGATGAGTCCAGAAGATGACTCGGGCCATGCGAACCTCGTCTGTGACTCGCTGCTGCTTGTCGTTGACCTGACCACTCTTTTGCTTGACTTCCTCCACCTCCGCCTCCGCCTCCGCCTCCTGCTTCTCAGCATCTTTGGCTGTCTCGACCAGCTCAGGGTGATCAGAGAGGTAGGACTGCACAGCGGTGAAGCTATCAAAGACGACATTGTCGAAGCCCTCTTCCCTGGCCTCTCGCTCGTGTGTAGCGAGGACTGCCTTGAGCTGCTCCAGCGACGAGCGACCCAAATCGGGTGCCGTGAGATACATTCGCACGCCTGCAGCTTCATCGCCCTTGAGCTGCGGAAACTCGACGATGAGCCAGAGTTCAGGCTGTGAATGAAGCCGGAGCCCAAACTCTATGGCGCTTCCATCATCTTCGAGGCCGTCCTCCTCGACGACAGCTCGTGCCATCCTAGCAGCGTCTTCCTCGAACCCGCGCCACACAAACTCGTCCTCGCCGACTGAGGCCCGGAGCAGCCGCACCTCGTCGAGTTGCTGCTGCCTCCTCTGCTCCGCCGTCATTGCATGGTCGCCTGCCTCTTCTTCCCAATGCAAAGGCGGTGCGCACCTGCAGATGACAATATTTTTTTAGACTGCCGCACGTGTTTGATTTAGTGGACGGTGGTTGGGCCTCCATCTCCATCGCATCCCTCCTTTGACGACTCACGACTAGGCAGACAAGCGGGGCACTAGCATCAGCAGCAGTGTGGTCAGCACCCACTCTGTAGTGTAGGTCGTCTGGCTTGAGTCCGGCTCGCTCATCTGGAGGGACCCAACCAGGCGGTGCCCCCTGCGCAGACACAAATAACGACCACCCATCCGTCGCCGAAGAGACGAGGGGCTTGACCGAAATGGCGACGGAACTCATCAAGTACCTCGTTGACGAGGTCACGTCCGACGGACTTGGAGGTGAGTCGCATCCTGGATGACAAAAGACGATGGTTGCCGCCGGGCCTAGCGCCAATTCAACCGCCGAAGTTGGTGTTGATCTGCTAGTTGTGTGTGTGGTCTGTGCGAATCGAGGGTGCGAGGGTGTTGGTTCGAGTGCCGTCGACGGAGCCACCTTAAAAATTTGGGTACGCGTAAAAGGTGGCTCGGCGGTCGGTGCGTTCTGCGCTCGCATATGTCGCATCTGGACTGTCACAGGATGCTGCTGGGCAGGCATGTCTATCACTGCATAGCCACCGCATGCCTGAGGCATCGTAGGGGCGGAATGGTGGCCGAAAGAAGGGAATGCAACGAAAGCTTTCGTGATGAGAACGCGGAGGCGACAGGAAAAAAAAAAGACGCGTCAGGATAATGATGGTGTTGGGTGGGGTTGGCTGACTGACGGTGTCTTAACACGACAGGCTCATCAATCGCCAGAATCGATGGCTTTCTCGACTCATACAGCGGGACCGAGGCTGGACCCGGTCAAGTCATAGACGAATCCCTTCGACGCTACCTCGTGGCCAGCCTCCTGCACCAACCCGACATGGTCGCCGGCAAATTTAGGGCGCGGTCCGGCGCCTCTTCTCTCAAGTCAGTCAAGGGCAAGGCCAAGAAGAGGCAGCAGTCCGAAGATGATGACGAAGACGAAGACGAAGAGGGGCCCAAAGGAGCCCAGAAGAAAGTGACAAAGGCCTACGACACAAAGAAGCTATCAGAGGGCGATGTGATGGACACCGTCGCGACCGACGACGAAGCCAAGGTTCTTGGTGTCGACGCAATGGTTGAACGCTACGGCGATGATTTCCGCATCGCCCTTGACGGCACCAAACTCAAGGAGCACCTTCTCGGCAATGCGTCGGTTCTCACGACGCCGATGTACTACTCCTACCTCCTCCTTCTCAAGAGCCGGGGTGAAGGAGTGACGTTCCCAGAGCTGGGCGAGGCACTCAATTACAATGCGGCCACCGTCTTCTGGGTTGGTCAAGTCCTGCAGAGCAACGACCTCGCTTACAAGATCCGCGATCATGTCGGCAAGACCCTCGTCAGCAGACTAATTTCGAAAAAGTATGCCCACCTTTGCCCAAAGTACAACGCCTCGGAACGGTACAATGCGCGGATGGCTGAAGGACAGTCGGCCGCTTTCGCCGGTCTTGAGCTACCGAGCGAGACAGACACGGCAAACCCGCAGGAAATGTCTCCGGCCGCCATCGACTCTCTCATGGCTGGCTCAAAGGGCGCGTCGGCATTGACGTCATCCGAGGGCGACACTCACGTCAACGGAGAGGATGAAGCTGGGCAGAAAGGCAAGGAGGACCAGACAAAAGCCGATGACAGCGAATACATGACGACGCTTCGAGGGATGCTGGCTTACCCTCCCGTGGACCCAGATGAATGCAAGGCGCTCCTCTCCGATCGAACTGTCATTCGGCTTCGAGTGATGAGGCTCCTCATGGCCTCGCGCAATCACTCGACGGTGCTGCACGATCTGGTCGTGCGCGTGGGCGTGTCCAGTGCGCAGAAAAATGAGCGCAAGATCTTCAATTCCATTATCAAAGCCATGGAAGACGATGGCCACATTGAGCGCTTCGACATGCGGAGGACCAAGGGCATGGGTCTCGAGGAGAAGTACGAGCGATGCATCAGAGCGACGGCAAAGGGCACGGAGTACGCCGAGGTCGCCTTTGCACCCCCAGCGGAGCGCGAGGCGATGCAGCTCAAAGAGACAATGACGAAGGAGCTCGACTCGTCGGTCAGCCGGCTCGTGGCAGAGACGACGGTGGAGCGGCAGATTCTCGAGTTTGTAGCAAAGACTGGATCCACAGGCGCCCTCATCGATCAGACTACGACGGCGCTGGGAGGCGACTTGCAGCGGCGCAGGCTTGTAGAGTCCCTCCTCAAGGACGCTCGTCTCAACAACGGCGCCTATGAGGACTTGGCGATCGCCACATCGCTGGAGCAGGACAGGAGAACGCGACAAAGTCGTTACTGGTCGGGTGTCTCGAACCCGGTTGACAGCCAGAGCGGTCGGCCTAACCTCAAGTCACTTGACAAGTGGATCGATCTGCCGGGAGAGCAAGAGTATCCAACAAGCAAGTACTGGAAGGCTGCTATGAGTGGTTCAAGTGGTCAAAGCGCTGGGAGTGCGAACAAGAGGCAGAAGGTTGGGCTAGACGGAAAGCCGCCGAAGAAAGGAAGACCGACGCGGGAAGAGGCAGCCAGAAAACTGCAATTGAAGGAAATGGAGCGTGCGAATAGTCAACAGGAGCACAACGAAGAGGCGCAAGGTACGGAGAATGGCCGTGCGGCGCCTCCTGCCGAACCCTCGACGGCACCGACCCCTGCCACCACCGCTCAAGAAGACCGTCCTGAAGAGACCTCAGTGGCTGACGATGATATCTTTGCAACGGGCCTCGGCGGGTCCCTCGCATCGGAGACTGCAACCAAGAAGCTGGGCGCGATGTCTCCAACGCCGTCTAAAGCGCCGAAGGATGTCTTGTCCGACTCTTTCCGAAAGAACCGAACCGTCGTCATGAAGGTTCAGATGCTCGAAGACTTCTTCCAGGAGTTTGGCATCGTCGAGTCGATGGCGATGCAGAAACAGTACGTCGACTTCGTGCAGGGAAAGACTGGATCCCAGGAAGCATCGGCTCCGTACCTGATGGATCGCAAGCTCCGCGACAAGCTACTCGGCGAGTTGTCGAAGCAAGGCAAGGTCAAGACGACGAGGGTGGCCAGCGATACGGGTGTGCCGGGCGGAGCAAAACGGCAGCGGATCCTGCACTGGAGATCGGACTTGGACCTAGCGAGGGTGGCTGAGTTTTCCCGAGCGGTGCAAGAGGGAAGAGAGGGCTTCCAGTTCAGCCAGCGAACGTTCGGACAGCGTCACGCTGCCACGACGGTGCCAGAGGGTCACGTCGATGTTCCCACCCAGTTCTACAGCCGCGCGGGCCGGTGGGTCGATTTCAGTGCGCCATCGCTCGACGACCTCGTCAGCAAGCCTCAGTATCGCAAGCAGCTGGTGAGCAACGCCATCTGCAGAGAACGGTACGCGGGGCGCATCGTCGGCTCTGCAGCCAGGCTCCAATACCTTCACACCGTCATCATCGGGCTGCTCTTGGATGGTACGAACGAGTACAGAAAGGAGCGCAACATTCTGGACACGACCTGGTTCTGGACCGAGGCAGACCTGCGTCTATACCTCAAGCTCGCACCTGTACCTATGAATGAAGCGCTCTTGGAAGCAAGCCAGGACGACGCCAGGCGCAGACTTCCGCTAAAAATGCAAGACGAAGAAATCGGGCGTGCGCTCGAGCTTGGATCGCATGGCGCAGGAGGGTTGACCATGATCAGGCCGATGCTGCGCGCCCTCGATATACTGGGGCTCGCCAAGCCAGTCCGACGAGCTCTTGCAGGGGGCTATGAGGATTGCAGCTGGTATGATGAGACGACGCTGGTGCGCTTCGAGCTGGAGCCTCGACACTGCGGAATCGAGCCAAGCGATCTATCGCTGAAGCAGCTCGCAAAGCCAATGGTCCTCCGCTCGCTCGAGGATGCCGACGCATTCTGGGCCGCCATCGAAAAGGCCAGCCAGCCGGCATCCCCCGCGCAGATCTTGCCTGCAGCCGTCGACGAGGACCCGGTCTCTCTGCTAGGACAGAGGAGGCAGGTGTGGGATGCCGTCTTCAAGAACAAGTCGAGCTGGTTCGATGGCAAGAACATCCTGGGCTCTCAGAAGCTTTTCCTGCAAATGGCGCAGGAGCTAGGCATCACGGTGGAATCCCTCAAGAATGACGACTTGATGGACAAACTCAGCTATGCATCGCTTGTACCCGTCCGACTTGTCGTGCGCTTCTACGAACGCGAGTTCAGTGTCAGCGTAGACAAGCGGAGACGAAGCCGACAAGTCGGCTCAGAGGGCCGGCCGAACCGGGCCCTTGCCGCTGGCCAGGTTTTCTTTGGACCGATGACGAAGATACAGGCCGCAAGGGCCAAGACCAAGGAGAAGCGGGCGCGGCAGGACCGGAGACGTCAGTGGGACAATCGGCTGCAGGAGCTCCTCGATCAGCGCGGCTTCTCAGCGGAGCAAAAGGACGTCCTGGCAGACTCGCTCGCCAAGACGAGAAAGATTTTTGTGCAGAGGCCAGAGGCGACAAAGGGGCTGGACGTTCTCGAGGAGAGCCTCAATGTGGTGGAGGAGGTGCTCTACCCAGGCATCTGGGGTCCAAAGGGGCGGAAGAGCAAGCGTGGTGAGACGGAGGACAACGAAGGGGACGAAGAGGATGGTGGTCATGAAGAGGACGAGGGAGCCGAAGAAGATGAGGCGGATCAAGGCTTGCTCGCCGTCAACGTCCAGCGACAAGGTAAAAGGCACATGTTCGAATGGAACGCGGCGAGGGACGAGCTGCTGCGAGACGCATGCGTAATTCTTCGGGCGCGCGACAAGGAGAGGAGCAGCCACAGCCTCGGTTTCGGTTTTGGCCATGGCAAGATTGTTCAGAACTGGTCAGCGCTGCAGCAGCTCTTTCCGGACGCCCGCGGTCAGACTCTCATTGAACGGTTCAAGCGGCTGCAGAGCGACCTGGGCGAGGAGGCCTACCTTGCCCAGCTCGAAGCAGAGTGGACGCAGATCTGGAAGGCACACCGTGGCACCGCACTCCTGCCAGACGAAGATCCGGCGCACGCAACAAGGGGCTTTGAGCTCAAACGGCACGTCGAATTTCTGCGCGAGAACATTGACAAGATCGAAGTGACAAACACGGTCGAAAGTTCGTCGGGCGAGCCGTTGCCGTTGGACATTGCTTCTGTGGCAGAGGACTGGGACTGGGAAAGGCCGCCCGCCTGGATTATGGAGGGCAAGTCGGGAGGTAGCAGCGGAGTGGGAAATGCTTCCTTGGTCAATACTGCCCACGCAGAGTGGACCGCTGGAACATGGGCCCTGTCGATGGCCCCGTCCAAGGTCGTTAATGGCTCGAAAATCCTGGCGGGAGGAGCCAACGAACGCCAGTCGAGGTTGGCAGAGGCACTTGTCAAGTCTTTGCTCGTCACTGGGACAGAGGACAATGGCGACGAGTGGAACGAGGGCTTAGCAGTCAAGCTGTGCGACTATGTCGGTGAGGATATCGTCGATCGAGCGGTGACGAGGCTACTGCGTCGAGGTATCGTGAAGAAGAAGCAGTCGATCGACGAGGGTAGACGCTTGCCTGGACGAAACTTTGCCTTCGTGGAGGAGCTCGAGATCTTGCTGCTGCACGAAATTGCGAGCGGGAACGGGAGCGGAAGTGGCGGCAGCAACAGCAGAAGGCTGATGGAAGAGATCAGAATGCACGCGGACCTTGCAAAGAGGGCGCGGGAAAAGGCGCACAAGAAGGAGATGGTGGCGAGCATCTTTCGAAATGCCGACGACACGGAGGCTGCACTAGCCGTGACGCTGCTGAGCCAGAGCAACAGTCAAGGCGATGTGAGGGCGGAATGGGACCTCAAGCCGCTCAAACAGATGCGCGACAGTCGCATGGTCAACGGTCGGAGGATGGAGGACTTTGAGCTCGAATTTGGCATCGAGGTAATCGGCCTCAAGGTGGACGACGGGCCAGTGATGGAGAAGATGCGCCACTTTGTCGAGGTGGAGAGCGTATCTCGGGAGGAACAGCACGTCTCTGCGCCCAGCTCTGTCTCGCTCGAAGAGGCATTTAGCTCGCTGATGGCCAGTCTCGACGATGACGACAGAGAGCTCCAGAAAGCCCTCATTAAATCCAAGGCCGGACTCGTCGAAGCCAATGCCGAAGGGCTGACAGCGGACCAATTGTTCGCCTGCATCGATTCCCAAGACCTCGCCTCGGGCTCATCCTCATGGGATCAGACGCGGCTACTAGAGCGCGTCGTGGACTGCTTGACGTCAAAGAATGATGCCGAGAGGCTGCAAATGGCCTTCTGGACCGGCTTTGACGAACCGAGGCTCGTCTGGTCGAAATTCGTCACGGCGTGGTGCCTACCATGCGATTGGCCTTCTCCACCTGCCAACGAGGACATGGAAGAAGAGGGGCCACGTTACCATTTTCCACGACTTTGGAAGGACGTGCATGGCAAGGTCGTCATGCGTGTGTGGAAGCGATGCGTCAAGCTCGTTGCGCTCCACTGTCTGGTTCGACCCGGTATCACTAGGGTGAGCTGTCTATACCCTACTCTTCTTCATTAACAACAACTGATGAAGCTCGCTTCTTTCTCAGGCACACCTTATTTCGACACTCGCTCCGCTGATGGATCGGCGAGAAGTCGTCAGGCTGTTGGAGGTCGTCTGCAAGATTGGTCTCGTCAGCGCCAGGCCCTGCCTATTGACGACCAGCGAAGAGCATGGCGAGGTTCAAGCCTGGCAGGACGACAAGGTATGTTACATTCCGCTCCTCCAGCCTGAGCACGACGATGAGGACGAAGAAGAAGAAGAGGAAGAGAGAGAGGCCGACACCAAGACGAGGATCCCTTGGTACGCCTATGCAACTCTCTGAGATTGCGATACATGTATTATACTTTTACCCCGTCTTCTCATCTGTAGTAGTATTACAATTGCGGAGTGACCACCGGTCGGTCCTTTTCCAGCACTGTCGAAGCCAGCTTGAACTTTGTCGCGGCCTGTCCCTCAACGCAGTAAGCTAAGATGCCCACGTCAAAGGCCAAGGGCTGTTGATTTTGTTCTTGATCGATTGGGTTGGATCGAGCAAGGCCCAGGATGGGTCCGAGACGCTTGACGAGCCGGCGCATCGACCTTGGCCGGCGCACGACATCTCTCGGATGCAGACCATGCAAAAAGTGAGCCTATTGAGCTCCCGTCAGTGAGATGCGGTTCTTTCATGAGAAATGGCAATATGGGTCGAATGAGACTCACTGCATCCTTTCCCGAAGCGAGCAAGACAATGGGGCCCTGGCCCGCTGCCTCTGCCTCTGCGTGGTTCGAGGAGGCGTCGCCCACGAGCAGCGCAAAGACGTACGAGTATTCGACGTCCTTGGCATCCTCCTCTGCGCAGCTTGGGCAGAAGCCAAAGTGCACCTCGAGCCGCTTCTGGCAGATGCCGCACTTGACCTGGACCCAGGCCAAGAGGCGCTGCTCGACGTCGCCGTTACCTTCAGAAGAGACGGGACGAGGAGGAGGGGACTGGACCGAGGGTCGGGTCTCGATGATGCGGACTCGGCAGTGAAAGAGCTTAGCTTGGCCTGGCCGCAGCTTCAGGCGTCGCAGGTCGGACAGCGGTCGAAGAGGCAGCGTCGAGACGTCGTCGAGGAGCGTCGTCGGCGCTAGTCTGGCCTCTCTTGTCGGACAAGGCTCCACCTCTTGTGATGCTTGCTCCTTCTCATAGTCTTCTTCCTCAACATCGTCCTGCGGCGCGGCGTCCTCGGGCGATTCATTCGCTGTCAGTGGCTGCAGCACACGCTGTTGACCTGGAGGAGGAATCGTGGGGGAAGGCGGAGTCGGTCGTGCTGGCGAGCTGATTGGTACCTTGACGATAGCTTTTTTCTCCTGACTTGCTCGTGCAATCTCCTTGACAAACTCATCTTCGTCAAAGTCGAATGCTTCCGGCGACGAGAATCTCGTCGAGACCGACGACGTCGATGATGAAGACGATGACGATCGGCCACGCTTGCCTGACTTTGCTCGTTGTTCCTCTTCTTGCTTCTTGGCAATCACCTCCTTGACCTTTGCAATCTCTTCGAGGTAGCGTCGCTTGCGCTCCTCGATCTCTTTTCTGCACCCTTCGTCAACGACCTCGACAACGCAGAGCGACCGTTCACTGCCCCGGCCCCTGCTTCCCCCGATGCCAGCGCAGAGGAAGCCGTTCTCGGCCTGCCGCTTCGGACGGACATTCTTCATCCTCACAATCTGCCCCACTCCAACCAGGCCCGCCACAGCCATCTGCTCGTCCCAGAGGGCCACTTGGAGCACGCGTCCCCGTCCATCGTCGCCGTGAATGTCCTTTTCGATTGTGACACACTCGTCGCGCGAGACCACACCCAGATGCACGTCGTTTCGGTAGAGGTACAAGGGATGGGCCGTGTAGTCCGTAACGTAGATTGTCGGCGGGGAGCGAGGCCCTGCGGCGTCCCAGACCTTGACGACCTCGACGATGGCATCAAAGAAGATGTTTGGCTCCACCTCTTCGAGCCTGATGAGCTGTCGGCCGGGCCTTGAAGTCATCATTGCGTTGGTCGAGGTTGTCGCCAGCGACCCAAGCGCAGCACCGGCCACACCGGCCGCGCCCGCCGCCTGGTCCCGCGCATAGATCCTGGCCAGTCTGACGAGCTCATCGCTTTCCTCGGCGGTGAGCGAGCCGCGCGGAGCTGTTTGAACATTCTTGTTGACATCGACGAGGGCCCACTGGAAGCCCTTGAAGCCGGTACCCTGGACCGTGGACTGGAAGCGGTTGAGCTTGATGGCGCTGCGCAGGCACAGAATCTGGCCCGGTCTGCACTTGGGCAGATCCTCCTCGGTGGCTGAGAAGAGATTGAAGGAGACCGAGTGGGTGCCTTCTCTGTCGTCCACGTCGCACAGGGCCACACTCAGAGACCAGTCCCTCGACCCGCCGAGCGCACGACGGGCGACTCGATCGGTGCGCACAACACCCATGACGCATATGTTCTTGTTGATGGCCCTGTCATCAAGCTCCGAGATGGGCGTGTAGAGCTTCCCTCCTAGCAAGCGCGGGCCGGCATAGACGAGCGTATGGGCTGCCGTCGGAGATCTGTCCCATGTCGGTCTCGATCTTCTGCTGCTGCTGCTGCTGCTGCTCTCGCCAGTCGGCGGCATGGGCGTTCGCATCCACTCTGGCGTCGCTGATACGGTGCTCGACGGGCTCATGCTGCCGTTGCTGCTGCTGCTACTGCTTCCTTGTGAATAGGCGCGAGTGGCACTCTCCCGGACCGGCACCGGAGGCGGGCCCATGGCGGTCTTTTCCTTGCCCTTGCCCTTCCTCGGCCGCCTCTCTACGTGCCCGGCACACGCATCGAGGTAGGGCGCGGACGCATAGGCTGCATCGATCAGTTTGAGCGTCAGGTTGCCCTGGTCGTAGACGATCGTAGCCCTGTCCGTGTCGCCAACGATGCGCGCGCCAAAGCCAGAGAGCAGCATCGCCTTCTCCCCCTCGAGCAGGCCCTCGAGCGTCTCGACCAGCCCGGGCGCCGTCGTTGGCGCGCCATCGACGAAGCGAACAGTGAAGGGCAAATGGCTGTCCATGGGATGCGCTACGCAGTCCAGGAAGGCCTCTTTGCTCGCCAAGAAACCCACGGAGGCCCTGACGAGCCTGCGGACATGCAAGCAGGCATTGGAGCCGCGGCCCTGACGGATACGCTCGCACCACTGCGTCGTCATGGCCAGCTTTCCCAGCTTCATCTCGTCCTCGTCGCTCATTGTGGCCAACGCACTTCTCCGCTGCTTCTTGCGGCTCGGCTCCCCTGCTCCTGCGCCACTGCCATTGCGTCCGGGTGCGACACTGCCACTGCCACTACCATGGCCATGCTGCTGCTGCTGCTGCTGCTGCTGCTGTTGCTGCGGGTGAGGAAGATGATGCCCACCTGCACCGGGCGTCCTGGACTTGCTCTTCTTACGGGCCATCCCGCCACGTCAACGATGAAAGAGACACACGCCGACACGCGCGCAAATCGTGTGCCTGCCTGCCTTTGGCTGGTGTTGGTCTTCGCGTCGAGCGCGTTCGTTGCGGACGCGCGCGTGCTCTCGCCTTAGATTAAATGCTCGTTCGCTCTTTTAGAGCTCACCGCGCGCCTCTCTCTCACAGCAGCGTCAATCTGTTCTCTACATTCGTGAGGAGAATTGCATTTGCTGATCGTAACAATGACCATTGATGACTAATCCTGGACTGAGATGCAGTCCCCTTTTCGTGACACAAAAGATAAAGAAAGAAAAAGAAGAAAAAGAAGGAGAACCCAAACGTGATAAGAAGAGTAGTGATGATGAGATGCGACGTAACATTAAACAGAAAAGAAATACAAGCCAAAGTTGGCCCACTCGATCAGTCGGCGCTGACGATGCCGGCAATGGCGGCCGACGAGAGGGTGACGAGAATGCCCGTGAGCAGGGCCGAGGGGGCAAGCTTGACAATGTCGGCGGCGCGCTTGGGCGCAATGGCCGAAAGGACACCAATGTTGATGCCGACCGAGCTGATGTTGCCAAAGCCGCAGAGGGCGTAGGATGCAATCTTGAAGGCGCGCGGCGACAGGAAGTTGGGGTCCGCATCCATGGCATCGTGCAGGTCTTTATAGGCGACAAATTCGTTGGCAACAATCTATGGCAGCAGTCGAGTCAGCAATCTGTAATCTATCGCGAGCTGCAGGAGCTGAGAATGGCCTTACCTTGGTAGCAATCAGCTTGGCCACCTTGAGCGTGTCCTGGCCAGGCACGCCGAGCATGAACGTAAGTGGGTAGAGAACGTGGCCGAAGATGACCTGCAGCGTGAGGGGGCCGCCGTTGTTCTCGGTAATGTACCAGCTCTTTCCGATGTAGGTGAGGAGGCCATTGATGGTGTAGACGGTGCTGAGGAGCACGAGGACATTGCAGAAGATGGCAGCGGCCACGCGAAGACCGAACCAGGCACCGTTGGAGAGGGCGTGGAGGAGGTCGTTGGACTGCTCCTCGGGCGCCTCCTTGCGCTCGACGGTGACCTTGCCCTGCGTCTCGGACTCCTGCGTCTCGGGGTAGATCATCTTGGATGCGGCAATCGAGGCAGGGATGGACATGACCGAAGAGGTGACGAGATCCTTGCCCGGCACGCCGAGCTGGATGTATGCGACGAGAACGGAGCCGGCAATGGCAGCGAAGCCACTGGTGAGCACCTGGTGGAACTCACTCCGGGTGAAGAGACGCGCGTAGGGGCGCACCAACACGCAGTTCTCTCCCTGGCCAATGAAGGGCGAGGCGACGGCGACGACGGCCTCTGCGCCCGAGATGCCAAAAGTAACGTGGAAGAACCAGGCAGCCTTCTTGATGACCCACGTGAGGGCGCCCGTATAGAAGAGGGCGATGCAGAGGGCGACGAAGAAGATGATGCTGGCCAGCGTGTTGACGAAGAAGTAGTGGTTCGCAACAAAGTCTTGGCTCCAGAAGAAGGCTGCGCCACCGACCTGCGCCTGGGTGAGGAGGTCATCTGCGGCCTGAGCGATCCAGTTGAAGAGCGAATAGCCGGCGTCGGTGCGGAAGACAAAGAGGGCAATGATGAACTGGAAGCCGATGCCCAGCACCGTCGTGCGCGCCTTGACAGCCTTGTGGTTGTGCGAGAGGGCAAAGAGGAAGCCGTAGATGAGGAGGAGGCCGACAAGTGAGATTGTGCGCGACGTGTACGTCGACGAGGGTGTCTTGGGCAGGCCGTAGGTGGTGCCAAAGATGAGGACGGCGAGGCTGAACCAGCCGGCGACGAGCTTGCCGCGGTAGGGCAGCATGCTCCATGGCTTGCCCAGGCATGTCATCCAGACAGCGACCAAGACCCGCTTGAAGGGCTTCTGGGGAATGTATTTGGAGTGGTGGAAGAGGATGAGGAGGATGAAGAACCAGGCCTGTATGCGGGAGAGAGGCTGTCAGCAAGGCGTGCAGGAGAGAGGCAGCCGTGAGGCAGAAAGATGATGAACGCACCAGGATTGTCGCAGGAACCCAGCGGTAACGGACAGCAGGATTGATGATGCTGGGAATCCACCAGCCCAAGATGAGGGCAATGAGGCCAAAGTCGCGGACGTAGATGGCGTAAGGCGAGTGGAGCATAGCGCTGAACCGGGAGAAGAGGCGGTTGTGTGCATCTGCCTCGTCGTTGTCCTCGCCGTTCTCTCGCCGCGCCCACTTGGCTGCCTCGAGGTCCACGACCCGCTCGTCTACGTCACTGACATGGTAGTTGTGCTTGTCGTCGGCCGACGAAACAGAGCCTTGCTGTGGGAGGCAAGACGGGTGCACCGGCACAAATCAGGCTCCGTTTCACAGGACGGTCGCCTGATCCAGGCGCGGCGGGTGCACACCACCACCGCTACCATAAGCTTTACTCACAGCGGCAGCTGCTGTCCCCTCTTGAGGAAGCTCTTGCACCTGCGTGCTGGCCTTCTCTTCCACCTCTGGGTTGCGCGACCAGGCGCTCATATTGGCAGGCTGAGGAGGGGTGTAGTCCTTTAGGAAAGGGAAAAGGAAGCCGACGTCAAAGGGCGGACGATGGCCGGGGCGAAACGGACGGAGTGAAAAAAGAGGGAGAGTGGGAAGCAGAGAAGAAGGGCGGAAAAGCTCCTACTTAAATGTCTGCCACTCGAGGGAGCAAGAGAAGAGAGAGATAGAGATACGACCTCGCTTCGTTCCTGCAGGGGTTGGACGGGGTGGCTGGCTGGCTGTATGTATGGCGCTGATACGTGGGGCAGAGCAGCCTCTTTCTTCCTCGCCTCGTCTTCCTGGACGCTATCTTGCTCAACGTCGGAAGTCTCGCCCTTCCTTTCGCCGTTATCGCCTTATTTCCTTCTCTCAGCTGGAAGAATTTTTTTTAACTTCTTGACAAAGTAAACGGACAGTCCGGATCCTCGGTCTCGTCCCACACCGACGCGAAAAGACTATCACAATTGCTTATTGAACGACGGTTTTCTTCAAGTCTATCTTATGAATACTACTCTTGCTACCTACCCTTTCCCTTTTGTTTTTGCACGCGGGGATTGATAGCGCTCCCGCCAGGCACACACATGAGGCTTACTACCGACCTTCAATGCAGACAGACTAATCTTGAAGCCTCCTAGCCTTTTGACGCTTATCGCGCGCGGGCGCGGGGTCCGTCAGCTAGCTCGTTGTACACTTTGCCACAGACGGAGACTCGGTCGACAGGACCACATTGTTAGCACAACCTCTAATCCACACCATGGCCCTCACACACGACACCCCAGCGGAGAGCCAACCGATAAGGGAGTTTGGGCCTTGGCATGGAAAATAGAGACACAATTGACTAATCAAGGTCCGCGAGGGGCGAGATGAAGAACGGCCTCTGAACCGAATGAAACGGCTCTTTATCCGAGAGAAGCCTACCAAAGCCTCAAGAGGGAGAAAATAAAAAGTAAAAAATATAAAGAGGAAGGGAAAAAGAGGAAGAGCAAAAAACCACGTGTGCGGCCGCCCGCCGTCACGGTCAATTCTTTCAGGCTCAATAAATTGGCTGCAGGAGTCGACCCCATGGCAAGCTCACGCGACCGGGGCCTGCCTGTCTGCACTTCAACGAGTCTACGGACAGCGAGGTACGCCACGGGGCCGCACGGTGGGGCTGCAACGCCATCTCCCCTCTCGGCAGACCATCGAGACCGCAAAGCGTGACAGCCTGGCCCTGATGGAGGAAGACCGACGCCCTGGGCCCGCTCCAGCACTGAGTAGGAACAGCCTTGGTCTGCCGACAAGCCGACGCAAAAAAAATGAAAGAAAAAAAAATAGGGCCAAAAGAAAAGTCCTCTCAAACAAAAAAGGAGAGACACAGAGAGAGAGAGAGAGAGAGACGAGAGAAAGAGGGCAAATTCTCTGGGAATTTGGCCCTTTGATTGACTGATTGATTGACACAGGGTCCTGTTGCCTGTCTGTGCCACTGCCGATTAGCTGGACAGCATGTGCCGATGGCTTCCCGCTTCCGTGAAATGATAGTGGATAAGGCCCTCCCTCATTAGGGGTCGGTCACACGAGCTACTGTACATAAGAGCGCGACATCCATCCGCGACGTCCCGAGGTAGCCATGAGGCAGTATGTCTGCTCAGAGTAGATCACCCAGACGGTACAGCGGCCGTCGCGTGGGCGGTTATCGCTATCGGCTGGCTGCCGTCTTGGACGAGGAGGAAAAGGAGGATGCACGGCGCGACTTGCAAGGAGGGGAGAAGCCAGAGGACGAGAGCGATGAGGACGAGACATCATACTATCTCGATGAGCGCCACATCGAAGACCTCGTGCCCATGCTCCCGCCCTCGTCCTCAGCGGCGCATCCGTTCCTGACAGCGTCAACATCGGGACGGCGGGGCCGGCGACGGTTCCTGACGTGTCTCTTTCTCACCGCTGTGCTCGGCACCCTTAGCTTTGTCTACTTTCTCAGCTTCTCATCCTCGTCTCCGCCCATCGTGGCTTCGGCGCTCGACTCGCTGCTGCCCGATGTGGCTGTCAGCGCCGAGGTCAAGGCGGATCGGCAGCGGCAGAAGCAGAAGGAGGAGGAGACGAAGCTGATTGAGCGCCTCCGGCAGACATACCACCACGAGACAACGCCCCAAGAGATGGAGATGGAGCGCAAGCAGAGGCTTCGGTTGCAGGAACAGGTGTACGAGGTGGAGCGTCTGCGAGCGCAGACGCCCGTCCTTGCCTGTCTCGACGAGTGGATCGCGGAAGGTCGGCTATGCGAGGGCCTGCGAAGTGCCTGGTCCGAACGGTCACGGGATGACGACGTGAAGCTGGCTAGGAAGCATGACATCTTGGTGACGTGGGTCAATGGCAGCGATGCACGCCACGCCCGTGCCAGGAAGATGTATGCGTCTGTCGATGGACGGGGGACCTTTGACGAGTGGGCATCGAAGAATGCGAGCACCGAGCGTGTCGGACGGAGTGGCAGCCGGAGGGCGTATCCGATATCGCGCCCCGCGAGCAATGAGCTTGAGCAGCAGAGATTACGACTGGGTGATGCAGACAATCGATATCGGGACAACGGCGAGCTCATGTATGCGCTTCGGTCGGTCCGCGACAACCTGCAGTCGCTCGGAAACATCCACCTTGTCACACCCGATTTTGCCGCGCCGGTCCAGGAGCAACCGTCATGGATCGCATCCTCCAAGGACGCGGTTGAGGTGGGTCTGCCATCTTCTGAGCCGGTCGAGGCCTCGCTCGTCGACCCATTCAAGGCACTCGACATGGAGCCCAGCGGCCAGCTGCGCTGGGGGCAGGTGCCAAGCTGGCTCGATGTCGCCTCGTTGTCGTCGTCGTCGTCCGCGCAAGGGCCAGGCCTGATTCTTCATCACGGTGAGCTCGCTTCCCTATCGTCGACGCTGTTTCCTGGAATCATCCTCTGACCCATGATGAACCTCGCAGATTCGCAGGTCTTCCACCCTCTATGGGCGATGTCGGTGGGCCAAAACAGGAGCGCGCTGCTGCGGTCCTGGCTGCAGCAGACCCTGCCCACGTTCAACAGCATGGCCGTCGAGTCGATGCTCAACCACCAGAGTGTCGCGGGCCTCTCGGAGACGTACCTTGCCGGCAACGACGACTTCTTTGTCACAACCCCCTTGGCCTCTGCCGATGTCTCGAATCCGCTGATGGGCCCCGTGCTGCGCTTCCAGGCCGACCTGCTGGTGAACCCAGCCAAGCCTGCGCCAACACCGAGCCCGTATCGGAAACTGCGGCCAAAGCCAGCGATCGGCCAGGGCGAGTGGCCCTCGCTGACGGGCGCATCGACGCTGCTGTCCGACCGCTTCGGCCGTCGCTCGCGGGCGTACGTCGTGCACCAGTACCGCACCTACGTCGGGCCCCTGCAGGCCGAGATGCAGCACATGTTCCGGGAGTCGGTCGACCGCGCCGCCATGGCGCGCTTTCGCGGTGCGCAGGGGGCCGACCAGGTCAGTGTCCAGCTCATGGCCTATCACTTTATCGTCGAGCGCCACCGCGAGGCTCTCCTCTGGAGCGCCCTCGTGGCCAAGATCGACGTCGACGGCGACGACATCCTGAGCAAGGCCGAGTGGGAGGCGCTGCTGGACGTTCTCGGCTGGAAGGAGTCGTCGGGCGGCAACAATAAGGTGGCCGTGCGCTTCCCCAACCGGCGCTCGCTCGCCAGCGACGGCCTGCCCAGCGTGCTGCGCGATGCTGGCCTCGACCAAGTGCGTGCGACGCGGTACCAGTTCACGAGTGCCGACGGCTACCCCTTCGCGACGCTCAGCCGCGTGGTGCAGGACAAGCCGCCGCAGCGGTCGTCAGGGGTGCAGCGGACCGCCAACGAGCCCTACCCAGACTTTGTGCGCGATGCCGAGAACAAGCCGGGAGTCCTGAACCGCTTCGACGACGAGAGCGTGATTGCCTGCGAAATCTCCATCGCGACGTGCCTCGGCAGTGAGGCAGGCCCTGGGGCCAGTGTCCAGGCCATCTTCAAGCGTTTCGCCTTTGAAGAGGTCCAGTGTGGCGACTGCCTCATCACCCACCTCGTGTCGCGCTCGGGTCCAAGGGGTCTGGGCGCCTTTTTGCCGGACAAGCAATTGCACTTTCCCGCTAGCACCGCCGCCGCCGCTGATGCTACTGGTGCTTCAGCCACGTCGACTGGCCCGCCCAAGCAGCCACACCTCTCGACCGAGGCGCGATTCGCCACGGCGAATTTCAGCCTCGCCCACGTTGGCGACTCGACGCGCGCCCAGGGCCGCTCGCGGCGGCGCTTCGTCGAGGAGCTGCTGCTGCGCTACGCATACACCATCGGCGACTCGCGCGGCCGCTTCGTCCAGCTCACAGGCCAGCGCCAGGCCAAGAAGATTCTCGACAACATCACCTGGGAGCGCGAGCGCGCGAGCAAGACGGCCGCCGTCCTCGGTGGTACTGACGGTGACAAGCCGAGCCCGTCGCCCGTTGCCTTTCTTTGCCTCAACGACGACGTCAGCCCGCTCCGCAACGAGACGATTCGTGACGAGATCCGCGCGTGGGGCCAGGCCATGTTTCCCCATCCCTTGCCCTTCGAGAGGCCGTTGCAGGCCCTGTAATTTAGAACAATCACCCTTGCCTTTGCCTCTGCCTTTTGCTCTTGCCACGATGGCTTCTCTTCAGCATCCTGTAATATAGCGGTAGAATAGATGTTTGCAATGCATGAAGCAGATCCTTGCTGAAGTAATGTACAGTACAGTGTTCGTCCTACAGTGGTGATCACGGGGGAGACCGCTCAGCCAAGCCCCGCAAGTAGGTCGGCGAGGTCGTCCATCGTCTGCTTTCTCCCTCTCTGCACCTGTTTTGGCAAGTCATAGACCGTGAGCAGACGGCCAGGCCAAGAGCAACGAAGGACAAAGGCAGACTCACCTCGGCCATGCTGCTCCACTTCTGTGCAAAGTCCTGCGGCCCAATCTCGAGGCACGTCAGGTCGCCCAGCGCCTCTCGCCTGGTAAAGAGCTCCGACTGGTACGTCTGTGGGTCGAGAGAGGTGTCTGTTAGATATACCTCTCCAGAAAGCAAGAGGGTAAAGAGAACTCACATGGAAGAGCTCGCTGACGTGGCCGAGCGCCTCCTGTGGGTCCATGCCACTGACACCCTGCACCTTTGGCTGGGCGAGAAAGACATCGACATGGTAGAGGAGCTGCATCATCTGCGACACGCACGCCTCCATCCGGTCCAGCCCGTCGCGCAGCGCCGAGAGGCACGTCTCGAGCGCGGGTGTTGGCTCGTCGGACTCGAGTGAGTCGGGCGCGACGCCGAGGAGTTCGACGAGCGTCTGGAGCGGGCCCAGCGTCTGGGAATGCGTCGCGTCAAAGGCTGTTTTCGCTCACTCCTCTGGTCAGCTCTCCGTCCTGTCTCTCACTCAGCACAGACGCACGCACCTCGCGCGAGCTCGTCGGCGCTCGTCATGAGCTCCAGCACCGGATTGCTCGCCATGCTTGTCCCTGGGCGCGTTGCTGCCTGGGCTCTCTCTCCTTGCGCGCGTCGTGGTCGTAGAGAGAAAGATCAACACTGAAGAAAACATTTTCCACGTGGCTTTGCAGAAGCCAAAACGGGCGTCGCCTGGCGCCGCCTCCCATGCAGAGGGCAACGTAGGAGACCTCCCACGGTCAAGGGTGCACCGCTGGCCCTGTCGCAGCGATAATGATAAGCCCATCCATTGAGTAGAACCGTGTTGCAAGAGCAACTTCAAGTAACTGCTGTAAACGCCAAGGCCAGTCTGTCCATCCTCACTTCTTCTGTTCTACTTGCTTTTCCTCTGTCCGTGAGAGAGACAGAGCGGCGTGCAAAGATTTCTGCGAGGAGGGCGGTCTTTTTGGTCGTCGTTGGCCTACTCGGCCAAGGTAGTCTCAGCAAAAAACTCAGCCTTGGGAGAGGGACGGACGCATATGCGGCGACTACCTGCTGTGGCCTTCTCTCACTCTCTCTCTTTGTTTTTATTTGTCGGCCATACCCCCCATGTTTTGTCCAGACAAGGAAAACGAGAGTGACGACGGGCGAAAACATCAAGATGTGCCTGGGAAGAAGCGATCGCCGGGATCCCTGCGCTACCCGCTGGGAAGATTGCCGTCGTCGTCTGGCAACAGCGAGATTCCAGCTTCTGTCCGCCAAAAACCCACTGGGACATCAGCAGCGGCGGGGCCAAGGGGAGGCGCGCCAAAGGGCCAAAGCCAGAGCCAAAGCCAAGGCCAGGGCCAGGGCCAGAGGGGCGGCGGTGGCGGCGGCGGCGGCAGCAGCACCCGTGTGCTTCCGAAATCGTTCAGGGGACCACACTCCGCTGGCGGAGCAGCTGCCAACTCGGGGCGGACCTCGCTGGCGCCACTGATGCCCCTATCGCGGCCGCGGGGCCCGCTGTCCGTCGCTTCTTCGTCTCCCCTGCTGCTGAGTTCGAGCGCGCCACGACTGCAGCACCTGCAACAGAGGCCACAGCAGCAACAGCACCAAACTCATCTCAAGCAGCAGGGGCATCAAGTGGAGCAGCGAGGGCGTCCATCTCTGCTGGAGGAGCAGAAGAGTCTTACGGCACTGCGCAGTCAGCCAAGCACACCGAGTCGCGCACCTCGAGCGAGCAGCAAGGGCCGTTTTTATCAGCTGATAAGCGCGCAGGAAAGAGACAGCAGGAGCAAGGGCACAGACGAGGACAGCGACAGCGACAGGGAACAGATGGGCTCGCCGTCCAACAAAACAGCAAAAGACACGTCTATGAGTAGGTCGAGGACGCGCTCGTCGTCGTCGTCGTCGGTATCCTCAGCTGCAGTAGCCACAGCCACAGTCACAGCAGTAGCAGCAGCCGCAGCAAAAGCAACAGCAACAGCAGCAGCAATGGCACGACCATCGCCTGGCCTGCTCGTCCGGGCGACGCTATCGACATCGACAAGACGGGAGCGCAAGGACAGTGGCGGTGGCGGTCCAAGCGTCATCTCGGGCCCCTTTGATGTGAGGCTACCCGCTGCAGACAAGATCGGCCCGCTCAGGCCCCTCAACGGCGCGGTTCTGCCCGATGCTGCTCCCACAACAACAGAAATGACGGCCCAGGCCGTCGCGGCCAAGCTCATCGCCACACCGCGCAGGACGACGGCCGCCGAGCGAGAGCGCGAGCGCGAGCGCCCATACCCGCCCTCGTCCAGCCAGCGCTTCCACGGCCTCTCGCTCTCGCGCCACCCAAGCATGGAGCCGTCAGAGCGGGCGCAGCATCATCATCCGTACAGCTACGGAAACACAAACAGCAGCAGCATCGACGCCAGCTCAGACCGGCCCCTGAGCCCGCGGCTGCCCGGCCCTCCGAGCGAGGAGAACGAGGGCGAGCAGCCGGTGCGCATGTCAAAGGCCAGCAAGGCCTCGTCCTTCTTCAGCCTCATGTCGACGTCCAGCCTCGTCTCTGAGGCGCACGAGGACAAGACAAATGCAGCAGTAGCAGTAGCAGCAGTAGTCAGCAGCGGCGGTGGCAGTAGCGGGGCGTACGGCGGCGGAGGTGGTGGTGGAAGCGGCAGTGGCAGCAGCAGCAACAACAGGACAGCCAGGCATCCATCCTCGTCCTCTGGTCTCTCGTTCAAGGACAAGCTCAAGTCAGCAGTAAGATCAGTCAGGCGTCCGCATTCCAAGCGGTCGCTATCGTCGCTATCGGCCTCATCGACTATTGACGCGCAGCACTACGCAACCTTGGGCAGCAGCAGCAGTAGCCCGGCATGCAAGACCGGCGGCGAACCGTCGCCACTGTCGCTGTCGCCATCGAGCCCACGACGGGCCATCGACATTGGCAGCAGGCACCCCTCGCCGCTGTATCATCACGGCGAAGGCCCCTTTGAAGGCCACCAACAGCGCGCATCGAATGTGTCTGAACACACGACACCGTTGGGGCAGACACCCCAGCTGAGGAGACCCAAGACTGCGCCGTCGCTCAAGCTGCATTCAGTGCAGGACACGGCGACGCATGTACCCGTCGAGACTGGGCCAAAACAAAGGCGAGCATCGAAGAGCCAGCACCCTTCGCCCCTTCTTCACGGTCACAGAGCAGCAGACGAAGGACAGCCTGCTCAGTCGTTTGCTGGCGACGGAGCCAGCCTCGTCAGGATCACAGCCAGCGAGCTGGCGAGGATGCGAGAGAGGCCCGACGGCCGTCCGAATGCCCCCTCGTCCTCAACAGAGCTCGACGCTGCCAAGAGCCAAGCGGGTGCGAACACCACCGCTGCCAGGCCCCGCCCTGCGCAGGCCAGACGACAAGCGCCGCGGACCACAACGACGCCACCGACGTTTTCGATCCTGCAGGATCTGCCCGTGGCCGAGGTGCTGCAGCAGGACGTGGCCTCGTCGCCGCTGCGGCCACACACCAGCGATGCGCCCACCGCACCGCGCTTCCACACCACGCCACCGGCCGACCAGCGCCGGCCAAAGACGAGCGGTGAGCCAACCTCGCATGCGTTGCTCCAGGTCGACGCACCCCTTCGGCCAGCGTCGATCCGTGCGCGTCGAGACAGCCTCGATGCTGATGAAGCAGTGCCGTGGCGCGAGGGCACCGGCGAGATTGCCCAACCGTGCTCGCCGCCTCAGCAACGCTCGCTGCCCCTACCGGGCTCTCTGCCCCACCACCCATGCCCGCCGAGCAGCCCCGCGAGCTGTCCACAAAGCGTCGGCCAGAGCAGCCCCGAGGCGCGCATCCAGGCAAAGCACTCGCCACGCCTGCAGCAGCAACAGCTGAGCAACAACAGCACAGCCACCGTAAACCCGCTGCTGCAGGTCCTCCTCGCCGACGACGCCATGTCCCCACGCGCATCGACCGAGGACACCGCCAACGACTTTCTCGAGACGGTCCTCTTTGAGAAGCCAGCCACACTCTCGCCCCCCGGCAGTGCCGATGACGTCGACGGCCTGGGCCTGGGCCACGGCGGCGGCGGCGGCGGCGGGCAGGCCCAGGGCGTGGACCACATTTTGGATCTCAGTCACATCGAGGACGGCCGTAATGACTGCTGCTTCACAAGGCACTCGATTCTCAGGTCGCGCTTCAGCGTCAGCGACAGCCCTGCGAGCGAGGACGAGGACGAAGACGAGGAGGAGGAAGACGAGGAGGAGGAAGAAGATGATGATGATGAGGGAGGAGAAGAGAAAAACGAGGACGACGATAAGATGGAGAACGGGAACAAGGACGATGCTGAAGCAATGAGGTCGAGCACAGATTCCGAGGCGCGCGCATACAAGGCGACTGCGACGAGTACCGTGACGCCATCGGACGACGGTGACGGCCGCAGGTTCGAGGTGACCGGGGTGCGCACCCGCCAGCGTGGGCCAGGAGAGGCACCCGCGATCGTACTCGACATCAAGGTCACCGTCAAAATGGGAGAAGGGAGGCCGCCACGGGTCTTTGCCGGCTCGACGGAGCTCGAAAGGAGAGATGTGGCGACGATCATGTCGTCCATGGCCCTTGTCCCCCGTCCCGTCGTCTCTGCGGCGTCACGCTCCCTCTCCGGCGACGACGCGGGCTCTCAGGACGCGACACCCACCAGCCGTGTCATGACGCGCGACTCGAGTGCGAGCGCCTCGAGCGCAGGCGGATCAGTCGGTCTACGCCCTCTGCTTCTTGGCTCCAGGAGCTCGCTCTCGTTCAGAAGCCCTGCACTCGGCTTTGACACCATCTCACGGAGGGGTTCCGTGTCGGCACCGCCGAGCAAGACGACGGGCATGCTCCAGGCGCAAACTCAGGCTCAGGCTCAGGCTCCAGCTCAGGCCCAGAACAACGGACAAGAAGGTACGGTATCAGCCATCAACAGCCCGAGGAGGTCCATGTCCTCACCCTTCCTCATGAGTGGGTCGCTGCTTGCCAAGAAGCACTAGTAGTCGAGGCTACGGCTGATTGCTTGACAGCATACAAGGTATCTACCGATCCCACCACGCTGCGACAATATCAGACTCAGCCAGCTGCTCAACGGCCACCAGCACCGCCTCCAACGCCAGCTCCAGCTCCACCGCCACCACCAACGCCGCCGCCGCCGATCCTGGTGCCCACAGCCACATACCCGTGCTCGTCCTTGTCTTCTGGCTCCCCTTCCTCGTCGTCGCATTCCTCCTCCTGTTCCTCTACATCCTCGTCGTCGCTTCCTCCAGCACGGCTCCCCTTCCCACAGACGCCCACCTCGGCCTCGCTCCCGGAGCTGGAAGAGGAGGAAGAGGAAGGCGAGGCACCGAAATAGAAAGACGCCTTTCCTTTCCCCTCCTCTTCCCTCCCCTCTGTGTGTCCCTCAACAAAATGTATGTCCGGGCGAGTTTGTCATGTCATGTATCTTAGCGCATACCTATCTACAGTTGGTCTTCCCTCTCCTCTCCCTCTTTTCGTCGTCGTCGTCGTCACTGTCATTGATCATCATCATCGTCCCTATCTCCTCGCCGGAGCAGGCAGGTGTGCTTGCTAAACACGTGTGCTCGCGCTCAATCCGGTCCCTCCACGGAGGGCACCGCGTCGTGCGCTCTTGTTTGACTCGACCCGGCGCAGCTAGCTCCTCCGACGCTACCACCTCGATCAATCCCCACCCCTCGCTCGCTGTCTATACGAGACGCAACACTCCTCTTTACATTCAGACTCTACTGCTGCCGCTGCTGCTCCTGCCCGCGAGCCCAGTTTCATGTACACGAGCGCCCACAACAACGACCCAGAGCAACGCGAGACTGACACCACACACTTCAACTACAACAACGAGGAGCAGCAGCAGCAGCACGCCCAGCATGGCTACTCTTACAACGACGACGACGACGATGATGACCGGCACGCCGAGCGCGGCGCCGGGCTTTCGGGCGCCAATGGCGACGTGTCGGCCTTTCGCCTTGATGGAGACGAGGCCGACGGCGATGACGACGGCGAGATGGGGGGAGAAGAGGAGGAGCGGGGATGGAAGAGGAAGCCAAAGAGGGCACAGAAGAGGGCTGTTGCCAAGGAGCTAAAGAGGAAGGAGAGGAGGGCAGGAGATCAGGAGGGAGACGAGGACGATGGAGACGATGAGGAGCGCGACGAGGAGAGTGGCATTCAGAGGTGAGATGGCGTGGTGACGTGCTGCGACCCTCACGCATGCTGACGAGAGGACGATCTTTTAGCGGGCCACTGATGGGACTGCCGCTCGAGACGCTGGCGCGCATCTTTGCGCACCTCGACCCCGTCTCGCTCGCTCGGTGCGCGGCCGTGTGCCAGACGTTTGCGGCCGTGGCGCGCGACGATGCGACGTGGCGCCAGGCCTTTTCCGTCCACTTCCACATCGAGCGCAGGGCGAGCGGGCTGGGTGGTGGCGACGACACCACGACGACGACGACGCCTGTCCTGAGGCGCCTCGACGCCAGCTCGTGGAAGCAAGAGTACACGAAGCGCACCGAGCTGCTCCGGCAGTGGCGCAAGGCCAAGTCGCCCACCGTCATCTCCGACGCCCGCGTCTCGACGATCGATGCCGTCGCCGTCAGCCTGCCGCACCACTTTATGCTCTCGGCCTCGCTGACGTACGGTGTCGCCTCGCGCTGCGACCCATTCACGGGTAAAGTCGCCAAGGGCTTCGTCGATGCCGCGGGACAGGTCAACGGCGCCGGCTTTGGACCCATGGCCGTCGACCCCAGCCTCGACATCTCGTCCGTCGCCCTCGAGTCGGACGCGAGCCGCATCGTGTGGGGCTTCCACAGCGGCCAGGTCGGCATGACCGTCCTGCAGAAGCAGGGCACCAACCCACGGGGCGCCATCAAGGCCACGCGCTTCTCCGACCGCGGGTGCCACGCCGGACCGGTGCTCGATATCGCCTTGCCGTTTGGCACGGGCCGCGGCGGCGCGCACAGCATCGAGCGCAAGCCCGAGAGGCTCAAGCAGCGCCAGGCCGCCCTTGGCGAGGTTGCAGAGACCTTTGTCACCGCCGGCCTCGACGGCACGGTGCGTCTGTGGAGCCCCCGGCGCTCCCTGCCCGTTTGGACAGCCCTGGCCCTGCCCAAGAGGGAAGGTCCGCACAGACCGACGCCCGTCGTCTGCGTCGACTACGACGTCGGCTCAGGGTCCATCGCAGCAGGCACGTCCGAGGGCGATGTCGTCGTGTGGACCGCAATCGACGTCGACGCCCTGCTCCGTCTGCCTGCGACGGCCTGGGACCACGTCCTCGTCGCCTCCTCCCAGGACGACGAGGTGCCCTCGGTCGTCCAGGCTCGTGCGACGCTGCAGCGCATACAGAGCAGCGTCGTCAAGGTCATGCTGGGTCGCACACGGTCTGCTGCACCCAGTGGCGCCACCAAGGCCATCTCCCAGCTCATTCTCGACGTCGACCCGTCTGCTGAGTCGGCCCTGGTGAGGCTGCTCGTGCTCGGTAAGGGGGCTCATGCGTTTGAGCGCATCGACATTAGCTTCAACCAAGCTGTCGTCAGCGGAGGCGCCCACGACGTCCAGCGAGCCATCTTTGAGAACCCAGCCGAGAGCGAAGTGACGAGCCTCCGTCCCGACTTTGATCTCGCACCCCGTCGAACGCCGCGCAGCTTTGCCACACCCACGAGCCCCTCGCTTGGACAGGCGAGCAGCGGCGCCAACCACCACCACCTCGTCCTGGGTCCGTCGCCTGACTCGAGCCCGTCGCCCGAGGCGGCTCTGTTTGCCGAGCGCAAGTACGTCTGCGCCGGCACAAAGAACGGCCGCGTGGTGTTTTGGGACTGGCGCAACCGGCTGGGCGACGACGAGACATTCGTGCCGGCCTCGCTGTCCCTCGATGCCCACCACACCAGCATCACGGCCCTCGACCTGACCGAACACGTCGTCATCGTCGGCTGCTCCGACGGCACCATCAAGGCCTTTTGCCCGCTCACGGGCAGCCTCGTCCGCACCTTCAACGACCGCACCGCCACGCGCCACCCGGCGCGCATGCTCGCCGCCGGCGAGCTATCCGACGACGAGGCCTCGCGCTTCGTCGTCACGAGCCTCGTCGCGGGCACAGAGACGGTCGTGGCCGCCATTGGCGCCCAGGTCCTGGCGTGGCGCGCCGAAAAGGTCAAGAGCAGCGGCGGCAACAAGCGCGGACCGCGGTCTTCCTCGGGCACACCCAAGCTCGGCGCACGCACGGCATCGGGCAGGCACTGGCAGAGCCAGCGGGAGATGGAGCACGACGTATACGAGACAAAGGCTCAGCTGCAGGCTGAGCAGGAGAGCAGACAGGCAAGCTATGAGCGGTACAGGTATGCCGTCGGCCCACCGGAGATTGGTGGGCTCAGCGAGCAGGAGGCGTTTGAGTACGCCATGATGCTCAGCAGGGACGAGGAGGAGGCCAGGCGAAGGCAGGGCGCCGCCGCGGGCACGAGCGCCTTTCCGCGCCGGCTCGCCGAGAACGTCGGCAAGGGCAAGCAGAGGTCCGACGCGCAGGAGGAAGAGGAGGGGCCCATCGACTGGGAGCTCGAGGATGCGCTCGAGCAGATTGCGCTGGCAGAGAGCCGGCCTCGGACGCGGCAGACGTCAGACGAGGAAGGCGATGCTGCCGCCGCTGGTCACAATAGCACCACCTCACCGTCGCCCTCGCCCTCGCCCATGTCTTCACCTCCGCTCGGCGGCATTTCCACACCCTCGCGCGCCTGGGACATTCTCAACAATGCCGGCAGCCTCGCCCGTGCGTCACAGCAGGGCGAGGAGCGGTGGCGGCCAAACAACAAGGTCAGGACGGTCAACGTGCCCAGAGCAGCGCGGCTTTCCTCTGGCGCGGCCGCTTCATTGTCGTCGATGGAAAACGGACCTTTGGGAGGATCATCATCATCATCATCATTGCGCAGAGGCAGTCACACCGGGGCGAACAATGTTAACTGGAGTAGCCCGACTGACTTTCCCGCCTTTTCCTCGCCCTCGGGACCGGCCTCACTGGCTGCCTCACCCGGCGCTGGGATGGGCGCGGGCAGTCTACCCGGCTCACACCCGCGCCCGCAGGGCGCCTGGGCTCAGGGTTCGCCCGCGCTCCGACCGGCCGCCTCTTCCTTTTCCTCGTCGTCGGCCGGCCTCTCGGCGAGCAGGCCGTCCTTTTCGCCCCTTCCTCCACCCAAGTCCCCTGTTGGTGGGCAGCAAGGTAATCCATCTCCACCGCCCGCACGACCCTCAGAGGCGATGGACGACGACCTGAGATTCGCCATTGAGCTCAGCCTCGCGGAAGCACGGTCAAAGTCATGAACGTGGACTCTCTGTATCATCTGTATCAGATAGAAGGATTTGTCGATAGAAGTGAAATGCGATGCGATGCGCAGAGATGATCAAGGCAACGTTTGCTCGCACAGAGAGCAAGGGCCGCAAGGGAGTCCGAGTCTCGAGTCTCGGCACACGTTCGCTGCTCGAGGACGAGGCTCATGCTGCGGGCACGGACGCGAGCGACGGCGGACGAAGCAGGAAGGACCGGTTTCAGACGTGTGAACGCTATCTCTGCCAGGTGTTCCATCCTCGTGTTGCCTCATCGTGCGTGAATGCAACGCTTATCGAAGATGACGACGATGATGACAACCCATGAGGAGCCACCTTGGCAGTCGCGCAACGATCCTCGTGTCTCACGATGGCTGAGGCCCATGACCGGAAGTGGATGATAGGGCCCTTGATTCACCCCTTTTCCTTGAGACGCACATGGATCCACCAACTGATTGAGGGCCACTCCATTCGCTCGTGCCTTTTTTTCTCTTTTGTCTGACTCAGTCTCGTCTCGTCTCAGCGGGCCAAGCGTACGCTGGACAAAGACTGATCGAGACGGCATTTCGGGAAAAGTTCTTCCGTCGATCTATCCCCTCTGCGTACAGTAGGTTGAAGCGTGGGAGATGGAGTACCTCTCAGGACAAGACGGAAGAAGGTTCGTCGACCTTGACCGAAAGCGGGTGAAGAGGGAAACGAGCGAGGGGGGGAAAGAACGAGCGCTGTACGGGCTTTCTTGTTGGTTCTCTATCTGTTTAACATTATTGATGTGGAGTGCGACCCTTGATGTGTCTGAGTTGAGCGTGCATCTGCTTGCTTGCAAGGAGGCAGGCCGTGCGGGCTGCGATGCGATGCGATGCCCACTACTTGCTCCTACCTCTAGGCGAGTTGTGAAGGGGCGCAGCGGACCAATCTTCAGCTAGTAGTAGTAGTACGTAGTAGCAGAGTGGACGTGACGATCTTAGTGACACATTCCCGCCTATTCCTTCTTTCTGTGCTTCTTCAGCTCAACAAGACAACGGACAGCGTTCCGTTACCTGGGCACCGGGTTCCTATTGCACCGTGGGTTCGAAAAGTAGAGGATCAGACAACGCAGGGCAACGTAAAGGTACTTCCGAAGCACATCGCATCGAGCGCGGGCTTCAAAGAAGCTTTTGTGCGCGCAAACGATGTCCAGATGATGTAGAGATGTCCAGATTCATTGGTCCACGGTTTGGCGGTACCAGCCGGTAGAAAGGCACGCAGGGCGATCCCATGCATAAACCCTCCCCGTACCGTACCTTTGCCGACAGCAAGATAGAGTGCTCAACTTTCTATTCGAGAGTGTATGGGCTTCTAGTCGACCAATAGGCTTACTTTAGTGTACAGAAGTCATAGCCTTAGAGAAAAGCAGCACCAATGCGCACGAGGCCCCGCAAGAGAGCTGCACGTTGCGCGCCTCCTTGCCTGCCTGCCTCAACAACCTAATTTATTTTTATTCATTCCGTATACGTATCGAAGCAGACGCGCAAAAAGCACACTTCCGGGGAAATCTGAGATAGACGACCTCATCCATCGAAACACGTCAACTTTGCCCACGCTCCAGAGACGTCAGAGCATGCCTTGCGGTCAATTCTTTTTCTATCATCTCTCGGTTCCAATGCCGCTGACTAGATAGAGAGGGCAAGGCAAGCGATTTGTTTCGAGGCAATCTACCACATGCGGATATGCTTTGCCTGTAATGCCTGACGCGGGCCGATGTTGTCGCCAATTCTATCTATCTGCGTACTCGGACGACGTGCACGCCCATCGCACAGTGCATCGCAGATCGTACATTGCTTAGGCAGGCTTGCAGCCCAGATGACCGCAAAATAGGAAGACGGTCCAATGGGCACAGCTGCAAGCAGCGAGAATAGCTGGCTAAACAAGCGAGATAGCTCATTCTTGCTTGAGCGATGTTCTAGGCTGGGCGCGCCGTACGTCAACACAACACGACCCGCCCTGAAGCACACGGCCAGCCTAACAGAACACTGGCCAAAACAGGTCTCGAAGTCGGGCCGCAAAGCTATAAGAAGTGGCCCCTTTCGCCCTCCAATCCTTTCTCCCCATCAACTCACTCCTCTCTCTCTCTCTCCCTCTCCCACTTTCCACTCCCACAAACCACACTCTTTGGCCCTCGCCTAATCCTCGCTTCAACTTCAAGATGCAGTTCTCCACCGTTGTTGCTTTCTTCGCCGCCGCCGCCGTTGTCGCCGCTGCCCCCAACGCTCCCTCGTCGAGCAGCACGGGCTCGTGCTCGACCGGCAAGGTCCAGTGCTGCTCCACCACCGTGAGATTCGCTTCATTCTCCCCCTTTGGCTCTTTCTCTTTTTGCTGACAGGCCTTCTCCTCTTCTAGCACGACGGTGCTGAGGCCAAGAAGACCGCTGCTCTCCTCGGCCTGAACGACCTCGCTGGCATGATCGGCATCCAGTGCCAGGACGTCCCCATCAACATCATCGGCGCTGCCGTCAACGTTGACAACCACTGCAAGAGCAGCCCCGTCTGCTGCACTGGCTCGGAGTACAACGGTCTCGTCCAGACCGGCTGCACCAACGTCCCGGTCAACTAAGCGCGCGTTGGCACTTGCTCCCTCTGCAATCTTCCTTCGCTTTCTTGCTTAGACAGGACAATACCTATTTCCCCCCACCCCTTCCACACCCCCTCCCCCTCCCCCACACCCCCTCTCAGGCGAGGTGCTATAGCAACTAGGTCCCATCAGTAATGTGCTGGCCGGTGCAATGGTCACTGTGATATCTCCATTCCCCTTCCCCCCTTCCCCCCTTCCCCACTCTCTCCCCAGATCATCCTCAATCTATTCCCCACATCATTTGCACTCTAATCGCAAGCTTTCATCCATGACTCTCATCTTCTCGAGCACACTGTGTGACGCCCATCAACAGGCTCAGGCTTCGACTTTCTTCAAAAGAACATTCCAGGAATGGAGCCGGGCAAAACCTTGTTCTTTTTTTGGTCTGCTACTCGAGTAGAGAGAGGAATGGGACATGGACATCAAGAGAGTTGCGACCGGAGAACTCGCCCCTCCTCGACGTACTCTGTCAGCACGTCTGAATTGGAAAGCGTGGCCTTGTTGATGCCCTCTATCGACGCCCCGTTGAGCACTGCGGGTGGGAATGGCAAGGGTCAGTGACCTGTCGGCCGTCGACCGAGCGCGTTGGATGGATTTCGATGGCCTTTACTCACGCTTCTTGGCAGGCACCTCTGCCAGTTTGCCATTCATCGTCAAGGGCACGCCCTTGACTCTCCTCACGAACCTGGGAACATGCCTTGGGCTCCTCTCCCGACGAATGGCAGACTTGATCTCGTCGACGAGCGCCTGCCATTGTGCATCGTCGATCTGCTCCACGACGAGGAAGAGCACAACGACTTCATCGTCGCCCTTGGGCATTTTGAGGCCGCATACAAGGCTATTCTGAATTCTGGCAGCAGCCGTCGTCTTGGCCTCCCCTTGCTGCTGCTGCTGCTGCTGCTGCTGCTGCAGCTTTGCGACGACCTCGTAGATTTCGCTCGATCCGAATCGGATTCCACCCGGGTTGAGCACCCCGTCCGAACGGCCGAGCATGACAAGTCCGTGGTGCTCTGTCAGGACAACGTAGTCGCCGTGGTACCAGACATTGTCAAAGGTGCTGTAGTACGTCTCCCGATGCCGGTCCTCGGAGGCCTGACCCCAGAAGCCAAGCGGCTGCGCTGGAAAAGGCTTTGTGCACACCAGGTCGCCCGGGCTCCCCGCTCCGAGTGGCTTGCCCGCGTCCGAATAGATTTGCACGGCCATGCCGAGGTTCCGAGCCTGGATCTCACCGGCGCGCACGGGCAGCGCGACGTTGTGGCCCGCGAAGAGGGAGCAGATGTCTGTGCCGCCGGTGATCGCTTTGGTATTGCTCTATGTTATCAGCGAGACCAGAGAAGGAAGAGAAGCGGAGAAAGGCGGACTACTCACATCCTATGAGCGTGTCTGGTCCGACGGCCTTCATAATGAATGGGTACAGATCGGCCCGCAGCGGAGAGCCTGTCGAGAGGACTTGGCGGACCTTGAGGCTGGGAAATTCGCGTCGTGGCTCACAGCCGCTCTTCTCAAGGGCAGCCAGGTAGGCAGCACTGGTGCCAAAGACGGTGATGCCGAGCTTGTCTGCCAGGCTCCAGAGCGATGAAGCAGATGGGCGCAGGGGAGAGCCGTCAAAGAGGACGAGGGGCGCACCAGAGACGAGACCGGCCACGAGGAAGTTCCACATCATCCAGCCAGGGGTTGTGTACTGGAAAAAGACGTCTTGAGGTGTCATGCCGCCGTGAATGAGATGCTCTTTGGCTAGTTGCAAGAGCATACCGCCTGCACGATGCGTGATGGCCTTTGGCTTGCCCGTCGTGCCAGACGAGAAGAGGATCCAGAGCGGGTGGTTGAAGTCGAGCTGCGCAAAGTCGATCGATGATTCGTCCTCGCCCTCTCTCGCCCTTCCCTCTTCTTTCAGGAAGCTCTCCCAGCTTGTCCACCCTTTGGTCTTGTCGAGCGTCGTGGGAGAGGAGGCCATATAAGGGATCAGGATGACGCCCTCGAGCTTCTGCTCCTCCGCGCCGGCCGAGGCGTCGAGACCATCGACGACTGCTCGGACCTTTTCGGTGTGGTCATGCACCTTTCCGTTGTAACGCACGGCGTTGACGGCAAAGAGGACCTTTGGACGCACCGTCGTCAGCCTCTCGAGCACGCCCTGGGGAGCAAAGTCGGCCGCGGCAGAAATCCAGATTGCGCCGATGGCCGCTGTGGCGAGAAAGGCAACGACATTGGCGCTGTGAATGCAGTTGCCCGATCAGCAGAGATGTACAAGATGCTTATTTGCGAGAAAAAGGGCGCATTCACCCACCTGCAGTTCGAGGCATAGCTGGCAACTCGATCACCAGCAACGACGCCTCTCTGCCGTAGCGCCCGAACAGCCTGAGCGACCTGCCGTCGAAGCTCAGACTGCGTGGTGGTCTGCACTAGAAAGTTTTCCGGCTCCTCAGCAGAAGGCTCGGTGGCCTGGATCAGCGCAGGCTTGTTCACGAGCTCCGAGCCCGGCAGCGAATGCCGCAGCAGGTTCTCGGCGACGTTGAGCCTCGCTCCCACAAACCACTTTGGCGGCGGGTATATCCTGTCTCCCTCTGGAAGAACGTCGTCGTCCTTGGCGCGGACCGAAGCGATGATGTCGACCTCGTCCCAGCATTCGCGCCAAAATGATGCCGGATCCTCGCACGACCACGCCCAGAAGCTCTCGTAGTCCTTGCCCACGTCTGGGCGCCTGTACTTTTCGGCGATCTTTTGCTGGAATTTGGCCAAGCGTGTGCCTGACACGTTGCCGGGATCGTACATGACCTTGCTGAGGAGCTGGTCGCCGGCCTCCTGCTCCATCTCTGTCGATGTCATTGTCGTACTTCGGTGCCCTGCTGGACGAAGAAGAAGAAGCCACTGGGTTGCTTGTGCTTCCCCATCCGCCTCGCACAAACCCCACGGGCCGGCCTAGGCACCGCGGTGCTTTAGCCGGTTATTCCTCATGCCTTGTAAATGACAGAAGAGCAGTGACGGATTTGGAACGCGGCGCGTGCGTTCAAAGGTGTTGGTTGGACTTTGGGCGTGGCTGACAACGACTCGTTCCAATCCAAGCCCAATCGTCGGCGCCCAGGACGAGCAGGGCCGGGACAATGAAGCAGAGCATCCGTGAGTGTCTCTTTCGCATTGCTGACGGGAGTTGCTGCTGATGTTTTCGCCATTGACTTTATAGTGGCCTTTGGCAAGGAAAAGGGCGCGGAGCTGAGCGCTCCTCCTGTCACAATAGATCTGGATGGGTCTGACGGAGACGTCGATGCCAGCAAGGCCTCTTCACAGCTGCCTTCTATCTCTTCCTTAAAGCCCGGTCCCCTGTCGGTAACAGGAAAGGCCTCTCCCAAGAAGCGACCACCTTCGTCGAATGGCACCGGCAGCAGCAAGAAGCCAAGGACGTCTCCTATTGGGAAGGCAACAAGCAGTACCAAGCTCAAGAGCCGAACAGTGAACAGTATAGATGCGGGCTCTTCTCCCAGTGACGTGGGAAATCAGTCCCGCGACGAAAATGGGATAGATCCGAATCCTCAAAAGGCACAGGTGGGCGAAGGAAACTTGTGCCACCAGCATCGAGCACCATGTCAGCGTCTCATCCGTTGTACATGTGAGTCACGTTCCCAGCGCATTCCGTTGCATAGCGAAGCTCACTGTCTGTCCTGTGTCGATATGGAAGTGCTCAAGCCAAATGGGACAAGATGTCCATACAAGTACTGCTCCAATACGCTCTCGCGCGTCTACAGCCAAGATATGGACCAGATCTTGTCGGCAGGGCGCAACCTGCCAGGCGTCGACAAGATGCAGCATTGTGGCCCAGACGAGGCTCGTTACCTCTGGAAGGTGAGACCTTGAAGCCACCATCTCTTCAATTGTCCGAAAATCTAGCTGAAACACAGATAGTGTCCTCGATGTCGGGATATGTGCGCATGTTCTATTTGTCGCAAGAAGAAGGGATTGGAGCCATTAGGGTGAGCATCCTTCCAGATGACGTCTCATCTTCATCGAGCTCAAGAATGCATCTTCCCTTCCAGTTTTGTACGGCCGGCGAAGCCCAAAGCCTCGACATCGAATGTTGGGTCGAAGAAGGAGAAAGTGACGCCATCGTCTGGTGGGCGAAGCCCGTCACAGGATTTAATCAGGACGATGAAGAAGGACAATGTCTCGCCTCGGAGGCGCCCAGAGCCTTCGATGAAGCAGCGCATGCTCCTCCAGCACCTGAAGCCTCCCGCAGTGGCCGAGGCACCAGAACTTGAAAAGATCGAGACCCGCCTACCTGCCGCAAATATTCTCGAGAGGCTCTGGCTGTACGAAACGCTGGTCCGCTTCGATCTGCTCAAGATTCCGGCGAGAGTGCTGGGCAACCTGGATAACTTGGACCATTGGACCGAGAGCATGCTCCAAACGATCTTTGAGCGGCTCGTCCAAAGTCTCGCAGGCATCAAAAATCTCAAGGCCACGTCGGCAAATTCGGCAACGCTCAAACGAAGCTATCGACCGCTGGTAGAAGCCTGCAGCCAGCACCTAGGACGCATAGATCGGGGCGAGCATTGGGCAGCGGCGAGGGCATTGTTGGAAACGAAGCTCGTCCGCATTCCCGAGCTGGTTGATGTCGAGATTGCGGCGCATCAAAGGGCTAACGACCGTACCTCCACCCCCGTAGGAGCGACGACAGACACACTACTGAGCGGTCGTGCCACGAGGAGCAGGAGATTGGCAGAGATGAGCGCGCTCGAGAAGGTTAGGGAGATGAGCAGAAGGGAGCACCAGCAAGCACAAGGAAGCGAATCGTCAGATGAAGGAGAGGATGGAGATGGAAGTTCGAGCGAGGCAAGCTGGACAGGGATAAAGGGCAGGCAAAGAGCTCGAACCAGAGCCAAAGCCGGTAGAGGCAGACGCTACCGGCAGGAGCCCTCGTCGTCGCCATCGTCAAGTGCAAATGGAAGCGATGAAGAGGTCATGAGCGAATTGAGCGAATTGAGCGATCCTAGCGATGAGGAAACGATCGATCAGGACAACGCAAGACCTACAAGGCCGTCAAGAGAGAGCAGAAGCAACGGTCGCAAGACAGAGAAAGAGGCACCACGTCGATCTTCGAGGCACATTGCGAAGGCAGCAAGCTCGAATGAAAGCGACGAGGAAGACGGTGATATTGAGATGAGGACAAGGGCCACTAAGAGGGACAGTGGCAGTGAACGCGACGAAGTGCCAGAAGCGAGCCGGACGGAAAAGAAAGACGAGGAGGAGGAACGCCCGCTCGAGCCACCTAGCTTCGAGACAAGGGTTGCCATTCTCTCGGCCCTCGTGGATCTGCTAGTGCAGACTTCGACCGAGATCGGCCACGAGCTCGCGGAAGGCATCAAGATGGCCGCGCTGCTCGAAAAGCAAGGCAGAGATGAGGTCAAGGAACTGACGAAAGCGCACGACGACGAAATGAAAGCCCTGAATCAACGTGCGCCCAGCATGTCCAAGAAAAATGAGTATACAACGTGGAAGCACGAGCGTGCTGAGCTCGAACGGCGGCAACGGTACGAGATGCTGGATTGCCAAGTTCACACGCAGCTCCTCGTCGAACCTCACAAGCTAAGGACAGGACCAATGGGAACGGATGCCGACGGCAACGTGTACTGGCAGCTATCCGAGTACACTGAGAACATGCCGAAGGACACGCAGGGCAAGTGGGCTTGGTCTCTCCTCATCCTGGGAAATGCGAATTTGTGTGCACGCAAGGAGGATCAAAGCCTTTCTTCCGAAGCGGCGGAAAGGGAGACCGGAGCCGCTGCAGAGGTCCAACATCTTTCGAACGAGATGAAGTCGCCAGAGGGTGAAGTCGCCAGGGTCTCATGTGAAGTCCCTCGGGTCGCCCATGAGAAGATTTGGATGGGAAGCAATACTCCAGAAGGTGAGAAAGGGGATGTGCAAGCCCGTTCATTGGAATGCCCAACAAGCTTACGGTTCATGCGTTCCCACGACAAGGTATTGAGCAGCTCATGAAATATCTCAAGTATCGGCTTGCACTCAAGGAGCATGACGAGCACGTTGCCGATGCGAAAAAGGACATGGTCGCAGCGGTTGATGTTTCCGGCGAACTCGCGACACCACCGCCACCTCCCACGAAGGCCGAGCAAGCGTTGAGGAGAGCACAGAGGCGGCAGCTCAGAGAGGACCAAGCGATTAGACGGGAGCAGGTCGAGAGTCTCCTAAAGAGGCTCGAATTTGCTCGGGATTATTACGTGAGTGAAGATTTTCCGTTCATGGGAAGCAGCGGCGCTGTTCTGAACCATCTTTTCCACCGTAAAGAGATGGCACCTACGCCAAGAAGAGTAGAGGATTCGTCTCTTTCAGACTTGTTTGCTGACGAGATCCGCTGCACGCAGCCTGTCAGATCAGCCCTGCATGCCAATCCATCCTTTGTTTGACAGCTCTCTTGATTGTTCCCGTTGCTCTGCATCGTTGCCTCACCGTGCGCATGGGTATCGTCCGGATTCGTGAAGCACGATTTTCCCATGCAAGGTGCTATACACGGTTACGCGTCGCGTGAGAATGTGGAGCATCGCGCTTTGATCCTCTCTTCTTCTGCCCCCTCTTCGGTGAAAAGAGGTGTGATTTCTCGCAATTCCCATGCAAGGTACCTCCTTGGAAATCACTCTCCCTTGTAATCTCAAAGGGGTCCCCATTTTTCGTGACTTCAGCGCAATCGCAAGTAGCCAAGCCAGCCTCTATACACGGTTGCGATGCGACGCGCGCGACTATGCCAAAGGCACGTCCGATGATGGGGGGACGGTAAAGCATTTACGCATCACATCGAGGAAATCACATTTCGCCCCCTTGCATATTCTGTCTTGGAGCCCTGGTGATCATAGAAAGATCGCGGATGCCCCTCTGTACACGCTCAGCGCGCCATCGCCGTTGTCGTCTCGTCGCGTTACGTACTGTACATCAATGGAAAAGACCGGGTTGCTTAGGCAAGCCAAGACAGACTCTCTGATTCTGGGCTGAGAGGCCGAGTACACAATGCAAACGGCGACATCGGCTCCCCTGTTCGTTCCCCTTGCACGCAGGATCCCTCCCAACAAATGTATTGCGATCGTAGAGTGTCGAGCAATAGTTCGGGCAGAAGCAGACATCCTTCACAAGCGGTCCGAGGTCCCCAAAGTTAGGGAACCGCTTCAAGATTCCTTGCAGAGCAAAGCGACGAGTAGGAGTAATGATTAATCATATGTGATTCGGCTGAGGGGTAAAATCCATCCTGCTGTACGGCAGGATTGAGACGGAGAGAGTAGACAAGACGAATACGAAGATCTGTAATACAAAAGTGCGAAAAGGACTTGCGAAATACACAAGGATAGATCAACAAAGAGAACAAGTCGTCGACGGTGACCCAGAGACCTGTACAGAAATATTGTCCGATGATGGTGAGAGGGAGTGGTGGAACCGTCGAGGGTGGTGTGGCTGAATGATACATATAAGCGACATTATTGCGCCTTGCACGAGAAGTTGGCTTGAAACGCTCAAGCGGTGGTATTGAAGATAGAAGATGCAGTCGCTGGTGAGCTGTTGTAGTTGTACTTTCGACTGCGCTTCGAATTGCCCTGGCTGGCTTCTTGCGAAGGCAGAAGCTCGGTGGTGGGCGCAGCGCGACGTGAGGGCAAGGTGCTGAACCGGGAAGAGGCCGTGTTGATCGAAGCCACTGCATTGAGGTGACCGGCAGTGAACTGACATGGCTCGAAAACATCGGCAGGGTGACGTTTTTGATCGTAGAGAAGCCTGGCACTGTCATCAACTACGTCGGGGTGCTGATGACTATCGTCGAAGCTGTATCCTGGCCCCGTGACCTTCTTGCGTATGGTCAAAGCCTGAAGGCCAAACTCAACGTCCATGTCGTGCGCTTGAGATGTTTGCTGCTGGTGACCTTGAGCTTGAGTATGATGACGGTGCTGGCTTTGCGGTGAAGCATCGACGACTTGAGCAAATGCATGACGGGGCATTAGTTGAGGCGTCGGAGGAAGGCCAGTGTAGGACACAGAGCTTCTCCGGCTCTCGCTCGACTCCCCGCTACCGCTTCGACTGGATACACTGTCTTGTGTCATGTCGCTCTCACTCTCTGACGGTGACGTGGGCAAGCTACTCATGTCCGAGGTAACAGAAGACGAGGGCGAGAACACCTTGACCTGGCTGTCGTGAAGATTTGGCGTCGAAGAGCCACTGTCTTGTCTTTGCACACGCTCTGCTTGACCTTGAATCAGTACGGCTTTTGCATGATCCCATGCAACTTGAGCGGGAGCGGGTAGAACTGCCTGTGGTGGTGGCGGTGCAGCGTAGCCACGGTGTGTCCAATCATGTTCTTGACTGTGTGCTCCTGCGCTACCAAACTCCTCTTCCTCGTCTTCTTCTTCCTCATCGTCGTACTCCTCGAAGCCCTCTCCTCCATCGTTGTCATCATCCATGTGCGAGACGCCGTTGACGGAGACTGGCTGCTGCAGTTGCTGCTGAAAGTGCAGCTCGATACCATGGCGTGCCTCTGCCTCTCTTCGAGCAGCCAGTGCCGCCTGGCGAGCTTTCTGCGCTTCGTCACGTTGCCGAATGGCGGCATGCCGAGCAATGCGCTGCCGGTCTCCTTGCTCTGCGTTGCTGGCAGTGAAGCTTTTGACGGACATGACCATGCTCTTCAGCTCGTCGATGCTGCATCGCCATTCCTCTCGCACGGTGAAGACACGCTTTAATATCGAGTTCGTCTGCTTGGAAATCGGGAGAATGTCGAGGAGAAAGTCTGGGTTGCGAAGATACTCGCGGAACGTCTCGTCGGACATGGTCGCCTGCTTCCATGGGTTGCGACCGCAGATGAGATTGACAAGGATTACTCCGAGGGACCAAACATCGTTGGCTGCGGTGTCGTAGTCGGCCAGATTTGTTGAGATCCCTCCCTGACACTCAGGTCCCATGTAGAAGGTGCTACCACACCCAAAGTCGTTGCTCCTCTTCTCGTGAGTCGCGAGTCCAAAATCTGCCAGAACCACTTTGGCTCCCCCTTGGAGACATAGGACGTTCTCTGGTTTGAGATCACGGTGGTAGATGCCTTGAGCGTGGCAGGTGCTGACCGCATCGAGAATCTGACTGAAGACGTCTTTGACGACAACGTCCATGTCTGCCCTGGCAATCTGGTACGTCTCGTCGAAGTCGGCGTCAATGTCGGCATTGGGGTCTGGCATTGGCACCATATACCGTTGATTCTCGGTGATCATGCTGAACAAGTCCCCGTCCGGGCAGTAGTCGAGGATGACATAGATGCACGGGTCGTCCTTGTTGTCGATGACTCGAAAGAGGGACACAACTGATGGATGGCTGGTGACCATGGTGTGCAAGAAAATCTCCCTCCGTTGAAAGCGTCGCTGTCGGTCATCGAGTCCGACCTTGTTGAGACACTTGACGGCATAATAGCCGCTCGCCGCGCCTCCATGCCGCGAGGCGACATCGTGCGGCAAATTTGATGTCGAGGTGGAAGCAAAAGGGCCCTTGTGTAGCGGGTGCGTCAGGTCTCGTGCCAGGTAAACGACACCGTATGCACCCAGACCAAGGATCGAGACAAGCTCTAGCCTTCCATCTGCGATGCGGTGACCGAGGAGGTGCTTGTGGCGCTGCTGCGTCGAAGACGTGTTGGCGCTCATGTTGTCTTGCGAGAAGATGGAGCAAAGGTTAAGATTGATAGATGACTCGCAAAAAACCGGAAACAGTCGATTGATGCTTTTGCTGGTCAGTCTGTGATCCCTTTATCGATGGTGGGAATTGGGTAGACAATGGTAGCCTTGTCGAATGGATAAGCTGTGCGGCGAAGTCGATAGTAGAGTAGTACTGCTGACTTGTCGTCACGGTGACTTGAAGGCCCGGCTCTCTTAAGAGAGTGTCTGCGTCGTGACAGCGACGGGAGGGGCCGATTGCGACGAACAGTGGGGTCGTGGTATAGAAGGGTGGACGAAAGGTGGATAGTTGCTGGTGGCGGTGGTGGCTAGATGAGAGAAGAGAGGATTGGTTGTCTGTTGACAAAGAGGCCCGGGTTCATTTAAGAAAAAAAAAAAAAAGTCGATCCCTAGAGCTTTACGTTCTGATCCGGAAGGGTGGGTTCCAGGGTGGTGGCGGCGTAAACTGGATTGTATGGAACCTCTGTACGTTTTGTGCACAAGGAATAAGAATGACGAGCAGAGGGAGGTCGTGTTGAAGAAAGGTAAAGGGCAGTAATGTTGACCAAATCGATCGAGCGAGGGAAGCGAAAGGCCAAGGGGGCGGGCAGCCACAGGGAAGGGCAAGCGCTCGCAGCGAACGTAACACACGTCGCCGAGATCGACCAAAGTGTAGGTACAATGACAGGAAGGGGCCCTCTCGATGCTTCGGGGACTCATTACCAAAGGGCGAAAGTGATATCGAAAAATTACAATTGTGTATACCAAGACTAGTCAAACCAAAGCCATCGTCGATCGAGGAGGCTGATCGAGCGCCGGGTGGAGAACGTATACAAACAATATTGAATTTGTCCGCTTTGAGAACACCAATCCAGATAATTATTTTGAATTAAAATGGACCCTCCGATCGTTGCGGATGAGATCGCTGATTCCTCCCTCTTGCCTCGCGACGTCTTGCCTGCCCAGGACGTCGACTTGTCCGAGATTGAGTCGCCCCACTGAAGAGCATGGACATTGGTCATCATTCCAATAGCTACACCATCCGGAAACGTGACAATGCTGTCCTGCTCTGGGGTAACTACCACCTGCGAGGCTGAATAGTGTCGAGATCCCCCATGTAGATGTTAAACGTACCTGCCTCTCATTGCCAACCGCCACCAGAGTAAGATGTAATATTGAGGTATTTGCACAGGCGTCCCTCGACGTTCTGTAACACCAGCAATCACGTACGGAGTCCGACCGGAAAGGAAAGTGTCGTACTGTGGTGAAGGGTCCCTGAAGCCTCGATGCATGCAACTTCATGCAAGGAGAATGACAAATTTTCTAAATATTATTTCCGAATAAAATATATAGGTGTCCAGCTAGGTGTAAGTCCATGCAAGGAGATTCATACGTTACTACGTTTGCCCGCAAGAAATACTTGCTACGTCCCCGTCCCTGGCCCGGACCCGACCTTGCTAGATGTTGATGTCCAAGCATAGGCAGGTCTGCCGAGGAGCTCTAATCCCCGTGTTCACGTACCATGTCGAAGCACAGCGGCAAACAAAAGCCAAACTATCGGCCGGGCGGCGGACAAAGATCTGGTCAGGACCCAAGAATTACTTGACCTTCGCATTGACGATGACGCTTTCCTGAACGGACAAGGAATAATGACAAGAAGCCACTGAGGATGCACGATCACGCGTCTGCTTTTCGATCGATCTCTAGCACTTACCTTTTTCAGATCGAAATGGCGTGCAGAGACTAGTGGAGAGAGCTGCCTCATCTCTGCATGGCTCTATTTCTTCGCGTATTTTAAAGTTGCATCAGCTTGCTTGCATGCTTGTTTGCTGTTTACGATGCGCGACTGTCGTCTGAGAAGCTTCCTGCTAGCTGCAGCAGCCGTATGTGGGAACCGACAGGAACCACCGTGCAGAAGTCGGAACCCTACTTTTGCCGCCTCCCGTCCTACATTGTATTTCCACGGCATTTGTTTTCAAGCTCAGCGAGCATCTCGGCCTTTGCCAAAAAAAGTTGACAGAATGGGGAGGCGGCCTCTGCAAGCAAGGCGCCACTTTTTTATAGTTACACCATCCACATTAGGCGAACAGGGCATCTCGGCGCAGAATCTTCTCAACTTCTTGCCACGCTGCCTACTGGGCGCCCACGACAGTCTGGTCAGTAGGTGGGTTGCAACAGTCATATCCGATCGCTGTAGAAGCGGTCCTAGCCCCTTGTGTGAACTCTATTTTGTTCGAGAAGGGGCTCTTTCGCCGCATGGGCCTTTTGGCTTATCGCGCTGCGTCTCAGCTCTGTGCGGGGAGGGAAGTCGAAGTCGAGGGCCGTCCGCATCAGTCACAACATGGCGGTCAAAGCGCTGTGTGAGAACATAAGAGGCGTCCTCCGCCTGACGAAAACGTAAATTACCTTATTCGACTAAACGGGCAAAGCCGGCCTTCATGTGGCTTCTCCCCGTAACAATGCCTTTAGACCCAGAGGACAGGGGTTTTGTCCGCCACGTACTGTGCAGACAATCTTCGCGCGTGTTTCAACAGCCGCATTACGTTCATGAGCTTCGCATTACTGCGCCTGCACGATGCAGCGCGAGGACCTCTCGTTGTATCATCGTGAGAACTCTCCGGTTGGTCGTGTCACCCCTGCACGAGTTAAAATGTCCCGTGTTGCCACTTATGCACTCCTGTCAAACTCGAAAAGGGGCGAACAAGTAAGCCTCCTTAGATTAAGACTAAATTATCACTAACCCCGCGGGTCATTGATGCTGCGTATGCATGCAGCGCGGAACGTAGCTCCTTCCCCTCGTCGCCACCATGCACAAACGCGCACGCCAGCAGCCGACAGAGCAATCACCGCGCGAGGCCGAGAAAAAGCTCCCCGGGCGGCGCCTGATTACGTTTCTCTCCGGGGTGGACGGGACCGTGACGGTAAGGAGCAAGGCTCTAATCCGTGGCTGGGTCGGGGCGGGACGATGACAAATGTCACGTCGCACCTAGTCTTCAAGCAGGATAAGCTTTGCACGAGTGCCCAGCGGGCGCGAAAGGAAAAGAATGCTGTGGGAACCAAGACAAAAGCACGAGCGAGTGAGCGAGCCCCCCTGATCCCACGACTTAGAGAAGGAGCGATAGCTAGATCGTGAGAATGCATTGATCGGGAGATATGACCCAGGAATTTTTGCTGAGAGGGGTAATGACACAAGAAAAAGGTTATTCCTAGGGGGCGTCACGAAAGAAACTACTGCAAGAGCGGATCGCGGAAGTGCTTTTGGCTGTTGTTACGGTAGGCGACTTGTGTCTTGAATTGTTCGCGCCGCTTGACGTCGCGGAACTCCTTGATGTGACGCTTGGCCTCTCTTGCCTGGCCCCGGTCGCGCGCATAGACTGCGTTGCCGCCACGCGACTCAACAAGAGTGCTCTCCTTTTGTCGTGGTCCTCCGTTGAGACGATGAGCTAGTTGCCGGCCAGAGGTCGAGGAAGAGGCACTGTACGCAGAGTCTGGAGGTCGTAGTGATTGGTTGTAGTACCGGCGAAGACTGCGGTGACCAAGCCTTGCGCCTGAGGGCAACACCAATTCCAGCTCATTGTCTCCAAATCGAATGCCTCCGTCTGTGGCCGGGAGTGTCTCTTCATCGCTGTCGCCATCTTCCTCGGTGATGGCTTCGTCGTCATCGCCATCGACAAGCTCCTCGCCGTCATCGCTGACGTCCTCCCAGCCCGCATCTGGATAGCTGCTTGTAAAGTCGTAGAAATCGCTGAGCTCTAGCTTGTCGTCTTCGAAATCATAAGCGACCTTGCAGTGACTTTTGTCCAGCATGTGCTTCCGAACCGCCTCGGCCGTCTGAAATCCTCTCCCACGCCCGTTGCAGTACAGACAGATATTGCCGACGCAGATCTTGTCCGAAAGATACGTCATAAGGCCTGGCTTGTCGACCAGGTAGTCTTGCTCGGGAAGCCAGAAACCGTGATGCTTGCGCATGTGCTCCAGCGATTCATCGAGAGCGGTGAATCCAGATTTCAGGCAGAACATGCATGCCGTCGCCGGATCGATTCGCTTCGCAGTCGCCAGCTTGGCGTCGATGGCAGCTTGGATCTCTTCCTCGGTTGCATCCTCAGAGACAGTAAGATCCGGCCTGACCGGTGGAGTCTGTCCCTGCGGTTGCGATGATGATGATGACGGACCTGCTTCCTCCGGGAGTGCCTCTGCCACCTTAGACATGCTCTCGAGGGGCTCTTGCCCCGTTGCCGGAAGCCTGACGACAAGCGGGTCACTCGATCGTTCAGGTGCAGCTTTGGCCTTTGTTGAGGCGCCGGCAACACGACTGAGCGTCTCCTTGTGCCTGCGGGAGTTCATGTGGTCCTTGTATGCATTGGAAGACGAGAAAGATTTGCTGAGGGCGACGCTTCGTTAGTGCATATTCGCAAGAACATCCTCACACGACACGATCGACTCACTTGCAAGCGTCGCATTTCCCCTCTTTAGCAGGTCCACGAGACTGCACCTGCTCCTTCTCAGCTTCTTTCCTCCTCTCAAGAACTTTGGCATTGAAGACATCCGCTCTGACTGGCGGGAGGTTGGCAACTCTCCTCTTCATGTTGTAGCGGTGCAGGTCCGTTCGGTAGTGGCTGCGCTGATCCTCTGGCCTTGGAAATCCGATCGAGCACGACAAGCAAGTGAACAACGGGGCCGAGGATGAGGAAGACGATGGTGCTGACACCATCGCGTCCATTGTCTCGGCGGGTGCCGGTGCAAAGGTGGCCATGTTCGTCTTCTTAATAGTCCTGAAACGCCACTTTCGGAAATGACGACCGCCCAAAAACTGGAGGCAGCTCAAAATTTAGAAATAGTCACGTGTAAGTGCGCTTTTTACGTAATCGGTTTGAGAATCGGCCGACACGACTGCGGTGGCTTAGGCTGGAGCCGGAGGACGGGATTGGCGGTCGACTTGACAGATTTGGCCTCTTCCTCATCCCATCAAGGTTACCGGTCAGGATGCAGATCTTCGTCAAGACTCTGACGGGTGAGTATTCGTGAAGGTGTCTCCATGGCGAACGAAGGGGGTCCGACGAGGTGCTGGCCTAATCGATGGAATGGACGGCTCGTCGAGCGACTCGAGAAAGGAAAGGTTGATGGGCGAGGAGGACGTGTTGGACTTATCTGGAAGGAGAGACCAGGAGCAGAGGATGCGGCCTTGGGAAGGCTGCCGGAAAGGCTGGTCAGAAAGGCGGGGACGAAGTGGCTTGGAAGCGAGAGATGGCCCAGCAGAGCAGGCGTGGGAATGTGAGGACGGAATATCGTGCTGACTTTGGTATGCTTCGCCCTGGACAGGCAAGACGATCACCCTCGAGGTGGAGTCTTCGGACACCATTGACAACGTCAAGGCCAAGATCCAAGACAAGGAGGGCATCCCTCCGGACCAGCAGAGGCTCATCTTCGCTGGCAAGCAGCTCGAGGACGGCCGGACACTGGCAGACTACAACATCCAGAAGGAGTCGACGCTCCACCTGGTCCTTCGGTGGGTATCCTTTTCGCTTCCCCAGGGCAGACGAATCGAGCCATGCCATTTTTTCTGGTCAACGTGCTGACAATGACGTGTATCTGCTTCAGTCTCCGTGGTGGTATCATCGAGCCTTCGCTCAAGGTTTTGGCCGCCAAGACCAACTGCGACCGCCAGATCTGCCGCAAGTGCTACGCTCGTCTCCCTCCTCGTGCTACCAACTGCCGGAAGCGCAAGTGCGGACACAGCAGCCAGCTGCGTGAGTTGCCGTTCCCCCCCTTCTTCTGCATCAGCGGTGATAAACTAATCTCCCATCTGTGTCCGCAGGCCCTAAGAAGAAGCTCAAGTAGTGGTCTTGACGTCCACACTTGGTACGGGGCTAGGCCACGCCACACATGAACCTCAATCACACATGTATTCTCCCCATGTCTCACGCGCACAACATTACTTCTCTTTGATCGTCAGGGAGTTCTGGGGTGTGTCATACTGGGCTGCGCCGCTGGGCTGCCACTGTGCCAGAATGAAAGGAAACGGAAAGGCGCGGTCGTGGTGGAATATGTAGAGCCCTTATAAGATGGGTCGGTCACAGCGCAGAGCCTATGGGGGACGGGGATGAAGACGAGGGAACAAGCGATTCTTTTCTTGGATTCAGGCCTGAGACGTGGATCACGCATGGAGGTGACAGGAGAGTATTACCTTCTTAAAGAGGCAAGCCAATGCCACAGCCTCACCCACTCTGGTCTTCATCTCGTTCCGTGTGTCTCCTCTTCTTCTGCTGCTACTCACAGAGGGCGAGCCAGTAAGCACGGCAGCAGAGAACTTCGTTCTGGTCGACTGACTTACCTCAGGTCGTATATTGCAGCTGTGATGGTCGTGCGACACTGATGGCAGACGTAGGCGCAGTTCATCAGACGCCTGAGTCTCGCTCTCTGGGGCCCGTGTGCGACTTGAGAGTTGGAAAGTTGCCGTAAAGGAGGAAAAAGAAGTCCCTCTTGAAGGACAGGCAAACAGAAGAGGCGTGTGGAGATTCGGGCCCTGCCCTTTGTGTCTCTGGGCGAATGGTATTCTAAAAGGTCCATTAGCATACATGTTCACTTTCTCTACCCTCAGGGCGCAATACTGACGACGAGAGTGGGTTGTGGAAAGCTGTTACGGTCTATTTTTGGGCTCACTACTTTCGACAACCAGGCCTTTCACTTTGGCGTACTGTCTGATTCAAGGGTGGTGTTCTGCGGTCTGCTCCAAGTCAGGCATCTACATTAGTTCGCGCGAAGAGAGAGAGCCGCACAATTAAGTAGACTATGCTCTTATCCGTCAAGTGCGAAGCTGAGCGAAGCCTTCGATTTTGAACGTCGCTCCCGTTGCCGTAAAGTAATCTCTTACCTCTTTTCCACTCCGCCCGGTCAGTACTGTGAATAGCAAAGAAAGATGAGAGCCTCTGTCGTGAGTGATTTGCTGTCATTGACGCTGCATTGAGCCTGGGAGACAGAATCGGAATAAAGGAAGCCTTCCTTCTCTGTTCTGACATTCCTGACAGAAAGAAGACGCAAATTGGCCTCAACTTATGCGCTGGACATACTGTTCAGACGCCTTCGAGCATCAATAAAGTTCACGGTGAAGACACCAGGGAGAAGCAGGCAGCAGAAAACGATCTGCAGCGACGCAGGGAACTTCTGACTCTAATATTCTTCCTTGCTTTCGGTCTCGTGTGAAGCTGTGCCTGATAGAGACCAGCCCCAGCACCCTCAGCCTGCTTCGACAGAAGAAATATGTGAAGCGTCAGTCTCCTCGCATCACTCCTCATCAGGAGCGCAGGGCCACAACAGGTATACCCGGCGATCTGAAGAACGGTCTTATTTCTTCGGAAGCCGAACAGGCCATTTCACAAAATGGCGCTGGGAGCTCGGCTCGTTCAGCAATATTCAGTACAGCCATGAGCGTGAGAGAATGTTTTGTGGCGATGCCAAGAACTGAGCTAATCAACGACGCGTCACACGTGTTCCGACGGTGCACAGGCAGCGGCCTTTGCAACCCACGGGAAGCGCAAGTCAGGGTGAGCAAAGTCGAAAAGAAGGGGCATTTGGCAGTGTAAAGGGTGGCGTGGAAGAGCGAATCGAGCCAGGCCGCGCTTCTTCTATGTTAAAAATCGAAAATAGCCGCCCGTCATAGGGGGGGCAGTGTCAACCAACGGCTTGTGCGGAGGGCGAGGGGTGGGATTCGCCCAGTGGAGATTCAATTTCTAAAAATGACCAGTTTTTGGCACTTTGGCCCTTGTTGTCCGGGTCCACCTATAACCTTTATTTCTCATCCGTATTACGTCGTTGTTCTCTTCACCTGCCATCACAACAAAGGTATTCGATTCTCTCAACGTTCTCCTCTCCCCATCAGCTCGCGACCTTCGATACCGATCGAGCCTCGAGAGATCCTCTGATTCTCTTGCGCATCTCACTTGGACAGTCCCACTCGGAAGACAGACGCTGTAAAGAGTGAAGAGCGAGGAACACGTGGACCAGGACCCCATCAACGACAACATGTCTTCCCTTGAGGGAGTAAAGGCTCCCGACAATGGCGACAAGCCTAACCGTCGGCCGTCGAAGCGGACCACACTGGATCTTGAGGAGGGAGGTCTCGCGCACCCCGGCTCAGACAGCACTAGCGGCGGCGGCGAGGCAGCATCATCAAATCCGGCTTCAGACGAGAAGAGTGCCGAAGGGTCGAGCAGCAGGGCAAAGACAACGATTAGTCTGGGCAGGAACGAGAGCGAGCAGAGGATGGGACTAGGTGGTCCTGCCATGGGACCGCCGAGAAGGTCGACCATGAACAGCATAGGCCAGCGGGCACTGGGGAGGTGAGCCTGTTTGATGTTACGGACAAGGAATCACAAGCGACTGACGCAGGTGCCGCGCAGATCGTTCACCAGCCTCTTCGTGCCCGAGCATCGTCTCAAGCCTGCACCCTCAGTCAAGCAGAGCCTGTTGAACATTGTCAAGTACAACTTCCTCAATGTCGTGAGTCTCTCACTCCAGATAAACAAGCGTAACGGAGCAATCACGTTCTGACTTACTTCCCAAAAACCCCTCCTCAGCTTGTGCTCCTCATACCCGTCTCATGGGCGCTTCACTTTGCGACACCTGACAACGATCTGGCAATCTTCTTGACGTCGTTCCTTGCCATCATGCCCTTGGCTGCACTTCTTTCGTACGGGACAGAAGAAAGTGAGTTTCTGCTTCCTTCTGCTTCAGTCTTTCCTTATGATATGCCCAATGCTGATCACCCGCATACAGTCTCGTTCCGAGTTGGTCAGACGTTGGGTGGACTGCTCAATGCAACTCTGGGCAACGCTGTTGAGCTCATCGTAGCCATCATTGCCCTGCTCCAGTGCCAGCTTATCATCACGCAGACGTCGCTGGTTGGCTCCGTCCTCTCGAATTTGCTCCTGGTTCTTGGCATGTGCTTCTTCGTCGGCGGTCTTCGCTACAAGGAGCAAGAGTTCAAGCAGACCGCCGCCCAGCTCAACACGAGCATGCTTACAATGGCCGTCATCAGCGCCTTGATCCCCGCCGGGTTCCACGCAACGCTGGGCAGCGTTGTTCCCGATCCTGAGGAGCGCTCCGATCTCCTCAAGCTCTCACGAGGAGGCTCAATAATACTCATTGTCATGTACGCCGGCTACCTTTACTTCCAGCTCAGGTCCCACACCCACCTCTACGCCGACGACGAAGACGCAGAGGAGGAGCCTACGCTCGAAATTTGGACTGCTGGCGCTCTCCTCGTCGTCTCCACTGTCCTCGTCGGTGTCACTTCCGAGTGGCTCGTCGACTCCCTCGACGGCTTCTCAAGTCGTTATGGCGTACCAAAGAGCTTCATCGGTCTAGTCCTTCTTCCCATCGTGTCCAATGCCGCCGAGCATGTCACAGCCGTTGTGGCCGCGAGAAGGAACGCCGTGGACCTTGCCATGGGCGTTGCGGTGGGATCGTCGATCCAGATTGCCATCTTTGTCCTCCCGCTCCTCGTCGTCATTGGCTGGATTGCCGACAAGCCACTGAGTCTCCTCTTCGACCCCTTTGTCGCCATCCTCCTCTTCCTCGCCGTCCTCATCGTCTCCTACAGTATCGCAGACGGCCGCTCAAACTGGATGGAGGGATGGATTCTCATGAATGTCTTCGTCCTCATGGCCTTTGCCTCGTGGTACATTCCCGACTATACCGGCCTGTTTCCTGACGAGTACTGCAAGGACCGAAACTACTTCAACACGCACCCAGACGCGACGAATCTTGGCTCATCATAAAGGACCGCCCAGCGGCCTGCGTGTCGGTACGACACACCCGTTGCCTCGTCGATTCCACTCCTTTTCGCCTTTGCTCTCGTTCTCACTCTATCCATAAGGCATCGTTCTTCACTTTGGTTCTTGTTCTTCTCTCATCTTTCACACATTATCACCACAGTCATAATACTAGTAGCAGCAGTACGCGCTCTCTCATTCACACAGATCAATGCCATCGCGGTCTTTTCGCGTAATCGAATCAAACCCAGACCCTTCTATGACAATCTTGCTTTGCGGCCGGGTAGATTGACGCTGTGAATGCGCGAGCATTCATGCACGGCCGTCATTGACAACCCCTAGTGTCACGACTACCTTCCTCTCTAGCCTGACTACAGTCAATGCTGAAATGGTGTTGTATATTTTGAAGAGAGAGAAGCACGATGAAACAGAGGGGATACAGAGGCAACACAGAGCGGCTCTCAGGAGACGGTGACGGGTGCAAATGACGAAGTGCTTCCGGCCGGCGGGGGCACGATGCTGCCACCCTGGACGGGCGGCGGCTGCGCTGCCTCTTCTGCCGATGGCTCCTCGCCGGCCGCTTCAAAGGCAGACGCCGCTGCGGACCCGTTCGTTTCTTGCGCGCTCGGCTCAGAGTCCCTGTTGATCATTATCACAATCGTCCTTGTCGTCAGCGCTCACACATCCTTCTTTCTGTGACCACCACGGCCGCCTGTTGGGGCGACTTACCATTTGATGTTGAATCTCGTGACGCGTGGCTTGCTTACAAGCACCTCTCTTCTGACCCTGCTCAGATCGACCTGTTCCGGCGGGTTTTCTCGCAGCTCCTCACTGTCGTAGGCATTGTGTACGTAGTAGCCAACCCGGATGAATTCGGCGTCGCGGTACGAGGCTGTGAGTAGGATGACGGTGACGCCGAGCAGGTCAGAAGCAGGAATCTTGTCGGGCGAAGGCGCGGCAGCCTCAAACTCGAAGCTGTTGACGCCTACGGGCACGGGTCCGACCATGCAGTTGTCCAGCTCCTGGTCGTAGGCCTCTGACTCGGCGCTGCCGACGTAGATCAACTTCCACTCAATGTCGTCCTTGAGCGACGAGATGCACTCAAAGGTGATTTTGAAGATGTATGGATCTGCTCTCCGTCGCGGTCAGCATGCTGGCTCTCTTGACTGCTATGTGTCGTGTGTTGGGGAAGGAGAAAGGAGTTGGGGCCAACTGACACTCACCGGCAAAGGGAGCATTGTCGTTGAGAATCTCAACGTTTTGGAGGTGCACGACGGACATGGCGTGTGGACGCTGCTTGCTGGCTTTGCTGAGAGATGATGATAAGGAAGTGGTTAGAAGGACCGAGTCGCAGTCACTCGCTTGAGAGACAAAGAGGGTGAATGCTCGCGCAAAGAGGGCGTTGATGGACGGACGTAAAGAGACAGAGAGTGGACAAGCGCCGGCTGGAGCGAACGAGCGAGCGTGTTACTTTTTTTCAATTGGCGCGCCGCGTCGAACGCGTGGCTTTTTTTTGCTAGAGAGGAAAGAAAGCTCAACCAGAAACGAGCAAGAAGATTTCGGCGCAAAGAGGCGAGAACGCAAGCAGTCGGGAACGGGATGAAGGTCGTAGGGCTCTTGTCGGGGGGCAAGGATAGCTGCTACAACCTCTGCCAATGCGTGAGACAGGGGCACGAGATTGTTGCTTTGGCAACATTGGCACCGCCTGAGGGAAAAGGTGTGTCGGCTGAGCAGAGAAGAATCCGTGAAGTGGGAGACAAGAGATGCTGAGAGACGGCTTGTGTGAACTGTGGGGCAGATGAGCTCGACTCGTACATGTACCAGACGGTCGGGCACGATGCGATTCATCTCATTGCGCAGGCGATGGACCTGCCGCTGTATCGAACGACAATCTCAGGGACAGCACTGAACCAGACATCGTCGTACGGCTCGCGCCTTGGGCTGGGACAACAGGCGGGCCCTTCGTCTGCCTCAAGACGAGACGAGACAGAAGACCTGTACGAGCTGCTCCGGCTCGTCAAGGCGAAGCATCCAGAAGTCGATGCTGTCAGTGTCGGCGCCATCCTGTCCAACTACCAGCGCGTGCGCGTCGAGCACGTCGCAATGCGGCCAGACATTGCGATGCAGCCCCTCGCCTTTCTCTGGCTGCGCAATCAGGCGGAGCTGCTCGGGGAGATGTGCAGCGCAGATGTCGAAGCAATACTCATCAAAGTGGCAGGGATCGGTCTCGAGAGCGAAGATCTGGGGAGAAGCCTAAAGCAGATGAGGCGCAAACTGATGAAGCTTGTGAGCAATTATCGCTACTTTTAACGATCTGCACGCTGACTGGTGCAACGAGCCTCCCGACAGAACGCAATGTATGGCGCCCACGTTTGTGGCGAAGGCGGCGAGTATGAAACGTTCACGCTCGACTGCCCTCTCTTCAAGAAGCGGATTGTCATCGACCAATCGACATCGGTCCTGCACTCTGATTCGTCCTTTGCCAGCGTTTCGTATCTCCGCATCGACAGAGCTCACCTCGAGGAAAAGAATCACCCCCCGGCACTGTCAAAGGCTATCACGGTGCCTCCTCTCCTTGATTCGGTGGGTATCAAATCTCTTGACGCGGCCAAAAAAGCTTCGCCGGGCTCTCCACAGCAATTCGCTCTTGAGCGTCGTACTGCTCCCCGGCTCAGCACTGCCTCTCAGGCAACGACTTGCCGAAAAGGCTGCTGGCTCGCCATCGCTGGACTCTCGTCTCCTGCTCCGACACCAGCTGAAGAATTCCGAAATGCATTCGACAAGCTTCTCTCTGTTCTACAGGCCGAGGGCCTCTCCTCAGCTCACCTGGCCCATATCAACGTCTACCTCTCGAACCAGTCCTACTTTGCGCAAATGAACAAGGTCTACTCCACCCTGTTTGGCGCAGATCCGCCTTCGCGAGCTTGTATTGCGTTAGGTCATGAGGAGCCTAGGATCGTCCTGGAGGCGCTGGCCATGGATGATGGGATCCGGTATGACGAACTCGCTTCGTCTTCGAATACTCAAGCGGCTGTCAGACCGAGGCGGGCCCTCCATGTCCAGTCAAGGAGCTACTGGGCCGCTGCTAACATCGGACCATACTCCCAGGCCGTCAATGTGAGTCCCACTCTCTTCATTCTCTCACCCCTTGCAACTGCTGACGATCTCGCTCTATGATCCACCTAAATTATTCCATACAGGCCTTCTCGAGGATAACGATTGCAGGCCAGATTGGCCTCGTGCCCGCGGCCCTGTCCCTGCCGCCGCCGTCGGAGGAAGACGCAGAGATGGCGCAAATCGCACTGTCGCTTCAGCATGCGCGACGCATCTTCAAGGCCGTCCTCGAGGATCACCGTGTGGAGAAGAGGTACGGGTGGATCGAGGGGTGTATCTGCTGGGTGGAAGAGGGCAGCGAGGAGAGAGAGACAGCAAAGAGGTTGAACGCCTGTCGGAGCGCCTGGGACGGACAGGGGGCAATCAGCGAGGAGGATGACGAGCAAGGTTCAGAGACGTGGGATGAGGGCTGGCTGCAAGGAAGCGAGCAGAAGAGCATCCCTGTCGTTTATGCTGTGCTGCCGAGATCGGCGTTGCCGCGCGGGGCCATCGTCGAGTGGCAGCTCGTCGCACACGACGGCAGGCGCGTCGCTCCTTTAATTCACGCCGACGAAGATGACGACGACGACGACGACGAGGGAGAGGCGGGCGTGCCTGTTCGATCGACATTCCAGGTAGATCTACCTGCTGCCGACGGCGCGAAGTGGAGAGGGGAGGGTATGAGAACATCGTCGAAGAAGGGTGCGTCGTCGTTTGGTATCGCAGCACTGTCGCGCGACCCGCGCAGCGACGATCTCGAACCGCTATCGTCCATCATTGATGAGCTTAAGGAGGCGCTTTGGATCCGTGTCTTGTTTAATGGAGACCTGGACGAGGCTCTACAATGTGAGTCCGCACATTCCCCATTTCTCTCCTCGAGCTCTGCAACTCACACCTTGCCGGCCAGTGACGGACGTATTGCGGGGATCCACGGACGCCTCCATTCAGCTAGTCCCCACCTCGGACCTCTTCGACAGCCGAGGAGCACGCTGCGAAGTTGCACTCGTCTGGCAAGCCTACCACTGTTGAGTCCTCACGCAATCGTCAGTGCAAATAGTGTGTGGATGGAGTGCATGAAACCGATGCATGGGATTGTATGCGTCAAAACCGTGGTAATGTACTGTAGTAGTAATGATAGAGGCTAGAGGAAGTACTGTGATGTTGTCAATCGAGACGGCGTTGTCCGTTCTTGATCCGGTACTGTGGGATAAGCGACGTCAGGCCTGCCTTAATCTTTCGCCGCTCAATTCTGGAAGATCAGACTCACCGGCTTCGAAGATTTTGAAGTGTTCTGGCCCATACTTGGTCGGCGGCTCCTCCGGATACCCGCCATTGCCACCCTTTATCGCCCTCTGGCTCTCTACGTCGTCGTCGTCTTCGTCATTACCTGCAACTCCATTTTGCTGCCCTTGCCCTTGCGTGCCATCAAGGCTCAAGAGGTCGTCGACAGTGAAGATCGAAGCAACGTTGCCGCACCGATAGCAATAATTTGGAGCAGACCAGACTGTGACGATGGCGTTGTCGTGCATGAGCTTGTACCCCTCCTGAACAAGCTGATGCGCCCGTGCGATAAGTTCGAGATTGTTTACATGATTAAACTGGAAGACGTACGGGTCAGCAAAGAGGCTGAAGAAGTTGACGGAATCAGCGAAAAAACAGACCTCGCTCGTCACTGTCTTCCCAAACAGCCAGCCAGCGCCCCTCGGACTGACACTCCAGGTGTCGATGTCGTCTGGATCTGACCACATGAGGTCTGTTCGGGTCACAAGAGGGAGTCAGCACCCTTCCCACCATCTTTACTTGACCATGGCAACTTACCACAGAATGCACCCTCATGCGGAACTTCTTGGGCCCTCGCAATGATGCGGACCTGATCCAATGTCCGCACGTCCGGGCTCAAGCCTCCATGGACGCACAGAACCCTCCCATCGATGATCTGCAAACACCTCGCATATCAGTAGGCCGGTCGCAAGGAATTCAGCTGTGAGATATCGACTCACAGCAGCCAAATTGAGGTAGTCGAAAACCTGACAGCAGCTCTTCCAGACATTTGCATTCCCGTACTTGTGCTGGCACTCGTCGTAGAAGCCGTATACCTGGGTAATCTGCCGCGATTCGTGGTTGCCTCTGAGCAGGGTGATGCGGTCCGGCCACCTAGGTCTGCGCTTTAGCGTAACTGTGCAAACAGGCTCTAAAAAGACACATACCGGGCTTTGAGGGCCATGAGAAGCGAGAAGGTCTCTAGGCTGAAGTAGCCCCGATCGACGAAGTCGCCCTACATGCACACAGTCTTCATTAGCGCGCGACGAAGACAGAGTCAAGGTGCTTCTGGGGAACTCACCATGAAAACATAGCCCGTCTCTGGCGGCTCTCCTCCTACTCTAAAAAGCTCGAGCAGATCCCAGAACTGGCCATGAATGTCGCCACACACCGTCACAGGGCTTGCGACGGGCTGGATGTTGGACTCTTCGAGGAGGAGCGACTTGACAATGTCACAGAGTGACTTGATGTCTTGCTCCGGCAGGTACTTGCATTGTCGTAGCGTTGCTATCGCTTGGTCCAAATCCAACACCATGTCTCTCGTCACCGCCTGTCCTCTAGGCCGCCGTTTCGATCGGGTGTCGAGATTGCGAGGATGATGCGCGTCCCTGTCTTTGATGTGTGTCTGTCGCTTTGGCCGGAAAATTTGGACTTAGCCGTCTGCGCCGCCCTCTCTGTCCCAGCTCGGCCGACCCCTTTGAGCCCCCCCGTCTCCAGATAAATCAAAATTCAAAGCCAGTAGAGACGCGCGCGCGCGCCGACATTGCTCTTTTTCCCAGGCCACTTTACATCAGAGGACCGAGGAGGGAGACGAGGCCGCACGCACGACGCCCAGCGTGGTCACATTACACGAGAGAGAGTGAGATGGTGGCGATTGTACATGCCGAGGAGGATCTTGACGGGGCTTCACAAAAGCGGACCTCTGCTACGCCACACTCCCTCTTGTCGCTTTCGCCTTCGCCCTCGGCGTCGTCGTCTTCAGCGGTGAGAACAGCTGCAGCAGCGGCAGCAGCAGCCGGTCCTACTCCGAGCCCTTCGAATATGAACGACTTGTTGCCGTCCTCGGACGATGAGCAGACAGGGGACGTGCCAGAAGCTGGACCGTCGAGGTCGCCCTCGCCCTCGCCTGCGCGTCCGCCATCTGCGTCTAGGAGGAAGTCGTCGCCTGCCAAGAGGGCCAAGGGCCCGACACAGCTTGCAACGCATCTGCCGATTGCTACCGGCGAGGCTCTGGAGACGTTTGAGAGCCTCAAGGTCAACTCGCACCAGAACAACAAAGTTGGCAAGAGCAAAGGGCGGGAACGAGATGTCATGGTCTGCGAGTGCCAGTACCGCCATGGTGAGTAAAGGGAGAAGCTTTGGCTTGGGAAGAAGAATGCTGACGGGAACGACGAAAAGGCATCGATGACCTCTCGAGTGCCTGCTCCGATGATGGGACCTGCATAAATCGGCTCACACAAATCGAGTGCATGGCCTCGGAATGCAATTGCGGCCACTACTGTCAAAATAGGAGGTTGGTCTCTTGCATTTAAGTAAGGATCTTGTGACATTGGTTTGCTGACTGCAGCGCGCCGCCATAGGTTTCAAAAGGCACAATATGCTCCCCTCGAAGTGGTGGCGACCGAGAAGAAGGGATTCGGGTTGCGAGCGTCGAAGGCATTACCAGCGTAAGTCTGTTCATTAGCTCAGGCCGGGACTAGGGCGAGCTGACGGGGAGGCATATGGCAGAGACACGTTCGTGTATGAGTACCTGGGTGAGGTCGTCGAGGAAAAAGAAATGAACCGGCGGATGCAGCAGTACAAAGACGAGGGGATACGACACTTCTACTTTATGATGCTGCAACGAGAGGAGGTGAGTCGGGATGATCTGGCTTTCCTTCACAATTCGTTGGCTGACTCGTCCTCGCGGTACGGCAGTACATTGATGCGACAAAAAGAGGCGGTCTCGGTCGCTTCATCAACCACAGCTGCAACCCGAATTGCCAGGTAGCCAAGTGGACAGTCGGCAAGTATATGCGGATGGGTATCTTTACCAAGCGCGACGTCGAAGAGGGAGAGGAGCTCAGCTTCAACTACAATGTCGACCGGTACGGCAACGAGGCGCAGCCATGCTACTGCGGCGAGCCCAACTGCATTGGTGTTCTTGGCGGCAAGACGCAGACCGACATCGGCGGTATGGATCAGCTCTTCATCGAGGCGCTTGGCATCTCAGACGAGGTGGATCGTTTGGAAGCCAGGGGATCGCGGCGTAAGAAGAGCAGACATCTCGACGAGGACTATAACCCTACTCTGAGACCGATTGAGGATGAGGAAGTTGGAAAGGTGGTTACAGCGATGCGTCAAGCGACCTCATTGCGGCACATCCTCCAGAAGCTCCTCAGCCGTGTCCACATGACGCAGGACGTCGAGGTACAGCGACGACTGGTACGGCTCCACGGCTTTGTGCTGATGGCTGCGCTCATTGACGAATGGATCGACGATCGAGAGATAGTCTTGCTGGCCCTGGGCAGCCTTGCCAGGTGGCCGCTGATTGCTAGGAACAAGGTCGTGGACTCGGGCGTCGATCAATTGGTGACAAAGTTGGCCGAAAATGGCGAAGACGAAGAGCTGAGCAACCTAGCCAAGGATCTGCTCAGTGCTTGGGAAGCACTAGAGATGCAGTACCGAATCGCTCGCAAGGATGACCAGCAACATCAACAACACCAGGAGGGCCAGAACAACGGCCACCAGTCTTCTTCCTGGCTCGAACCGAGACGCTATGGGGACGATGAGGGCGATGAGAGTAACAGCGGTGCAGCGGCCGTGACACTCGAGACGGCAAAGGCGCCCAACTGGATCTCGGGCAAGCTGCAGAGTGTGGTGCCACGGCCGCTTTTCGCTGCATCCGACTCGCCCTCGACTCCTCAGACGCCTGATGGACATTCTCGACATCTTCATCACAATTATCCACCACACCAACATTCTCATCCGCATCCTCATCACCATTCGTCGTCGACCAAGGTCCATTGGCAAACTTCCTTGACAAAGGCATCGCCCGCGCTCTCCGTCGCTGCTGTTGCGCCTGCAAAGAAAAAGGTCGACATCGAAGAGATCATTCGACAGGCTAACGAATCGCAGGCGGAGCAGCGGCGCCTTGCCGAACAGAAGGCTCGAGAAGCGGCAGAGGAAGAGGCCGAACGGAGAAAGAAGGAGAAGGCTATCTCTATCTCGGCAGTCACAAGCCGAAAAAGCAGCAGCAATCCAAAGAGCAGCAGCAACGGCAATAGTCATCATCACAAGAGTGGCAGCAGCAGTAGTGGTAAACGGCAGCATTCGCAGACGCGTCCGCGTTCATCAGAGGGCGTCGAGGGACCGCAAAAGAAGAAGAAGGCCAGCGACCAAGACACCTCGTCTTCTTCACCGACGGTCGAGAAGAGGTTGAGGAAGCTCATGGGCGAGATCGTCGTCAAGGTCATGTCGCGCTATTCTGCGGAGCTCGACCGGGACGTTTTCAAGAAGCACGCGAGAGAGCTGACAAACCTTGTGTGCGAGAAGGAGCTCCGAGCGAGAGCCGCTTCCTCCTCAGCCTCTGTCCTGGACGACGAAACTCTTTTCAAGGAAGGCCTGCCAAACGAGAAAAAGTACAAGGTCAAGGTGTTCGCGGATGACTACGCCAAGAAGCTCGTGCAGAGAAAGGGAAGGCACGCGTCTGCTTCTGGATCTTCTTCGATGCAGGCAGACGACTCTGTTGCTGCTGCCCAGGCACATTCTTCTACTTCTTCCCCCTCGTCAGCTTCGTTGGCTGCTACAGCGAGCACGACGGCAACGACGGCCTCTACCTCCGCCACTTCGAAGGAGTCGAATGGGATGCGCGTTGTCGAAATGGCTAGCAGCGACATGGACCTTGCGAGTTCCGGTACTACTGAACAATAGCTTGGTGTTTTCACGTCTCATTCTCTTCCTCCCTTTTCACGGAAACCTCCCTCCACCCCCCAGCTCACCATCGCACTAGATTAATTGTTGTTCGCCGTCGTCATTGTCAATCACCAGTGTACTCTCCAATCATTGTCCCCTCTCTGTCGCCGACTGTGCAATTGTCGCTTTCCTAGATCATCTTTCCATATGAGACGTTGCTGAAGAATGGCTATTCATTGTACTGTTACAAGGATGTGAAGGCAAGGGAGAGGTGTTCTACCGAGGAGCAGCAGCAAAGGAGTGGGTCCTCTCGAGCTCCTCGACGCCCTGCTTGACGGTCCTGATTTTGTCGATGAGCACCTCGATGGCCGACGGAAGCAGCTCTTCTGGCGGGATGATGCCTGTCGATTCAATGTCGACTGTCACCAGCACCGTCGTCAGCATAGGTGTCTCAACCTCTCGAGCAAATGCATGCTTGGGATGCCACTCACACATGAAGTGATCCCGAACGCGGCCCAGCTTGACGCAGTCCTCAAACTCTGGATGCCGGAGCACCTCGCGGCTGACTGTGTCCTTGCGAGCGTCTTTGACATAGATCTCTTCCCGTCCCGTCTCTTTCTGCCTTCGAACACCAATGACGCCCTGTGGGAAGCACCTGACGAATTTGCCAACGTTTTCCTCACCGCCGTCGACGATCTTGTCGGAGTCGAGGATGTCAATGTGGGGCAGGAGCCGGTATGATGCAGTGGACACGGGCGAGAACTTTGTGTGGTCCTTGCCGACGCCCTTTACGCAATGTAGCTCCATGAAGACCTTTTGGCCGGGGCGGAGCTTTGCGAGGAGAATGTCCTGGTGGACCGGGCGGGGCGGGTCGTCTTTCCAGTCGACAGATTGGTCGCCCTTGGGGTCCCATTCGAGGTCACCGGAGAGGACTAAGGGGAAGGTGTTTTCAGCTGAGTATGGGGGAGGATGAGTAACAGAAGAATCTCAAGACGTACCTTTGTCTCCTTTGATGTGGTTCGGATCACCCTCTTTTGTCCCTGGTGTCCGCTCGCAGCTGACATTGAGCGCAAAGACCATAGTATTTCTATCCGTCGGCGAATCATCTGTTCCTCACTCTCAGGATCAGTAATCAAGACTAGCCAGAAAGCGAGAGGCCTGACAAAGACTCACCGCCCTTGAAGTGCATCCTCTTTGGGTCAATCTTGAGCGGCACAAGCCCCAGTCGGTGGGCGAAGACCTCATCGACGACGATGCTCGTGTTGTTCCACACGTAGACATTTTCGATGGCCACCGTAGGCACCTCGGCAAGAAGCACTCGCCGGATGGCATTGGCCACGCTCGCGTCCACGCCCACGAGGTCCAGCTCGATGCGGTCCGATGAGAGCCGGGTAACTTTTGTCTGGAGGTGAGCCTGAAGCGCCTCCAAGGACCATTGCTGCGACGAAGACGTTGCGCCCGATGCGCCAGAGTTGAAGGGAAAGTCTGTCGAGGTCGTCTTGGAGACCCACTCCCGGTTGATGCCGACCAGCCTGCTGTCCTCGACCATCTCGATGGACTGACGACCAAGAAGAAAGCGTAGTGGCCGGAATCCAGCTTCTGAACCAAAAAATCAAAAACAAAAAAAAAATAAAAATCACAAGGTGGAAGAACTTGCCATGTGGCTCCGTTCCACTTCCGATTCGACTCTTGAACCTCTTGGCCGAAATTTAAGATTGTGCGCTGCGTTGCGCTTTTGCCTGCTCCTTGTCCACAGCCTCGGACCCATCGAGGCTTTAACGACGATGACGACAACGACGACGATCGTCAGGCGACACGATACAAAGGGGAAGGGGAGGATGATGTGTACAGCCTCTGAGGAGTCGCACGGTACTGGCGATTGCGCGGACAACAGCGAGGATAGAGAAGGGAGAGGGCAAGGGACGGGACAAATCCTGACTCTGGGGGGGATCATCGACGACGAGCGAGCAAAGGAACGTGCAGTCGGCCACAGAAAAGAAAGGCGACGGCGAGGTCTGTCAAGCAACCCTTTTCTCCCTGTGACGAGGCGGCTCTTCCTTGTTGCTATCCTGCTTCTCATATCTCTTTCTCCCGGGGTCCATGCGCAGGACGAACTAAGCTCAGCTGGCGACACGCAGCAGCTGACATCGGCGACATTGACGACAGCGAATCCGAGCAGTGCGGTGACGATTTCCAGTCCGTGGCGAACAGTCACAATTGATCAGGCGGAAGCGAATGGGACTGTCAACATTCCTAATGGCAACCTGCTCCCAGATGGCGTCCCTGTCGTCACGCAGCTTGACGTCGCTGCACAAGAACCGATTATCTTCCATATTCAACCGTCTTATGTAGTACCTTCAAATCCCTTGTGGATAAGTGCGACACTTTGCTCAGGTCCCTCCGTCGCCCCCCTCGTGGTGGCCGACAATCGCACCCAAAGTATCACCAGTCTCGACCGGCCCACTCTACCACGAATGTACGTGTCGACCGACGAGAATAATCAAAAACCTGGTCCCGACTCCCTGCCCAACCGCGGCGATGGTTTCGGCAACGTCCAATACTTTGTTGGAGGCCACGCTCAACTGACGCTCGCGACTGAGGGAGATGCGGACGACAGGGTCGCCAACGGCGCCTGGATCAGCATCTATCCCCCTGAGACGGTTCCAGACGCCAGCGGAACATGGAACATCACCATCATAGTCAGCACAAGTCTTCCTCCCGCCAATGTCTCATCGTCGGCAGGTCTGACATTCTCCGACAGCGACACGACTCGAGCGCTTCTGACGACCAGCTTTAGCTTCCAGGCCGACAGCACACCTCCCAATGCCACTGTCTACGTCCTACCTACCGATGGCGAGCACTCGCTTCCGATGAGCGAGTCTTACAACTCGTCCTTTTGCGCCCTCGAGTCTGCCTTCCAAGCCTTCAACTCCACGCCAAATCCTGGGGCACCGGCCATCAATGCGACCATAACTTCGCGGGGAAGCACCCAGCTCGACGCTGGCGACGAGCGAAGACTGCAATACGAGCTGACTGGGCTACAGCCGTCGACAAATTACACAGCCTGGCTTATCGAGCACACAGAGACAGACATCACATCGCCGAACAGTACGACATCAACTAGCTTCATGGCTACCACGGTGTGGCCCGCCATCAAGTTCACGACCAAAAACAATGAAAATTGCCGGCTGGTGTACGACGTATCCTTTTGCCCGCAGGTGGCCTACAGCATCCCCGTGGGTCCGACTGTCTCGACGGATCGAGCACTGTCCGTCATCAACGAAACCTTTGCGCCAAACTTTCTCAACTTCTCGCGGACGGTGGACACGTTCCCTTGCGGCTCGATGGAACAGGGCAACTATAGCCCGGTGAAGACGTGCGACGACTGCAAGAGGGCCTATCAGGACTGGCTCTGCTCCGTGACAATGCCGCGCTGCACTGACACTCTCGGCTCGACATCGAGTGAGCAGTCTGTCACAAACACATCGAGTCTGACGGCAGCCTACACAAACGTATACAACCTGACGGGCAAGGAGACAGCCCTCAACACCGAGCTGCTGCCCTACATTGTCGATCGCGGTGGAAGCCACGGCAGCAAATCTCGACGGTCGTACATTGAGAACGAGCTCGAGGTGACGAGTGCTTACGGCGAGGTGCTGCCCTGCATCTATACGTGCTTCTTTGTGAGCCGCTCTTGTCCCAGCCCTTTGGTCCAATGGGCCTGTCCCATCTGGGACGTGTCGGCCCAGATCGACTATGGCACCTTTGCCGATTCTGGCCAGCTGGGCCTGGGTGCGGGCGAGAATGGAGGGGCAGGGACGCTGGACGGGCAGCGATTTGGCGGACCGAGCCGGTACGTCGCCCAAGACGGGTTCGGCAAGACGTACTGCAACTCCCTTGGCGTCGATCTGCGGCTGCGGGAGGAGAACGGAGCAGGGCGGCTGGCGAGAACGGCTTCGAGCATGGCGGTGGCGGGTGTCATGGGTGCTGCGCTGTTCTTCATTTGATTCTTTTTTTCCTTCTTGTCCAATCCTCATCATCAGATCAACTCATATAGAGGTTCTCATACAATTTGCATACTCGCTCTTCTCCTCATCGAAGCCATCGGATCAGACAGACTGGGACCTGTTGCTGCAGAGACCTTTGATTGCTGAAAAGAGTGGCTCGCAGTCCCGTGTCGGAACCGCACAAATGAGATTGTGAGGAACAAAAGTAAGAGGTGTGAGAGAGAGAGAATGCGTGCGACCTTGAAGAAGAGAGGAAAAGACCAGGATGTGAAAAATGAAACGCAAGTGTTCAATGCAGGGCAGAATGTCGCTTTTCGCTCTCGCTCTCTATGGAGAGCAGTGAAGAGGGGAAAGAGAGGAGAAGAGATAGAGGGAGCAATGGAAAGGGAAAGAGAAGGATAGGTAGGGGGGTATATCAGCCCTTTGTTGACGAAGCGGCCCTCCGGTGCTTTGCGCTCGTGCCACTGGCCGCATTGCCGCCAACAGCCGTCGAGCCGAGGCCTCCAAAGCCCTCTCGAACGACGACAAAGAGGCAAGTGACGCTGATGATGTCTTTGATCTCCTCGCGCGTCAGACCGGCCCCATCGGCACCCAGGCTGCTCGCGCTGAGGTCCGGCAGCGGAAATGGAATCGCGAGCTGGCCGACGAGCTTGGGGTGGTGTGGCGCTGGAGACAGGCTGCCAATAGGAATGCGCGTCGTCGGGCCCAGGACCAAGTGGCACGTCCAGGGTGTCTCGGAGTCTTCAGGGTCCGACTCGGGATCGTCGTCATCGTCGCCGCTGTTGCCATCGTTGGAGATGCTGATCCGAGGCGGGTTGGAACCTGCGTCGGTCGACTGTCGGGGAGAAGACGTGCCAACCGACGGGGGCCTCGAGCCAGTCTTCTTTGGAGGACGAAGGTTGGACGACGAGTCCGCCGCGGCAGACGAGCTGCGCTGCGAGAGGACGCTGCCCCTGCGAAAGACCGAAACGTCAGAGCTGCCCCTCCTGTCGCCCTTGACGCTGTCCGTGGCAGAACGCGCGTGGGCGGCGACACTCCTCCGCCTGCTCGAGGCCCGTCTCGTGGCCGACGGATCCCTGGTCCACTCGATCCGGACGGGGATATCAGTGGGGGGTGGGTGGATCTCGTTGCCGCCCATGCGATTCACGATGTTGAACCTCTTCCAGACACTGCTCAGGATTGCGTTGCTCCCTGCCTCGCTCCTACGCCTCATGCTAGCTTCCGGATTTTCATCTTCGTCGAACTCAGCCTTGCGCGTCCACTTGCGCACCGTCCAATAGTAGCCTTCTGTCCGCTTCGAAGAATCACCCTTGAGTCCACCACCGACAACGAGCTGAGGGATATCGAGGCCCAGCGTATGGGTAAAGGTGTTGGTAAGGCCGCTGATGGAATCCCGCGTGCTTGTTGCTGTTTCCCTGTCGGTACCCGACGTCACAGAGGGAGCCAGGCTCTCCTTTGCACTGGAGACGCCTCGTACTCCGCTGCCAACAGACAATCGGCCAAAGAGAGACTGGCCGTCGTTGGCCGACGAAGGCTTGGCGAATACGCCACCACTCACATCAGGCCGCGCCTGGGCGCTGAAGCGTTTAAACTTGCTGAGAAGCTTGCCACCAACAGTCTCCGGCGGGCTTTTTGCCTCGGGCGTCATTGCTTCAAAGGAGGTGGGCGGTTCTTCCGACGTGGGTGGGCTCGTCTGCTCATCTTCAGACCGCCTCGACAGCATGTGGGAATCGACGCTGCCATCGCCCGGGGACCCAACGCCGCTCCCGCTCCCGCTGTTGGCCACCGACGTCGCTGTTACCGGCCCTGACCTCGATCCCCGTCGACCAGTCTTGTCGAGCGTGGCCAGGTCGTTGACTCCATAAATGAGCTCGTGGGGCTCGAGGTGTCCGAACCCGTCGATCTCAACGCCCTTTCGTCCAAACTTGGCCACCTTGTCGTCTGTCCCCGCGTCCGTGACAGTGGTGGGGAGGATGCTGTGGAAGCAGAGGTTGTAGAGCGGTGTCACTTTGCGCGACGAGGAGACACCACTGCTGGACGTGGAGTAGGTCGAGAAGCCGCCGCTGCTCGTCTCGGAGCTCATCGAGTTGCTCCGGCGAAGGCCGCCCCTGAGCGACGTCGAGGAGGAGGTGGATGCCGTCATGGACACTTCGTCCCTCGATGACTCGCCAGACGTGCGAGGCTGCCCCGCGGGCTCTCTGGAAGAAGGTGGTAAGGGAATGACGAGCTGGATCTGCAGGTTCAAAGGGTTCGACTGCTTGCTGGGTGGGGGCCGCACGATGACGAGAAGCTCGGGCGGGGCGACTTTTTTCGCCTTGCGCCTTTGCCCGCTGTCGTATGCTCCACCACGCTGTACCTGCTGCGGCTGCTGCTGCTGCCAGTCTGCCTCGCTTCCTGATCGCGCGCCGCCGTGGCCAAAGTCGCTGCTTTGGTAGCCAGACGAGGTGACGCTCAACCGGCCAATCGAGTCGCTCGCATAGGTCGGTGCCACGTATTCGTCACCACCACCACCACCACCACCTCGAACCTCGACGCGTGGAATGACAATGTCCGGTCTCTGCGTTGCTGCTACCACCGCCTCGGCCTCGATTGTCGCATCGCTTGCATCTCGACGCGGCCCCAAGGGCAAATTGGCCTCACTGTTGTGGAGCCCAGCCAGCGGCGTTCGCTGCAGCTCGGGGGTGCCCATTGTATGCGGCCTTGGCGTGCGCATGCTCGCCTCTCGCTCGTTTGCCAGGCTCGACGCCGTGCCTAGCGTGGGCGTCTTGCCGTCCGAGTAGGACCGGCTGCTGCTTGTGCTGGCCGTCCTCGGCGCATGTTGGCCTAATCGCGGCGTGGGCTCCAGCATCCTGTGGAGACGCTCTGCGCGAATGCGTGCCGCGGTCGCTGCTGCCGAGGCGCGTGGCGGCGGGTGGTGGCCGTGTGGGGCGGACGCAGGTCGAGACGGGCCAGGCGTGGCACTGGGTGTTGGGCCGAGGCTGCTCCGGGGCGAGGCCACAAACGGTCTCTGTCGCTCGTCCGGCGGGAGCCAGCTGGCTGGCCGTGATCGAGTGGGCTTGCTGTGATAATCGACAGGCGTCGGTGCCTCGTCTTCTGAGCCCTCGTCTTCGTCGTCTTCCTCTGTGATAAAAGACCCGGGAGGTGCATAGTGTGAGCGAGAATGAACCTGACCATGGACATGGCGAAGATGGAGATGAGAAGAGGAGGGGCCAGACGCAAAGTCCGGCGCGAGCACCATGGCGGGCATCGTAAGAGGGGTAGAGCAAGGGAGAGACAGAGAAAGAGAGAGAGGGAGGAAGGAAGCTGCTACGCCGCCACGACTCGCATCGACGCAAAGTCAACACGATCCCGAGGGAATGGAACAGAGGCAGCGACAACACCAAGAGCAGCAGCAGCAGCGTCGATGGATAGGATATAAGGGAATGGCATTGGGCAGCCGCCAACGCCCGTCACATTCATTCCGTCGCAAGTGCTGGTCCGCGGCGGAAATCAAGTTCCGTTCGTAGCTGCTGACTGCGCTGGATGTGCCCTGACAGGGCGTGACAGCCTGCAGCGCAATTCGGAACACGGCTACAATTCGCCTCCAGGGAGCGGAAACTCACAGTGTCTCTGTAGAACCTCTCCTGGCATTTGCCCTCTGTTGTTCGGGACTGGTTCGGGTTGTCTGTAGGAAAACGCACCGAGGGGAGATCAAGGCGTACGACGCGGCTGGGCAATTCCAGGTCAGGTCGAACGAGGCGAATTTTAGCCGTGTAGGTTGTGTGCGTGAGTTGTGTGTGAATTATTTCCTTGCTACTACTCTAGTTTAATTTGCCGTGGCGTTTCCCTTTTTCTTGAGACCCGAGGGTTGCTCAGCAAGCTGGTCGACGAGACAAGCAGAGCGCGACGTAGAGCAGCAGGAGCTCAGTGTAGGCCGGTCCGTCAATGCAATGACGACGGTACGGTACCCCTTCTCCGAATAGAGAAGCCACAGGGCCGACTGCGATCCAGCGGGCAAGCAAGAATTGTGTATTGAAAGCTCTAAATTCAAAAGGGGGGTGCTTGCGTGGGGAGGGAAGGGGGGGAAGGAAGGGTTCAAAGGCGCGCCCGCGCGACGACTTCACTTTACTTCCTCGGCCCGGTTATGCGAACACGGCTTGGAGCCAGGCTAGATTGGGACTACCGCTCTGAAGACGGTCACCACTTTGGGCAGGGTTCTCATGCAAGTGCCACTTTGATTTGGACAGGTCATGCGACAAGATAGTAGTAGTACTGCTGCAGCATCATGATATGCTTCCTGACCTGATGCCCGACGTGCAACGCTCATGCTGAAAAGCTACGCCCTGCCTGATTGATGCCCAAGCAGCAGGTGCGCGCTTCTCCGAGTAGTGAAAAGCAGCAGTAGTAAGCTGATCTGCTCTCTCTCTCTGCGCAGCTTCGAGATCCGTCGGAAACGAGACACAGCTGCTGCAATACTGCAGCTCCTGTTCCGCGGACGGACGTCGAGTTCCGACATTCGATCCAGGGAGCTAGCTCAGCAATTTGACCTTTTTCTATCGCTGATAGCCCAGGGTTCTTCTACCCGCTCTCTTGGCGCAGAGCAGCAGCATTGCTTGTCGAGGATAGGCAAGTCAATTAATTTGTACTTCTTGACTACAACTGAAGAGACGCCCGCATACAAACTTTCATGCTGAATCGCTGTAGAGACAATTCTCTTTATTAATTGGCCCTACTGTACCAAGCCGAGGTCCAATACGCATCTTGTCATGTAGCCCTTTCCCGGTACGATTCACCCCGATCGCCGAGGAGTGCGTTCGATGACAGAAACTTTCAGAGTGACCGAACAGGATATCTCGCGTGACGAATCTCGAACCGCGTGACCGAAAGCGTCCGGGGCACCAGAACCAAGACCCGATCCGTCTCACTAGTCGCATTTCGGCTGGCTCGGGAGTTCCGCGTCTGCATTACTAAGCAAGACGGGCACCTGTGCAAGACTGGTCCTGTCACTCACGTCTTTTCAGATTTTTTCCTTTTTTTTCGGTTTCGACTCATAGCGCCGTTCCTGTGTAGATCTGTCCGTATCGTCGTCGCTCGTATAAGAGACGGAGAGACAACACCACACTAGCGTTCCCGATATCTTCAACACAGGGTGAGATCGCGAGAACTGCGACCGCAAGCGTCCCGACTCATAGAGGTTCACACATCAGAACCAACAAGCACTCCGAGACAAAACCCTTGCTCCATCCCACACACTCACAGTTACAGTGACACTCACACCCACTCCAACACCCTCCTCCCCAAAATGACGACCGACCTCGCCCTCTCGTCGAGTTCTGCGCCTCTGGCTGACGCAACAGTGAAGAAGGCCGCTGTTGCTGCTGCCGCTGCTCCTGCTGCCGCCGCTCCTGTAGCCAACGGCAACCACTTTGAGTACGTCAACGACGTCCATATCACGGGCTACGAGCCCCTCATCTCGCCCGCCCTGCTGCTCCACGACACGCCCGTGACCAATGCTTCTCGCGAGACAATTGCGCGCGCCCGCGGTGAGGCCTCGGCCGTGGTCAATGGCAAGTCGGACCGGCTGCTCGTCGTCGTGGGCCCCTGCTCGATCCACAACGTCGAGGCGGCGCTCGAGTACGGTGCGCGACTCAAGGCACTGATTGCCAAGCTGCCGAACCTCGTCGTCATCATGCGGGCCTACTTTGAGAAGCCGCGCACGACCGTCGGCTGGAAGGGCCTCATCAACGACCCCGACATTGACGGCTCGTTCCAGATCAACCGCGGGCTCAAGCTTGCGCGCAACCTCCTCGTCCAGCTCACTTCGCAGGGCATCCCCGTCGCCTGCGAGGTCCTCGACACCATCTCGCCCCAGTACACGTCGGACCTGTACTCGTGGGGTGCCATTGGTGCTCGCACCACCGAGTCGCAGCTCCACCGCGAGCTCGTCTCGGGTCTCTCGATGCCGATTGGCTTCAAGAATGGCACCGACGGGGGGCTCACCGTCGCCATTGATGCGATCCGCGCCTCGTCAAAGCCGCACGCCTTCATGGGCGTCACTGCCCAGGGTCTGGCAGCCATTGTCAAGACGACGGGCAACAGCGACCTCCACGTCGTCCACCGCGGCGGCAACGGCTCGACCAACTACGACGCGGCGAGCATCGCACACAGCCGCGCCGAGCTGACCAAGGCCATCCCCCAGCGGCACCCCAGCATCATGGTTGACTGCTCCCACGGCAACAGCCAAAAGGACTTCCGCAAGCAGGCCCTCGGCGTCGCCAGCGTCTGCGAGCAGCTCAGCGCCGGCGAGACGGCCATCACGGGCGTCATGATCGAGAGCAACCTCGTCGAGGGCAAGCAGTCGGAGCCCAAGGCTGGCTTCTCGACTGCCGCCGACCTCGTCTATGGCCAGAGCATCACCGACGGCTGCGTCTCGTGGGAGACGACCGTCGAGCTCCTGACGAAGCTCAACAACGCTGTCGCTGCTCGGCGGCACCACCACGCGTCGTCGCTCAACGGCAGCGCCTAGTCTTGTCTTTTTCTCTGCTCCACTAGCTTTTCACTTTGTATCACTTTTCTTCTCGCCTTGACAGCCTTGACACCATGGACAATTTGATCGTCGTCTCAGCACACACAAACAGACAGAGAGAGAGATAATGGCTTTGATTGCTGAGGCTTAATTGTGTGTTTGCTAGGAAGTGCCTACCAGTCCCTCAGTCTGCGCATCATGGCAAATGCTTCGCTCCTGGCCAGCTCTGACTCTCTCTGTGCTCCCGCTTCTCTATCTGGGCCTGCCCCTGCTCCTGCTCCTGCTCCTGCTCCTTCTGCTGAGCCTGCACCTGTACCCGCCTCTCCGCGCGCGAGGCGCTTGCCGTCGGCGTCGCTCAGTGCCGCACACTCTCGCCACGCCCTCAGGGCCCTGCTCAGCTGCCGCTGCTGCTGCTGCTGCTGCTGCGCGCGTCCACCTCCGCTGCCTCCGCCTCCGCCTCCGCCTCCGCCGCCGCCGCTGGTGGTAACGGAATCAGCCTCGCCGACGTTGAGGGCAGCAAGGATGTTGGCGAGGTAGTCGAGGTCGGCGCCGAGCTGGGCAGCGCCCGCGGCGCTCAGGCGCGCAATGCTCGGCAGCACGAGGTGGACGAGGTGGGCGAGGAGCGAGAGGCAGAGGCTCTGGACGTAGGCCTGGAGCACATGGCCCGCGGCACCGCCCTCGTCGTCGGCGGCCGTAGTCGCTGCGGCTCCATTCGTCGCTGCTGTCGTCGCCGCCGCCGCCGCCGTCGAGGATGTGGCTGCCGAGACGGAGCCGTCGGCTTCGAGGGGCGCGGCAGACGAGGGCGCCGTGGCAATGGCCGCGACGCTGGCGCTGTGCCGGTGCGAGTGCGCGCGCCGCTCCGTCGTCGGCGATGGCGGGCCCGCCAGCGACAGCGACTCGGTCCTGTGGTGGTTGTGCAGCGGCGATCTCGGCACCGCCTCGAACGCGTCTCCCTCTGCCTGCTTCTGCTGCTTCTCCGCCTGCGCCTCGTCCTCGTCCTCGCCGCCGCTGTCCCCATCATCAACAAAGGGCAGGGCAGCCATGGCCCAGCGGAGCGCCGCCTCGTCGGCCCAGACCTCGAGCAGACGCGGGAGGTCGAGAAGGCCCTCGCCCACGCGGCTCATCGCCTCTGTCGGGCTGAGGCTAAACGTCGGCATCGACAGCTCGTACTCGTTGACGGCGCCCGGCAGCCGGCTGGCCTCCCACGCGGGCAGCGAGGCGTAGGCCTCGAGGTGCGGCATCAGGGGCGAGAGGACCATGTCGGTGAGGTGCCGCTGGAGCGTGCGGACGTGGGCGAGGAGCGCGATGCGCGCGGCATTGAGCATTGTGCCGCGCTCTGCTTCTCCTGGTGCTGGTACTGGTGCTGGTGCTGGTGCTGATGCCGTTCGTCGAGAAGAAGACGGCGCATACAGCGGCCCTTCTTCTCGCCCCGGCTCCTGTCGCGCGACGGCCCGAACAGACTCCATGACCGCTCGCAGGCCCTCGTCGTCGGCCGCGGCGGTCTCCTGCGCACAACGAGCAGCGACGAGGATCGCAAGGGGCGCCCGTGGCACGCCGCCGTGGAGGAGACCTGCACTGCCACTCCCGCTCCCGCTCCCACCGGCCTCAGGCGCAGAAGTTGCAGTAGAGCAGAGGCGCCGCATGGCCTCCTGGCCTGCCCACGTCGACGGACCGAGGACCATCTCGGCGGCGTCGACAAGCCGGGCCGCCACGCTCCGTTCCACCTCGGCGAGTCTTCTCCAGGCATCGTACGCAGTGCCCAGCAGGCCCACGCCCTCTTCGAATGCCGTCCATTCGTCGCCTCCCGCGCCTGCTCCCGCTCCTGGCCCCGCTCCTGTTCCTGCTCCTGACCCTGCTCCCATGCCCACTCCCCCTAGTGCCGTGCCGTCGCCGAGGCCGAGCGCGTCGGCGGCCTGCTGCCTCGCCACCTGCGCCGCGCGGGCCGCCCTCGCCTCGAGCCGGGCCTTTGCGCCGTCGAACAGACCCGCAAAGAGGCCATCGACCGCCTCGACGAGGCCCAGCGTGCCAAGGCCGTAGGTGAAGGCGACGTTGCGCAGCGCCGCGTCCTCGGCCAGGCCCGCGGCAGCGACGACGTCGTCGCGCAGCTGCTTTGCTAGTTGAGCACCAAGCAGGATCGACCCGTGCGACTGCTGCTGCTGCTGCTGCTGCTGCTCGTCGTCCCCGGCAAGCGCGCGGTGCCGGACGCTCGTCTCGCGCGCCCACTCGGCCGCCAGCAGCCGCTTCTCGAGGGCAGCATACGAGAGCTGGAACGGCAGCAGGGGGTCCAGCAATGCGCGCTGCCAGCTGCCCGGTGTTGCTGGAGCAAAAGACGCAGCAAGTACCGCCGCGAGCTCGTTGTGGGTGGTGTATGCTGCAGAAGAAGAAGACGCTGCTGGCTGCTGCTGCTGCTGCTCGTCAAAGGTGCCCGACGTCTGCCGCGAGGGAGGGTAGTTTGCCACGCTCAGCCGCCGGCTCTGTCGCCGGCTGCTGTTCATCGATGTGCGCCTCGTCAGCGCGGGTGCTTGAGCAACGCTGCTGCTGCTGATGCTGCTGCTGCCCATCGTTGGACTCATCCTCGGGTCCGCGGCGGGGCTGCTGCCCTGCTGCTGCTGTTGTTGTTGTTGCGCCTGTTTTATCTGGATCGAAGAGCTGCTTGGAGAAGTCATTGACGGTCGCTGCAAGTTCACAGGCGACGCCGGTGGTGGCTGCTGCTGCTGCTGCTTCTTCGATGGCGTCTCTTCGGCCGGCGCGACTCTCGCGATGGCACGGTCGATGTCGCTGTATGCGTCCTTGATGGAGGCGTGGGCCCTGACGAGCACGAGGAGCGCCGCGTCGTCGTCGCTTCTCGCGGCGCTGTCCAGCGTGGCCCCATAGCCCGGCTCGAGGGCGAGGACGGTGCTCGCGACAAAGGCCTCGACGCTGCCCCGTGGGTCGTCTTCGAAGAGGACAGGCGCATAGAGGCGCTCCTCGTTGACGAGGGCCACGAGGGCGGCAAAGAAGCGGGGCAGGACATCGGCGAGGCTGGTCGTCGAGGCAGCCAGCGCCGCCGCTGTCCTGTCCTCGTGGTGGTGGAGATGCTGCAAGGAAGCCCAGTCCTTGACGAGGCCTTCGCGCCGCGTCTCGCGCCATCGCTGCCGAAAGACGTCGCGGCCGCCATCGACGTGGGCGAGGACGTCTGCGAGCTCGCGCACGCGCCCAATCGCACGCTCGCGCACGGCCGCCACGACGAGGGGCGAGATGGCGTCGACAAAGGCGCACGTGAGCGTCTCGAGGAGGCTGCGCCGGACCTCGTACTCGGGCGTGCGCTCAAAGACGGCCAGGCTCGTCCGCGCTTCGGCGAGCCGTGCGGCCGCGGGCGCGTACTTGGACTCGGACAGGTACGTGTCAATGTCCGTCGAGAGCGTCGACCAGCTCTCGGCGAGGCTGAGCACGGCGAGGGCGGCGGCCATGCGCGAGCGCAGCGACGAGAGCGTTGCGAGCCGGTCGAGCGAGTCCGACGCAGGTCCTGTCGCAGCAGTAGCAGAGAAGGAGGAGGAGGGCAATGACACCGACGATGAAGAAGACAACGACGACGAGGCCTGGAGCGCGGAGATGTGGTCGCGGAGCGTGCTGGCAGACTCCTTCATGAGGCGCAGCTCGAGCGAGAGACGCGGAATGGCGCCATTGATGCCCGCGATGGAGGCGTCGATGGACGTGGCCGTGTCCTGAGATGCCAGCGAGAGGCTCGACGAGATCGACGAGAGCAGCGCATCGACGGCGAGCAGGTGGTCGCGCGAGCCGGGCAGCGCTGCCGGCTTGGGCACGGCGTGCGGCGAGGAGGGCGACCCGTCGAGGCGCAGGTCCAGCGCCGGCGACGGCGGCACCTGCTGGCGGTCCTGGCCGCCTCCGCCGCCGCCGATGTTGCGAGAGAGGCCAGCAGCGAGGGTATCGTTGAGCCAGTCGCCGACGCCAACGCCGTCGTCGTCGCACGAGTCCAGGCCCTCGATCAACGATAGCGACTGCGACTGCGACGAGGAAGGAGCGACGTCTTCGTCGCGCGCCCGCAACGCCAGGCTGCTGCCGGGGCTCAGCAGCGACGGCTTCGATGCCGACGAGCGGGCCCCGAGTGGCGAGACTTGCTGGCTCATCGCTCGCTCGCCTGCCTTGTGTTCCCCCGCTGTTCTTCCTGTTCTTTTTTTTTTTTTCCCTCCGAATGTGTCTTCGTGAGGATAAATCTAAATTGGATTGGAAGAAGGACGTGACGGAGCAACCAACACGCGCTCAGACAAATGCTCCTCCACTGTCACTGGACCACGGGCTGGCAGGACCATCAGACAGAAGTCTTCTTTCTCTTGCTCTCTCTTGCTCTCTAAAAACGTGATGTAGGATTACAGAACAGGACGAGCTGCGTTGTACGAGTCTATCAATGACGCTGCCACGGCTGGCTATTTCAAACTGTATGCGAGAAGTTTCTCTAAGAAGAAGAAGGAAGAGGGGAGAGATCACTCGTCGTCGTCGACCCGGCATGCAGACTCAAAGTCTTTGTACTGCTCCATCCTCGCCTCGACGTACTCTGCAAAGCGCTTGATCGGGCACGAGTGTCCAGGCCCATCGTCACAGTCGTCCATGCGCTGCACCGCGCCATTGACGACGGTCCTGATGTAGTCGTTGCCGCCCCGTGCGCCCCGTTGATGCTGCTGCTGCTTTCCCGCCTCATCTTTCCCAGTTGCTGCCGCCTTGCAGTTCATCCGCTCAATGGCGACGTGCCCGAGAAAGGGGAGCACATGCGACGTCTTCCAGATGCGGTCCTTGGCGATGCGGTCCGTCGGCATGGCGCCCACCTTTGTCTGGTTCCACAGGCCCAGCGCCACCAGCGCCACCGGCGGCTCCTCGCGGTGGGTAAAGTAGACAAACATCTTTTGCGTGCTGTGCGTCGAGTTAGGTGGGCGGTCCGGGTCTGGCAGCGACGGGTCCTTCTTGCCCCGCGTTTCGACCCTGTCCTCGGCCTGACGATCATCGTGGTCATCGTGGTCATCGTTGTCATCGCTGCGGCCGCCGCCCTGCGAGAGGAGATTGTGGGTCGACGTGTTGAGCCAGTGCACGCCGAGGTACGGCGCGACGGGGCTGGCATAGCCGACCATCTTGTGGTAGATGAGGTCGTTCCAGTAGCCAAAGCTGTGGTAGTCGTCCTCGGACAGGATCTTGTACGAGCAAAAGTCGCTCTTGCCCACGCCCTTGATCACACTCTCGTATCCGCACAGCATCTGCGTCCGATTCTCACGGTCAGCTTTCGAGACTGCCAAACGCAGGTGAAGGGTAGGTTTCACTCACGGCAATCGCAATGACATCCTCGAGGCGGAAGTCAAAGGCTGGAGCGAGGGACCGGAGCCGCTCGAGGGGAGCCTGGCCCCACACCTCGAGCCAGGCGCGCGCATCGGGCTTGCCCGGCTCCTTGGAAAAGGCTGGGCACACCTTCTGCAGAGAGGGAAATGCCACGTCAGCTTCTACTGCTGCTATTCAAAAAAAGGCCAGTGCCACCCACATGCGGCGTCAGCGAGGCGGACCAGTCGGCATCCTTGTTGGGCACCTCGACGAGCTCGAGGTACTTGCCGTCGCCCTCGCCGTCGTCGCCCTCCTGGCGGTGGGGAAAGGCGCCGCGGATAAAGGCCTTTGCGGTGCCAATGTCGCGCTCCGAGCTGGCGCTCCAGACCTTGAACGGCGTCTTGACCTTGCTTGTGCTTGTGCTCGTGCTTGTGCTCCTGTTCTTGCTCTTGCTCTTGTCGGGGCCCGGGTGGCGCGGCGGGAGCAGGTGCGGGTACAGCTTGCGGAAGCGCTTGCCAAAGTCGTGGGCGTCCTGCTCGCCCGGGCCCGTCAGCTGCTCGAGGTTGTCGTCGTTGATGGGGCACTCCCAGTCGCGCAAAAAGGACAGCGCATTGTTCTCGTCGTCGTTGCTTCCGCTGCTGCTGCCAAAGGCGTCCCTTGCCTCGGCGACGCGCTCGGCAAAGGGCCGCATGTAGTCATCCCACTCGTCGTCGTTTGCATAGATGCTCGAGTGGCGGATGAGAAAGGCAGCCGAGGTCACTGTGCAGCCGGCGGGCGGCTCGATGTTGGCGCCGGGCGCATCGTGGTACGGCGCAATACCCGAGCAGTGCTCCAGGGGCCCCCACTCCGGGTGCGGCTCGCCCTCGTGTCCGTTGGGAGACAGTACCACCTGCTGAGGTGCAAAGAGATGGCCCGGCGCACCCGTCACCAGCACCGCCGCGCCCAGGAGGCTCAACGCTCTCGCATACAACGGCACTGTGGCAGTCGTCCGCATCGTCTCGTCTGTTCCGTCCGTGTCGCGGGCTCGTCGAGGTGATGGAGAACGGACGGGGGAGCGTTGTGCGCTCGCTCGATCTGGCTAATCCACTTCTTTGTCACTACTACTTTCTCCCATCCATCCATCCATCCATCCAGAAAGGGAACGCAAAAAGAAAATCAAATAAATTAATCGCCCCTTCATCTGCATCTCATCGTCAGCGCAAAAAACACTTGGGTGGAGAGAAACAAGCCACAGATGGGGAGTGAGAAAAAAAAGCTGCTTAGGTAATTGCTGCCCGTCAGTGCGCGAAAAGTCAGCAGTCGGCCTTCAGAAAGTTGTCAGATGTGATTTTGATTTTTTATCTCTGCTCTGGTCAAGAAGAAGAAGAAGAAGACGAAGAAGGAAGAAAGAGGGCGCGATGAATGTCGGGAGATCGCTGCGCGCCGTGCTTCGAGCGGGGGCGCGGAGAGGGCAGCGGATAGGAGCGGGAACGGCAGCTGGTGGTGTTGGGCGGCAGCAGCGATGGCTGGCGACGCCGGCGTCGTTTGCGACGGGCGAGGCCGAGGCCGACACGAGGGAGCTGCGCGCCCTCTTTGATGCGCCCCGGCCGCCACCGCACCAGCCCGTCGCTGGGCCTTCTTCTTCCTCTTCAGGCGCATCGAATGGCCTCTTTGGGTCGCCCTCGCTGACGTCGCCCCAGTCCTTTCTCGACCTGGCCCAGCGCACCCTCGTCCGGGCCCAGCTGCTCGTCTCGCGCATCGCAGACGCACCCGCCCATGGCGAGGCCGAGATGAGGCGCGTGGTCCGCAACTTGGACCGTCTCAGCGATCTCCTCTGCGGCGTCATTGACTGTGCCGAGCTCGTCCGCAACGCACACCCCGACCCGGCGTGGGTCGACGCCGCCAATGCCGCCTACGAGCATCTCTGCGGCTACATGAACGTCCTCAACACCCACACCGGCCTCTACACTGTCCTCGACAAGGTCATCTCCACACCCGCGCTGCGCGACAGCCTCTCGCCAGAGGCCCTCGCCGTCGCCATGGTCTTTCTGCGCGACTTTGAAAAGTCGGGCATCCACCTGCCCAGCGCAGCGAGAAGCCAGTTCGTCCAGCTCAGCGACGACATTCTCGTGCTTGGACGGCACTTTCTGCAGGGTCAGCCTGCCGCGGGGGGACAGGCGGCAAGCGAGGAAGAGGCGGAAGAAGAAGCAGCGGCAGCATCTGTAGAGATGCCCGTGGAACTGCTCCAGGGCACCCCGGCGCCAATCCTCGATGCCCTCGTCGCCTCGTCACCGGGTGGCGGCAGCAAGGTGCTCCAGCTCCAGCCCGGCTCCTGGGAGCTGCAGGCCATCTCCAAGTATAGCCCCAACGAGGCTGCGCGCCTCATTGCCTACCGTGCGCTGAACCGAGGCGCAAAGACGCAGGTCAAGACGCTCGAGGCGCTCCTCCGCAAGCGCGCCCAGCTGGCCCAGCTTACGGGCAACGAGAGCTTTGCGGCCATGACGCTGACGGACAAGATGGCGCGCAACCCAGCCAACGTCGATGGGTTTCTCGGCTCCCTCGCTGCACACCACCGGCCCCGGGCGGAGCGCACGCTGGCCGACCTGCGCGCGCTCAAGCAGGACAACGGCGAGGTGACGGCCTGGGACCGCGACTACCTCGCCGAGCAGCACCTCCGCACCCTCGGTCGGTCCAGCCTGGCCTCGCTGCCCATCTCGCCCTTCTTCAGCGTGGGCACCGTCTTTGCCGGCCTGTCGCGCCTGTTTGAGAACCTGTACGGCATCCGGCTCCGCGCCAGCCCCGTCGCCGAGGGCGAGGTGTGGTCCAAGGACGTGACGCGCATGGACGTCGTCGAGGAGGATTCCGGCGTCATTGGCACAATCTATGCCGACCTCTACGCCCGGCCGGGCAAGCCGCCCAGCGCGGCCCACTACACGGTGCGCTGCTCGCGGAGGACCGACGACGACGACGCGCTCGCCGACTACACCTACGGCTCCCTCGACGAGGGCCGCCAGCGCCTCACGGTCGAGCAGGGCGAGGGACAGGGCCTCGCACGGGCGCTTCAGGTGCCCACGACTGTCGACAGGGCTAGCGGACACGCCTACCAGCTGCCCGTCGTCGTGCTCCTCTGCGACTTTGTCCGGCCGAGCCTGCAGACGGGCCCGAGCCTGCTGAGCTGGCACGAAGTCGAGACGCTCTTCCACGAGATGGGCCACGCGATCCACTGTTAGTCATTATCCCGCTTTGTATGCTTGTATGCTGACACTAGAACCTCCCTTCTTTCGTGGCTTTCTCCAGCCATGATCGGACGGACAGAGTACCACAATGTCTCGGGCACGCGCTGCGCCACCGACTTTGTCGAGCTGCCCTCGATCCTGATGGAGCACTTTGTCAGCAGCCCCGAAGTCGTCGGCCTCATGGCGCGGCACCACCAGACGGACGCCGCGCTGCCCTACCACCACCTCACCAACCACCTCCGGCTGGCCAAGTCGCTCGAGGCTCTCGACACCCACCACCAGATCCTCCTCGCCTCGCTCGACCAGCTCTACCACTCGCCGCTCGCGCTCCAGGACGACTTTGACTCCACCGACGTCGTCCACGACCTCGAGGCGCGTGTCGGCCTCGTCCGCGCCGCCCCGCGCGCTCAGGACGCCGGCAGCGGTGGCATCGCGTGGCAGGCCAACTTTGGCCACCTCTTTGGCTACGGCGCCACCTACTACTCCTACCTCTTTGACCGCGCCATTGCCGCCCGCGTCTGGGCCCGCGTCTTTGGCGGCGGCAAGGACGCGCTGAGCCGCGAGCAGGGCGAGCGCTTCAAGACAGGTGTCCTCCAGTTTGGCGGCGGGCGCGATCCATGGGAGCTCCTCAGCGCCACGCTGGCCGACGACGAGATTGCGCGCGGCGACCACCGCGCCATGCAGGAGGTTGGCCGCTGGGGCATCTCGGACCTCGCTCAGCGCTAGGAAGAGAATCCCCCCCAACCCCACTTCATCCTTTTCCCTGTGCCCATAGTCTGCTGCTTGCTTGGAACAATAGAGTGCATCATTCTTTCTTGGTGGGATTCCGCGTATATAAGAGGGAAGAGAGGAGTGAGACAGACAGGACACAGAGACAGACAATAGACGAAGGAGGCCCAGGCGAGACAAAGGAGGGCGAGGAGGAGGGGGAGGGGGAGGGAAAGAGGAGGAGGAGGAGGAGGAGGAGGAGGAGGGGAAGGAGGAGGAAGAAGAGATTAGGTAAAGGAAAAGGTAATGACAAGCTTGTCAAGACCGAAGGCGACGCGAGCGGCTAGAGAGTGCTGTGAGGTGGTTGTAGAATACGAGCAAGAGGAGAGGCGTCTTTGGTAAAAAAATGTCGTGGTGCCGAGCGCCGAGGTGACTTCTAGAGGGGGAAAAGTGGGAAAGTGGTAGTAGTAGTAGTTGTAGTTGCCGGCCAACCCGGTGCTTGATGCATGTCCCTTCGTCCCGTTACCTTGTACGTGTGTTTTCTCTTCTTTTTCTTCTTCGCTTCCTTGGTTCCCTTGGTTCCCATGAGAAAGGACGCCGATGCCGAATCTTTCCTCCGATTTCTTCTTTCTTCTTACTGCCCCGCCTGCCAAAGAGAGTCATATGCTCTTGTCAGCAAGCAGCTCCGATCATCACGGAAAAGATCAAGAATACTCACCTGAGGGGGGACAGGCCCGGCGCTCTGTCCTTGGGCGTCGTCGATGTTGTGGAAGTCAAGGATCTCGCTGTACATCATCACTTTCCACGTGTCGACGGGCAGGTCGGCATCGTTGAAGCTCCAGTCAAAGGCCTCCTCTGCCTCTGGCTCGTCGGTGGGGTCGTGGTAGGGCGCCAGGTAGGGGTGCGAGAGTGCCTCTGCGGCCGTGATGCGGGTGCGCGGGTCAAAGACGAGCATCTTCTCGAGGAGGTCGAGCGCCTGCGGGTCCTGGTTCCGGAACTTTTGCGAGAATGGCACGCGCTCCCGCTTGGGCAGCGACTGGACGAACCGGAGCGTGTTCTCGCTGCAAATCGTCTGAATGACCTCGTCCGGGGGGGTGCCCAGGAGCTCAGTGATGATGGAGAATTGGTTGACGTGGTCCTTGCCGGGGAACAGCGGTCTTCCCTCGAGCATCTCGGCAAAGATACACCCAGCACTCCACACGTCGACTGATGTGTGCATGCAGAGTCAGCTTCACTCGATCTTTTTTCAAACCGCCGCCTTGCTGGTCTTTGTCCAGCACTCACCAGCCACATCGTACTTTTGCCACGTCAGCATGATCTCGGGCGCTCGGTAGTATCGTGTGCTGACGTAGCCCGTCATCTGTGGATCCTGGATTCGCGCCAGGCCAAAGTCGCAGATCTTCAGGTCGCAATTCTCATTGACGAGGATGTTGCTCGGTTTCTGAGAGAAGAGTCGAAGAGAGAGAGATCAGAGTCTGACAGCAGCATCAACAACGACAGGAGCAAAAGCCACTCACCAAATCACGATGCACGACACCGGCCGAGTGGACGTACTTGAGACCACGGAGGATTTGGTACAAAAAGTACTGGATAAACTGCTTCTCGAGCGGCCGGCTCGTCAGCAGTCGGTGCAGGTCGGTGCCCAGGAGCTCGGTGACAAAGTAACTGTATGGGAAGAAGAGTCTTAGTCGCTGGTATGAAGAAGCGAAAGGGGCAACAAGACGCACATGTCCTCGAGTGGCGAGATGAAGATGTCGGACAGCGAGATGATCTGCAATGGACAAAAGCACCGCTCAGCTTCTTGAGGTGTTTCCATCACGATGAAGGACAAGAAAGACAGCACTCACGTTCTCGTGTCGGATGTGCTTGAGCAGCTTGAGCTCTCGGTACGTCCGCTTGGAGAGGACAGGGGTGCTGAAGGGCTTCATGATCTTCTTGATGGCCACCGAGGCGCCTGTGAGCTGGTCCTTTGCCGAGCACACGAGCCCAAAGGCACCCATGCCCACGGGTTGCAGGTCCACATAGCGTGTCGTGACCTCGAACACCGTCCTGGAGTCGGCGCTGTCAGCTCACCCTGCCTGCTTTCCTGCCTCTGGCGGCCTGGCTCTCACCCAAAGATGCTTAATCTAGCAAAGTCTGCCGACGCCATCTTGTAGTCTCTGTATTCTCTGCGATTTCTTTCGCTCCTTATCGGTCGTGGTGACAGACCTGTACTCTTGCTGAACTGAGCTCAATGCGGGGTTCCGTGTTCTAGGATCCGGCGGCGGGGCTGTGGGAGCGCACAAAAGTGGTGTGAGCCGGACCTCCTAGAAAGTATATGTGGAACTCCCTTCTGCAGCTGAGGCTGCGAGTAGGAAGGCGAGACGCCATGGAGGTTCCCCCTTCAAAGCCGAGTTTCTATGCTCTCCGAATCTCCGCGAGGGCTATTGCGCAAGACCATCCTGCGACTTTTGCGCGGAAACAAGGACTAATACTAACCTTGGCGGCGATGCAGACCGGTGACGAAGCCTTGACAGCTGAGCAGTGTGGGTGTATGCCAGAAGAGCGAGGCCCAAAACCCGAGGAGACAAGAAAGGAAAGAGAGAGAGATGTGTGTGTGTGAGTGTGGAAGAGGTAAGGTCAAGGAAAAGGCAAAAGATGATCAGAGGGTTGGTGCGCGCGCGGATTCAATGTTGACGAAGCTGGCTCACTGCCCTTCTCCGCCTGGGCCTCAATTTAGTCCGTGGGTGGGTGGGTGGCCCTTCCCTCACGTTTTGTCTCTTTTGCACGTAACCCTGTGTATTATGTAATGTTTTCCCACTACCCTCTTCGCTTCATGCAGGCAAGACCAGCTTCCATCTTCTACAAACAGATTTAAGCCCGCTAAGATTGAGACGATGAAAAGAAAAAAGGCAGAGACGAACCGGGCCGCTCCACGCCACGGAGAGCTTCTTGTGAGCCATGATGCAGATTTGCTTTTGAAATAGCGAGCGAGCCACTTTGCCAGAGATCCCGGAGAGTGGGTCGCGGACGCGTGCTCGCCGCGCGTTTGTGGCTTTTCTTTTCCCCCTTCTCATGGTTTCCTTCGCCTCCCTGGAACTCTGACGTACTTTCACATATGCAAAAAGAGAGAGATTCAATAGTGCGAGTAGCTGTAACAGCTATGTGGAAGATGGTTTTGCCTTTGGAGCGTGGGTTTGCCTCCTGTCCGCCGTCTTGCTCAGAGTAGAGGAGTCGTTGTCGTCACAGCCGTCTACCTCCACGTGGCTTAGAATCACGTTCCGAAGGCCCGCCGGTCGAGGCTAGTAATAATACCAAGGAAGGCCAATGCGGGCTGGGGTTTCCAGAGCTTCTTCGACTCCTCACTCGTTGCGAACCGCGCCGATCAAGGACTAGAGGCGAGAAAGAGACGAAGGTGGGCAAGATGAGCTCGGAAGCACCAGCGTCTGCTCCTGCTGCTGCCGTTGCGCCGACCGGGCTGCAGCCGAGCGCCTATGCTGATGCCTTTGTCGTGAGTGGAGCAGGCAGGCTGACGTGGGGTGAAAGCATCCATCGGAGGACTGACGTTGGGGCTATGCTCCAAAGCGAGGACCGCCCCGAGAGGGCGTGCAGCGGATCCAGACCCGGCTGCACAAGGCAAAGGTCCTGACCGACGAGCTGTGAGTGCCAGTGCCTCAAGCGTCTGTGCGTGTGGCTTAGCATCATGGATGGGAAGCTGAACAAACATGGCAACCGACATGCAGCGCAGACTACTTTGCTGCACGCCGCGAGCTTGAGTCATCATACCTCAAGGCGCTCTCCAAGATTGCCAAGCGCTCCTTCCTCTCGGACCCGTCTGCACTTGGGCCTAACTTTTCGCCCGTCTATGAGCGACTCGTCATGGAGATCGGCGAGCTGGCCAGCATTCACGGCGAGCTCGAGAAGAAGCTCGAGTCCGAGTGCGAGGTCGCGATGCGCAGCGCACCCAACCGGGGCGAATGGGGGAGAATCAAAGACCACGACGACAACCTGGCGAGCACCTTGAAGGAGATCAACACGCTCGAGTTGCAGCTGTCCAAGGACCAGAAAAAGGCCGAGATGGCATCGTCGAAGAAGGCAGGCCAGGCGCACCAGAAAGCGACAGAGACGGAGCGAAGCCTGAGCCAGACGATGGATGTCTGGGAGACGGAGTCGCCATTCGCGTTTGAGGCGTACCAGAGAATCGACTCACAGAGGCTCGACCTCATGAAGGAGATTGTCACCAAATTTGAGACGGCACAGAGCGACGCAGCGCAGCGACTGATGCAGGTCACCGAGCAAACGATGCAGGTCATCCTCAACTTTGATCCCCAGGCCGACATGCAGGAATTCGCCCTTCGCAATGCCACTTCCTCGTCTCGTCCTGCTCGAAGAGATGCCGCTGCAGCCACCACCACTACCGCCGCCGCCAATCAGAGCACGAATATGCGTCCTTCGGCCCCTTCGTCGGGACCGCCCGCCGCTGCGGCGACGTTGCCGACCGGAGGGAGCGACGCATACAGAGGCACAGGGACCAATGGCGTGTCTGAGTTTGGAGCGGTGCGTGCCTCGTCTGCCTCCATCCACTCCTACGATCGTCCGGGCACGGCCACGACCGAGACACAGCAGCAGACAACGCCTAGCCGCCTTGGAGGCAGCACCCTCAAGAGTGCCCTCACTCGCTTTGGAAGGGGTCGCTCGAGCAAGAATGCCAACGAGAATGCCACTTCGACGTACGGAAACCTGGGTGACCAGACGGAGTCTTCGATGGGACCGCCTGCCTCATCCTCGACTCCTGTCCGAAGAGGGACCCGAGGAGGTCCAGGAGGAGGAGGAGGAGGGTTAGAAGAACAGAGGAGTGCCGACTCGTCTGCCTACTCAGCAGCGGGCTTGGGCGCTGGAGCGGCTGCCGTCGGGGGCGCTGCCGCAGCTGGCAGCCTCATGGCTCCCCTCACTCCTTCGCGGAAGCAGTCGAGCTCCACACCTGCGACCACGGCACCGCCTCCTCAGGTCGACGCCGAGGGCTTCTCAATTCCGCCACCCGACAGAAAGCCATGGGAGTTGGGGGCTGGTGGCGCACCAGCGGCAGGTGCCTCGCTGATGGATGGCGACGACGACGAGAACGAGTCTCGGGACCTTTCGACGGACGCTGGCATGCCCAAGATGACGGGCATGAGCATCGCCCCGCAGGCCATCTCTGAGAATGCAGAGCAGGACCAGGCGGCGCTGGAAAGGATGCGCTCGACGCTGCTGACTGCTCGGTCTCCCGTGGTGGCCCCACAGCGAAGGAATACGACGCGCCGAGACCGTCGCGATGTGCGCAACACGACTTACAACCCCGGTCTCACCCTGCCGCCTGGTGTAGGCGAAGAAGACAAGGCAGAGACGGGCGCGACGGCACCGGTTGCAGCGAGTGGCGGCAGTCAATTTGGTCTGCCCACTGCGAGCAGCCCGATGAGCCAGCCCAGCGCATTCATCGGCTCACCAGGCGTGGGCGGCGACCGGACGCAGAGCATCATCTCCATGTCGTCCGCCAGTGCGGCGCCCGGCAACCCGTTCGACGGATCCGCGCCCGGGCTGCGCGCCAGCATTCTCGAGCGCGTCAATGTCCTCTTCACGGGCCGACAAGTGACCAAGATCATGGTCGTCGGCGAGGTGTCGGTCTCGCTGCGCGATGTGGCCGCCTCTCGCGAGCCGATCCACATTCGTCTCGAGTCCTTTGAACAGCTCGAAAAGGCGGCGCCCAACCCAGCCTTCCTGCAGCCCATCGATGGAGACCGACCCGGCGAGTACAAGCTCGACGTGGGTGCGCTTCTAGATCAGGGCAACCCTGCAGCGGCCATCAAGCCCGGCTCGGGTGGGCAGGCAGTGCTGCTGCAGTACAAGGTGCACGTCTCGGAGTCGAGGCAGGCAGAGTACGTGCCGCTGGATGTCTCGACGCAGTGGCGCTGTGAGGCGCATCAGACGTCGATGCTCCTCAACTTTTCTCCAAACGCCAGCTCGAAATTGGCGACCTCGGTGGTGCAAGGCCAGGACGACGGAGGGATGCCTGCGTCGTTGCAGGATGTCAGCCTCACCGTCGACACCGGCCCGAGCAACGTGACGGGTGTCATGTCAAAGCCGTCTGGTACCTGGTCGGCCGAGCAGAAGCGCATGTACTGGCGCCTCCCAGAGGATGTGGCCCTGTCCAATGGCATCGTCGGCGGCTCGGGCGCCGGAGCGCCGCAGAAGATCTTGGCCAGATGGCAGGTCGATGGCCAGGGCCAGCCGCAGCCGGTGCAGATCCGGTGGAGGGTCCCGGGCCGAACGCTGAGCTCGCTCGGTCTCAGCGTCGTGGACGAGTCTGCGTCCGGTCTCCGATTCGATGCCGTGTCGAGACAGACCGTCTCGGGCAAGTACATTGCCAATCCCTAAGTGGACAAGCTTTGCTATCCCCTTGGTTGCCCCTCTTCCTCTTCTTTTCCATCCCGTCTCGTTCCTCCTTCCTTCGCTTCCTTACCGTCGTTTCATCTTAATTGCTCTCCCAACCATTCCTCCTTCGCTAAGCCCTTCCCACTATGTTTGCAGACTTGAATTGACTGGGGAGATTGCTTGTTGTAGCTACAAATACAGGAATGGAATTTGAGGATTGGATGCCTGAACGGAGAGACATCCGCTGTCAGTCTTCAGCAAGGAGCACGTACTCTCTCGAGCTTGCGCCGATGCGCATCGTGTCTCCGTTTCGCAGCTCGTAATACCTCGACGCAGGCACTTCTGTTCCGTTTACCGTGCAGCCGTTTGCTGAGTCGAGGTCGATGAGAAAGGGCTTGATGGTGCGCTTCTCGTCGCCAAACTCGTTGCGCTCGATGATGTTGCGGTACTGAATCACGGCGTGCTGCTTGGATGCGCTGGGATGGTCGATGGGCACGTCGGCGACGGTGTGGTCGCGGCCAAAGAGGTAGGCCGACTGGCGAGAGATGTGCAGGACGTCGACTTCGCGGCCGTGCTTGAAGACGTAGAGGCGCCACTTGCGCCGCGGCTTGCGCGCATCTGGCGGCTCGTGATACTTGAGCGCGACGCCGGCCTTGCTGTTTGACTCGGCCGCGAGCAAGCCAGAAGAGGAAAAGTCCGGCGCAGACGATGGGCCTGCATCTGCCTCGCCGCCTTGGTCCTCCTGCCCCTCACTCTCCTTTCTATCCTCGGACCGACCGTTGGACCGGTGGCGGCGAGGCGGTGGCGAGGAGCTGTTATGTCGCGCGTAGTAGGCTTCGCGCTCGCGCGCGCGGTCTGCTTCGAAGTTGCGTGGCGAGCGCGAGCGGCGACGAGGAGCGTCATAGTTGCGCGACCCTGGCTCATACCGTTTACGCCGCCCTTCGTCTTCGTCATGCCGGCTGGAACTGCCCCCTCGTCTTCGGTATTCACTCTCCCGGTCGCTTTCCCGCGCCCTGTCCCGGCCCCCGTCCCTGTCGCTCGGCATTGTCGTCTACTGCTGCTGCTGCTACTCTTCGTCGTCGTCGTCGTTTGAATGCGTTTAGGAACGCGAGGAAGTCAGAAGATCAGTAAAATTCCACGTGCGTGAAATAAGCAGTGGAGGGAGGCGCCAAAAGAAAGGAAAGCTGACAAGTGGGGCGGCGCGAGCGGGCGGGCGCGCGAGACAAGAAGAGAGAGGGCGCGGCGCGCGCGTCAATTGGTCGTAACTTTGGCTCTCTTTTGGTGTTGGTCTTTGAAACCACGGCGACGCCCATCACCCACACCGCCGGAGCAATCCCTTTCGAAAAGAGAAGAAAAGACAACCACAACGTGAGAAAAGACAGGTGGTAGCTCTACACACGGATGGACAGATGAAGAGGCAAGCTTCGGCGGTCCCATTGAGGGAATGCGATGACGAGCGTCCGCAACCGCCGGCGTCGCGGCGCTCCGGTACGTTGTTTGGAAAATCGCAGTGGCACCTCTGACGGTCTACTGACATCGCCTTTGTTCACTCACTGCCCGTTAAAAAGGTCCCTCTTGGTCGATCGAGAAAGAGTTGCGCTTGGGGACGGAGCGGACGACGAGAAGCCAGGGCAGGAAGCCGCACGAGGAGCCGGATAGGGGCACGAAGCGTGACGCGCCGAGCTGCTCGACAAACGTGACGAGCAGCGAGCAGAAGCCGGCGTCGAAAGAGAGACCGCGACCTACGCCGCTCGCTTCTATCAAGAAGGAGAAACTCCGGAGAGCAGAGGAGGAGGAGGAGGAGCGCAAGAAGAAGCAGAAAGCGCCGCCCGGCCCCAAAGTCATGGGCGAAAAAGGGCAGGGCGATAACGATGCGAGAGAGTCTGAAAAGAAGGTCGAGGATGAAGACAGGATCATTTATCTCGAGCCATCGAGCCTCAGGAGAGTGACGGAAGAAGAGCTCAAGAAGGAAAAAGAGGCCCTCGAGCAGTTCAAAAGGGACAAGGTCGAGCTCCTCCGAGTCAAAAAGGAGATTGCCAACCGCGCTGCGTGAGTGTGTTGTGCATGCGTAGCACACAGCATAGTGTGACTCACTGCCGTTATTGGGCTGTAGCAGCGGTGCCAGTGGCACGACGAGCTCACAAGGGCTTTTTCCGACCAAGGCAAGAGGTGAGCAGCGGTGGGAAAGACAGCATCGCTTTACAGTAGGTTGACAAATATCAGGCCTCGCCGAGTGTCCCTTTTGCTTCAAAGCGCTGCCCAGGAAACCCTCAAAAGAGCTGATCAACAAGCTGCAGTACTGGATTGACCAGAGAAACAGGGCAGGCAAGGATCTGTCCGCGACAGACACGATCGAAGATGTCTGTTTGCGACACATCGGCGAGTCCGAAATCCTCCCCGAGGGACACAAGCGGGGATGGCCGAGGGAGCTTGACGAGCGCAAGCTCAGAAAGAGGCTCGAAGGCCACCTGTCGATAATGCAACGCAGGATCGAGGAGCCTGAGTCGAGCGAGTGGTTCATCCGGGCGAGGGAGGAAAGGAAGAGGCTAGGCCGTGCGGCCGACGATATTGGCAATCAGATGCGCGATCTCGAGGACTCGCAGGCTGGCTAGTGAGCACCGCCTGAAAGACAGAGAGGGAAGGAAGCTAACCCCATCCGTGTCGCAGTTATGGCGAAGTGGGCTACGAGGTGATGCGCGGATTTCTTCTGAAACGATTTGCCAGCCGAGATGACTCGCCGCACTGGCTGGGCAGCCCGGAAGTCGCAGCAAAGCGGCGGCCGCTCGACTCGTCGTCAAAGTTCATTGACAAAGTCCTTCTACCAGAGCTCATCTGTCTCGTCATACGCGAGGACCACGGAGGCGACATGGCGATGCAGGAGGCCGAACAAATTCGAAGAGAGAGCATCCGCTATGGTCACCTTGTCTTTCCTTCGAGGCCCGTCGAAGGGAAGAGCATCGACGATCATGACAGCGACGACGAAGTAAGGTCCTGCACGCCGCCAAGCTCGCAGAAGAAGCGCAGCATCAAGCCTCCCAGGCCACACAAGGTCGTAAGCCAAAAGCAATCGCACAACATACGGCCCATACCTCTGTCGCAGAAAAGGAGAGAGGTGGAGGACGAGGAGGCGCCCTTGCTCGCATCGTCATCGCAATCGATGCCCACTGCTTCATCATCATCGTTATCGTTGTCGTCGTCGTCGTCATCCTCGACCTTGGCTCCATTCAGCAGTTGGGACCCATTGTCAAGCACGCCTCAAGCAATCTCTTCCTCTTCGCAAGAACCAACGCCTTCGCTACAGGCAGTATTGGAATTTGACGCAAGCCCTAGGAAGCGACAGAGGCTCGAGTCCCTACCGCTGAGCCAGGACTCTTCCATAGCAATCCTGTCATCCAGGAAGCAAGTCGGTGACGCCACCATGAACATCGCCGAGGCATCTACAACCGTGTGTCTTGTCTCTGACGATGACGACGATGAAGCCAAGGGAGAGCCAGCCCAGCAAAGGCCAGCGAAGACGACCCTCTGTTCGCGGACGTCGAGCGTCAGGTGCAAGCGAGAACCTCAGAGGACGATCCTGTCGCACACCTTATCTCAGCCAAGCCCAAGCGTTGTCAAGCACGACCAGTTCCGCGTCACTGGCTCAGCAGGCACGCTGTAGTGGCACTGAGACGTTGCATACAAGTATCCCTTCCTACCGTGGCCCATATATCTCAGAAGAAGATCGTATAAAGATCCCAGCTTACATTGTAATTTGTAATCGACATCAACCAGGACGCTTGTCCCATACACAATCACATACCGTCAGTATCTCTGCGTCGTCTTTACTTCTCAAAGACCCAGAAAAGGCGCACAAGGACACTGCCTCGAGCAATGAGTGAGAATGAGGATGAGAGGGGTTTGCTGGTCCTTTCGGGCCTATCCGGGACCCGGGACCGCGAAGCCAGCAAGGCTGGGCGTAGGACGAGGCGAGAAGAGACCGTGTGAGCGCGCATTCAAGCCCAGCGTCGAGTCGAGCGCAGGAGCGGAGCACAATCCCTTTCCCACCCCGTGAGCAGCCGTCTTTTCCCCCCGTCGCCTCTCTCTTTCGAATTCTTTTTTCTTTTGTGTTGTTCCTCTTTTTCGCTTTTTCTTCTTGGTTGCCAGAGGAGAGAGACGAGCGATGGAGCGACAAACCGATATCGGCGTTGACGGGGGCGCTTCTGGCAAGGGCACACCGACGAGAGGTGTGATTGCTGATGCACAAAGGGGAAGCGCTTTAGCAGAAGCCAGCTCAAGCGAGAGCGAGCTGACGGTGAAGCACCCGGAGGAACACGACGACAATGACGACGACGACAACGACGGCAGCAAATTTGACCGTCGATCAGGCGAAGGACGCAGGGAAAAAGGCGACAGGCAGAAAGAAGACGGAGGGGAAGAAGGGCCCTCAGCATTTCTCCTCTCGTCGCTCCTCTCTTGGTCGGCTCTTCACAATCGACATCATCCCTTTCGTCGCGACCTCTATCACCTCCGACCGGCTCCTTCCTTCCCATCATCTTCGTCGTCGTCCTCGTCACGTTTAGGTACAGAGACGGAGGCAGCGCCAGTAAAATCCGATTCGCTCGAGGTAGGCAGCCTGCTTAGCTCGGCGCAGCTGACATGGAAAACGACAACGTTTGGTGCATTTGAGCGCCTAGTCGATGGGGCCATGCGCTGGCTTGGCCTTCTGCGTATCGGTCGACGTCACACAAGCGCTGAAGCGTCACACCGTGGCCTCGTCGTACTCATGCTCGCGTCCAACGATGTCGTCTCGACCGCAATCTCCTTTGGCCTCATCAAAGCGCAACTGCCAGTCTTTCCCATTGCAGCGGCTGAGCTGACGACAGACATCGTAGTGAAGATGCTGGACAATGCACGCATCGGACTGAGAGTCGTCGAAGACGAGAGAGACGAGGCCGAAGGTCAAAAAGAACGAGTCGTGGCCGTGCTGTACAGTGCAATGTACACGAAGCAGGCCAATGCGCTTCGGGAGAGGTGGTATGCCGACAAGATCACGTTTCAGCCTCTCTTGTCCTTCAAAGAGCTCGAAAAGGAGTCGCAGCAGGATTCGACAGCTCCCCTTTCCCAAATCAAGAAAGAAGATGTCGATGTCGATTCGACCTGTTTGTTGCTCCACTCCAGCGGGAGGTGAGCATCTTCAGCAAACTGATAGTAGCGGCGAGAAGGAGCTGAGAGAAGCAAACGAGCAGCGACAGGAGCGTGCCCGTCGTCTGTCGATATACGCACAGAACCATCGTGGGCGCAGCCAAGATGACACGCGACGAAGAATACACCTGGCTTCCCAACAGCTGTGGCGAGACAATCCTCGTCGATGCACCTCTACACACAGTGAGCCTCGAACGCCACGGTACTTTGTTTGCAAGCTGATTCTGAGCAATGCTCCAAAGGTGCTCGGGTGGACGATGGGACCTCTTGCCGCGCTGTCGGGAGGCCGAGTGCCTGCATACATCCCTACCGGCCCAACGCCACGGTCCAAGGTGGTCGTCGACCTCGCCCAATCCTGCCATGCTAGCCAAGCACTTTTGACCACGAAGCAGCTCGAAGAGCTTCATCGCAAGCCGGAATCGGTCAGGATCTTGGCATCACTACGCTGCGTGTGGTATTCTGGTGCCAAGCTCGCTTTGGGGGCCAAGATGCGCCTCGAGCAGGCCGGCGTGAGGCTCCTCTCCATGTACTACGTCACAGAGGCAGGTCCATTGGGTATGACGCACCAGACGCCAAAGCCAGGCACCGAGCCCTGCTCGGGCGAATGGATCACGCTGAGGGTGAGTGTGAAGTGGAAGATTCTGCTCACTCGCTTCCTTGCTGAGCTTGACAGTGTGGAGTAGAGCGACCTCGAATTCTTTCTCGACTCCGTGGGAAAGGACGCAGAGGGGAAGAAACTGCACGAGATTGTCGTCCTGGACACGCCTGGCATGAAGCTCAATATTGACGATCGCTTCGGCGTCTTTCGGACGGGAGATCTATGCGAAATCATGCCGTCGTCTTGCAAAGAAGAAGATGAACAACAGCCTCTCCTCACCGTCAAGATTCGAGGCAAAAAAGAGGGACTGCTGATCCTCACAACGGGCGAGTCGATTCAGTGCGCACCATTTGAGCATTGCGTCGAGCGGCATCCGCTGGTCAAGCACTGTATCTTGTTCGGACACCTGCGAGAGCTCGTAGGAGTGCTAATCGAGCTGGAGTCGAGCGCCGACGGAAGAGACGAAGATGTGATGCAGAGCCTCTACCCCACGATTGACGCACTCAACAACGTCATGCCCACGTACGCCCGGGTATTCTTCCCCGACATGATTGTCCTAACCGATTCCTCCCGGCCTCTCCCGCTCACACCGAGAGGAAGCGTCTGCCGGAGCGATGCGCTGGACCTCTACCAGGCCGAAATTCGCAACGTGTACGGGACCGTCTTGGGGGCCGCCACTGCCAATGCGCGCATGGTCGACGGGACTGTCAACGGTGGAACAGCGGCAGGAGGTCACGAGGCGACACCGTTAGCTGCGTTGAGCCACACCGAGATCATGCGCTTTGTTTGCGAGACCGTTCTGGCCTACATAGAGCCAAAGTCATGCCTCTCGCCGAATATGTCGCTGCTTGAGCTGGGGTTGGATTCTCTGCGCGCCTCGCTGATCCGCGCAGCGCTCGTTAAAGGACTGGAGCACGCACTCGAGGCTGGCTTGGGAGGGCCACAGAGGTCGATTTTCGAGCCCTCAAACCTGCCGTCGAGCTTCTGCTTCGAACATCCGACGATTGCGGGCCTCAGCACAGCCCTGGAGAGATTCACGTTTGACGACGCTGGACATGCGAGGGAGCAGGTGGCCCTCATGAAACGATGGGTCTCAATGTACTCGCTCCGTGAGGTGAAGACGCCACTGAACGCTACCCGTTTGCAACAAGGCAAACCTACAAAGGGACTGAGGTCCAATTCGCCTCTAGCCCATGATTCGTTTCTCAAGCTCAGCATTGGCGGCACCAAGTTCGTCGGCGGGGCCAAGTCGCAGCAGGGAGGGAGCCGCCTCTCGACTGCTTCGAGCTTTCTCTTTGGTAGAAAGAGCAAAGCGACGGTGGTGACGACCGACGACGCGCTTACGGCCAGCGACACCAACAAGAGGCGATCATCGCTCTTCTCCAACGCGCAGGACCTGCTATTCGCAAGCAAGAAGCGTGGAAGCATCGATGTGCTGTCTGATGCAAATATCGAGACTTTGTCGTCTGGGAGCAAGGCTGGCCAGCGGCCAGCAGGGGCAGCAGGCACAGTGTTCGACAGAGTGTCGAGTAAGCTCGCCAGCGCAGCAACACTGCGCCGAAAAAGGCGAGCAAGCCGGGTCCTCCTCTTTGGAGGTTCGACAGGCGCGCTGGGGTGCGCCTTGGTCGAGACGCTCGTGCCGAGGTCGGACGTGTCCCGAGTTTGCATCCTTGTCAGAAGAAAGGCTAATGGATGGAACGCTCAGCAGAGGCAAGTGGAGTGCATGAAGGCCAAGTCTCTCCATCATGCGCCCGCGCTCGATCCCAAGGTCGTCTATCTCCTGGTCAACGGTCTCGAAGGCGCGTCGAACGATGAGGAAGACGAGGATGAAGTCGAGACATTTGCACGGACAAACAAGGTAGACACCATCATTCACGGCGCCTGGAGGGTCAACTTTAGCCAGCCGCTAGCCGAATTTGAGGGACTCATTCGAAGCGTAACTAGGAGCATCAACGTGGCGAGGCGATGCGGCGCCAAGCTCGTCTTCATCTCGTCCCTGGCCGCCGTCGCGAGGGCAGGAGAATTGGAGGAAAGTAGCCTCGGCTACAACGGCGGCGAAGGAGGACCGATCTCTTCAAATCAGCCTCTGTACCTTGGAGAAGACGACTTGTGCCCGCTCGAGTGGGCCGCTGGAGGCTATGGCGCGAGCAAGGCCGTCGCTGAGCGGCTCGTCTCGGGCGCCATCAGGGCCGATCCATCCTTTCGCGGATTCACGATCCGACTCGGGCAGCTCATGGGAGACAGTCGGACAGGCCGGTGGAACGCAAACGAATGGGTTCCGATTGTATTGCGATCTGCGGCTCACATCGGAGCTTTCCCGTCACACGAGACCCTGGGTCCCGTTGATTGGCTGGCCGTGGACCAAGCGGCGGATATCGTCGCGACTGTTGCGCTTAGCTCTCGCTTGCCTTCGCCGAGCGAGACAAACGTCGTAAATGTGGCCCATCTTCGAAAAAAGCCGTGGAGTGCGGCCGTCCAGGCCTTTTCCAATCATCTTCCACGACACGTCAAGATTGTCACGCTGGACGAGTGGCTGGAGAAGCTCAAACAGGCCATCGAGGAGGAACGTGAGCGCATTCAGAGCGAGCAGGTCGCACGGGATGCGGTGTCGGGGCTGATGACGAGGGAGGAGGTGGAACGTGCGATTCGCGCCAAGGTACCTGCCGTGGTCCTCGTCGGTCAGTTTGAGCAACTCGCGGGCCTGGTTCGAGCAACTACGCTCGACATTGGCGAGGCCGCAAACGGGGTGTCGCTCGACGCGAGTGAAGGGCTGGGACACCGAAACGAGGGAGCGACACCAGGCCTGGCTGAGGGTAAGCTGGAGAGAGCGCGAGCTTTCGACTCTGACTTGGCGAAGCTCTTTCTCTCGAGACTCGCGCCCTCGCCTTGAGTAGGTGCGCTGATGCTGCAGCTGCTGGTACCATTGTAATATGATCTCATTTCCATGGTCTTTCGCAGCACCATTGTATGGGGCTCCGCAAACTCTAGACTGGGGTGCGTTTGCATGTGCAGCAGGAGAGAACGGACGAGAGCTGATTGCGGGGCGCGGACCCAAAGCCGTTGCTCCTCTGCTGACCCGTCGCGTACGTTGCGCGCCCCTCTGAGGCACTGCGGGGCGATCGCAGATCGATTGCACTAGGGCTCGACGGCGCAAAGTCCGACGGAACGCAGCCAGGCGCGCGATTTCCCGCTAAAAGTTGCGAAGTTTTCGCCGCCCCTCTTCCGTGTTGGTATTTTTTATTTTTTATTTTTTTGGCTCCTCTTCATCTTGGGCTGCCTGCTGCTGCTGCAGGCGCCGCGGCATATCTCTCCCCTCTTTCTCTCTCGCTCGCCCTCTGGTCTGTCTTTTGCAGTGACCTGCTTCTATTTTGCGCACCTGCCCTATCAGTCTTCTTCCTCGTGGTCCTGACTCGGCTGGTCCGTTCCTGCCTCATCCACCCGACCCTTCGCCCTCCTCTTCCCCACATCCTCGCTGTTGTCTCCTCCTCGAAACGTTTCAGAGGATCTGTTCGTGCCAGAGGAGCTGCTTCTTCTGCCACCACGGGAGCACGCGAAGCCTGGACAAGAGAGAGAGAGGAGAGAGGAACACAATCAAAAGACCACGATGGACTCGACAACAGTGACAACGATGCAGACCAACCACGGCGACTTCAAGAACCATGACGAGGGGCTGAACATCTTTGAGCGCATGTTCCTGCCCAAGAACGGCCCGCGCATGCAGCTCCGCAAGCTCAAGTACAGCCGCGTCGACATTCTCGCTGCGGCTGCCGCTACCGACGACGAGGCCACCGCGGGCCAGCGCACCCACGACGAAGAGTTGGCCTCGTCGTCAGCGTCGGCCGACGACGAGGCCCGCGCTGCTGCCGCTGCCGGTGAAAAGAAGGAGGGTAGAGGCCAGGTCGTGGAACAGGAGCAAGAGTCGTCGCAAGACGAACGCGGCGTCAATGTCAAGGGCACCGGCCTCGAGCGAACGCTGGGCTGGAAGGGCGCCGCATTCAACGCCGCAGCCTACAGCATCGCCCTCGGCGTCCTCTCGATTCCCAAGGCCGCCGCGACGATGGGCGAGGGCGCCTTTGTCATTCTCTCCGTCTTCTTCAGCTTCATCACTTGGTACACGGCCACGACTTACTCGCGCCTCCAGAAGCACTACCCGGGCGTCCACTCCCTCACCGACGCCGGCGACCTCATCTTTGGGCCTGCCGGCCGCGAGTTTTTCGGCTTCTGCCAAGCTCTCTTCTCCGTTCTTCTCTGTGGTAACCATGTCCTGCTGGGCGCGACGGCCTTCCAGGCTCTCGGGTGGAGGTGCGTCGCTGCTACTGCTCTCTATCAAGAACTTGTACTAATCTGTCTTGTCCCCATCCCCCGCCCGCAGATCATGCGCAATCGCCCTCAACGTCGTCTTTGCCATCATCTCCTTCATCTTCACCCTCCCACGGTCCTACCAGCTCTTTGCCCGCTTGGCCTTTGTTAGCATGTTCTGCATCGTCAGCACAGTCATCATCGTCATGATTGCCTCGGGCATCTCTGGCCCTCAGAACCAGCCGGCAGGCTCACCGCCCGTCCGGCCTTACAAGGGCTTCGGCTCCATCCTCGACGACAATGTCGACTTTCTTGACGGCATGCTTGCAGTCACGAACCTTTTCGTCAGCTTTGGCTCGAGCCCATGCTACCTGTGCGTGTCTTCTTCTGCTACACCCAAATTTGGCTCTCTTTGACTGACAATTTCGCTCCTTCTTTAGGCCTCTCTTGGCCGAGATGCGCTCGCCGCGCGACTTTAAAAAGTCCATGATTGCCCTCATCTCCTTCCAGCTCGTTCTCTACATCGTCGTTGGCACCGTTGTATACCACAACCTGGGCCAGTATGTCACTTCTCCCTCGATTGGCAGCCTGAGTCCCGTGATGCAAAAGGTCTCCTACGGCGTCGCCCTGCCGACGATTCTGCTCGCCGGCTGCGAGTCGGGCCAGGTCGTCTCGAAGCAGCTCTACGTCCGCGTCCTCCGCGCACGGCCCTCGCTAAAGCAGGGCGGCAAGGCGCAGCGTCGCAGCCCCCGCGCCTCGAGCTGGCTCGTCTGGACGCTCATCAACGTCGTCGTCTGGACCGCCGCCTGGATCCTCGCCGAGCTCATTCCCTTTTTCAGCTCCTTTCTCGGCGTCGAGTCCGCCGCCCTCTGGACCCTCTTTGTCGCCTTTGCCGCCATTTTCCACCTCTTTCTCAGCCGCGGCAAGCTCTTTCGCGATCCGTGGAACACCGTCCAGACGATCGTCGCCCTCTTCATCATTGCCTTTAGTGCCTTTGTCATGGTCGCCGGCGTCTGGGCTGCCGCGATCAGCATCCGCGACAGCTATGCCGCCGGCATCGTGGGGCGGCCTTTTAGCTGCGAGATTCCAAAGGCATAGAATTCTGTTTCATCTTGTGCTTGCTGTAGAGTAGTGGTAGTCGTTCTCTTCGAGATCCTTTCTTTCTCAACATGTAATGCAACGAAAAGGACAAGAAGGATAACCATCATTCACAATTGCCAGACCATTTTATGAAGACACACAGAGAGAGGGGGAGGGAGAGAGGGAAATAAGTGAGGGAGAGGCGTTTGAAGAGGGAAGAGAGCGAGGTTACTGCTCCTCTCTGCCCCTCGTGACCTTTTGTCCGGTTACCATCGATCCTTTCTCGACGCAGATGCGGGGCCATTGCTGGTGCCTCTCGACGGAGACCGTTCTCGCGAATACGGATCTCGCTCCTGACCACGCTCTCTCACGGGCGAACGCGAGGATCGGCCCCCGCTGCCGCCGCCTGTCGTAGGCGAGGAACCGGAGCCTGGTTTCGTGGGAAGGCCAGCCGAAGGGTGAGGGGCCTGCAACGAGGGCCTGTCCGAGTCGTGTGCGCCTCCGCCTCCGTTGGAGCTGCTCCGACCGCCTTGAGCCATGCTTGGTCTCGGCTGCGATGAAGGGCTCATGCTTCCTTGTCCCGTCCAGCCCCCCTGACCCCCGTACATACCACCGCCGCCTTGGCCGCCAAACATGCCGTTGGCGCCCGACGCACCGCCACCGCCCATCATGCCCATCATCATCATCTGCTGCTGGAACGCCATCGGATTGAAGTTGGCTGACCCCCAGCCCTGCGACTGGAAGAAGTTGGCCATGGCCTGCGGGTCGAAGCCTCCTCCCTGACCCCCGCCCATGGCTGCGGCAAACATGGGGTTCTGGTGCTGCGAGGAATCAGAGCCCATCATGCTGGCCATCATCGGGTTGGCCGCCATGAATGCGTTCATGCCGCCCATGCCTCCCATGCCGCCCATGCCTCCCATCCCCCCCATACCACCCATGCCACCGGCCATGCCGCCCATTCCACCAACACCACCACTGCCGCTTCCTCCCATCATTGACCCCGTGCCACCACCATTGATCATGTCTCGTCTCCGGTCCGCACGATCGGGCACCTTCTTGCTGCCATCTGCGTTCCTTGGGGTGGCCCTCTTGACCTCGACCTGCTTGCCATCCATTACGACCGGGTTGTCCGTCAGGCCCATCTGGATCAGCCTCTCGACGGTGTCTTCGTCATCAAAGGTGATGAAGCCGTAGCCGCGCGGCCGCTGCGTCTCGCGGTCCACCATGAGTGTTGCGTCGAGCACGGTGCCGAATTGTGAGAAGAAGGAGCGGAAGGATTCTTGTGTTGCCGTCTGTGGTACACCGCCGACGAAGCATTTCGATGTTTTGGCGTGCTCCATTCGCGGAATCGCCCGCTTCGGGTCGATCTATGAGTAGTGTGGGCAGTATAGTGAGCAAATCTTTCCGCCGACGTCTTAGTTCTGGACAAACTTACAATCTTGCCGTCGAGAAAGTGCTCGCGAACCATCACGGAGTTGACGGCCTTGGGATCTTCAAAGGTCAGGAAGGCAAAGCCCCTCGAGCGCCCAGTCTGGCTGTCTCGCATGACCAGGCAGTGCGTCACATTGCCAAATTGGGTAAAGTACCGTTTGAGAGACTCTGTAGACAAAGGGTCAGTCGGCATGGTCGCAGCAAAAAGAGGCTTTGCGACGTACCGTCAGTCGTGTCCCAGTTGAGACCGCCGACAAACATTTTCCTTTCGAGTTAGTAGGACGATGACGGCAAGGTCAGTATCGATCGACCAAACATCAAAAAAAGGAGAGAGAAAGAAGAGAAGGAGGACTGGTTTTCAATTCCATCGTCAATCGTTGCGATCCAAACCCCCGTCCCGTTATCGAAGCGAAGAAGGCGTAGGGCACATCTCCGCTCTGGGAATGAAGTTGGTTGCCTAGCTACCGCTATCGTAGTGATGGGCTGATGAGCTGATGAGCTGATGAGCAGGGTAGAGAAGTGAGAGAGAGACAGAGACACAGAGCACTGAGCCCGCGATACCTAGAGAAAAGAGGTAGTGAACCTAGATCTATGCCCTATGTAAAGCTGGCTCACTGCTGCTGCTGCTGCTGCTACCACTGTTTCTGCTGCTTCCCTACCGCTGTCGCCGCTGCTGAAGAGATGAATATCGCTATCGCGCTATCGAGCTATCGAATGGCTAGCTGATGGACTGTGCCGACTAGGGCGAGGAGGATGACGACGAAGAGGGAGAGAAGAAAGAGAAAGAAAGAAAAAGGAGGCGGAAAAAAGGAAGGAAAAGATCTATGCCCGCTTGGCCTGCCGGTATACCCAACGAGGCATCCAGCCATGCCAACCACCCAGATCCACTCCCAGCCGCCCTTTTGCTTGGTCAATGGACTGAAGTTACATCATGAGACTCACCCATCCTCTGGCATGTCGGCTGGTGTCGTCCGGTTCTGGGTCTGCATTTGCTGATGCTGATGTCCGCCCAACGTCTGCACCGCCGAGGACGTGTTGTCCGACGACACAAACGAGGGAATCGGCGCCGGCTGGTTGTGCTGGTGCTGCTGTTGATAGCTTGATGCCGAATTAGCCGAGGTCGAGGCGTGTTGCGGTGTCGAAGAAGAAGAGGCCGGAGGGATAAAGCTGCCTCTCGAAACCGGTGGTGCGGTGGCCTCGGCTGTCGACGCCGCGGCGGGGGCGGGGGCGGGGATGAAGCTCTTCTTGGGAGCTGGCGCTGGCGCAGAGGCAGAAGCAGCCGTCGTCGAAAAGGTCGGCGGGTCGTCTTCATACAGCGCCGTGTCGTCGTCGTCGCGCGTCTCCCCGGCTCCCGTTCCTCCGCCATCCTCGTTGTAGAGGTCCGCATACAAATCCTCCTCGTCGGCCATCTTGCAAGCACAACACAGAGGATTGGGAAGGAGAGAGGGAGGAAAGAGGAGGGGAGAATGAAAAATGAAAGAGGACGTCAACTCAGCCCCGCTCGAGCCTTTTGTATCTCGACCGCGCTGATTCGAGGAGAAGGATGTGACCAGAAGAGGAAAACTAAAAAAAAAGAAGTGCCTGCCGGGCGTCGCGTGCGTGCGTGCCTGCTGCAGTAAGTCGCCCTGCAGCTGCCAATCACCCTAAGCCCAGCGCCCTTGGCCCTGCTGTTGATGGTCACCCCGACCGAGCTCGACAGAAATGTCCGGTTATGCTGCTCTTCCCGACACGTGGAGAGGACCCCGCTCGGACAGACTAGACCTTGGCGATAACAGATGTCCTCTTAGTTCTTTGGATCAGGAACATCACACCGAGAGAGACAGTACAGCGTCCTAATCGCGCCGAAGGATGCCTTCCTGGACCGTCGGCCTCGAGTAAACTTGCTTCGGCAGGCTCGGGGCGACAAGCAAGGACTCGTTCAATGCGTTTTCCCGTCCTTGACAAAAAGCAAGAAGTTGCTGCGATTGCTTCACATAAGATTACCCTCTCCTTCCTCTCTGACTGGCGTGCAGGGGCACGCGAGCATCTCTGAGGGAGAGGGACTGAGGGCGTCCAAAATCAAAATTCTCGTGTTTGCTTGCGCTTTGGCTTGTCGCGGCTAGTTTCAATCGGCCTCACTTGATCGCTCCACCACTACTTTGCAAGCGCCACCCTTCTGCTGAAGGTTGGCATCGTCGCTGGGCTCAGCGTATAGGGCTAGGCTAAGCTAGGCTACGGCGATAGCTCTTGAAAGAAGAGCAACACGCTAAGCTGGGCTTAGCTACCAAAGGACGAGAGAGGGGGGTTGCGAGAGAGGAGAGAGAGAGTGTGTGTGTGTGTGCAAGTGACGCCAGAGCGAGCAGACGCCAAGGGCCTTTGCACGACCTACAGGGGAAGGGGGAGGTGGCGCTCTTGCTCGCTCGACACGCACTCTCCTCTCGGCCTCGGTGTATTCCTTCGCAGCCGACGACATGACGACGAGAAGTACGCGCAGCACGCAGAGTGCTCGCGAGCGCATGACTGATGGCGATGTATACGTCGTAAGTCCGAGCTGGATTCGATAGGGATCATGTCGAGATGCTGATGCATAGACACCACATCTGCAGTTTCTTCTTCAAGTAGCCACTCTCTCGTGGGTGATGCAGAACCGGCCAGACAAGCAGAGAGACACGCAGCAGTCATTAGGGAGAAAAGGAGGCGGCGATGCGGCAGCGGCGGCGTCGGCAGCGACATCGTCATCGGCAGCAGCGTCGACTGGCGCGGGAGCAGGGGTAACAGGAGCAGGAGCAAGTACAGCAGCGGGAACGGGTGGTGCAGGGTCCACGGCAGGAGCAGCTTCGTCGGCCGCCTCGAGATCAGATTGGCTGAGCCTTGGTGGACTGGCAGACATGGTTCGCGATGTTTCTGGCTCGTCAAAGGCCGCCCGCTTTCCCGAAAAGCTCCTCAAGAGACTATCAGAGCGACTGGAGCAGATTGCCATGGGTCGTGATGCCCATTATCGGGACCAGTCGCTCCGTCAGACAGTCGGCATCTTTTACGGCACCTTCAAGGAGGCCTCGTTCCAGAAGCAGATGAAGGAGAATCGCAAGGTGGAAGAGCTGATTCTCGTCTTTGTCACCTCAGCCCAAGGGGCATTGCGGAAACGGATGGAGGGCGACGCTTGGAAAGAGGAGCTCAACAAGCAAGTGGCTACCTTTGTCAAGATCATTCGCGAATGTCTAAGGACCATGCACGGCGTCTCGAGGGAGCTCACCGATCGGCTGGATGGCTACTCGCAGAAGCTGGCTCCACCTTCCATTGGCCTCGATCAGCAACAACAACAACAGCAGCAGCAACAGCAACAACAGCAGCAGACCAGCTCTTCCAATGGGAGCTCGGCTGCGACCGCCGTCGCAGACGAAAGGAGGGGTAGCGGCGCGAGCTCGAGCACGGCCTTTGCTATGAGCATCAGCGCTGCAACTCCTGCCGAGTCGGCAATGGTAAGGACTGTGGGCGCACTGTTCCACATCGAACCAGAGCAGCTAGCCAAGGACGCGGAGTTTATGAGAAAGACGTGCACCGAACAGGTAAGTGAGGCCGGTGAAGAACTTTGCGCAATTATACACGCGGAAAGGGATTCTGATAGGCTTGGCAGAATGCAATGATCGACTTGAAACACTGCGTCAAGAACATCAATCTTCAAGCCGCATGGCCGGGGAGGCGAGAAGACTTTCAAAACGACGAGGGCTACCAGCACTGGCGGACGGCCGAGCTGCAGGCCCTGTCGCAGATCATGATGCAAATGTGCAAGGCAAATCCAGAGCTGCTCAAGACGTCTCCTTCGGACACGACCAGTGGGCCACCTGTAGCGCCAAGTGAGGTAAAGGCAGCGACAGAGGCGGGAGAAGACGCTCCCGAAGCCGAGAAGCTGGCCGAGTCGATGCAAGAGGCCGACGAGGAGGCTGTCACATTCGGCGGCTTCACCTTTATACCCCCGGATCCTCGCGCATACTACCGCCGGGCATTGGAATTGTGCATCGACTACGATCTCGAGCAGATCCGCTACCAACCCGAAGACGAAGAAGTGTCGCTGAGCATCCTGTCTAGGTCGCACGTTGAGCTGATGGCCGAGTGCGCGCTGCGATGGCGCATCATGGGGCCTTACCGCGCCATGGCGAACCTCGACGTAATCAAGTACAAGTACGATCGCGGTGAGGTGCCCCTCGACTGCATCTCTGAAGCGCTCTCCTCGGCGAACCGCGTTATTCAGGACAGTGGCAGCCTCGACTGGTGGACTCTGTCCGATCGCAAACTCCTCGTACTGAGCTACACTGCCCTGTTCGACTCGTTTATGCGCTTCATCCACGATGCCTTCCAGGACATTCTCAACGTCGACGCAGACGAGATTCAACCTTACATTGGTCTCGTTGAGGAGCTCAGCGTCTCTGGTCTGGTCAAGGATGAGGGTAGGCTCGACGGCGAGGATGTTGACCTGCAGCGGTATGCGGAGGATTTGAAGGACCGGATACGAATCATGGCCATTCATGAATATACGGCGAAAACGACAGACCTTTTCTCACAACAGGTCGACAACGAGGTGGTGCCCCTAGTGGAGCTGCTCGACTGGATCGAAAAGGGGGCCAAGCGGCTCGACAAGCGGTACAAGGAGCCTATCTTCGAAGCAATTGACCCCGTCTCGCTGCTTCTCGAGAAGCAGGTCCGCCTCTTCTTCGACGACCTAGAATCGATGAAGCACCAGATTGTCGAGCATGCGACAAGGGAGCGCGACCCGTTGGCATTCGATGACATCTTTGCCCTCTACAAGCGCGTAGGCGCCCTGCTTCGCATGCACCACGCCTTTTGTCCAGATGCTGAGGTGCTCTTTGACATTTCCGACTGGTTCGAGCCTCACATCCGCCATTGGCTGATCAATACGGAGAAGAAGACGACGGAGTGGGTCAACAATGCCATTGCCTCGGACTCGTTTGTGCCCATCGATAGCGAGGGTGCGGTGCACTCCTCTTCGATTGACGATCTCTTTGGGGCTCTGCAGCAGCCTCTCGACTTCATCTTGTCGCTCCAATGGCCGGACCCATACCGTAATGCACGCTTTCTGACAAGCCTGGCCAAGACAATCAGCCGATCAATCGAGCAGTACTGCCACCGCGTCGAGGAGCTCTTCATGGAGGAGCTGTTTCCACGTACGGCAGAGGGCCAGGATGCCAACCAGAAGCAGAGCGCGTGGATGGTCAAAGCAAAACAAACGCTTCAGGGCGAGAAGAAAGTCGAGCCGTTCCATTTTCAGGCCTCGTCCTGCGTCAAGCTCAACAATATCGAGGCAGCTAGGCTGCTTCTCGACAAATTGTACAACAAGATGGACGCCGATGAGCAGGCTCGCATCATCAAGACGACAGCCCCCTCCGTGCCGGACAAGGAGCAGAGGCAGAGGTATATCTTTACCGTCAAGGTCGTCCTCGGTGAGAACCTGCAGCCGGTCAAGGAAACATCTGCAAATGCACGCATCGACTCGTTCATTACTCTGAGCGACGAGCGAGGGTTCAAGATTGCCAAGACGAGGACCATCTACGAGACTTCGGACCCGAGATGGGACGAAACATTTGACATCCCGGTGGAGTCGCAGATGTGGCTCGCCGCGACGGTGTGGGACCGCAAGCTGGTGGGCGACCACAATCTCTGCGGGAGAGCATATCTGCGCTTGGACCCCAGATACTTTGGCGATTTTCTCGCCCACGAGCTCTGGCTCGATCTCGACACGCAGGGACGCCTGCTGCTTCGTGTCAGCATGGAAGGCGAAAAGGATGACATCCTCTTTTACTTCGGAAAGGCCTTTCGATCTCTCAAGAGGGCAGAGAGCGACATGGTGCGCATCATTGTCGACAAGATGTCCATCTTCATCCGCCAGTGCCTTTCTCGATCCGTGCTCAAGTCGCTGGTCCGCACGAGCGGGATCAACCTGGACAAGGCGCTGGGAAATGTCAAGGCGCTCTATGCACAAGCACTGGCGCACACAAGCGCCAATGCCTCTGTCATCCCGCCCGTCGATGCTGAGGCGCCTAAGAAGCAGAGGCCGCAGCAGCTGACCGACCAGGAAATCGAAGAGGCCATTCTTCCCCTTCTCGACTACCTCGACGAGACGCTGGGCACGCTCAAGGGCAGCTTGAGCGAGAGCGAGGCTCTTTTGGTGCTGACAAAGGTTTGGAAGGAGGTCCTCAACACCATTGATTGTATCCTCCTGCCACCCCTGTCCGACTCGCCGTCTGATATGCCGCAGCTCTCTGGCAAGGAAGTCGAGGTGGTTTTCAAGTGGCTTTCGATGCTCCGAAACTACTTCAACGCGTACGACGAAGAGACGGGCGTGGCGCACGGCGTGCCCCTCGAAGTCTTGCAGGGACCCAAGTATCGCGAGATTGTCTCGTATACGCTGCACCACGACGCAAACACCGACGATCTGATGGAAGCTTGTGTGCGAGAGATGCAGATGCGTTTGCGCCGGGCTCCGTCGAAGCGGACAAAGACAAAGAGCGTGCTGCAGCAGCGATCGTTGGGGACAATCAAGAAGCGCAAAGCCGACAAGCGCAACGACGAGCAGCAGGCAGCGGGCAACGATGACAATCTCGACGTGGTCCTGCGCCTGCTGCGCATGAGGTCGGGTACGTCGGACTTTCTGCAGCAGCAGTTTGCCACGATGGGCAGCTTGCAGGCCGCCATGGGCAGGGGCGACACGGCGCAAGTCACGCCGCCACGGGCGCAACAGAGGAGAATGTCGCTGAAGTATCGGCAGGATCAGCAACAGCGTCTGCAGATGTCAGCCTCGCAGCAGTCGCCGCAGCAGCAGCAACAACACCAGCAGTCGCCATCAGCAAGACCGAATCTCGGGACGCGAATGTCTAGAATTGCAGCAAATGCCGCTCTCAACTCGTCTTCTCCCTCTTCAGGTGCATACGGAGCGCAGCAACCGCCGCCATCTCCAGGGTCTGCGAGAGATTCGAGACAGTACTACCGATGACCACCCTCCCCCTTCTTGCTCCCGCCCTGTCCTTTGCATCTTCTCCATTGCCGCATCTCAATCGTCCTTTTTCCTTTCTGTCCTTGGTCGTGGCGATACCCCCACTCCACTCTTCTCCCACTTCAGTCTCGTCACGCTCCTTCACCTTTTCACGAAGGGCTGCGCTGTACACCTCTCTTGCCGCAAATTGAGCCTCAATCTCATTTCTCTATCTTCTCCTTCCAATCTCTTCGAATGAATTGATTAATTGATTGATGTGCTCTTTTTACTTTTTGGTGAGATCGACGACCTCAACAAACGCCTTGTCGATGCCTTCGCGGGCCAAAAAGTCCAGGATGACCTTGCGCTGGTCGCCCTGGACAAAGACTTCGTACTTGGCCCTCACCTTGGCCGTCGCAGGCTGCAGCACCTGGGCCGACGCGCTGGCGCCCACGCTCCGCATGAGATCGGCGGCAAAGGACTCTGCTTCGACGCCGTACTGGTCCAGGCCAGTGAGGAGCGAGACGACTTTGCGTCCCTGCCGAGGCTTGATCTCGAGGTGCAACCGCTTGTGCGGGCCTTTGGTCATTGGTCCCACCTCTTCGCTCTTTTCGAGCCCTTCTGCAGGCAAGGCTGAGGTCGCCGAGGCCTTGGTGTTGGACAACGTCCACTCTCGAGCGCGGTCGGGCCGCAGCCGGCTCAGTCTGTGGTATTCGACGCAGCTCGCCGACAGGAGCTTGTCCAGGATTGCTTCGCGCCGCATCCGGGGTGGGATGTCCGAGAGGGCTACCTTCGGGAAGAGGGCGTGGGTGAGGGCTGCATCATCGATTCTGATCTGAGACTGGTCCGCTGGGTCGACGAGAGATCGCGCCGTGAGGTAGTCATTGAGATACTGGCGAATAACGGGGCGGGGCAATGGTTCCGAGGTGCTTGAATCTGCTGTGTCAGTCGTGGTGGAAACGAAAGAGGAAAGAAAAGGCTCACCTGGCGCCCATCTCTTGAAACAATTTGACTGACGAGGCGTTGGCCTTCCAGAATCGCTCGACGACCACCTGCGTCTTCTTGTTGGCGTCGGAGGAAGAAGAGGACGCCTGGCCGACGGCGGTCGCGCCCTCTGCACCTGCAGAAGCAGGGCCCGTCTGACCATTTTCAGAGTCTTGAAGCGCTTGCTGGGAGAGTGTCAGGTAAGGCGTGACACCCTCGAGGCTGTCATGACAAAATCCTCATAGAGTCAGCGTCGACCTTTGGAGAGAGAAGTTTTGTATAACACCCACTCTGGATGCTTCGAAGTGATAGAGACAATGACGGTATCTTTGCCCTTGATGTCTTTGCACTTGACCAGATCCCGTTTCTCGATACCCTTTATCCACTTGGCCAGCTTCTTTGCCGAGCTGCGTCGGACATCGGTAGACTCGGCTATGACGACCCTCTCGCCGCCATCGCCCGCCTCGCACTCGACGAGTGAGTCAGGAAGCCTAGCTCTTCGCTTTCCTTTGGCATCGAGAGGTGGCCAGTGGGCAGGTCTGTTTGGGAGGACGTGGGAAGAGTAGAAGGAGGACAGGGGCATGGGAAATTGCTGACTTTGTTTCGAAAGCTTCGTAAGAGTGAGCAGCATGGCGAGGTTGAGGATCGAATCGACCTCTGAAGGAAGATAGAGGTGTAAGCAGCTGCGTTCATGGAGAGAGAAAATCAACTTTTGGGATTCACCTTTGGCCGTAAACGAATGTGTATCTTCTTGCTGCCCATTCTCTTCCTCGCCATCATCTTCTGCGTGGCCTTTTGCATCCCCATTGGTTGTCTTTCCATCTACGTCGTCGAGCTTGATGCCGTCGTCACCTTGCTGAATTTGTTCGTCGCCGCCACTTTGCAGAGAATCAGCAGCAGCAGCAACCTGCTCTGCGGCAGGAGGCTCTCCCTTTCCTCCTAGCTCCCAAAGGAAGTCACCAAGCGCGTGAATGGTTGTAGCCGCCTTTCCCTTTTCACCCACAGAGCGCTTCTGCACAATGTCTTTCATGTCGGCATCCAACCTGGCCACGACGAGGGGAACGGGCGAGGGGTACGGAGTGATGGCGACGATGGTCGACTTTGTGGGAAGTGAAGAAGAGGAGGAAGAGGCATGCTGAAGATCCGCCGGAAAGGTGTGTGGAGGAGGGATCAGGCCAGGGATCATGAGGGCCGATCCACTGAGTAGGGTAGGATTGACAATCTGGGGCCACGTCGGCAGGCGAGGGAGAATGTCGGGTGCAAGCCAGAGGGCATACACGGTCGGGAAGACTTCGAATAGCTTCTCGCCTCCGCTCGGCCCACCGTTGCCGCTCTTCTTGTTCTTCTTTTCTGATTGCTGCAATGCAGAGCCCGCCTGTGGGCCCAGCTCGAACCAGAGAGGCTTTCCATGGTCGTCGGTGTAGATGACGGCCTTCTGCCCGCCGCTCGTCGTGGCGCCGCAATGTCGCAGCCCGTTGGGCACCACCTCGGACAGCACCTCGGGCGTTGCATCTGCCAGGGCCGGGTACAGCGCCTGCAGATGCGCCAGAAAGGCCCTTCGTGACGAAGAGCGCAGCGGTGACGCCGGCTTGAGCTGCGGCGGCTTCTTGAACATCGCGCGCTGCAAAGATGGCTTCAGTGGTTGACGAGAGCGTGAAGTTGGGCGCAAGCAATCTTCGGACTTTTTCTTCTCGTGCGTTTGTTAGTCTCATTCCAGGTGGAGACGCGCGCTCACACGGGCTTGAGCATTTTGGATCCACAGCCACCGTCACCACCGTCTCCTGCCTGTACCAAGCCCCCTTCTCACGACTGACTCCTCGATTGTACTCTACTTGGCTCAGGTTCACGAACGCAGAATATTCGTGATGGCACAAGAAGCACCACGCAAACCCACGCTGCTCGAGCTTGTCGGAAATGGCGACTTGGTGGGGCGCATACAATGCCACTGTTGACCACTTGTGTACTCACGGCTCTCTCTGCCCTTTCCTCGGCAGTTTCGGTGTGCATATTATGATGAAGAACGTCCTGGGCTCGGAAGAGAGCCATCCTACTAGTTCGTCAAGCTTGCGAGAAGACCTTCACTGATGTACGCCTGACACCTTTGTCCTTCCCAACAGCCTCGTTGGACCGACGGACACGCTGGAGGAAGTGATGATCAAAGCCGAGCGTGTTGGTTGCCTCATCTCCAGCCGCCATTCTCTCGCTGTAGCTATTGGAGATCTCAAAGGAGGCCCTGAGAAGTTGGCCAGGTCGAAGCTCTCGGCTTTGGAATCATTCCTCTGGTCGAAATTCGAGGAGGGCGCTCAGCTCCCTCCTATGTCGTGGCATACCGCGAAAGAAGAGGCTGATAAGGGAGAGCAAGGAGTTTCGAAGAAAAAGCGAGCTGTGTCTCAAGCAGACAAGAGCATTAGGGGAGGCAAAGCGATCAAACGGAACCGTCAAGGAGCAAAAGAGGTCATAAGCAAAGTCGAGGACGACGGCTTAGACGCTGGTGCGCACATGATGCTGCACATCAACGGTCTGGCCCTTCTTTATGGCAAGCGGCCTGACGCGGTCCGCTATGAAGACGTGCTGTCATTCGAGCGAGAATATCCTCAGCTCAAGCCTCTGCTATGCGCCAGCGTCCTCCTCACATCTGTTCGCGAAAATGCCCGGGCATCTAAGGAGCGCAATCACTGCCATGAGATCGAAGTGCAAGCTTGCCGAAAGGTCCTCGATGCGATCACGCAGCAAATTCACTGGATCATGTCGGCAGCCAAGAAGCACAGTGAATCTGTCGACAAGAATATGAAGATCGTCTCAGAACGCATCAGAACGATGTCAGCAAAGGCCTACGGTGACGCGCAAAGTCCTGTCGGCAAAGCCACGAAGCTCGTCGAGGGCATTGATGGAGACGAAGAAGATCAAGAGGAAGAGGAGGTTGAGGAACACATGTCACCCTCGGATGATGTCACAGAAGAACAACGTCGCGAGGGAGCCCATTACGCGGAAAGCGAAGAGTCCTCGAGTGACGAGGTAGCTCTCAATCAGCGAGAAGACAAGATTGAGAGGTTGCAAGAAGCTAGCGAGGAGAAGAGCGGAGAAGATGCCCAGAAGGAAAAGAGTGTCACAGAAGCTGACAGGCTGAGCTCCGGTGAAGGACGCCCAGAGGACACTCCTGCCGTACATCCGCGATTCTTCAGAAACCAGATCAAGGTTTATCGTCTTCCCGAACAACCTTTGGGCTATCGAGGCTGGAGCAACACCAGCGGCTAGTCTGGAACTCCCCCTAAACTCAGCTTCTCTATGATTACCACCCATTGTCCTCAATCAGCGCCTGCTGACCGATCCACCATGGCCTCTCACCTTTTTTTTTTGTCATCTCCTCCACCTCTACTCTCGTCCGGCATTTCTTCCTAAAGCCGTCACGTCGTACGATCCACCTCTTTCTTTTTTTCGCGCGTGGTCGACTTTGCCATCGACCTTCGACAAACGTCACCACCACTCTCTCAACCTCCACCATTCCGCAAATCAACCCCATCTCCGTCGTACTACTCGCCATTCTCGTACCGTTTATGCTCAACCACATCACGAGCTTCTCCCGCCACTTTTTGCCCGCGCGTAAACCAAACATCATGGGCGCCGCCACCGAACCGACCGTTCCCACTGCCATTTCCGCCAAGCAGGGCCTCGGCGCTGCGACCAACGGGGCAGGCGGTGTCACAGACGTGGCTACGGTGGCAAGTGGCTGCTTTTGGGGTACTGAACACATCTTCCGAGAACACTACGGGAGCGGTCGAGGCCTCATCGACGCCAAGGTCGGCTTCATTGGCGGAAAGGAGTCAAGCAAGGACCCAAGTTACGAAGAGGTCTGCACCGGCCGCACCGGTCATGCGGAAGCCACGCAGATCAAGTTCGATCCTGTAAGTCCTTTCTGGGACCAGAATTCCTTTTGTGCGCAATTGCTCATCTCGAAGCTCTCCGCGGAACAGACCAAGGTCACCTACGCCGAGCTCGTCGAGTTCTTCTACCGTACCCATGATCCAACGCAGCTTAATGCGCAGGGCAACGACCGCGGCACCCAGTACCGCTCCGCACTTTTCCCGCACGATGCCGACCAGCTCGGCGCAGCCCAGAAGGTGACACAGGAGGTGCAGGACAAGTACTTTGGACCAAAGGGCCGCAAGATTGTCACGCAGATCGAGCAGAGGCCTGCGGGCGACTTTTTCGTCGCGGCAGAGTACCACCAGAGGTACCTCGAGCACAATCCGTTTGGCTACCAGTGCAGCAACCACAAGCTCTGGTGGTGACGGCTGCGACTACTGACTCTTCTTGAAAACCAACACCAACTTTCTGTATTTGTCTCTCCTTCTCTCTTTCTCCTCCCTCTCTCACGTAAATCCATCTTTCTCTTCCACACCACTGCGAGCGCGGCAGTCAGAGTGCGCTCTGTCCTTGACTCCCATGTCTCGTCTCAGCCTCGCTCAGCAAGGCCCAGCGCCAGGAAGAGTGCCTCGTTGCCAACATGGGCTAAAGAGCTGGGAATGTGAAACGATGAGGTGATCATCGATTGTCCCTTGGGACCCCCTCCACTTGTGGGCGTACTCTCGGCGGAGCATGTCTGGGTGTAAAAGTCAATTCAATTAGGAGCTCAACTATCACCAACCTCTCTCTCTCATACAGTCTCGCCTCTCTCCGGCTTCTTCACAATGTCGTCAATGGGCAGCACTCCCACCTCGTCGCTCTCGCTTTCGGCGTTGTTTGGCGTCGAAAAGCGCGTAGTACTCGTGACCGGCGGCGGCAGCGGCCTGGGTTCGTACGCGGCCGTGGCGCTGGCCCTGCACGGCGCACAAGTCTACATCGTCGGCCGCCGCAAGGACAAGCTTGACGGCGTCGTGGCCGACTTTTCCGCGCGCCAAAAGGAGGCCGCTGCAGCAGGATCATCTTCCTCTGGCGGCCAGTTCCCCGCTGCTGCCACAGGCAAAGTCGTGGCGCTCCAAGGCGACGTCGCGTCAAAGGACGGCATCAGTGCGATCCGTGCGGCTTTCGAGAAGCACGAGGCCCATCTCGACCTGCTCGTCAATGCAGCGGGCATCATGAAGGCCATGAAGGCTTCGTCAGTCGGCAAGAACGACGGGCTGGCGCAGGTGCAAGCGCTGTGGGACGAGCCCTGGGATGTGTTCCAGGACACGCACAACGTCAACCTCACTGCCGTCTTTTACGTCGCCGTCGCCTTTGCCCCTCTGCTCGCTCGCGCCGCGCCGGCGAGCCACACGGAGCAAGGCCCGCAGATTGTCAATGTGACGAGCATCGCCGCCTTCCACCTTGCGCGCCCGGCCAGCGTGCACTACCAGACGTCCAAGGACGCGGCCGAGAAGCTGACAAAGATCCTCGCCGGCCGGCTCCAGCCTCTGGGCATTCGCGTCAATGCCATCTCGCCAGGCATCTACCCGTCGGAAATGACGGAGACGGCGACGGCCGCCGACTTTGCCCGGCCCGACCACCCGCTGCGGGCGACGGTGGAGAGGAACCCGATCAAGCGTAGCGGCACGCCAGAAGACTTTGCCGGCCTCATTGTCTTTCTCGCCTCGCGCGCCGGCGCCTACTTTGATGGCACCAGCCTCACCACCGACGGCGGCAGACTGCTCAACATCTCGGCTGCGTGAGGCTGAACCTGTGTATGCGATTGATGTTACAGACAAAAAGAGAAATGAAAGAGGTGGCAATGACAGTACAAGGGCCGGCGCGCAGTGTTGCATGCGTCATCGACCGAGTCTCCAGACCTGATGAGAGAGATGGTCAGTTCAGCTACTCAGCTAGCGAGTACCGCGCGTGTAGAATTCAGACCCACTTTGATGCAAGGATCGTGCTCCAGGCTCGCAGACGCGAGAATGGGCAGTGTTGGGTGCGAGGCCACGGCAATGACGACATCGTGATGGCCCTGGAGCGTCTCGACGACCTGTTTTGTTTGCAAGTCCCAGAGGTACACCCTCTGGTCCTCGCTGCCAGTCACGACCGAGATTCTTTGCTCTTGCTTCCCGCCATTCGTCTGAGCACCTTTCCCCTCCTCGCTGGCCTGACGACGACGGCGGTGATATGGAGCGGTAAATGCGGCCTTGATGGCATACTTTTCATTGTGGTGGCCCGCATAGGTCTTGAGCACGCGCGAATTGGCCACGTCCCACAGCCGGAGGTGGCCGTCGAGCGACGAGGCGAGCAGCTGTGCCGCGTTGGGCGAGAAGCGGCACGAGGAGACGGGGGCCTTATCCGAGTGGACGAGCGTCTTGAGGCATTGGCCCGTCGACGTATCCCAGAACCGGATGAGGCCGTCGTAGCTGCAGCTCGCAATCATGGCGCCATCGCGGCTAAAATCGACACCGGTCACAGCCTCGGAGTGCGCCGCAATGGCCCGGTGGCATGTTCCCCTTCTCAAATCCCAGAGTCGGACCGTCTCGTCGAAGCTGCCCGACACGACGAGGTTGACGCTAGGGCTAAAGTTGACGCAAAAGACAAAGGACGTGTGTCCCTCAAATTGGCGAACCAGGACGTGCTGCTTGTTTCCTTGTCAGCTTTAGCGAATGCCCTACGAGAGAAAGGAGGGGGTAAAGAGGAAAAAGATGCACTCACGCGCACGGCATCCCAGACGCGCACCATGCGGTCGTCGCCCCCACTGACAATGTACCTTCCATCACTGCTCCAAGCCACATCACTAAGCCCTGATGCAACACCAACACCACCACCAGCTCCTCCCTGTGCATCCTCCATCCCCTCTGGCGCGCCGAGGCCGAGCGTGGCAGGAGCCCTCAATGTCGCGCGCAAGGCCCCCGTAGCGAGAGACCACAGCTTGATGAGACCATCAGCACCGCAAGATGCCAACATCATCCCGTCTGGCGAGATGGCGATTGCCGAAACAGAGCGTTGATGGCCGAGTAGCGTGTACACGAGCTCGTACCTCTGCCTGTCTTCTTCTTCCTTTGCCCGTGCTGGCCCATCGACCGACATGGCCACTCCCTCGCCTCCCGCTGTGCCGCCGCCGCCGCCGCCGCCGCCGCTGCCACCACTGCCGTTCTGGTCGTGTGACTGCGCGTGTGTCCCATTGACAGACGCAGGCCCCATATCTGCATCCTCGGCCTTGCTCTCCATCGCCGCTGGGCTGCGCCCATCCTCCATCCTACCAAGTGAATCAGCAACGCACTTCTGTTTAGTCGTTCGCGAGCAAAGAGGTTAAACAGAGAATGCGTATAACCCGAGTCCCGACGGCCCTCTTTTCTCCCTTCTCTGCTTTCATCGCTCCTGGTTTAGTCTTAGTCTAAGGGTAGGGGCCCGTCTCAATTGCTCAATGGGCTCTTCAGACAACGTCAATACTGTCAGGTCTCAACGGCGTGCAAATACCTCGGCCATAGAATGCCTGAGCTGACCAAAGAGAAATGGCAGCTTACAGGCAAGAGAACGTCACGAGAACAGTTCAAGCCTTGAGACAAACGCTCAATCAAAGGCCTGCCGAGAGAGGGATGAGTAGAAAGAGACCATGAATGTCATTCGCCGCCATCCTCAGCGAGAGTGGCGTCAATGTATGAGAATGTGTGTTGTGAAGTGGGTGGGTGTGCGTATAAGCGTACAATGGAGCAACGAGAGAGCCGCCTCTCTTGTCCTCCGTTTTTGGGCATGTCGATCCTAGCCATTGTGGTCCAACTCCTGCTCCTCCTCGAGCAGTCCCTAGCTATCCTCAGCTTCGTCTTTCCTCCTCCTTCTCCCCGTCTTCCAGCTCTAGCCTTCCGCTCTAGACTACCAGTGCCATATTATAGCACTTAGTAGAAGGTCGAAGGGCGGTTGGCGGCAAAGATGCCGATCGAGTTGGGGCGACGGTGGGGCAGGGGGAAGCGGAGCTTGGGCGTGGTGAGCTGCTTGATGTATGGTCGGCGAACGTCCTCGCTCTTCTGGATCTCGGCCACCTTAAGGATGTGGATCGAGGCGAAGCGGGCACGGTGCCTGGCAGCCATGTCCTGGTACATCGTCTTAACGGCAGCAGCCCTCGTCAGGTCGCGGTACTCCTTGTACATGTTGTGCGTGCCCGACCGAGAGTTGTAACGCAGCCAGATGCCGAAGTTCTTGACCTTGAGGGGCTTGGCCTCGGAGATCTTGAGCGGCACAGAAATCAGCCATTTCGTTCTTCTCACGCGTTATGGCGGATCAAGGGCATATACTCACGACATTGACCGCAACGATCTCGCCCGTAGCCTTCTTCATCTTACGGAGCTGACGAACGAAGTACCAGAAACGGGACTTGGCCACGGTCTCGTTCTTGGCAAAGATGCGCATCCGGTAGAGCTTGGGCGTAGGCTCCTTCTCCGTAGGCAAGTGCCTACCAATGACCTGGTACTCCTGCATCTTGTCGCTGTAAGAACGGAGGAGTAAATATGTCAGTCTCTGCTTTGGTCTCGTTCGTCACTCGGTGTGCCCAATATCCTCGTCCTCAGCTGGCGAACACCTTCCTCCCTAGTCCTCCCTCGACACCTCTTCTCCATGGTAGCCCTACAAAGGAACCGCCCCGGCGCCCTTCCATTCTCCTCTCCGATGCTCGAGCCTTATGTCCAGCAATGCGCTGGCACACTCCTTCCTGCGATGTCGACAAGTCTAGATACTCACGTTTGTCTTGAGGGTTGGTGACGTTGAAGGTGTTAGGAAGCTGCTCGAGGCCTCCAAATCGTCCGGGCCCAGCTGCGGTCGTCTGCCCCTTCTCTCTTCAGCAACGTGGAAAAAGGAATACACGTGGCTTCTCGAGAAAATCCAAAATTCTGCTCTCGGCCGATTTGTACGCATCGAGCACGTGAACACAACATTTCCTCGAACGCCCATCTCCAAACAGATTCGGTGTGGATGAAGTAGTCAAAAGTCGATCAGTCACAAGAGAGGGTGGAACGATGGGCCTCTTTGACACCAAGCACAGCGATGAGCTCAAACTATGGCTCGTCAAGGAGCTGGAGCCGATGTAAGTGCACTGCAAAGGGTCACCACAAAAGGTGGATTGGGTAGCTAACACACCTGCATCTCCAGCTGTGATGCGGACCCAGAGGTGCTGTCGGACTACGTCTTGGCGCTGCTGAAGCACGATGCGAGTGAGGGAGACATCGAAAAGATGCTGGCAGAGCAGCTCGACGACTTCCTTGGCGAGAGTGAGTGGATGTGCCGGCAAGCGTCATGTGAGATTGTGGAGCTGACAAGAGGATGCATGCAAAGGCACCGCGAGCTTTGTCAAGAAGGCGCTGGACGCTCTGAGAAACAGCACCTATCTTCCCGAATCCAAGAGACCTGTTGAGAGTGCTGCTCCGTCGAGGAAGAGAAGTGCAGAGGATGAGGGCAGGCGGTCACCGCCCAAGTCATCCCGGCCAGCCGAGGGTTCGTCGCCACAAGATCAGCACAACTCAGCGGCAGGACCTTCTTCGCTGGGCCATCATGAGCGAGGGTCCGGCAGCCCGGGGCCGCGAGACTATCAGAACAGGAATCGCAGACCGAAAGATCCTTGTCGAGACTACCATCGTGAGTTAGACTCCCTTGCAGTCTCATCTTTACCTGTCCTGATTCATTCGTTCGCAAATAGTGAAGGGCTTCTGTCCGCGGGGCAACGAGTGCAGATGGGACCACTCGCCTCAGGCTGGCGCAAAGCTGGCAGCAGCCAACGGGTTCCCGGTGATGGCTCAAATGCCAGGGTTTGCAGCGGGACAGCCCGGGATGGGGAGAGGACAGCAAGCATTCATGGCGCGCCCTCCATTCGCTGGGCAGGGTCCGGTCCCGCCGCAATTTATGGGCATGCCCTCGCAAGGATGGGGTGCTGCACCCCAAGGATCGCCACCGGAGGGTGTACCACCGTATGTGCCACACCAGCAGCCGCTCACCAACGGCGCTCCGGGCGACGCGCCCAGCTTGGCTTTGCGGATGGGTGCCCAACAGCCTGATCCGCAAGTCCATGAACAGAACGGAGCTGGCGGCTTCCCCCAAACCTCTGGCCTTCCGGGATTCCGTGGAGGGATGCGTGGTGGTGCGCGGGGTGGGAGAGGAGGCGCTGGTGGTGGACGAGGTGGGGGCTTTGGCACATTCGGAAGCCAAGCCCGGTCCTCTACGACTCTCGTCATTGAAAACGTGCCTCAAGATTCGCTCGACCTCATCAAGATCAACGACTATTTCAAGAAGTTCGGTACAATCACCAATATCCAGATTGATGCGCCAAGCGCAAAGGCGCTCGTCAGCTACAGCCAGCCATCGGAAGCGAAGACAGCACACAGCAGCCCAGACGTCATCTTTGGTAATCGGTTCGTAAAAGTGTACTTTCAAAAGCTCGATGAGGGGACAAATGGGGCCGGTGGAAGTCCGTCGTCGAAGCCCAGCGTTGTGGCTCCGCCTCCCAAGTCCAACTTTATTCCGGGCAAAACTTCGAATGTGTACCATGCCAAACCGCCGGTCGCTGCATCGACTGCCTCGGCCGAATATCACACCAAAGCCCTAGAGGCCCAAAAGGCCGCGCAGGCCAAGCTCGATGGCCTCATGGCGGAGCAGAAGGAAGTGATGACGAAGGTCACGAGCGGGACGGCCGAGGAGAAGAAGCAGGGCATGGCCCGCTTCAAGGCGCTCGATGGCGAAGTCAAGCTGGCGGCCGAGGAGGTGCGCAAGGCTGTCAAGGAAGTCCAGTCGACATCAGCGGCAGCCGCTGGTCAAGGGCCCGACTCTGGAAAGTGGAAGGAGCAGAGAGAGGCAAAGGAGCGGCAGCGACTCGATCGGGAGCTGGAGATGCACAGCAAGGGAGGCAATGGAAACGGGACAACGGAGGAGCTCAAGGCTACGCTGGCAAGGCTGCAGGCAGAGGCTGCTTCCATGGGCATCGATCCGGCCTCGCCGTCGGCTCCGACGCTCAGTGGCGGCGCATACAGAGGAAGGGGAAGAGGCAGGGGAGCATATTCGAGCTACAGAGGAGGACGCGGTGGTCCGCCAGGCCGCATGTCGCTGGACAACCGAACGACGAAGCTACGCATTACCGATCTGCCTGCCGAGTCCGAAGAGCAAAGAAACAAGGCACAGGAGTGGTTCAAGCAATTCGGAGAGGTAGCCGAATTCAGCCAGGGTGGCTTCGAGGGCGAACCAAATGATGTCCTGGTCGTGTACAAGGTCCGAGCCAATGCAGAGGCGGCCCTGAGGTCTGGCCTAAGCATTCCAGATGTAGGCCAGGTCAAGGCGAGCTGGTACACAGCGCCCACCGCGTCAAATAGCGCTACTGCGATCACGGCCGCTGGTGGTGCTGCGACGGCATCTACGGCAGAGGAGGAAACAGAAGCGGGGCACGACGACGACGATGGGTATGATGGAGGTGAAGGCGACGAGGACAAGGACGATCACTTTAGACGATGAGCGCTGGTGCTCTTGTGTAGTTGTATCTAATCAGGCCCCCCTCCCGTTTTTGGCATGCTTTACTCAAAACTATATCTGCTCTTTCCTTTGAAGAGTGGACTGGACCGCTCGCTTTATCCATCAAATCAATGTGCATTTTCATTTGTGTGTCTAGAGGCTCAAACCACCTGTCCCACCGCAGATCGCATGTCTGACCTAGAAGTGGATAGGCTTGTCGTACGCGGCCATGGCAGCCTCCTTGAACGCCTCGGACAGGGTAGGGTGAGCGTGGCATGTCCGTGCGATGCTAGAGATTTTGAAGCTTGAGTCAGCCCGCGAAAAGAAACTATTGGTGAAAGGCAAAGCGAAGCAAAGACACTCACTCTTCGGCGCTTGCGCTGTACTCGATGGCGAGCACCGCGCTAGCAATTTGCTCGCCAGCGTTGGGGCCAATGATGTGGACGCCGAGGACCTTGTCCGTCTGCTTCTCGACGAGGAACTTGACAAAGCCGTCGGTGTCTCCGTTTGTCTTTCCTCGCGAGTTGGCAATGTACGGGAAGGAGCCCACGTTGAATTCGACGCCCTCATTCTTGAGGTCTTCTGCCGTCTTGCCAACCCACGCCACTTCTGGGTGCGTGTAGACGACGGCGGGGATCGCACCGTAGTTGACGTGGCCGTGGCCGTGCTTGATAATCTCCACGGCGGCGATTCCCTCCTCCTCGGCCTTGTGTGCAAGCATGGGCCCAAATGTCGCGTCACCAATGCACTTGACGCCCTTGCACGTCGTGTTGTACTGGTCATCGACGACGATGCGACCCTTGTTGTCCTTCTCCACTCCAATCGCCTCCAAGTTCAGGCCCTCCGTCACTGGCCGACGCCCAATGGCGACGAGGACGACATCAGCGTCGATTTGCTCCTTCTTGCCGGACTTGGCGTCTTCGACGTTGAGGTAGACCTTTCCATCTCGCTTCTCGGCATCAAGGACCTTCTTGCCGAGGCTGAACTTCAGCCCTTGCTTCTCGAGGAGCTTCTGGAATGACTTGGACACCTCGCCGTCCATGCCGGCACCGCCAATGGCGCCGAGGAACTCGACAACCTCGACCTTGGCACCGAGTCTGCTCCAGACGGAGCCCATCTCGAGACCAATGACACCGCCACCGATGACAATCATCTTCTCGGGCACCTTCTTGAGCTCAAGGGCACCCGTCGAAGACACAATCTGCTCCTCGTCAATTTCGATACCAGGGAAGGGCGTGACCTCGCTTCCCGTTGCAATGATGATGTTCTTGGCTTCCACCTGGGTCTCGCCACCGTCGTTGAGCTTGACATTGACCGTGGTCGGGCCTGCAAAGCTTCCGAATCCCTTGAGGTAGTCGACCTTGTTCTTCTTGAGCAGGCCTTCCACACCCTTGGTCAGACCCGTCACGGCCTTGTCCTTTGCCTTGAGCATCTGGGCAAGGTTGACGCTGACATCCTTTACGTCAATGCCGCGCGATTTGAAGTCGTGTGCGGCCTGGTGGTAGAGGTGCGAGTTGTTGAGCATGGCCTTGGAAGGAATGCAGCCGACGTTGAGGCATGTCCCTCCGAGCGCGCCGCGCGATTCGATGCAGGCCGTCTTGAGGCCAAGCTGACCGGCCTTGATGGCCGCGACGTACCCGCCCGGGCCACCACCGATGACAACAACGTCGTAGGGGTCTGCAGACGAGGCAAGCCCGCGCCGGCCGAGCGGCATCGAGGTCGACGTCGCCAGTCGAGGAAGCGTCATGGGCTGGAAAGCCTGGCACGAGATGTCCCCGTCAGCTATCTCTGATCACTCTATCCCACTCGGCTGCCACTGCATGACTCACCCTCGCGGGGAGAGCTGGCCCGGAACGGGCAAGGTATCGAGAGAGCATCTTCTTTGTGCGCAAAGGAGGATGGTGGCGTCGTCGAGAGGGAGGAAGGTAGCCCGATCCAATTGGGGTCGTCAAAATCTACCGCCGCCGCCCAAAAGAAGGCGTTTGACCACGTGTAGTCAGGTCAGCAAAAAGTGGAAATTATTCGGCCTTATCGGAGAGAAGGCCGGGCCTTGGAAGAAGAAGGACTGACTATCCAAAAACAGAAAACAAAGGGACTGTATAAGCAGACACGATGATGCTCCGACAGGTAAGAAGAGGACTGTGGAGCAGCGGAAGCGCCGGAGGTAGCGTGGCGTTTCACCTTGATAGAAAGGCCGTCGTGGTTATTCCGACTGCGAGTGCGTCGACGCAGGCGTCGCCGCAAAAGTTCAACAGCGACAGGCAGCCTCGACATGCGCGAAAGCAAGCAGGAGGGGGAAACGACAAAGGTCGAAGAGATGGTTGGGTGGTGCCCAAGCCTCAAAATTGGGCGAGACAAGGGGACAACAAAGGAAAGATGAAGAGTGTGGGTGGCACAGGGGGTCAGAAGGCGCGGCCGGAGAGCAAGGCTGGGAAACCGGCGGCGAAAGCGCCAGTGCCGCCGCCCAAGGAGGACCGAGAGTTGCCGTTGCCGCCCTTTATCACCGTCAACAGCCTCGCCAAGGCGATGGGCATCAAAATGAGTGAGTGTGATGGAACTTCCACTCTGCGCTTCTGAATCGGGAGATGTACTGAAAGATGCGGTCAACCAGAAACGCTGCAGGGCAAGATGACCGGTCTTGGGCATACAGACGTGCGACCGGATCTGCTGCTGTCATTTGAAGAGGCCGAAGTCATCTTGCTGGAGATGGATCAATTTGCTGTTCCTATGGACGCCTCGTCGTCGCAGGCCTTTGATGTATACCCGCGCCCGCCGCTGTCCGACTCGGAGCGAGCAAAAGCGCCCCTTAGACCTCCGATTGTGACCATCATGGGTCATGTCGACCATGGCAAGACGACGCTGCTGGACCGGCTGAGGAGCACGAGCGTGGCTGCGGGCGAAGCAGGTGGAATCACACAGCACATTGGTGCATTCAGCGTGCCAGTCGGCAAGAAGGCATCGTCCTCGTCATCGGGCTCCCAGCCCAGAATCACCTTTCTCGACACACCGGGCCACGCTGCCTTTTCAGCCATGCGCTCTCGCGGTGCTCAACTTACTGACATCGTGGTCCTTGTCGTTGCCGCCGACGACGGTGTCATGCCCCAGACGAAAGAGGTGATTCAGGTTGTGGACCAGCTCCAGTCCGAGTCTCGCTCCTCGCGCGCCTCGCATGGCACAGTCCAGCTCGTTGTTGCCCTCAATAAGGTCGACAAGCCAGAAGCAGACGTCGAAAAGGTCAAACGAGACCTGCTCAGCGCCGGCGTGCAGCTTGAAGACTTTGGCGGCGATATTCCCTGCGTCGAGATTTCGGGAAAGACTGGCCAGGGCCTGGACAGGCTCGAGGAGACGCTTCTGGCACTCAGCGAGCTGGCTGAGCTCAGATCCGAGGCAGTCGGCGCAGTCGAAGGCCTCATCCTCGAGTCGAGGGTGGAAAAAGGGCGAGGCAACACGGCGACGGTGCTCATCAAGCGAGGCCAGGTTCAGGTGGGCGATATCATCGTGGCTGGGACGTCATTTGCCAAAGTCAAAGGTCTCTCCGACGAGGGCAACCGGCCACAGAAGTCCGCGGGCCCAGGCGATGCCGTACTCGTCATGGGATGGAGAAGCTTGCCTCACGCTGGCGACGAGGTCCTCGGCGTCGTGGACCAGAGTGGCGTTGGGGCTGAGCTGCTTGCCAAGAAGGCCGTCGAAAGGAGGACACGAGTGGAAGAGCAGAGGAAGCTGAGCGAAGATGTTGTGGCGGTCAACGAAGGAAGGAGGATAAAGGCCGAGGAGGACGAGAAGCGCGACAGGGAAGCTTTCGAACAGAGGCAGCGCGCAAGGGAAGCCAGGATGCAGCAAGCGGCTGGACAAGGCGGAGCGAATTCTGCTGGGACTGTTGATGCTGTTGCTGCTGCTGCAACCGAAGAGAAGCAGAACGCGGAGGCAGAAGACGAGATGGGGGCCGAGGCCCGAAGCAAGAAGCAGGAGCTTAGGTTGGTCGTCAAGGCCGACTTCAGTGGTACGGTTGAGGCAGTCTTGGGAGCCATCAGCGGCATTGGAAACGCCGATGTATGCGTGAAGATTGTCTCTTCCGGCGTCGGGGAGCCAAACGAGGGCGACATTGCCATGGCCCAAGCCGTCGGGAAGTGCGAAGTCATCGGCTTCAACGTCAAGCCGTCCAAGCAAATTCTCAATCTAGCCACAAAAGCCCACCCGACGCCCGTCAAGGTGCACTGCGACTCGGTCATTTATCGTCTCATGTCGCACGTCTCGGAGCAATGCGCTGCCCTGCTCGCGCCCACCGTCGAGACACGCGTAAATGGGGAGGCAGTCATCGCCGAAGTATTCAACATCAACCTCAAAGGAAGGCACTTTCGCAATGTGGCTGGGTGCAGAGTCACCAACGGCGTACTGAGTCGAAACAGCCAGGTGCGGGTGCTGCGCGGCGACGAGCGCAAGGTCATCTATGAGGGCAAGCTCGACAGCCTGCGGCAGATCAAGCGGGAAGTCGAGGAGATGCGCAAGGGCACAGAATGCGGCCTTGGCTTCGAGGGCATGTGGGGAGCCTTTGAAAAGGGCGACATCGTGCAATGCATCCACAACGTAGAGGTTCCCCGGAAGTTGTAACTGTATGTCCTCTGAGCTCCCACGGTCAATCAAGAAGCCACGGGCAGTCGTCGTAATGCGAGAGCTCCACTTGCCCTCATGCGTGGAGAAATGGCGCTAACGCTTCCATCGGTTCCTGGAAAAGAAGCTCGTTGGCCGCGTGTATTTGGTTGTTCTTTCCGCTTGGTCCCTGACCCATGATGAGCATCGAGTAGCCAGCGCTTGACGACGAAGACGGCGGAGGAGAGCTATGCCGAATACTCAGAGTATTGCAAGCCTTCCGCTGGAGCTGATCGACATGATCGTCAGTGAGATTGGTCCGCCCACGACGGAGCATGCCTATTCGCTTCCACCCGAGACGCGTATGACCTTGTCAGCCTGTACGCTAGTGAGCCGCTCGTGGCGTGCAGCCATGCTCCCACATCTCTGCCGGAGAGTCTGTCTCTTCACTGCTCAGCAGCACGAGAGCTTCCTCCTGGCTCTCGTATCCAACGACGGGCTCGAATCGCACGTCGAGCACCTCGCCGTCAAGGACTTTCATGGCGGCTTTCTTGAGCCGGCCCTGACCACATTCACCGACGTCCTCCGGCGCATCTGCGCAGCACGCAAGCTGCGCTCCTTGTACGTCGACAAGAGACACTCTGCATTCTACGACGACTTTCCCCAGGAGCCTGGCGGCTCGGATCCATGGGCGTGTACTACAATGGTCAAAGAAGTTCGACGGTCGCTGGACCTCCTTGCGGACCACACCAGCGAAGAGTACAGCCTCGAGCAGATTGTGAGCCCATTTACAGAGCTCTTTGGCGGAGCCAATTTCGACAAGCCCGACCATCTCAATGGTGACTGGCCCGTTCATCGAGGTCTTCGAAGGCTTGCGGTGCGGGGTATGACGCTGGACGAGGACGCAGCCAAGAGTGTCGGATGGAGGCGTCGGATGCACCACCTCCGCATGTTGGTCGTCAAGGATCCCATCATCATTGGCCGATTGATGGGCAAGGACAAAAGTGAGCTCGAAAGCGTGCTTAGGATGGCAAGGTCGATGCATCCGGATGCGCACCTCATCATCGTCTTCGGAGAATGGCAGCTTAAGCAATGGAAAAGAGACTGGGAGCACGTCAAGGCAACCCCGAAGGGTCTCAAAGGCTGCTGCAGGATCACGTTCTTCAATGACAAAAACGAGGTAGACTGGCTGCAAAATAAAGGCCTCGACGGCAGCCTCTGGACGCTTGGAGAGAAGGGAAATGACGAGGATATATATATGGCTTCATGAGGACGATCATAGAGTCTTTTGAACTTGAGAATGGAGGGCTGCTCTCTATCTCGAATGAAAGATTCGCTGGGGTTCACTTCCGGAGTTTTACCAGCTCGTTCATGTAGAGACGACTTCCGCAAGGATCATAGCTATACTGTAGAGGAACTGCATGTTATATCGCCTGCAGTGTCTTTGAGTCGTCGTCTGTCTTCATGCAGGCGAGCTTCTATGCTAAAGATTCCCCGTTGAACATCTGTCTCTCTAGGCACAACCAAGAGCACTGTCCCTCCTCCTTTCGCCCACCGTCACTGTAGAGGTAGTGATCGAGACGGAGCCACGCGAAGGTGACTTGACACGTGGAAAATTTAAGGCCAGCGCCTGCACGTCGTTCATTCGAAGACGGGGTGCGAGAAGTGACGACGACAGAGGCAGATCAATTCTCACCTGAGCTTTCTGTGCACCTGTCGCCCGCATCGCACGCCTTCGCATCACTACGAGCACTAAGGGCATTGGAGACGACGATGTCTCGCCCCCGCTTCTTTACGGCTCCGCGCAAGGGCGAGAATTTCGAGCTTCGAGCAGACCTCAATAGCGAATACCGAGATCGTCGAAAGGATGCCATCAAGCGTGTGATTGCCAACATGACTGTCGGCAAGGACGTCTCCGGCCTCTTTCCCGACGTACTCAAGAATATGCAGACGGAGGACCTCGAGCAGAAGAAACTCGTGTATCTCTACCTCATGAACTATGCCAAGACGCAGCCGGAGCTCGTCATCCTCGCCGTCAATACCTTTGTAAAGGTGGGTTGATTTGGCTACCATCTAAGCCTCAACGGAGCGAAGCTGACCTTCCAGCACCCGACCAATCTCTAGGACTCGGATGACCCGAACCCCTTAGTGCGGGCGCTTGCGATCCGAACAATGTCATGTTTGCGGGCCGAGAAGATCATCGACTACCTTTCCGACCCATTGCAAAAGGGATTAAGAGACGAGAGTCCGTACGTGCGCAAGACGGCGGCCATCAGCGTAGCAAAGCTATACGAGATGAAGCCAGAGCTTGCAGTTGAAAACGGGTTTGTGGGGACGTTGAGGGACATGGTAGGAGATTCGAATCCGATGGTGCGTTGCGTGGACATCACATTCTATCCAGTGGCTGCTTGCTGACTCGGGGCTCCTCGGTATCCCAAAGGTGGTGGCGAATGCTGTTACGGCATTGACAGATATTCACAAAACGGCCTGCGAGGTGGATCCCTCGGGCAAGTCGTCGATCTTTATCATCGATGGCGCTGTGCTCAGCAAGCTCCTCATCGCTCTCAACGAGTGTACGGAGTGGGGGCGAATCGCCATCTTGAGTAGTCTGGGGAGATATCGCACCGCGCCTGGTCCAGAGGGGGAAAAGGAGGCCGAGCACATCTGCGAGAGGGTCATGCCACAATTCCAACATGCAAACGGAAGCGTCGTCTTGAGCGCAGTCAAGGTGCGCTGGCCTCGGAGGAGCCTATTATGCAAAGATCGCTTGCTGACCGCCTGCTTTTACCAGGTCATCTTGATCCACATGGACAGAATAAACAAGCAAGAATTTGTCAAGCAGCTGGTTCGAAAGATGGCTCCTCCCTTAGGTGAGCCGTTCTCTGGAAAGCGAGTCTCCTCTTGTTCAAAGCTCACAGTGTCTCGTAGTAACATTGGTCTCATCGGCGCCCGAGGTGCAGTGGGTGGCATTGCGCAACATCAATCTGATCCTGCAAAAGCGACCCGACGTGCTCTCGTCGGAGCTGCGCATCTTCTTCTGCAAGTACAATGACCCCAGCTACGTCAAGCTCGAAAAGCTCGAGATCATGATCAAGCTGGCGAATGAGCGGAACGTTGACATGCTCCTCAGCGAGCTCAAGGAGTACGCATCAGAGGTCGACGTGGACTTTGTCAGGAGGGCTATCCGTGCCATTGGGCAGTGTGCCATCAAGATCGACACGGCAGCTGAACGATGTGTGCATGTGCTCCTCGACCTTATTGCGACGAGGGTCAGCTACGTGGTGCAAGAGGGTGTTGTCGTCATCAAGGTATGAATTTTTCCATCCTTTCAATCGTCACTGTGCTTATTTTCCATTCATTACAGGACATCTTCCGAAAGTACCCTCAAAACTACGAGGGCATCATCCCGACGCTCTGCTCTAATCTGCAAGACCTCGACGAGCCAGAGGCCAAGGCGTCGCTCATCTGGATTCTGGGCGAGTACGCGGAAAAAATCGACAATAGTGACGAGCTCCTGGGTCTGTTCCTCGACAACTTCCTCGACGAGCAGTACCAGGTGCAATTCCAAACATTGACAGCCATCGTCAAGCTCTTCCTCAAGCGGCCCGACGGCGCCCAAGGCATTGTTCAGCGCGTGCTCGAGCTAGCGACGAAGGAATGTGATAACCCAGACCTGCGAGATCGCGCCTTTGTCTACTGGAGACTTCTCAGCAGCAGCGATGCCGGCGCTGGAAAGTCGGTCGTTCTTGCGGAGCGGCCTCCCATCTCGATTCCCCTCACTTCTGTCCCTCCTGCTCTGCTCGAGGAGCTCGTGTCCGATCTTTCGTCGCTGGCGTCTGCGTACCACAAGCCTGAGTCGACCTTTATCGGTAGGGGGCGGCTTGGTGCCGATGCGCTCAGCAGGAAGCGGGATGAGATTACGAGGGAGAAGGCACTCGCGACTGTTGTGCAGGGCCAAGCGGCCGAGAATCTTCTCGATTTCGGAGACGACGACGAAGGCGCTTCGCAGAGCCAGCCCATCTCAGCAGGTGCTGCTGGCGGGCTTGGAGGGCTGGGCGATCTCATGATGGACGACGGTGGTGCGCAGAGCGGCAGTGTTGGTGGTGGTGCTGCTTCTGGTGCGAATTCGGCAGGAGCAGGGCAGCTCTCAGACCTCCTCGGTCTGTTTGATGCCGCTCCAGGATCAAAGGCCCCGGGAGCCCAGTCGGGTCTGGACGCCCTCTCGGCGCTTCCTGCCGCCCCATCTCACTCCCCTATGGCATCGACATTTGCCAATGGCTCGGCCCCGCCGGCTGCTCAGCGACAGCAACACAGCAATAGTGGTGGGGGAGATCTTCTGGACCTTTTGTAGAGGCAGTAAACAACATCATCAATGCGTAATCAAACATTGTGATCGAGACCAGTAGAGGACAAGGTATGAATGCGTTTATAGTACAGTGCGTGCTTTGTGTTATACGTGTCATTCGCGAAAGATCAAGGAGAAGGGTTCTTCGTCGGGAGAAGGCCAAAGAGGGACCACATCCGACGTTCGACTGCTAAATCTCGCCTCTCGAGTTTCCTGTTGTCTACCTCGTCGCTAATGGCCTCCCGGGCCAACGCGGCTGTCCTCCCTCGTGTTGACGAGGCCCGACCTGATCGAAGAGGTCGATCGTATGCGTGGCTAGAGCCGTCCGCTGACCATTCAAAGGCACGCTGAACGACGCTGGACGTAGCTGATGGCTGCAAGGGGGCGAGACCTTCGAGAAGTCTCGTCTGCTCATCTTCATCATCTTCTCCCTCTCCCTCTTCCTCATCTTCCTCATCTTCCTCCACCTCAACGGATGACCTCTCCTCTTCAACTTCTTGATAGGCCTTGTTCCATGCCAATTGTTGTGCTCCGTCTCCAGGGCCATTGTTATGGTCTGTGTCGGCGCCAAATCGACGCAATACCTCGTCCGCGGACCGCTGTACGGCCTTTCGTTTCCAAAGTTAGCCATTACACTTTCCATCTTGGTCTGTGAGCCACTGACCTCTGTGGAAATGATCGCGTCGTCGCGCCGTCGTTCTATCAGCACCACGAGAACTCCTTCGACAAAGACTCGAAGCTCGTCCACGAGGTGCAGTATGGCCTCTTTGCTGATTCGACGTGAAAAAGGGCGTGAGACCCCTTGCTCTTTTGTCGTGGGGGATGATGTCGGGCGCTCGTCTTCCGGTTTTGAGCTTGCTTCGAGGTCTATCTCCTCATTTGTGCAAGCTCTGAGATTTCCACAGCCTCTTTTGTGAGTCCAGCCTCGCGACGCGCAGAGGAAATAGTAGGGTCACTCACCTCATCATTGTCGCCAGTCCCGCAAAGCTAAGAACGCTGGTCTTCTTCAGAAAGCCTTCCTCCCTCTCGTCCTCTCTACCGCCATCGGCAAGGATGATCGGCATGACGTCTTCGGGTTTTAATCCGATCCATGCGAAACGCTGAAAGTCTTTCAAAGCTTTTTTCGTCTTGATGCCGTCCAAGGACAGAGAAGGAACGGAGTGGACCTCCTCACTTTCCTCATCTGTTCGCCACACCGATGCGCAGGCGGTCTTCTCGGAGGGCGTCTGGTCGGGTCGTCTTCGTTTCTCACCCACGTCGCCGACTGCTCCATCGCTTGGCGATGATCGCCTCCTCCTTTTTCTTCCCGCCGACATGTTGACATCGATTGGCATATCGGCGGCGCCCCTCGACAATCTTGCCCGAATCTTCCCCTTGACACTCTTCCAATGTTCTCGAGGGATATTGGAAAGGTCGAAGCCTCGATAGAAGGTCTCCGATTCCGAGTCTTGTGGGGGAAAAGGTGCGAGAGAAGGTTGGGATCGATGAGACTTCTTGAAGACAATGGCCTGCTCAAGCGCTGACAGTTCCGAGATCGTCAGGGATTGGCTTTGGATCCTCGCGAGGTGGACACGGGATTGTTGGAGAGACGTTCTGGCTGACTCGGTTGCATCGGGAGGCAACCATGGCTCTAGTACCGTATCGGTCGGCTTGATGCTATCCACCCAGATGAGGTGTGCGTTGGGAGGGCAGGGAAGGTCTTTCTCCCACCTCGTGCTCACCAAGCCTCCTCGACCGTCGTCGACTTGTGTGATTATCGCCGTCGGTATTGTGCTATCGCCTTGAATGCGAACCCAGGCCAATAGCCCCAGCTCGACGGCATGGTGAATAACCCTGAGGGCCACCGACTCGTTGGAACGCTTCCTTGAGATCGCTGGGACGGCGTACTCTTCCGAGAAGCGCCTGTACGATGGTCCTCGATGAGACAATCCCTGGACGCGCTTCAATCTACCAATGAGTTCCGACAAGGAGCAGTACATTGCCGTGGCTGAGCCTTGCTGAAGCTTCAGTATACAGCCATGCTCGCCTCCTTGATCGGAGACGTCACCGACGACATAGTGACACCGAAGAAAGAGAGCCGCATTCAGCACCTGGCGATCCCATGAGACGATCTCCTCCTCCTCTGCTCCCTGCCGGGGCTCATCTTGCCAGAGGGCCAACGTCTGTGCTTGTGCTTCCTCGAATGCAATCCACTCGTCGCTCATCTCGACGGCAGCAGCAGCAGGTACTGCTCTTTGCCGCTTGCGAGCGGCCTCGTTTAATCCTCCTGTTCCCATAGCTCTCATCATATGACGCCCATCAGCATGTGGCCTATGTTTTGCCCCCATTCTTCTCGCGGCCTGACGTCGCAAGAGCTGAAGAAGCTGCTGGACTTGTGCTTCTGACTTGGTGCCGTGGAGGAAATCGGTCGCGATGACGTCGGCCCTCCAGCGCGAATATCTGACCAGACCGCGAAAGAAGTGTTGGATCTCGCTTTGCGACCATTGCGCCTCCCATGACTCCTTTGAGGTTTCCGAGGGAGCCTCCTTGTGAGTCGCCTCTTCCTCGTCGCTTTGTTCCACCTCGTCTTCCTCTGCCGTCGCAGCATCCTCCTCTTCATCCTCCTCTATCTGCACATCATCCGGCTGGTCCTTGTCCTCGTCGACGTCTGAGCCAACTTCCTGCAATGCCCCATCAAATAGCTGGTCTGTCGTATGATGAAGGTGCTGGAAGAAGTCAATCGACTCCCTCCTGAGCAATTCGGCGTACCTCTGGGCCTTTCCCTCCGCCGAGTCGATTGCAAAGACGGGAGCCACGTTCGACCATCGCGGGTTTCCGCTTGTGCTTTGTCGAGCCTCTGTCGTCTTTGACTGTGCCAGCGACTCGGTGGAAAGTACGGTCTCTTCGTGCTCCCTCGCCGTGTCCGCCTCGCCGCGATCCGTTTGTCCAACATTCAACCTGCTTCCAGACAAAGAGGAGGGACCCTCGCGCCCGCGTCGCACTCGGGCCCTGTCTTGCCGGACATTCCTGTCCTGCTGTCTCTTTCTCTTGCGCCCGGGTGCATCCCCCTCCATCGTCTTCCCACACAGGAAGCCTGTATGCGTGAACGTCACTCGTCGTCGTTCAACAGAAGCGAAATGGCGGTCAAGGAAAATATCATAGAGAAATTTAGACTGAAGTTGCAAAAAAAAAAGCAAAGCTCCTCGAGTTCTGAGTGGCCCAAGCGTCGCGTCAAACTCAACGTCGTAGGTCCTCCCTCCCGAGGTGCGAACCCGACCAATGATGATGTTCAGGATCCTGAAGCGAAAGAGCGGCCGTAGTCACGATGGATACAATTACAGCGGCCTCCTATGTCATGGGCCCGGGCAGAGGAGGCAGTATACACAGATAAGTGAAGATAGTCGGCTGAAGTCTAGGCGCTATGTGGTCGGAAGCTCATGCTCCTCCTGATGAGCTGAGCTCGAAGATAGTTTCCAACTTCGCGTTCTTTCGGGACCCTCTGCTCGCCCACCCAATCAGCCAGCCATGCATGCAACGGTCCAGCGGCGCTTGCATCACCGCCCTCGTCGTCGTCGTCTGCTGCCTCTTGTCCACCTATTCCTCCTCCATCATCCTGTTCGTCTTGTCCGTAGCGAAGGCGGTTGTTGCGCTTGTTGACCTGGGACATGGCAGCATCCCAGATGGGCGAGATGCCCTCGTGGAGGACGAGGCAGGCCTGATAGAGGGTGGTGTCAAGCGGTTCGAGGTCGAGATGCCTCATCCACGCCAGCACACGAAACGGTTCATCCCACGGCACCTCGGCTCCAAAGGCTAGCGTCCTGCTCGCAGACGACGACGGAAGCGCAGCATTGACAGAAATGAACCGGAGCAGGGTCAGGTACTGGTCAAAGAGCATGGGTCCCAGCTTCGCCAGGTCCTTTCTCTCCATTGAGACACTGGCGCCTAGCCTCGTTGACGCACGCACTACGCCCTCTCTATCTGCTGCATGGCCAGAAGGACTGGCAGCGGCGGTGAAAAAGAGGCTGCTAAAGCGCTCCTGGAAGCGTGTCTCGAACCTCTTGATGCCTAGCTCGACCTTTGCGATCATCGACGGCAGCGAGGAAAAGGGCGCGTCATCGCTAGATGCCCTGCGAGAGGCAGATGTCGACAGCATGCTGTCCAGCGGGTTTTCAATCGACTCGAGCTCAGGGTATTGCGCAAAAAGCTCCTGGAGGAAGAGGTCTCTCGCGCGTAGGCTTGCCGGTACGCCGTCCCACAGCGCCTCGGCCTCGAGTTCGTAGGGTCCAGCTCGGGCAAGGGGCAATTTATTCCTCGCAAGAAACACCCTAATTGATGGTGTCAATCCCATCGACGCGTTCTTCATCGCACTGACGGCAGAGTGCAGCAGATTTGAATAGGCAAAATGGTTGGGGTGCACGTTGAACGTCGCAAAGGAGTCGATAAAGACGCGGTAGGCGGCCTGGTGATGCGCCGAGAACATGAGGCCTTTCATCACGGAGCTCAGCAGGACTTGATCTGCTTTCACCTTTGTCGTCTCGGTTCCCGTGTCGCCGTCGTCGAGCTCTTTGCGATGATTGTGAATGGGCCCATGAATCCATCTGTTGAGCTCAGCGAGGGCGTCGCGGACCTGGCCGAGCTTTAGTAGGCTCGCGCAAAGTGTTGCGACGGTGAAGACATTGGGCGCTACGCCCCTCTTGATCATATCGGCAAAGACGACGGGCACGAGGTCGTGTCGAGGCGTGGGGCGGCGGAGGAGAAGGCCCTGCATCACGGCATGATAGAACCTTGGCTCGTCGGACAACCAAGCCGGGGGCGCCAGCGGAAGGCCGTCCTCAACCTGGTCCGCTTCCTCGCCTGCGTCGTTGCTGGCGCCAAAGAGATCACTCGTTCGGTCTTCTTCACCGTCTGTCTCTGCACTCGAAGCTCGCAACTCTCTCTTGCTGGCTAGCACGTGCCCGTCATTTGCCTCGGCTCCCACGCTGGGCTTTTGCCCTGACACGGGGTGCACGGACAAGCCGAGGAGTGGGAGAAGATGATGAGGTGACACGTTTCTCGCACCTGCAGTCGCTTTGATCGTTGCGCACCACGCATTCCTGAGGGCCTTTCGCCCTTCTTCGGAGGGTGCCTGCTCTTCCATCTCGTTGATCTTGGCCTGAAGAATGGTCCACACCCGTCTCAGCTTGAATCGACTCGCCATCAGCGCGAGGTAGTCGACGGTGAAATACGACTGGGATCTCTCGAGTCGTCGCTGAAGCTGCAAGCGCCTGTTGAGTTTGGCCATCCAGAAGGAGCCAGCCTCGGTGTTGCTCTCTCGTGAAGCGGCAGAAATCGCCCTTTCCAGTGCAGCTTCGAATACTGCATCGGGCGATGTGGCGCCCAAGCTGCAGCGGTCTTCGAAGCGAGGGATCCATTGCAAGGCCATCTGTACCGTTAAAAAGGCATCCTTTTCGCTTTTGAAAAGATCGTCCTCCCGCATTGCATAGGGCGAGTCCGCTAACGACGTAGGCTGAGGATCGAGGTTCCAAAAGATCAAGAGGATCAGCTTTGCGTCGTTATCCGACATGCTTTCCAGTGCCCAATCAGCGAGCCGAATTGCGCAACGTCGACAGCGGTCGTCGAGTGTTGCCGCCAGGCACCTGGCGAGGACCACGGCAGCCGTGTTGAGCTCGGCCCTGTCGTCTGCCGGTACCACCGGTGCGATGCGCCCAAGAAAGATGTCGGTGAGGGATCGTGCCAGGTGCGGAGCGTAGTTGTCGACGAGGACGACGCGGCAAAGGAGCTTAAAGCATCTCAGCCGGTCGTGAAGGGAGACGAGATCGGCGAGGCGCGCAAAATTCTCAATCGCAGCCCTTGGTCCGACGTTGCCGCGCAGCTGGCGAAACAACTGCCGCGCGGTGGCCGTGGCCGTGGCCGTCGAAGAAGAGGTCGACCGGGACATCCAGCTCGAGGGCCCAGCGACGTTTGCCTCTGCTTGCGCGTGCGCGTGCGCGTGCGCAAGCGACGGGAGGGGCGAAGCGTAGCTCAGTAAGGGTAGCTGCCGGCATCTGCTGGTCGTCAGTCGGCGTCGAGATTGTCGCCCGCCGGCTTGTGGGAGCGTCGAGCAAGAAGCAGAAGAGCTCGGGGACCGAAGGCCTGCCGGGCGTTCGGTGGCCAGCGCTCTGACCACCCGGACTGCTTCCTTTGCCGCCGCTGATCGCGCACCCGTGGCCATGATTGAAGCCCGCTACGCCCTCGCAAACGCAGCCCGCGGCAACGACATTGGCGTCTGATCTTTGTGCGCGTCGAGAAGAAAGTTGGTTGCAGCGCACGCACACACGCGGAAAATCCAAACACGGGCAGAAAGAAAAAAAAAAGAAAAGGAAAGGGCAAGAAGCAGGACTTTGTAGCCGCCACCATTTTTCGATTTTTGCTTTTTCTTTTCCTTGGGAGCCAAACTTAGACTAAAAAAGCCCCCCCCCCCCCTCCCCCCGCGCGGTGCCAGAGAGAGGAAAGAAAAAGACGAGCGACGACGCGATCGCGCGCCTCTGCTGCTGCCTGCTCCACTCGCGCCGAAACCATCCATCCATCCACGACTTTTCTCTGTCTTATTCTTTACGACTTCCATCCATCCACTCAGTCGCAAGTCAATCTACCCACCAACGCTCACTTGTTGAAAATGGCCCCGGGAACACCCTCGCCTTGGAAGGGAGCGCTGCGCTACAAGCGCAAGGGAGACCTCGTCGAGCTCGCCACTGCCCTGGGAATCACCGAGGCGACGGAAAACTCGTCCAAAGACGATCTCGAGGAAGTCATCCGGACTCACCTCCTGGCCAACCGTACCAGCCTGGCCAGCGACCCCAACTGGCAGGGCCTTTACACGAGCCTTGACAATGGCGAAAAGAGGGCTGCTAGGGGCAGTTCAAACGCGTTGAGCCCGTGAGTAGTGTCTGTCGACCCATCCACTCACTCCATCCATCCCCATCCATCCACGCATGCGTGCATCCACCGTGAGAAAAGAGAAAGAGGAAACCGTGTTTTATTGCTCCTCTTTTGCATTGACGCCCCCCTTCAAGTAATTCCAACCTGTTGCTGATCATTTCGGTGTTGCTCCCGCTTCTAATCCAGCGACAGCGATGGCTCCGACGACTCGCCTGCCACGGGAAAGTCGCCTCGCAAGCACACGCAGCGCGGCAGCAAGCTTGTGCCCAACGGTCTGAGCACGCCTCTACGCCAGGCCTCGAGCAGCACCTCTGGCTTCGCCTCGCAGCTGTCGCAGCGCACCAAGCGCTCGTTTGAGAGCCTGGCCGACGCCTTCAAGGCGGGCGCAAAGGACGCGCGCGAAGAGGCCCACGACGTCGCAAACGAGGTTTCGTCTGCCCAGCACGCCCTGACGCGCCGGGTAAGCCAGACGAGCCGTCGCGTCGAGCAGCGCTTCACCAAGGGCTTTGAGCGCGCCAGGGCCTACCTGAGCAACGCCGAGCACATTGCTCTTCTCCTCGTCATCCTCGAGGGCGCCCTCCTCGTCACGGCCGTCATGCCGACGAAGCGTGTCGAGCTTGGTGGCCAGCGCAGCGTGTCCAACTTCGTCAAGTCGGGCGGCAAGTCGGCGACCAACAATGTGCCCCACTGGACCGTGACCACGCCCAACTTCTGGGCCCTCTTGACCTTTGTCTTCTGGAGGCCCATCGTCCTCTGGTCCGCCTGGACCGTGGCCCTGCCTGCCCTGGCAGCTCGTGAGTGTGCCCGATGTTCCTTTATTAGAAAGAAGAAGAGGCCAAGAGCTGAATTTAATGTTATTCTTTCCCGCACAGACATCATCACGTTCGACCGTAAGCACGAGCCTTCGACGCTGACGTTCTCCGTTGTCCGTCTGGCCCTCATTTCGATTCTGACGCACACGACCTTCGGATCGTTGCGCTCTGTGCCCCACGTCCTCGGTGTCGCTGCCGGCGAGGTCCGCGAAGCGGCTTCGTCGACGGTTCTCGGCAGCATCACTAGCTCCATCCGGAGCCTGACGAGCTACGACTTTGTTGTGCCCCATGTCTCTACTGAGGTGCAGCTGCTCACGACGAGCCTCATGGCCGCCTTTGCCACGTACGAGGTCATTGCCAGCCGTCCCCGTGCTTCGTCCAGGGCCTAGGTCTTTGGCGATCGATCTCTTACCCCTCCCTCCTCCCCCTTCACCTTCTTGCGGGCCACTTGATATACCATGGTCTGAGGTTTGCTTGTCTCTCTCACCCCCCTCTCTTTCTCTTCTTGTCTCGTGCCATTTTTTTCTTTATGCCTCTGTACGGTTCTTGTAAAGGCTCACGCTTCCCCAATTGTTGTCTTTGTTCTCTACTCTAGTCGCTCTCGGCGCTTTAAGTGGGGACAAGCAAGGGAGTCGCTCAGCTCCTCCTTGATGTACACTGTACCACCCTTTTCTTCTTCATCGCTCCTCGTTGACACTCTAGCTAGGTCCTCGTTGTCGCTCTCCATCTCTGTGTTATCTCCCTTCTCACTTTCTCCTTTCCTTCTCTCTTGGATCGATTGATTAAATTACGATGAATGCTTTGCTTGGGTGTAGCTCGTCTGTCCACGCACGAAGCCAGACTGGCACCCGTATACAGTAGAGTATGATTAGAGGAGAGCATGATGGGCGTGCAGAAAAGCAGTCTTCTCTCTCTCTCTCTCTCTCTCTCTCTCTCTCTCTCTCTCTCTCTCTCTCTCTCTCTCTCTCTCTCTCTCTCTCTC